GAATACACTATCATCCATATAATACCACTAGATGTAAAATAAATATACATATGTATATCCTTCTTCTCGAATGGTCGAGAAAATTCTTTCATATTTACTACTTTTTCATTTTCTTTTTCTTCCGTCCTGTCAATGAATATATCATTCTCTATATAATCTCACTTCTTGGACTTTTTCACTTATACTCATATATCGATTATAGATTATCGACGTAAATATATTTTCATTATAAAGCTATAAACATGGTAAGTGAAGTACACATTTTCTTTTCGTAATGTACTATTTAATCGGTTCAATCAGGCGGTTGTTGGCCTTGATATGGGAAATTTCTCATCCTATATCGGAGTTGCTCGTGCTGGTGGTGTGGAAATCATTGCAAATGAATATTCCGATCGTTTAACACCGTAAGTTTGCTGTTGACGGATGGCATTCGTAGGAACAAGTTAGAACAAAATTGTTCTTTCAGGACATATGTAACATTTGATAAATCGACTCGTGTTGTTGGTCAAGCGTCTAAAGCAATGGAAATAACAAATCCGAAGAATACGATTTGTAATTTCAAACGGTTAATTGGACGTCGCTATCAAGATCTATTCGTTCAACAAGAAAAAGACTTGAACACATATTCGATTTTCGAAGGCAAAGGCGGTTCAGTCAATATTGAAGTAAATTTTTGTTCAACTCGTTTCTTTCTGACCAAAGAAAAAACTCTGTCGTCTAGGTAAATTATTTAAACGAACGAAAGCGTTTTACACCCGAACAAGTTGCTGCTATTATGTTTGGTAAATTGAAACATATCACTAGCAGTGAATCAACATCAAAAGCGATCGATTGTGTTATTGGAGTAAGTCATAGATGTTTCCCAGTAAGCTCTCTTATCACTGATATCTCTTTTATTCAATAAGGTACCTTGCTTTTATACAGATACTGAGCGACGTGCAATGCTAGAAGCTGCACACATAGCTGGATGGAATTGTCTTCGACTGATCAATGAAACAACAGCTGGTAAGAGCCAATTTACCTGCGACTTAGACATAGTCAACAGGAAGAAAAGATCAAGCTTGCTAATCTTAGTGTAAACAATTTTCTTTGTAAATCCGCCCTAACAGCACATAGACACATTCGGTGATGTAATCGCATATTTACAGATCTCGAAAAAATATTTTTTAAGACGTAGTTAGAATATCAATCAAAGTCATCAGTGCATTTTCATTTCTACTCACTATACCAAGGCTTTTCTATTCGTTTCGTACTCCATGAAAACAACATTACCTTTAATGCACTGATGATCAGATACATTTGCCGATAAAACGACAAGTACTAGTTGCTCTTGCACATGAACAAAGTATTTTCTTGTGATTTTAGTTGCTCTTTGTTATGGCATTTATAAAGGAGATCTTCCAGAACAAACCGAAAAACCTCGTTTGGTTGCTTTTGTTGATATGGGTCACACTGCTTTACAAGCATCCATCGTTGCGTTGAACAAAGGAAAATTGAAGGTATGTTATTTTGTTCATCTATCCCAGATTTAGTTATTCGCCATGTGTCATTTTAGATGATTGCTACTGCATTTGATTTATCACTGGGCGGTCGTGACTTCGATCGTGTGATTATGGACGCTATGCGTGAAGATTTTCGAAAACGTTATAAAATTGATGCATATAGTACAGTGAAAGCAAAACTACGATTACGTGCGGAATGTGAAAAAGCCAAAAAGGCTATGTCTAGTAATGTTCAACCGATGCCAATCTCCTTAGAATCCTTCATTGACGAAAAAGACGTCACCGGCAAAATGTCTCGTGCAGAATTTGAAGAATTAGCTAAACCATTGTTGGACCGAGTACGATGCACATTGATGAGTCTTCTTAAAGAAGCTAGTGAGTTCCATTTTGACAACCACTGAATATCGATTACTTTTTTTTCTGTAGAAACTAATTGGGAAGACGTTGAATCGGTTGAAATTGTCGGCGGTTCAACTCGTATTCCTGCCGTGAAACAAATCGTTCAAGAGGTTTTTCGTAAATCTCCCATGACAACTATGAATTCTGACGAAAGTGTTGCACGCGGTTGTACATTAATGTGTGCTATATTAAGTCCAACGTTCAAAGTCAAAGAATTCAAGATCGAAGATTGCCAGCCATATCCAATAACATTGTCATGGCATGGTGGAATCAATGAAGACAATGAAGTGGAAGTATTCGGTCGTTGGAATGTCATTCCATCATCGAAAATTCTCTCTTTCTACAAAAAAGAACCTTTGACAATAACAGCTCGATACTCCTATCCAAATGATATTCCGTTTTCTGAAGCACGAATTGGTATGTGAAACTGTTCCTAGTTCAATTTTTCATTCGATGAATACTCTAGGTCAATATACCATCGAACAAATTCAAGCCCAACCAAATGGCACTCCATCGAAAATCAAAGTGAAAGTTCGTTTAAATCGCAATGGTATATTTGATATCTCCCAAGCTGCTATTATTGACACTACTACTACTATTGAGGAGCCAGTTGGTAAGTTATTATTGATAAGAATTCGAATGATAAGCATTCCATTGAAGAAGATCCAAAAGCTGGAACGGAAAATAATCCTGATCTGAATACATCGACTAACAGTGAACCAATGGATGATGTAAGTCTGTTGTTTCGTTCAAAAATCTATGGACGACTCGAACGAAATTTCTTTCTCTTTTTCCAGAATAGCAATCCATCGAATACTGGTGAAAATCAGCAAGAAAAAGATGAAGAAAATGAAGAACCAAAAAAAGTAGCAACGAAAAAGAAGAGGAGAGAAATTGAACTGCCAGTTGTATCACGTGTCACTGGAGCAACGAAACACGAACTTGAACGATTAGTTGAGCTCGAAGTAAGATCACGCTAATCGCTACTACTCATCGAAGAAATCCTGATCTGTTTAGAATGACATGATTCAACATGACAAGAAAGAGAAGGAACGTTCCGATGCGAAAAATGCTGTCGAAGAATATGTTTATGACATGCGTGGAAAACTGGATGGCGGTCAGTATGAAAAATACGCCGATGAACGAAATCGACAAAAACTATTAAATGATCTGCGTACAACTGAAAATTGGTTATACGATGAAGGTTCAAATCAGGATAAAAATGTTTATATTGAACGATTGAAACTACTTAAAGTAAGCTGACATCTAATTGTTTCGTTTCTTCCATGTTCGTATCTTCTAGAATCTTGGCGAACCGATTCGTAATCGCTACAATGAAGCTTCTAATCGTCCGTATCATATGCAAGAGTTTATGAAAGCCTTGCAACGTGTTGACGAAGCCATTCAAACCTGGCAGACGAAATCGAGCGATAAATACTCTCATTTGGACAAGAGTGACATGGAAAAGGTTTACAAACTTCTGATTGAGAAGCAAAGATGGTATGACCAAAATGCGACGCGTTTCAACTCTCTGAAATTACAAGATGATCCAACTGTCCTTTGTGCACAGATCAAACAAGAAAAAGAGGTAAATAAGTTTACCATTTTGCACTTCTCCTGACCAAATCCTTTTCCTCTAGGCATTTGAACGAGAATGCTGGACGATTTTAAATAAATCGAAACCTAAAGTTGAACTTCCTAAAGAAACACCTGCGGATGTTTCTAAAAAACAACCTCCACCACCACCTAGTGCTGGTGGTCCCGCACCACATCCTCAGCCAGCACCACCACCTCCGAACAAAAAACCTTTGAAAAATCCTCCCGCACAAACTCAACCGCCGACGGCGAACTTCGATTGATCACAAAGCGAATCAAATTCAAAACTAAACTAGCTGATTAGTTTTATTTTGCTTCTGTGTATTCATTCTAATTTTCTATTCGTTTCGAGATCTCATCTTTGCATTCAGTTACTAAGATTTGTTTCTTTATTTATTAACTAATTTATTCGACTACGTCCAATGTTGACTATTTTTGTTTCACTTTTTTTTCCCTTTTTTCATTGCCGTACATTCTTCATCGAATCCGGTTTCTATTCAGATCTTGTACTCGCATTTTTTTTTTGTTAAATAAATAATAAATAATTTAGTTATTAACATTCTGATAACAAGCAAAACAACTACGCTATCGATTGAGCTTTTCTCGCGTAAGATACAGAGAGTGACTTATGCGGAACACATGAAAACGAAATGTACTCTCTTTGATCACTAATAAACGGTACGTTCATTATCATCCAGTATCTCATTTCTCAACCTTCAATTACATTCTTAAGCTTTGTCTGTCAAGATTATTTCATTGAGAACAACTCGTTAATTATGATTTGATTTCGCGAAAAATATCGTGAGAAATGGTTCATCATTAACACTTATCCGCTACAATTCTCATAAGCATTTCACGAAAAAGAAAAACATTGGAATAAAAACACAATCTATTTTATTCATTTGCATAATTGATCCAGCTGTTACATTCTTCAGATTTGTTTTCTTCTCGCCTCTTGTTCGTTGGGCGTCAATCGTTAGCGTCTACTTTTTTTTTCTCGTTGACCGATCATGAAGTTCAGCGTCGTTTTTTCCTTTCCTATGGGTATGAAAACGAACAAGGGACGGATAGAGAGAAAAAGAAAAAGTAGCAACATATATCATCATTATTTGAATAGAAACGGTCGAACGTGTGTCTATACACGCACAGTCATTCATTTATCCAATACGACAGACGAATTGACATGGTGAGTGAAATGATGAACAGCTATTCATTAGTAACAGCAGAAACAAATCTTCCTATAAATACAGATTGAATAAGATATGTGTTGTCATCAATTTAGAATTTCAGTTATCAATGAATCGTTCGCCATTAAGTGATTGTAATCGTCGACGTAGTTTATTTGATTCACCAAGTCTCGTGCGTTTTATCAACAAAACACTTCATACACAAGAAGAAAACAATCCTCATTTGGATTCAACAACAAGTTCAAGTTCGCCAAGTTATAAATCATATAATCCACTTGAGAAACATCGAGTAGCGATAACAAGAAAACTGACCAACATGAATGAACAATCCCCTTTACAATTAAATCGAGGTGAGCAGCGGAAAACGAGAAACTGGACGTGTTCACCATTTTCTTGTGCACATTTCAGGAATTATTCAACTGAGCCTTGTCACGTCCGACAATCATTTAACTGTAAAAAGTAATTGATCTTTCTCGTCGAAGACTTTATTGCTATATGTAACCTTTTATTTAGTTGTCCGCATCAAGGGTATACACAATCGTTCATCGAATATCTTGGTGAAAATGACTTTAATACCCGATCGTAAACCGTTAGAATGTAATACACGTGCTGTTCCCAATGTGAACAGTTCAGCGATATTCAACGAAAAATTCACATTCGAAATCAACACAGATGATTTACACAAACGACTATGCTTTTCTATCTATAACTATCAACAAGAAAAGAATGATATGCAACTACAAGGTTGTTTGTCCTTTGGAATCAAAAATACATTGAAGAAACAAAGAGTAAGATAACGGAAATAACGAGGAGAGTTCATTTAGTTGCTTCGTCTAGATTCGTGGTTGGTTCTATATTTTACAAGAAGATGTCGGCGAATTACGTCACAAACAAGTACCTGATCATGGTGAAAAACATGTTACAGCTATTAATCGTGATATTGCCGATCTAGAAGAGCATCAAGTATATTTTACATGGACAATGAAATGGTTCATTCGAATACATATCTTTCTGCTTTCTTTTCTAGTTTGTTATTTCACGTGGTATCAATGATTCATTTGGTTTCACAGTTGTAGGTGATAGTCCAACATTTGTTGGTAAAGTAACCGACAATAGTCCAGCAGCACAATGTGGTTTAAGACCAGGAGATTACATTGTTAAAGTCAATGGACAAAATGTATCGCGTGCACAACAAAGAACTGTATCAAACTTAATCAAGTAAATTGATTCAACCATACAGATCTTGTCGTATGCGTAATATAACTTTGATTTTTAGACATATGAAGCATTCAGTTACGTTGGATATTCATCGTTATCCAAGTGCACATGCGACAGCTAATCGTGATATTCTTTCGCTGCTGTCATCAACTGGCACCGTTTCAACGGAAGATTCTTCAACATGTAGTGACTCGTCCATATCTTATCGTTCACATCATTTGAAACAGATGCCATTAACAAAAGCAAATCGTCATTTTGTCGATCTCGCTCAATTAGGACATTACGTTGAACCTAAACCAATGATTCGACAAGCCACAACGACTTCGTCCTCGTCAACGGCTGCCTCAGCACTGCAGCCTTTCTATGAAATGACCAATTCGTCAATGTTAGCTGTGAAAGGTTCTCCAACGAATACATTTGTCTGAAAGTGATGCGAAATAATGATTCGTTGCTTTCAAGAGAGCTTGTTTATGATAGTAAACTCGGAAATGCGTTTGATGTTTTGTTATTTTGAATATAATGTATAGTGAAGTGTGAGAAATCTGTTCGTGCTCATCGTTCCCTGATCTTTTTCTCGTTTTCGTTTGTGAATTTATTTATTGTTGCGTGTGTAATGTGAAATAGAGCTTTTTCTTTTCGGTCATATTTGAAAATAAGAATAATTCGACACTTTAAAACGGATAACACCTGGCGTGGAAATCTGATGCTTGAAGAGAAAAATAATCGTATGAAAATATTTTTGTTAGATACTTTTCATTCGAGCAAACATTGTTCTAGTTTGTCAATGTAATCGAAGATTACGAGACGAACGAGCGAAGGTTTGATCAACGATCGCATGCCATCGATGAAGATAGACACTGAAGAATTTCCTCTTGTTTAGTGCGCTCAATGTCAGTGTCGACTATGTTAAATAAGGAATTAAATGGGTTGCTATGTGATTAAATATGCCGCCGTTGTTGTCGAATGCACGTCTTCGTATACCATTCGGTTTTGAAGAATTGCTCACCTATTTAACGCGTGAACTTCTACGATCGCAACCTGCGAACATCTATGAATTCTGTTCTATAACTTGTCAACAATTGTACAGTCTCGTTTTGTTAACCTTACTGCATTTCTTTTTCGCGTATATTTATCTTAGGATTAGTGAACGAAACAATGGCATTCTTTCTCATGAACTAGTTAAATTAGATTCAACTATTCATTCTCATGAGAACAATGAATAACAAAAGAAATATTGATCAAAGACTACCGTCTGTTCTTCTATTGAACCGACATGTATATATATATACAAAAAAAAGTTTTCGCTATGCCTCATTGATCAATAAATCACTAATGACGTTTTCCCCATTGTTTTCTAATTATGGATTCATATCTCATTTAATAGTAAACGATTGGATAGAATTATTTAACCTTATTACCATTTCTTTGAATGGAAATCGATATGAGTGCAAATGTTCTGCTTAATTAAATTTTTATTCAAGTATCTAATATCATGCACAGTTTGTTTCTCAAAATCTTTTCACAATAAAATAAGTACGATGGTGATGATGAATAGGAAGAAAAGAATAAAGGAAAACGTAATAGCGATAAATAGCTAATGACATAAACGAGCGAATAACATCACTGTTCCTTCTATACAAAAGAGAATGTACACTATATAAGTACACGAGAATAATACAATAAACAAATACATCGATTCGGCTGTATAAAAGGAAGAATGAGATATGTGCAAAAAAGAAAAACGGCGAGAAAAAATGATAAATGTGCATATCACACGGATAAAAAAAGATAGATGTGTATGAAGGATTTCTTTGTCGATAGAAAATTATCAGAGGAGAAAAAGAAAAGAAAGAAATCGAACAAGGCCCCATGTTTTCAGTAACTTGTCATCATCTGTTTTTGTTTTTCTTAGAACAGTAGCAGCAGCAGCGGTAGCAGCACCATATTCACAAACACTGTTTTGCGGCAACAGATAGAAAAGAAAAGAAAACAAAATAAAGAAAATAGGAGACAAATATTATTAACATTATCATCAACGTTCAATATCTACATATATACAGACGAAAAAAATGTAACAAAACTCCATTGCACATCTGTACAGACAACAAAATACACATGTAAGCATATAGAAAATCTTGAGCATAGACGTGAAAACTCTTTACGGAAAAACTCCCCCGATATCCATTTCGTTATCAAATCCGTATGAAGTCGAAGATAAGAATGGATCATGAGCTAATGGCGATAAAGGATCGACGTTATTTCCTTTGGTATATCCACTGATATTCGTCGTATCGTTACTATCATCGTCAAGACCAAAGGCTGATAAAGAATCCAATGGTGGAAAGGATTCGAATGTTGCAAAGATAGGTGTTGAAGGTGGCACCAAAGGATTAGTTGAATTATTTAACGATGACGATAGAGAGGCGGGTTCTTCTTTGATGACACTGGGCGTTGTCACAGCTATGGCTGATGAGCCTTTTCGTGATGAATTATCAATTGGTATGCCGTTCATGAGACATTTTTTCTCTAATTCCTAAACGAAAATTAAATATTTAAAAAAACAATTGATGTGCATATAGGTTTCTGTTTGTACTCGAACACGTTCTAGTAACGCTGAATTATGTTCGGAAAGTAATTGACATTTTTCTTCGACTAACGAAACATTATCATATTGACGGCGTAAAATTTTGATGTAATCAACGGATGCACGTAGGATTGTACCTTTGTTTTGTTTGAGATCTCTGCGAAAAAAAACAAAACGCGAAAGGTTATGTTGACCTTTTCTATCTTCTCGATCAACCTACAAATCTGTTCCTTTGGGTAATAAAGTTCCAAGTTCTTTAATACGATCATTAATATTGAAACGACGTCGACGTTCGACTAGAATTAGATCAAACGAATCATACAACGAAAATTGCTCCTTTCGTTCTCACTCATATTATGATTATCTTTCTTTTGACGATCACGTATAACCAGACGCATTTCATCTTCCGTTAATGGTAAACCAATTTTAGCTTTTGCGCTAAGAATGTTCGTTGGACATGATGATGAATGATGACTGGCACTATCATTCGAATCTTTCGATATCGATGACGAGAGATAAATTGAACCAGCATGATCGCCAGTCAAAGTTGTCGACAACTAAAAATAGAATTTTGTCAAAACGAACTTTCGGCTTGAAAAATTCATCTTACTCGAGGGGTTATGCTGATTCCACGCGATGTACTATCGATACTTCCACAAGTTGCATCGTCGTTGAGTTGATCATCCATCTGCAAAACAAATTAGAAAGATTCATACAGAGAATTCAAGAAAAACTCACTTCAGATGTGATTTCGCTGTCCGGAGATGACTCTTCATGTTGTAGTGTTTGAGGTAGCTAAGAAAAACATTGCATAGTTTTGAAAGCAAAACGGAAAAGTTGTTGTTTTTGTAAACGTACGGTTACTATATTTGTCGAGGGTGCATCATCAGCTACTAAGGTTTGTTTACGACACATTTGCTCCAAATGATATTTCGTTGGATTTTCCAAACGTGTTTGGACAGTCTATTAGGATATAAACATATCGAAAGGAATACAATTGCTTAGATTAAGCTTGACATGATGCACTTTCATAAATACAAAAAGGAACCTAGTAAAGCGTTTCGAATACATTTTTCCTTGCTCTTTCGTCATTCTTTTCTTTTTCACCTTTATTATCAAATCATATCATATCATTGCGCTACTTAGCTGTATAAGTGTCGAAGGTNTTTTCAACTGCTGTTCGTACTTCTGTCGCGCTAACATTCAATGGCCATACTCCGCCTAGAATTCCTGCTTGAATCGATACTCCATGTGTAACAGCCACATCAGGATCGATATTAACATTTGGTTTCTTCTGAAAATAATCTGCAATTAACTCTCGAATTTTTAACATACGTGTCGAACCGCCAACTAAAACAATTTCATCAATATTGTTAACTGTTAACCGGCTACTAATATCATCATCATCACTGATATCTGAGTTGATATAAGCAAATATTCTGTCCAATGGCTCGCGAATCTTTCGAAATAAATCTTGATTAATTTCTTCGAATTTCTCTCGTGTGATCATCCATTTCGAATCTATTAAACATTGATTTACTGTTGATAAATCAATTTTACATTTTTCGATTTCGATACGTAAATGTTGGAGGAAGAGTGGATTGGTTTTTTTATCGGAATCTTCAACTAGCGTTAAAATATAATTGAATAAATTTTGATTAAAATCTTGACCACCCAAACGATTGTTTCCTGCCATTGCCTGAGTTGAGAACATGCCATTTTGCACAGATAACAGACTAACGTCCGTCGTGCCACCGCCAATATCAATAACCAGAACGTATCGAACGTTTTCTTTCTTGTGAAAACCGTAAGCGAGAGCTGCTGCTGTTGGTTCGGATATAATTCGTTCGACTTTCAGATCGATCAATTCTGCAGCTCGTCGTGTGAATTGCCGTTGTAAATCATCAAATTCAGCAGGGACGCTAAGAACACAAAGTTTGATTTTTGCTATTTTTAGATGTTGCTCGACTAATTGTTTCAAATATTTTAGTATCAATGATCCGACCTGTTCAGGAGTAATTCGTGTTCCATTCTCCGATATGACGAATTCGACGTAACCTTGATCTGTTCGAACTAATTCAAACGGATAATCTTTTTGAAGTTTTTCAACTGATTCCAATGAAAATTGCTTTCCAATGAATCTTTTGGCATCGTAAATCGTATAATTAGGATTTGTTTCCATGTGATCGAATGCATCGTAGCCTAATAATGTACTACCATTGGAAAGAAATGAGACAATGGACGGTAAACATGAACGATTGCGTTGAGCAGGAATAATTTCAACTAAACCACTTATGGCATGATAGATACCAACACACGAATAAGTTGTACCTAAATCTAAACCGATAATTTTCGGTTTAGGTGCTGGTAACAAGTGCTGGCCAAAATAACCAGCAATAAGTAGAACAATTAAGCTTCCACCGATCAATGTACATGTTGTTTCAGATGAAACCATGATTTATCTCGAGACAAAAGAGGGCATGTGTAGTCGGAGAATAATCAATCGCCATCTTTGTTTAGTTGTCCTCCGAAGTAATACGTTCACAGGTCAACAACAAAGCGTATCATGGACCAATGATATCAAACGAAGAAAACGACACTTTTGAACGAAAATTTTTATTTTAAAATGAAAACTCGAATGGAAATTTCTCGAAGTATTTTTTGCGTTAAATATCCAATTTTATCACCGACATCTTTTCACGAAAACATGCTGATTGGTGGAAAATCGCACGAATGGGAAAAATTGAAACAGTTTTTTTTGCTTATTCTTCAGATTTTGAAGAGCGAAGAGGTCGGTTATCATATTTATTGTAGATAATAATTTGCTTCTTTCGTCTTGTTATATTAAATGTAATTAATATCCTGTTTAATCTTTAACAATCATCTTGAATGACTCAATTATTCAGCCGTACAAAGCCGAATAAGGCTGATGAGACTATTCAAAGAACAAAAGAAAAAGTTATCGATTTAACGAAAAGTCTCTCTGATCGACAACGTTATCTAAAGCAACTATCTGGTAAATTATCACCAGCGAGATTATTAGAATTGATTTCTTTTTCTTTAGAACAATTGTCTACTGATGATTTACAAGCATTTTTCAAAATTTCATATCAACATATTTTTTATCTTTTCTTTGAAAACTTCAGTCAAATCGAAACGAATATTCCACGAGCACGTACGTTGTCAGAATACGAAATGAACTATCAGCAAGCATCTCTGCATTTTAGCTTCAAAACAGAACCAATCAGATTTCGAATACGTAACCAATTTACTAGAGGTAAAAGAACAGGTGTATTGATTAAACTGATCAACGCAATAAGATTTCCTTTGAGAGCATCTACTTGTGAATAGCAATACACATATACATGCTCAGGTGATAAATAACGATGTTGTTGTTATTGTTATTTTCTGTTTTCGATTCAATTCTCACCTTGATCTCATACGTGACTAATTGGAGAGCGTATGAAATAGTCCGAGAGAAAATGTTTAACTCAGTTCATTGTCTAGAACTAATCAGATTTGCTATTATCTTTCTCGACATGTGTTCCATTAAAATACCAGTGTTAATGTTATGACCTTCTATGATACCCTTTATATACAATGAGTATATGATTTGTTCTAGCGTATTCTTACACTACTACCAGCACTTGTGCATCAAAGATGGCAAGCTCATTGTATATGCAATGTAATCAAAAGATATTTTGTCGCTTCCAGCAGTCCGCAAGTAATGAAGAGTTTTCCCGTTGTTTCTATTCGAGAAAAGAAAAGTAATTGGTCTAATTATGTTAGGGTGTTGCACGTGGTATGCGACTTTTTCTTCTATGGTACCAAATCTTGGGTAGCAATGCGGTTGAAGAAGAACATGCGATTTTCAAAGGATTGATACGAAATTGGAATCAGCCATTAGTTGGTACGCGTGTGGCGGGTGAAAATGTCAACACTGATGAACAGCCGTCAACAGCATTAAACGAACTATTTCGCACGCCACCTGGTCTGTGACAAAAGATGTTCTGATTTGTTGAGCGAATGCCGAATTCATCTAGATACATTTCGGTGGGCGGATAGTTTTCCGATTTGGCCAAAAACGGCGTCCGACTACGATCCAACAGTAGATCGATGGCTTTTCTTCATGTTACACACGATCTCGGACACGTGCAAACGTGTTCTGTGGGATTCAAACCGTGAATTGCGAATCCAAAAGCAAGAGGAATGTTTTCGCTTTCTGTTCGAAATGTTCAAACGTTATTACATGCCAACATTGTTTCCGACATTCATTGAACAAAACATTTACGACTTTTCCGCACCGAGTAATATCTTGTAATCGATTGACATGTTCGAACGAAGATTCCTTGTTCGTGTTTTCTAGTGACGATTCCAGAAACAGTACGAATTGAAAGCGATGGATTGAGAAGGCGACAAGCATGCTTATGTCGAACGGCATTTGTTATGTGGTTATTGCCATTTCTTAATGAAGAACAAAATCGAGATAGAACCTTGTAAGTTTATTCGAAAAGCATTAAATTACAGTTCGAAATCGAAATCCCATTCTCTTAGAACTCGTGTACCAAATGCAACGCTAACGACGCAAGGAGTTTTAACTCAATCGACCGTATCGGCGAGTACAGTTACTGGTTCGTCTGATTATTCATCCTATTCGAATGAACTATATCATATTGTAACGGGAGCATCATCGAAAACTCAGCCGACATCGTTTCAGCAAATAGTAAATATGATTGGTCCAATAGATAGTAATACATTAGAAATTGGTCAACATGTTCTTCTATCTACACAAGAGAATATTAATTTTATTCATGAAATTTTTCGACAGGTGAGAGGGGAGGAATGACTTCAATTGAATAATATTCTTTTCGTTTCAAATAGAGTTATCTTATGTCCGGTGAACACGGTTTAGCTGCTTCGCATATTCTTCGCACGGTGAATGATTGGATAAAAGTTAGTTCGTCGATCTATAATGCTGCAGGCTTACAATTATCTCATTCTTCCTTCTAGGAGAAACATTTACGACCCGTTTTCATGCTCGAACCTGAACAACGCTCATCATCGAATGACATACCCGATGATAATCATCTTCGTTTAGGTTTAAATCGTTGGTTGCAAATCTTTATCACTCAATCATTTTATTTGTTTCTTGTTCGACCAATATCAACACATGATGAACAACAACAGAGCCAACAAGGAACGAACGCAATACAATCCGAACCTGTCCTACGTGAGAGATCACTCGCTGGCCTTGTCACGTTCTACAAAAAACTTCCACAAAGACATACACCTGATAGAACAACATGGTGAACCTAGCTGATCATTTTATTAAACAGAATTTTGATATTTCTTTCTGAAATTTTAGGGACTTAATCTTGAGAGTTATGTTAAGGATCGTTCGATTGTCATTACAAGATCGTTCACCATCGAATTCCAACCATTTGTATATTGAAAATACGATAAAAGTACAGAATCAAAATACATCGTGTGAACTATCAATGCATCTATTTTTGTCTCTTCTTCTAGACTCTTCTCTTTCTCTTTCAATCCGCCTCATTATATGTGAATGTAGAATTATGGAATAATTTAAGTGATACCTTATCATCAAAAGCAATGTGGCCTGAAGTTATTGATCAGTGGGATGTAAGCATATTGTTTATGAATAGTTATTTGCATAAATTCTCATTTCGAATAGTTATCGATGCGAGCGTTAACAAAAGATCTCGGTCGTCTGGTTTATAAGGTTGAAACTGAACCATTGATAGCTACAAGTATTCGTCGAGGTGGAGCGACAGGTGGTGTTCGGCGAACAGCCCAATCTGTTCCACCGAATTCTCTCGATTTAAATTCAACAAGTACTCGTCGAGGACGAACGATCAGTTCAGATGAAGATATTGATGCACCGGAGCAATCGACACCACAGCAGCAGCCAACGAGAGCGTTGATTGCCGAACAAAACCGTTCAGTACGACGACGAACAAGTAGCGATGATAGCTTACCACATTCAACAGCGACAACATCGTCATCGATGAGCAGCCGAGTAAGAGAACAACACAAATGTCTGCAATTTTCTTGCTAACGATGCAGCCTGTCGTTTTCTTGTGTAGCCACATTTATTGGCAAGCATTCCAAGTAATCAAACGGGTGAACAACAAGCAATAATGGAGGGACCACCATCGATCGAACAAAATTCACTCCTATTCAGTCCCAGTGAATCATTATTATCAGCTCAACAGCAACAACATCAGCATCCTTTGACTATACACATAGCTCAACAGACACGTATGATCTACATCATTAAATATTTTCTCTCTCTCTAGCGTCTCTTCTTATATCTCTAGCGAATTCTCATATGAGTGATATGTGTTCGCCAAACCATGCACTCGATTCACCGATGAGCGACGACTACAGCACGGCATCGACAGGTGTACTCGATACACATAGCTTGAGTGGCATTGGTAGTGCAGACATGTTGACTGCAAATTACAAAGGTAATGAAATATGCTCAATGACCGCATCTACTATTTCTATTGACTAGGTAATAACACTCACACAGCCGAGTCCCGTTCGACAACTGTATCTGAATCCACATCAGCATCGGATCACCATCAGCATGTATCGCCACCATCCTCACGTGACCATCATCCTCTCAGTCAATCAACTGTTGATAGTCTTCATTCATGTAAGAAACGATTTCCATAGCTGCTACATCTCGCTGGAATTCAATTTTAGTCCCTCAAGATACGGCAACCATTGATAGTATTGATACAGCGGTGTATTCGAACGAGCAGAATTACGAATCATCCCGTTTAGCACCTGAAACTGCGTACACAGCTTGGTTTCGTATGCTGGGTTCACTTGGAAATATCAACCAGATTCGTTCACCTGAACAACACAATCGAATAATGAAGACAATTTTCGATATATGGAAAATGCTCTGTCGTGTAAGAAGAATATTTGCATATCGATATGCTAATAAAAAGTTCCTATCAATCATAGATTCATGTGCAATCAAAGGATACCCAACACGGAGATTTATATTTCGATGGACCACCCCTGTTAATATTTGCTCCATGGCTTTTCGAAGTTTGTTAACGATAAGATAGATAATATTTCATCAGTCGAGTTTTGTAGGCGATTCAGACACTACCAGCCACGCATCGTGAAGGAAAATTATCTGCATATAGATTACTATGTTCAATGGGTGTTTTCAATCACGACACTCCACCACCAGCAGATTTTCTTGACATGTTTTTATTGACTATTTATGAGGGCTTATCATCAGGAGATGAAGTAAGTTGTAGTAGTGTTAAATTATAGATGCCAATAAGAAATAACATTGTTTTCCTTAGGATATCATCCATGTGATTATTAGTTCGTGTAAAGTCGACTTTTTTCATCGATGTTGGCCATCATCAACGTTATTATTACCATTATTCACTTCGGCTTGTTGTGAAATTGGTCAAAAGCCATGTCTTGTTGAAGGAAAAACCGTATGTCGAGATGTGTTCTTAGGATATTGTTCTATGCGTGTGCTCTCTCTTTGTTTGCTTTAAAATAGATTCCAAAAGTTGAAGCATTGACTATTCTAAGTAGTCTTGTTTGTTTTCCAAATCATTTCGAACAACTGGATGTTTTATCGAATAAAGAGAAAGAGAAAGAATATGTTCCTGTAACAATGGATCGCACACTTTTAAAACGTATGATCATGCGTGACTTAATTAAAGCGTCTCAACTCGATCCAATGCTCGAATCACGGTAAATGTCTTTCCTCAAAGATCGACTTCAAACTATTTCTTTGTCTAATAGTGAAATTGCCCTGTGCGGCTTAGCGATATTCCTTTGTGAGGAACTAAAACATCAAAGAATGGAGTCACCGATCAAACCATTCATTCTGTTCACAGTTGAATGCTTACAGGTTAGTATATCGACTTCTCATTTTATTCGTAAAGATAGACATCTTCGATCGCCATAGAATATATGCATATGTGTATACATTTATCTTAAAAGGGACAAGCTAATAAGCAAGCATCTGTAGAGAAAAATCGCCAGGTAACTATAATTGCTGCTATTGCTGTCGATTCAATGCATAAGAAACCGTGTAATGGATATCCTACTCCAATAAAACACATCATATTAATGCTTATAGAAAATTCAACTTTATACAATGTTATCATTCCGATATATGAATAAACCTTTTGTTTTTCAAAAGCCCCTTAGAAGAAGATAGAGAGATCCCTACTACCTACAGTGATTCACAATCCTATTCAAATTATCTTACATATCCCTTCACACGCACTTCAATGTCAGCAGTAAATACAGTTGAATAATTTCCATATTTATTCTTCTAGCCCGCTGATTCCACAATGTTCGCAGCTGATATTCTTCGTTTTCTCGCCTCTTATGCTCCATTATTTATCTCACACCGTGATAATCAAATGGGCAGTCTGTACACAACTATCATCGATGGTCTCATAGCATCCTTACGAGCAGTTATCCCACGTGATGTCGGTGCACTTATGCGCAATAATGTTCGAATCATCAAGTCATTAGTATTTGCATTACTCGATTGGATTCTTCATGTTCCGACAAGTTATCTTCAACAGCAACAAACCACACGTGATGAGAATAATCATGAAATTTCAACGACTGTTATTCAACGAACCTTTGCAATATTAGTCGATGTCTATCGTTCGACAAATTCATTAGTCGACGAACAAACTGTTCAAGACAATGAACTCACATTAAGTCAATCGATAAAATTATGTTGTAAATTCGCTATTCTATTCCTACTCAATGAACATTCGCATTTTCCTTTAACGGAGAACGAAGCATCATTGACCACAACAAACGTTCATGAAGGACACGATTGGTCCAATTCAGGCAAACAACTCAGTGTTTGCAACGAAGAAAACTCAAATGTCAATCAATCCGATGAATTAATTATTCACTCATCAAATATTCAATTGTTTGTCATTCATGATGACTTTCTCATCTCATTCATTGAAATTCCAAATGAAAAAGCTAATGAATTAACAACTGACAATCAACAATTTGTTTCTCGAACAACTCTATGTCGAACGATAGTCAGAGATCTTTGTGGAAGGTATTGCTGGGATAACTATGCATTCAATATCAGCTCAAATTCCAAAGCGATCACACGTCCATTCAATAATCCGATTGGTAGAAAAATCTTCTATGTTTGATGACAGTTGCTGTATGAAGTTCTTTTTTTTCTCTCTAGAATTAACACTGCCAGCGAAATCTACACATAAAATTGAAGAAACAAAACGAGGAATAACAGTATTGGAAAAGTTTGACCCTGAACAACCACCGACATATCGAAATCAACCACCCAACGCTGATATTCTGGATAAAGTAACGCTGAATTTGCTCAAGACTTGTTCATTATCAGATAATTTCTCTTCGATAGCTTCTGCAATATATAACAACACACAGTCCCGAACTAGCGTTTTACAGTGATCGAACGTTAACAGATGTTGCTCCGACACCAGCGTTGATTTCCTCTCATGATGAAAAAGCAGTTATGAGAATGATCACTGAGCAAGAAACAGCTGAAGAGAATTACGGTAGAAATTCAATCAACGATCTGCTGTTTTTTCTTATCGATATCAATTGTTTTTTCGTTGAATTAGATTCATCATCGTTCGGAAAAATAGAACGACACATTGAACAACCTTCGCCATCTTCTCGAAACGATCGATTTGCATTATGTCGATCACATATGACTCAACTTGGTTTAATGATGTTCGAAAATCGTCAAAACATCGATTTGTTAAATACCTCAAAATCAAATCGTGATCAACTATTACGTGAATTAAAAAATCTTGATACACTAAATTGTCGTGAAACACATAAGATCGGTATGATTTGCAAGTTTATCAGTGTGAAAGATGCTCATTTTCTTTTTCGTAGCGGTTATCTACATTGGTTATGGTCAAGAAGATAAAACGAGTATATTTAACAACACGCATGGCAGTTCAAACTACGAAGAATTTCTTACACATCTCGGTTGGCAAGTTGAACTATCAAAGCACGTTGGCTTTCGAGGCGGTTTACATCCTCTGCCGAATACATATTCAATTTATTATGCTAATGCACTCGTGGAAATTATGTATCATGTCGCGACTATGATTGATGGATCTACCGATGAAGATCGATCACGAAAGAAAACACGACATATCGGAAATGATGAAGTTCAAATTATTTGGACAGAACATTATCATGAATACGATCGGTCTATTATAGCCAGCGCTTTTGGCGATGTTTTGATCGTGATACATCCGTTACCAAATGGTTTATATCGAATCAGAATTGACAAAACCAGTCAAGTAAATCATTTTGTTGTGCTTCATAGAAAAATCATTGGAATTAATCAATTGATTTAGACAACAAATTTCGGTCCATTGTTTGATGGTGCAATTGTAGATAAACTCATTCTTCCTGAATTAGTGCGAGCCACAGCCATCAACGCCAGTCGTGCACGTCGTACAACACTGAATAATCATTGTGAATTGTAAGTTTTCTTTATATGTCGTGTTTGTGCTTATTCGTTCGATTTCTTTTAGTTACGAAGAACGTTATCGTATAATCAATTCAATCATTCGCACACATAAAAAAGAGACAACATACGAGGAATTTCTTGCCAAGTCCTTTACACCATTAGCTACGAAAACATTGGGTAAATAGCAGATGAATAGTTCGTTTTCGAATAATAATACAACTTTTCAGTTCGTCGTTATACTTTTATGGATCTAAAGGTGGGCGAGAAAGGAATGATCTAAACATAAGAAAAATTATCGTTCGGAAAATAATAATGATGATGATGACACACAGCTAATTTCGACTAACCTATCATGCTAGCCACTGGGCATCTTACTGATATGTAGAATGATAAACGTGAAATATAGATTGCTATACTGGATGATATATAATGGCAGTGTTTGCCTTTTTTCTGTTTTAGCACACCAAACAGATGAGAATACAAAACCCGCGAACCCGCAAAATGAGCGCAGGGATGGTCCTTCCAACAACGTAATGCATCCGACAGCAAACATGTCAACAAGTAGTCAGAGAGCACGTCCAACAACTCGAAATTTTCCTTTTTTGACACCGAACACTAATACTGTCCCAACACCAATAACACGTCGCTGAACATTTCTCTTCTCTGTAATTTATACTTCTTTTCTTTTCATAACAATACCTTTTTCGTCTTTTTCCAAATCAAATACGTTTGTGTGTGTGTGGTTTACAGTGATCATTTCATTCTACATATATTTGTATATATAATTGATCTCACTTTAGAACAAAATAACCACTGATGATCAGTTTTTCGTTTTTCTCTTCTCTTTTAAAAAAAAACATTCCGATCGTTTAGAAAAAAAAAACAATTATATAATTTATATACTTTTCTTAGCAATAACTTTGGTTATCAACACGTTTGTGTGTATTGCTCTTCTTGTTATCGCTTGAGTGTTTGTGCTGAACGATTCTGTTGGTTTTCTTTTCTTTTTCTCTCTTCTATATTTATTATTATATACGTTCTTTGTTCCGGCCAAATCGCTCAGTTAGAAACATTTTTATTAAAACAAGTTGGATTTAAATTTCATGAAATACCGGCATAAACAGTTTTATTCTTTTATCGTTATCGAATTTTATAGTCATGTCACGCGTTCGATACTCTCTAATGGTCGCGGTTTCATCAAAGATGACAAAAAACAAATCAATGAAACTACTTTCTAATATTGACTCCTGTTCTCATCAATAACCCACAAAATCCGAAACTGAAAGTCTTTGAAACATTGAGGACAATCGACAAACTCAAATTTTATTGATCGTGCTTTATATATTTATATATCATTCATTGTTACGTCTCTGCTGTTGGATTTGTTCAATTTAGCAATACTTTCCATCATTGAGCATCCATCCATATGATAAGTTGCTGTTTATACCATTCGACAAGTCGATTCTTCTGGCAGTGACATCAGAACAGTATAGCACATACGCTCGAATGAATCTTCCTTTTAGACTGTCATACGCTGTATACATGTGACCTCTACCGAGAGATTTCCTTCGATAATGCAAACCAATCACAAGCCAACCATTCATTGTATTCTGTCTAAAAATAAATAACCATTTCACAAAAATAAATTACTCTGTATTCTATGTGATATCCTTCCAAGTGAGAGCATATTGCTATATAAGCTTCGTTTCTTGCTATTTCATTCATTCTATTTTATTTTCATCGTTGGAGTCGGTCGAATGTGAGTTGTTAACATTTTTTCTGATTTGATTTTAGATTATTCGTCGTTGTTTCGATTGTAACTAGTTTGAAATGTCGAAAAAACGGCAGAGAAATGCATTTGTCGACGAACAAGCGGAAGAAGATTCAGCCGAAGAAAGTGATACCGAGAAAAAACAACGAGTAGCGGCTATGAAAAAACTCAAATCCAATCGGCCTAGTAAAAATCCCACTCGGAAACTTGTTGCATAACAGTCTGTATTTTTCGCTTTTGTTAAGTGAGCGACGATGACGATGATGATGATGATGCCGATGTAATGGACGAAGCAACGGCAACAGAATTAAAAAATTTCATCGCTGAACCTGGAGAGGAAGTAAGTGAAGCTCGTTCGATAGGTGAAATATATGTGCGTCTTACATACTTCCTAGGAAGATGATGAAAATGCTAATGACCAATCTGGTTCAGGAGAATCAGACGATGAAGATGATTTCGATGATGATGATCTGGCGTAAGAGAATGAAATTGTTCGGTCTTTTCCTCTATTCTAAATCTTCTCCATAATAGATTGATCCAAGAAAATGCCAAACCACGAGTAATTATCATTGCAATTTGTTTTTCACCTTTGCGACACTAATTATACTATATTCTCCATAGAAAACACGGGTACAAATCGAAGGTGAAGATAGTGACGATGAAAGTCAACAAGATGCATCAAAACATGAACGAACATCGAGCAGTCACAAACGACGAGACGATATCGATGTAAGATATTCCACGACGATTTTTGTCTGTAAAATAAAAATGAACAATGTTGTTTTCTTTATAGAGACAAAGTGTACATAATGATGATATCGACGATGGTGAGAATGGAGATTATGAAGATGATGGTAACGAATGAAGTCTTGTCACGGTACTGTTGAACTCAACATTCGTGTCTTATTGTAGATGATTTCATCGTTGATGATGAGAATCGGCCATTACCGAAATCATCTCATCGAAGAAGTCAAAATGCACCGTATGAAAATGATGAAACTTATTCTGTGCGAAGCACAAGATATCTTGTTTTTCATTAGAAATATCGCCGAGGCGCAAGCTATATTTGGTGATGATTTTTCATTTAATGATATCAAATTCGATGAAATAAACGACGATGCTGAAGATGAAGAAGACGAGGAAGAAGACGAAGAAGAAGAGGAGGACGAGGAAGAAGAAGAGCCAGTTGAACCAGAATGTGATGAAGATGGTAATCCGATTGAAAGCGTAAGTAATACTGGGTAGGCTAGGGAATCTTGACCTATTTGATCTACTTTAGGAGTCAACAACGACAAAAAGACAAGGAAAACGTAAAGCTCAACGGCGTAAACAAAAAGCTGAAGAATTATTCGAACCTGAAGAATTGAAACGCGGCTATCTAACAGAAGCAGATATAAACATACGAAGAATCGATAAACCGGAAAGATTCCAAGTTAGATATTCATTGAATTTGAGTGAAAAATCGCTTTCACGGGCTCCTTTTTAGTTAAGACATATTCCGGTTACCGAAGCAAAAGAAGATGAGCTTGAGGAAGAAGCCGAATGGATTTACAATGGAGCATTCCTTAAGCCTACCCTTTCTCTTCAAGTAAACCAAGATGATTCTTGAAAGTAGTTCTTGTAACCTCGATTGATTTTAGCCCGTCGATGAAGATACAGCAAAAAATATCCAAGTGAAGAAGAAAATCAAAAATGCGTTGAATTACATTCGTAATGATTCATTTGAAGTAATCCTATATTGATTTGAGACATTTAATGAGATGATTTCTTTCAGGTACCATTCATTGCATTTTATCGCAAAGAGTATATTGAACCTGATCTTAAAATGCAAGATCTTTGGAAAATATGGCAATGGGATGAAAAAGTATGCGACAAAGAAGATTAGTTTCAGTTTTCATCAAAATTTGTTTATTTTCAGTGGATGATATTCAAGACTCAAAAAGATAAGTTGATGTCAATGTTTGACCGTATGGATAAATATCGAAATTATCAATACGAACAATTGGGTGATACAAATGAAGAAGCACTGACCACAAAATTGCTGACAGATTGTGATATTGACAAGGATCGTCTAGTGCACGCACAAACTCTCGAAGAAGTCACCGATTTACGCGATCAATTTCACGTATATTATAACGCTGATATACCAAACATGCGTTTGCGCGAAAAGCTGCTCGAATATCGTGAGGAACGCGAAAAACGTAAGAAGTTAATAGCAAACATGGAGCAGAATGACAATGATGAACAACCGTTGCCAACAATAGACGATGAAGATGAATTAGACGAAGAAACTTTAGTTGACCAAATACGTGATCAGTTGAATATCAAAGCACAACCTAGACAAAAAACTGATTATTACAGTGTTTGCAAAGAAGCGCATTTAGAAGGTCTAGTGAAGAAATTCGGTTTGAAACCCGATAAACTAGGTGAAAATCTTTACGAAAGCTATCAAAAGAACGAAATCGATCAATATCCCATTGGACCATTAGCCACATGCGAAGAGTTTATCTGTAAACAATTCTCCAACACACAGGCTGTTCTGCAGGTAAACATCAGTTGCTCTTAGTTGCTGGTAAATATTCGTTGTTGATTTGTTTTAGGCTGCGATCTTCATGCATGCACGTCAACTATCTCTCGATCCATTAGTGCGTTACGTTATTCGTCGTGAATACACTTTGCGATGTATGATCAATGCTCGGCCAACACGTCTTGGTATGCAATCGATTACGGAAGATCATCCTTGTTATACAATCAAGTATCTGACGAACAAACCGGTTAATACATTCACCAAAGATCAATTCCTTCATTTGTATCAAGCTGTTAAAGATGGTTTAATGACCGTTGAGTATTCCATTGATAATAAAACAACTTCTCATACTTATGCCGATGATATCAAACGTTCGTATACACGTGATGAATATTCCGATAATGTTCTTGAATGGAACAAAATTCGCGCAATGTGTATCGATTTGATGCTCACGAAATTTCTCTATCCGAAATTCCAACGAGAAATCGAAGAAACTTTACTTGATGAAGCTAAACAATACGTTATGAAGCAATGCTCAAAGTGTTTGAATGACTGGATTAAAATGGCACCATACCGTCTATCGAATGATGAAAATGTCACAAGTATATCCGATGCTGGCGTACGAGTTCTATCGATCAGTTATTCGACTGATCCCGATGATGTTTCCTTTGCTGTTATATTAAGTTCTGAAGGTCAAGTAATGGATTTCATCCGTTTACCCAATATTATGTTACGAGATCAATATTCGCCGGAGAATCGAACGAAAAAAGATAAAGATTTCGACGCCATTCGAGAATTCATCAAGCAGCGTGTTCCTGATGTTATCTGTATTGGTAAGACATTATTTGTCATGCATCAACGATATACTTCTATCTTTGTTTGTCTTTAGGCGTGGAAAGTCGCGACGCATTCTATTTACGTACACGCTTAGAAAAAATGGTTAGTGACTTACACCATGACGAAGAACAATTCCAGAACCTACCTGAGCCGATCAAAGTTCTTCTATGTGATACCGAATTAGCCAAAATCTATAGTAAATCTCGTAAAGGCGAATCCGATTTTCGTGATTATCCTTCTAAACTTCGTCAAGCAATCTCGCAAGGACGTCGCTTACAAGATCCATTACTAGAATTCTCACAGTTATTCAACTATGATAAAGAAGTACTTCTGCTTAAATTTCATCCATTACAACATTTGATCGATCGGGAGAAACTACTGACTAGTCTCGAACAATGTTTTATTGCACGTACAAACGAAGTTGGTGTCGATTTAAACCGTTGCATTGCGTATTCTCATACCGCAAACATTTTGCAATTTGTCTGCGGTCTTGGTCCACGAAAAGCAACACATTTAATTAAACATTTCAAACAAACCAATTCACAATTAGAAAATCGTACATTTCTCATTGTTAATTATCCGATGGGGAAATGCGTGTTTTCGAATTGTGCAGGATTCATTAAAATTAATACGGACGCAATGAAAGAAAGTAATTCATATATTGAAATTTTGGATAGCACACGTATACATCCGGAAGCTTATGATTGGGCACGAAAGATGGCTGTGGATGCCTTAGATATTGAAGAATCGTCCGAAATGGAACCGAGTGCTGCCTTGGAAGAAATCTTTCAAAACTCTGAACGATTGAAAGATCTCGATTTAGATGCATTTGCAGTCGAATTAAAAAATACTTCTTATGGAGATCAATCGATTACTCTGTATGATATACGTGCAGAGTTAACACATCGATATCGCGATGTACGTGTTCGTTATGAACCACCCAGCCCGGAAGATTTATTTCATTTTATTACCGAAGAAACGCCGGAAACATTTCATTTGGGTAAATTAATTCAATGTCAAGTTTATGACTTTGCAAGAAGACCACCGACACCTGAACAACTCGAAGGTGCACAGCCAGAAAAAGACGAAGCAACTGGAATGTTGAAATGTCCATTGTGTCATACAGAACGATTTCACAATGTTAAAGAAGTATGTGACTACACGATCGAAATAGAAAACTTTGACTCATACGACTGATTTTCTTTAGGCATGGAATCATTTTGATTCAACTAACATATGCAAAGGAATACCAGGTAAATACAATGGGGATCATATAGTGTGGATTCATAATGATAATGAAAATTTTTTTGTATTTTAGTCGGTGTACGCGTTCGTTTGGATAATGGTTGCACAGGCTTCATAAAACTTCGTGATTTATCTGATTCTCCAGTGACGAATCCGTTAGAACGAGTGAAATTGCATCAAACTATCTATGCACGTATTTTAAACATCAACATTGAACGGTTCAGTGTTGATTTAACATCGAAATCGAGTGATTTACGTGATGATAAAGAACGCTGGCGACCGCAAAAAGATTCATTTTATGATCGTACACTTGAAGCAGAAGATCTGACTGAAGCGGAAAAAGACAAACAATTGAAACAAGCAGCTAAAGAACGTAGTTTTGTTAAACGTGTCATTGCTCATCCGTCGTTCATGAATATAAACTATACTGAATGCGAACGTATACTTACAAGCAAAGATTTAGGCGATGCGATTGTACGGCCAAGTTCCAAAGCAGCTGACCATTTGACAATCACGTGGAAATTGGTCGATGGTGTTTTACACAATATCGATGTTATTGAAAAATCGAAAACGAATCAGTTTTCGTTGGGCAAACGTTTGCTAATTGTCGATCCACGTACACAAGAAACGGAAGAATTTGAAGATTTGGATGAAATTCTTGCACGCTATATCAAACCAATGGCGAACACGGTTGCTGATATCATTTCGCATAAATATTATCGTAATTTAGCTCAACCGTTACCATCCTCCACACCAGCAGGTGGAGCGACACCAGCACAAACAACAAATACAACGCCAGCAGCAGCAGCAGTAATAACTTCATCAACTTCGGGTCTACCACCATTGACGAATGATGCACATCGAATTCTCAATAATCTTCTCATTGAAGATAAACGACGCAATCCGACACGTATACGCTACTACATTACAATATCGCGTGAATATCCAACAAAATTTCTTCTGTCATATATGCCGGCGCGTCGACCCATACACGAATATTTTACTGTTACGCCCAATGGTGTTCGATTTCGTTCGAAAGTGTTTTCGTCACTAACGGAAACATTGAATTGGTTCAAAATTCATTACAATGATAACGCAGTGACGCCATCACCAATGCGTCCATCGTCAACTAACATTCGCGCTCCACCATCACTACAACCGCCACCTTCAACTCATTCGATGTCAATAAGTTCAACTCCACTCACGTCCAGTTCATCAATGGTTTCATCTGGTTTTAGTCAACCGCCACCGCCCATGCCCACATCAGGCTTCAGTATCCCACCTCCAACAGCTGCTGCTGGCATTCTACCGACAGCGCCGCATACCGGCATGGTCACAAGTGGCTTTAGTCAACCACCTCCAACTATGGGTACAATGCCAACAGTTTTACCGCCACCACCCCAAATGATGATACCGCCTGCGAATTTGTTTGCTTATTTTCAACAATATCAACAACAGCAACAGCAACAGCAACAGCAGCAACAGCAACAACGGTTTTGATGGAACTAATTATTTTGTTTGTTTTTCCTCTTCATCTATGTATTGTACATAAAGAATAATAACTTGATACATTGCTGTTCTACATTGCTTTCCTTATTATGATTATTTAACATGTTGTATAACAAGATTTCAAAGAAAAAGCTGTTTTCTTCTAACCAATGATATACGCGATGATGCTTGTTTCAGAAAAAAAAACAAAGTGATCATTAACTACCTTTGTTAGTAAGCCAAAGTAGGTGTGCAACGCTCCAATAGGAAAAAGCAGTTTATTCAGAAAGAGAAAGCATTCAGCCACGTTGAGATTTTACAAAAATCAAAAATATTTTTACTTTCATACAATTTGTCCGTATCGAATAATCTGTAACTAACAAGAAAACTAACTATATGTATAACTTTCAATAAGCATTCACAGACAGATTTTGAATCTATTCAATCACAACCGAAATCAACTCCATATTCGATAAATCACAACAAAAGTCAATATTGTTATACCAAAAATAATTAACCGCAGCGCGATTGACAATCGCCTTCGGTATAAGTCACCACGATTTCTTGGCAGACTTATAAATATTGTCCATAGACAAAGAATATAACCGATTAGAATAATAATAAAAGTAAGAGTAAGGTTCCATAGTAGGCTGGTCATGTAGCGAATCGTATGAGAAAGGGAACGTCTTTTATATATTCAGCGCAAATCGAGAATGTTGAGAATAAATAATCAAGATGATAAATGCAAATGAATAAAAACTTCTTTTGATACTCGTACCTGGTAAATGTGGATTGTCGGAAATTCCTTTTGTCAGTATATAATTAGTTACCAACTTTAATAATTCATCGATTGTAAGCGAAACTCCTGTCTGTTTTCTTTTCCGACTGTCAATAACGACGAGTAAAACGGCAACAAGGTCGTACAAGACAGAAAGAGAAACGTGCTTTTCTAAACACACAACAAATCAAATTGTTCTTTAGCATAAAAGCGCACATTACATGAAAGAAAGAAATGAAGGAAACTCAGAGAAGAACAAGAAAAGCTTTCCTTCTTATTCTAAACACAGTTTTAATTCAACATAATCCAAATACACGCCGTGTTTAGCATGAATTGAATCATAATTTACCATAGATACATAAACATCGCATGGTTGATCACCATGAATTTCGACAAAGCCTATGCTTTGATAAAACCACAAGTTTGTTTTCGTTAAATCACAATAAAAACATCTGTACATTAATGAAAAATCCTCTTGTGTCCATCGCATGTATGCCATTTGACTTGGATGGATTTGTTCGGCAACAGCAAAAAATTCCGTTGCGCCTAACATGTAAGGTAGGTTCAATTTCATACGCCAGATAACATCGTACTTTCCGGGAAGAATGTTTTTGAAAACTGTTTCGATATGTAATGTATAACACAGTTCAAGCGAGTCTTTGATGTGTAGAACGTAACCATTGAGACTAGATGAATCGGGGGTACTTGTGTAAGTTCGATTGATATCAAACGAAAAACGAGTCAATTCCGAAAAGGCAATTTGCTTACGTTTCGTTAAATTGAGATAGATTAACTTCGATCGACACGCTTTATTAACGGAATCGGACAGTGAAATTGGATCAGTAAATATAGATGAGGTTTTTATCAAACGATACCATATTGCATGACCGAATTTTTTACGAATAAGATAAGACCAGAAATCATTACTATTCAAAAGTGTATGAAGACGAGAACATGTACGAGCTAAACGATGTATATCAGCGACAGTCAAATAATTACAAATACGAAACCAGAGTGAATCTACGAGATCATTCGACCAATTCAATAGAGTTGACTCTTCGGTACTCATATCTATAAGGAGAAAGAAAGTTCTTAACTGAATTACTTCCGATAATGTACATTGCCATCCATCCTTTTACCTAATCAAGACAAATCAGTCGATCGTATTACTCTGATCATACTCTGGAGTGATAATGATCGTATATGGTGTATCCTATGTTCTTGAAGAGTCAATGATTATTACATTATGAAAAGTCTGTAGGATTGTAACAAGGTTCTGTCCTTCGCTTAGCTTTCTGAGATGAATCATCAAAAAGCAGTTGTCTTCGTTGGTATGTATAACTGCGAAAAAATGACGACGATTAGACTTATTTACCTATACTATACACTCGTATGAAGGCATATAATTGAGAGAATGATGGTAACAGTCAACTGATAAAAAGAGACAACATTTGGATGTATATATATAAGTAGAATGTTATGACATACCAGATGACAAAAAAAAGGCGTTGAAAGAAAAAGAATGGATAGATAGTATAAAATCTGAAGCAAGCGTTTTTCTTTCGTATAGTCGGCCGTTTCGATAGTTGATCTTATTTCGAGAACTTCAGCGTATTTCTACTTCGCTTCTTCCATAACGAAGATGATTATCAGAAGAACTAGAATAGGTCAGGTTTCGTTTGAATACTTAACTATAAGACTCATCAGCTTTGCTTATGCAGATGTGAGAAATCACACAGAAAAAAAATACAAACACGTTGGACGATCTCGCGTTCGCTATCGATAGGAAGAAAATCCAATGTCATTTGTTGTTGATGATTTCCGTGTGGAGAAGTCTCACAAATTGTCGTAATCAACGCCATGATACTCGCAGAACGTACAAATCTAATTCCTAGTTATCCCACATTGCCGACAGACAACCAACTGTCACTCATGTTTTTATTTTTTATCATTCATTATTGACTTCGATTGTTGTCATTGCGGTACTTCGAAACGGAAATCTCAATTGTGTCATTTGCGCCCTTACCGATTGATCATTGACTTTCTCATAATCTGTTTATTTGCCTTGTGGGCTCATCTCATTTTGAGAAGCAATCGATGTTTATTTATGAATAGGAACGAGTTCGACGATCGAGTGATATTATCAAAGCTTATATAGAGGGAAAACAATCTTGTTATGCCAACATACTGAACTTCGAAATCGAGGGATGTATTGATCAAGAAAGTCCTTCACATAAGATTACACTCGATGTAACAAAGCATATTCCTTTCGAAAACTTGTTTCCTGTCATAGTTAGTTACTAAACACAAGTCGTTAGTCCTGAATTGCATACTAATGGAACGAATAGCGACATCGAATGACAAGTTGTTTTCGTTAAAAAATATGATATATGTATAATAATTATTTAGATGTATTTTCTGGATAATATAATTTCGAGATATGAAGGAAAATAACATCGGTTTTGTTTGTATTCTTGGAAATCTCTAATGACATGGCACGTCGAATAAATAAGAGCGTTTTTTGCGGCGAAGAGTACTCAGAGTTCGAGTTCATCAAAACATTTCTGCCTTTTCTTTTTCGTTCGTTATCGTTTGTATAAAGTAATTTATCAATCCATTTTTAATCATATCAAATATCTCTGATCACATACTGTCTATATTCATCAAAGATAATTGTTACCTTATTCGCTTTTCATCATACATCATGGTGAGTGAAAACGAGTCTCAATCGATTTGAGTGTCTCATGTCATTAATATGAACACTGCATACGAGAAAGTCATATCAAAATACAAGAATCGTTTTTTCATGAATAGAGAAAAACCTAACAAATTTATGATGCAAACAGTGCTGTCATCAATTCTCACTCTATCGTAAGATGGATGATCTAACATATGTATGTATGCATGATCTGATAAGTATATATCTCGCATGATGTGTTCATCATACTTGAGGAAAATAGTAGGAGGAAGAGGAGAGAGCGACGGGTCAGTTCCTGACAATATCATCTTAAGGAGATTTGGCAGAGCGAACTATATAACTGACTGATTAAATGATGCATGAATACGAAGAGAAATTCTCTTAGTAAGATAAATAGATGAATGAACGGTATGTTTTGTTTACAATGCAATCATCCAGCGAGATAAGAAGGCCACAATGTTCAGTAGAAACAACAGAACAAAATGAACATTTGTTTATGGCAATCTCTCGACCGATGTCAATCTTCTCATTCTTAAATATGTGTGTCAATGTCAACGGTTTATTTGACGTTCAACATTATATTTATATGTTCAGATGTCTCGTTATGAAAATGGACAAATGATGTAAGATTCTTAATAATTAGTTCTCTTTTCTCCTCGTTCTATCGTTTGATGTTCAGTAGATAAATCGAAAGATTGCTCTAAGTATGTTTTGATGATAGTAGTTAACATCTTTCAATCGGTAGTCAACTAGCAAACTCGCTTATGATAGTCTAATCCCAGAGACATGTTCTCGTTTGTTCATCGTTGACTATCCATCAACGAGTATTATCTACTCTCTTCACTCATTCTTATTAGTTAAGACTTATAATCATATACACAAGAGTATAAAACAAAAAAAAAAGTCAATTAGGAAGATTACGTTGCGAGATAGATTGATGTTTTATAATCAGAAAAAAAGACGAAGAAAGAAAGAAAGAAAGAAAGAACGAACGAGAGAATGATGTATAAAAAAAATTTGATAAGTGAATAGTGATTATTGACGTATATCTTTCAATGTCTAATAGATCTTGTTGACATATATGTATATCAAGTATTATTACCATCAGTAAACTGTCAGTAGTAATAAAATGCATATAATTCTTTCTCTTTTCGCCTTGTTTACATCATTCTGTTAAGATGACTGTTCAACGAAGGAAATGGTATGTGAACGTTGACTAGGAGCAGCTCAGCATGCTTTTACATATATTTAGAGTAATACTTAAGAAAAGAATGTTGCTTGTATGAAAGAGAAGGGAATTGAAATATGTTTTCTTTTATTGTTTATGACCTGACAAATCGTTATGACGTGAGAAGGTAAGCGATTGATTCTTTACATTTAACCAAGTTGTCTCTTGTGGTTTGAGCAATTCTATACAGTTTCACGTGAATTTCTTCTTGGTTATATTATGTGAAGAACAAGGCGAAGAAAAGAAAACAAGTTGTTTTCTATTTTCTCTTGAGTTACCATTAATAAAAAAACGCGTAATTGAGTAGAATGTCGAATACAATAGTTGTTCTTTTCTTTTTTTTTTCTTTTTCTAATTTCATTCGATGTATAGGCCGCACGCATACAGTAATATTTATCAATACTTTGGTATGTATACATAGAGGTTTTCGTTTTTTGCCTCGACGCGAGCGAAATAAACATGCATACATTTTCTTTTGTAACAGCGAAAGATATTTTTACTTGCCCGCCGCTTTTAATAACTTGTTAGATAAGTTGGTCTCTATTTATACAAGACTGAAATCTTTTTTTCTCTTTTCATGCTTGTCTGTTAGACAATTATTCATCAAGTACACCTAGACATTACCACTTATATCATCCAGCGGGTGCGATTGTTCAAACATCTCGTTTATTAATACGATCACTTTGGCAATGAGCTCATTCATTTCGTATACAAGAGATTTACTTGACATGAACAGCAACCTTCAATAGTTAAGAATCAGAAAAAAAAGGAGTTGTACGTATGTGAATATGTAGATGTATGCATGTCTTCTTTTTCATGCCTTCGAATATTAGTTTGATGATTGATTATTGAAGGAGAGTCGGTCAAGAGAGACGACGGAATACATTATACATTGTCTTCTGTCATAATCTATTAGTATTGAGAAATGGAGCAGGTGAGATGATTAATTATAATGATAGCGGCAAACAGAGAAAGCGAATGAAACCTTGGATAGCGGTTTCTTAACATGTATTAGCTTGAACGAATGGCCTTGAACGTTACACAAACGATTCAGTCATTTTCTTTCCTCTTCGTTCGCTTTTTTCTAGCAACAGTCGTCGCGGCGTCTCCATTTCAATCGTGATGGTATGCATCTTGTGAGCCTTTTTTCCTCTCGTGTCCTCGTTTCTACAAACGGAGAAAAAACCGAAGGTTATCTTCTATATAAGGTGACGCATGGCATAGAGACTTCGCACTGGTTCAGACATGCCTCGTATTGACACATAGAACGATGAAGTTCTTGTTCGTCATCATTGTCGTCGCCGCTGTCGTTGTCCTTCGTCCTTCTTCTTCTTCTTCTCCTTCTCTGTGCCTTTCTTTTTTTCTTCCTGTAACCAAATTCAGCTATGGCTCAGAGGCGAGCCAAATATGCAAGAGTCTGTTGTCTCTGTTCTTTTTAGTGCTACCCCTTCAATAAAAGTCATCGACACAGTAATAGAATAGTTAGCGAGAACGTCAGCAAGAGTAATCGTAGGAGGATGAGATATATGCGAGGGCGTTCTGTCTATTTGCAGTTGTAGGGAAAATTATCGAAGCTTAGCTAGTGTTACGATTATTCATCTTGATCGTTTTCAAGCTGAGTGCCATAGACATAGACAAGTTATCACTGAGACACCAGTCAGGTGAGGTGCATGGATGGTGAAGGTCAAAACATACTGCGAATGACATGAAACGGCTGGATATTCCTTGACATACACATCTGAGGACGAGAGAAATTCTTTTCTTACAAGCGCATCCTCATCTGATCACACTTTCTCCTCAGTGTCATTATTTATGAGATAAACAATGACGAGAATAATGTCACGTTCTGAAAATAATTGTTCTTCTTCTTGTCCCTCAATTTTCCTTCTCTTATCACTACCGTAGTCTAGTTGACTTCATTTGTCTAAATAAATACACAACTGTGTATGTCTTCGTATGTAGAACAACTCATTTCTTTCTTTCTTTTTCTAAATTCACACATTCAAATACAGAAAAAAGACGAAGGAGAAAGTTGATTCTCTTGAAGAACAGCTGTAGCGAATCGACGATTACATCATCATCAGCCGCAGCAATAATCATCACTATTGTCATCCGCGACGGTAAGCGAAGACTATCGAAGAGCGAAAGAACGACGAAAAGAAAAACACTAAATGATGCACTTCAATGCTTGAACATTCATTGTGCACATTAAGTAGTTTCGATTATTTGTATTAGAATCGATTCACTTTTCCTCAAAATATCAATAGTAAGTAATTACAAATCTTGTTTCCATTAATGCGATATTCATCATTACACAGCATTCAGATGACATATACGTACAGTATGATTATGCATAGCAGACAGTACGAAATATGAGTGAGAATGACATTGAGAGTAAATTAATAATCATAAAAAAAAGTGAAAGGCGGTATGAGTCGTTTTAAGTAGAGTAGATCAATTTTGTTTGATTCGCACAGTTTGAACAATTTTATAGACAATCGTAATGTAATCGTTCATATAAAACAACATATGCGCGCGAATATTTCAGGTCTTAAAATGAGTTACACCCACCTTGACCTTGACCTATTCTGTATGATAAAAGAGAAGAATAAAACGGAACTCAGACAGTATTCATTCGGTTAAACCTCCAAAAATGTTGTCTAAATACCATTCGACTAGTTCTCAAAATAGGACTGTCGAGAATTGAAACAATAGGATATAACAGTGGCACACTTCAAACAGGGGGATGGAAACAGAACGGAAGAGTGAAGGAGCGAGAGAGAAACAGAAAAAAAAGAGAAAATAAATAAATCGCATTCATGTTACACATCCATACATTTTATGATGACACAACATCTGTATATATCGATCCGTTCGTCTAACAGCATCTCCATTTTCTTTTATTACATCAATAGTAGTCGTGATCCATCATTCGCATCGTAGGTTCTCGCTTTCTTCTTTTTTTGTCTTAATATTAATTATCTTTAAAGTACTCGTTTTCTTCCCATCTCAAAATCATGCTGCTCACTATGACATAAGAATCGCTCTCAAATATAGGAAAAGGAAAGGAAGTGATTTTGTCATCCGACGACGTGAAGCACGAAAAAAAGACGTATATCTTCTTAGTCATTTCTTCCATCTATATTTCAGATCATCAATGGCATTTGTTCATTTCTATATTTTTCTCATCTCATTTTCATTAACATACTCGTGTGACGTATTCGTTGGCATTCGCTGTACTTGTTATGATTCTAATGAAATTCGTTGTACAATGTCGAAATTTGCACCATTGGTATTCAGTTCAACAAGTGTCAGTACGACGAGAAAATTCCATGCAATCGATCTAAAAATCGAAACGGACGAAGAGATTGAACTCGGAAATAATTATTTCCTGATTCTCAATCAACTTCTACCAGATGTGGCAAAAAAATCTGTCTCAATGACGTTTCGTTTTCAAAATTTCGAATCATTTCATGCCCGAGCAGGGTCATTCGCCAACTTATTTCAAGGCATTACATCTACTACTAAGCGTCTAACCATTGAATTACATCCTGTGAAAGCGAAAACAATAACGTTCGACCAGAACGCTTTTGATAATCTTCATGTTAACGAACTTTCCATGTACGCTGATTCACTATCATCACCGTTCGAATCGATATTCAACAATACAAACATCACACATTTGAATATCGAGGGTGCAATTGTCGCACATGAACCATCGTTACTGAGAGATTTCACTGGACATATTCAATCATTGAAAATTACACGAATGATTGACAGTGTCAATAGTGAGGAATTTCCACCGTTTCCTGTTCAATCTTATACAATCGAAGCGCATAAAATGCGTACATTAGATACATTATCATTTGCAAATTATACGCAATTAACGGGTTTGAACATCATTCAACCAGACGTTTCGATTACGCCGAAAATTCTCGATGGATTAGAAAGAGTTTCCAATTTAAAGTCGATTTCATTCGACGCCGAACGCATTGCCGATGGTGCTTTGAAACATGTCAAACACATTCAAACATTGATTCTCGGTTCATATCTGAAAATTCTCGATGTCGAGAGTTTGAATTCACTGAAAGATCTACAGCAGTTAGATGTTCGTTATGTACAATTTTCAACTCTACAAGGAACGACAAGTTGTTCGTTGGCAGACTTTATCAATCGCCGACGAATGCTTGGTTTAACTGTATATTTACCTGATGATAATCCCGATTGCGATTGTATATTAGTTTTTCTTAATAACATGGTTGACGATGGTTCACAATTAGTCAAATGTCAATCAACTAATAATGATCGGTGCTTGTTTTCCTCATGTCCAATCGTATCTGAGTATTTCACACGAAAACAAAAAGAAGACCTCGAAGATCAGCAAAAACTGAATACACCATCCGTCATTACCCCATCATCACCGGCAATCGTACCATTTGAACCACCATCAGTCGATTTCAATGATAATGCCATACCTGAATATCCTGATGAAAAGATTGACGAAGACGAAAGAACCACGACAACGCAGAGTCCTATCGAAGGTATGCTCTACGACGATACTGATTTTCTTACTAAACCTGTTGATCATCAACCAGTCACTGTCACATCATTGCTATTCGATCCGGAGGAGACTCATAATGAATTCTCGACACCATTAATGAAACGTATTCATCCAGATTCAAAACAATATCAATCATCAAAATACTTAACCGTCTCATGGATTCCATTCGCCATAATCGCCTCTTGTCTTTGTCTTACTTTAGTTATTTCTATCATTAGTTACATTATCTATCATAAACGACGTATTGCCACGTTTAAACTTGTCCCACAAACAGCACCAATTATTTAAATTATGTTTAGCTCCACATTTCGGGTCAGATCTAGTCAAACATACACACACAAACACGTGGGTCATAAGTGAAGAACAATAGAGAACGAGGTCAGATAAAAGAATTCTATCGATCTTTTTCTCATTAGCACAACTACATACGTTTACCTTTGTGATATGATAATTAATTAATTGTAACAGTTTTCTTTTTCTTTCCTTCTGTCTGTTTGCCTATAAAGCTGTATTTTGTTCCATTACTAGAGTTAATCAGAACATTTCTCAATCTGTTAGATTAAGTCACCAAATCAGTATTCTCAGTTTGTCTTTGTCCGTGTGTTTATTTTTTTTTCCTTTGTTGCCTGAAGATGTTGTCTGGATGAAATATATTATGTATAAGAGTAAACATTTGGCAACAAAATTAATAGAAAATCTCGCTTTTTTGTTCTCTCAATTAATTACTGTTTATATTATGTAACAATGTTATTCAATATCGTTAGTAAGTCGCTTATAAGAAAGAGTTAATTCAAACGATTGGATGGACTCATCAAAGATTGATACAGTGTTAAAGCTCGAAAAAGAACGAGCTGATAAGATTGCGGTTCGGATTAATGAAAAATGTGTTATGCGGAAAATGTTTACCGCAATAATCATTCAGCAGACAAAATGATTGAAATAGGCAAAACATTTTCCCATAGACACGAATCTATGCAGGATGATCTCGCATTTCAAAGGAATGTGAACAATGAGTACAAGTATTTTCCCTTGATTATTCAAGAGGATCGAGTAAAATGATAACTTTTCACTTTGCATGTGGAAATTGTGATTTAATCTGCAGGAAATATCGTGCGTGTAAAATCGCCATCTGATACATTTGTCTTGCTTTACTAATTACACTTTTAAAATGTTTCCTTTCTCAACACTAATTGATAGAGTTTCCGTTTTTTCATTTTGTATTACATCAAAGTACTTCAAGTGGTTTAGAAATGGAAAAAATCACTCTATAATTTATTCGACAGCATTCGTCACGATACTACTCTCCGCATTTGTTGTTTTAAAATTCAGTCAAGGACGAATCATCGCGTTGCATTTTTTTTTTTCGTTCGTTGACAAAATGCATTTCGGATGACATAGGTAGAAAATCAATTGAATTTGTAATCTTTGATATTCCAGATTGAATATCGACTATGGACAAATTATCGGATGATGAACTATTGTTCTACGGTTCTGTTGAAGTCAATTTTGCATATCATTATGGTTCGATTCATTTGAGTAGTGGAGAATCTGAACTCCAGCTTGATCATGACACTTCTACTCTACAATCATTGTTATCGGTATCGGACAACGACAATTATCAGGAATTGGTTCTTCCAGAAATACCAGCGACATGTGTTCAAATAAGCTCGACTAACGGTGGTTTTGAATCCATTCCTGATATATTTCGTTATCCATTGATTAAAAGCAAACTTTCAAGTCCGTGGAAAGGAATCGTTTCTGGTACACGATCAGCTCTAATCAAACTTTCATCATCAGAATGGTATCGACTGAAAGGTTGTGGCAATGATACTGACGGTTTTCCAATAAGACCTGTGTCAGATTCAAACGACAAAGTCACCATTCGTGGCTGTGCTTTTCTTCATTCAACCCATAGAGAACTAGTGATGACAAAGTACATTTCCAATTTGTTATCTACACATCAGATTGAATGTGCAAATATTCCGATCGGTTGGTTTGAATATCAACCAACTAATACGACAATTCACTCGGATGTTCCAACCGTTCAAGACATTCATTTAAACCAATGGGCAAACGTTTCACGATGTTGTATTCTAATGAAAACATTAGGCAACAAACGCTTGTCGGATCACATTTTATATGGTATCGAACAATTATTTTCGCTAGTCGTCTCAAACAATAAACACACACATCCTATTGATTATCCATCTTTGATTTCGCTATTCCCTCAAGAACGTTTAACGAAAGGAGAGCAACTTGAACCGTTATCAACTTGGTTTGCATCAATAGCAAACATCTTACAACCGATTGATTACTACAATTCCAATTGGCTTCATCCATCAGCACACTTTTCGACGCAAATTCCGACTGATACTGACGAGCATCTATGGGTCAAACATATCAATGTCCTAAACGAGTATTTACAAACGAATGGTAAATTAGCAGATCTTTTGTGTTCAATATATAAACGATTTGGTTTCGAATGTGGATCTATTCTTGGTCTAATGCACTATCATCGTATCAGTTGGGGCACTTACACCGATGAATTAGGTATACATTGCAATGCTCATCCAAATAATTTAGTTATGAAACTATTGTCAGCAGCAGACTCATTTCTATTAGCACCATTAGATTTCGATATGAGTTTCACAGAGAAAACCTATCAGCCGAGCCGCATGAATGTGATTTCATTTGACGAAATAATTCAACTGGAATTATCAGGTTTTCAATTGACATTAGCGGGTGATTCACAGATAAATAGTGGCGTCACAGCTTGGGTTGACATGCCTGATTATCAATGGACAAGTTCTCGTTGGTTATTACGAGATATTATGCTAAATGAATTCAATAGGACGTATCATGAAACGTGTCAGAAAGGAAGTACAGCCATGTGCGAGATAATTCCCGATGAGCAGAACTGCGCTGTGCAAGCATTAATTCGTCTGGCTCTTATCAGAACGATGAGAGAAATTGCATAATTAAATATTTATAGGGTTTTTTTCCTTATGTCATGTGTTTCTCCCATGTATGAGGTATATTTAGCCGATAATGAATACAAGTGTCATTTTGAAGTGAAAAGGTATATTTCAAATGGATAAGGAGGAGATATAAATCTTGGTATTATCGCTCTGCTTTTCAATGACTCATTATCTACAGTAATGCATTAGTTGATTTGATTGTCATAGTGTTAGTAAAAGAAAAACTAACAAGATTGCTTCAATTCTGTTGTATATACAAAAATATTCGCCAATGACTTATTATTGACAATTATATTCTCTGTCTTCTCTTGTTTACTACCTGTATATTCATCTACAGGCGCACTATTGACGACATAAACAGATTTTATCTAGTCGCATTATACGAATGATATTTTCGCTGACTAAAAAAGGTCTGTTGATCAGTTTGATAGAATAGATCGTTGGAAGATAAAAGAAGCGAGTATATTCTAGCTAAGCTGGACAACAAAATAAAATGTTGCATCTTCTCATGTAAACTACCAACACATGTCTGTTCTTTTTTTCTATGTCAAATGCATGTCTTTTAATCTGCAAAGTGTACAAATAATGCATCCTCTTTCAGCAGTAAGTGAGCCGTAGTGTTTACCTATACGTCTTCACAATATCGTCCGTACTTGTTGTTTTTCTCTCTTTTCACTTGTAATTTCGTATATATACTTACACAACACTCGCATCAGTCGTTGATTTTATATTTTGTCCAGACTAACCTAATTCTTAACGATAAATGTCCACAACGTCGAAATCAAACGAATCTTTAATTGTCATTGTTGCTGGCGGTGGACCCGTTGGTTTAACATTCTCTCTTCACTTAGCTATGATGATGGGTAAACAAGCGCAAATAATCATACACGAAGGGCGCTGGTATGTAGACAAATATGGTAAAACTACTTGGCAAGATAAAGAGCAGGGAAAACAACGTCGTGACCAAGTTGTCACATTACAAGATCATGTCATTGAACAAATGCCCAGCTATATTCAAGACGGACTTTTCAAAAATATTAACGAACGCGTATGGCCAACATCGAGAAATATTCCTATTCGAGAAGTTGAAGATCGTCTTTTCGATTTGATTCAACCATTTGTACAAAGCGGTCAAGTTAAATTGGTACCTGAAGATTTACAAGAACAGTCCAAATGTCTTATTGATGGTTGTTTATGCTTGTATGATATTTTTAAAATCTAAACACTCATTTGTTTTGTTCATAGGTGACTTCGACATTTTAGTCGGTGCTGATGGATCAAATTCGTTTGTTCGAAATTATTGTAACATTAAAATGATTAGTGAAGGTGTCGAATATGCCTGTGGTGTTGCTTATAACATATTGGACAAAGTACCTCCGTCGGAAGAGCCACTTCACCAAGGTTTGAATTGTATTCTGACGGTTTCTCAAACACGTTACTTGGTCAATTCATCGACAAGTCGTCGTGGCTATCTAAATATTCGTCTCATTCAAGATGAATACTCTGCATTACGACAATGTCTAAATGATTTTCAAACCCGTAATGAATCACTGGACTTGTCGGATTATAACAAATGTCCTCAATCGCCTGTGTGGAATATTATTCGTCAAGGTTTAGACTTCTTTAAAATTCCGTCAAAATATGTCTTTCGTGTTGTACCGATCGAAATCAATGTTCGCCATGCATCGATCGTCGTTCGAGAACTTCGCTTCGAAGTCAAAGACTCGGAAAATGCAGCAACAACGGCAACCGACACGGATGAGAAGAAATACAAAACCGCACTAGCTTTCCTTGTTGGTGATGCTGCTATGAATGTACATTTCTGGCCAGGACGAGGTATGAATAGTGGAATGAAAGGTGCAATTGCACTGGCGCGTAATATTCTTCGAACATGTACAACACAAAATGCGATTAACATACGAAAGCCGTTACGTTTCCTAGATTTTATTGATTACGAAGGTTTTATGGCACGTCTTCGTGCACGTGAACAACAAGGTCGCTCATTGCGTGTGTTAATTAACCCCATTGATCAATACATCGAAGCGTCGTATTCGTATGCTCACACGTCTCATTGTTATGTAAAATATAAAACTAAATTGATCGCAAAATTACAAGAAGCTCGAGAGCGTTTGCAAGAACGTCCTGATTGGCCACACAAAGCCAGTCCCATAACCGATGATCAGTTACAATCAGCTTCGAATCGTGTAGCTCCGCACGCTGTTGCTCAATTATCATTAGCGAATCCATGGCCAACACGAGAAATGAGTGGCGCTGAAGTTCTCGTTGAACATACATTTCCGTATGATGCACGAAATTTTCTTCCAGTACCAAAAATAAATCTCATAGCTAGCTTCGAACAAACACCCTCGATAATTCTTCGATATCGATATTTAATCTTATGGATTGTTGGTCATGAAAAATCCCAGCAACTTGATACTCTTGTTGAAGATATTCAGACGTCACCAAATTATAGTAAGGCATCAATAGACGCAAACGAAAATCATCACCAATTGGCTGTCGTTCGCAATATCGAAGAAGCAGTCGCTTGGATGAGAGCGAATCGGGAAGATATTCGAAAGAAAGAGACTTTATTCAAAGTGGTCACTGTTTGGCAGATCAAAGCGAACGAAACAGCCGTAGACGCAATTCGAGCAGTTCGCTCGGAATCATCGCGTGTGCCAATTCTGATTTTTACTAGTAAACACGAAACTGCTCAGGCGGCACTCGAGTTTCCTAATGTAATGACAAGTGACATGGAATATGAATTAAAGGAATTTGTTGGAGTCAAACAAGAAGCACAATGGAATCCTGGTTGTCAAGTCAATCAATTACAAAAGTTAGAGGCTTTATCGCCAACAACGAAGTATAGTTCAGGTATATTGAACAAAGCCGATTAGTCAAACTAATTTTACGTAAAACAATCTGTTTTTATTTAGAAGCGAACGATCAGACAAAATTTTCATCAACGCCCTACCCAACACTTGATAATGTCGGATCTATGCCACCTCTACCATCTGATCTGCTATCATTACGCTCCCTATCAATAAGCATCCCAAAGATAGTCTGGATTGACGCACAAGAAAATAATACTCGTGTTATCGAAGAAATTCGTAAAAACATTCCTTCGGTAGAAATCGAGTTTTGTCGAACATTCGAAGACGCTAAATCATTGATAACTCAACAAGAACGTCAGATGGAAAGTCGATCAAAGTTTATTGTTATTTGTCGAGGTTACTTTCCTAGTGAACAAAAAGGTTTCAAAGATGTAGCTCAAATGCTCGAGAATCTAAATCTTCAAGCTGTACCAATGGGAGTTTATACTAGCAATCGAGAGCATCTACTGCAAAAGACACCAGATCCGCCGTCCAGAGTACAAATCTTCGATCGGCCAAGAGAACTTCTGACTTTTGTTTATCACCATCTGAAGCAGTGAATTCAAATCCACTCACCATTTTCTTTGATTCGGTAGTTCGTTCTCAACTCATAATAAAGAATAAGACGACGCTTTTTGCACCGAGAATTTTGCGATTAATCTCGTACTTCAAGTGACCTTTGTCAACATTGAAAAGAGAAAAAAACGCATCATCGAAACACTTCTCCTTGCCAACTGAATGACAGACAATGCCTTAGGAATTCAGAAGAATAGATAGGCACTATCAACCTTGGTGATAGTATCTTCTTCATGTGCATATAGATGAGATGACACCTTATATCTACCACGAACGAGCGAAAGATACATTCTGATGCATAGACTTCTATTTTGAGAACACAAAAGTATGCAATCAGGTTGCATACATGTCAAGTATGTGTGTTCTCGCTTTGTGTTTTATCTTCAAACATATGTAAAAGCAAATAAATCTTTCTAGAACAACATATGTCATTCGAGCTTTCAATAAATACAACATCGACGATATCGAAACAAGTCATAGAGAATTAATGAGATATTACAAGGTGTTGACAACTATTTGAAGGCATTATTCTTAGCAGTTGTGTACGCCATATCCATATTACGAAAAATCGAAGGAAGACATTTGAAATCCATTCTAAACTCAATGTACGACAAAAGCTCACCGTGTACACCGTTTTGAACCGACTGATATTTTCACCAGAGGTCAGACTACTCCAATCGAGTTGACAAAACTGAATGCACTATCATCCATATAATACCACTCGATGTAAAATAAATATACATATGTATATCCTTCTTCTCGAATGGTCGAGAAAATTCTTTCATATTTACCACCTTTTCATTTTCTTTTTCTTCCGTCCTGTCAATGAATATATCATTCTCTATATAATCTCACTTCTTGGACTTTTTCACTTATACTCATATATCGATTATAGATTATCGACGTAAATATATTTTCATTATAAAGATATAAACATGGTAAGTGAAGTACGCATTTTCTTTTCGTAATGTACTATTTAATCGGTTCAATCAGGCAGTTGTCGGCCTTGATATGGGAAATTTTTCATCCTATATCGGAGTTGCTCGTGCTGGTGGTGTGGAAATCATTGCAAATGAATATTCCGATCGTTTAACTCCGTAAGTTTGCTGTTGACGAATGCCATTCGTAGGAACAAGTTAGAACAAAACTGTTCTTTCAGGACATATGTAACATTTGATAAATCGACTCGTGTCGTTGGTCAAGCGTCCAAAGCAATGGAAGTAACAAATCCAAAGAATACGATTTGTAATTTCAAACGCTTAATTGGACGTCGCTATCAAGATCTATTCGTTCAGCAAGAAAAGGATTTGAACACGTATTCGATTTTCGAAGGCAAAGGCGGTTCAGTCAATATTGAAGTAAGTTTTTTGTTCAACTCGTTTCTTTCTGGTCAAAGGAAAACTCCGTTGTTTAGGTAAATTATTTAAACGAGCGAAAGCGTTTCACACCGGAACAAGTTGCTGCTATTATGTTTGGTAAATTGAAACATATCACTAGCAGTGAATCAACATCGAAAGCGATCGATTGTGTTATTGGAGTAAGTGATAGATCTTTCCCAGTAAGCTCTCTTATCACTGATATCTCTTTTATTCAATAAGGTACCTTGCTTTTATACAGATACTGAACGACGTGCAATGCTGGAAGCCGCACACATAGCTGGATGGAATTGTCTTCGACTGATCAACGAAACAACAGCTGGTGAGAGTCAATTTACCTGCGACTTAGACATAGTCAACAGGAAGAGAAGATCAAGCTCGCTAATCTTAGTGTAAACAGTTTTCTTTGTAAATCCGCCCTAACAGTACAAAAACGCATTCGGTGATGTAATCGCATATTTACAGATCTCGAAAAAATATTTTTTAAGACGTAGTTAGAATATCAATCAAAGTCATCAGTGCACTTTCATTTCTATTCACTGTACCAAGGCTTTTCTATTCGCTTCGTACTCCATGAAAACAACATTACCTTTAATGCACTGATGATCAGATACATTTGCCGATAAAACGACAAATGCTAGTTGCTCTTGTACATGAACAAAGTCTTTTCTTGTGATTTCAGTTGCTCTCTGTTATGGCATTTATAAAGGAGATCTTCCTGAACAAACCGAAAAACCTCGTTTGGTTGCATTTGTTGATATGGGTCACACTGCTTTACAAGCATCTATCGTTGCGCTGAACAAAGGAAAATTAAAGGTATGTCGTTCTATTCATCTATCCCAGATTTAGTCATTCGCCATGTGTCTTTTTAGATGATTGCTACTGCATTTGATTTATCACTGGGTGGTCGTGACTTCGATCGTGTGATTATGGACGCTATGCGTGAAGATTTTCGAAAACGTTATAAAATTGACGCATATAGTACAGTGAAAGCAAAACTACGATTACGTGCGGAATGTGAAAAAGCCAAAAAGGCTATGTCTAGTAATGTTCAACCGATGCCAATCTCCTTAGAATCCTTCATTGACGAAAAAGACGTCACTGGCAAAATGTCTCGTGCAGAATTCGAAGAATTAGCTAAGCCATTGTTGGACCGAATACGAAGTACATTGATGAGTCTTCTTAAAGAAGCTAGTGAGTTCTAATTTGACAACCAGTGAACATCCGCTACCTTTTTCTTCTGTAGAAACTAATTGGGAAGACGTCGAATCTGTTGAAATTGTTGGCGGTTCAACTCGTATTCCTGCTGTAAAACAAATCGTTCAAGAAGTTTTTCGTAAATCTCCTATGACAACTATGAATTCTGACGAAAGTGTTGCACGCGGCTGTACATTAATGTGTGCAATATTAAGTCCAACGTTCAAAGTCAAAGAATTCAAGATCGAAGATTGCCAGCCATATCCAATAACATTGTCATGGCATGGTGGAATCAATGAAGACAATGAAGTGGAAGTATTCGGCCGTTGGAATGTCATTCCATCATCGAAAATTCTCTCGTTCTATAAAAAAGAACCTTTGACAATAACAGCTCGATACTCCTATCCAAATGATATTCCGTTTTCTGAAGCACGAATTGGTATGTGAAACTGTTTCTACTTCCATTTTTGATTCGATGAATACTCTAGGTCAATATACCATCGAACAAATTCAAGCCCAGCCAAATGGTACTCCGTCGAAAATCAAAGTGAAAGTTCGTTTAAATCGTAATGGTATATTTGATATCTCCCAAGCTGCTATTATTGATACTACTACTATTACTACTGAAGAGCCAGTTGGTAAGTGATTATTCCTATGTATTCTGATGATAAGCATTCCATTGAAGAAGATACAAAAGCTGGAACGGAAAATAATCCTGATCTGAATACATCGACTAACAGTGAACCAATGGATGATGTAAGACTGTTTTTTTTTTCGTTCGAAAATATATGGACGATTCGAACGAAATTTCTTTCTCTTTTCTAGAATAGTAATCCATCGAACAATGGCGAAAATCAGCAAGAAAAAGATGAAGAAAATGAAGAACCAAAAAAAGTAGTAACGAAAAAGAAGAGAAGAGAAATCGAACTGCCAGTTGTATCACGTGTCACTGGAGCAACGAAACACGAACTTGAACGATTAGTTGAACTCGAAGTAAGATTATGCCAACCAATACTACTGATCGAAAAAATTCTGATCTGTTTAGAATGACATGATTCAACATGACAAGAAAGAAAAGGAACGCTCCGATGCGAAAAATGCTGTCGAAGAATATGTTTATGACATGCGCGGAAAACTGGATGGCGGTCAGTATGAAAAATACGCCGATGAACGAAATCGACAAAAACTATTAAACGATCTACGTACAACTGAAAATTGGTTATACGATGATGGTTCAAATCAGGATAAAAATGTTTATATTGAACGATTGAAATTACTCAAAGTAAGCTGATAATCCAATTGTTTCCTTTCCTCTATATTCGTATCTTCTAGAACATTGGCGAACCGATTCGTAATCGTTACAATGAAGCTTCTAATCGTCCGTATCATATGCAAGAGTTTATGAAAGCCTTGCAACGTGTTGATGAAGCCATTCAAACCTGGCAGACGAAATCGAGCGATAAATACTCTCATTTGGACAAGAGTGACATGGAAAAGGTTTACAAACTTCTAATTGAGAAGCAAAGATGGTATGACCAAAATGCGACGCGTTTCAACTCTCTGAAATTACAAGATGATCCAACGGTCCTTTGCGCACAGATCAAACAAGAAAAAGAGGTAAATAAGTTTACCATTTTGTACTTCTCCTGACCAAATCGTTTTTCCTCTAGGCATTTGAACGAGAATGCTGGACGATTTTAAATAGACCAAAACCTAAAGTTGAACTTCCTAAAGAAACACCTCCGGATGTTTCTAAAAAACAACCTCCACCACCACCTAGTGCTGGTGGGCCCGCACCACATCCTCAGCCAGCACCACCACCACCTCCGAATAAAAAACCTTTGAAAAATCCTCCCGCACAAACTCAACCACCAACGACGAACTTCGATTAATCACAAAGCGAATCCAATTCCAAACTAAACTAGCTGATTAGTTTATTTTCCTTCTGTGTATTCACTCTAATTTTCTATTCGTTTCGAGATCTCATCTTTTCATTCAGTTACTAAGAATTGTTTCTTTATTTATTATCTAATTTATTCGACTACGTCCGATGTTGACTATTTTTGTTTCACTTTTTCCTTTTTTTTCATTGCCGTACATTCTTCATCGAATCCGGTTTTTATTCAGATCTTGTACTCGCATTTTTTTTGTTAAATAAATAATAAATAATTTAGTTATTAACATTCTGATAACAAACAGAAAAAAAAACAAACTACACTATCGATTGAGCTTTTCTCACATAAGATAGAGAGAGTGGTCTATCCGAAGCACATGAAAACGAAACGTGTAAAAAGCATTTCCGAAATGTACTCTCTTTGATCACTAATAAGCGGTACGTTAATTATCATCCAATATCTCATTTCTCAACCTTCAATTACATTCGCAATCATTGTCTGTCAAGATTATCTTATTGAGAATAACTCGTTAATTATGATTTGATTTCGCGAAAAACATCGTGAGAAATGGTTCATCATTAACACTTATCCGCTACAATTCTCATAAGCATTTCGCGAAAAAGAAAAACATTGGAATAAAAACACAATCGATTTTATTCATTTGCATAATTGATCCAGCTGTTACATTCTTCAGATTCGTTTTCTTCTCGCCTCTTGTTCGTTGGGCGTCAATCGTTAGCGTCTACGTTTTTTTCTCGTTGACCGATCATGAAGTTCAGCGTCGTTTTTTCCTTTCCTATGGATATGAAAACGAACAAGGGACGGATAGAGAGAAAAAGAAAAAGTAGCAACATATATCATCATTATTTGAATAGAAACGGTCGAACGTGTGTCTATACACGCACAGTCATTCATTTATTCAATACGACAGACGAATTGACATGGTGAGTGAAATGATGAACAGCTATTCATTAGTAACAGCAAAAACAAATCTTCCTATAAATACAGATTGAATAACATATGTGTTGTCATCAATTTAGAATTTCAGTTATCAATGAATCGTTCGCCATTAAGTGATTGTAATCGTCGACGTAGTTTGTTTGATTCACCAAATCTCGTGCGTTTTATCAACAAAACACTTCACACCCAAGAAGAAAACAATCCTCAGTTGGATTCAACGACAAGTTCAAGTTCGCCAAGTTATAAATCATATAATCCACTTGAGAAACATCGAGTAGCGATAACAAGAAAACTGACCAACATGAATGAACAATCTCCCTTACAATTAAATCGAGGTAAGCAGCGAAAAACGAGAAATCGGACGTATTTACCATTTTCTTGTGCATATTTCAGGTATTATTCAACTAAGCCTTATCACATCAGACAATCATTTAACTGTAAAAAGTAATTGATCTTTTTCTCCGAAGACTTTCTTCTATTGCTCTATGTAACTCTCCATTTAGTTGTCCGCATCAAGGGTATACACAATCGTTCATCGAATATCTTGGTCAAAATGACTTTAATACCTGATCGCAAACCGTTAGAATGTAATACACGTGCTGTTCCCAATGTGAACAGTTCAGCGATATTCAACGAAAAATTCACATTCGAAATCAACACAGATGATTTACACAAACGACTATGCTTTTCTATCTATAACTATCAACAAGAAAAGAATGATATGCAACTACAAGGTTGTTTGTCCTTTGGAATAAAAAATACATTGAAAAAACAAAGAGTAAGCTAACTGAAATAACGAGGAGAGTTCATTCAGCTGCTTCGTCTAGATTCGTGGTTGGTTCTATATTTTACAAGAAGATGTTGGTGAATTACGTCACAAACAGGTACCTGATCATGGTGAAAAACATGTTACAGCTATTAATCGTGACATTGCCGATCTAGAAGAGCATCAAGTATATTTTACATAGACAATGAATTTGTTCATTGGAATAAATATCTTTCTGTTTTCTTTTCTAGTTTGTTATTTCACGTGGTATCAATGATTCATTTGGTTTCACAGTTGTAGGCGACAGTCCAACCTTTGTTGGTAAAGTAACCGACAATAGTCCAGCAGCACACTGTGGTTTAAGACCAGGTGATTATATTGTTAAAGTCAATGGACAAAATGTATCACGTGCACAACAAAGAACTGTATCAAACTTAATCAAGTAAATTGATTCAACCATACAGATCTAGTTGTATGCGTGATATAAATTTGATTTTTAGACATATGAAACATTCAGTTACATTGGATATTCATCGTTATCCAAGTGCACATGCGACAGCTAATCGTGATGTTCTTTCGCTGCTGTCATCAACTGGCACCGTTTCAACAGAAGATTCTTCAACATGTAGTGACTCGTCCATATCTTATCGTTCACATCATTTGAAACAGATGCCATTAACCAAAGCAAATCGTCAATTCGTCGATCTCGCTCAATTGGGACATTACGTTGAACCTAAACCAATGATTCGACAAGTCACAACGACTTCTTCGACGTCAGCGGCTGCCACGGCATTGCAGCCTTTCTACGAAATGACCAATTCGTCAATGTTAGCTGTGAAAGGTTCTCCAACGAATACATTTGTCTGAAAGTCATGCAAAATAATGACTCGTTGCTTTCAAGAGCTTGTTCATGATAGTAAACTCGGAAATGCGTTTGATGTGGTTTTTTTTGAATATAATGTATAGTGAAGTGTGAGAAATCTGTTCGTGCTCATCGTTCCCTTGTCTTCTTTTTGTCGTTTTTGTTTGTGAATTTATTTATTGTTGTGTGTGCAATGTGAAATAGAGTTTTTTCTTTTCGGTCATATTTGAAAATAAGAATAATTCGACACTTTGAAAACGGATGACACCTGGCGTGGAAATCTGATGCTCGAAGCGAAAAGTAATCGTATGAAAATATTTTTGTTAGGTACTTTTCATCGGAGCAAACATTGTTCTAGTTTGTCAATATAATCGAAGATTACGAGACGAACGAGCCAAGGCTCGATGAGCGATTGCATGCCAGCGATGATGATAGACACAGAAGAATTTCCTCTTGTTTAGCGCGCACAATGTCAATGTCGACTATGTTAAATAAGGAATTAAATGGGTTGCTATGTGATTAAATATGCCGCCATCGTTATCAAATGCACGTTTTCGTATACCATTCGGTTTTGAAGAATTGCTCACCTATTTGACGCGTGAACTTCTACGATCACAACCAGCGAACATCTATGAATTCTGTTCTGTAACTTGTCAACAATTGTACAGTCTCGTTTTGTTAACCTTACCGCATTTCTCTTTCGCGTGTATTTATCTTAGGATTAGTGAACGAAACAATGGCATTCTTTCTCATGAACTAGTTAAATTAGATTCAACTATTCATTCTCATGAGAACAATGAATAACAAAAGAAATATTGATCAAAGACTACCGTCTGTTCTTCTATTGAACCGACATGTATATATATATACAAAAAAAAGTTTTCGCTATGCCTCATTGATCAATAAATCACTAATGACGTTTTCCCCATTGTTTTCTAATTATGGATTCATATCTCATTTAATAGTAAACGATTGGATAGAATTATTTAACCTTATTACCATTTCTTTGAATGGAAATCGATATGAGTGCAAAAGTTCTGCTTAATTAAATTTTTATTCAAGTATCTAATATCATGCACAGTTTGTTTCTCAAAATCTTTTCACAATAAAATAAGTACGATGACGATGATGATGATGGATAGGAAGAAAAGAATAAAGGAAAACGTAATAGCGATAAATAGCTAATGACATAAACGAGCGAATAACATCACTGTTCCTTCTATACAAAAGAGAATGTACACTATAATAAGTACACGAGAATAATACAATAAACAAATACATCGATTCGGCTGTATAAAAGGAAGAATGAGATATGTGCAAAAAAAGAAAAACGGCAAAAAAAATGATAAATGTGCATATCACACGGATAGAAAAAGATAGATGTGTATGAGGGATGTTTTGTCGATAGAAATTATCAGAGGAGAAAAAGAAAAGAAAGAAATCGAACAAGGCCCCATGTTTTCAGTAACTTGTCATCATCTGTTTTTTTCTTCTTAGAACAGTAGCAGCAGCAGTAGTAGCAGCACCATATTCACAAACACTGTTTTGCGGCAACAGATAGAAAAAAGAAAAGAAAAGCAAATAAAGAAAATAGGAGACAAATATTATTAACATTATCATCAACGTTCAATATCTACATATATACAGACGAAAAAATGTAACAAAACTCCATTGCACATCTGTACAGACAATAAAATACACATGTAAGCATATAGAAAATCTTGAGCAGAGACGTGAAAACTCTTCACGGAAAAACTCCCCCGATATCCATTTCATTATCGAACCCGTATGAGGTCGAAGATAAGAATGGATCATGAGCTAATGGCGATAAAGGATCGACGTTATTTCCTTGGGTATGTCCACTGATATTCGTCGTATCGTTACTATCGTCGTCAAGACCAAAGGCTGATAAAGAATCCAATGGTGGAAAGGAATCGAATGTTGCAAAGATAGGTGTTGAAGGTGGCACCAAAGGATTGATCGAATTATTTAACGATGACGATAGAGAGGCGGGCTCTTCTTTGATCACACTGGGCGTTGTCACAGCTATGGCTGATGAGCCTTTTCGTGATGAATCATCGATTGGTATACCGTTTATGAGACATTTTTTCTCTAATTCCTAAAAGAAAATTAAATATTGAAAAATATAATTTATGAGCATATAGGTTTCTGTTTGTACTCGAACACGTTCTTGTAACGCTGAATTATGTTCGGAAAGTAATTGACATTTTTCTTCGACTAATGAAACATTATCATATTGACGGCGTAAAATTTTGATGTAATCAACGGATGCACGTAGGATTGTACCTTTGTTTTGTTTGAGATCTCTGAAAAAAAAAACAAAACGCGAAAGGTTATATTGACCTTCTTTATCTCTCGATCAACCTACAAATCTGTTCCTTTGGGTAATAAAGTTCCAAGTTCTTTAATACGATCATTAATATTGAAACGACGTCGGCGTTCGACTAGAATTAGATCAAACGAATCATTTAACGAAAATTGCTCCATTCGTTCTCACTCATATTATGATTATCTTTCTTTTGACGATCACGTATAACCAAACGCATTTCATCTTCCGTTAATGGTAAACCAATTTTTGCTTTTGCGCTAAGAATATTCGTTGGACATGATGATGAATGATGACTGGCACTATCATTCGAATCTTTCGATATCGATGACGAGAGATAAATTGAACCGGCATGATCACCAGTCAAAGTTGTCGACAACTAAAAGTAGATTTTTTTCAAAACGAACTTTCGGCTCGAAAAATTCATCTTACTCGAGGAGTTATGCTGATTCCACGCGATGTACTATCGATACTTCCACAGGTTGCATCGTCGTTGAGTTGATCATCCATCTGGAAAACAAATGAGAAAGATTCCTACAGAGAATTCAAGAAAAACTCACTTCAGAAGTAATTTCGCTGTCCGGAGATGACTCTTCATGTTGTAGCGTTTGAGGTAGCTAAGAAAAACATTGCATAGTTTTGAAAACAAAACGGAAAAGTTGTTGTTTTTGTAAACGTACGGTTGCTATATTTGTCGAGGGTGCATCATCAGCTACTAAGGTTTGTTTACGACACATTTGCTCCAAATGATATTTCGTTGGATTTTCCAAACGTGTTTGGACAGTCTATTCAGATATAAATATATCGAAAGGAATACAGTTGCTTAGATTAAGGTCGACATTATGCACTTTCATAAATACGAAAAGGTACCTAGCAAAGCGTTTCGAATACATTTTTCCTTGCTTTTTCGTCATTCTTTTCTTTTTTACCTTAATTATCATATCATATCATTGCGCTATTTACCTGTATAAGTTGCGAAGGTGCAATTGTCTGTTTAAGTAATAAAGTCACTGCATCGACTTGTTTTGTTGATGGAGATAGTCCATTATTGTTACTATGAATCATAGTCGCCGGAGATGTCATGCGAATAGTATTCGTAGTTCGAATAGGACTGTTATCATTCGACGAAAGTCGACTTATGTATGAATTTGATAGCGGCGACACACTTGTACCTGTGGAGTTCGGTGGCGTGTTTTGTTTTCCCGTTCCATCATCAGTCTTGAAAAACAAATAGAGACATACGAGAATTTGTAAAGAAAACAAAAGATTTACTAGTTGTCGACGTAGTTGAACTGTTCCAGAACGTTTGTTATTTGTATTGCTAGAATAAAAACAAATATCTAAGGTATGACCGGGTGATGTTGGACTTACATAGGTTTGACAATACGATAAGTTGAGTTTGGTGTCGATGATGATAGGAAATCTTTAATCATTGATTCGTTTAAGTATTGGTTTTGTTGCAATTCTTCAACGAGTTCAAAATCCAAATTGGTTAGATTTGTGTCAGACGAGGTGAACATTCGCTTGAATATGTTTCTTCTGTATTTCTTTTTTTTTATTTGCGAGAAAGTTAGAAAGAGCGAGAGAGCGAAGGGGGAGAGAAAAAAGAAAACGAGAGGAGCAAACGATAAAAAAAATCTAGAAGGATGAAAAAAAGTGTAAACGCGTATGTTTTTTTTCTTTTTTGCGTCGTGGAAAAAGAGGAGAAGAAATCAACTTTCGAGAGTAATCTAATAGAAGTCAGATAAACAGCTGTTTTTTGTTGTTGTTATTATTATTTCTATAAGAACGAACGATCAAATGAGAACACGCATGTAAAAAAGCGACAAACAAAACGTGTGGACGTATTTATACATTGTAAATCATAAAGGCTCGATGATACGTCTAATGCTCGACCGATTAGCCAATAGAAAACGAGATTAACTATCACTATAGTGACTATCATTCGGAAAAAGGAAAAGATATTAAGAAAGAATTCGAGCCTTGATTATTTAATGACGACTATTTGAAACACTTGTTACGTAAATATGATAGAAAGATAAGGTTAAACACATTGATGTTTGTTGATGACACTAATGTTGGAAGAAACAGATGCAGTTAATGGATATATCTTTTCGAAAAGAAAACGAGCCATATTTTGTTTAATGTACACTTTAAACGGTGTATGTCGCCTGTTCGACATGCTAAGCAGAACGTTCGAGGTGAATTCGGGCAAAAAACCGAAGAAAAAAGATTCACGACGGTATGTATGATTCGACTGAATATGCAATGACTCAAATAATTTACAATGAGAATGTTTTTTTTTATTAATAAACTTCGTGAGTTAACTAACTATGCCTGTATTGTGTTTCATACAAAATATTTTCAGTGAGTCAGATGTTGTATTCAAATAATTTAATTCACTAAAGACTCAGGAATGTCGAGAGAAATATTGCAAAATCTAAATTCAGTGTTGCATGCCACCATAGATTAGGAAAGAAGATCAAATCACCTGGATTCAATGTGCATTCGTACAAAAAGGGTTGTTTCGTTTTCCAACGCTGATCAATAGCCCATTGAATGGTCGTTTCATTTGGATCAAATGCTGGTTTTTCAACCGATAAGTACCAACGTTTTCTTCCGGAGATCATTTGTTGAAAACCAGGACCGTGGAAATGAAATGGTACACCTGTGCCTCTTCCGCCCATTCCGAATGTTACTGATGGATGAACGAAATCATCGACAGTATACGAGGGCGATTTGTAATAACGAAGAATTTGAGTAAGCCAGTATTGATCATCTAATAAATCATCACCAAACCAATAGAGCGTTTCACTTTGAAAAGAAAATACATTGAGATTTGATTGATATTCTCTCCTATGTCTATGATCTCTTACTTTCCCCATCGTTTGATTTTCGATGATGGATTTTGTTGTGAATGAATGTAATCGTTTAATTTGACTTGCTGTTTCTTATAAGAATACGTATTTGCCGTTGTAACAGTGATATATTTATTACCATAACGATTTAATATCGAATCAATTTGCGTTAGATGAAGAAATTGTTTATTAATTGGCACTTGACGAAAGACAACTGGAGTAATAGACTGTTTGGGATTATTATAACGTTGTTGAAACTCATGTTGACTGATCAATGTGTATTCTTCGGGTATGTTACATGTTTCTAATGAGTAAATATCCTCGGCGTTATTTGTAGTGAAAACGATGGGTAAAATAATCAGGAAAATAACGTTTAGGTACATCATGAGAAAAGTCCATGAAAACTAGTAGATTACGGACAGATTGTTTGACTTTTTCATTTCATTTCTCTGTATTAGAATGAAAGAACGAGAAGAAAACATACGATGTCAGTACCTGCACGGTGTCTGTCGAATTGTCATTGGTTGGTTTTTAATGTATTTAGTAGTGAAAAGACAAGATAATTAACTAACGACGCTCGCGTACGACGACACACTAGATATCGAAATTGAAGCTGTTAATTCGTCGATAAGAAGAGAAAAAAGACTCCGTTCGATCGTCTCTATTTACTTTGACCTCACAGAGAAGCGATCACCTGATGTATTTCACATTTATCGTTGAAGCTTAGGAACCTTTTTTTATCAATACTAAGGACGAAGTGACATTCTTTCGATTGTTGTATTGATTTAGCTTGAAAACAGCAGTAACAGTAATAAGATTGTTGACATTCATGATTAGTCATATCAAAGACGGTAAAAATGTTTGTGAAATTAAATATGCAAAAAAATATAACGACAAAATAACCTTGTCTTCCCGTTGCAAAAACAGAGCTCGGAAAATGATTTCAGCAAAATATATCCAATTAGAACCTGTTTATTTGTGTTCAAACTATCGAAATCGACAATTCTAAAAGAACAGGAATGTTCGTTTAAGGAACTCTTTCGTACGATGTTGGCACTGCTTCCAATTGTTCATAGCGATATTTGATGACGAAAGCAGCTGCTTTTGGCTGTCGTTGACGTGTAAAAAGACCTTTTCGGTTGAGACCACCAACTCGAATAGTACTTTGATCAGTAGCAAAGTCGAACATATTCCAAGGTAATTCACCTACAAAAAAGCCAGTCGTTGGGTGAATAAGAGATGAGACATTGTCAAATGAAGAATGATAAGCCAAATAGTAATCTTTTTGATATTCTTCTGTAAACATCATCGATGGATCGCTGTGGAGACCAGGTACTGTGTCGGCGCCATATTCACTCATTAGGATTGGTTTCGTTGGAAATCTTTGTCGCCAAGCAGCAAGTTCTTGAGTGACTAAATCGGGAATTTGATCTATGCGACCAAATTGAGAATACCAACCAAAGTAACGATTTATACAAACCATATCGAAGAATTGAATCCCTAGATCACTATTATGGCTAGCAGAGATCACATAGGTGATGGGACGCCCAGCCGCTAGCGGTCTAGTAAAATTAGCTATGGCACTGAAATAATCTTTTGCTTCAGGTAATCCCGAACCGGGTTCATTTGCAAGTGACCACATTAATACTGAAGGATGATTTCGATCGCGACTGATCATTTCAGTAATGACTTGTTTATGATGTGCAAGTGTTTCTGGCGAGAAATAGTGTGCTTTTGTTAAACCGACAGCTGGAGTTTCACCGATGATAGCGATACCAAAGCGATCAGCCATGTGATAAAATTCATCGGCATATGGATAATGAGATGTTCGAAACGCATTTCCATGTAGCCAACCATATAAATTGAAGTGTTTCGCAAGAATAACATTGTCGAAACCTTTGCCACGAATATCACTGTCCTCATGTGCGTTAGCACCATGAAAGTAGAATAGTCGTTCATTAACTAAAAATTTTGAGTCAGTCAATCGAATTGTTCGAATGCCGATATGGTTAATTCGATAGATATCAAGTATTTCTCTTGATGATGCATCGTTATAGAGTGTTACTTGTAGAGTGTAGAGATAACTGTGTTCGGTACATGGGTGAGTGTGGTTCATACCACAAGGTTGCCATAAGTTTGGTTTGTTAACTATAAGAACCGAACGAGAATCAGTATTGTTGGCCACTACCACACCTTCGGTGTCTAACAATTCGATGAGTACACGAACTGCATTGTGTGAGTTGCTGCCAGCAATGGTAATAGAATACGTTAGAGTAGCAGATGTAGCTGTGTGTTGTGCATCATAATCAATACTCTGAGTATCGATAGTAATATCCTGAATGTAAGTAGTGGATGTAGAATAGAGCAGAACGGACCGGTCAATACCAGCATAATTGAAAAAATCAAATGGAGTTTCTAATTCGCGGTAGGTAGAACTATAGATGTGTAATTCACCTGGTGGTAAGGTTGTAGGTGTAAGAGTATTGTTAACTGCTACAACTATGCGTACTTTTGATGAAACGTCATTGCTATTTTTGATAAACGGTGTTATGTCACCTTCGAACGGTAAATGTCCACCCGAATGATTCACTGCTGACTGCCCATTTACCCAAACACGACTCTCGTAATGAGCGGCTTGAAATCGAAGTACCCAACGAAGTCCAGCTGTCTTTGGAACAAAAACATCTCTTGCATACCACACCCATCCAATATGTCGATGAATAGTAATATTTTGTGTAATATCATTGAAAGAAGCTGGAACAGGCATAAAAATTGTTGGTTCAGGCAGTTCTGGCAAAGCAAACCATCGTTCACTCTCTCCAACGGCATGTTCATCGAGTCGAAAATGCCACAAGCCATCTAATGACTTTACTTGACGCGTTTCAGTTTCGTGAGGATACAACAGTCCATGGCTAGAGATACATCCTAGCATTAGTAGAAAGAGAGAGGCTCGAAGCATCTTGTGATACAACAAACTACTCATAAAATGATTTGTTTAAGAATAGCAGCGTTGGTTGATATATGTGGCTAGATATGTAATCTCTAGTTGAAGAAGATATCGAAAAAAAACAAAAAGAGTACATCATCAACTATGCGGCGAGCTTTATACCTTTTAGTATATGATTGCTGTAGATTAAGATATCTCAGACTCGAACTATTGCTATGGCACATATAGTGACGTGAAAAAAGCTTTCTAGTTGATTACTTCCGGTCGTTTCTATAGAGTTATTTCTCTATATCAGAAGTTCAGTATTTATAGTTATCTCGTTAACATGGATCAAACGAGAAAGTTACGCGTTAGTTTGAGCTTACAAGAGAGGATTGATTTATTTCTTTTTTAAATAAATATACATAAACATATTTTCTTTCAGTTGTCTATGAGTCTTCTATTCGAATATATGTTCTCCAATTGTGCAATGATTGATTAAGATAAGGATTCGATGGGATGCTTTGTCTGATCATTCGACATTCTTGACGAAAATTTTCGTAACACACAGCATTGCATGATGGCGAACTTTGTCGTAGACAAATTGATATACAACCGAGTTCACTAATCATCCAGTCAACTGTATCATATTTAAAGGCATCTAATCGTCCTGTTAATGGCAGAAACGTTCCAGATTGACACTGAATCAACGTTGGTGCTATGAATGAAAATAGAAATACGAGATATGCATAAGATACCATGATTGACGTCCAATTCTCATATAAAAAGATGCGAAAGTATAGTATTTTCCTCTCTACGAACTATATTTTTTTCTCACTCTCTCCCCATAATATTACACATTTGAAAATATAATTATCACTGGCAGACCCGAAAGAAGTGTAAAATAAAAATGTTTCCTTAAATTTTAAGGAAATGGTAGCTTTTCTTGTTAGTCTTGAATGGTTGGACCGTGATTTTTTTTTCAGATAGACTAATTCGATATTTGATTGCAATTAGCAGATGCACGTACGAGCTAATGGTTTCAGTCGCAACAAAGTCGATAAGACAGACGAACTGGAATTATTCCATTAGTACCTTCTGTAAAGAAAAGTTCTATTATGTATTGGAGTATTTATTATTCGATAGACATAACAAATAAAAAAACAGTCGTTTCTAACTGATGACAGCACGCATCGGTGAACTACGAAAGACCTTCGTTTGCAATAAGTCCCAATATAAAGAAGTGTTTCTCTTTAGTTTTGGTAGAATGTGTTCTTTCCCTTCTCGATATATCTCTACGTCATAACGAGTCAAACAAGGAAATGATAGATTGTTCCTCATGTACGGCAGATGTCCCACACCATCATATGAGTAATCATTTTCATGCATTAAATGCATCATTCAAATCAATTCATTATTATTTGCTAATTATCTTCGAAAACGAAAGAAGACCTTCCATTAAAAATGTATAAAGTACATACATCAATGACATCTATAACCAATCAACAATGAGTAGACACTGCGCCGTTACTCTAGTAGTGTGGGATCTACTAGTTTTTATTTGTTTATTTGTTCCTTTTTTTTACACTGCATTGAAAAAGATCATGTTTGTTGAAAGATTTGACTAGCGTAAGAACAAGATGGTTCAGCATTGTATCAATGCAGCTAGTGCGGATTTCGGTTCGTATAATATTACCAAACAACGTGATGCAGTTGATGTTGTTAGCAGGTAAAATGATTCTCTTCTCTCAAATTCCATTACTATGAATCTTTTTTTTTTCTTTTACTTCTAGTAAATCACCAATAATCAATACGAATAGTCTGCATCAACATATACGCACGTTAGGTTCCATGCAATCTGGCTCAGTTGACTTCGTTTCGAATGTTTTACCATTGTCGACTAAACATTATTCGTCAGATATGTCATCAGCATATAAAAGAAATACAACAACTTCCTCATCATCATCGTCTGGTTATGAATCAACGTTTTCACAGTCATCGAAACCACACCGATCGTTCTTCTCCCGTCTAAAACGTTTAATGAATCTTTCTTCAACTAAAAAGTCCTCTGATTATCAAATGTCACCGAATGTTAATGAACAACATTTGAATTATTCAAATTCTCCTATGACTTCCTCTGAAACTCGACGAAATTCATTAACACGCTCAGATATGCGAAGAAAATCAACGCGACGAACGCCAACATCGATAATACAACACACACCATTTCTGTACGGCTTGAAAAATTGTGGAAATACATGGTAAGCTGTCAATCTTTTCTTCAAAACTTTCTCGAACTTAATAATCAATTTTCTCCTGCCTCCTTTGAGAATTCGACATGATCTATATTAAAAGAATTTCATTGTCTCTCTTCTTTCTAGTTTCATCAATGCTATTGTGCAATGTTTATGTCATACCGAACAATTAGCTTTATATATTCTACGAAAAGGTTATGAGATTGATATACGCAATATCAAAAATGCCATGGTTGACCACCATCATTCATTATCCTCATCATTGCAATCGCATGGTTTCAAAGTCACCAAAGCTTTCGTTCAGATCTTTCAAGCTCTATGGAATAATTCATCCAATACGACATCGAAATTGTCCTATGACTTCAAGTCGATTATCGGCAATCTTAATCGACAGTATTCCGGAAATGATCAGAATGATGCTCAAGAATTTCTGCTATTTCTGATCAATTCAATACACGATGAATTGAATCTCGCAATTAATGGTAGACAGCGACCACAACCTACTAAGGTAAATGAATTTTCATCAGAACAAACAACAACAGGGCCAGACAAGGTTATAAAAACACTTTTTCTCTCTTTGTGAATGTTTAGAATTCATTTTCGTCAGTAACTATCTCATCCCAAACACCCTCGTCATTAGCATCGGCTGAATTAGCCCGCCGTGCATGGTCAGATTACACAGACGCAAATCAAAGTATCATCACGTCAACATTCAGCGCTCAACTTCATTCAACATTACGCTGTAATCAATGTAAACAAGAAAGTAAAACATTCGAACCATATTTATTATTATCATTGCCGATTCCGCAAAAAATCATCAAATCCGTTTTTGTCACGGTGGTTTTTCTAAACCAATCACCAAAACAACTGCAAATTGGATTATGTCTACCAGTTACGAATACAGTCAAAGATGTCCGAGAAGCTATTGCTCAACAATCCAACCTTGATCCAAGCGATGTAAGTATATTTGTTATGAAGATAGTTTTCGTAGTGCGGTATTGTTCTAGCTTGTTTTGGCTGAAATTCAACAGCACAATGGTTTTTCGCAAGTCTTTCATGATACAGAACCGATGGCTCGGCTTACGCAGGATGTTTATGCAATTCAATTTCCTTCGGCGAGAACGGAAAGTTCGGAACATATCGCTTCGCCTGCCGAATCTACTAATCAAGTGATATCATCTGAATCAAGCAATTCGTTTGTTAACTTACTTGTATTGAACCGTGTACAATTGGATTCTGGCCGTTTCGAACGCTTCGGTGCACCAATTGGTAAATAGTTGGACGTTATCTTTTCATTAATCTTGATCATTCTTCTATCTTTTTTAGCTGTTCGTGTTCCGCGTGAGTCAAATTATCGTGCTCTACAGTTATCAATCATCAAAGCACAACGATCGCTTATACTTGATGAAGCAATGGAGTATGCTCAAGAATTCGTTGTTTTCCAATTATCACTTATAGATCAATATCAATCAACAAATAAAGGAATAGTAAAGCAGGAATATCCGATTTTGCATGATGTTCAATGGCCACTTTATCTTGAGAAAATTGTCGAAATTCTCGATGCTTATGATGGTCCGGGTCTTGGACCACCGCATATTCAAGTTTATGCCGATTGGCATGAGAAGTATCTTGGGCAATTCATATCGAAATGGGGTTGTAATGATGACAAGCCAGATGTTCACCTATCAGTTGCTCAAGCTCGTGCAGCATTGCAAAAACCAGCTTCGGCGATATCCTTGGCTGATTGTTTCTCATTATTTACACAATCAGAAAGTTTAAATCATGTATGTCTTCTTCGATTTGTTTTCGAAACGAGTAATTGACTAAATCTATTTTTAGGACGATGCCTGGATGTGTACGAGCTGTCGTCGAAAAGAGAATGGAACAGTGAAGAATTTGAGAATATCCACTTTACCATCCGTGTTAATTATACATTTGAAACGCTTTTGTCAAACGAAAGCATCGAACTCGAAATTGGTGTATCCAGTTCAGTTTCCATTGGTCGGTCTCGACGTCAGACGATATCTATCAACGAAACGAAATGATGAACACACGAATAACGATGACAGTGGAACAAGTGATGACTATCAAGATGATTTTGATCAACGTGACGAAAAACAATATGGACTCTATGATCTTTATGCTGTTTGTAATCATCGTGGTAGTATGTCCAATGGACATTATACAGGTAGTATACGATTTTTCTTGAATGTTTTGTTATAAATTTTGAAAATAATTTCTAGCCTACTGTAAAAATCCAGTCACGGAGAAATGGTTTTGCTACGATGATCATCTTGTATCTGAACTGGATCCGGCCCGTGTTTGTACACCAGATGCTTATATATTGTTCTATCGTCGTCGTCGTGATAGTCCAACATCACCAACATCATCGGCAACAACATCCGAATCTACTTACAAATCTCCAACTTCTCCAACCAAACAAGAACAACAAACAATAGATTTACTGACAAATGACTTTGACGAACAATTAAGAATAGATTACCCATCTGCTCCGCCATCGTCAGTAATCGAAGAAAATTACGTTTGGTCAGCAACAAAAGATAAACCCCATCATTATGTTCTACAGCCACCATTGCCAACACCGCGGAAAATCCTTACACCTTTACCACCTCAATCTGAGGATGGATTTCCTTTAGTACAACCTTTACCTTGTCCAGCACCCAGAACACGTAGACCGCAGTATGAACTGGAATCTGCTACATATTCGCCTCAACGAACCATGTCACCATCGATACTAAGCGGACGACAACCACCTACACCGAATATTAACTATGTTTATCCGATTTCATCGACGCCAGCTAGTTACATAATCGAACCATTGAATGATTTCTATTCTCCAAATCTACGTTATAGCAGCGATACGGAAAGATTAAATCCATGGAATCGTTATAACAATTCATGTTATTCTGATGATGAACAAGAGCGTAATGTAATTTATTCGAAATCCGTGTTACATTAGAGCGATTTATTTTCAAAGCTAAATGATGATTTGAGTTTCTTCTATATTTTTTTTTGAGTGTACAAAACAGTAAATCAGTATGATTGTATGCATATTTATTTTTTTTTAGTGTTCATATTTTACAATGAGAAAACAGACTTTACATACTTTTTCTTTCTTTCATCCGAGCCTTGTTTGTTGTACAGTACACATTTTCTTTCCGTTAGATTTTTTTAAAGATCTCCTGGTTGAATTCTTGGCATTTTATCTGATTAGTATCTCTTTGTACACTCAACATTTGTTTTCTTTTCTCAATCCGTCGGCTGTATATAAAATTACCACCCGCAAATGTCTTGACTTACGCTTTTCTCTTCTTCTTCTTCTGTGAAATGTATTGATATTGTCAGCATATTGAAACCAAAACAAATATATATATATTTATGAAAAAAGAAACACGAGCTGATGTAACAACAAAAAGGTATTCTCGTTCAACTTTTCAAACGAAAAATAAACTTGAATTTGTCAGCGGGATCCACTAAATGAATTCGTTCGATTTCAAATCTATTCATTTCATTTGGCCAATTCTTCGCGTAACGTTCTTTCACTTCACTAAGATCATTTCGATTCAAATGTCCTAAAGTTAACGAACCATCATATTTCGTTTGATCAAGTACCTGCAATTGCTTGATCTGTTCGATATTTGTTGGCATGAGGAACAATCGTGAATTAACTTCATCATATCCAAGTGAATCTTGTCCGAATTCTAATGAGAATTTCGACGTTGATTCTAACTTCGAACGTAAATCATTGTTGACTGAATCAGCTTCATATTCACCGAGAATAATTCGCAATGGTTGTAATGGTTGCAATGATGTACGTTGAAATAGATGAAGCAAACGTGAAGAAAATTCATTTGGTGGCAGAATACAGAGTTTATTCATTGGTTTACTCGAAACCGTGGAGTCATCTTTTCGATCCAAGAGAAGAATTTCGTTTTTGATTGTAAATAAATTCTCGGGATGATTTTCGCGACTTATCATATAGACTCGATCGACAAGAAATTCGATGGGTAACCAATTGCTTCTCAAATTCGTCAAGATATTATCAACATCCTTGATTTTACACTGGCCTAGTGTAAGATGAGCTTCGAAAGGATGTTTTTTCTTGCATATTTTTGACAATTGGTTTTGAATCACTTGTTGTAATTCGATCACATTGGTGCTATGCGTTGGTCGGAGGTGATACGTGCATTTTTGATCTTGCTGTGGAAAATAATGAAATGAATTCTGATCAAATCGAACTGTAAATGGCTTTTGTTGATGAACGACAGTTTCTAACTGAGCTTTGATCGTATCAAAGCTACTCTCGGATACGAAAGGATAGATAAAATTGATATGTGGCATCCAACGTGGATAAGCTCTATCACTTGCTGAACGAATCGCTTGAATCTGTTTCCAAACATCTTCCGGAGGGATCAAACACAAAGCGGTTTGGTTTGTTGTTGTACTTGCCATGTCGAGCTTAACTGTTCTATATCGTTACACACGTTACCTATATATATATTTCAATTGGATGGTGAAAGATTGCACATATGATGAAATGCATGATGACACTAGTAGATGGACGAATAGTTATTTCAGAAATTAGTATCAATCATCAGAAATCGAACTCGAAGAAAAAATGTCGCCCTATATTTTTTTATAAATATGAGAAAAAAATTCCTTTTAATGTTGTTTGTTATCCTTGACTATTGGTATTATTTGAATTTGTTTAAGCATTCAATAAATAGTATCCAATTACTGAATGATGAATGAAGCCTGCTTAAAATTTTCTGCTTTTAATAGAGAAAGTATGCAGAAAAAAAGCTTTCATTCTGGTTTTTTCTTTGCGCTTCCCGTTTCTATTTAACAATGCATGTTCTGTTGCTGTAAATGCTGGCCAGTACACGTCGCTCATTTTCTGTCGTCGTTATGTTGTACGTCGCATACAACATTCAGATCACGATGAAAACACGTCGAGCAGCAACGTTTTTTTTCTTTTTCTTTTCTTTTTCTTTACTCATTTGAGTGCAGTTAAGTGTGTAAAAAATGCAGAAGTTCAGAGATTTCCAAAAGCAAGGTTATATTGAAGTTATGTTTTTCTTTTCGTTGTTAGATCATGTCAACTTCGATCACCCAAGAATATCCTATACGCGAACCACAAAACGCTCAAGAATTTGTTAATTTAGTAAATATCAATACTTTCGAGATTTTCGATGTTTCTTTGTCCTTTTCTTAGGTGCAGAACACTATAGGTCAAATACAAGATAAATTCGGACAAATGAGTGATTCTATCATGGCAAAAAGTAAGGAAATTGAAAGATGGATCGTTAATATTTCCTTTCTTTCGATTTAGTTGATAATGTTGGAAAGCGCATCGATGACCTCGAACGTAACATTGCACATATAATCTCTCAAACGAACGCTCAGTTGCCATAAACTTCTTATTTCTTCGTAACTTTAGTCTCAGCTGTTGTAAACGATATTTTTCTTTGATTTTTTCTATTTACTGACATAAAATCAACACTCTTCATTGTCTCACATGACTATTTCTTTTTCGACAGGACAACTTCATCTTGTGTGTTGTTGGCATAAAGAGTGTTGAGTAACATAGTGACAGTTTCATTAAGTGTATTCAATAAAAGTTCCGTCCGCTCGTCTGAAGCAGAAAAAAGAATCGGAAGGTTTTCGTTAGTCATTTTTTTATGCGCAATCTATGAGACTCCCAATAAATAGATCCCTGATCACTATTTTACACAGCAAACAAAGACAAACAACAACGAGATCAATAGAGAATCACTGAAGGAGATTATCAAACAAAGACGTGGACAAAAGTACACCGAGAAGTAAAAGCAGCCCCGTTTTCATTGCAGTGCTGAACATGTCGATTTGTTTTGTCGATTAGGATTATTGTTTATCCAATTTAGGAAGAGAACGTGATACTGGATTTCGATTCGTTGTTGGAACTTTTCTCATTTCAGGAGCACGCCGCTCGATCGGAGTAGTTCTAAATCAAGAGAAGAGAGAACATATTAAATCTCGATGAGATGATCAACGTACATGTTCGGTTCGCGAAATGACATTTGTCCACCACGATCGCTTTTCAGATGATCCGCTGCATGTGTTCGTTCTTTAATCGATGATATCGCATCTATTTTCACACATAAATTTCATTATCCAAGAGACAACAAATAGATCGTCTTACTTCGAACATCCGTTATTTCGTTTGTTAAAATTTTCCGTTCGTCAGTTGCTCGATGGTAAGCCTAAAAATTGATTGAAAACAATGAAGCACAAACAAGTCATCACCTACCTTATTTTCTTGTTCTAATCGCCATTCATAATCGCGCAATTGACTCAACAAACTCTTCTTTTCATTTTCTACACTTTTGAGTACATCTTGACTGACCTTGAAAACGCCATTATACACATATAACTGATTGTTTTCACAAAACAAAAGAACATGAAAATATTTACTTCACTCGGATCAACTTTTAATGCACGTGTCTTCGCTAAAACAGCAAATTAATCAAATTTCACTTCTTTCTTCTCTTATCGCTTACCCGCTTTGAGTTCTTCTTTGGCTTGATCGATGCTCTTGTCGAGTAAAACGATTTGTCTTGTCAAATGTCGATTGATTTCCTCTTGATTTTCAAATCGGGTCTTCCATTCGTTACCTTCAAACAAAGCATTTCATTAGAATCATCCACAAGTGAAAAACTGCTTCTTTTTATCTCATCAAACATTTGCAATGTTTTGATGGATAAAAACAGATGTCAATTAGATTTTAGCTAGTCGAAATAGTCAATACAAATATCAATACCTTCTGCAAAACCGCGTACATCTGCATGAGTATTCACTACAGAAAATGTCATTTTAGAAGAGTGGATCGTGATTTCGAAAGCGAAATAAAAGATAGAAATACATCACATACTTTCTTCATCGATCATTTTCAAGCGTTTTTCCAATTCTACAGCTGTACTTTGTAATTCTTGACAGGATTGTTCGAGAGATGATCTAATCGTTGAATAGAACAAAGAAGTCTTTTGTGTTAAACATCGATGAATGGTTTACTTGATTTGTTCTTCATGGTGAATGTCAGCTTTGAGTCGGTCAACTTCCGATTGATTATAAGATGTCATGATGAGAAGATTCTATCTAAAGATATCATGACGAAAGACGAAGTTTGAATTTAGAAAAATCAAATGAAGAAAATCAATTTGAGGTTTATTTAGTGAAAAACAATACAACTTTCTGTTCAAGCCCAATAGAGACTAAGATAAGCTTCTTTACGTTGAAGTTTCTTGGTCGATTTATCGTCTGCTAACTAAAAATGTGTAGTATGAAATGTCATTTTGCTTTCTAGAAGATAGTTTCTTACTTGAATCTTCGCTGAAGTACCCGCATGATTATGAATAGAAGAACAATCACGAACTTTTTGAAATGCTTGAAGATGCCTGAGAAAAACAAACGGAATGTTTTCAATGGCATTATATTTCAATAAAGAAATTTTACGTTCGTTTGTATTTTTCTTGCCATTGCCAATTGAAATTAAAACATTTCGAACAAAGAACTTCATTTCGATATTGATAATAATCTCCGGTTGTTGCTAGTTCACAAACTGCACACTTAAACACACAAAAGAATTCGATCAACTATCGCTTCGTTCGTGATGTTTCAATACTTTATCGGTATTCAATGCCATGCATTTCGTTTTCACAGCTGGAATGAGTTTAGTTCGTCCACCAAAACTATGTAGCATATGTATTTGACGGTTTTGTTTGACATCACATTCATAACTACCAGGTCTGTACGTTTCAACAAATCAAAAGACATTTAGGATTAAAATTGGTGACAATAATTCAAATTAGATATCCTACCCTGGTGTATCGGCACTCTTAGCGCGTGCTTTGAATCTTTCTGAAACTTCATTGAATGGTTTAAATGCTCGTTTGGCAGTCGGCACACGTGTTAGATCCATTTGGTACTTATCTGGACTTGGAACGTCACTCTAGATGGAGAGAATAACAATTAAATCAAGTGATTATTGGTCAGATAGAGCTAATCGTTGAGAGAATAGTAAAGCACCTTCGGTTCGAACGTTTTCCGTTTTTCTGTTCGAGCATTGAATGTGTATCCACGACGACTCATCGGCTGTTGTTCGAGAACGTATCGAAAGTTTGTCTTTTCCTCGTTATTATAAGCGCCTGGTCCACTAGAGATGATAGAGCATTGGAAAAAAGCGTTCGAATTAGAGAGATAAATCAGAAAGAATTACAGCTGTGGGATGCCTCGTAATGGTGTTTGGTGATTTCCAAAGCAATCATGTGCTATGTCAGTAGGAAATGTCGGCCGATTGACTGCTGTTGTTCCAAAAGCAATTTTCGAAGGTGGTTCATCGCCTAAGAATAAGCAAGCAAAGCAAATCATGCAAAAAGGTCTCATCAGCTGTTTATCGATTTTGAAATAAGCAAAGCAGCGAAGAAAATATCAAAATTCACCTTACCGAATAACATCTTGATACACTGGTAGATTTGAGAAAAAGTAATATATGTTCTCTAGAATATCATACTAGTCAAATAAATCAAGATGTGTCACCTAGACAACATTTGTCAGACGTGCTATAGATGTCGTTTTCGATTATAGATGCGAATTTTTGCAAAGAATCTGTCAAGAATGTATCCGAAAAAAAAACAATCAAAATTATTTAATTTCTTATTTCATATCTACTTATGAACCACATCGTGAATAAAGTCTTTTGCTTGGTAAGGTCTACTTTAATGGCATTTTATTTTGTGTTGTCGAATCAGTGGGTGAGCAGAATTCTTGAGTAGTACTTCTTTTACCGATGGCAACAAGTCTGTATCCACCAATACATAGCCGTGATATTCCCGGACCGCAGCCTGGTCAATTCGGATTGGTAAGGAGATGATGAAAAAATTTTCTTCTGTAATGAGTATCTATTCTAGCTGGAGAAACCTTATCGTCCGCAGAAAAATCTTGTAACGAAAAATCGAGAGATTGAAGATATACGCGAAGCACGTGAAAAGCATAATCGAGCGGAGAAACTCGAATTGAATAAAATACAATTTGATGAATTAACATCGACCAAAGCTTTCAATGCACAAGTCCGACGTGAAGTTGAACGACGTTTGAATCAAGCTGACAACGAACTCGAGGATCGACGTGAACGGTAGGAATAAACAAAGTGTATTGCATTCATGATGAAGATTACTCCGTTTTAGCTTGCGACAATTACTGGCTGCTGAAGATGCGCAATACATTCAAGAAGCCACGCTATCGAAAGAAAGTTTATCTCAACGTATTGGCAAAATGCGACAAAAAGCACGACGCATACGAGAAGAGAAAGAAAGTGAACACGCTAAGCTTGTTCAAGCAAAATACGATCAACGCTTTCGGCGTGATTGTGCTGAACTACGCGAACTTCAGTCGAAAGAGCTCGATTTCGAATTAGGAAATGAACATTTATGGCAAATGAAAGAAAAACTAGATCGAAAGAAGGATAAAAAGGTAAGTTAAGTTTTTTTTTCACAATGTTTAATTGCTGGAATTCGATTTCAGGCGGAAGAAGATTTCTGGACGCAACTATGGTACAGTGATATTGCTAAGAAGAAAGAACGTGAAGATCGAGATGCATATGAAACGAAATCTAAAACCGATGATATGACGAAAGTTATTCGTGAGCAGATGCAAGCTGTCGAGGCTGAACGTAGTTTACAGAAAAGCAAACGAAAGGAACATTCCGACGCTGCTGTACGAGATACATTCCCGATTCTATTGAGTTCGAATTTCTCTTTTGTCTAGTGGGCACAGTTCCGGGCACAGAAGGATGAAAAAATTGCTGAATATCAAGACAAACTACGTAAACAAGAAGAACAAAAACGTATATTAGACACTGTTCTTGCGTTAGTATTGATGTTCATATTGAAATAGAATATTTCATTTGTGAAAGTTTCATTTAGTACCAAGCAAAGAGTTCAACAACAGAAAGCCGAAGAGGAACAAGCGCTCGAAGATAAAATAACCGAAGAAACTCGACAAGCAACAAAGAATGATGAACATGAAAGATTTCAACGCAAGGTTTGTCATCCATAGACAAAAAAGTTTCTTCTCGACCTAATCAGGACTTTTCTGTTGTTTAGATGGAACTTCGTGATGAAAGTCTACGTTATCGAAACTATCTAGAGCAGCGTAAACTCGACGAAAAACGACAACAGGCAGAACTCGATCGTATCGTACAAGCTGAATTAGATCGGCAAAATGCTATACGTGTTGAAAAAACACGTGCCGAAAAAGAGAAACGAAGCAAACTTCTTCAAGAAGTAGTCGAAGGTCGTCAACAGCAAATGATTGAACGAAGTACGGTCGAATCTATGTATGAAATCATTCTAGTTTGCGAGTCGATGTAGGTGAACGAAAAGCTCAAGCAGCCAGTGAATATCAATGGCAAAAGGATAACATTAAGCTTGTTTCTGAACAAGCTAAAGCAGAAGATGTCGAACGAGAAGCTCGGAATAGAAACAAACGAATGACTTATCGACAAGATTTACAAGGACAGATGGATTACGAACAAAGAAAGAAGAAAGAGGTAGATAACGAAATTTATTCGAATTAAAACATACGATCCAAGATTATTTTCTAACAGGAGGAATATGAGAATCAACGCGAATTTGCAGAAGGCATGCAAGCAGAAGTCGAATATCAAAAACGACTAAATTTTGAACTTCAACAAACAGGTGTAGCGAATCCTCATCCGATCCGTCAATGGTATTCAGCGAAAACGTATGTTCTTCTATACCAATGATTTTCATTCTCGCTTTTAATCAATTCTATTCTTACTTTCAATAGAGGCACACTCTATCGACCGGAAAAACCTGTACTTTTTGACGATGATGCCAATCTTCCTCCTCGACGTCATACAGCACAATCACACCAATCTCATCCAACATTACCTGTTCCTATTGTTTACCATTAAGAAGGATGCTTTATTTTTCTTCTTCTTTTACCTATATTTCATTGACTTTTTGCTTTATACTAAAATTTCTTCTTCTATTTTTTTGACGTTCATCAGCACAGAACACATATGGAAAGTGAGCAATTCCTTAGTATCTTTAGAATTCGAGTATAGGTTGAACGACAGATGATATCAACTATATAAGTGACATGACAAAAGACAATGTTTAGCAACCGTTCGTGTACTTGTGTCTTACAGTTTTTGACTATTAAATCATTCTACAGATGTTTTATCATCAATTCATATAAATCTCGAGTCAATATTGAATCGTTAACAGCATATTTCATATCAGTTCCATATGAAAATTAGTCATTACTATTCTATTCACCCTGTACTTTTTCAACATAATCAACAATTTTTTACATGGGTAAATAAGTTTGAAATCCAAGTAAAATATACACTTTTCGGATTCAAAGTACGTTGTTCCATTAATTTGACCCCGAGGCTTAACTATATGTCTATATATATATAAATTGCATTGTCTCACTAACTCATTTACAAATTCGTTGCAAAACAATATGACTGCTGATCGCTGCATCATTCTCACTGCTTTCTTGTGTGTGACATTGATTACCGTGCAATTGACTAGTGCCGGTGGAGGTCACCATGGACATGGACATAATGGCCACGGGCATCATCATGGCCATGGGCATCCTCATGGCGGGTAAATTCTTCGTTGTCAACCTCGGCTTCTAGAAAATGAATATTTTTGTATACAGAGGTGTCGATCGAACACAATGCAATCAGGCTCAACAGTTGTTCAATCAATGGTGGCCTCAATCGCAATTGTCATCTGCGTTTCAAACAGTATGCGCTCAGTTTGGAGCCACACAAGCCTGGGCTCTCCTTCAAAACCAATTGGGCGTTCCCGTGACAGGTGAGAAATGAATACTCAACTTCTACTTCTCAATAAGATCACATTTAGGAACATTGGATCAAACAACATTTCAAGCTCTGTTAAACAATGCTAATCATGCTTTATTAGCACAACAATTACTTTTATCAATGGGTTAACACAATAGCAACAACAAACAACACACTGTCATCTTCGTATATGACATTTGCTTCTCTGATATTGATTTTGTTTTTGCTTTCAAAGAATAAATAAACAGCAATATCTTTATTCAAAAAAAAAGTAATCAACTGAAGATACTCTAAAAATGATGCTTAGTTATCTTTCTTCTTCACACAGACATACTGTATATCATTTAAAATCTTATTTAACAATCGATAGAAGCATACGTTTATAATCACCGGATGTATCTCCGCTTACGTCTTGAGCTAGGGAGCGATTATACATTTGTTGATATCTTTGTTTGACTTGTGCCAAATCGATCTAGAACAAATGCATGAAATACTTCTCTCTCAACCGTTTGTATTTTACTTCTGATCGTGTGACTATCACACGAATAAGTGTCGAATCTCTCGTTCCTAAACCTTCGATAGCTTGATGAAGGCGTTCGGCGAAAAACGTTGGTCGATCTCGGATACAGGCGATAAGAACGAGATACGCATCTTTGGCATTGCCAGAAAACTCCGAGCGAATCACTTGAGCCATGTCTTGTCGGTATTTCTGTTTATGAAAAGTTAGAAATCATCGACTTTCATTCGAAATTTTACTTTTTGGTATTCTTCGAAAACGGCGCGGAGTTGATAATATGAACGTTGGGAAAATATAGCATTGAATGTTCGTTCATCTGTTCCCCATTTAGCAGCACCAGCCTTGTACAAATCATCCGCATCTTGCCGAGCACGATTACTAAAAGGAACATGAGAAAAGATTTTGTAATGATCGATATGGAATTGTTTGAATCATACCGATCAATAACGCTTTCGATTCCCGATTGACGCGCCTGCTGAATTTGTTGTGGAGTGAGTTCATCTCGATTTGCCTTAAATGGATGAATAGTAATCATCAATCAATTATCAACAAATTCAGATACCTGAACAGCTGAAATCAGAATTCGTTTAAAATCCGTCCCACGGACATGACTACCGAGGTCCTTTTCTAATTCCTTCCTGTACACTATTCACATCGAGAAAAACAGAAATATGCATAAGTCTGTAATTATGAGAGAAAATGATTTACATTGTCTATATGCTTCGACAATTTCTCGTATTTCACTATTGGTTCTTGTCAGTAAGATTTCACGTAATGTGCCTTCCTTGCATCTCTAAAAACAAATAATCGGTATAAACAGATTGAGAATTAACAGGCATACTCTAAACGCTTCATGTAGCGACCAAGCATCGAAATTTGCTGGTGAATCAAAAAGAGCTGTGATCGTTTCTTTAAAATGCCCGCTCAATTCTCCACCCAATTGTTTGATTAGGTCCTATACAAAGAACCAAATTTTGAATGTCAGAACTTTCCTTTTCAAAATGAACATACCACACCGTACATTGATTTGTACTGCGTTTTGATTTGTTGACGTTGTGCGTTTGACCGATTAGCAATAATATCGATCAGGGCACGTTCATTAGTGCCTGAAAAACAAGAAAGGATCCCAAGTAACGAATGTATATAAATTTCTACGACTGCCATTTACCTGCACCTCGCATTGCTCCAGCTAATGCTTGGCAATCAGCCTCAACATTGAAAGTGGGCGCTGGAAACACTGTGCCCTGATATTGCTCCAAGCTAGCGAGCAAAACAGACGGGGGTAGCTGTTGTGGTGCTTGTGAATAAGTTGCTTGGAGCTGATGAGGAGGAGGAGCAGAAGGCTGATATGAAAAAGCTCCTGCACTTTCCTACGAAAGCAAAAGACAATCTGTAAAATGTATGTGATCCAATTTACGCTATAATTCAATGAAGGCGTTGGCATCGATATATTTGGATACATTCCACCTGATGATGATGATGGCTGATCTGATGGATAGGGTGCTTGATATTGTGAATTTCCATATCCTAAGATACATAAGACACTATAAATATAATCATCGCATTCCTAATCATTGATTCTGACTTACCTCCATATTGTTGTTGTTGTACTGGTGGTTGATAGTTATTTCCACCACCGTAACCGAAAGAACCACCTGGCATCTGATTAATACCATAAGATGGTGTCGAATAATCATAAGCACCAGGTACATGAGGAGTAGGTGCGCCGTATGGGGGAGTACATGATTGATTATTACCATACATTGGTATTGATGGTGGAGCCGATTGATAATTATTATTGGGTGGATAATTTGGATATCCACTGTTGCCTGCACCATAAGGTGATGGATAGCCGCTACCTTGATTTCCGTATGGATAGCCACTCATAGTAAACCTTGTCGTGTTTTATTTAACTATTCTTACGAGATAAACAATATTCGAGTATTTAAATATTGTGTTGACGACAATGATGATTCATATCTAGCAGCGCTCCCTTTTCTTATCAAAATCGCCGTTCTTGTTGGGCGTATGCGTGCGTCAGTAGCAGTATACATTTTTCAAACAGAAATAAGAAACTGATATGACAAGAAGAGCAATGAAAAGCAAGTATTGTGATAAAGTAAAATAACAAAACAAGTCGCGTTGCCATATAAAACATTTAATTTCAAAACAATAATTGATTTGTAGGCATCTGGTCATGTCATAAGTCAAATATTCATTTACTCGGCGATCTGCTGTAAAAAGTACCTACAGAGTACAAAATCGAACAGGTTTATCTAATGAGGAAGACCGATACCATGTTTAATCAAGGTCAATCGTCGATTTGTCATTCAATGACATCTAATCTATACATAGATTATATTTGCTCAGAATTGTTCATGTTCTATTACCGATTTAGTCGGATGAAGGTAAAGCATCGTCACAACAGACGTTTACCGATATCCTTGACTCGGGTGGTATATTTCACATTATAACAAATTCCATCCAATAATCATCAAATCGAAACCGGTTCTTGACTTTACTTATTTACCTGGAAAAAAAACACATACACTTTGACTTCGACGACGAAAGTCATAAAAGACCCGATAAGTGAGATGAAACTGAACTCTCCTACTTGTAGTAAATCTTCTACAACTAGACGTGATAAATAAGTATATAATCAATAATGTACATATAGTAAAATAATCGTCAAATCAGCCGCGAAAATCAAATTTGTACAAGATAATTTGAATGATCATCGGTTAGCTAAGTGAAATGCACACTACGCTTGCAAACAAAACGAGAAAGTGTCACATTTTCGTAGATCTAATGATGACATGATATGATATGAAATACGAAACTTCTCAAATTCAATTTGACATGTTCATTATCTCAATCGATTTTATTGCAATATTATGAAACGAAAAGAAGAAGAAACTATCAAACATAAGATACTTGAATAGGGACGCATCCAAGACACAAACTTGAATAGGAACAAACCAAAGGGATATAAAGTGTGCTTGGATTATATGACGTCATAAAAACAGCATGTATTATAATCATGTACAAAAGATCACTGCAACGGAGCATTTGCTGCGTTATTTTTTATCAAGTATACGAAAAATTTCTTCGATGTCGACTTGGAAGATTAAGAATGATCATTCACCTTTAAATTGTAGCTCTGTGAGTATTTAACTTTCGTATTTGACAAATGCATAAGAACAATCCATAGATTTTGTTGATAAGCTAAAAGAAATTTCTCAGAACATGATCTAACGAAGTATGGCTCTCTCTCATGAGTGTAAAAGATGTCAAGGATTCGATTTGCTCAAGTTCTTTCGAATAACGAAATAATTGTTAATGATATGTAATACGTTGAGAAGAAGAGAACCAACAATTACTCAAGTATACATCATTAAAAACTGGTCTCAGTCAATTGAGTTATACAAGACACCGAAAGGCAAAACGATGCAGGCGACGATATATAATAAAAATAAATATAACATCGTCTTATCGTATGTAATGTTCGAGGTCGACCGATCAGAATGTTGTAACTCGAAGCAGAGCAGAGCACATACTGACTAAAGTGTGTCAGCAAGAAACAGTCGTATTAATCGTTTGAGAAGTTATTATGTAAAAAAAAGCCGAAGAGAGACAAAAAAAAAGAAAAGGAAATTGATGATATTGATCTGACACTTTTATGAACAGAAAAAAGTACACTACGAAACTTTTATGTTTGAACGCATACACCTTTGCGATTCATCTTACATATGCATGTACAGCTGTTTATACGCACGATTATAAGACCCATATAATCTTTGAGTAAACGACAATATAGATAGTAGGCCTCTTTGCTTATCTTTCTTTCTTTCTCTTTCTCGCGTTCTTTTTCTTTGCCTTTTCTGCGATGTTTATATGTATTGCATGGGACGACAGTGCCAGCGACAACGATAATGGTGTGTATCCGTCGTTTATCCCTATCATCAGCGTCACTACCAATGATTTTCTTCGGCCTTTTTTTTGCTGAAAGTGACACATAGAAATAGATATACATTGATATATCTATAAATACATAGAAAAGGCTTATCTCTCGTATAGTGCCAAGCAGTCGGAAGAACAAGAGAAGGAAAACTGTGTGCATACATGCCTATATGTATCGTAAGCAAAAGAGAGAAAAAGACGGAGAAATGATAGCATCAAGCTCATTCACCATCATAGTGTTCGTATTATAGTCGTATACATACATACTATATAAATCAAATCAAATCAAGTAAGAAACAAAAGGAAGAGCAAATGAAGACGATTCGATTGTTTGTTCATAAAATACTTCTATTCTCTCTCTTTCTTTTTGTTTCGACACACGTCTCGATGGTCAGCGTTGTAAATTTGAGTATATTGTTCTAATTAGTCCCCGCCCTTCATCCTTCGAATGAAAAGGAGTGAAAAAAATGAAGCAGTGTATAAAGTATTTCTTTTCGCTTTCTCTCTCCTCTTCCTTCTCTCTCTCTCTCACTCACTTTCGCGCTTCCCATTACATACATTCGATAGACCCATTTTTTATGCGAAACATGCTCAATTGAGTTTAATAAATAATTATAAGACATAACAACGCGATCAGAGTGATGTTTACACCAATGCCACCACAAAAACGTCGCTTATTTCAGGTTAATCGTCATGTTCAAGCTTCTATAATGCTCTTATCAGTTATGGATGGTGCCGAATTCGATCTCAACAATACATCTCTTTCCTCATCTCCAAAAACAACGCCCACAGCAGCATCAGCAGCGACAACAACAACAACAATATCAACTACGGATGATTACGACAAAGGTTTATCTTATTTCTTGAATAATTGACTGTTCTACTTTCGAATTTGCTTAGATCTTCAACTAGCTGCCGAACTTGGCCGATGTCTACTCGAACGAAATCAAGAATTGCAAACTTATATTGGCGTCCTACAAAAACAAATTGACGATGAACAGTGTGATATTAAAGTAAGAAGATTAGAATAAACATTACACAATCCAGAACATTTTCTTCTTTTAATCGATTTTAAACAACGATATATTTACACGTATATGTGTGTATATAGACAGATCTCGTTTCTTTCATTTGAAGGATTATGATGCATTCTCTTTCTATCATTATTGTGGTTTTAGTTATTACATGCTAAACTCGAATCGACGCGTGAACAACTTGACAGTAAATGCAAACAAACAGAACTCTTAGATGCAACTAACTTCGACCTGGAGCGAGAACTTCTTCAACAACGTCGCGAAAATGAACGAGAACGACAAAGGGTTAAAGAGTGAGTTCTCCTCAAGAAAGAAATTCATTCAACCATACGAGAGGAAGACGAATAGTGAAGACATATGTCTCTACCTATACTACTCATCTCTGACCATTCGCTTTTCTATCTTGAGAGTGACGAAAATGAAATCATTATTTATAGATTATACCTATAATTATATTACCTTTAGATTGTCTGATCTATGCGAAAAAACACGTAAACAATGTCTGGAAATTGAACATGAATACGGAAGGTTTCGTTCGAAACAGTTGTCTACACAATTTTATCCAAAGCCAATCACTTCTCATATACAATCCTCAACTATTCCTCCAGCGAAGTCTCGACTTCGGCGACATTCGCAATCGACAAATGTTCATCCAATACAAAATTCATCTCCGTCATCGAATATCTTTGATGTTTCTTCGGCTTCCGTGTTTAAAACGCATCTGACTGAATTGAAATCACGGATTAAATCGTTAACATCCGAATGTTCAACATTGAATGATAAACTTCATCAATCTGAACAGGAAAAACAGTTTTTTATCAATCGCATGACACTTCTCGAACGTCAACATCGCGACGATATCGATTCACTTCAAAATGAACTGAATCATTACAAAAAACTCCTTGAAAAACAATCCAACGACCCGCCCTCAACCATTTTCTCACCCATGTTTTCAACTCCTGAACATGATGTGTCCCTGTACGATGAAGTTCTCTTCGAAAACAAAAAACTTCACTTCAAATCGTCCTATGAACCAACAAACTACAAAGACTTATTTGCAAGCGTTTATGCAAAGTTGAAATCCAGTAAGAATATTAATAAATGATTCTCAATTTATTATAAATATTGTACAGAACGACAATTCATTCGTTTCTTCTTTCTTAAGTATTTGGCATGTCTCTGTATTGTCTCTTTTTCTTGTTCCTGTTTACATACACTGTGTGTGAGTCGATGTTCGACGTGTGCATCGCACTTTGTATCTATTTGTTACTTCTTCTTCCTTTTTTTTCTCTTCTAACAAGTATCTATAACATAATGCGTTTGTTCGCAATCTCGTACATATTGTCTTTCGCCATTTTTGAGCAGTATAGTTCATGTGTGCGAAGGTTGTTTCTTTCGACGTTTCTTTTGTTCATTTGTTTTCTTTTCTTATTGAATAGTTTCGTTATAGTTAATTGTTTTTTTAAAGGTCTTCGAAGAGAAGAGAAAGAAAAAAAAACGAACCGAGAACGAAATATCGGTAATTATAAAAACGAATCTTTTTCATTAGTCAATTAGAGTTATTTGATCTGTTCGATTTTGTCAAGAAAACGATGTAATTCGATCGGTTGAAATATTCTCACGAAAGAAAATCGTTTGGGGACAGATCTTTGACAAAGAAGAAAAGTCAACTGAGCCAGGAAAATCATCATGTTTTGATGAATTCGACTCATAGCGCACTGATATCCTGAATTCAAAGCAAAGCGTCCATCTGGCTTGCCTTGAAATCTTAGGTAGAAATGAGGACATTGCCTTTAAGAAAAATTCCTTTACATGCTTCTGTGCTAAAAATACCAGCTTAGAAAATGAATTACTGCCTTATCTAGTGAATAAGTTGTTTGTTTTCTTTCACACTTAGTTTAGTATATAAGCTCGAAGTTATGATACGTTTTTCATCATAAAACTAGGACGGATAGCCGAAATGTTTAGAATTTGGATGATAGGCGTACTTCTTTGTGTTCACTCATCGTCAACATGTACAATGCCGAGATTTGTCAATCTGTCTGTTCCATCGAATTTTAGTATTCAACAATTTCTTGGCGTTTGGTACGAAATCGAAGAATATTTCGATGATAGCCAAGATGAATTCGACGAAGTCTATGATTTCACACAATCGTTTGAATTGGAACATAATTCGAGTGAATTCCTTCTGGTTTATGGGAAAGCACGATTCGTACACGAAGAACAATGTTTCTCCTTTGGTCCATGGTTATTGAATATCAACAACAGTGCGCGGATGATTTTGGACAGGAAGGATTTGAATACGACAACCAGTTTAAATTGGCCGTACTACGTTCTAAAAACCGATTACGAGCATTATCTCTTGATCTACAGTTGTACAACAGCCAATTATCTTGTTGAACATATTTGTGAGGACGCAATTTTGTGGGTGTTTAGCCGAACACGATCGCTAGCTAGTGAATACTCGAAAGAGTTGAATGAGTATATCGAAAAAAGTTTGTGTATCAACACAACGAATGTGAAGAAGATGTCGCATGGAACAAAATCATGTTATATGACAAATTCCGCGCCAGGAACAAAGTTTTCCTCCGTAGAGATTCGTTTTTGTTTCATTGTACTTATTTTATATTTATTTCTGATATACAAATAAACGTGTCTGACAGAAAAGGTGAACAAAGAAGAAAAATATGACTTGATTTGATAAAATTACGAAGTTAATCGTCAACTTTGGTTCGAAGTGAGTGCGATTCACGTTTGAGGACCTGAAAGAAGCGGGGGAAAAGCAAGTTGGCATACACTGATGAAGCAAAAGTACTTACGTTGAGTAATGTTTGAGAACTTTCGAGGATTTTCATATAAGCGGCTTCGGTTTCACTGATTGTTCGATCGAATTCTGTTCGTGCAGTGATCTTCTTTGCTAAATTTTCATTGATCTTCGCCAGTTTCTCGCTGGCTAAGCGTATTTCATTCTCTAGTTTATGCTTGTCTTCTTCTTCGATCAAGATTTGTCGTTGTAATTCATCGCGCTTCGCACATAGATCTTCAATGCCTAGATATGTGAATACGTATAAATAGAGAGAATTCTATTCGTTTGTTCTATGAAACATACATTTAACTAGTTCGTTGTTGTAGTTTTGTAGAGCAGCACCTTGTTGAGACATGATCTTCAAATTGATTTTATCAATGGGAAAGAAGAAAAAATGAAAATTTCAATTCTTATCATCGGACAACTGTCTTTCATGTCAGAACAGTGCCATGGCGATACAGACATTCGTCCTCTTTTCTCTTCTCTGCATTCCATTAAGTTAGTTAAGCAATGAAAAGAATGGAAGACATGGGTAAACTATGGATCGAGCAGATCTTGATTGATGATGACATCGTAAACAACAGGAAAGGAAAGAAACGTATCTTTTCGTTCGATTTTTCATTAATTTGGACCTTGTTGTCAAATATGGGATGCTTATTCTCATATTTCTTCCGTCCTTCGGCTAATGCCGATATTGTCGAAACGCCACGTCAAGTATTCTCATGGTAAAATAATCAGAGATTTCTTTTTAGCGTTCTGGACTACGAGAATAGAATTCTTTTCCTAGGGAACGAGAGGATCGTCAAGCAATCAGGAAAGAAGATTTCATTCTTGATAAATTGAAAGATCAAACGATCTATCGATTACCAGGCTCAATTAATGGGCAACAGTTTATTGGTAAGGATAGAACATTAAACGTTTCTTCTAATCACTGCATTTCTTTTTTTCGTCTTCCAGTGCAAAATTGTGACGTGAGCTGCTCCACTTGTTCGAATTTGCAGTCTAACTCTTGATTTGTCTCATGTAGAATTGCATTGTGTACGTTTTTGATCATACTGGTCAGATCCAAATTGATGATTGCACAAATTGTCGAATTTTTATTGGTCCAGTTCGCGGAAGGTATATTTGAAGTGGAGATTGAACCAAACGAATGGATTGTTTTTTCAGTATTTTCATTCGAGATTCAACAAATTGTGCACTAGCAACTATCTGTCAACAATTTCGCACCCGAGATTGTCGAGATTTACATGTTTACTTAACATGTGCCAGCCAGCCAATTATCGAATCATCACATAACATCAAATTTGGATGTTTAACATTGAACTATCAACATTTGTCAGGTAAGATCAAACAGAAGACATAGAGACAGATGTCTAGAGATTCAAATTGCATTTAGAACAATATATAGCAGCTGGTATTAGTCCATGGAACAATACTTGGGGTAATATTCATGATTTTACTTCAATTCCTGACTCAAAGAATTACACTCTACTTGATCAAGTACGAACTTTTCTTTATCGGAATCAACTCACTTGTTTTACTTTAATTTCAAATAGAATGAGAATGTATTTAAGCATATACCGATACCAACTGATCCATCATGCAGTCATTTGAACATCAACGACAGTATAGAAACAAGTTTCACGCCATTTACTTATGGTGAACTGTATCGTCACCGGGCTGAAGAAGTGAGAGACAATTCATTTGTCTCGACGAAAAGCTAACAATCATTTCTTTGGAATTTCAGCGTTGTTTAGTCATATTATTCCAAGATCCCAACGCTGAACCATGTGCACGAGAACTAATCGCTCTGAACCGACAAGCAGATGTTCGTTACTTTTCTTTGAAATAGTACGGAAATATGTGTGCGTATCTGATGAATTTAGATCGTACTTGTCCAAACAAAATCTTATTCAATTAATGAAATGAGTGCTGAACGTTTATTTTCTGGTAATAAAACGTATACGACATTAGTAAACAAAGGACCTGTTCTTGGTTTGGAATTTGCTGGTGTTAATTGTATCCAAACCTGCCAACAAGCATTGAAAACTTTAATCTCAACGAAATTCATGAATTTACCTCGTAAGATTCTCCTTGATGTGTTTTCTTCTTCTCAGAACCAGCATTCGCTTTCAATTACAGATTTCATCAGTCAATCATCCTCGGATGCTCATGATCAACTCGATAAATTTTATAATTTCGCCAGCATGCAAATGTTCGCTTAAATAAACGTATTCCGTCCATATACTTATTGTGAACCTGTCATTATTGAGAATTCTTTTTTTTTTTAAATATTTTCTTTGTCCTTATTCATATTGTAATTGTATTTATGTTGTGATTTTCTTTCCGTCCATATGTTTAACGAATGAATTCTTAACCATAGAAGTACATGTAAACGTGAATGTGAACACTCGAATTTTGTTTTTTTTTCTTCTGCTTTCTTAGATATCTTTTTCTCATGATAAGCAAGGTATGACAGCAGCAGGTATGACACCAACGGAAACGAATACTTCGCCTACTGATCAACAGCATTTGCATGAGCAACAAAATGAAGAGTACGAAGACAAGGTCATCCAAGAGTTTAGCCATCTGTTGGAAAAATCAAAACAACTGTTCAATGGTTTAAGGTACACTTGTTAATTTGTGACAAATTTGGATGTATGCACATGTAATGCTTTGTAGAGATCTTCCACAGTATGGACATAAACAATGGCAACCATATTTCGGACGAACGTTTGACATCTATACCAAATTATGGAAATTTCAGCAGCAACATCGGTATGCGAGAAAGAGAGAGAGAAAACTGATTTATCAACGTTTGATTTTCTTTGGTTTAGCGTTCTTCTTGATAAAAAATATGGCCTGAAACGTTATCAAATTGGTGAAATCGCTTCAAAGATAGGTCAACTGTATTATCATTTCTATATTCGTACATCGGAGACAAATTATTTGAATGAAGCTTTTGCATTCTATTCAGCAATACGTTCACGTGCTTATTATTCAAAAGTCAACCGTGAAGAAAAACCTGATTTGATGGTGAAAAAGTTACGCTACTACGCACGATTCATTGTCGTTTGTCTTCTATTGAAAAAAACCAAAATTATGCGCGAATTAGTACGCGAATTGAATCGACAAATAGATGAATATGTCAAAGCCTATGATCCAGATGATAGTCTCGAATGGCAACTTGTTCTCAATGAAATCTCTTCATTTATCGATGTCGATAATCAATTGAACATTGATCATGTTCCGATAACACTATCATATCGTTTAACAAATTCGATGATACCGGCGTTACCACCAGGTTCAGAAAAGATCCTCTCAAACATAACAATGTATACAATTGAAGAGATCCTCATCATCGGAAATTATCAAGATCAAATTAAATTTAGTGAATGTAAATAGAATTTTCGATTTTTTTTTAAAGTAGCGTTCGTTTTTCGTCTTTGCTTTTAGTAACAATTGATATGTATCGAATGCTGCAAGCCGTCGAAAGACAAACGAGTGACTCGTCGACATCGCTTGATGATAAATCAACGATTCAACCGCCTGCATCAACAAATCTCCAACAACGCGACATTTATGTAAGTCAAATTGCTCAATTCTTCTGACATGACATCTTTATTTAGAATATTTATGATGGTGATTTTCAAAATCGGCCCAATCCCCATAAATATCTTCTTTACAAACCTACATTTAGTCAAATCTATGCGTTTACAGCATCTGCATTCAAAGAACTGTCTCCTCATGGTACACTTCTTCTCTACATATCAGCTGATGGCTATGACACCCATTTCAAAAGCAAAGTCGAACAATCGTATGATTTTGGTGGTGTTAAAACCAACAATCGTCGTGACGATACAATTGAAAGTCCAAATTCGCCGCCCATGTCAGTAACAAACACTCTCGCGACGAAATCATCGCCATCGATGAACACGACAAGCGCAGCATCTGCAACAGGATCGATCAAGGATGCTCATAATATCTTTCCAGGAGATCTCTATCCATTTCTTCGTAAACCATTATTCTTAATCATTGATAGTAACAACAGTATTACATTTCAAAACATGCCGAATTTGTTTGGTCAACCATTCATTTCCTTGCTCTCGCCTATTAAATTACCTGCAGTATTTCATAGTAAGTTTCACCGAGAAAAGTTTCTCTGAGACGTTCTTTCATTCTGAATAGATTATCAAAATAAAGGAAGTTTGTTTACACTATTTTTGACCTCACCTATTTACGCATTTTGCTTCGTTTGTCATCTTAACGATCTGACCAATGAACAATGGAATTTATGTCAAGAACATATTTATAAAATCATTTCTGAAATCATCAAAATATTTCTCAAATCAAAACTTGTTGGTAAGTTCAGATAGTTCTTCTTCCTCATTAGTTCTTCGTTGTCTTCTTCTCAATAGACAGTACAATCTATCATTTTTTCGCTGATGAATTCTTACGTTTATTTCTGGCGCGATTCGTCTTTTGCTATGCTGTCCTTCGTTTACATCGAGCATTCAAAGTAAGATTGACCTTTCGCTCTCGGAAAATTCCACGAAGAAATTCTTTGTAAGGGATCTGGCTTTTATCCTTCATCTCAACCACAACTATCCAATGACTTACTTGAAAATGTTCAAGTTCATAAGATGATTCTTGAATTATCAGCATCATTGAATGTTCGACAATTGTTTCTCGAAGGCCCACTAACGGCTGCTGATCTGATCACATCTACTCAATAATTGATAAACAACTCATACAGATATTCTAGTCATTGTATTCAATGAGAAACAATCTACTAGCCTTATCCTTGTTTTAGTCTTCCGACGTTCTATGTAATTCGAATTTTGTTCTTTTGATCGTTGATGTTCGTGTGCATTGATGTTATCCAATCTAATGTAGTCAGTGTGTATTTCTATTTAATCGTATTTGCTGTGCACAAATCGTTTTCTTTCGTGTCACATTTGTGAATCTAATCATGGTTTTCTTTTACGCGTAGGGAAAAATGCGTTAGTATTTTTTTTCTACCGAAAGATATTCTTAGTCATATATAATAAAATAGACCATAAACAGAAATACTGTTGTCAAATCTAGCGGCCTGTTAATCGAAAGTTAATGTACTCACTTGGTTTGATGATTCACGTGTCAAGTGCGGAATGAAAGTATTTTCGCACTTGATGATGTTCGCGTGTGTTACTTAACTTGACAACTAAATTTATTAAATTATTTCTCTTTTTGACGAACACATCCTAGACGGAAAAGACAAACTCCCTAATACTATTGCTAGAAAACAAATTATAGATGACGGAAGAAACTCGACGTAGCAAAATACCGGTTTATAAGGTTGAATGACGTATGAAGATGTGCAGTATATAAGTGTCTTCGATTGGTTGAAAGAGCCAGTACTTCCTGAAAGTAAAGGTAACAATGTGGTTTAACTATTCTCTAATCATCGACGATGATCTTTTACCAAACAATCCACATTTTTGGGATCGACCAACACCTATCAATTGTGATATCGTTCGTGTCGTTGGCATATTCCTATGTGTAGCCGCATTTGTTGGAGTTGTGTTGAATGGACTACTGATATACAGCTTTATTCGATATAAACCGATTCGTTCCTCTTCCAATGTACATGTCCTTTTCATTGCAATTATGGGCTTAATTGCATCATGTACAATTTTACCAATGACTGGTACGTCATCGATCTATTGTAAATGGTTATATGCACGTGCTGGTTGTCAATTCAGTTCAGTTATTGCGTTTGTATACGGATGTTCAAGTTGCTATCTACTCTGTGTTGTTAGCGTCAGCCGATGTTATATTGTTATACGACCCTTTTGCGCGAGTAACGTGACAGTAAGCTATAAGAAACTTGCTTGAACGAATAGGTATGCTTTATTTGAATTTAGATTGAGAGATCGGCTCTTGTCTCCTGTTTTGCTATAGGCATTGCTTTCATTTGGTCGATGTTACCAGTTCTGGGCTGGAACGAATACACTATGGAGGTTTGCTTTAATCAGATACTGTGTTTAATATGGTTAGATGAATTTCTAGGGGGCTCGTACATCATGCTGTATAAACTGGTATGACCGGCGACTTTCCTACGTTTCGTTTACGTACTTTCTATTCATATTTGTATACGCTATTCCGCTTATAATCCTTTTCATTTCGAATTCTATCACATTAATTGGTTTGAAAACGATGCGTGACAAAATTGAACAAGGAGTTAGCACTATACTCAGTCGAAAACGTATTCAGATGGAACGACGAATAGCTAAGAGTGAGATATACATCAGGATGATCTGCTCATCTATTTCGGTCATTTAGATATTATCATTACTACATGTGGTTTTATTTTTACATGGACACCATACGCTATTACTCTGTTTGTGTCGGCATTTCAAGGCAAAGATTTTGCTATGCCACCATTAGCAACATTTTTGTGTGCTTGTTTTGCGAAATCATCGGTCATATGGATTCCATTACTTCACATAGGTACCTCAACTCAATACACATTTACTTTTGTGAATGTGACTGCATTGAATAGTCAACCAGAATCAAATCAAATGGAACCCGAAAAACAACACGATCTTCTTGTCGTACATAACAAAGATGGATCGATTCATATTCGTGCAGTTGACAAACTTTCTGTGAAAAGAAAAACTCGTCTAACAAACACGAATTCTCAAGTGCATTGAATACTTTCTTTGTTTGTACAGAAACTATCTATCCCAGATCATTCTCTCTAAACTTGCGATATGTTCTCCTATCTAATCAATAAAGCCTGTCATGAAATCTACTACATCTCTATCGTGATTCTCAGCGCGTAAAACTAAACGAAATTTTTGATTAGCATTGCATTCATGTCAAAAAAAGAGATATTCAATCAAAGTCGAGACTTATGTGTAGGATATGTGGTTGAATCATATTCGAAAAGCACTCTTTGATCTCAGAATGGTAGACCGAGATAAATTATATGTTGTGTCGATTGTTCACCCACTATATTTATCAATATCTACGATATGATTTGATTGTATCGTTTGCACATGAATATAAATACAAGAAACATTGTATTTTTAATGCAAAGCATACGTACTTGCTGATCAGCAGAATGCTTATTCTACTGTTTATTGTTTCAATGACAGTTATATACGAATAGAAGACGAACAATCTGCAATGTATGAGTAATAAATCAAATGAGTCAGCTATGATTTCTACGTCGTGTATGAAATGAGTTATGATTTCTATGAAATTGTTTGATTCGATTATGACTTTTTGATCAAGTGCATCTGTTTTCACGAAGAGAATGTACTTTGCATGTGTTATAATTCGTATGATTGTTTTAAATGATAAGAGAGAACTGACGTAATGAAATATTCTATTTCTATACATTTTGCAACGTCGCCATTCGTACGAGCAATCTTTCGATGTGAAGTACAGTTCGTAAACTAACACTCCACATGCTAAAATGAGAGGAAAGCAAAACTTCCCACTTTCCCAATCTATAAAAATGTATCTCACGTAAAAGCATTTCTCTTGTTCTTCTTCTCTTGAAAACAAATCAATACACAGGTAATGCTTCAAATTGAATTCGACGTTTTCATCCTTTTTCCAATGTGAGAAATAGCTCCCTTACACTTGTGACATGTAGAAATCGTTTGATATGCATTTGTTGTTGAGAACAAAATAAACTTGAAAAGAAATATGAAGTAATTAGATCACTTGATTTTGTATTTGTCCGCGAGGAGAAACGAGTTTAATTGACGACAGTCAACGGTGTGAATATTTTTGATCACCTAATATAAATAAATTTGGTAACCAGATGCAAATGATCACCTCGAAAAGATATTTATGATCACCAAAATTTTCAAAAGTTGTCGATATTGCATCCCATCTCTTTTTTTGTTCATTCAAATAACATTTCATTATCTTATTTTGTCTGCTATGCTATAGAACGCATAAGAAAATATTCATTTGAAAACATGTCAGTATCAGATTGGAAACTACTTGTTGTAGTTCATTCACTTGATGAAGTGAAAACTATTGCTAAATCCAATGATGTTTATCAATATCGAACACATAATCTTGCTGGTTAGTTGCTCCACTAGAATCATGCACATACCCTGTTGGCTTGAAGGTATATTCGCGTAAACATTCAGTTGGTCTAGCTATTGCGTTTAATTTGTATCAAGTCAGTGAAAAAACACGTATTCAATCATTGGGTAAACGAAGAGGAACAGGACATCCAAAAAAAAGTTAACAAAGCTTACGGTAAATAGGTATAAATTAGTCACTTCTCTCTTCTTCTTCTTTTTCTCATATAGATATTTTCACCATTTGTGTTCCACTTTTTGAAAAAATAAATATAATGAATGAACTTTAAAAATTTGGTGATCTAAAGTATTTTTTTGGGGGGATCATTTTTATCTAAAACTATCTGACGATCAAGAATAACGTTTTTTAGTGATCATTTGCAACTGGTTATCAAATGTATTTTTTCTTGGTGATCAAAATTATATTACCCCACAGTTAACATCACACTAGCTTCACGATTCATATACATATTTCAATGGGATTGCCGCTTTCTTCTGTATGAATGTCATAGTTATGTGAAGCAGTTATGAAAAATTAAATCCCTTTCGAAAGATCGGTTTCTTTCAAAGCAGCAGCAAAGCTTAGCAAAAAATGATGTTATTTTTTCTTCCTCTCATATGTCAATAGATGGTTTCTTTTTATCGCTATGCTTCAACTGAATGCGTGCGTCTCTCCTTGCTTTTCTCCTTTCCTTTTATACCCACACTTGGTTGGAAATTTCCAACTTAGAAAAAAAGATTCCGACGAGAAGAATTTTTATTTCCCAAAAAAAGGTACGTAATACACGATTAACTTTTATTATGTTACGAAAGGATCAGAGTATGTTTCGATCCAAGTATCTTTGCATAAGCCATGGTTCGTTTGTACAATGTAACAGGTATGAGTCATACTCGTGTATATAAACCCTGAGTTGGAACAAATGCAGTCAAACGTGCCGTTGTTTTTCTCTTCGTGAAACGAAAGATAATCTGAGAAGAAGAATGTTGTTCATCTCGCTTCTGTTAAAACATATGATTAGAAAGGAATTTCATTCATCGGTTCTGCACTCAATCATTGGGTATGTTACCGCCTACGGACTGTACTTTTCCTCATACTTTTGTTTCGACCTAACTATCTACTGAGAGAAGGGTAAGACATATCTCAGAGTAAAACGAAGTCAGCGATACTGGGTCATTTGAAAATAATCTCAAAGATGAGATATTAGCACTAGATCTAGAAACGAGTGTAGATTATATTTCTATATTTATTTAGACGAAAAAAAGCATCTAAATTTCAAGTAATTCTTGGCTCTGGTGAGTCTTCACCAGTGACAGTTTGAGGGTGAAGGTACGAGATGGGTGCGAAGGGTGCAGCAACTGAGTGGAGATATGCGATGAGTACTGAAATAGTGCAGTGCTGGAGTAATTACATTCTTTAATAGTTGAGTGGTTAGTTGAATACTTGAATTAAACTTTTCAGTTTGACACTACTGTTTGATAGGTGAATTATTTTGAGTGTTGGACAATTCCATTATCTACCGGACTAAGTCCCTTCCATAAAAAGAGAACTTGTGTCTTCACACGAGTCGAAGACTTACTCCGAATTTTGCTGAAATATCTATTAAATTAATCATAATTTCACGAAAAACCTCTTCGGTTGATCGTCTATTATGAAAGAAAGGTTATCACTTTTCTAAAGATCTCTTACCTGACAGAAAAGTTAACTTTAATGAAAAGACATTTGTTAGTCTCAATTAAGATTATTACTTTTGGTACTCTTATTCATAAGTAGACTTCCACTTTTTATATTATCAAATATTTTATTGCGAAAAACCAGTAACTAGATCCATAAATCATAACAGGATAATGAATACGGAGTGCCAAAAGAACTTCTAGTTTTATCCAGAGCTACTTTTCATATACATGTTAAATGAAAGAAAAATGTTGAAAAAATTTAAGAAAAAATATTATTCAATAATTCGAACTTGTCAAGATATTGATAGGAAAATAGGTATGTCCGGTAGAGAAGTAAATGTGTTTGTTTCAACGCTACGGAGATGACGTCTGTGCCAGACTAGTATTCAGTTCGGTCTGGTTCACTGGAAATTTCTCTGTCATTATTGATACAAAGCACTAAGAGAAAAATTCTATATTAAGTTGCACATTGATTCCATTTTTATTAATTCTGGCAATCGTAAAGCTTACAATAATGTTTGATTTTGAAGCTACAAGAGTTATGTCATTTGTTACCCTGTGGAAATGTTTCATTTCGGTCCTTCAAACTACATTTGACCGATATGGTATCATAAGCTCAGAAAAACTGTTTATTCTAGACTCTCGTTTTACATTGACAAAGTGAACAAAAATTCGCAAGAGCTGTGACGCACGATACACTTAGGGCAGTAGAGTTGCTCTAATCATTTATTTCAATGGACAAGGCCGTTAAATGATTTTCACATAAACGTAAATTTGCTAAGTGTACGAGATAATCTCCTTTAATAAAACAGATTTCGATCCTGAACATGCATGTCTATTGTTTTGGTACTGAATGATCAGTATCTTCTCGAACATCAATTCGGCAATAAGTTTGCAACTATTGGGCAATTGCGACCTCCTGGTTACGCCACTGCAACAAACACCCCTCACCGTCTATTTTTCCTATCTAGCTGATAGATGTCACTAGAGTACGGTGACAAAACAAGCGTTTTTTTATTAGTGAAAAATCAGCCATTCGCCGTACTTTTCTCCTTTTCGTTCGGGTCGAGATAAGTTACATTCACACGCTTCATACAAAACAGTATGTAGCTTATCCTTGCGTTTTAAACCAATCAGAATTCATTCCATACTATACCTTTTTCTGTTCTGCTGTTCACGTCGGANCTATCTAGCTGATAGATGTCACTAGAGTACGGTGACAAAACAAGCGTTTTTTTATTAGTGAAAAATCAGCCATTCGCCGTACTTTTCTCCTTTTCGTTCGGGTCGAGATAAGTTACATTCACACGCTTCATACAAAACAGTATGTAGCTTATCCTTGCGTTTTAAACCAATCAGAATTCATTCCATACTATACCTTTTTCTGTTCTGCTGTTCACGTCGGACCAAACTGACAGACAAATATGAATTTGTATTCAGAGAAAAATAATTAATGCGTTTATTTTCATTTTGTACAATATATAGTTCAGTAATCAGATAATTCTTTTATGTAAATATCTTTCAGATACCTTTATCATTGCTCTATTTATAAAAAAAACTGTGCAAAAGATTCGGAAAAATTTTCGTTTAGTTAGAATAACCTGATCAACTTCCTGATAGATCATGACTTATAAATAATTTTGAGAACACATATGTAATAGAGAAGTTTACAAAAACTCATTTAATTGTTTGACAATTAATGTAAAAGTGTCCATAAAATAAAATCAGATTTTTACGAAACTAAATCTGCTTTTCATTACTAAATAACTCGGTGATGTGGATGTCTGACAGAATTTTTTTGAAGAAAATCATCTGTCTCTCGGAAATTCTTTATGAATTACGTCTCAAGAAACTTCAATCACTCTTGATATCATTTCCAGTGTTTTCAGAAAATTCTCATGAGAGAAGCTTTTGTATGTAATATCGACTTAGAAAAAGATTTTGTAACAGTTCAATACATATAAATTTGCATTAAGATAAAGTAGAAAAATGACTTTATTTTTTATTGTCTACACTTAGCTTCTGAGATTCAATGCATCGATACTTTTATTTATTTCTGATCAAATTTAGTATCAAGATTAAGTGACTAAGAGACATCTAAGTCACATGGCGATCGAAACACTTTTCTGTACTTCTACGATGAGAGAGAGACATGTGTTATATATCACTGTTTTTGAACTGAGGAGAAGCGAAATGAAAAGAAAATTCTCACTAAAGTCGTATAATCTGATCTATGTTCAAAGACGAAAACTGAGAATAGTATAGTTTAGTTTATACATGGCCAAAATGATAATAAGACCACATGTATGCAATCGGTTGAAAAAGATTATATGAAAGAGAAAATGCGTTTTGGCGACTTTTCATATGAATGATACATCAAATTATTTGTTCTTATCGTCACACTCTCTCTAGTTGAGGAAAATTTATGGGCAACAACATAGTTGCATATCGAGAAAAAGAAATAAAGCTTTCTCCATATTGAATAGATGTTACACGCGTCTGACCTATTATTGATAAGAGAATACTATATGAAATAATATTTCTTTCCCAGATATCGAGATATTTTAAAGAGTTAAACAGATGAACTGAAACCGTTTTTCAAAAACGGATTTTGAATTGATGCGTTCACTCAGAAGATTTCACTTATATATTCATCAATATTTCGTAGTGCTGATAATGACAGAGTCATAGTGTCTATGAACGATGATGATTAAAAAGCTATAATCATGACAAATAGTTCGTTATGTAAGATGCTTCGTGCATTCTTAATATTAGTAATGAAGTGATGCTACTTTAAATTTCTGCAGAACTATTTTGGAAACAAAAAAAAAGATGTACATTAGATGCGAAATATAAAGATAAACCATTGTTTCTGATTTTCTCATATTTATGTATTGATAACAAACTAAGAATCTGACAGATGCTTCACAACAAGTTTTGCTAGGTATCGATTCACTTGATAAACGTTCCAGTTGTCAAAGAATTAAGTGTCTCTATCGCTAATACTTTTATTTCCTCATCAAAACATTTTATAAGCAGATGAATGCATATTTATTGCAAATTATTTTTGAATTGACTAAGTTTTCAGTAGATATCCACGAGAAAATGGTTTCATATTCATTCGTAAAGATATCGAAACGAAATCAATCCATGTTTCTATTTGTAGTGTCTGTTTTACACTATGTTCAAATCAACGCCCTCTATTCTTTTCTGTTCTCGAATAGGGCTATGTGCGTCTATACAATATGGCGATTTAGTGTATGTAGCGTCGAGTGAATGCATCTTATCGCAACCTTTCGTTCGTTCGTTGATCAGAACTCATAAACTTTTGCCTATTCGCACTGACTCGACTTTTTTGTCGAATGGTGCGTTCGAGGGGATGCTTCAAAGGAAACATCTATTGGCAAGTTTCAAATTCATTCTTCAGAAGGTTTCGAGTCTGATTACTTAGTAGAACCACGTACGTCTTTACTGAGTGAATGTAGCGTTTGGAAGTATCGTTCCAAAGTCTATACGATGTTCTTTTCAACACTTACTCAGGTAAGTATCGTTTCATATAAAAAAATCGAACGTGAAGAAAAATACCAAATATGATCGTCCTCAGTGTTTTAGATTTTGTTCATAAATACTTCTTTTTTTCCAAAATTAGTACGTGTCAAATAAAAAACCAGAAAATAAAGGTAGTCACTGTGTAAGCGGTCACTATAAAATGGTTGGTTTTGATGTCAAAAACAAAAGTGATATCAATTCATTCTACAAATGCACCTCCTGCACCTATATATTACGTGAACCTTTTCAGCTGATTTGTGGCCATCGTCAATGCAAAACATGTATCGATGACATCAAAGAGTAAACACAATATCACACATTCCACTCACTAACCTTCTTCTCCTCACTAGGGATGTTATCAGATGTACCGAATGTCAAGAAGAAACACCGAAAACTGAGGTCAATATTTCAGCCACATCATATCTCTTCCGTCACAACATTATCCTTTTGTTTTCTTTTTCGTTCATAGATCATGCCGGATCGTGGCTTCAGAAATGACATGAAAACTCTGAAAATTGTATGCGCGCAATGTGACTGGCATGGATCATTCAAAGACTATGAGGTACAGTTAGTTCAACACTATATTCATAACTATCGAATTGCATCGTAGATCCGCTGACTTGCATGTTGCTCTCATTCTAGGCTCATTTCAACGAATCACATCCAAATCCCATTTGTGAGTTCTGTAGTGAACAGTTCACTTCCAACATCCGACTCGATGAACACAAACAAAAAGAATGCACCGAAATCACTCAGCCTTGTCCACTTGTACAATATGGATGTCTATGTTCAGTAAGTTACGATCACGTTAATTCAAAAACCAGATTCAGCTAACTGATGATGACATATGTACACTGTGTTTAGGTGCGTCGAATAGAACTTGGCGATCATTATCTAAGTGATGTTCATCAAAATGTAATCATTAGTGTTGTTCAGCGCTTGTCTGTGAAACTAGCACATGATCCGTCAGAAAGAGGATCAACGATGGATGTCGACGTCGTACCAAACATCGCCGGTTCATTAGCTACAACCACAATAACAAGTGAAACACTTAGCACAAGCGTGCAAGAAGTGTATGAAGCAATCAACACTCTTGCGAGTGGTACACAAACACTGAATGATGAAACACTACGTGTGAGCAGCGAATCTGTTCGAGTACAATCTTCTGTCGAATCATTGGCACAAGGGCTCGCATCACTCAAGTTGAGTATTGAAGAGCAAGGTGCTTTTCTCGATGGTATCAAACCGAATCAAGAGATTCTACAGCAAGAAGTTGCATCGCTGAAACAAAAGGTCGATGATGCACAATATGTGTCATATGATGGAACACTCATCTGGAAAATCACTAGTGTTAAGAAGAAAATGAGTAAGTTTGTTGAGAATGACGAGTATTAGTAGCGAATGATGATATATGTTGTTGTTGTTGTTTAGGGAATGCTGAATTCAAGTGGCAAACATCTATCTATTCACCACCATTCTATTCTTCGTCTAGCGGTTATAAGATGCGAGTCTGTTTATACTTAAACGGTGATGGCGATGCTCGTCGTACTCACATGTCGCTGTTTTTCGTTCTGATGCGTGGTCCGAGCGATGCTATGCTAAAGTTTCCATTCAACTACAAGGTGACATTCTGTTTGTATGATCAAGCATCTCAACAGCGACATATCATCGACTCGTTTCGACCAGACATCAAGTCTAATAGTTTTCAGCGTCCGCGATCAGAAATGAACATAGCGAGTGGTATACCAAAATTCTGTCCCTTACGGAAAATTCAAATGAAAGACAATCCATATGTTCGGGATGACACGATGTTTATAAAAGTAATGGTGGATTTTGGTGATATGCCGAAAACGTTATTACCATATGCATTGAGTCTAAATCCTGGTCTGCCGAAACATGAGGAACAAAGACTGATCCAAGAAAAGAAGAACAAACTAACTAGTCAGACGACCATAGGGCTGAGGCAACCGGTTGTCCTAGCCGTACCAGAACCGGAACAACAACCTGCTGAGGGAGAGGAAGATGAAAATGTTAGGAGCATCGATGAGCCAGAAGAAACACACGGGCGTCGTTGATGTAAAACAGTTTAATAAAATACTTTCTGTATTAATAGTTCTCTATTCCTAGGAGCATGTTTTAATGAACACATTCTAAGCCTAAATGTTTACGTTCGCTCCAGATTTATCAATCGATTTACCCTGCAGTTTTAGATTTCCCCTATAGAAAAAAAGGAAGCAGTATCATATCATTTCATATTTTCTCGTCAGTGAATAATTTCCGGTCGAATACACACACGTTACGCTTGTTTTTGGATATTTCCACTGTGCGATACAAAACAGAGTTGTCATGGATCCATTTTGTATTGAGGTTATACTGAGCATGTAATACAGATTTTTAGATTAAGAAAGTGGTACAGAACCTATTTTTCCTATGTAGATATTGAATAAACGATATTCGCCCGTTACTGAGTATGTTTTAAATGGAGAGCAAAATCTTTTTACCTTTTTGAGATTTTTTTCGAATGGTTTTATTTTTGTCAGTATTTATCTTCAGCGTGATGTGATAGTTTTGTGTGATCCAACAGTAAAAACTCCATATTTTTATAAACGTACTTTTTTGTGTTATCATTTCATTTCAATACTGAATAATAAGAATTCGTTATATACTCAAAGCTATACGTATGTTTATTAATTATTTTCATTAAATAAAATTATCAGAGTACATATTATTCTTTTTTTTGATTGTTGATGACAAAAACCATGTAGTCAAATGTTATAAGCTTATAGAAATCCAGATTGGATAATCTTTAACGAAAGACTTCCAATCATATGTATGGTTATTACAACCGTAGCTTATTTGTATTTGTTTATTGCTTTGGTTTTATTCTCTCGAGATGATAACGATTAAACATCTCTCGATCCGTTTTATCACACGATTATGAAATTCAGATATGTGTGAAATTTCGAAATTATATGAAATTCTTTCGACAATATATCTTACACACCTTTACCGTGTAATTTCATTCTGTTTCTTTACACAGATTCCATTCATTTCACTGTCAGCATTTTATCGAATCTGAAATACTGTTTTTATTGCAAATGACAAAACATGTTTAGCTTTTTTCTACAATCATTAAATGCTCGAAAGTAACTACAAATTAGAAAACGCCTTTTCTTATCAACATTAATCACACATTTCCCACACTGACTCAAGATCAAAACAAAACAATAGATATCAATGATTACCAAGAAGATGGATGTGTATGATCGCTTTGCAGGACAGGTAAATAACACTATCGAGAAGCTAACAATTATATTTATACTTCCTTTCTATTTCACGTCGTAGTCGTTGTAAATCACAATTTTGATTTAGCTAACAGTCAAAAACACATTGTACGAAATAGCATGACGAATATAAAGCTTCTCGTTTCTCATATAAAATCAAATTGTCACATTCGATAATATAACTATCTTTATTGTTTCGTCGTATAACGAAGATGAAATTGGAGTTATGTACAGGGTTGTGCAAAACCTTTTGCTAGGGGGGGTAACATTATCTTTTCGACTTCAGTATCTTATGGATTTTATACAGAATGATAGCCCGTGAAAATCATTTTGATTCATGAAGTTATCGTCGCAAATTTCAAAGATAGTATGAAATCTGTAGAAATACTCAATCGTCAAAAATTGTGCATGTTTTCTTTCTTTTTTATCATCTTGACTGTTTTTTCTCCTTCTGCGCGTAGACGTATTTTTTCGTTCTGTAGTGTGTGTCACGTGTGTTGAAATTTATTCCTTATCTCTATTTGAATGTGGAGATGTAAGAGAAAAAATTATGCAAAATCCTAAATTCTGATAATTGAGTATTTCTACAGATTTCATACTATCTTTGAAATTTGCGACGATAACTTCATGAATCAAAATGATTTTCACGGGCTATTATTCTGTATAAAATCCATAAGATACTGAAGTCGAAAAGATAATGTTACCCCCCTAGCAAAAGGTTTTGCACAACCCTGTACATAGAACAGTGTCATATTGGAAAGGACAAATACTGATCTGTATTTCTTCTTTTCTTTTTGCAACGAAAATATTTCCTAGTTCGATATTATTCTAACGGATAGCAGAAGATTTAGATCGAGAAATAAGAGGTAGTAATACATCTGTTTGTGATCAAACATACTTCAACACGTCAAATCAGCTACACAAGTTGAAGAATGACAATACGCAACGATTAGTCATAGAGAAAGAGAAAGAATGCCTATAAAAGGTAAAAATCCTTGAACCATACGTAATCATGGATTAGTCATGTCGATGAAATATTCCATGACTTTCATTCATATCTTGTGAGAAATCCCATGAATCAAAGTAAAAATAATATAACAATTGAAACTACAAAAGCGAACACATACAAAGCAACTTTTATCAGCGGTGAGTGCAATACATCATTTTACGAATTACATTGTTCCTGCCACAGATTTCAACACATTTAGTACGAATAGCCTACACCAAACAATGCTACTATCAAGTATTACTCCTGAGATTAATCCCATGTTTTTTACATTCATCCATCAGAAAAAATCTAACCAAAGAATAACAGTCAACGAATTCATTATCTATATTGCATAGTTCCCACTATTATCGTATCTATGACCGTCTTGTCCTACCGGTGAATTCTATTTGTCTTTTCCCCACTCACTCATTGCTATCATTTTCCTACGAAACAGGGGTATGATGATATTCTTTTCAAATTCAATGAGGAGATGTGTACATTTATCCATACTTTTCGTTTTCATTTTTACTGAACTTGGAGTGAAGTGATAGGTATCGTTTTTATTCACACTACAAACAACAATTTCCGTGTTGAATATCTTCTCAGATATCATACATATTAATATCTTTATTGCACCACTCTTTGCCAGTTAGAGTCGTTTAGACTACTTTTTGAAATCCGTCCGTTATTGTCAGTTTAAGGTTATAAGTATCACTAAATGCAGACATATTTTTATAGTATATCACCATATTGTGATAAATAATCTTCACTATCAAACTGTGAACTACTTAGACTTTTCAGAAGTATCATGACGCTCGCTCTATTGTGATGTATACTCTGCAGAATGCTGCAAAGATTCGCAGATGTAATGCTATCAATCTAATTACATTATCAGCAATCCAACACAATGTTCTGTCTCGTCTTTCATAATGAAAACTATAGATTTACATATAAGAATCATTAATATTCTCCCTGCATCCATTTAGACAATTGTTGTCTAACGTCAGTTCACACGTTAATCTAGTCTCACACTTCAGTTAAAAATAAACAATGCCCGGTCTTCAAGCTCGAAATATCAACACTCTTCACGCCAAATATATCTGTCCTGTTTGTTCACTCATTCTTCGACACCCACTTCAAATCAACACTTGCGGACACCGACTCTGCCAATCTTGTTTTCGTCACAACAATCAGTATGTATCAACCGCTTGTCCACATTCTCACCGCTCACTCTCATTCTACAGAGCTATCATCACCTGTCCACAATGTCAAACAATAGCAACGCCTCATCAAGTGAGCTCGCCTCTCTTCCCTAACGCTCATCTAGACTCCGTCCTATTCTCCGTCCAGATTGCGCCTGATCGTGGTTTCAATAATGACATGCAATCTCTTCCACTCCTCTGTTCGTTTTGTCAATGGGATGGTGTTCTCAGAGATTACCACGTAACTTCGTTTGCCATTTGTCACATTCTAGTCATTGTTTCATTTGTTCACGTTTCGTAGGAACATCTGAACCAAGCTCATCCTCATCATGAACAGATCATCGATAAATGTGTGTTGAAAGAATTCGGTTGCAACGAAGAGGTATGAGTGTTGTTTGTTTGCTGTGTGTATGAGTTTCAGAGGAAGAGAATGTGCGTTTGAATGATTAAGGTTGGTCGGAGTGGGATGGCCGAGCACTATCGAAGCAGACAGCATCAAGAAGCTATGATGAAAATGGTTGAGCAGATTAAATCACAGTCGCGAGGTGGTCAGATGTCATATACTGAAGATAGTGATGGTGATGGAAGCGTATTACAAGATTTTGATGAAAATGTAGATGTTCTGGGAAGAGGTATTGCAACGGTGAACGAAGATATCGAACAAGATCAAGCGGAAATAGTCGAGTATGACGGTAGAATACGAACCTTAACGGAAAGCGTGTCAAAGAGCAAACTATCAGTTCAAGAACAGAGAGCTTTCTTGGAAGCAACAAAACAAAACCTGGATGTACTGCACCAGCAGCTGACGTCACTTAAGGACAAAGTCGATAACTGGAGGCAAGTGTCCAATGATGGAACGTATACATGGAAAATCTCGGAATTTCGAGAGAAGATGAGTAAGTAAAAAAAGCAGTTCATAATGACTTGCATCTGTTGTTGATGGATTTGATTTGATTCGTAGATGATGCTCGATCTGAGCGACAAACATCTATCTATTCACCACCATTCTATTCTTCGTCAAGTGGCTATAAGATGTGCGCTCGCTTGTATTTGCATGGTGATGGCAATGCTCGTCGTACTCACATGTCGCTGTTTTTTGTTCTGATGCGTGGTCCGAATGATGCTGTGCTAAAGTTTCCATTCAACTACAGGGTGACATTCTGTTTGTATGATCAAACACCTCAGCAGCGACATATCATCGACTCGTTTCGACCAGACATCAAATCCAGTAGCTTTCAGCGGCCACGATCGGACATGAATATTGCATCTGGTATTCCTAAATTTGCGCAATTGGAAATAATCGAACAGGAAGGCAATCCATATATTCGTGACGATGCAATGTTTATTCGAATCATAGTTGACTTTAACGAAACACCAAAGACCTTACTACCATACATGTTGAGTCTAAACCCAGGAATACCAATTCAAGTGCAACAGAAGTTGATGAGAGAAGAAGAGGAGAGACGTGCTGTGGTCCAAAGTTAACAATCTCGCCAATCCTAACAATATTATTTTGCTTTTTCAAATGTATGAGATACCTAAACAAGAACTCCAGTTGATTCTTGTCAGAAGACCAGAATAAGCATTTACTAGCCGATTTCTTGGAGGTAAATCAAAGTATTGTTCGCTTTTTTCGTAGCTTTCCGACTGCTATTGAAACATGTAAATGAACTTGATAACTAGGAAGTCTGAAATAAAAGGAAAACAAAACACATCTTAAATCCCATTCTATCAGTCAGAATTAGTTGCCCATGGTAAATTGAAACATACAGAGGCGATCGTACTCCAATTAAATATATCTTTTTTTTCTTCGAAGGATGTACTTATGAGGCGAGCATTTGATATAGAAAATTGCGCTGATAAAAATAATGTGAGCAAGACAGCACGTTTATAAATAATACAAGATAGCTATTTGCACGCAGCCACCGAGATGGATTGTCATCTTGACGATTGATTGTCAATCACAAACGTTTTTGGTATGCCACTCGCTATGTTAATTTCTGATCGTGGACGCTGAAAACTATTAGATTTGATGTTTGGTCGAAGGTGGCATGGGTGAAGTATGATCTTTATCATTTTTCGCTGGAGGAACTTGATAAAACACTTCAATATCATCGTAAGTATATTTTGACGATAACTTAAAACATCTGCAATTATCTATGAAAAAGAAAATTCAGATTCAGAATAATCTTGGTCACTGTCCTAAAGTGCCTAAAAAGAGTGCCTTTTAATGAGGTCAGAAAATGTTATTAGATAAGTTAAAAAACGTACAACGTGGTTTTCTATCATAGCTGAGAAGTATTTCTGATGATATCACTCAAAATCCATATTGTATATACAGAAATAAAGCCGAAAGAAAGGAATATCCGGATAACCAACTGTATTTAAAAAATTATACCGTTTCAATACAATATTCAGCAGTTTAATATTAGTCTTAGTATGGTTTTTTTTGTCCATCTTACTTTTACCTTGACTGTCTACGTTCGATAAAACAGTAGCTTTCATGGATAAGGTTTAAATCCTTCTTTTTATAGCGATTTATACAATGTCCTCTGGAGAGGAGAGTCGTTTTTTAAGGATTCAACTTGAATTCTTAGTACAAAATCCGTAGATTAATGTATGCATTGATATTGCTTTCAAGTAGTTAGTTTCTTTTTCAGACTAAGATATGTCATGTTTCATTTGTCATGCAGTAGGCGTAGGTTGTGGTTTGTTTTATAGAAATAATTGGTTAGTTTTATTTGCTGACAATGTGCATCAGACGATTATGTAGAACTCAATGATTATTCTTCGTTGGATGTTCTTGTATTAAAAAGATTCATCAAATGGCAAAATACAAATATTATCCTCCGAATGTGATTTTTCACTCATATATATGAATTCTTCTGCAAGTAAATCATCAGTTTCATTAGTCGTATTACTACCTCTTTCGGTTGATGTTACAAACAATCTGTTTGAACTTGACAACGGCTTACATAAACAAGCAAAAAGAATCGAATGGATGGAGACTACCACTTGCAATCGATTCGCAAGAAATATTAGTTAGCATGAGTGATTATCTTGATTGTGAATAAAAATACAAAAAATTTCGTAAGCTAGTTAGAATTGTGGATCTTTAATCTTCTTTTAGTATTTCTGGATTACAATTTTTACGCAAGCAAAGCAATGAATATTTTGAGAAAACAGCAAACTAGTAGTCGAAAGTGTCATACTATCGTAAAAACGATCAATTGAGTCTATAGACCCTAATAATATCATCGCCATCCATTATAGACTTCAGTCTCCTTTCACGTTTAATTGATGTTTCTAAACGATAAAGCATTTCCAATAACTATCCCATTTAGATTATCACGGTACTCTTCCTCACACTAATCGTTCATACAAGCACTCAAGAACTTGCTGAAGAAATATCTGGACCTATATCCAGACAATCCTTCAGCACGTCCTTAAATGCTTTTACATGATATGCCTAGAGTAAATCTCTTTAGACGTTGTGAATGTCTCTTTCAGTATCGGAAATCTTCCATCGGGTACACTAATGATGAAAAAATCACTCCATCATAATACGTTTCAAAGCTGATAGGATCTGTTACATGTTTCGATTATATTTCATTACAGCTATCGCAGTAAGGTTGTTTGAAAGCACTCCAGAGTTACGTACTATTACGTTCTAAAATTTTTTTGATAGATTGAAGCTAACAATATTAAAAATGTTATGATGAGTCGACAGTTTCATTTTAGTTTCCATGCATACAAGTCAAAGAAAATAGTCAGTATTTGAAATTATTTGTTCATACGTTTTCCATATTTGACAAATGCTGTAAGGGTGAATTAAACGCATTAAAATTTTGTAATAGAGCTAATTCTTTCGTCCCTAAGTAAATACTTAATTTAGATTTCCACTACTGAGAAAAACATTCACAAAATATATTGAGAGCTAGTCTCTACCTATCGTGTATTTCTATGAATGTGTTTCTATAAAAAAAAGTCCCTGATGTTGGAGTACGTCAAACTCATTCAATGCGTTTTCGACATCATAACACACATAAAGTACTAGTTTGCTTCTATAAAAACTATGGAAAGAAATTAACGAGTTTCACGCATCACTACTGCTACCGAAGTGTTCCATTGTTATCGGGACTTGGCGATTGCTGAGGACTGTTGTTGTCATTGTTTGTATTTTGAATTGGTGTTACGACTAATTGCTGTATCAATTGTGTGTCTGTATTTTGTGGCGGACCTAATACTTCCATACGAGTGCCTGGTGATGTCGGGGTCTGCTGTGTTTGTTGTTGAGCGCGACGCTCCGTTTCTTGCTTTATGAACAGCTGCTGGATGTGTGTCGGTAGACCAGGATTTAGACTCAATGCATATGGTAATAACGTTTTCGGCATATCCCCAAAATCCACCATTACTTTTATAAACATCATGTCATCCCGAACATATGGATTACCGTCCTGTTGGATCATTGCCAGAGGAAAGAATTTTGGTATACCACTCGCTATGTTCATTTCTGATCGCGGACGCTGAAAACTATTAGACTTGATGTCTGGTCGAAACGAGTCGATGATATGTCGCTGTTGAGGTGTTTGATCATACAAACAGAATGTCACCTTGTAGTTGAATGGAAACTTTAGCACAGCATCGCTCGGACCACGCATCAGAACAAAAAACAGCGACATGTGAGTACGTCGAGCATTGCCATCACCATGCAAATACAAGCGGGCTCGCATCTTATAGCCACTAGGCGAAGAATAGAATGGTGGTGAATAGATAAATGTTTGTCGCTCGGATTGAGCATCTCCTAAACAACAACAACAACATGCATCATCATTCGCTACTAACACTCGTCATTCTCAACAAACTTACTCATTTTCTCCTGAAAACTAGTGATTTTCCAGATGAGTGTTCCATCATATGACACATATTGTGCATCATCGACCTTTTGTTTCAGCGATGCAACTTCTTGCTGTAGAATCTCTTGATTCGGTTTGATACCATCGAGAAAAGCACCTTGCTCTTCAATACTCAACTTGAGTGATGTGAGCTCTTGTGTCAATGATTCGACAGAAGATTGTAATCGAACAGATTCGCTGCTGACACGTAGTGTTTCATCATTCAATGTTTGTGTACCACTCGCAAGAGTGTTGATTGCTTCATACACTTCTTGCATGCTTGTGCTAAGTGTTTCACTTGTTGTTGTGGTTGTAGCTAATGAACCGGCGATGTTTGGTGCGACGTCGACATCCATCGTTGATCCTCTTTCTGACTGATCATGTGCTGGTTTCACAGACAAGCGTCGAACAGCACTAATGATTGCATTCTGATGAATATCGCTTAGATAATGATCGCCAAGTTCTATTCGACGCACCTAAACACAGTGGACACATGTCATCATCAGTTAGCTGAATCTGGTGTTTGAATTAATGTGATCGTAACTTACTGAAGATAGGCACCCATATTCTACAAGTGGACAAGGCTGAGTGATTTCGGTGCATTCTTTTTGTTTGTGTTCATCGAGTCGGATGTTGGAAGTGAACTGTTCACCACAGAACTCACAAATGGGATTTGGATGTGATTCGTTGAAATGAGCCTAGAATGAGAGCAACATGCAAGTCAGCGGATCTACGATGCAATTCGATAGTTATGAATATAGTGTGGAACTAACTGTACCTCATAGTCTTTGAATGATCCATGCCAGTCACATTGTGCGCATACAATTTTCAGAGTTTTCATGTCATTTCTGAAGCCACGATCCGGCATGATCTATGAACGAAAAAGAAAACAAAAGGATAATGTTGTGACGGAAGAGATATGATGTGGCTGAAATAGTGACCTCAGTTTTCGGTGTTTCTTCTTGACATTCGGTACATCTGATAACATCCCTAGTGAGGAGAAGAAGGTTAGTGAGTGGAATGTGTGATATTGTGTTTACTCTTCGATGCCATCGATACATGTTTTGCATTGACGATGGCCACAAATCAGCTGAAAAGGTTCACGTAATATATAGGTGCAGGAGGTGCATTTGTAGAATGAATTGATATCACTTTTGTTTTTGGCATCAAAGCCAACCATTTTATAATAATTCTAAAGTATGGCATTTTGCTTTCTACGATATTGAATACTCGTGTAAACTTACTTTCTCTATTCGTGTCTATTGTATTTAATCGCATCCAAAGAGTATAGTAGGTACCGAGCAATAGGATCGTCCCTAATGAAAAAATTGATTTAGTCAACATTTATCATTGGCACAAATGATGTTACAAATTAATGTTTCAGAAAACATCAGCACGTACATGATTTTTATTAAACTTAGTTTCTCAGTACATCTATCCATATATCACCATAATAACAGGTCAAACAATAGATGCCGTTAATCATCATCCATTTTATGTACAAATTTTCTTTAGATAATTGTTCATTGGAGTAAAACATTTATAGATACAAAGAGTGAGTGAAGAAGTCATTTTTTAAAATGACTGTGAACATCTATTGCCTGATACTTTTCCTACGATTGATCACTGACTGCGTAAGCACAATGATGTATATCTAGAATATACTTTCCATTCATGATGATGGTCGTCAGACCATACGGTTCAACCGGCGCGACCACTACATTACTAAAAGATTAATTACGCCCGTGAATTACGTTTTCTAGATCATGAGACAGCAATGCTGTACAATCGAAGTATGCAAAATGATCGAAGGCATATATCAAGAACGGACGACAATCGGAAGAAATGAAAACGTCAAATATTATAGGCGAAGGAAAAACACAAGAGATCTAATGTAAGGAGCATCAACTACTCCGTTCGAAATGCCGAAATCAAGACATCACTTGTATTAACGAAGCGGATTCAAAATATTGAACACGCCACGTGGGCGTGTTGTGAATACATCTATAGAAAGCTCAATATCCCACCTTCAAAGCAATCGAAATACATTTGTAGGCAATGACTTATTATTCATTATGTCTGACTTATTTCCTCACAGTACTCGCCGTTACTGTGTGAGAGAATCTATATACTTTCAACGAAAATTAAACACACATTTAACACATTGCCTAATCGCTAAAATGACTGTCTTCTCCTATGTTTATGAGAGAAAATCAGCGTTTGTTGTAGCTCATAGCTTTTGATATACGTTATTTGGAAATAATATTACCCAAACAGTCAAACTCTTTGTCTACACGCTGTATGGGAAGCAATTTTCAATCAATAAATCGAAATGGGCATCGATATAATACTATGTATCGATATTCGTAAGTCGGATGTTGAAGGAAGCAACAGAATGCTACCAAGATTGTTTGTTTGGAAGAAGAAGCACTTTAGTCGTCAGATGATAACCATCGAACATGTTGGTATGTCCACGTATTGCACGTTATAGATTGTTTTAATCACCATACTGAAAATGTTATTTGATTTTGCATGTGATAAAATACGAATCTCGAGCGAAAATATGTTTGTACATTTAAGATTCGATAGGGATAGAAAGAACTACAATTCTGAAACAGATAGTGAGTACAATTCTATGTGAAATGGACGCATAGATGTCGACTATCATCTTCTTCTCACAGAAATAGATTTCGCCATACTAAACTTTGTCAGGCGAGACTTACATATGACTCACTTAGGTTCTACCACTCACAACTATATGCGCACTAAACCTATAGCTAATCAATGCCTGTCTTTGTTCACCGATAAAATAATGAGCACAAACAAGGATGTGACTACAAAAGACGCTGAAAATCATTTGACGAACGTTGATATTAATGTTTCGAGAAAAAAGCAATTAATGACGTTTTCGTGAAAACTCACCACCTATCGAATAGTTTATTGTCGCTGAAAAACTGTCACTGGTGAAAACTCACCAGAGCCAAGAATTACTTGAAATTTAGATGCTTTTTTCGTCTAAATAAATATAGAAATACAATCTACACTCGTTTCTAGATCTAGTGCTAATATTTCATCTTCAAGATTATTTTCAAATGATCCAGTATCGCTGACTTCGTTTTACTCTGAGATATGTCTTATCCTTCTCTCAGTAGATAGTTAGGTCGAAACTAAAGTATGAGGAAAAGTACAGTCCGTATGCGGTAACATGCCCAATGATTGAGTGCAGAACCGATGAATGAAATTCCTTTCTAATCGTCTGTTTTAACAGAAGCGAGATGAACAACATTCTTCTTCTCAAATTATCTTTCGTTTCACGAAGAGAAAAACAACGGCGCGTTTGACTGCATTTGTTCCAACTCAGGGTTTATATACACGAGTATGACTCATACCTGTTACATTGTACAAGCGAACCATGACTAATGCAAAGATACTTGGATCGAAACATACTCTGATTCTTTCGTAAAATAATAAAAGTTGATCGTGTATTACGTACCTCTTTTGGAAAATAAAAATTCTTCACGTCGGAATCTTTTTTTCTAAGTTGGAAATTTCCAACCACGTGTGGGTATAAAAGGAAAGGAGAAAACCAAGTAGAGACGCGCGCATTCGTTCGAAGCAGCAATAAAAAGAAACCATCTATTGACATATGAGAGGAAGAAAAAATAACATCATTTTTTGCTAAGCTTTTGCTGCTGCTGCTTTGAAAGAAACCGATCTTTCGAAAGGGATTTAATTTTTCATAACTGCTTCACATAACTATGACATTCATACAGAAGAAAGCGGCAATCCCATTGAAATATGTATATGAATCGTGAAGCTAGTGTGATGTTAACTGTGGGGTAATATAATTTTGATCACCAAGAAAAAATACATTTGATAACCAGTTGCAAATGATCACTAAAAAACGTTATTCTTGATCGTCAGATAGTTTTAGATAAAAATGATCCCCCCAAAAAAATACTTTAGATCACCAAATTTTTAAAGTTCATTCATTATATTTATTTTTTCAAAAAGTGGAACACAAATGGTGAAAATATCTATATGAGAAAAAGAAGAAGAAGAGAGAAGTGACTAATTTATACCTATTTACCGTAAGCTTTGTTAACTTTTTTTTGGATGTCCTGTTCCTCTTCGTTTACCCAATGATTGAATACGTGTTTTTTCACTGACTTGATACAAATTAAACGCAATAGCTAGACCAACTGAATGTTTACGCGAATATACCTTCAAGCCAACAGGGTATGTGCATGATTCTAGTGGAGCAACTAACCAGCAAGATTATGTGTTCGATATTGATAAACATCATTGGATTTAGCAATAGTTTTCACTTCATCAAGTGAATGAACTACAACAAGTAGTTTCCAATCTGATACTGACATGTTTTCAAATGAATATTTTCTTATGCGTTCTATAGCATAGCAGACAAAATAAGATAATGAAATGTTATTTGAATGAACAAAAAAAGAGATGGGATGCAATATCGACAACTTTTGAAAATTTTGGTGATCATAAATATCTTTTCGAGGTGATCATTTGCATCTGGTTACCAAATTTATTTATATTAGGTGATCAAAAATATTCACACCGTTGACTGTCGTCAATTAAACTCGTTTCTCCTCGCGGACAAATACAAAATCAAGTGATCTGATTACTTCATATTTCTTTTCAAGTTTATTTTGTTCTCAACAACAAATGCATATCAAACGATTTCTACATGTCACAAGTGTAAGGGAGCTATTTCTCACATTGGAAATAGGATGAAAACATCGAATTCAATTTGAAGCAGTACCTGTGTATTGATTTGTTTTGAAGAGAAGAAGAAGAACAAGAGAAATGCTTTTACGTGAGATACATTTTTATAGATTGGGAAAGTGGGAAGTTTTGCTTTCCTCTCATTTTAGCATGTGGAGTGTTAGTTTACGAACTGTACTTCACATTGAAAGATTGCTCGTACGAATGGCGACGTTGCAAAATGTATAGAAATAGAATATTTCATTACGTCAGTTCTCTCTTATCATTTAAAACAATCATACGAATTATAACACATGCAAAGTATATTCTCTTCGTGAAATAGATGCACTTGATCAAAAAAGTCATAATCGAATCAAACAATTTCATATAAATCATAACTCATTTCATACACAACGTAGAAATCATAGCTGACTCATGTGATTTATTACTCATAGATTGCAGATTGTTCGTCTTCTATTCGTATATAACTTTCATTGAATCAACAAACAGTAGAATAAGCATTCTGCTGATCAGCAAGTACGTATGCTTTGCATTAAAAATACAATGTTTCTTGTATTTATATTCATGTGTAAACGATACAATCAAATCATATCGTAGATATTGATAAATATAGTGGGTGAACAATCGACACAACATATAATTTATCTCGGTCTACCATTCTGAGATCAAAGAGTGCTTTTCGAATATGATTCAACCACATATCCTACACATAAGTCTCGACTTTGATTGAATATCTCTTTTTTTGACATGAATGCAATGCTAATCAAAAATTTCGTTTAGTTTTACGCGCTGAGAATCACGATAGAGATGTAGTAGATTTCATGACAGGCTTTATTGATTAGATAGGAGAACATATCGCAAGTTTAGAGAGAATGATCTGGGATAGATAGTTTTTTGTACAAACAAAGAAAGTATTCAATGCGCTTGAGAATTCGTGTTTGTTAGACGAGTTTTTCTTTTCACAGAAAGTTTGTCAACTGCACGAATATGAATCGATTGATCTTTGTTATATACCACAAGAAGATTATATTTTTTTTATTTGATTTGGTTCCCTGATCCATAATTTAGCGGACTGATAACGCTATTACGTACTTCGTTTTGATTTTTATAGCTCTTTGGCAAATGTAAACGAAAATCAAGTCGATTTTTTTCTTTGTGCGACGTCTCGTTGTTTCCATATAGATGGATATTTACGATAAAAGTTAGACTAGATTAGTTACTATATGAATAAGTATAAACATATCGAAGCTATGTTTTGTCGTTCATATTGAATTACTTTTTTTATTTTTGGACTAAAATAAGTCGAATAAAGAAACGTGAAAAGAGCTAGCGTATCAAACTGTTATACGATCAATTGCGTTGATTTCTATATTAGAACCGTGAATGTAGAAGAAACATAGCGTCTGACACTATTCATTATTTGATACAACTCGAAGCTCATTCTGTACAGTACTTGCTACATATTCGTCGTCACACAATCAGTTGCTGTTGATGTGCGCGGTGGCTCCGTTTGTTGTTGATTTCGGCGTTCTTCTTCCTTTCTTACGAACAGCTGCTGGATGTGTATCGGTAGACCAGGATTTAGACTCAATGCATATGGTAATAACGCTTGCGGCATATCACCAAAATCCACCATTACTTTTATAAACATCGTGTCATCCCGAACATATGGATTACCGTCTTGTTGGATCATTGCCAGAGGAAAGAATTTTGGTATACCACTCGCTATGTTCATTTCTGATCGCGGACGCTGAAAACTATTAGATTTTATGTCTGGTCGAAACGAGTCGATGATATGTCGCTGTTGAGGTGTTTGATCATATAAACAGAATGTCACCTTGTAGTTGAATGGAAACTTTAGCATAGCATCGCTCGGACCACGCATCAGAACAAAAAACAGCGACATGTGAGTACGTCGAGCATTGCCATCACCATGCAAATACAAGCGGGCTCGCATCTTATAGCCACTAGGCGAAGAATAGAATGGTGGTGAATAGATAAATGTTTGTCGCTCGGATTGAGCATCTCCTAAACAACAATAACAACATGCATCATCATTCGCTACTAATACTCGTCATTCTCAACAAACTTACTCATTTTCTCCTGAAAACTAGTGATTTTCCAGATGAGTGTTCCATCATATGACACATATTGTGCATCATCGACCTTTTGTTTCAGCGATGCAACTCCTTTCTGTAGAATCTCTTGATTCAGTTTGATACCATCGAGAAAAGCACCTTGCTCTTCAATACTCAACTTGAGTGATGCGAGCTCTTGTGCCAATGATTCGACAGAAGATTGTAATCGAACAGATTCGCTGCTGACACGTAGTGTTTCATCATTCAGTGTTTGTGTACCACTCGCAAGAGTGTTGATTGCTTCATACACTTCTTGCATGCTTATGCTAAGTGTTTCACTTGTTGTTGTGGTTGTAGCTAATGAACCGGCGATGTTTGGTGCGATGTCGACACCCATCGTTGATCCTCTTTCTGACGGATCATGTGCTAGTTTCACAGACAAGCGCTGAACAACACTAATGAGTACTTTTTGATGAACATCACTTAGATAATGATCACGAAGGTCGATTCGACGCACCTAAACACAATGGACACATGTCATCATCAGTTAGCTGAATCTGGCGTTTGGATCAACGTGATCGTAACTTACTGAAGATAGACACCCACATTCTACAAGTAGACAAGGCTGAGTGATTTCGGTGCATTCTCTTTGTTTGTGTTCATTGAGTCGGATGTTGGAAGTGAACTGTTCACCACAAAACTCACAAATAAGATTTGGATTGAAATTAGCCTGAAATAAATATTAATCTTGAATGCGATGCTTGACAATTTGAATGCAAGTATATTGTATAGTATTTACTATGATATTAACTGTGACATGCTACGGAAATATTTTACATCAGAAGAAATTCAGTACACTTATAGTTATTGAAGTGTGTGGCAAAAATTGGCTCAATAGTGGTCGTGATTCGAAAAGTCGATAGATTATGGTAGATAAATATGTCTACCTGATTGCTTTCACAATTGGTTGCCCACGAGCTAGGATCGTATGAGAGAGAGCATGGTGTAATCTTCAATATAAAAATTAATATCACATTTTAGACTGCAAAGATATTTAGCATACTGACCGAATTCTTTCCTGTTGACTGTAAACATTGTGTGCATGTAACACTGTCTCTAATTAGAAATAAAAAAATAATTTACTTTAATGCACTATTCACTGAATTTTACCCTTGTATGATTGAGATGCATGTTTTGCATATACAGTGTCCACATAGAAGCCAAAAATTTTCATGCGAAATAAGTGAGCATAATTGACAAACGCACAGCGCTTTTATGCTGCTTTTATTGGTTCTTTCACGACCAACCATATTTAATAATGCTAAAAACTAAATAATTGAAGAATAAGACATCTGATTTTGAAAAAAATTACTGTTCGAAGAACATGCTCATCTTCATTTGCAAAATATAACCTGATAGAGTCTTTTATGATGAAGAGTTTGCGCTAATACTTTAAATGAATTCGTGACTAACCAGAAAATGCTTAGACAACCTCATATACAAAAACTAACCTCAACAAATGCTGAAAACTATGCTATTTGACTAAGATTAGTAATCAAAATGACACTTGCCAGCTAAATATATCTATCGAAATTTGTACTGACTAGTGTGTTCTCGTAGACATTGATTTTTATCGGCTGAGTTTTCATACGACGTTGCTGTGAATGATTTCTTGGCTACTATCCAAACTTTACTGAGAACCAATGAAGCGTCTCTGGAGACTTACCTTAACCTTTTTATAACTGAATTTACGACGTTTTTGTTGATTTATCGGTTGGAAATTTCCAACTAGGTGTTGCTAACATGTACACTCAGAAAGAAAAAAGGAAATAGTGGGCAGTCTGACTAAAAAGTCTATCGCTAAAGAATATCAAAACAAATCTATGTCTCGAAAGTACACGAGTTTCGTCAACAAGTTTACTGTTAGTCGACACAATGCTTCTGTATGTTAAGTGTTTAACTCCAGGACGATTGAAAATATTTCAAGAGGAAAAAAGGGAGCAAAACTTCTCCTTTCTCTATACCCTAAATATATCTCTTGTAAGAGTACAACATATAATAAGAACAATTCTATAAAGGGTTAAATAGAAACGAAAGAGCATGACAATTTATTTTATCTTGCATGAAAAATTACAACTCGGGTTGGACAAATTCCAACCTTCATGTTCGCTTACATACTTAAAAGGTTGGAAATCTTGTTTCACATGAGCAACGTTCGATCTTAACGTCGTAATGCTATTATTGTTGCTATAGCATACGCGATACGGTCATTGTTTCGAGCACTTTCTACACAGATATGACGTCATACAAATTGCGTCGTTGACAAAAAAAGATCGAGTACTCGTTTTGTAAAGAAAAATATTATAAAAGTTTATAGGTACTTGTTGGCCTACGACAAGCATGTCATACATAAGCATTCTTACTCAATAGCATTGTAAATAGAAACTATCTGCTTTGTCAAGAATGTATATGAATAATTGCTTTGCACTTTATTCGTATTCATAATTGTGAAATGCAAACAAAAATAAAATAAAATATTTCAATTAAAAAATGAGAAATATGACGAGTACATAAAGTTAAATCGAGAATGACTAGATTAAAAGCATATAAATTGAATAAAAACTCAATTATTTGTCGTTTGGACGGATTATGGAACGTATCTTAAAAGTGAAATTCACTGGAATAGAATGAGATTCTTCTTTTCTCTATAAATCTTCATCACCAGCACTTCTATCAAACAATTCGTTATTATTTAATCGATCTAAATCAGACTTTGTTCGCGTGGTGAGACCAACTGTTTTCTTCTGTTGATCATTCTTCTTGTCCGCATCGACCATCAAGATATTCGCATCCATTCGTTTCTTTAATATTTCATCGACCATACTCTGTAGACATGTGCTGACCAAAGCAGCCTGTTCTGTATGTATCGTAACCCATTGTAAGGTATTTTTGCGAACTAAATATTCGAAGGTGAGGTTCAAATCCGATTTTGTCCAATTAACTTTCCAACAACGAATGCGCGTGACTTTGAATGAGATCTCTTTTGAAAAGGAATGTTCATGTTCATCATTGACATAGTAACAAATCAAGTCATTATTTCCAATTGCTAATAAACATCGAGAAAGCTCGTCTGTTGATAAATCGTTGACTGTACATTCACGAAGAAGAATATATCCCGAGAATTTGGATGTTCGCGCTAAGAGAATGTATTCTTTCCATTGCTGATGATCACGCAATTGGATGAGTTGTTTGTGAAGATCTTTCGAGTCTAACTCTTGACTCTGGTGAATATCGTATTGACATTGAAGAAAGAGTAAATTTTGCGTGCAGGGATTATCTAACAATTTCAGATCATACGTTACATTCCAATAAGATTTCTTCAGAACAAGACAACAGTTTGCATGGAATTTTTCTGCTTGTTTCAATGATATATAGGGACATTCGAATGAAAACAACGGTCGGATGAGATTTAAGTGATTCTGATCAGATGCATAAAGAAATAACGAAAAATATGGGAAGTACTCAAGATCTAGTTGGATTTTCTCTGCACAAGTTTCGAATAATTTTGTGAGTGTGTCGTGAGACGAGAGATTTTCCAGGATAATTTCATGACGATCCAAAAGGTAAATAGTAAAGTTGGTTCTATCTGGTATGAATTTATCGATGGATGCATTGAGATACGTCTCATGCTGTGCATTGAAGAAGAAATCATTGAAATAAGGCGAGGATATCAGAGATTTCTGTTGCACAACAGATTGCAAATAACGTTCGAGTAACATTCGTCGTTCTTCAATATCACGTGACGATAGGCTAAAGAGTTTTTTCGGTGGAAATGGTTGACTCTGTATCATAAAATTTGGCAGAAAACGCTGAAGTTCAGTATGGAACGAATGCAATTGCGAGTAACGTAAACTACAATGATGAACGCCATTTACATGGATATTATATAGAGTATACGCATGTTGATTCGAACTTTGTTTAGCAGAGATCTCTGTTGTATCAGGGATCGCAAAGTACATCTATAAATCAAGAAATGTTTTATATAAGCATATGTAATTGACTTTTATTAGAAATTTAAGACGCGTTTTCTACAGATACAATACTGTTGAGTTAAATATTCTTTACATATATATAGACTTCTTTAAGTTCGATAATGATTACAGCAATATAAAGACAATACCGAAAAGAAAAATAGAGATGTACACAAATAGACCCGCAAACATGAAGAATGGATAAATAAATTTGAATGTATATACAAAGACACATATGAACGCATACCTTGATTTGGTTTTTATCTCATTCGTTGTGTAAATCTCCATACGAAAGAACAAGAATTTGGTCGCAGTAGAAAGAAGAAAGAGAATACTGATTGCGCTTTGATAAGGGTACACGAGATTTTGGTTTTTGATTGATTATCACATGAAAACTACACAAACCGGGGTAGACAATCATGCATACTAGTAACATACAAAAGGCAAAAAGAAAGAAAGAGAAAGGCAGAGACAAAAATTAATCATTCAGATACATATAATGACTTCATACATGAAAAATTCTATGAAATGCAACGCTTCATCAGATCTCTAATGTAAAACAAAAGAGATTGCACTAAGAATAAAGAGATTAATAAATGCTAAATTATCATTGATCAAGCAGCGAAAGAAGCAGACTTCGGTCATTTTTCACGCGCGAAGATTTTCTATTCATCTGGTTTGGTTTGATTGTTAGTTAATTGTAATTCTCGTAGAATACATTCGAAACAATCATACATGAACTGCCCAAATGGTGATTGCAATTTAACTGGCTTAGCTGCTTTCATTGATGAACGTTTATACTCAAAAATAAAATATTGTTCATCGAGACAATATCGTCCGATTGTACTCCATTCGAAATCTGCTATCTGGTCGGCTTCTAATTGACCGTCATCCGAACAAGCGTGTAAACGAAGACGTGTACTATTTACTGAGACAATAACACATCCATTATCTTTGCGTGAACTGCACGGACATAGAGGAAATGTTATCGTATTATATATATCGGTGAATGTTTGAGCATATTTAATGTATTCGATTTCATCAAATGTTTTCAAAGCTGAACGCTGATCGGCGGTCGAGTTTTGTGAACGACTCAGTTGATCGATGGCCTAGAAATGATTGGATGAAGATGAAGTATGGAATAAACTCATACGAAGATGAACTTACTTCACGATAGAGATAATCTCGTGCTAATGGATACTTCAGAAGTTGATTTTCAACATTGGGTGCGAAGAGAAATTTGCGTAGGCATAAGCATGTGGTATTTGCTGTACAACAATTTTGTACATAGATTTGATGCGGATATTCAGTTGGTCGAAGTTTACGTTCTAAAATATTATTGATTTTACAGTGAAGAAGAAAGGTCGTTTTGTTTACCGAATGTATAATCGAGAATTTCAAAAAGATAGAAATACGGAGTACATTGTTGGGGTAAATCAATCTTTTCCACTATCGCCTACGAAAAAAAGGTAGAAGATTTTGTCAAATGCAGTAGATAACGATAGGTATTTACTTCATAAACTTTATCAGCAGTCGAAAAACGTTTGATTTTGAGAACAGCAACCGATCGATCAGGCAACATGATTTTAATTTCCACATCAATGGAAACTGCATCTCTCTACGTATAGAACAGCATAGGATCGACATATTATCGATAGGATTAGCGGAAACTTACCTCGTAAACATCAGCTGACAGAAATTCTTGAACCAAGTCACAATCGCCAACGACACGAACAGAACAAACTAAAGAATTTCATGAATGACGAAGAGATCTTTTTCTTTGTTAAGTTACTTTTATCAAGATATTGTTCTAAACCACGTCGTCGGGCATCCAGCTGCTGATCCGATAGTTTAAATGGCCATTTCTTTGGTAAGGAACTGAACGGAAAATCTGGAAATTCCTGTTTCAATTGTTGATGTAACGACGAAAATTCACGATAACGTCGTGAGCACAAATGACGACCTAAGACAATCATATTCCACCGTACATATCAAACATGGAAATCATCCTTACCGGCGATATGAATGTTAAACACCTAAATAGAAAACAAAAGGAGATCAATTGATAAGAATAACAATTGATGACCTAACTATTTTGAGATAAGACTCTTAGTAACAGATTGCCTTATTTTTTGAATGATTCCTCCTTCCTGATATAGATGTAACCAATGGAAATAATCTAGTACTTACATAAAATTTCTCGTCGTTAACTTCTAGTAAACTGTAATCTGGTATTGTAATTGCCAATGAACGCCTTTCAGAATAATCATTCGAGCTTCCACTGGATTCTTCTCCTGAATGCACATCACTATGTGATTCTTCACCAACGGATGCAATCACTTCAAATACGAATAATTGAACGTAAATAAAGTTTTCTCCATTACTGTTTCTCGCTTACCAACAAGACGAAGCTCATCGGCGCTATGTTTAATCAAATCAACCACTTGTTTATGTGATGCTCCTTCGACATCGACTCCATTTCTATAAAGAAATACCGACATGTACGAGTGTGTTAATTATAAATCACATCGAGTTCAAGATTACATACACTTCAAGAATTTTATCTCCTACACAGAGACCTGCTCGTTCAGCTGCGCCTCGACTTGAAATAGCAGAAACATGTTGAAGAGGTCCATAAAGTGTTCCATGTATGGCTTTGACCTGTCCGCCTTCGAACACTTGTCCACGCACGTTGAATCCGAATCCGTTACTTGATTTTCTGACAATGATACTTCGTGGTGCATTCGAAGTGGATGATGGTTTGACTGGATTTGTAATTATACCTGATGATGAGACTTTTCGTGCTGAAGAAGCGTTATCCATGTTTATTGAAAATAGAGATGATGTTTTTACATCAATCGAAACAAAAATAAGTCAGTTGAATCAATGACTCCTATTGGTCGAATCGATTGACCAATGAATAAACTCTGCAAGTTATTCTTAAAACACATATGCAGTATGCAAAACGAACTTGACATTGATGTCGACATATTGCTAATTGTTTTTCTTTTTCCTCTTTAATGTTGTCGATTACATATCTTTGTTCTTCGTAGTATTACATACAGATTGAGTAAGATTTGTGTTTAATTATTTTAGATTCAATTAATCTTGCATTCATTTCGTTACAATGGCACGAACAAAACAAACTGCTCGTAAATCAACTGGTGGTAAAGCACCACGTAAACAGTTAGCCACCAAGGCTGCACGTAAATCGGCTCCATCAACTGGTGGTATAAAAAAACCACATCGTTTTCGACCAGGTACTGTTGCTTTACGTGAAATTCGTCGTTATCAAAAATCCACGGAATTACTCATTCGTAAATTACCATTTCAACGACTTGTTCGTGAAATCGCACAAGATTTCAAAACAGATTTACGTTTTCAATCGGCAGCTATTGGCGCTCTTCAAGAAGCAAGTGAAGCTTATTTGGTATCACTTTTCGAAGATACAAACTTATGCGCTATTCATGCCAAACGTGTCACCGTAAGTGAATCTCTTCGATTTCTATAAACAAAAAATTAAGCGAACTATTGCAATTTAGATTATGCCGAAAGATATTCAATTAGCACGACGTATCCGGGGTGAACGTGCTTAATTTTAACATGCACAAGATTTTTCACTAGATGTGTACATATATATATATATATCGTCGCTGTTGTGTATTGGTCTTCTTTTGCTTATTATCGATTTTGTTTGTTTGTTCTTATTTACTCAATTATTATTATTATTCACACTTCTATATGTTCGTATTATCTACTTCTCAGGATGATTTGTTTTATTGATGTACGCACAAATATGTTGCCACTCAAATATCTTCTCTCATTTTTGGATGTCTCGTTGGAAAACAAAAGAATGTTCTTCTAAACTTAATCATCCTTCCTTCTTTCTTTTTTTGTTCTTGTTCAGCACATTGAACGGAAATAGGTTGACTTCTCTTTCTGTTCGTCTTCATGTGTGTGTATATCAATGGCTTGTAATTGTGTGTGTGTAACTGCGTATCTCACGGAAAAACAAGCGAAAGAAAAGCAAATGTTCGAATAATTTTTGGTAGAGATTTAGTTGGGAAAAACAAATATTTGAAAGTGTTTTAAAATAAACGAATCATTTGTTCTCTCGCGCAAATGTGTCTTCTTCCTTCGTAAAGACAAGATTAATATCGTATCAGAAACGATGGAAAGATAATCCATTCAAAACTGCTATAAATAAATGTGTGTAGGAACATTTATTTATTTTAATAATTCAATATGTTGGTGACACGCACGCTTTTACGTATTCTATTCACTCGATTACACTTTTTTTAACATTCATAATGAAAAATGCAAGAGAAAGCAATCATTGAAGCTATTCAATTATCTATTGTGACGTCAATGGTCTTCGGAATAAAAATATTTCTCAACTTATTTTTAACAAAAAGACTGAAGTTTGAAGAAAAATGAACCTAATAATTATTTGATCAGGCAAGGATATTTATTTTGTTTCAACTCATTTTGTATCTGACAATCAGCATCAACGAAAAGAAAAAATAGAATAAGATTAATTATATATCAGCGAACGTTTCCTCTCCGCAATTGTTAATTTGATCATCGAAATGGAATCCGAGTTTGTTTGAAGTTGATTATGGCCCGTTGTTCGTGTCTGACGTCATGCTCCTTCGTAGGACAATCCTCTCGAATTATTTTTTTGATCAACGAACGATATCTCCGGCCGAAAATGACTAAAACTTCTTCAATATGCCTGTGGCTATGTGAAAGGCTAAATGACATAGAGAAAATATGCGCAGTAGAAAAAGATGAATGCATTTTACCTGCAAATATATTCAAGAAATGAATAATTTGGTTGTAGCAATTTCATTGGTTGATAATGAATTTGTGAGTAAGGATTTAGAAAGCGATTCATTTCAGGAAATGGGTGATGTCCTGATTCCCATTGCTTATTCAAATAAAAGTTTCTAAAATTTCAATCAATAATTGCCATTTCTACGTTGTAACTAATCAGTTACTTACTGGGCAGGGTCAAAAGATACTGCTCTATTGTAAACTTTTGTTATGTGAAGGAATAAACCCAAGATCGCAGCTAAGGTGATCATTTGGTTTGCCTATGTGTGAGAGTTTTCATTAATAATTCAATGTCAAATCATTGCTTCGTTTCTCTTTTCTCTAAGTCGAACGTGTTACATATATATCCGCATGATAACATCGGAACTATGCATATCACATACCATTGATTGGTCATATGTAAACTCTACGTGTTACTCGAACATGGATGTATTGTTCGATTATTAGTCAATTTATTAAATTTATTCGAAATTCTATGTGTCATATTAAACATTAGTCAAACGAAATGCTATCGATCCATTGTGTCCGTACGAATTGACACTGTGCTTAGTCATGTTCGTACTATTGGAATTGGTTAATAGTTGAACACTCGCTGTACTTAAATTTAACGAATTGTTTCCCAAACGTTTGTGCTTATTATTGAGATGACATCGATTATGATTCTGATGATGATTGTTGTTAGCTGTTGATGTCGGTGAGGGTTGTTGACTTCCGTATGGTATCGTTGTCGAGGCACGAAATGGTATCATTGTTGATGATGCTGATTTCATTCGAATGAATGATTTACAACAACAACAACACGATGAAAATAGTTCACGAAATTTGAGACGAAATTTATCTATGAAGAAAAACAACAAGAAAAGAAATTCAATCTTATGTTAACGAGCATAGTCATGCGTTTTGTCTTATACGTACCACTCATAATATTGTATATAATTGGATTAATCGATGAATTCAAAAACGGAAGGAAATGCGATATCAATGCACAAATCGTTACAACTTTAACCGTATTCGTTTGATCAAGTGCGACTGGTACGGGTTGAAAACATGGTGAACTATCGGTCGAATTTTGCTGATCATTCATTATTGAATGTTGACTATGTTCCAAATAGACGAAAATATATCTAAGAAGATAGAATCGAGTATCATTTCTGTCAAGCGAAAAAACGATCGTACCTGAATAAATTAAAAACATGCACTGGTATGTAGCAAATAGCAAAAATAATGACAACCGAGATAAGCATTTTCGCAGCTTTTTGTCGATTCTCTTGAACAATTAAATTAGCTGATTTGGCTGGATTCATTAAACTGCTACTACTATTAATAGGAACACTGTGATGAGATTCATCCGATTGACCTAGATCAAACAGGTTCAAGAGTTTTATTTCAGAAGAATAGGCCTACCTGAAAGGGTGTGTTGACTTGAATTAATTGCCCTTTTTTCATCGTTAAAAAACCGTTCCATCGGTAGAGAACCCCATAGAACTTTCGCAATACCACGATAAGTAAACACCATGAAACAAAGCGGAATAACAAATAAACATAATGATATATGTAGTTGATAGATAAGATCGAATAATGGAGGTGCATTCCATTGACAACTAAATGAAACCAAAACATTGTTTTGTTCAATACGAAGAACATTTAAATCTAGTTTACTATGTAAGATAAATAGTTTGAAGTCGAGGACTGAATTGTTGAGTGAGTGTCATCATAATTGCATCTTAAAAAAAGAAACAATGCTTGTTCACAATGGAATCTTTTTTTAATCAAAATCCAACCAGGAAGAACAAGTAGTATTGAAAGTATCCAGACAGAAAGGATTAATATTCTTGCACGTTGCTTTGTTCCACTGAATTTTAACGGATGTACGATCGCTTGGTAACGTTCGATTGAAATCGCCATTAACGTGAGGACAGACACGGACACTGACATATTCTAATATGCAGAACAAAATTGATTAAGGTATTCTGTATACATGAAAAGTTCCCTTGTTGCTCGAGTCAATTAAACATCTGCTAGTTCATTTCTTTTTAAGTAATTTGCATCTGTTTAACGTAGGAAAGAAAGTAGGAAGGCGTGCAAAACATCGATAGGTTTCTCATAATGTATGACGTACGATGTGCACCCAACGGTTGATAAAAAGAAAAAAGTGTGATTATCATGACAGGAGATAAGAAGCTACTTCCATTGAACTCGAAAGTATGATTCGAATAGTGTCTCATCGATTAAATTATGCTTCTCTAGCTGTAAGAAAAACAGATCGACCTCCTAGTTGAGCATTATGTCTTCAGTTTCTCGTCTGTTGTTGATATACCTGAACATAATTGACAAATTTACAAAGTGCTAAGCCAAAGAACCAGGTCTTGGTTACATCTTGAACGACAGTGGCGGGTAAACAAAAGACCAGAACTAATAAATCAGCAGCCGCAAGATTCATAATAAACATATTTGTAACAGTTCTAAAAATAAATAACAACAAAAGGAAATTACACGTCAAAGAAGATCAAAATACATAAAAGAAACGTATATCTCTTTTGATATATCTTTCAACGGTTATCTTTACCTCATACTTCGATTACGTTGGATGACAATAATGACTAATAAATTACCGATCGTGCCAACAATGAAAACAATAACATAAAGTATAATACAAATCCATTCCTGATACGTAGGTATAACTGATTTTGAAATCATATCAAGTACGATATCGTCGGATAGACAATTGCTATTGCTATCAATAAAATAACACGTGCTTTTATTGTATAAACATGTCGAAGTCGAGTTCATTTTATTCTCGTTAATATCCATGAGCAATCATAGACAATAAAGATTCTCTAAATGATACAAAAATAATGATCTATTAGAATCGAATGTGTCTAACTATATGCAACGTTTGATCAGTTCTCTTGTTTGGCGTAGAGAGAAAGAGCGAATGGAGCTCGTATTAGTTCTAAACATAGATAAAATACCTCTTTCGTGCTGTCGAACAAAGACTTCATATGTATACAATAGTATACAATCAATCATCGTTTAGCCTCATTGAAACAAAAATGAAAGTATTGAAAAAAAACAGAGGAAAGTAAACGTCTGCGAATAAGGACCCAAACGGGCAGAAGAATAAATGATGAGATCGTCTTTTCTTCTATTTCTCTCTCGTTCTTCTCATTTTCTTTTTCTCATTGTGTGGGTGTATGAGCGAAAAGGCATCAGAGAAACTTACGAGACCGGTTATGCATCCAATGCTCATTGTTAGACACTAGGTACTTCACTAAATAGCATAGACTTTTGACAAAAGTAGCAGTATATATCGTTATGAACTTTTGTCAAGAGTATTTTAAATAGAAATGTCCTGAAAAATTGGATTTTCCTTCCATCTGTAAAACGCAAACCTGGCCTTGCCTTTTTTTTCCGACTAATAATTATATATATATATATACGCGCATGCATGATAGAATACAATATATCAACCTTACTCTCTTTCTTTCGCAAGAGAGGAATTCATATTTTTTTTTGTCAACACTTCCACTGTTAACTAAACTTTCTATTGATGAGATAACAGGCAAACAGACAGGTTCTGGCGCATTGTTGTTCTTCATTCGTAGATATCTTTATTTCCTCGCGAGTTTCCTAATGTATTTGATGATGTGTCATAACTTCGCGTTTTGTTCTCGTTTGAAAAAATTGTGAAACATGTCGATTCTGAAAAAAGAAAGAGTAATGTCAATATTACTTGAGTAATGTTGATCGTTCATAGAAAACTAATGGCAAGCCCACTTGCTATTTTATATATATATATACACAATCACCAGATGGTCGATAAAAAACCTACATTAACGACATTTTCCCTCTTTGTTTTGTAAATAAAATAGTTTTCATCTAGCTTGAAAGATATGTTGACAAGTTTCTCTACTTATTTTTCTTCTTAGATTATTTCGATCTCTTGCTAGTAACATGTCGAGAGAGAGAGCGGAAAACGTCAAATGTCGAGATATAGTCAAAAAAAACTGTACGCGTATGTCTTGTTTTCATCTCATAGATAAATTTTGTATTATGTGACATGTATCGTTTGCTCGCATCTCTCTTAGTTATTCCATCAGCTTGTCTCATGTCTTCTACAGCTGCGGATATACTTGTATGATGAAACATAACGATGATTTTGCCAGTACATCATTTCTATCGGATTAGATAGATAGCATGAGGAATAGTGATTTTGTTGTTCTCGGTTGAAAAACGATCAGAGATTACAATGGATGTATGTCAATAGAAAAAAATCGTATGGTAATGATGATTTGTTTTCTCTTAAGAGAATAGCATATCAATGAGTAATAAAACATGCTGGAAGATCAAAAGGATCAGCTATCATTGTTCATTTGACGTCTATATTCAGCCTGGCAAATGACTATTGTCATGCGAAATCTTTGATGCAACATCTCACAATTAATCTTGCATAGCTTGTCAAGCTTAGTTGACTTCGAGAGATTCAACTGTGAGTTCCCATTGTAATCTTCCGGTGACAATGTAAACGGGCTTCGTTATCTGATGGCACATAACAGTGAATCATTGTTTGTTCTATCTTGGTCTGTACTTTCTCATTTAACAATGAATAAGTATGGTAAATATAGATACACAAAACTGCGTGGAAGGACGCTAGAGACAGTGCAAGTTAAAAGCTGCTGTTGACTTCCGTCAACAGAGAAATTGCAAGAAAAAGCATGCTAGACTGATAGTAGTGCGATGAGCATTGCTGTCTCTTTTGTAAATGACTGAGAAGCCCCGAGCGCACAGAACGGCTATGTTTCATTTACAAATAAATTATCATCTTCTTCTGCTTCTCTACAAGTTTGTTAGAAATTGCATCTTCAAAGTGTTGCCATTAACCACAACATACGCGTGTGCTTTTTCTCGAAGAAATATGCGCGTATTACTATATTTAATTAAATTACGTTGAATATTATATAATCCAAAGATACTTACAAACTTTAAAATCGATTGTTTTTCGCAAATATTTTTATCAAGAACAATTTGTAAGATTGCTGTGCCTGGAAAAACAATTATTTGTACCCGAAGATTGCACTGAAAATTGATAGCTTGTAGAGTATGTCTGATAATTATTTATGCTTACAAAGGCAAGGAAAATGCAATCTTATAATGATGGTAGCGAAAATCACGGTTGTGCTCATAGCTGACTTTAACTAGTCACACATCGGTAAATTTTTCACAGATGTTCTTCACACTATGGTAATCAAATGTAGCTCACATTGTCAAGTACTGATAATTTGTTTTCTTCTTGACAAATTGAAAAGTGATTTTTGTACAAATTGCTCCAAGCATGGATTCCATGGTTGGTTTTAAAATAAATTGTTCGAGATATTAATAGACAATGAAGATGATTATCTGAATGAACGACATGTATATCTACTTTGAAAATCTAGCAAAGTTCTATACGATACAGTAAAATAAAGCATGCAAAAGTGAGACGAAAGATTTGATTACAAGAAAAGTACTTCTGTCTTCATGGTATACATCTATCTACTACACAGAAATTGAGCAAAAGACAATCGATCGATCATACAGATTTGTCCAATGATGGGAGTATGACAAAATATTTAGACAATTAGTTTTTTCATTGAATCTCGATGCCCTAATTGCACTCCTTGATAATCCAATCATTGAATATCAAATTGTTTGATAAGATATCATCCTCAATAAATCTAAATTTGCACGCTATTGATATAATCGAAAGATATATTCGTACCAAGGGTACGCTATTCTCAAGGGCAAGATTTATGATATTATATTGTCTGACGTTGAATACAACAACATAGCTCTCTTTTGTAAAATTTTCGAAAGACGAACTGTATACGAAATAATCAACAGAGTGTTTTTCACTTCGTTTGACAATTAGTAGTTTTTTGTTTTGTTTATCGTTACAACACATCAACGCGAGGCGTATATTAGACCTTGTCTAAAACTGTTGGCGTCTAGAAGTTATTAGTATTGCTAGGATCGAGAAATCGAAATACATTGATCAGGATCTCTAGTTGTGCCGATATTGTTTACAACATATTGTAATTGTATGTTGACAATCGTCGCTGCTGCTCTTAATACTTTTGTCTGGCCATATAAGAGAACCATTTTGCGCCCTTTCCACGCTGACATATAGACGAGTAATGATACTTTTTCAAAATCCAGATACACTCTGGATTTTTCTACTCGCACTCGAATTGCTACTCGTCAATGCTAGGTCTCATGTATACGGTTTCTATCGAGAATACTGACGATTCAAAACGGTTAAAGATAAATAATTGGAGTGGCTCCTTGAATAGATCTCAACTTATCGACATGATACGCTTTCGCTGTGTAAATATTGCAATCTATCATTTATATCGTTTATTTTCCTAGGGACGTCTTCATAGTCGATAAAGATAAAGAATTAGTATGGACGTTGATTAATGAAAACGGAAGTAAGTAGCAGAGTTTTGTAAAGCTCTATCAACATCGACAGGTATTGACAGTAATCTTAAATAAATACCGAAGAAAGAATAAGTCGACGTATTTTTTATAATTTCACAATGAATCATTTAGTCAGCTAGGCAAGATAGACAGAATAAATACGTATGTCAGTCAACAATAGAAGTAGTATTTGAGTAATAACACATTGCTTGTTTTTCGTCATTGAAGTTAGTCAACATGCATTTCCGTCGTCTAACTTTTCCAGCAACCATTCATATTTATATTTCAATATTGCTGATCGATCGGTTGCTCCATTCCCAAAAGACTTTTTCATCCACTTACGCCATCTATATAGCTGATGATTTTATTTACTTTGTTTCCAAAATCGTCAAAACATACAAGATGAATTAGAAATTATTTATATCGTCGAACAAGAGAAATTTTGAACTCTTTGTTCGTTTTCGCACTCAAGCGTATGAATCATTGCTTGTTGATGTTAATATTGATTATTCATCTACATACAATCATTTACTTCTAGAATTTGTTTTTTTCTCTGCTATTCAGTTGCTAGACGAATATCGTCGTCGTCGTCGTCGTCGTTTGCTCTTTTACAAGGTTGGAATTTAGCCTATGTTGTTTTTTGTTAGCAGTGTTCCATCTTTGTTGTTTTACTAGATAAATAATGGCTGCAATACGGAAAAAATTAGTTATTGTTGGTGATGGAGCTTGTGGTACGAAAACTGTTCATTACAAAATATTTATTTAAAAAAAAACGTTGTTTTTACTTCAGGAAAAACATGTTTATTGATTGTTTTCAGTAAAGATCAATTTCCAGAAGTTTACGTTCCAACTGTATTTGAAAATTACGTCTCTGATATCGAAATTGACGGAAAACAAGTAAATTTTTTCACTTTTCTTCTCGACTCGTTCATCATTCTCGTCATTCGTTAGATTGAACTAGCTTTATGGGATACAGCTGGCCAAGAGGATTACGATCGATTACGGCCACTTTCTTATCCAGATACGGATGTTATTCTTATGTGCTTTGCTATAGATAGTCCAGACAGTCTTGAAAATATTCCTGAGGTACGGCTTGTTCATACGAAGGATTTGATTTTGTTCGTATAACGCGATGTTTGTTTAGAAATGGACACCTGAATGTAAACATTTTTGTCCAAATGTTCCGATTGTTCTTGTTGGTATGTAAAAAGATAGAAAGGTGCACGAAAGCAAAGTTGACTGGTTGGTTTATCTTAGGCAACAAGAAAGATCTTCGCAACGATGAAGCAACTAAAAGGGAATTGATGAAAATGAAGCAAGAGCCAGTTCGAATTGATGCGGGTAGAACTATGGCCGATAAAATCGGTGCAGTAGGTTATCTTGAATGCTCAGCTAAAACAAAAGAAGGTAAGTCGAGTTGTTCTTCTCATCACTTTCGATTACAAATCACTCGTTTTTGTCTTAGGCGTTCGTGAAGTCTTCGAATTCGCTGCTCGAGCTGCCTTAGCTCGTAAAAAGAAACGCAAAGGTGTGTGCTCATTACTTTAGAAGATCAACTCATCCAGAAAACAATTGTTATCACGATTGTGTACGTTTAATCAGACCTGATAACATATTATTCTTGGCGCTAGAACACCTGGTTTTTTTTTCGTCTCGTAATTTCGTATATATATACTTATATATAACTAAACAAACCGTTGTCTTGTATAAATGTTGTGTTCTTCTTCTTTTCTTTTCTTATTCTTGTGGTTTATTACATGTTTCTTTTTCTAAATTTATTCATACAAAAGAAAGCAGAGAAAAGGTCTTGTCTACATTAGCGAACAAAGTGAACTTCTTTTGTTTATTTTGAATGTTGAACGATGGTTTGAAATAGATATGACAAAATAGACATGTCTTATCGTTCTGATCGAAGATGTGCGAAATTATTTGAAAAATTTTTAGTGATGATCCGTTTGTTTTTTCTTTTTCAGTCGATAATTCGATTGCTAAACAGTTACAATCATGCATTCTTCGCGCATTTACTGTCTTCATCGTTGCATGCCATACGCTAATAAGCGGAAATTCTTATCAGCACGACATTATTTCTAATTCACTTACAGAATCCTATCAGGACTATTTTCTTTTGATACAAACTCCTGAAGTGTTTGCTTTTTCATAATACGTGTTGATAAAATCAGATGTTTTTATTTCTAACTTTAACTAAGTTCTATCCAGTCGGATACGAAAACGAATTGAGATTTGCTCAAAGAATGTTTTACTGATAGATGCCTTGCGATGAAAATCGAACTTTTTGCCTATACAATCAACAATGGAATATTGAGCATCTTTTGTGTGTGTGTGTTCACATTCACATGGACATTCTGATTGGTCATCCATTGTATACCGTGTATCGATTTGAACTGTACAAACAAAGACTTGAACAGGAGAAAGAAACAGCAAATTGAACATTTTTTTTTACGTAATTTTCCATGACTCGAACGAATAATAATAACATTGAACATTCGCCATCTCGAACATCATCCTCTTCATCATCGGCTATAGCTCAACCTTCTTCAACTGAGCCAAAAGATATCATCAATCAGAATGAGCTGACCATTCAAAAGCTTCTGCTTGAATTACAAGATGATCTGAAACAAACGAAAGAATGTTATAATCAAAGTCGTGATGCTTGGCTTTCAATTCAACAACAGCAACAACAACAAAAATCGTCCACATCACCGAATGAGAATCTAAATTCTCAATCAATAAAATCGAATGTATCACAAGCACTAACAAACGTTCAAAATGAAATTGAGATGTACAAAACAGCATTATCGAAAATATCTCAAGTTCGTCAATTACAAATTGAAATCACCAATGTCACGAAGAATCATCTTGACATCAATCGTAGTCATACGACCAGACGAGGTCTCNGCTAGTGTGATGTTAACTGTCGTCAATTAAACTCGTTTCTCCTCGCGGGCAAGTGCAAAATGAAGTGATCTAATTACTTTATATTTCTTGTCAAGTTTATTTTGTTCTCAACAATAGATACATATCAAACGATTTCTACACGTACCAAGTGCGTGGGAGCTATTTCTCACATTGTGAAAAAGGACGAAAACATCCAACTCAATTTGAAGCAGTACCTGTGTGTTGATTTATTTTGAAGAGAAGAAGAAGAGAAATACTTTTATGTAACGTACATGTTTATAGATTGAAAAAATGAGAAACTTTGCTTTCTTCCCATTTCAGCATGTGCAGTCTCAGTTTTCGAACTGTGCCTCACATCGAATGATTGCTCGTACGAATGGCGACGTTGCACAATATATAGAAATAGAATATTAAATCACGTCAGTTCTCTCTTATCATTTCAAACAATCTCATATAAATTATAACTCATTTCATACACAACCTAGAAATCATAGTTGACTCATGTGATTTATTACTCATGCATTGCAGATTGTTCGTCTCCTATACAATGTTTCTTGTATTTATATTCATGTGCAAACGATGCGATCAAATCATATCGTAGATATTCATAAATATAGTGGGTGAACAATCGACACAACATATAATTTATTTCGGTCTATCATTCTGAGATCGAAGAGTGCTTTTCGAATATGATTCAACCACTTATCCTACACATAAGTGTCGACTTTGATGGAATATCTATTTTTTGACGTGAATGTAATGCTAATCAAAACTTTCGTTTAGTTTCACGCGTCGTGAATTACGATAGAGATGTAGTCGATTTCATGACAGGCTTTATTGATTAGGCAGGACAACATGTCGAAAGTTTGGAGAGAATGATCTGGGATAGATAGATTCTGTACAAACAAAGAAAGTATTCAATGCACTTGAGAATTCGTGTTTGTTAGACGAGTTTTTCTTTTCAGAGAAAGTTTGTCAACTGCACGAATATGAATCGATCCATCTTTGTTATGTAGAACAAGAAGATCGTTTTGTTTTTCGGGCTCCGTCTGATTTGGTTCCCTGATCCATGATTTAGCGGACTCATAACGCTATTATGTACTTGGTTTTGATTTTTATAGCGCTTTGGTAGGTGTAAACATAAATCAGGTCGATTGTTTTCATACAGATGGATATTTAAGTTAAAAGTTAGACTAGATTAGTTACTACTTGAATAAGTATAAACATATCGAAGCTATGTTTTGTCGTTCATTTTGAATTACTTTTTTTATTTTTGGACTAAAATAAGTCGAATAAAGAAATGTGAAAAGAGCTAGCGTATCAAACTGTTATACCATCAATTGTGTTGATTTCTATATTAGAACCGTGAATGTAGAAGAAACATAGCGTCTGACACTATTCGTTATTTGATACAACTCGAAGCTCATTCTGTACAGTACTTGCTACATATTCGTCGTCACAGAATCAGTTGCTGTTGATGTGCGCGGTGGCTCCGTTTGTTGTTGATTTCGGCGTTCTTCTTCTTCCTTTCTTACGAGCAGCTGCTGGATGCGTATAGGTAGACCAGGATTTAGACTCAATGCATATGGTAATAACGCTTGCGGCATATCACCAAAATCCACCATTACTTTTATAAACATCGTGTCATCCCGAACATATGAATTACCGTCCTGTTGGATCATTGTCAGAGGAAAGAATTTTGGTATACCACTCGCTATGTTCATTTCTGATCGTGGACGCTGAAAACTATTAGATTTTATGTCTGGTCGAAACGAGTCGATGATATGTCGTTGCTGAGGTGTTTGATCATATAAACAGAATGTCACCCTGTAGTTGAATGGAAACTTTAGCACAACATCATTCGAACCACGCATCAGAACAAAAAACAGCGACATGTGAGTACGACAAGCATCGCCATCACCGTTTAAGTATAGACAGACTCGCATCTTATAGCCACTAGGCGAAGAATAGAATGGTGGTGAATAGATAGATGTTTGCCGCTCGGATTCAGCATTCCCTAAACAACAACAACAACATGCATCATCATTCGCTACTAACACTCGTCATTCTCAACAAACTTACTCATTTTCTCCTGAAAACTAGTGATTTTCCAGATAAGTGTTCCATCATATGACACATATTGTGCATCATCGACCTTTTGTTTCAGCGATGCAACTTCTTGTTGTAGAATCTCTTGATTCGGCTTGATACCATCGAGAAAAGCACCTTGCTCTTGAACACTCAACTTGAGTGATGCGAGTTCTTGTGTCAATGATTCGACAGAAGATTGTAATCGAACAGATTCATTGCTGACGCGTAGTGTATCCATATGTAGTCCCTCCTTCCTACTCGCAAGAGTGTTGATTACTTCATACACTTCTTGCATGCTTGTGCTAAGTGTTTCACTTGTTGTTGTGGTTGTAGATAATGAACCGGCGATGTTTGGTGCGATGTCGACATCCATCGTTGATCCTCTTTCTGACGGATCATGTGCTAGTTTCACAGACAAGCGCTGAACAACACTAATGAGTACTTTTTGATGAACATCACTTAGATAATGATCACGAAGGTCGATTCGACGCACCTAAACACAGTGTACACATGTCATCATCAGTTAGCTGAATCTGGCGTTTGGATCAATGTGATCGTGACTTACTGAACATAGACATCCATATTCTACAAGTAGACAAGGCTGAGTGATTTCTATGCATTCTCTTTGTTTGTGTTCATCGAGTCGGATGTTGGAAGTGAACTGTTCACCACAAAACTCACAAATAAGATTTGGATCGAAATTAGCCTGAAATAAATATTAATCTTGAATGCGATGCTTGACAATTTGAATGCAAGTATATTTTATCCTATTTACTATGATATTAACTGCGACATGCTACGGAAATATTTTACAGCAGAAGAAATTCAGTACACTTATAGTTTTTGAAGTGTGTGGCGAAAAAGAGCTCAATAGTGGTCGTGATTCGAAAAGTCGATAGATTGTGGTAGATAAATATGTCTACCTGATTGCTTTCACAATTGGTTGCCCAAGAGCTAGGATCGTATGAGAGAGAGCATGGTGTAATCTTCAATATAAAAATTAATATCACATTTTAGACTGCAAAGATATTTAGCATACTGACCGAATTCTTTGCTGTTGACTGTAAACATTGTGTGCATGTAACACTGTCTCTAATTAGAAATAAAAAAATAATTTACTTTAATGCACTATTCACTGAATTTTACCCTTGTATGATTGAGATGCATGTTTTGCATATACAGTGCCCACATAGAAGCCAAAAATTTTCATGCGAAATGAATGAGCATAATTGACAAACGCACAGTGCTTTTATGCTGCTTTTATTGGTTCTTTCACGACCAACCATATTTAATAATGCTGAAAACAAAACTAAATAATTTAAGAGTAAGACATCTGATTTTGAAAAAAATGACTGTTCGAAGAACATATTCATCTTCATTTGCAAAATATAACCTGATAGAGTCTTTTATGATGAAGAGTTTGCGCTAATACTTCAAATGAATTCGTGACTAACCAGAAAATGCTTAGACTACCTCATATACAAAAACGAATCCTCAACAAATGCTGAAAACTATGCTATTCGACTAAGATTAGTAATCAAAATGACACTTGCCAGCTAAATATATCTATCGAAATTTGTACTGACTAGTGTGTTCTCGTAGACATTGATTTTTATCGGCTGAGTTTTCATACGACGTTGCTGTGAATGATTTCTCGGCTACTATCCAAACTTTAGTGAGAACCAATGAAGTGTCTCTGGGAAGTTACCTTAACCTTTTTATAACTGAATTTTCGACGTTTCTGTTGATTTATCGCTTGGAAATTTCCAACTAGGTGTTGCTAACATGTACACTCAGAAAGAAAAAGGGAAATAGTAGGCAGTCTGACTAAAAAGTCTATCGCTAAAGAATATCAAAACAAATCTATGTCTCAAAAGTACACGAGTTTCGTCAACAAGTTTACTGTTAGTCGACACAATGCTTCTGTATGTTAAGTGTTTAAACTCCATGGCGATTGAAAATATTTCGAAAGGAAAAAAGAGAGCAAAACCTCTCCTTTCTCTATACCCTAAATATATCTCTTGTAAGAGTACAACATACAATAAGAACAATTTTATAAATGGTTAAATAGAAACGAAAGAGCATGACAATTTATTTTCTCTTACATGCAAAATTACAACTCGGGTTGGACAAATTCCAACCCTCATGTTCGCTTATATACTTAAAAGGTTGGAAATCTTGTTTCACATTTTAGAATAATGATTAAACGTTGAACATGAGCAACGTTCGATCTTACCGTTGTAGTACTATTATTGTTGCTATAGCATACACCATAAGGTCATTGTTTCTAGCACCTTCTAAGCAAATACGACGTCATACAAACTGCGTCTTTGAAAAAGAAAAGGTCGAGTACTCGTTCGATAAAGAAAAATATTATGAAAGTTTATAGGTACTTGTTGGCCTACAACAAGCATGTTATAGATAAGCATTCTTACTCAATAGTATTGAAAATAGAAACTATCTGCTATCTCAACAAGGTATATGAATAATAGCTTTGCACTTTATTCGTATTCATAATTCTGAAATGCAAATAAAAATAAAATAAAATATTTCCAATAAAAAATGAGAAATATGACGAGTACATTAAGTTAAATCGAGACTGACTAGATTAAAAGCATATAAATCGAATAAAAACTCAATTATTTGTCATTCGGACGGATTATGGAACGTATCTTAAACGTGAAATTCACAGGAATTGAATGAGATTCTTCTTTTCTCTACAAATCTTCATCACCAGCACCTCTATCAAACAATTCGTTATTATTTAATCGATCTAAATCAGACTTTGTCCGTGTGGTGAGACCAACTGTTTTCTTCTGTTGACTATTCTTCTTGTTCGCATCGACCATCAAGACATTCGCATCAATTCGTTTCTTTAATATTTCATCGACCATACTCTGTAGACATGTGCTGACTAAAGCGGCCTGTTCTGTATGTATTGTAATCCACTGTAAGGTATTTTTGCGAACTAAATATTCGAAGGTGAGACTCAGATCCGATTTTGTCCAATTAACTTTCCAACAACGAATACGCGTGACTTTGAATGAGATCTCTTTTGAAATGGAATGTACATGTTCATCATTGACATAATAACAAATCAAGTCATTATTTCCAATTGCTAATAAACATCGAGAAAGCTCTTCCGTTGATAAATCGTTGACTGTACATTCACGAAGAAGGATATATCCCGAGAATTTGGATGTTCGCGCTAAGAGAATGTATTCTTTCCATTGCTGATGATCACGCAATTGGATGAGTTGTTTGTGAAGATCATTCGAGTCGAACTCTTGACTCTGATCAATATCGTATTGACATTGAAGAAAGAGTAAATTTTGCGTGCAGGGATTATCTAACAATTTCAGATCATAGGTCACATTCCAATAAGATTTCTTTAGAACAATACAACAGTTTGCATGGAATTTTTCTGCTTGTTTCAGTGATATATAGGGACATTCGAATGAAAACAATGGTCGGATGAGATTTAGGTGATTCTGATCGGATGCATAGAGAAATAACGAAAAATATGAAAAGTACTCAAGATCCAGTTGAATTTTCTCTGCACAAGCTTCGAATAATTTGGTGAGTGTGTCGTGAGACGAGAGATTCTCCAGAATAATTTCATGACGATCCAAAAGGTAAATAATAAAATTGGTTCTGTCTGGCATGAATTTATCGATGGATGCATTGAGATATGTTTCATGCTGTGCATTGAAGAAGAAATCATTGAAATAAGTTGAGGATATCAGAGATTTCTGTTGCACAACAGATTGCAAATAACGTTCGAGTAATATTCGTCGTTCTTCGATATCACGTGACGATAGGCTAAAGAATTTTTTCGGTGGAAATGGTTGACTTTGTATCATAAAATTTGGCAGAAAACGCTGGAGTTCAGTATGGAACGAATGCAATTGCGAGTAACGTAAACTACAATGATGAACGCCATTTACATGGATATTATATAGAGTATACGCATGTTGATTCGAACTTTGTTTAGCAGAGATTTCTGTTGTATCAGGGATCGCAAAGTACATCTATAAATCAAGAAACATTTTATATAAGCGTATGTAAGTGACTTTTATTAGAATTTTAAGACGCGTTTTCTACAGATACAATACTGTTGAGTTAAATATCCTTTACATATATATAGACTTCTTTAAGTTCGATAATGATTACAGCAATATAAAGACAATACCGAAAAGAAAAATAGAGATGTACACAAATAGACCCGCAAACATGAAGAATGGATAAATAAATGTTAATGTATATACACAGACACATATGAACACACACCTTGATTTTGTTTTTATCTCATTCGTTGTGTAAATCTCCATACGAAAGAACAAGAATTTGGTCGCAGTAGAAAGAAGAAAGAGAATACTGATTGCGCTTTGATGAGGGTACACGAGATTTTGGTTTTTGATTGATTATCACATGAAAACTACACAAACCGGGGTAGACAATCATGCATACTAGTAACATACAAAAGGCAAAAAGAAAGAAAGAGGCAGAGACAAAAAAATTAATCATTCAGATACATATAATGACTCCATTCATGAAAAATTCTATGAAATGCAACGCTTCATTAGATCTCTAATGTAAGACAAAAGAGATTGCACTAAGAATAAAGAGATTAATAAATGCTAAGTTATCATTGATCAAGCAGCGAAAGAAGCAGACTTCGGTAATTTTTCATGCGCAAAGATTTTCTATTCATTTGGTTTGGTGTAATTGTTAGTTAATTGTAATTCTCGTAGGATACATTCGAAACAATCATACATGAACTGTCCAAATGGTGATTGCAATTTAACTGGTTTGGCTGCCTTCATTGATGAACGTTTATACTCGAAAATAAAATATTGTTCATCGATACAATAGCGTCCAATTGTACACCATTCGAAATCTGCTATTTGGTCGGCTTCTAATTGACCATCATCCGAACAAGCGTGTAAACGAAGACGAGTACTATTTACTGAGACAATAACACATCCATTATCTTTGCGCGAACTGCACGGACATAGAGGAAATGTTATCGTATTATATATGTCGGTGAATGTTTGAGCATATTTAATGTATTCGATTTCATCAAATGTTTTCAAAGCTGAACGCTGATCGGCGGTCGAGTTTTGTGAACGACTCAATTGATCGATGGCCTAGAAATGATCAGAAGAAAATGAAATGTGGAATAAATTCATACGAAGATGAACTTACTTCACGATAGAGATAATCTCGTGCTAATGGATATTTCAGGAGTTGATTTTCAACATTGGGTGAGAAGAGAAATTTGCGTAAACATAAACATGTAGTGTTTGCTGTACAACAATTTTGTACATAGATTTGATGAGGGTATTCTGTTGGTCGAAGTTTACGTTCTAAAAAATGATTGATTTTACATTGAAGAAGAAAATTCACTTTGTTTACCGAATGTATAATCGAGAATTTCGAAGAGATAGAAATACGGAGTACATTGTTGAGGTAAATCAATCTTTTCCACGATCGCCTACGAAGAAAAAAAGATAGAAGATTTTGTCAAATGCAGTAGATAACTATATGTATTTACTTCGTAAACTTTATCAGCAGTCGAAAAACGTTTGATTTTGAGAACAGCAACCGATCGGTCAGGCAACATAATTTTTATTTCCACATCAATGGAAACTGCATCTCTCTACGTATAGAACAACATAGGATCGACATATTATCGTTAGGATTAGTGAAATCTTACCTCGTAGACATCGGCTGACAGAAATTCTTGAACTAAGTCACAATCGCCGACGACACGAACCGAACAAACTAAAGAGTTTCATCAATGGCGAAGAGATCTTTTTCTTTGTTAAGTTACTTTTATCAAGATATTGTTCTAAACCACGTCGTCGGGCGTCCAGCTGCTGATCCGATAGTTTAAATGGCCATTTCTTTGGTAAGGAATTGAACGGAAAATCTGGAAATTCCTGTTTCAATTGTTGATGTAACGACGAAAATTCACGATAACGTCGTGAGCACAAATGACGACCTAAGACAATCATATTTCATAGTACATATCAAAAATGGAAATCATTCTTACCGGCGATATGAATGTTAAATACCTAAATAGAAAACAAAAGGAGATCAATTGATAAGAATGACAATTGATGATCTAACTATTTTCAGATAAGATTCTTAGTAACAGATTATCTTATTTTTTGAATGATTCCTCCTTCCTGATATCGATGTAACCAATGGAAATAATCTAGTACTTACATAAAATTTCTCATCGTTAACTTCTAGTAAACTGTAATCTGGTATTGTAATTGCCAATGAACGTCTCTCAGAATAATCATTTGAGCTTCCACTGGATTCTTCTCCTGAATGCACATCACTATGTGATTCTTCACCAACGGATGCAATCACTTCAAATACGAATAATTGAATGTAAATAAAGTTGTCTCCGTTATTTTTTCTCACTTACCAACAAGACGAAGCTCATCAGCGCTATGTTTAATCAAATCAACCACTTGTTTATGTGATGCTCCTTCGACATCGACTCCATTTCTACAAAGAAAAGTCGCCATGTACGAGTTTATTAATTATAAATCACATCGAGTTGAAGATTACATACACTTCAAGAATTTTATCTCCTACACAGAGACCTGCTCGTTCAGCTGCGCCTCGACTTGAAATAGCAGAAACATGTTGAAGTGGCCCATAAAGCGTTCCATGTATGGCTTTGACCTGTCCGCCTTCGAACACTTGTCCACGCACGTTGAATCCAAATCCGTTACTTGATTTTCTCACAAGGATACTTCGTGGTGCATTCGAAGTGGATGATGGCTTGACTGGATTTGTAATTATACCTGATGATGAGACTTTTCGTGCTGAAGAAGAGTTATCCATGTTTATTGAAAATAGAGATGATGTTTTTACATCAATCGAAACAAAAATAAGTCAGTTGAATCAATGACTCCTATTGGTCGGATCGATTGACCAATGAATAAACTCTGCAAGTTATTCTTAAAACACATATGCAGAATGCAAAACGAACTTGACATTCATGTCGACATATTGATAATTGTTTTTCTTTTTCCTCTTTAATGTTGTCGGTTACATGTCTTTGTTCTTCGTAGTATTACATACAGATTGAGTAAGATTTGTGTTTAATTATTTTAGATTCAATTAATCTTGCATTCATTTCGTTACAATGGCACGAACAAAACAAACTGCTCGTAAATCAACTGGTGGTAAAGCACCACGTAAACAGTTAGCCACCAAGGCTGCACGTAAATCGGCTCCATCAACTGGTGGTATAAAAAAACCGCATCGTTTCCGACCAGGTACTGTCGCTTTACGTGAAATTCGTCGTTATCAAAAATCCACGGAATTACTCATTCGTAAATTGCCATTTCAACGACTCGTTCGTGAAATCGCACAAGATTTCAAAACGGATTTACGTTTTCAATCGGCAGCTATTGGCGCTCTTCAAGAAGCAAGTGAAGCTTATTTGGTATCACTTTTCGAAGATACCAACTTATGCGCTATTCATGCCAAACGTGTTACCGTAAGTGAATCTTTTCGATTTGTATACACACAAAAAATCAAACGAACTATTGCAATTTAGATTATGCCGAAAGATATTCAATTGGCACGACGTATCCGGGGTGAACGTGCTTAATTTTAACATGCACAAGATTTTTCACTAGATGTGTACATATATATATATATATATATATATCTTCGCTGTTGTGTATTAGACGTCTTTTGCTTATTATCGATTTTGTTTGTTTGTTCTTATTTACTCAATTATTATTATTCACACTTCTTTATGTTCGTATTATCTACTTCTCAGGATGATTTGTTTTACTTATGTACGCACAAATATGTTGCCACTCAAATATCTTCTCTCATTTTTGGATGTCTCGTTGGAAAACAAAAGAATGCTCTTCTAAATTTAATCATCCCTCTTTCTTTTTTGTTCTTGTTCAGCACATTGAACGGAAATAGGTTGACTTCTTTTTCTGTTCGTCTTCATGTGTGTGTATATCAATGGCTTGTAATTGTGTGTGTGTGTGTAACTGCGTATCTCATGGAAAACCAAGCGAAAGAAAACCAAATGTTCGAATAGTTTTTGGTAGAGATTTAATTGGAAAAATCAAATATTTGAAAGTGTTTTGAAATAAAGGAATCATTTGTTCTCTCGCGCAAATGTGTCTTCTTTCTTCACTCATGTGTCACTATAACCTTCGTAATAGCAGAGTAATATCGTGTTGGGAACGATAGAAAGATAATCCATTCGAAATTTCCTATAAATAAATGTGTGTAGGAACATTTATTTATTTTAATAATTCAATATGCCGGTGACATGCACGCTATTACGTATTCTATTCAGTCAATTACACTTTTTTAACATTCATAATGGAAAATGCAAAAGAAAGCAACCATTGAAGCCATTCAATTATCTATTATGACGTCAATGGTATTCAGAGTAAAAATATTTCTCAACTTATTTTTAACAAAAAGACTGAAGTTTGAAGAAAAACCGAGCCTAATAATTATTTGATTAGACAAAGATATTTATTTTGTTTCAACTCATTTTGTATCTGACAATCAGCATCAACGAAGAGTAAAAATAGAACAAGATTAATTACATATCAGTGAACGTTTCCTCTCCACAATTGTTAATTTGGTCATCGAAACGGAATCCGAGTTTGTTTGAAGTTGATTATGGCCCGTTGTTCATGTCTGACGTCATGTTCCTTCGTAGGACAATCTTCTCGAATTATTTTCCTAATCAGCGAACGATATCTCCGGCCGAAAATGACTAAAACTTCTTCAACATGCCTATGGCTATGTGAAAGGCTAGAAGACACAGAGAAAAAATGCGCAGTAGAAGAAGATGAATGCATATTACCTGCAAATATATTCGAGAAATGAATAATTTGGCCGTAGCAATTTCATTGGTTGATGATGAATTTGTGAGTAGGGATTTAGAAAGCGATTCATTTCAGGAAATGGATGATGTCGTGATTGCCATGGCTTATTCAAATAAAGATTTCTAAAATTTCAATCAATAGTTGCCATTTCCACGTTGTAACCAATCAGTCACTTACTTGGCAGAGTCAAAAGATACTGCTCGATTGTAAACTTTTGTTATATGAAGAAATAAACCCAAGATCGCAACTAAAATGATCATTTGCTTTGCCTATACGCGAGAGTTTTCATCAATAATTCAATGTCAAATCATTGTTTCGTTTTTCTTTTCTCGAAGTCGGACGTGTTACATATATATCTACATGATAACATCGGAACTATGCATATCACATACCAATGATTAGTCATATGTAAACTCTACGTGTTACTCGAACATGGATGCATTGTTCGATTATTAGTCAATTTATTAAATTTATTCGAAGTTCTATGTGTCATATTAAACATTAGTCAAACGAAGTGCTATCGATCCATTGTGTCCGTACGAACTGGCACTGTGCTTAGTCATGTTCGTACTATTCGAATTAGTTAATAGTTGAACACTCGCTGTACTTAAATTTAACGAATTGTTTCCCAAACGTTTGTGCTTATTATTGAGATGACACCGATTATGATTTTGATGATGATTGTTGTTAGCCGTTGATGTCGGTGAGGGTTGTTGGCTTCCGTATGGCATCGTTGTCGAGGCACGAAATGGTATCATTGTCGATGACGCTGACTTCATTCGAATGAATGATTTACAACAACAACAACATGATGAAAATAGTTCACGAAATTTGAGACGAAATTTATCTATGAAGAAGAACAACAAGGAAAGAAATTCGATCTTATGTTAACGAACATAGTCATGCGTTTTGCCTCATACGTACCACTCATAATATTGTATATAATTGGATTAATTGATGAATTCAAAAACGGAAGGAAATGCGATATCAATGCACAAATCGTTACAACTTGAACCGTATTCGTTCGATCAAGTGCGACAGGTACGGGTTGAAAACATGGTACATTATCGGTCGAATTCTGCTGATCATTCATTATTGGATGTTGACTATATTCCAAATAGACAAATATATATCTAAGAAGATAGCATCGAGTGTCATTTCTGTCAAGCGAAAAAAGGATCGTACCTGAATAAATTAAAAACATGCACTGGTATGTAGCAAATAGCAAAGATAATGACAACCGAGATAAGCATTTTCGCAGCCTTTTGTCGATTCTCTTGAACAATTAAATTAGCTGATTTGGTTGGGTTCATTAAACTGCTACTACTATTAATAGGAACATTGTGATGAGATTCATCCGATTGACCTAGATCAAACAGGTTCAAAACTTTTCTTTCAGAAGAATAGACCTACCTGAAAGAGTGTGTTGACTTGAATTAATTGTCTTTTTTTCATCGTTAAAAAGTCGTTCCATCGGTAGTGAACCCCATAGAACTTTCGCAATGCCACGATAAGTAAACACCATAAAACAAAGCGGAATAACAAATAAACACAATGATATATGTAGTTGATAGATAAGATCGAATAATGGAGGTGCATTCCATTGACAACTAAATGAAACCAAAACATTGTGTTGTTCAATACGTAGAATATTGAAATCTAGTTTACTATGTAAGATAAATAGTCTGAAGTCGAGGGCTGAATTGTTGAGTGAGTGTCATCATAATTGCATCTTAAAAAAAGAAACAATGCTCGTTCACAATCGAATCTTTTTCTTGTTAATCAAAATCCAACCAGGAAGAACAAGTAGTATTGAAAGTATCCAGACAGAAAGGATTAGTATTCTTGCACGTTGCTTTGTTCCACTGAATTTTAACGGATGTACGATCGCTTGATAACGTTCGATTGAAATCGCCATCAACGTGAGTACAGACACGGACACCGACATATTCTAATATGCAGAACAAAACTGATTAAGGTATTCTGTATAGCTATATGAAAAGTTCTCTTGCTGCTCGAGTCAATTGCACATCTGCTAGTTCATTTCTTTTTAAGTAATTTGCATCTGTTTAACGTAGGATAGAAAGTAGGAAGGCATGCAAAACATCGCTAAGTTTCTCATAATGTATGACATACGATGTGCACCCAACGGTTGATAAAAAGAAAGAAGTGTGATTATCATGACAAGGACAAGAGGCTACTTCCATTGAATTCGAAAGTATGATTTGAATACTGTCTCATCGATTAAATTACGCCTGTCTAACTGTAAGGAAAGCAGATCGACCTTCTAGTCGAGCATTAGGTCTTCAGTTTCTTGTCTGCTGCTAGAGTACCTGAACATAATTGACAAATTTACAAAGTGCTAAGCCAAAGAACCAGGTCTTGGTTACATCTTGAACGACAGTGGCGGGTAAACAAAAGACCAGAACTAATAAATCAGCAGCCGCAAGATTCATAATAAACATATTTGTAACAGTTCTAAAAATAAATAGCAACAAAAGGAAATTACACGTCAAAGAAGATCAAAATATATAAAACAAACGTATATCTCTTTTGATATATCTTTTAACGGTTATCTTTACCTCATACTTCGATTACGTTGGATGACAATGATGACTAATAAATTACCGATCGTGCCAACAATGAAAACAATGACGTAAAGTATAATACAAATCCATTCGTGATACGTAGGTATAACTAATTTTGAAATCATATCAAGTACGATATCGTCGGATAGACAATTACTGTTGCTATCAATGAAATAACACGTGCTTTTATTGTATAAGCATGTCGAAGTCGAGCTCATTTTATTCTCGTCAGTATCCATGAGCAATCATAGACAATAAAGATTCTCTAAATGATACAAAAAATAATGATCTATTAGTATCGAATTTGTCTAACTATATGCAACGTTTGATCAGTTCTCTTGTTTGGCGTAGAGAGAAAAAGCGAATGGAGCTCGTATTAGTTCTAAACATAGATAAAATACCTCTTTCGTGTTGTCGAACAAAGACTTGATATGTATACAATAGTATACAATCAATCATCGTTTAGCATCATTGAAACAAAAATGAAAGTATTGAAAAAAAACAGAGGAAAGTAAACGTCTGCGAATAAGGACCCAAACGGGTAGAAGAATAAATGATGAGATCGTCTTTTCTTCTATTTCTCTCTCGTTCTTTTCATTTTCTTTTTCTCATTGTGTGGGTGTATGAGCGAAAAGGCATCAAAGAAACTTACGAGAGCAGTTATGCATCCAATGCTCATTGTTAGACGCTAGTACTTCACTAAATAGCATAGACTTTTGAAAAAAAAGTAGCAGTACATATCATTATGAACTTTTGTCAAGAGTATTTTAAATAGAAATGCCCTTAAAAATTGGATTTTCCTTCGATCTGTAAAACGCAAACCTAGCCTTGTCTTTTTTTCAGACTAATAATTATATATATATACGCATGCATGATAGAATACAATATATCAACCTTACTCTCTTTCTTTCGCAAGAGAGGAATTCATATATTTTTTTTGTCAACACTTCCACTGTTAACTAAACTTTCTATTGATGAGATAACAGGCAAACAGACAGGTTCTGGCGCATTGTTGTTCTTCATTCGTAGATATCTTTATTTCCTCGCGAGTTTACTAATGTATTTGACGACGTGTCATAACTTTGCGTTTTCCTCTCGTTTGAAAAGATTGTGAAACAGGTCGATTTTGAAAAAAAATTAGTAATGTCAATCTTACTTGAGTAATGTTGATCGTTCGTAGAAAACTAATGGCAAACCCACTTGCTATTTTATATATATATACACAATCACCAGATGGTCGATAAAAAACCTACATTAACGACATTTTCCCTCTTTGTTTTGTAAATAAAATAGTTTTCATCTAGCTTGAAAGATATGTTGACAAGTTTCTCTTCTTATTTTTCTTCTTAGATTATTTCGATCTCTTGCTAGTATCATGTCGAGAGAGAGTGGAAACACGTCAAATGTCGAGATATAGTCAAAAAAAAACTGTACGCGTATGTCTTGTTTTCATCTCATAGATAAATTTTGTATTATGTGACATGTATCGTTTGCGCGCATCTCTCTTAGTTATTCCATCAGCATGTCTCATGTCGTTTACAGCTGCGGATATACTTATATGATGAAGCATAACGATGATTTTGCCAGTACATACTTTCTATCGAATTAGATAGATAGCATGACGAATAGTGATTTTGTTCTTCTCGGTTGGAAAACGATCAGAGATTACAATGGATGTGTGTCAATAGAAAAAAATCGTATGGTAATGATGATGTGTTTTCTCTTAAGAGAATAGCATATCAATGGGTAATAAAACATGCTGGAAGGTCAAAAGCACCAGCTATCATTGTTCATTTGATGTCTATATTCAGCCTGGCAAATGACTATTGTCATGCGAAATCTTTGATGCAACATCTCACAATTAATCTTGCAAAGCTTGTCAAGCTTAGTCGACTTCCAGAGATTCAAATGTGAGTTCCCATTGCAATCTTCCGGTGACAATAGAAACGAGCTTCGCTATCTGATGGCACATAACAGTGAATCATTGTTTGTTCTATCTTGCTCTGTATTTTCTCATTTAACAATGAATAAGTATGGCAAATATAGATACACACAACTGCGTGGAAGGACGCTAGAGACAGTGCAAGTTAAAAGCTGCTGTTGACTTCCGTCAATAGAGAAATTGCAAGAAAAAGCATGTTGGACTGATAATAGTGCGATGAGCACTACTGTTCCTTCTGTAAATGACTGAGAAGCCCCGAACGCAAAGAACGGCTATGTTTCATTTGCAAATAAATTATCATCTTCTTCTGCTTCTCTACAAGTTTGTTAGAAATTGCATCTTCAAAGTGTTGCCGTTAACCACAACATACTCGTGTACTTTTTCTCGAAGAAATATGCACATACTACACCAGTTAATTCAATTATGTAGAATATTATATAATCCAAAGATATTTACAAACTTTTAAATCGATTGTTGTTCATACATATTTCTATCAAGAACAGCTTGTAAGATTGCTATGCCTGGAAAAACAATTATTTGTATCAGAAGATTGCACTGAAAATTGATAGCTTGTAAAGTATGTCTGATAATTATTTATGCTTACAAGGGCAAGAAAAATGCAGTCTTATAATGGTGGTGGTGAGAATCATGGTTGGGCTCGTAGACGATTTTACCGAGTCACATATCGTTAGATTTTTCACATATGTTCTTCACACTAGGGCAATCAAATGTAGCTCACATTGTCATGTACTCATGACTTGTTTTCTTCTTGATAAATTGAAAAGTGATTTTTGTACAAATTGCTTCGAGCATGGATTTATTGGAATGAACGACATGTATATCTAACTATTTTAAAAATCTAGCGAAGTCTTATGCGATACAGCAAAATCAAGCATGCAAAAATGAGACGAAAGATTCGATTACAAGAAAAGTACTTCTGTCTTCATGGTATACATATATCTACTATACAGAAATTGAGCAAAAAACAATCGATCGATCATAGCGGTTTGTTCAATGACGAGAGTGCGACAAACTATTTAGACAAGTAGTTTTTTTCATTGAATCTTGCTGTCCTAATTGCATTGCTTGATAATTCAATCACTGAATATCGAATTGTTTGATAAGATATCATCCTCAATGAATCTAAATTTGCACGCTATTGATGTAATCGAAAGATATATTCGTACCAAGGGTACGCTATTCTCAAGATCAAGATTTATGACATTATATTGTCTGACATTGGATACAACAACACAACTCTCGTTTGTAAAATTTACGAAAGACGAACTGTATCCGAAATAATCAACAGAGTGTTTGTAACTTCGTTTGACAATTAGTAGTTTTTTGTTTATCGTTACAACATATCAACACGAGGCGTATATTAGACCTTGTGTAAAACTGTTGGCGTCTAGAAGTTATTAGTATTGCTAGGATCAAGAAATCGAAATACATTGATCAGGATATCTAGTTGTGCCGATATTGTTTACAACAGATCGTAATTGTATGTTGACAATCGTCGCTGCTGCTGCTCTTAATACTTTTGTCTGGCCATATAAGAGAACCATTTTGCGCCCTTTCCACGCTGACATATAGACGAGTAATGATACTTTTTCAAACTCCAGATACGTTCTGGACTTTTCCACTCGCACTCGAATTGCTACTCGTCAATACTGGGTCTCATATATACGATTCCTATCGAGAACACTGACGATTCAAAACGGTTAAAGATAAATAATTGGAGTGGCTCCTTGAATAGATCTCAACTTATCGACATGATACGCTTCCTTTGTAAATATTGCAATCTATCATTTATATCGTTTATTTTCCTAGGGATATCTTTATAGTCGATAAAGATAAAGAATTAGTATGGCAGTTGATTAATGAAAACGGAAGTAAGTAGCAAAGTTTTGTAAAGCTCTACCAACATCGACAGGTATTGACAGTAATCTTAAATAAATACAGAAAAGAATAAGACGAAGCATTTTTTTAATGTTTCCACAATGAATCATCATTTAGTCAGTTAGGCAAGATAGGCAGAATAAACTATACGTATGTCAGTCAACAATAGAAGTAGTATTTGAGTAATAACACATTGCTTGTTTTTCTTCATTGAGGTTAGTCAACATGCATTTCCGTCGTTTTACTTTTTCAGCATCCATACATATTTATATTTCAATATTGCTGATCGATCAGTTGCTCCATTCTCACAAGACCTCTTCACCCACTCACGCCATCTATATACCCGATGATTTTATTTACTTTTTTTCAAAATCTTCAACACAGACAAGATGAATTAGAAATTATTGATATCGTCGAACAAGAGAAATTTTGAACTCTTTGTTTGTTTTTGCACTCAAGTGTATGAATCATCGCTTGTTGATGTTAATATTGATTATTCATCGACATACACACATACAATCATTTACTTCTAGAATTTGTTTTTTTCTCTGCTATTCAGTTGCTTGACGAATATCGTCGTCGTCATCGTCGTCGTTTGCTTTTTTTACAAGGTTGGAATTCAGCCTATGTTGTTTTTTGTTAACACTGTTCCATCTTTGTTGTTTTACTAGATAAATAATGGCTGCAATACGGAAAAAATTAGTTATTGTTGGTGATGGAGCTTGTGGTACGAAAATTGTTCATCACAAAATTTTTATTTCACAAAAAAACCTTGTTTTTATTTCAGGAAAAACATGCTTATTGATTGTTTTCAGTAAAGATCAATTTCCAGAAGTTTACGTTCCAACTGTATTTGAAAATTACGTCTCTGATATCGAAATTGACGGAAAACAAGTAAACTTTTTTCACTTTTCTTGTCAACTCGTTCATTAGTCTCATCATTCGTTAGATTGAACTAGCTTTATGGGATACAGCTGGCCAAGAGGATTATGATCGATTACGGCCACTTTCTTATCCAGATACGGATGTTATTCTTATGTGCTTTGCTATAGATAGCCCAGACAGTCTTGAAAATATTCCTGAGGTACAGCTTGTTCATGCGAAGGATTTGATTTTGTTCGTATAACGCGATGTTTGTTTAGAAATGGACACCTGAATGCAAACATTTTTGTCCAAATGTTCCGATCGTTCTTGTTGGTATGTAAAAAGATAGGGAGATGCGTGAAAACAAAGTTGGCTGGTTGATTTATCTTAGGCAACAAGAAAGATCTTCGCAACGATGAAGCAACCAAAAGGGAATTGATGAAAATGAAGCAAGAGCCAGTTCGGTCTGATGCGGGTAGGACTATGGCCGATAAAATCGGTGCAGTAGGTTATCTTGAATGCTCAGCTAAAACAAAAGAAGGTAAGTCAAGTCGCTCTTCTCATTACTTTCGATTACAAATCCCTCGTTTTTGTCTTAGGCGTTCGTGAAGTCTTCGAATTCGCTGCTCGAGCTGCCTTAGCTCGTAAAAAGAAACGCAAAGGTGTGTGCTCGTTACTTTAAAAGATCAACTCATCCAGAAAACAATTGTTATCACGATTGTGTACGTTTAATCAGACCTGATAACATATTATTCTTGGCGCTAGAACACCTGGTTTTTGTTTTCGTCTCGTAATTTCGTATATATATATATACTTATATATAACTAAACAAACCGTTGTCTTGTATAAATGTTGTGTTCTTCATTTCTTTTCTTATTCTTGTGGTTTATTACATGTTTCTTTTCTAAATTTATTCATACAAAAGAAAGCAGAGAAAAGGTCTTGTCTACATTAGCGAACAAAGTGAACGTCTTTTGTTTATTTTGAATGTTGAACGATGGTTTGAAATAGAGATGACAAAACAGACATGTCTTATCGTTCCGATCGAAGATGTGCGAAATTATTTTTAAAATGTTTGGTGATGATCCGTTTGTTTTTTTTTCAGCTGATAATTCGATTGATAAACAGTTACAATCATGCATTCTTCGCGCATTTACTGTCTTCATCGTTGCATGCCATACGCTAATAAGCGGAAATTCTTATCAGCACGACATTACTTCTAATTCACTTACAGAATCCTATCAGGAGTATTTTCTTTCGATACAAACTCTTAGAGTGTTTGCTTTTTTCATAATACATGTTGATGAAATCAGATGTTTTTATTTCTAACTTTAACTAAGTTCTATACAATCGGATACGAAAACAAATTGAGATTTGTTCAAAGAGCGTTTTACTGGTAGACGCTCTACAATGAAAATCGAACTTTTTGTCTATACAATCAACAATGGAATATTGAACATCTTTTGTGTGTGTGTGTTCACATTCACATGGACATTCTGATTGGTCATCCATTGTATACCGTGTATCGATTTGAACTGTACAAACAAAGACTTGAACAGCAGAAAGAAACAGCAAATTGAGCATTTTTTTTCACGTAATTTTTCATGACACGAACAAATAATAATAACATTGAACATTCGCCATCTCGAACGTCATCTTCTTCATCATCGGCTATAGCTCAACCTTCTTCAACTGAGCCGAAAGATATCATCAATCAGAATGAGCTGACCATTCAAAAGCTTCTGCTTGAATTACAAGATGATCTGAAACAAACGAAGGACTGTTATAATCAAAGTCGTGATGCTTGGCTTTCAATTCAACAACAGCAACAACAACAAAAATCGTCCACATCACCGAATGAGAATCTGAATTCTCAATCAATAAAATCGAATGTATCACAAGCACTGACAAACGTTCAAAATGAAATTGAGATGTACAAAACAGCACTATCGAAAATATCTCAAGTTCGTCAATTACAAATTGAAATCACCAATGTCACGAAGAATCATCTTGACATCAATCGTAGTCATACGACCAGACGAGGTCTCGCTGATCTTCTATCGCATATGGCCTATGTTCTGAAGATTTGGTATGGAAGTGAACACACAGGAAACTGCTCCAATAAGGTAAATGCTAATCATCATTAGAAGTTCAATCAGTAGAAAGAGCAATAAAGCCGGAAGTTCATAGAAAACTAGATACACCCTTGTCTTTCCGTATGAATCCGTAAGATTAAAATAGAATTGATGTGATTGGATACTTTTGCTATTCTAGGGTGATATACCACCATCACTATGTGGCGCTATTCCAGCTGCTCCGAATCATGTGTGCCATGTAGGCGATTTGATCGCAGGTTTTGTTGAAGGCGAAGACGGTGATGAAAACTGGATTTTAGCCGAAGTGGCCAATGTTCATGCCAATAAAACAAAGTACGATATTTTCGATATTGACGCCGAACCTGGTCAAGGACGATACTATAACATAAATAAACGTCACGTTATTCCATTGCCACAATGGCGAGCATGTCCACTGACATGTCCTCAAGCGTTATTTCCTCGACGTACAATTGTGCTCGCATTATATCCTCAGACATCTTGCTTTTACAAAGGTATCGTGGAGAGTATTCCACGAGTTGGCAAAGACTCTTATAGCATCATATTCGAAGATTCATCGTACAACAGCGGTTATTCACCGGAATTTGATGTTCCACAGATGTTTGTTGTTGCTTATAAAGATGTCAAAAAATAACTGAATTTCCTTTTTAAATTCAATGACATCGATTGTATATATTGTGTTGAATAATGAAAAAATTAAATAAATTTCTGAGAAAATCTATCCAAAAAGAAGTGTTATTAATACAATTTCTTTAAAGATATATCATTAATGTTTCCTTTTGACAGTGACACTGATTATTTGTGATAGATGAGAAAGTAGAACGTAGATTATATCCTTTTATTGTTAATAATTGAGACAGATAAAAGTTTGCAACTTCAGTTTTCGTCTCAATGAATAGTTTGATGTTGTATAATCCAATCTGATGAATGTAATTTACGAACAAACGGAAATTACCTTTTTCTTCGTTTTTTTTTATTGGGAAATCTGCACATTAGACAAACTCCGACATTATCTACCAATTGAAAATATCAGTAAAATGACCGTTGGAAAAAATATGACTTTCTCTCTCAAATGAATCGAGAACTGAATTTGAATTCTGTGTTATTGATTGATTACTTCGAATAGACATTGGTCTAAACATCAGTGAATGTTCAAGTTCAGTTGCATTGAGTATTCTGGATGTAATAATGTTACATGGTAACAGAATTGGCTTTATTCGGATAGATAATAGATAGTATCAAAGATAATAAGCGGATAAAAGAAAGTCGTTGCTTAGAAATTCAAATAGAATTTGTCGACAAGTCATTTTTTCTTTCATCGACATAGTTCAAGTGATAAGAATAATCATAATTGATCCTATCTTGATTACGGATCCGAGAATAGTCCCAGAAAGAGAAAAAAGAATGACGAATCTAATGAATAAAATCAATTTTCTAATCTATGATAGAACTCAAGTGTAAATAATATCTAATAAATGTCTCTGAATACGCGAACATGTACTCTCCTTTTTGTGTTTATTTGCGAATAGAATTATGGATTTCTCTATGCGTGAAAAATTGAATTATGAATCGTAGCAACAAAGGAAATATTATTCTTATATACACACATCGATTTAGGCACGAAATCGCTTGAACTGTGATGCAAAAAGCGAGAGAACACATTAGTTTGAGTTGTTCAGATGAGCTATTTTAACTCTTTGAGAGATGCGCGCAAAGTTTTCTTTATATACTATATAACATTACAATTTTCCTTGCTAGAATGGATGTATTCTTGTTTAGCTTAGATGAAAATCTACTCGATGCATTCGCGCAACGCCATCATCATGCTTTTTCTCTCTGTTTTTTCGCGTCACTTGACGTAGAAGAACGGAGAGAAGAATGAGATGCAAAAGACTGGAAGTTTTTTTTTCTTGCCAATCTCCTTTCCTCTCTTCCCTATTCGATGTGTCTCGTTTATTATTAGTCTGCTGCTTCAAGCTCGTGGTAACTATTGCATTTATACCAAAAGACAACAACAATTAGTGGAAAACTGCTATCCCGATTCTTTATATCATAGCCGAAATATTCTCCAAAGATTCTTTTCATTTATCATCAACGCATATGGTAAATATAACATTTGTATAGCTGTAAAAAGTAAAATCTTCAGCTGCTGACAAGATAAATGCGCTAAAGAACAGACGAACATCAAACAAATTAGAAAAATTTCATTCTTCTTTCTTTTATCCTGTCGTCATTGACTCACACGTGGAGAACAACACAAGATGAACCATCCGATATTAGCGCAGGTAAATAATCCTGAATTTGTCATTTAATCAGATTGAATTTATCTAATGAATATGTATATATTCTCGAGTAAATGTAACAAATATCAGTGACATTTGATGCTATCTTTGTATTGAGACGTTATTCGTAAGGGTTAATCATTATTCTATCTAGTCTGACCTTCAATGATAGTTACCGGTTGAGACATAGCATTCACGAAGCGAAATATGCTGATTTCATATGTGCTTGTTTGAATTGAAAGTGATTGATTTCGACTAGTCGATAAGAGTTTGTCGTATGTATCTGCTGACGAGCGCTAGCAACATTAGTAGAGGAGAAACACATAGAGAAGAGTAATTGTTTTTCAACGTGTTATGTCATTCGATAGAAGTTTCGTACGAAAAAAACCTAATCTTGACATAAAAACATGCTAGAATATTGATGAACATTCTCGATTTGGTAAAAGAAAAACACGACAAAGTTGATGAAGGTCAATAGGCACCATATTCGAGTGAATCAATCAATTCTTCTTCGGAGGAAAAAAATATCGAATTGAATGAGGATGAGAAAGTGAGAGAAAAACAAGCAAGATAATAGATTGATATTTTTCTTTTTCGTTATTTTTTATTTTGATCAAAATCTCATAAGCAATATGTGACACAAAAAAAAAAAGAAACTAAAAGATCACTTTTGCTTTTCATATCAGACCAATTACGCATGTGTGTGTGTTTTTTTCTACGATTAATTGAAGTTGATGATATTCAAATTGTTCTTTTCAAGATTGTGCCACAAGTTGCAGCTTTGTCTGATCGAGCGGATAAAATGAAAATGGTTTCAAAGTTATCAACTTTGTCGAGTAAGTCAATGACGTCGTTGATTTTTGTTTTGAAGAAACGATTGCTCTATGGAATGACTTCTTCATCGTAGTTGATAAATCGGCATCAAAAATTCAACAAGCATTTCGGAAACATCAAGCTCGACTTAAACTGAAAAAACAAGCCGCATGGCAAATTCATGAAAAACTCGAATATTCAAGTGAACAAACAGAAGCGAAAGTAAGAAAATTGAGTTGGCAATCCGATAAATCGTTCTCATGGATCGTTTCGACGTAATTAGCTGAAAGATATGTTCGAAAAATTAATTAAAGCATCCGGCACGCTTTCACCATCGGTCACGAAATTACTTCACAAAGCCGGATTACCTGTCGGTAAAGTATTTCTCGAAAAACAAAACAGCAAGACCAATATTTTCCTATTGTTCTCTTTCTTTTTCCTTCTATTTAGAGGAGAAAGAACTCTTAAGACTAACAAATCCCGAAAATATTCGTGTTGAACCAACTTACCGTGGACCACGTGAGACTTATTTGATTAGAACAATTAGTTAAGAAAAAGTTTTCTTTGATTGTATAGGCATTGAAGGGCCAATTACACGAAAAGTCTTCGTAGACTTAATTGAAGCTTTTCAACGAGGTCAAGTAAGTAGCAAACATTTGAAGAACACTATTCCTCGAGAAAAAAAACAAGTAACTCTCTGTGATGTGATAAACTTGAGAAGAAGAAAGTAAATTGAATCATTTCCTGACATTTGCACCATATAATGATCAATTATCGAATCTTTCCTTCGTGATATTTTACTCGGATTCTTATGTAATATATTGATTTCTTGTAGGTTTTACATGAAAAATATGTGTGTGAAATTCTTCATCAAGCACGTACTATTCTCAAAACCATCCCCAACTTTAATCACGTTGATTTATCCAATCTTCGGCATGTTTTCATTGTTGGTGACCTTCATGGACAATTAGCTGATCTACTACACATATTCAATTCGGTAAATAGAGTCATTCATTCATGAGAAGATAGATCGCCTGTTTTTTTTTATGTAGAACGGACTTCCTTCAACTGACAATGCTTATATATTCAATGGAGATTTTGTTGATCGAGGTCGAAATTCAGTTGAAGTCATTCTTCTCTTGATGGTTGCTCTTATACTCTATCCAAGTTCAGTCTTTCTCAATCGAGGTAGAGTAAAATATGATATTATCTTTCGGCTTTTCCATTCAAGAATCGATCTAGGTAATCATGAAGACATTATGGTCACTGTTCGATATGGTTTTCATAATGAAATTAATCATAAATATCGAGTAAGTCAACAATGAAATTTTGATCGCGAGTGCTATCAAGACATTCCTGTTTAGACACGTAAAGCACCATTGGTGGATCTATTCAAAGATATTTTCAGTTGGCTACCACTTTACTCGTACGTTGATGCTGGAAAGAACAAAATTATTGTTATGCATGGTGGAATATCCGATAAAATCAATCTGAAAAGATTGAATAGTTTAGCAAGAAATCGATGTGAGAGGAATGTTTTACAGGAAAAAATGTCTATTATGGATCTATTTTGTCTGAAGATGTTTCAATTGAAGTGCCTCCTGAGTCGAAATCTGGTGGGAAACGACTAACGGAAGAAGAAGAAAATGAATACCATCAAATACAAGGTATGAAGTTGGTTTCTCTTTCTTAATTACGTTATACGTCATTAGTGAAATAAACCGTAGGAGGACATCTAATACGTTTTTCGATCGAAACGGAAACGTCATTTACTGTTTGTTTGAAATGAGGTCTTTTATTATAACGATATTCCAGTTACAATAGAACGAAGATAGTACCAATGAGAGTAAAGAATAAATCAATTTTCGATTCTATTCCTTGTAGTATTCTTTTTCTAATCCATTGCATGCTTTGTATATTTAACTAATTTTGATGATCATTCTTGTCGAAAGAATGAGAGAAACTGTCGCAAAGTAATTGGAACCTTTTCCCTGTGTAAGCATTCCGCTAATTCATCTGAGTGAAACTCAATTCTTGGGACATACAATCATGAAAATGAAACATATGAGACTACATGTATTCTCTGGCGTCCTTGAAAACTATACTACTAGCTTATTTTTTTTGCTTAGATTTATTCTGGAGTGATCCTGATCCTCGTGGTCGTCGAGGCTGTCGTAAAAATGATGATCGAAAGATGGCTTGCTTCTTTGGTGCTGATGTAACTCAACAATTTCTGAAAAAATACAATTTGTCGATGATTATACGTTCTCATCAAGTCAAACAAGATGGTTATGAATATAATCATGGTGGAAAAGTTCTTACAGTATTTAGCGCTTCAAATTATTGTGGTGGTTCAAATTGGGGTGCTGTTGTACGATGGTCTGTTACATTGAAGAAATGGAATTTTGGTGCGAAATAGATTTCTTTTTAGGGATTATAATGAAGAAGAACCGTGGATCATTTCATTTAAAACTCAAGGTGTGGAAATGGAAAAGATGAGTTTTAGCAAACAGTATGAGAATAGTTATTTGATAATGACTGTGAAACGTGATTTTCCTTGTTTTTTTTTTCAGAGTTACTCTATTTGAAGATCCGGCATACCATTCATTAATGGAAAAGGTCATGACAAATAAAACTGCACTTCTCAAAGAATTTACCAAAGCAGATACTAAGAAAGATGGTAAAGGTCTATTTGCTCGCTTCAACGGAAATCTAAGCTTTTTATACTAGATCATTTACCATTAACAACTTGGGCTGATATTATGTCTGATGTTCTACAAGTAGACTTGCCATGGCTTATCTTACGTGCAAAATTAGTTCAAGAAGATGCTGATGGTGTATTATATCGATCAATGTTCAACGACTATATTTTAGACAATCCAAAATTTCAAATGGTATGTCAAAGATCTTCGATATTCTTTGTTCATTTAAATCTTTGTTCTAGTCTAATACTGGTATTATGGAAGATTTGTACATGTGGAAAGATATGCTGTTGGCATTGTTTAATCTAATCGATTACAATCATTCAGGTTTCATCAGCCGGAATGAGTTCGCTGATGTTATTAAGCTTATACTCTATGGTGAAAATGGTTCGGGTGATGTGAATGATGCATATGTGGAAGAACTAACATCGGCAATGGATTTTGATAGGAATGGTAAAATTGATTTCAATGAATTTCTCGGTAAGAATATCAACGTTCGAGGACGTTCAAGAGCGAATGATTGGTTTGTTTTTCTTGTAGAAAGTTTTCGAATTGTGAATGTGAAGAAACCACAGCAAATAAATGAGAAGAGTAAAGGTCGTAACAAATCTGGTAGTATCAACGGAGTTATCGTGGAACATAAAATACGGGTATAGTCGATGCTGGAATAACTCGCAAACAATCCTTCATTCCTTGTAACATGAAAAAAAAACCAATTGTGCAAAAAGTCGTTTTGAATCAATCTCTATATCTATTTCATTGTTGTCTTTGTATACGCTTTCATTTGTAAGAGAGTAACTAACGAGTATGTGTGTTTTTTGTCATATTTTTCATTGACTGAAATCAGAATAATAAAACAGAAATGATGGTTACTGTCTTTTCAATACATGTCGAATGAAGTTGTTGTTCTTCTCCTCACACCTTCAATTGTCGACCTCTTTGGTCCGTAGACTACGCGATAAAATTACGCTCAGTAAGTCTGTGGTTCATTGTCGAACATGAACAGTTGTTATCTATGCACGTTTAGTCAAGTATATGTTAATATATTTAACCGCCTTATGTTCATTGTTCTTTACGAAATGTCAGACATGAATGTTAAGAACGTGTATAAATTATACGTAGGCATAGATTGAATAAAGATCATTTACGTTTTCATTTCTTATCGGGACAAGCACAGCGAATGCTTTTTTCGTTCAAACGTTGGTGGCGTTTATTAATTATATTCTTTTCTCCATTAATACTTTTGCCACTTCCTCTTCTCATACATTCAGCCGTACGATCTTTTTTTGACAGCCGAAAAGTTTACATCTAAAATTATTCCTCTTTAGCAAGCTCAATGTGCCTACATTGTTCTTCTTTTAACAATCTATTGGGTCACAGAAGTAGTACCTTATGGTGTTACTTCACTACTTCCGTTAGCTTTATTTCCTATGCTAAATATTTTGCCTGGCGAAGTGGTTGGTCATAGTTACTTCAAAGTTTGTAAACGTTATCGTCGTAAAAACGACGAAGCATTCGTTTTGTTCTGCAGGATATAACAACATTATTTCTTGGCAGTATGACATTGGCTCATGCAATGGAATACATTCATCTCCATCGACGATTAGCATTGTTTGTACTAAGTGTTGTTGGTTCATCCATACGATGGTTTGACAAGTGCATGAACACGTTTGAAATAGATTTTGTCTATTTGTAATTAGGAGTATGGCAGGATTAATGTGTGTAACAAGTTTTATTAGCATGTGGATCAATAATTCGGCCGCGGCGAGTATTATGATGCCTGTTGCTATTGCAATTGTGGATCAACTGGAAAATTACGATATGAAAATATCCGAAAATGTTCAAGAGATGGTCCCTATCGACACTGAACGTAAGCGAATTTATTGACATAGCATTACTAGATGAGAAATGTATAGCTGTATTCGATGTGAAAACGATTGGCGAAGATGACAATGATCCTAAAAGAACATCGCATCATACTACAATGAACGTAACAGATGAGTAAGCAGTAGATGATTTCAGATTTCAATTTGATCAGGATAATGTTCAAAGATTGGTACCATTAAATGATTTAACTAAAAGAACTACACAATCTGCGTTTGATTATTCAAAATTAAGATGTGGTATGTTTTTGTTTTGATCAAATAAATCATCTTATCATTTATATTCTACACAATACTTGACTTACTTTTCCTTCCAAGGTTTTCTCATTGCTGTTGCTTATAGTTCTGGTATTGGTGGCTTAACAACATTAGTTGGAACTGGTCCTAATATCTTTGTTAAAGGATTTGTCGATCAGTAAAAGAGAATATTTTGTATATTGCATAACGAAAAAACGAGCTTTGACTATACTTTAGAATGTACGAAAATGATCAGAAATTAAAATTTGAGATATCGTTTGGAAATTTTTTTCTTTATGCACTACCCATGGGTTTCCTCATGCTGATATTCTGTTGGTTCACATTGCAAATATTATACAATCGTAAAGAGTAATTAGAAAATCTAGTTATGTGTTGGAAATCTTTACCGTGTTTGAAATAGCTTTTTTCGTTGGAGAAAAACAAAGAATGAGTTAGAACGTGAACAACATCTTCATTCAATTCTTAAACAACAATATAAAGACTTGAATGTTCTCTCATGGCAAGACATGATCATTGGTTGTCTGTTTGCTGTCTTAATCCTCCTTTGGGTAATACGGGATTTTTCCGAAGAACGTTGGTTATTCATATTCACCAAGGAGTACTGTGAAAATTTTCGAAAAGTAACACTGAAGACTTCTCGTTTTTCATAGATATGCAACAGACGGCACAATCGCTTTGTTCATTGGTTCACTACCACTTTTCTTACCAGATAAAAATCCATTTCAAAGTAATTCTCTCTTCTATTTTCTGCTCTATCGAACAGTTTAAACATTTCGCTTGTAGATGAATGGATCTACAAACCAATCCTACCGTGGAATCATTTATCGAAAACATTTCCTTGGGGTGTATTCATGTTACAAGGTGCTGGTCTAGCTATTGCAGATGGTTTCAAAGTAAAAATTTTTTTTTTCCATTTAGAGCCGCCAGAAAATTGAAATCTTGTAGACATCTGACCTTTCAAGTACGATGGCGACGTTCCTTCAATTCATTGTTGGTGCACCGAGCATAATCATTATCCTTTTCGTTATCATCATTAGTGCTATTTTCACCGAGTTTACAAGTAATTTAGCATGTGCCAGTATTCTCTTTCCAATTCTGCATAGTATTGTAAGCGCATTTTGAATATGGCACATATACAGAAACGTTTATCTTTGTTTTGAGTTCAGGCGACCATAGCAAATATTCATCCAGCTTATTTAATTATGCCATCATGTATTGCTGTTTCATTATCGTTCATGTTACCAATTGGTACGTTTTGACCAGTGTAGACCTTTGTAAATTAATCTATCTCTGCATTTTAGCTACGCCACCGAACGCCATGATATTATCGAATGAAAGTGTGAAAGTAATGGACTTAATCCAAGCTGGTATCAGCATTAAATTGTTCAGTATTGTGGTTATCTTTATTCAATCTGCTTTTGCATTATCATACATATTCGACATTGATGACATGATATCATTATCAACGAATGGCACATTAAATTAGAAAACTTCTGAATAATAGTTCAATTCGTTTCTCTGCATATGTATAGTTAGCTTCGTCTTAGTTGATATACATAGATTTTAACATTGACTCTCATTATGTTTATCTCTGCATATAAAATCCTATTCGATTCGAGAATGTCGGAAACAGTATTGTTTTCTAACATTTTCATTCGTTAGATGCTGAATAGATAATAATCAACAATTGATGATATCATGATACAAATTGTCATAACTTTTGAGTGGACTGAGATAATATATCGCATTTGATGATACACAATGGTTCTATATTTCATTTTCTACTGTAATACACTAGTGATTAGAGTATTTAATCTCTACTATTAAATAAATATAAATAGAGCTTGCTATTCTTTTCTCAAAGTATCGACTTTATTTGCATTTTCGTACATACAGCCAGTGACGGAACCAAGGGGGACAACTGGGTCTCTAGCTCTGTCATTGTATACAACAACATGTTTTTCGAAGCCAATTTAAAGTGTTTCTATTGATCTTCGTCTTTCGGGATCGATCGTTACGAGTGCAATGTCATCGTCGTTGTTTATCTGTTTATGATGAAAATAAAGGAAGAATAATTGTTCGATGTAAAATTCAATGATAGCACATTACGATGCCTATATTGACAAAATTTACATGGTACAAACTTAATGGATTGCTCGTGTGTTGTTCGTTCATACTTAAGTAAATATAAGCCATGTCGGCTGCTAAACATTATTTTTATATCATCGATAACTGATAAAGTGTCGGCGGTTATTAGTTGTGTTGTGGGATAAATATGCGCTTTTTTTCATGTATATTCTGACTCCGTCGTCGGTTTTACTATAGAAAAATTATGAAATGTATAAATCGACGTTTACTGTTGCTCAAATTTTGAATAAAAAGTTCTTCCTAGGCTAAAAGGATGGCGAGTTTCCGAGATTTTAACATAATGAATATAGATGTCCATGTTTCGATTACGTTCGTCTTTATGTACTGAGTGAATATTTTTCTATTTCGAATATCGAAAGATGATACTAAATAACGAAATAGCAGTAAGCCACTTTTCGAATATTCAGCAAGAACGACTTGCAATGGACTTCTAGGATGCTACATAATTATTTCTCTGATCCAGAACACAATGTTTTGTGTTTATTTTTCGTTTAATGGAAATCACAGTCAATTCCAATTGAACTGTGTTATATCTTTAAAACAAAACCTAACCAATGTGGAAAATAAACTAATGAAATGAGAAAAATGCTTGAAGAAATTTTTTACACTTGTTAAACTAACAACGGAGTATAGTTTTGATCATCAGATTTCATACATAATAAATAAAACATATGTCAACAACTTTCAGCAACAAAAAGAATAACGTTAGGTTAGAGGAATCAAATAAGACTGCTATAAACATAAGACGAGAAATCACTCGACTAGAGAATAATAAAACAAAACAAATAACATACACACACACATACAGATGCACACATACACACAACAAAAGACTAGGATTTGTTTTCATGTGCTAAACAACAAATAAACATAACAATGAACTATCACATCAGAGCTGGATAGAGTAATTTACGAAGGCTATTATGAATAAGTTGTTCCACTGTTTGTTGATTGATAACGACATTTAATGTTGTAGTAGTTGTTGTTGATGTTGTCGGATTTGTTGGAATTGTCAATGGAATCGGCGATGGCGATAATGTTATTTGTTGTTGCTGCTGTTGTTGTTGTTGTTGTTGACAATAATAGCAATGTTCGTGAGCGAGCATTTGTGCTTCGGCAGGTGGAAGTTCCGAGAATCTAGTGGATTTTACATGTGTGCATGAAATAGTCGAATACTTTCCTTTTGTCCCTACCTTGTTTGAATGGAATGATGTACACGTGACGATGATGATGATGATGATGATGCAGATAATGACGATTTTGATTGATTTCTCTTGACATGTTTGAGTCGCTGACGTCGATTAGCAAACCAAGAACGACATTGTTGAGCAGTTATATTGCCTTCGGTAATAAAGCGTTTTTTATCTGGTGAACGTGGATATGGATCATCCAAATTGGCATTATACCTGGAAATAAGATCAATCGAATACAAAAAAGCAACGAACCGAAACCATTTCGTTGTTTATTTACCACTCTTGCATTAATTTAACCGCATGATCAGGCAATTTATGATAACATTGTGAACGAGCTGACGATACACGTGGCACCATTGGCGTTGATAAACAAGACATTGGTTGTTCATTGATAACTAATGATAAATGTGTTCGAGACTGAAATAAAATGAGAAAAAAATCTTATTTTCGGCCAATGGTCATACTCACAGGTGATTCTATTTGGTCAGGTACATTTATATTAACATGAATGGGTTCGATAATTCCTTGGTGGTGTTGTTGCTGCTGTTGTGGTTGAATCGGTGGTAATTGTTCTTGTTGATTTAAACCATTAAAAAAATGTTCCATTTCAAAATAAATTTCATCATCATGTGGAGTAGCTACAAGAGTTGATCGATTATTGGGTGCGACAGCATCATCTTGTTGTGATGACCATAATGGTGAAAATGGACTATTCGTTGTTGGCGGCGGTGCTGATTGAAAAGCTGTCCAATCTAAATCACTATGTGTACTATTGGTATCATTTGTTAATGTCGAATCAGTATTGAAATCAAATATAAACGTATCCATTACTTAAATTAAAAGATGAAAGTGTTGCAATGAATATATACAAGAGAAAAGTAGAGAGAAAAGTTACTTCGACGTACGACGTGTCTTTTATTATTCACACCAGCCTGTATACGTGCATTGTAGTTATGCTTATCTACTTTGTTTTCTTCTGTTCACATGTGTTGTACAGATGGAAGAAATTCTCCTTTATTATCGATATATATATTTTTCTGTCTGTCAAACTTCGAATCGAAAGTTACTGCTTACGGTATATTCTTCCTTTCGTTCGGTCCTTTTCTCGACGAAATTTATCTAGGTATTTTATTCTCGAAATGAACTTGATACAAACGAAGTTCGAGAGAGAAAAAAAACAGAGGAAAAGAACTAGAATGCATATGACGCATTTGGATTTCATCCAAATAAAAATCAATTATACTATCAGTTGTTATTTCAATGAGTGCAAAACTGTGAAGATAAAGTGCATTTTCATTTTCTTCGTATAGAAAAGTGCAATGAATTGGAATCGATTTTTCTCAAACGTTTGTAAAGTCAATGGATTACTTGCGTTATATTCAAGTAGATCAAACTAACTACTGATTTCTTCCATCACCGTTAAATAGACTCATTTTTTCTCTCATTTCTGGCAACCTTCTTTTTTTTGTCATAGTTGCATGTAACATACTTGAAAATATTTTTTCTTCTTTTGTGGACAAATAAAGAAGTTCACACGACGAGTGTATTTTTCTCGTGTTAGGCATCGTTTTACTCTAGTTTGCTTTCATCACAACGACATTCAATTATTAACTATTTCTCTTGTTTCACTAAATCAAAATTATCGACACATTTCACTTCTTCTCTTCAGTTTGTCAACTGAGTTATCAAAAGTGAACATGAACTCGTACGTAGTAACTGTGATCTCAGCTTTCAGCGGGAAACAATTTGTGTAAAAACAAGATAAACGCTTTACGAAAGTCTGTTGTTTCTTTAGAAAGAAGAAAACTGGTACAAACCGTCTTCCGGGTTTATATCATCCAACTCTACTACGATCCGAAGTTGAGTATAAACGTGAAATTAGTCGTAAACATGCACAAATTGATAAGGACAACACCGACACTATTCGACGACGCAACGCACATAATCACGTCTTCGTTTATAGTTTACTATCGAAACGTCATCAATGGTACGATGCTGATAAGTCCTTTCGAGATACATGTCGAATATCTTGGACTCATAAGCCAGATAAACAGTCTGTTCGAAAAAGTCGTGCTTTTCTGCCCGATATTTATCCACCAAAAAGTACATCACCAACAATCGTTTCGCCATTGCATCGTTTTGATGGAATCGAAGATACCGTTCCGGCGGTAGCAAATGAAAGAATCAAACAGAACTTTTTTCTCTATCAACCGGTTCTGTTAGAAATCGCTCTTGCGCCACACTCGTCACGAGTGATGGGTCTTAAAAACTACGCAATAGCACGAAAACAAAGTGCTTATAGACGGCAAACACATTTACAGGAAACAGCAACAGAAGACGATCGTTTCACACAACTGCTTGCGATATTAGAAGACAATTGAATGCGTATTTATTCGAGCATATCTCTCTTTTCAAACAAAGTTTTCTTTCCGCGAAAATCATTCACTTGGCATCTATTCATCTATATATGTAAAGATATATATCTGATGAAGTCAATAGATCGAAAATGAATGAATGAAGTCAAAAATAAATTTGGTGTGTGTTTTTGTCACTTGAAAACTGTGAAATCCATTAGTAACCATTGTTTTGGCATAATAGAATGAATTTTTACAAAAATATTTTTCTTTCGATCAATTCTCCGTATTGTAATAGTTTTTAATTCATTCCATACGTTTTCAAAGATTCAGTTTGATTTCTTTTCATCAGCTTTAATAGATAAAAATCGCAAAAAAGTTTTACTCTCACACAAAACGCACATAAGTCAAGTTTCTTTTGGGTTTTCAAGGTACTGCGAGAAAGAGGGAAAGGCACAAAACAAAGTATAATAGAAAAACAACAAGAACAAGAAGAACATGAACAGCAAAAACACATTGATTTCAACAAAACAAACAAATGTCATCACTCATGTTTGTATCCGTGCGATGTTCGTTGGAGAGTATTGCTTTTCTATTCTATAACCAAAATCTTGTAATGCGATCAACATTGGCTTTCTTGGGAGATGTTGTCGATGAAGTCATCGAAGGTACTGTTGAAGGTATTGGAGATGTTGCTGGCGCAGACGGTAGTTGAGGTAAACCAGCTGCAGCCATCATTGTTGTCATGAGATGTTGTTGCATCATAAACATCATCATTGATGCAGCCATCGGATTAAAGAGAGTTGGATTAGGGCCTGGAAAAACATTGCTAAAATCTGGTAATGGTGCTGGTGTGGCAATATTATTATGATTAACAATATAATTATAATTTGTTTGAGGACGACGAGTTTGCGTTGTTGCAGATGTTGGTGTAGAGACAGTTGGTGGAACTTGAGTTTGAGTTTGTCGAATCGACGATGAATTACGAGTCTAAAATTTATCTTTTTTGTTATATGAATAAATTTATCACTATACGATGATTACTTTTCGAGAACGATAAAGCGGTTTATAGCACATCTGACTTCGTACACGTTTGTTTGCAAACCATTTTTTCACTTGCTTTTGTGTGATACCTAAATGGACAGTGTGCGATCGTTCGTCATCATAAGTTTCGCCTACCTGCTTCACGAGCCAAACGATCCGTACGTTCGTCGTCTGGATACGGATAGTCACGATTCGATTGAAACCATTGATTCAAAACAGCTACGGCTCGACTTCCGAGAAATCTATTCAAGTTTGCAATTTCAAGCTCAATCATCTCCTTCTTTTCTATTTTGAAATTCTCTCTCACCTTGTATTTCGACATTCTTTGTCATCGACAGGTGAATGTGATCGTTCTTGATTAGTTGGTGATGAACATGTACTACTACTTGTACTCGGATGACGTATATGAGAATGAATTTGTTGAGGTCGTAATGGTGTACTATGATAATGGTGGCGATGTCGTTCTATTAACAAAATGAACAATATATCCTCAGGTGTTGAATTGTTCACGAACGTGCAGGACACAGAAGGTGTTGAAGGAAAAAAATGAACAACTCGTTCGATTCGATTGTATGTATTCATATCGAAATTTTCGTTTTTCATTAATTTTAATCGATACTGTTAGTAGGGAAATAAGCTCTTCAACATATCTTTACCTTGTTTCACCATTGCTAAATCATTATTCTCATCGCTTGTATCCACAAAACCACTATCATACGTTGTTTTCTAAAAGATACCAGAGAACATATTCGGAGTTGAACAAGAAAGAAATATGCTGAGTTACTTTAATCATAAAGTTACTCGTTTCTTCAATAGTATCATGATGTTGTTCATCTTCACTATGTAAATACTCGTCATCGTCCTCATTATCAATCGATGGTGATAACAAATGTTGCGGACGATTGCTTAAATCCAACGCATCAGAATCTGGTTTAACTGTATATTTCATACGATTCATTCTGTTTCGTGTGACTATTCGTCTTGTTGTTCTATAAATGACGTAAAGATGCGAATTTTAAAACATTCATTAAATAGAAATGAGAGAAAAAAAAGTTCGAAGAAGTTGTTCCATTGGTCAAAATTTTCAAATCACCAATGATTCGTATTGGTAGTCGATAGAGAAGAGAAAAGAAGGATGTTTTCTAATTGATGTTCGATCAATTATGCGTTGATGATTCCTACTTTATGTATGTCAATACATTCGGCTGACTGAAATATCAAAACAGCTGATGAGAAGAATGAAGAAAACAGAGAGATTTCGTTAGTATATATGATCTATTCGAAGAAGAGAAAAAATCACGAAGAAGAAAAAGAATAAATAAGACCCTAGTTAAATATGATGCTCACAACACACGTGCCTCTCGATTTCGATGTATAACTATAACGAACTAGATCATATAGGGCTTATATCTCATCATTTATCCTTCTATAGATCGATAGCTATAGGTTGTGTATTTTTCATTTCTATCGTTTTTCGTTATCTTCATGCTCAGTTTGATCTTACCAGAACGATAGTTTACATGAGATAATGATTCATCGATATATGTAGAAAGCGAAGAAAATTCGTTTCGAAATGTTTTGCCAATCCAATTCGTGTCATATCGATCGATAGTGTTTTTCTAAAAATTGCTGAGAAAAAGAAAACAAATATTCATTCGTTACGTAACGGATGTGCATTCTAATGATGTGTTGATCATTTCTCTATTTAATTTTGTCACTTGTTTTGATGTTTAATTTCTAACGATCGTATGTGAAATTTGTTTTCAATTAATCAGACAAGAAACAGTTTTCAACAATACTAATTGCATTGAAATCGTGTAATGATAAGTTGAAAACATATGTTCGTCAGATTTGTAAATGAACACTGAGATGCGAGCGGGTAATTAGTGTATTTTATTTAAATTTCAAAAATCGAAAAGACAAAAATAATATCAAAACGTAATGATTAAATTTGAAATCATAGAGTCGGATCACTCTAGATGCTCCGGTATGGTTTCATAGTCAGCACTTTGTCGTACTCGAGTACTATCGCGTTGCGTGCTATTGCGATATACATTCGTTAAGTTAGTATATTCGTGTGCAGGTTCCCGAAAGGAATCATTATAGCTGAATTGATAGTGTGAAGTACTATTTCGAGATGTATTATTGTTATTTGGTTGATTTCGATATATGACATCCCTGGAAGCGCTAGACGAGGTTTGATTGGCACCTGATGTAGGAGGAGATTGAGTAGCAAGATTACTGATCGTAGCACCCGGAGTCGGACCTCCATAGGCATAATTTGAACCGCCTGAGTTGATGAATGTGTGTCGAATGGAAGTTGTAGAACGAATACTTTTCGAATGAACAGGACCGGCAGGTCGTTCAAGAGCTTGCTGTTCAGCATTTTGTACAATTCGATCCACACATCCTCGAAGGCCATCGGGACCTAGAAAATAAAATCCGTGATAGAATGTGGAAGTCAGTACAAAGTGTACAAAGTTACCTTCAAGTTGTTTTCGATATGTATCGATTTCTTTTTCAAGTGAAGTTTTAAATTCAATGATTTGATCGTATTGAGCTTTGGCACGTTCCAAATTACGACGTGCTTCATCAATATCTCGCTCACCTTTGGCTCTGTTATGTGCGTCTAAAGAAGAAGTGATGAATGTCAATTTTTCGAGAAGTCAATGCGATTTTCATACCTTGATCTTGTATTTCTTTAATTTTTCGTCTTAGTTCATCCAGTCGATTCCGAATTTCCTTGTTTTTCGCATCAAGATGGGCATTTTGATTTTGTTTTTGCAAGATATCTGTACGTAAACGTTCGGACTGTTTCACTTGTTGAATATTAACAACACTATCTGTTGGTTGATTGTGAATGGTTGTCTGTCTAACTATTAGATGGTATTGGTTTTGCAAATCATTTCGTCGATTATCGATGCTATTTTCATAATCACTACGAACTTCTTGAATGGCTTGCGATAGTTCATTGCGAAAGAACTGAGATGGATCAAGATCGTTCGATACACTTTGAGAACGAAGTTCCGCTAATTCAGCTTCGTCTAGAAAATTTTCCGATAGAATAATTTTTCACTGCTAAAGAGGGAAATTTTACGGATTTGTTTGACAGTTTCTATTTCATCTTCAAGAGCGACTTTCTCCACTTCACATGATGCTTTGGTGAATAATTCATTTTGAATTTCGTTTTGAAGACGAGATATTTCCGACGATAAACGTTGACTTTCAAGTTTGTAACGACGTGATTCGTCTTCAAGGTCATCTATACGGCGACGAAATAGAGCAATTTGCTGCGAAATAGAGACGATATTTGAAGAATATTCGTTTCTTTTCTTAGCTTACTGCGTCGTTCTCGGCAATTTTTCGTTGAAGATTGTCGATCTCTCGTCGTTCAGCTTCCGTAGACCCTATAATATCTTTCATGCGTGCTGCTTGACGCTTTACTTCTTGTTCAAGTTTTTCAGCTTTGGCTCTTGCAGTAGCAACACCATCTTTTGTATCTGCAATCAAGTTTTCGGCTTCATCACGTTCAATATCGTACATTTCCTTAATACGTGATGAACCTCTGCATAGAAAAACAGATATTCTTCATGTGTAAATCTTAATATTAGCAGTTACTTACTGTCCCGCACGACTTCGTAGCGCTTCTAGCTCCATATTTAATTTGCGATTTTGTGCTTCCAAGAATCGCACTTTTTCCACATATTGTGCAAATTTATCATTTAAAAACTCGAGATCATGTTTGTCTCGTTTTCGCGCCAAGGTTATCGTCGCCACGCCTGTATAAGTATCCGATAGGCCACCACGCATGGGTACACCAGTAAAGTTTGCTAGAGAAGCCAAACCTGGTCCAAAACCAGAACTGCCCGACGAAGAATAATTTTGAAAAATTTTTGTTGAAGAACTTGTGACGCCTAAACCGGTTGGACGTGAACGCTGAACATTGGTTACGCGCGGACTAACTGCTGATCGATACGTTGTTGCTGATGCTAAAGTCGTTGCTGATGACAATCTATCATACGTTGGTTCATCCGGTCGGTCAACATCACGTGACAATCTTGATTGTTGCGATCCGTAATTATCCGTCATCTTGTCGAAGAATCAAATGTGACTATGCAATGTTAAAAGTCTTACTAAGACTGCCACAACAGTTTGTATTCATCGTTAGACTTTTTTTTTCGTTATCTTAGTTGCATTTTTCTTCTCTTCCTATTCAGAGTCAAACGAAAAGATAATTTATTTACTGATAACGAACTGATGAAAAACAAAGTATTCACTAGCTACTCTGCGGCTCGTTTTGTGAAATGTGGTAGGTAGTATATCATCTTTGTTGACAAACGAGTTTTGACGATAAGTGAGACACGAAAAGAATGTTTTAAAATAAATTGTAGACATGGTTGTCGCTTCGATACAAGACACAATCGAACGTCTTTTCTTAAAACTATATTAGAATTCAGCCGTGTTAATCATCATTCGTTTGCACTAATGCAGAATAAATGACTTTTTTTAGTTGATAAACTGCCCGGTCTGATGGAACTAAAGAAAGCCGGTGATTTCCGTTCATATTAGCATTAGGTTAGTTGTTTTGAGTGAACGAGAGAAAAAAAAAGAAAAACACTTGATGTTACTTTATTTAAACAGGTATTATACACATTAATGTGCTGTTAAAACACTACAATTGACAATCGAAAGGATCGATTCGTCAAAACATGACCATGTTGTTTCACTATCGAGTAGTTTTGTTTGAACTGTTCGGGAATAGAAAAACCACGTATAGATATTAGTAATAATAACTGTGAGAAGGAATAGAAAGAAAACAAGTCGATTATAAATGTGAATTGCATATAAGCTTTCTTTATTCTTAATATCTGGATGATTGTGTAGTAATTTCATGGAACGTGATTGTGTCGACATTTTAGGTAGATGATTAGATCTGTTATTCGACGGGCCATTGGTAGATGATGAAAATGGAAACTGTGCACTTCGTCGAGATACCCATAACGATGAGGGTAAATTAGGCATAGGAGGAACTACTTCTTTAACAGGTGTCGTGTTTAATTGCGTTGTAGCTGTCGTTGGTGTTGTTGTAGGTTGAGTTAGCTGATCAATATTCAATTGACGTGAGCTCCTTGAAATCAAAAGTGGAAGTTTGGGTGATGCATCTGCTGATAATGAATCACGCTCGAAGTAGTAACTATCCGAACATTCCATAGCAGTAGTTCCTGCTAACTGTTGCAAAGGGATCGTAACTGGTGTTGATGGTGTGATTGGAGATGTTTTCAATTGTTCTGTTTGAAGAACACGTACGGCCTTCCGATGCATACTTGTAGCACAAACAATCCATGATAGATATTCCAGTGCCAACCAGCACAGCCAATAGGGTAAACGTTTCTTTTCACGTAATTTATTTGCGATAGCAAACCATGTCATAGCCGAGAGAGAGAAGAACATGCAGAAAGTTAAATAAAGACTGATCAAATGTACACTATCACTTTGAGATGGAACATCTTCCGACAAACGCAAACTAAACACGGAGTAAGCCAACATAATACTAATACCGATCTGCATTTCTTGGGCGAAAGGAATCTAAATAATTACAACAGTCATATCTTTAATTAGTAGACAATCTTCACTTACAAAAAATGAAACTAATGTTAGAGTAGTTAACATTAATGCAGGTACAACAGTATTATAGATGGCTTGTAAAGGTTTGCGTACAATTAAAATAGTAAAATTGACTTCGAAAAATGTATCCGGTTCTACCCAATTGGGATATTGAATTGTTTTAAGTGATTGTGTCACAGCTAATAGTTTCCATTCATTGTTCGGTGTATATTGCGGTAGTTCAGGTTTGTTTTCCCAGAATTGATAATGAATCAATGAACTCGTGTGACTCCATGAGCCGAATATCATGTCACAAGTCTGTTCATCTAAACAAAAAGTATATTGTCGTTCTTCGACAGATATGGACCTGAAAGTTTGATCCTACGTTTTGATCTATGTACTTCTTACTCGTAATGTATAGTTAATTGGAAAAGAAAATAACAACTTCCTCCTTATTACTCATGCAATCTCGATGTCTCAGAAGAAAAATTGGTTTAATTAGCCTTGTAATGTTATTCTTCTATGCGAAACTCGACTAATGATTTATTCAGTACATCTCATATAACATAAACAAGACAAAAAAAACGAAGAATATTTTGATTAGATGTTATATATGCATGTATATTGATGAATCGGATATGTCTACATCGACTTGAGAGTGACGAACTTGTCACTTTTTACTATTATACACAACAAAATCAAATGATGGTTACCGAAAGGAAAGTGTTTGATTGTCATTCGACAACGTGTGCGTAGTTGTGCGAGAGGTAGTGGCCAGAAAACAGTGCCGTTATAACTCACAATCATATTTTGTGAATCTTGAGGAAGGAGAAAGCCGGCGTTATCAGCTGTGTTATACAAAAATGTATCCGGGTACCTAAACAACGGAAATTTCTTTTTCACATCAATTCTTTCACTATCTTTACCAAAGAGATGTTGCTGACATTCGAATCCAAGTAATATTTTCGAAGTCTAATGGATTCCATGCAAGACGAGGATCTAATCGAGATGCATATTCGTACTAGAGAAACGAATTACTTAAATGCGGGATTTACCTGTCCATTTTTGATCAACGAAACAGTTCGTGACAATGATTTGTTCTTTTTCCACCATGGATATAATTTGATTGAAAATGAATCGAATATCAATGATAACTTTATGTGTTGGACGAACTCGTTTCAGATAAGTGGTTTCATTTAGAAGCGTACGCATCAGACGCGTTTCTGCAGCTGACAGACTCAGACCGAATGTTTCCGAAATTAAAAGTAAAAATAACAGGTAGAAATAAACACATCGAGTTATTAACATTTTTCTTATTGATAATCAATTTGATCTTTCATAATCATTCGTGTACGATCGTTCCTATTGAAAATCAATTTCATATAATAGTAAGAAGAGCAATCAGAGTAATTCTATTAACAATATTCAATACAGTTTTTTGATTATTTCATCGTTCAGAGATTTGTTTGCGAAATACCCATGTGCGTAGCTAATAGAATGACGGCGTGAACGATAGAAACTTAGTAATCGAAGCTGTATAGATGTCGAATGATATAAATAATGAAGCGAAGCAAAATGAATTACGTGTGTGCGATCTATCCCTTTCTGCTATTCTGATCTCATGAAACTATTGAAATGAAAAATGGGATTCCGAAGGTACGTAAACAACAGCATTGATGGCAAGCAGTTGATAACATTTTGAAATAATGGAAAAAATCTGCTTATTAGCGAACTTATTTCTCATGAGGGGTCTACCGCTGATCTTTTGTTGTTCTTAGACTACCAAGTCAATCTACTCGACTCAAGAAGAGACATGTGGATAGAATCGGATAGCTAACAAGTCGTTGTTGTTGGTTACTTCAATAACAAAGAAATAGAGCAAGATCTTTATCAACAAGACAATAGATGAGTACAACAAGTGTACATCTCGAGGGACATTTACAAGTACAATGACGCTAGAGTTTATGTCAGGAGTTATCGTCAATGAGCTAATAGTATATTGATATTTACCTGATACTTTAGTGTATGTTAACAGTTGTCGGTTTGAGACATTGATGATTAGTGTTGGTAGGCGTTTCATTGCGAAAAAAAATCCACACCGGAAGTAACTTGGAGCACGGGTTAGTCCTATGGTAGTGATTTATTTTTATTGATGACTTTATTTAGGTGATCTAGGCGAAGAAGCGAGAGAAAGAGAGAAGAAGAAAACGCAATTTTTTTCCTCTTTTTCTTATCTCGGGCAAAGTTCTCTATTTTTGGCTTTTCTCATCGTCGTCTTCTTCCTTCTCATCTATGCGCTTTTCCAACTAAGTGTGTATTGTTCTTTGACGATTAAAAACGAGGCGAATGAAACGTTAATACGACAACAAATCGAAGAAATTGAAAAAGAAAGTAGTCCAAGACAACATCAAGGTGATGTTAAGTGAACACAATTATTGCTAAACAAATGTTAGCATAGCATGAAAAAAAGAAAAACATACAGGAAATCATGATAATCTTCGCTCAGTCTTGGCGTCGATTAATTTTTTGGCATTGTAGATAGCTAGATGTATAGTTGTGAATCATCAAACCATTCGAACTGTTATCAAAGTCAATGCTTTGATATAACTATTGTTCTTTGTAAAAGATGAGCTGGAGGATTTGCATTCCCATCTCATACATTTTTTATTGATGTGTGCATACGTGTAGGAGTACATACGTATGAATGATTGGAAAGACTTTGAACGTTGAAAAGCCTTAGGATGCCGCAATCTCTATCAGTCATTCATAAGGAAATACTAATGAATAATTGATCAAACAATATTTTCTTATCATATCACAACCGTGCGTAAAGCACTTCTTTTCTTCGTGCAATTCCGTTATTTTAACTACTATCTACATATCCACGTATAAGAGGTTTGAGTTTGTCTTTCAATTCAGCAGATGATGTGGTGTAAGCATCGACTAATAACGGAATATGACATGTTAATACTCGTCCGTACCATACTCCCGTTGGATACACGATAACGTTACCAGCAAATCGATGTCCACCTGAATGAAAACATGATTACACTTTGAATTCTAGTTTTGCTTGATAAAATCAAGAAATTGTAGTGAAAAGAAAACTAGCCTGTTCCCTTACCGATATGACTTATGGGTAAACAATGAACATTTTGCGGTGAATTTGTGTGACGAACATATTTTTGAATTTCGTCAATTAAGATAGGTCCAACAATTCCTAGAAAATATCAGGTACCGCTAATTTTAGCTGTGAAAATGGCAAGAAAAATGTCATAGTCTAGTATTTCGGAAGAGACCTTGATTAAAAGTTGTCAGATTTTCACGCGATAAGAAAAATTGATTTCCTGGAAGCATAATTTGTTAGGTACGTCAATATGTGTGATTATATGAAAATTCTTCAATCAAACCTTTGATTTATTGATTCCGGTTGTTTCAAATCTGAGACATTTACTCTTACTCTACGATTATTCTCCTTCTGCCGTCCTGCAGGTACTTCTCGAACAGTGTACTTTGTTCTTGTTCTTTCTGACCTCACATACCACATCGTTGATCGTGTTGATAATGGCAACAAATCAACATCCAAACACCATTCAATCTTTCGCATCGAATGCCTTCGCTCAGAACAGGCAATACATGATGACGTTCATTCGGTTTGGTTTTGTCTTTTATTGGAATAATTGACTCATCTTTAACGAATAACTTTTCGATGACTGCCTCAGCTTGGTTAACATTCACATTGCTTAGTTTCAACTGATCAGGGAACAAATACCAATCTGCTGTTTGTTCGGAAGCATTTTTTGTATCTACAAATGTCGAGGTTAGTTGTACCCCATAGCCAATTGTGTTCTTTTTCGTGTTGAGCACTTCACTTATTTGTTTTATGTAACCTCCAGGTAAGTTTTTCACATCTTTCGGCCATCGAGATGGTGCAAGTGACTGCGTAATACATAGATGGCGGCGATGGTTTTTCACCGAGTTACTCATGTCACCTTGATCGATCTGTTGAACGATTTCGCTTGGATAGGAAGCATGTTTGCTGCAAGGGCTCTCGCAGCCTGTGCATGGTTCATAGCGTTTGTTTACTAGAGAAAGAAAAATTTAGTAAAAGAGAAAGTTTGCTTTTTGATACCTGATGAGAGATTGCTTCTCAGTGGTCGAAGAAGCCTTTCTGCGAGATTTCTAAAGATCGATTTCGACTGTAACAGCATCTATCTAGAATTTATTGTCATACGTAAATCTTATTAAAAGTCAAATAATGTTAAATCATCTCTCAGCATTAGTCACGCTTCCTCCGTATGTAGTCTGAAACCATGAAATCGCTTCTTCTTTTGTAACGCGACTATCAGTTCCAGGTTTACCACAAACGACTACAAAATTCATTCCAAATATCCCAACATTCGGATCGTATTTCATTCCTTCTAAATCAATATGTTCGTCAATGCCAAATGCAAATGTTCCCTGTTCCGCAAAACATCTTGCAGGTAGACGATATTCTTTGATTCTCAAAGCACGTTCGAGTAAATCATTTGCTAATGAGCCACGTACTGTGCAAAATGTACTTATTTCTTCATTACGTTGAATACCAAATGAACGGATTGTTTTTTCCGCACGACCGATAGACGGCTTCTGCCCTGTGAGTTCTTCTAAAATTTTCGAAGCACGAGTCAATTGGTCGCCAGATTCACCAACGCATATATTCAGAGATAACTTCCTCAGCGAAACCATGCGAAAAATTTTAATCTATAGAAAGAAAAACGAGACCGTCATTCGTTATGACTCAAAGAACAGATGTTTGCTGAAAATGTTCTTCGAATAGAGATTTACGACGTCGATGTAGTTATGAACAGAGGAAATTACTGTAAGTCTTCTTCATGATATCCATTCAGTCTATTCATAATGAAAAATAGGACATGAATATGAAGAAAAATTTTCAAGTTCGAATCTGACAAGTTCGTTTCCTTTTATTTTTCTCTGTCTGACGATGAAATTTAAAGAACATCGAATCAATCATTCATTCTTTTTTTTCTGTCTCCTTCTATTGTAATTGCATAAAAATAACCATATGAAATCATAAAAGAAAAAAAAAAACAAAGATCAGCAACAACAACAGAACACAGTAAATCTACATTCAGAGAGAAAATTCATTGTTTACAGATATTTACGAATGTAGAAGAGCAGCTAATACACGCAGATATATTTGTGCTGGCTTCTCAGATATGCATATACATAGAGGAGACATATACACTCACACAAAGAGAGAAAAAGGCTCGAACAATGGCAAAAAAGAAAAAGAAATTTACAATTAAAGTCTACTCGTTTTTCGAACAATCAAGTCAAGATGATGTTTTCGTCGATCGTTGACTTATGAGTTTCTCTACTTCTTGGAGTTTTTTCAAAATCTTCTGCTTTTCTTTCTTTTTATCTGAATAAAGAAGAAAAGTCAGTCAACATTTCTTTTGTGTCGTGTGAATGTACATACTCGAATCTGAATTTTCTGCATTACTTGCATCTGTAGACGACTTATGAGAATCTATTCAAATGAAATATTCATAGAAGAAAAAGAGAATTACAACAAGATATCGAACATACCATTCAATTTTGTCTTTTTGGTTGTACTCGTCGAACCAGTCGACGACGATGTATCACGTCGTTTCTATAGAGATAAGAAAAGATCGTCATTTTTTAGCATATCTTACAAAAATGACGGCAAACTTACCTTTGCTGAACTCGACGATGATGGCTCTCGTGCCGCTGAATCACCTTTCGATTTTGTACTTGTATTTTTATTACTGCTAGTGCCACCCGTCGATGACGATAATACAGATCGAGTGTTTGATTTTGTTGAACGGCTGCCGCTAACCGTGGATGTTCTCGTACCACCGGAGACTGAAATTGACCGGTGAAAAAGAAAATCGAACAAAGATTGACTTGTACCTATTTTCGTTTTTGTTGATGGACGCGAATCACTTTCCGAACTCGAGCTATCCGATGATGAACTAGATGATCGACGCGTGATATGATTGACGTCACTATCTGATGACGACGATGATGAACTAGTACTATCCGATCGACTAAACAAACGAATGCATGATGAAATCGTTTTGTATTTGTTTTTCTCTACCTAATGTTTTCTTTCTTGGTTTGCTTCTTCGTATTGGCATCTGATTCTTTACCACGTGAGTCTTTTGAATGATTATTCGAAGTTAGATGACTACTATTGCTGCTTTTCTCTGCTTTCTTCAATGTATGACTTGAGATTTGTCGGCCAGGAAGAAATTTATTTGTTGTTGAAGCTGGTGAGACCGGTCTTTTATTTCCATTGGATTTTTTCTCATGACCATTTTTCGTCATTCTATACAGACGAAAGAAATAATTTAGTTTTTTCAAGACCTTCTGTAATGCAAGCGAATAAAAACAGTAAAGAAATGTATATACTCAGATGATTTCGATGTTGGTGTCGGTCTTCTTGCACGTGTCACAGAAGGTGAACGTCGTTTCGGTCTACTTCGCGATCTCGATCTAAAGCACGATTGAAAATGAACGTAGGATGCAAAAGAAAACAATAACAAGTAGAACGGAGCTCTCGCGCTGTGTCAAGCGATAAAACTTGCCTTGATCGACTAGATGAAGAAGTGGATTTCGAACGTGAATGTGACGATCGTGAGGAGCTGATAGAAAAAATAACAATGATTTTGATTATATAGTCGAAGAATTATAGTTACCTCGATGATGAAGCAGACGATGATGAATAAGAACGATCTCGACCACCACCTGATGAACGACGATGACTACTTCCATGGTTTCTCGATCTACAATTAATTAACATAGGAAAATTGCGCATTTTGCGAGTTTATTCATGAAACAAAGTCATGTACCTATCCCATGGATCATGCCAATCGTCTCCTCGTCGATTGCCATAAGAATTCAGGTGTGATTGCTCATCATGATTATGATGTGAACCGGAAGCATACTGTTGTTGAGATGAATTTCTTCGATAAGACGATGAATCATCTCGTTTTGGCATTGATTTACTAGAAACCAAACTTTATTAAGCATTCACTCAATAGGGAAGAGAAAAGGAATCTTACCTATCCTTTGATACTTTATCTTTTCGATTCCGACTATCATTCCGTGAGTCATCGTAGTCATCCGAATGTCGTGGTCGACGTTCGGAATGATCACTTGCTGGTAACGGATTATTATGTCGAGAGTTATTATTCATTCGTTGAGAATGATTATTATAATGAGAATTACTCGACGAACCCGTATACATATACGGATGATATCGATCATAGCTACGCTGAAGACCATAGTTTGGTCCGGGTAAATCATAATCTATGGGCGATTGTCTGAAAAACGTAACGAGATTTAGTGATAAAAGATTGATCGTGACTTTTTTACCGATCAATAGCGGGAAGATTGTCATCGGCGTCTCTTTCGTCAACAGCATTGCGGATGGATAAGTTAAATTTTTTATCAATAAAATCTTTATCTTGTTGTTTACGTCTCATCGATTGTTCGCGAAGCTAAATTAGAAGAAACGAATCAGTTCAATTATTGTATATTGTATGTACATACAGTTTTAGCAGAACGCAGTCCGCGTTCCCATGCAGATTCTGCACCACCGGACTGTATCAGTGGAATGCCAATGGGTGGTACTTGGCCACGAAGAAGTGGGTTGGGAAAAAATGACGGTGCCTAGATGAGATTTCAAGAGATATTTTGCGTTGTCAATCCAAGAATTCACTTACCGCAGCTGTTGCTTGTGGTGATATCCAAGAATTCGTTGTTGTTTGTGACAAAGGGATCCCAGCTGATGCCGGTGGTGAAATATCATTATTTACTGGTAATAAACCATCACCAGTACCGCCAGATAAATCTACATATCAAGTAAGAGTAGTGATTTAAAGAATTCTGATAAGATCATACTTCTGGTTGAATCACTAGGAGGATGAATATATTTGCAATTAGGTCCCCAATGACAACGACCTTGAAGAAAAAAACGACAATGAACTTTAGTCGAAGGTGATCCTGGTATGCCGGTGTTCTTCTGATTACGATTTTGTTCGTCGACTTCGTCATCGGCAGCTGCATTTTTATTCTTCGATGCGCTTGGGTCGTGAATCTCACCATCCTCCAAATCAGCTTCATCCTAATTCATATTCAATAGTCTTTAGTGAACGCAAGAAAAAATGAACTCTCTAAACTACGTACTAATTCCCCTTCGTCGCTTGCTGCTTCGGGATGCTCAGTTTTTAATGGCGGTTCTTGTACACTTGCTATTTCTTCATTATCTTCATGGTTCTAGAAATTAAAGTAAATCAAGTATGTTTTACCCTCACCGTAAAAGCGAACTTTTCTCGATATCTTACTTGAATATCAGTATGCGACTTGTTTTCATCGTTGCTTATTTCGATCGTATGATTCGATTGTTTGTTTTGATGATTATCATCGACATCTTCATAATCCAAATTTTCAGGATCATTGATATCGGTCTCATGTGGTGTTGTTTGCGAACGGCTACGTTCTTTCATGCGCATCTTACTTGGAAGTGTTTCTTTTGATATCGGTTCATTTTGTTCATTATTGATATTTTCAGTATCCATTAATTTATCAACTAAACGACAAAAGAACAAATCAATTCTTTTCTCATTTCGAGACCGAATAGTATCTACCATGTAGAAAATAGTTTATCTGATAACCAATATTGTCGTCTCTGAAAGAGGTGGGAAGTGACGAATGAGATTAGAGTTTGAAATGCTTGTGAAATACTCTGATACGATTTAGGAGGAGAATGGAAAAGAAAAAAGGAATTTTCCCGTTAGTTTTTTGTTTTCGTTTCTGAACGCAGAGAATTTAGAAGATCATCGACAGTTTACTTTGATCTTTGATGGTGGCAATGGCGAGGAGACAAGTTTATTGACTGAATAAATTCTTCGAAGAAATAATCAGTTAGAATAATGAACGATGGAAATTGAAGGAAAAGAAGCGAGTTAAAAGATTAAATGAATATACACTCGAGAACAATGATATGTCGTCGACGTCTAAATGCATTTTAACGCATTCATATACGCGAAGGAATATACGAAACAACAAGAGAAAGTTCTTTTTCTTTTACAAATTTCAATGGATGATATCACGTACTAATTGATTGAGAAGCCATTTCGATATTGCAAATCACCCAAATAGATGTTGAAATAAGATATATGAAACGCAAAATAGATGTCACCAGCTGCTTACATTGAACGAATACGTCACAAATCGATCACTGTTCAATGATTATCACCGGATATATGCATTATTTCAATTTGTGCATCTATTCTGATCCAATCGGAACAAAGTTCATCGAAGATAACAGTGCAATCTTAAGTTTCTAGGGATTAGCGCATGCAAGTGGAATATTTTAAATTGAACATAAAATCAAGTGAGAAAATCTATTCCCCATTTTCACAGTATCGAATGGATGTAGGCTAGGCATAGTGCATTGGTGAAAAAGGCAGAGAAACTACTTTGCTTGATTACATCTGAAGATTGGTGTTATGCTTTTTCGTTATCTGTTATGCCCTTCTCTAAGACAAAGAGTTTATCTATATATTCAAGGTGTCAAAACAATTCTTCGAGAGGTAATTGCATTAAATTTGATAACAATAGTATTGTGTTATGTTCTTACTACTCTACACCAATCATAATACTTGGGTAAACCATGGACTAGATCAGGACTATCTCTCTCTCTCTGTTCTAAAACCATCGTTAATCATCTTAAATGTCCATCAATTGATTCATCAAAAGCTAAAAATAGTATAAACTTGTATTTATTTTTACTGAATCTAATCAAAATTTAATGATGTTACCTGCTCAACGTTTTCTTGCATCTACAAGCATAGATGATCGATTGATACTTGCTATTATTCAACGCGATCTAACTACAGTTCGATATATTCTGGAATCGAACCGGTATCGATCGACTGTCAACCAAAGTCTATTTTTCGGTTCACATCGAGAGGATTTCAACTATCCGATTACTCCATTAGGTAATGAAATCTAATTGAATGAGGATATATGTATGTACTAACCGATTTTCTTCTAGCTGCGGCATGCCACTTTGGTTCATACGAAATTGTCGATATATTAGTGAATTATTTTCATGCAAGTGTAAATAAACAAGACTTGCCCAGTTGGAAATCTCCACTTCACTTTGCAGTACTAGCGAAATCAAATCGCTACGATATTGTTGAATTTCTTCTCCGACATGGTAAAACGGAAAACTACAAACAATCTCGTATCACACTTGTCTTTCCTAGGCGCAAATGTCGATGTGCAAGATCGTCATGGAACAACGCCACTAATGTTAGCAGTCCTTCATTCAGACAGTGAAATCGTTCGTTTACTACTTGAACATGCCGGTGCCAATGTTCGCATCTATAATCAATACCATTTGACAGCATTTGATTTTGTTAAATACAATCAGTCAATACTCAATGATCTCATACGACATGGTGCTATATCATTTGATGGCAATGATAACAATCTTTTCCAATGGTTAATTCTTAATAAACACATGCGATTGGCATGTTTACTAATCGAAGCTGGTTATGTGCCAGTTCGAACATTGTTTCAAACTCGAGTACGTTCGTTAAAAGGTCTTTGCCGGTTAAAAATTCGTCGTCAAATAGCAGGTAACCGCTTTCGAGAACGTATCAGAACTTTACCAATGCATAACCAACAATTGATCAAATACATCCTCCTTGATGATATTTAAGAGCATAATTTTCTGTTGTTGCGCAATCAAAATTCTTTCTAATTACCATTTTGTGTACATATTAATATTGTAAAAATTTTGTTGTTGACGCACAAGTTATTTTTGTTTGTGATAAAAATATGAATAAGAGTTAGATTAACTTTCAATACACCCTCATGTATCACTTGTCAGCTATTAATCATTTACAAGACGGTTTTTTCCAATCTATACATGACTATATAACAGTGAGTTAGTGATTTTTTTTTCGGTTCTGTATGCACTTGTCATCACCTGACTAATTCGTGAACCGGATATTTCTTCACACCTTCAAAGCATTACAAACTATAATAACAATGAGGCATATTCGTTTAGTTCCGCGTAAAACTTGCATTACAACAATGTTAACTGCGTTACAATCAAGCAGAAGTAATAGTTCAACGGAAATGTTTTCTTCAGCTGATAAAGGTTTATTGGAGTCGAATAAAGCGAGATCCGATGTGACTCATGATATTGTTCATTCTCATCGAGTCGAACAGTCAATTGAGGATGGAACGCGAACGTTTGATGGTCGTAAAAGTCTGATAGTGTCAAATGTACACAAACAAGCGTGTCAATTTGCCAATGTGCTCACAGGAATGGAGTTCAGTTTATCTTCTCCCAATACTGTAGGTCATACTTTTCGCTAATCTATTTAGTTCAGAGATGAACACCTTGTTAGTTGTAATAGGTCCTGGTTATCTTACCTAAATCAGCTAAAGAACATGTTCTATTCAAAGAAGCATGCTTACAAAGTGGTTTAGTTTACGTTCAATGCGATCCAAACGAGTGCTCACCTATGAGCATTTCGGAAAGTATACGGAAACTTGCTGTTGATTGTATTATTACTGATGAAGATAATCTTGATTCGATCATCATATATACACATAATCCCATACGACCATTAAAGACAGGATTGATTATGAACAATTCGACATCAAAAGTGCTGCCCGTGGGTTGGATTCACTTTCTTCGATGTGCAAATGAAGCAAGTACTACGTATACGAGAGAAAATGCAAACAAAAATATATAATTAAACCCAACATCGTCCGCTATGAATAATCAAGAAATAAAAGGTCAGTAAAAACCTAAATTGACACGCATCTTCTCTGTTCATTTATTATAGACCCTATACTATAATAAACAAGCTTTCCTTGATCTAAACTAATACTTATTATTGCACTGTATATGTACGAATAAATTCTATCGACATCTATCGTATAAATATTTCTGTTGGAGAACGTCGCGAATTGATTGATGTTTACTAAATAGTTTAAAGGATGTATATGTTCCCATTGAAACAGAATATACTTGGTCTTTTGTCCATGAACGATGTCGGGTATTCGACTCCTGTTTGCACACGTATGATGGCAAAAATGTCGAAATTTTGGGCAGTTAGCCATGATTTCCCTAAAAAGCAAACGCGAACAAAGCTCATTTAGTAACAGAGAAAGACCTGTCATCTACCGATACTGATGAATATCGGACACCTTTGTCAAACCTAATCGAACAGCAAGTTTATTTATCCGAATAAAATCTGGAACAGGTCTCAAATATGATACATTGTTGGTTGGAACTTCACAATATTGTAGAGCTAAGATGGTAAGTCTTTGGCGGACAAACGCGAATGTCACATATACCTGCAGCTACGCCAGTTACACCCTCGTATTTAGGATGTTTGATGCCATATACAAAATCATCGGAAGGTAAACAGCATAATTTACGATGTACTTTTGTCATATTTATACGCGTATTTCATCTAAAATCATTGGTAAAGAAATATAAAATAACATTGCCATTGCGCCTTAATTCATAGTAATTTAACACTGTTTGATAAAAGAACTTTTTCGAAGGAGTAATCTTCGAAAAACAGAATTCGAACAGTTCGGCGGGAAGGATCATTCTGCGAATTATTCTATGTCATCAGATTTCATCGAGAGATTTCATTTCGAAGAAGTTGCGCGTATTCTTCATCGTTCTTGGTGAATACTTGTAATGAATGATGCATCATTTACACATACAACGAAAGAGATATAAAAATGAACACTAACTGAATTCTTTGATGGAAACTAATCGAAACTGTGTATCGAACAAGCAACTGACTTGTGCATCACTTCCAAATATTTTCAATACTTGTGAATCGAAGAACTTAATACAAATACAACGAAGTAGTAGTTTACATTTTTCGACAAGATCATGTTCGTTAAAACTTCAGTCTTGTAATCGAGAGAAAGATAAAATGAAAGTCTCTAATCCAACCATTGGTGATTTACTTGGCGATGATGATTTATTTCATTCTCGTTATCATCATTATTATAGTTCAAAAAGATCTACACGTAAACGACACTATTCGTCTTCTCACCATTCTAATAACGATCACTATCGTTCGAAACATCGCCGATCAACTCATTCACATCGACCAGAAAATTTCCAACATCCAATTGCGCCGTCAACTACCGCTGAATCTACTCTAAGCTCAAGTCAAGTTTATCCGTACCCAACATTCTATAATTATTTACCAATATCTTCTTACGGTTATTATTGCTATTCAAATATGGCTTCATATTGCCCATGCCTCGTATCCGATTGCTGCGCAAGATTATATTATAACGAAACAGGGTATGAATCCTTATCTGTGTACGATCATGAGTGCCAATAAGTTGAAAAATCTAGTTCTAATTCTTTTTTCTTCTACAAACAAAACATAATCACATGCTTATGTATAGAAAAATACAAATTTCTGTTCGTTTCATTCATTCTCTTGCAGAGTGCCTAGAACCGATTTCGTTGTTGTTCACTTTCAAGCATGATTAAACAGCATATATGAGAAATAAAACTTGCATAATAACAAAACGGTTTTTGTCGTACATCAATGGGTATTTGAGACGATTTAATCAACTTGTACACGGTCAAAAATGCGGATATGCCAATTTGTTCTTCGACGTAATGACGTAGACGATCAATTCTTGTACGGCGATCACACGAATCCGTTCGTGCTATATCGAATAATATTTGTAATGGTGAGAACGGTTTTGTTGATATATGAATTGTATCTATTGATTTTAAGAAATCTGTTGTCTCATTACTGATGGCTTCATTAGTAATATGAGAAGTTCGCTGGTGTGTTATCGACGATCTTTAATGAAGAACTCTCTCTCAACAAAAAAAAGTCTCCAGATGGTCTGGCTGCACTTACTGCCGATAATTGTTCCCATCATTGTTTGGCAGATTTTCTTCGCTTGTCTGCACTTTAACGTGATCTGCTTTAGTCGAGACATCAATGCCTCCGTGTTGTTGATACTTACGCATGAATTCATCGAGCTGCATATCGTTATGCCGTTGTTTATCAAAACGTATATCTGTCATTTTAGATCCAACCACCGATCGTTTTACTTTTCTCTCGTCAGTATTCTCGCTTGATGAGAGTGATGATGATCTTACTGGACGCGAATAGATCTTCTTTAATTTGATCTTAGTAGGCTTTTGCAGCTCGTCTTCCGAGGTAAGCGATGACGACGAGGAGTCTGCACATGGTATTTTGCGTATCAATCGATGATCCAGTTCATACGAACAGAAATTGTCATCCGATGTAATGCTTGTTTTGTCAGTCGATGAAAGTAACATGAGATTCTTTTCATTAAGTTGATGATTATCGAAGATGTATTTGCTAGCATCGATCTTTTCCGTTTCCGAAGGCGATGATGGAGTCCGATTTGAAGCGTAACCATTTTCAAGATTGATTGATGCATCAGAAAACCTCGGCGAGGGCGATTTTTTCAAGATGCTTTTCGGTAAAGTTTGAACGAATAGATGATGATAAGCATCATTTGTTGATGACATAAGATCAGATTCCCGAAGAATAAGATAACTAACCTTGTAGAGATATAAACCAACAATGAATGGTACTACTGTCTTTCTTAGTTTCTTTTTTCTATCCGCTTGTCTATTCATTTAAGAGAAGAGAGGAAGATAATCAATTATTTCTCATGGAGAGAAGGACATCGAAGTTGTTCTCCTCTCTTTCGCTTTTAACCTTGCCATTATCTCCATTCGTTTATTTATTCGATTAATTTATTAAAACAGGAGAATCGTTTACATTATTCAAATCAAAATGCCATTTATGTTCAACCCATTCCGATGAAGCTATTAACGGATTACTCAGCGTTTTCTCAATAAAGAGACCAGTTTGATCGCGATGGACAAGAATTATCGTAGATGTTCTACAAAGAATAGGAGATTAGGGAAATCCTAGTGATTTAGAAAATCATTAACCTTGTTCCATAGTTTCGTTCTTCCGCTGTTGTAAGTACATTGATCGATGAAATTTGATTCCGATTTGCGATGGTGTAATGTGAATAGACATCAGCAAGATTAGAATCTTCCACAAACCTAAATATAAATCGTAGGAACAAGGTAGATATTTTATATAAGATAGTACTTTTGATACTCGCTCATCGAATACTTACACTGTACTATCATTTAATAAAGAAAATAATCGTCGAATCAAGTCGCTTTCATCTGTAATTGGTTTTGTATAATTATCAGTTAATTCTGCTAAATGCTTCTTTAATAAATTACAACCATGGCGTGTTTTCTCAAAGGCGTGTTCATCTCCGTAGATATGATTGCTGAAACCAAAGATAGCTAGTATGAAAGAAAACAAAGATTCAACTTAGTAAACTGAAGTTATTCAAATCAAACTACATGCATCGATTTCGATTGGAGGTACTTCGAGAGAGATGTTATTGATGTATTTTGCGCGCCATTTTCTATCAATGAAGAGTTTGACATTTGCGAGAGGAATATCTTGCATCACTCACTTAGCGTTCGTTTGTCTTTCGAGACCCAGAAAATTGAATCCTGTATAGTTCATTTTCGTCTTGTGTAACTCATCCATATAGGAATCCAAATTCACTTCGGGATTATTCACGAAATTTGATACCAGAAAGCCTCGACTCTGCGCATTGATATTTTTCTCTGGAAATAAGCGTGATGTTAAATTCAATAGAACGCCAATCTTTTTCTGAACAGTATTTAAACATAACCATGTTCCACCTTCGCGCAATGGTGTTTGATCTTGTCCTTTACATTGAAAAGAGTCGTTTGCATCATATGAAACAAAGAATGCAAACCTCCAACAGCGTACTTCGTATCTTTCCAAACATGAGCATGGAGAGCTGGACGTTGAAAGTCTTCGTCTCGATTGGACAACAAGATCAATTCATATCCTGTATCAATGTTTTCGTCTTGTAAGTAACAGAAAAGAATACACATGATCTCAAAATACACATGAAGTTTAAAAGAAAGAAGCGAACTGTTAGTCGAAAGTTCTTCATACATGTGTTTCTTATCTCTTGAAACACACATGAAGAATAGCGAAAAAAAAAACATCTTCACTTTTACAAAGAAAAAAAGAACTGTACACACATGAGAAACAGTGTTATCAGCTAGTTGAAAAATGAAAGACGACTAATCCATCCTTGTTTATAAATAAATGAGCAAATGAAAAGAACAAGAAGAAATAGAAAGAGTATGTGTCCAAATAGATTAGATGTTTGCGTTTTTAGTTTGTCATGAGCGATTCTTATTCGACATTGTTCCTGTGTAATCTATTCCACGACATGCAGATGAAAACGTGTTGATATGATCTTTAAAATTCGCACGGCTAGTACGTTCACTAGAACAAAGAAAGACGAGAAATGTCTACTTAAAAGAGAATAAATATCTACGATGTTAAAGCTTTGATTAATGCTTCACGATGATGTCGTTTAGGAGATGGCGTTGGAAAATTAGGATCATTTAAACATTGTTGAACCCAAGTTGATGTCCAGTCAATGTATAATTTTGAGAGACTGAATAATGGTAATGATAATGTATCGACTAAATGACGTGGACTTGCTCCGCCGATACACTAAACAGAGAAAGAAAATACATCATATTCGTTAATTAATATGAATAGTGTAGATCTAGACTTTACCTTAAGAAGAATTTGAACAATTTCGAGACCATTCTGTTGTAAAAGATCAGCAGCACGTTGATTTGATTTTGTGTATTCAATGTAATTCGACTAGAAAAAGTAAATTGTCAATTGCATAGACTTTTCATCTGAGTGAAATACCGTAAACATGATCACACTTCGTAATGTCGTTTGTTCATGTAATTGAAGGCCACTTTTTACTATGAGAAAAAGAAAAATTTTGATGAGCATAATGGTAAATGCAAAAAAAAATCAGGAAACTTACCAAATTGAAAAAGTAAAATGAACGCTTCGTTGGGACAATGGTGTACAACATGTGGTAATTTTTTGATAACCTAAATGTAAAGATATACGAGTGAGACAGTCGAATGATAATCATAAGTTTACTTGAATAAGAAAATTTGCAAAATCTTCGACGATATCAACATGATTTTTCAACCATTGAATATCTAAATCATAGAGATGAACTTCGATTGAATGAGAACAATGTGAGATTGGATCGAACCTCCATTGAAAAGACATCCGAATCGTTGTAGAACAGCAAGAAATAGATTAAATGTTTGCTTCTCTGTATCTTGAGAGAAGAGAAGAAGTGTCTAGAAAAGATACAAAATTTAGTCGATTTGTTCGCTTGACTGCAGAAAATTTCTTACATTTCGAACGAAATTCAAAAATTGTAAATGTAATATATTTGGTCCAATGTTTTGTAATAATTGTAAGAGTGTATTCAATATCGGACTACTTGATTCTCTCAATGTTGTAACTGTTCGCGAAAGAATTTCACACAATTTCTTTGAAAATCAAATTCATCAATGCACAATTCGAGTAAATCAACGTTTTCTTCTCTTACTTCAGTTACTTCATTATCATCAGCATATTGTTTGAGAACCATATGAAGTATCGGATCAAGATCACGCAACACACAACATAACTATGAGAAGAACAAAGTGAGCATTGAAATCAGATGTCGAACGATACTCGTACCACTTCTGGTATTTCACTGACAGCTTCATTAGCTTTTTCTTGTTGTTCGCTTTCTTCATTATCACTTTGATCACCACAGTAACCAATAGCCGTAATAAGAACAGAAATAAAACTTAATGTTGTACATATATTTTGTTTTCGTAACACAACATTCTATAACGAATAACAATCGCGACGAATGTTCACATAAAATTGTTCGTTTGATCCTACCTGATCAGTACTTGCTTCAGATAAATAAGCTAACAGTTTATTCACTTCAGGTGCAAGTAAGATATTCAAATGATCGATGACAATTTTAGATGGGTACGCTGAGAGAATATAACCAATAATTGCTACACAACGAATACGATCATTTGGTTGTACATGAACATTCTCCAGAACATTCTAAAAACGAATTAGAAGATGAAACATGATGAATCGATGACGATGAAATCTTGTCTACTTTTATTATGGGAAAAATGTCATTGAGATATTTTGACATATGCATACGATTTTCCATTGTTAATTCTTTTAGAGCAATGGAAGCTGATTGAATTAATTCAGGATTTGATAAAGCATTAATACATAAATGTACACAATTTTGTAAAGTTTCTTGATGATGACCTAACCAGCTACTGTATTGTCCTGTAAAACAAACTCTCGCAAATAAGTATTTAAAGATAAAAATGTAGATCTTACCAAGCACCATCAGTGTTGCATTGATAATAGAACTATTACAAAAATTTAATTTTGGTAAAAGGGAAAAAATCCGTGGTAGAACTTGATTCTCGTCAAGTGGAACATATTCGGAACCAGCACCGACTAACTGAATGATAGATTCTTGTCGCTAAGTACGAACACAAGTAAAAAAAAACAATCAATTTCTATCGCTAAACCTACCTGCCAGGATTGATTTTGTTCAACAGCTATCAACAGATGATTGGCTAGGACTAAAATCATTCCCATGATAATTTAACGAAGTCAGTCGGAGAAGAAATGAATATCTACCTTCAATAGCCCGGTTACCCAAAACATTATGCATACACATCTACAAATGAAAGAATGTCTTTGGTTTTCTCATTGCAACTGTGTGATTTCTTTTACCATCGTATCTGATATATCCACACGATAACATCGAAATGTTTCTTTATCTTCACTTGTAAACATATTATCATTTTCTGGCAATTGTCCTTTGCAAATTAAGACTTCGATCAACCGTTCAAAGTATGGCCGAAATATCTCTAGTAGAATCATTTGTTTTTCATCTTCATCGATTGATGTAACTTCCTCCTGATAGAAAGAAAAAAGAAACACTCAGTCTTCAAAGAAATTCGTGATTTATTTATTCGTACATACTTGTAATGCATACCAAAAGCTGAATGTTAATTCCGAACAAGTTTCTTCCACAGGATATTGCCCTTTCATATCCGTACATTTCTACAAAAAACAGTTTAAATATGACAGTGAGTGAACAGGAAATGTTATACCATCACAAGACAACAAAATCTATGTGAAAGCGTCTGCAGTTGCTGATTCGGTGTAATCGCCATTTGAATGATGAGTTGAGCGAGATTTTCACCAAATTGGGTGATTAATTTCGTTATACATTCCGATTTTTCCTTTCATTAACAAAGAAATCAGACATAGGATGTTTAGGACACAAGCAAAGCACAATTTTACCTTGTCACCAACCATTAACGCTTGGTCAAGTATAGTTTCAAGTTGTAAAACGTAGGGTAACAAACGTGTAAATACTGTAGGATATCTAACAAGCCAATAGTTGAACATTCCAGAGATTTTCTTGTCTCGAAAGAGAGAATCCTTACTTTAATGCGTCAGGTGATGTGAAAAGTACAATAATACAATCCGAAGCGTCATCAAAAATACTTTCGTTATTTAATGAATTGAAGAGATAATCAAAAAGTGAATCGACTTTGACGATTGATATACCGAATTCCAACCATTTCGATAGACATGAGAACATTTTACCAAGAACATCCGCTTGATTATACGTTGCAATGATAAATTGAATATAACTAAGGACTGCATACATTCGAAGCACGGGTTAAAAGCTCATAAAATTTGTTTTGAAACTTACCAGTAGGGAATTGACTTTCCAGTTCTACTCGAATCGATGCACGCTGAGTTTTCGAGACAACAATACGCGAGAACTAGAAGAAAAACAAATCAGTTCGTCTGTTATTGCGAAAGAACGAGCTGGTACATATGTGACACGAAGTGCAAAAAAAACAAAGAAATGCAAACAACAGATGTTTTACTTTTTATTCGATATTTTCAAAATAGACAAGCACTTACTTCTTCAGGGAGAATTGTTAAAATGTTTAAAACGATTAAATGTCCTTTTTCCGGCTACAATAAACAGAAAGAATTATTAGATTTTTTTGAAACGAGAATTTCTGTTCGTAACAAACATGTTTAACTAAAAATTCATTGTCTGATTGAGTGAATAGGGTAATAATCGCTGTTATTCCATTCTTCCATTTATCTGGCATCATGTTCAATATCAAATGTCCTAGCTAAATAGATAAACAATGTGAAAAGAAATCGTTCGGCCATTGAAGATTTACAGCCACAACTAATTTAATAGTTATTTGTTTAGAATTGATTGATATATAGAAGATTAAACGTTGGATAAGTTGTTGAAACAGCTGTTGAATTTGATTATCATCTAATTCGGATCTAGTAGCGAGAGAAAAACAAGTGCTTGCAGCGGAGAGTTAAGTATTCGATCTTACAGATGTTTGGAAATTTTATTACATAGGGCAACAGCACCAAAGAATTGAACGCTGGGTGATTTTGTTGTGATTAACAACTTCCAGGAAAAGTCCCATGCTAATGGAGAATATTGTAAACATTCGAGAATATTATTCAATTGTTGACGTTGTGGAACAGTTAATTGTGACGTTGGGGAATAAAAATCATTGATTATACGTTCTACAGAAAATTCTGAACGTAGGAAAACAATTCGAAGATGAGATTTTACCAATATCTTCTACGGAATATTCTGCAATCGAGAGATTCTTCAAATCATTTCCATTGGCGATACTTGTTGAACTATTAAACGTTGTTGGAGATGCCATCAGCATGGCGATGAATCAAATGTTGATATCAAGATGAATGTATCCGTTCTAGATAAAGAATTGCCTGTTAGACTACAAAACTTTGTCGATTTAACTGTTCGATTTGTTGATAAGTTCTTTAACTCAGCTGTTATTTGTTTTCTTTTTTTCTTCCTTCGGCTCGGTGAGTATTGCTATACGTTTATGTTCTTATGCAATCATTTACATGTATATGATGTCACTAGTCCACGATGGTTCGAAAAGAGAAGAATAGTGTGCATGAGAAGTAAAGAACGGCTGACAAGTGAAATAAATTCATCTCATAATCAAGTCGACACGATTAGAATGCGATGAATGAAAATTTTCTTCTCCGAATAATTAGAAATGTTTAATACGCCGTGAAGGACAAGACTTTATGCTAATCACTCGTTATTATGTGTCTTCTTTGTCAAGGTTGCAGTAACTCTCGGTAGAAGACACTTTTTTTAGTTTAATAGATAATTATGTTTTCTTTGCAAGTCATTGAATAAATTGTAACATGAATCATTTGTAAAAGAATAATTGTTACGAAAACAAACCTTTATGTAGTTTCTCCCCACGTGACCGACAATCTTGGAAAAAAAACTTTGCCATTATAAACTCAGTAAATTGGAAAAGTCCACTTTCGAGCATTCGAGTTTAAAAAGCAATTCAGGTAGCAAAAAACGAAATATAATTGTTTTACTGGTAATGGACCGATCGGCTTTAACACAAATTGTTTATTCATAAAGTACCATGGCATGCTCAACTACAAATCACAACCTTAATTTCAACCGAACGAGTTCGTTCGAAAGAGTAAAGGTAACCGTGATTTGTATTCGAAGAATAAAAATTTTTCATCGACGGCTTCTAACATTCTTCTCATATTTCTCGTTTATTTCTTTTGTTCGCAAATAAGATGATTTACCGTGATGTATTCGTCGCGACTATTTTAATCATTCACTATGATTAGTGAATACATGTTTGGGTAACACAGCTAGAAGTAGTCGAAGTGAGAGGAGGCGTGGTAGGGTGAGTAAGTCTGGTTTATACCAAACTATTATCCACGATTATTCTACTGTCATATGTATTTACCAAATCGAAATTACAATGAATTGCCTCAAGACAAAGACGACGCATTATAATAGAAAAGGTGTTCTTTTGTTTTTATAACCATAAAGTGTTGGGAGGATTCACTTTTATGTATTCGTCTTTTCCTCGTATGAATATTTTAACGGACATTTCCAATCGTATGACTCATGCTAGAAGAAAAGAGTCGTTCTATATGTATACTATATATGGGGTTGTCTAGTCTGTCTCTCTCGTTTCTTCTGGTTGAAATTCGATTTTTTAGTTATGCAATTTAATCATTGTAACCAATAATATGTTCTTTTATAGATGTCTCGTCCTTGTGATATTGCAAATTGTCGACGTATATCGCGAGCTTTGTGCCATTGCTGTAATCAAAATCTCTGTCGAGATCATTTGAATGAACATGATGACATGCTGAATAGTCAATTGAATCCGTTTGCCGATGAGATTAACCAATTAAATGAACGATTAAATTGTATTGATGTTAGACAGTTAATTGCATATGATAATGAACAGTTATTGCGTTGGCGTGAGCATTCACATCGACTTGTAGAAGACTATTTTAACAGCAAACAACAAGAACTTGATGAATATGTAAATAAAAAGATTCGTCAGAAAATCGAAGACGTTCAGCATTTGAGAAAACTTTTGAATGAATGCGCTCGGAAACAAGACACAACATTAGACGATCTCAAATCAATTTCTTCTATTATTGCTCTCCTGCAAAAAGAAATCACCGCCATGGAACAAAGGTCTTTCAGGCTTAATATAAGTCCTTTGCAAATCGATCAAAGGTTGATTCAACTCGAAGAAGAACAAGATACAAAAAGTGATTTTAATCTAGCGACTCTTGGGCCATCGCTGCATACCATCAATCGCAGCGAAGACAGTGCCAAGCCTCTAGCCACTAATCATCGCGTGACGTTAATACACCATGATAATCATTTGTCTCTATTGAATAACGATATGAATGTGATCAAATCTGTACTTTGGCCCTCCGTCTGGATTTGGGATATGTGTTGGTCATCAACATTGGCTCGGTTTTTCATAATAACGCGTACTGGCATATTTATGTTGGATGAAGCAACGATGACATTGGAACAAGTGGTCATCAAACACGAACTTTGTCTATGTTCATGTTCTTGTTCAGAAACATCGTTATATGTGACAACAGACGAACTGGCATCATCCATATGTGAGTTCAGTTTGAAACCAACGATTAGCATCGTCAACCGATGGCAGCCAGCAGATCTTTGTCAAGTCGACGAAAAGATTCAGGATATGGTTTTTCGTCGTGGAACGGTTGGTTTCATTCTTGTAAACCAAACAAACCATATGAAACGCTTAGAACTTCGAGCAACAGACACTTTCGAAAAACTATGGACAGTTCAATTCAATATTGTAGATCCTCTAGATAATTTATATCGTTTATGCTCATTTAATTATGATGAGTGGTTAATCACTGATTGGAAATCATCCCAAATTTTTCACATAACAAATGATGGACAGGTTAAATCAACATGTACTTATGATCGAATTCCATATCGATGTTGCCAAATTGGATCAGACTTTTTGGCAATATCTACTAGAAACGGAGTTAGTCTTCATAAGATGAAAGACTGATCTGGAAATAGAATTCACTTTTCTTATAAATCATACTTTATTTTATGTACTTAATTGTATTATCCAATTCGAAATAAAAATGGGTGATCATTTAGGTTGTTCAATAAGTAAATAACTGAACCCTAATGAGGAACGTGATAGAAGAAGAAATGAGTACATATGACCTGGGAAGATGTATGTACGTGGTTACTTCCTTTTTTCTAATGTACGTCAAGAAAACAAAACTTTGCTTGTTATCGAACTGAATATCGATTATTTATTTACGGATGAGTTGATCTGACATAAAACATTTTTAATTACTTCCGTTTTCTTTATTGAAAAACATCTGATGCACTGAATTGCGGAACAAGTTGATCAACTAGGAATATTTCAAGACTTCCTTTCAAACATTGAAGGCATCGATTGTTTTTAACTACATGTATTTACTCTTCAAACATGCGCTCGTAGAAAGGAGAAATTTTTTGCCTGAAAGCATGAATTATAAATAAGACTTTTCAACTGTTGGGAGGAAACCTCACAATAACTGGCATTAGGCACTTTCACAACTAGAAGAGGGTGAAGAAGTAAAATAGTTTTTTTTCTTATATATGAAATTTTTATTTTTCTCATTTCTGTTAGTGCAAAGTCTCGCATGGGAAATACTTGTTCAAGAACTACTTCGATGAGCGCGAGCACGATATCTCGATCGAATGCGAAACGCACTAAGCTGCTTGGATCACGTCGACGAATTGTGGAAAATTTTATTATCGTTTGGTTAGATGCCAAGATCGACAAATCTGATAAAGATATACAAAACTCACTCGACCAACTTCAACGCACCGTGAACACGATAAAAACATTTACCGATATTGATGTCTGCTTAGATTATCTAAGTCAAATTGAACATGAGAAGGTATTCATGATTATTTCAGGTTCGATGGGTGAACAGGTCTTACCGCAAATCAACAATATGACTCAACTGGATTCGATCTACATATTTTGTCATGATATATCCAAACATACGATATGGGCTAAAGAATATAAGAAGATTCAAGGCATTTTCAATGGTATCGAACTCATTTGTGACAAACTTCGAAAGGACATCCGTCGACGTGATGAAGACTTAACTGCAGTTAGTATTGTTTCCACGAAATCTAATCAACTCGATCAGTCGTTTATGTATTCTCAATTATTAAAAGACATAGTATTACGATTACCGTTTAACGCACAAGCGAAACAAGACCTCGCTCAATTCTGTCGTGAACAATATTCGAACAACAAATACGAATTGAAAATTATCGATGAATTTGAACGCGATTATGAACGTCCATCACCTATTTGGTGGTACACACGTGAATGTTTTACATATACAATGCTTAATAAAGCACTAAGAACGCAAGATATCGAGATCATTATTAAAATGGTTTTTTTCATTCGTGATCTTCACCGACAGCTTGAACAATTACATTCGGAACTGGATAAATCGAAATCGATCGTAGTTTATCGTGGTCAGGGTATGCTGAACGATGATTTTGGAAAATTGAAGTCGAACCAAGGTGGATTGATAGCATTTAATAATTTCTTATCAACAAGCGAGACACGTGATGTGTCACTAGGTTTCGCACGTTGTGCACTTAAAAATCCGGATCTGACCGCCATTCTGTTCGAAATGCATATCGATGCATCGGTGTCAGCAACGCCATATGCGCCGTTAGATAATCTCAGTTACTTTTCTGATAGTGAAAAAGAAATTCTCTTTTCTATGCATACAGTGTTTCGAATTGCATGCTGCAAACAATTGGAAGAACGTCTTTGGGAAGTCCAGTTAGCACTAACCAGTGATAATGATGAACAGTTAAGACAAGTGACAGAACAAATGAAGATCGAGATAGAAGGTGGCTCTGATTGGCATCGCTTAGGACATTTAATGGCTAAAATGGATAATTTTGATAAAGCAGAAGAAATCTATAGTACATTATTAGAGGCAGCAGATAAAACTAAACTGCAAGAACTTGCTCCACTTTATCATCAACTCGGATATGTCAAGAAGAAAAAAGGAGACTACGCCAAAGCATTGTTCTATTATAGAAAATCACTGGAATTGAAACAAACGTATTTGCCACCGGATGCCCCGGAACTTTCAGTGACATACTCAAACATTGGTGCTACTCTTCTTGAACAACGAAATCTTGATGAAGCATTGGGAAATTTTCAGCGAGCACTAGAATTAGATCTGCATGCCCCGCAACCCGATCCATTGGAAGTCGCTACGGATTACAATAATATCGCTTCTGTCCTGATGGATCAACGTCGATACGCAGATGCTTTGAAAAATTCTCAGAATGCACTGAATATTTTTCTGGATAAACTTCCACCGGCTCATCCATCAATAGGAACGTTATACAATAATATTGGCGATATTTACGATGCCATTGGTGATCGATCTACTGCACGTTCATGTTATCGAAAGTCATTGGATATCTTAATAAAAACCCTTCCTGAAAACCATAGCTCTTTAGCCATCATTCGCAACAATATAGCGAGAACATCGACTCAATAACCTTCTGTCTATTCTATATTTTTTTCTTGAACCTAGTATGGATCAATTCATAAGATTTATTGTATCTAATCTGAAAATAAAATACTTTTAGTATTATTTGTTTCAATGTGAGTGACATCTATATAGCTCTAACATCGATGATGTACCGATTTGCCTTTTCGTCTTCGAATAACTGTCATTCATTCATTTTACTTCCAGTACGCATATTATTTGAACGATAGTAGGTATGAAAGTTATACTGATCGGAGCTGGCATATCAAGTGCCTTGATATCACTTTTACTTCGCCGGCAATTCGGCCCCGGAATTAAACTTGTCGTATTTGATAAAGGCAGAAGTATTGGTAAATGACATGATTAACTTTTTTATGTTTGATGCGTTCAATACTTTCATTGAAGGTGGCCGAATGACGACGAGCTATGATAGCGAAGACAATCCCCACTGTTCTGTTGATACGGGCGCTCAATACTTAACATCAACGAAATCAAATGGTGTAACAGCAAAGTAAAAGCCATCCACTACATGACAGTGCATACAGATTGATGATAGATTCTTTCAACAACTTATCGATGATCATGTTATCGAACCACTGGACAAAACAAACACGATTGGAATACGCGAAAACGCTGACAAAGTTGACTATGTTGCACCGCGTGGAATATCATTTGTAGTGCGACATGTTTTCGAACAAGCAGGTTATTCGCACCATCTAAATAGATGCTCATTCGGTGATTTTTATTGTAGTGGCAGAAATGAATCTTTCTAAACATATAACCAAGATTGATTTCAGTTCTGAAAATGATAAATTGCTAGTATCTACAAATGATCGACAGCTAGACGAAGCGGACGCAGTGATTGTTACTATACCCGTGCCGCAGATACTCTCTCAATTAAAAGGTTCTATCGCTGAACTGATAGGTATGATGAAAACTTCCGTAAAGCGTTCGTTCTTATTGTCATGAAATCTTATATTTGAAAGATCGAAATCAAGAAGCGAAAGAGAAGCTCGCTCAAGTAAAATATTCGACTCGCTTTGCTGTTGGTCTTTTTTATCCTCCGTCGATAACAACTCTAAACATTCCCTGGCGCATTTATTACGTTGACAAAAACGATAATGAATACCTTCGCTTTCTTGCGGTTGACAATGCCAAGCGAAATAACAGTTAGGAATTGATTTTCCAAGAAGATAATTGGTGATAGAAGTAATTTCAGATGAACCACCGTTTTCATTGATCGCTCATACAAGTGTAGAATTTGGTGCCAAGCATATTGACGACGATAAAATGATCATAGGAGAAGAAATTAAGGAGAAGATTTTCCAGTTTCTACCGCAACTACCACGTCAAATCAGTAGTACAAAGTATCACAAATGGAAGTATTCACAAGTAAATTTAAGAGTGAAAATACAGTTGTCATCATTTCTTTTTCATCTTATTTAGGTAACTCAATCTTATCCAGATAAATCTGGTTATGTTTTACTCAACGAGCAACCATTATTGATGCTAGCTGGTGATAGCTTCGCTGCGGAGTCTAATTTCGAAGCGTGCATCGAAGCAGCAATTGAAGCTGTAAAGAAGATTCGCGAACTGTCTTCTTAAAAGTTGATCTTTTATTTTGAACAAATTTGTCTATATTTTTATTCTCGCCATATAAATGACTTGTCTTAGTGAGAGAACGATTATATTCATGTACTTAGACAAAGATTATCAAAAATCCAACCATTTATTTAGATAAATACACGTTTCTGGTGTGATTAAACCATCATCATGACAATCTTTAAAAACGGGACAGATCCCACATGGATTTCTGACAACTGGCGAAGACTCGAGTATAGCAACAACCGATCTGTATAAATGTTGTTTAGCACCGCCTTCAGCAGTCGTTGTTGTCGATGCCACTGTTGTCTTTTCAATTTTTCCGTCATAAATCAATGTGTTCAATATCGATTCAATATCTTGTACAGTCAACGAGACAGTAGCGATTCCCATTTCATTAATAAGAGCGACAAGTTCGTTACTGGACATGAACGCACTCGTTCGCCGAAGGAATGGATCGTTTGGAAACTTTTTTATCGATTCTTCTAAACGTTCGTCTAATAATCGAGCACATTGTTCATTCAATACACGAACAAATTCCGCTTCGAATTCATGATCAGAATACCAAGTACCACCTGTGATCGATGGATCAGGTGTCATTTCATACAGCATGTATACCTACGAAAAACCAACAAATCTATTCATAGTCCGCCTCGAGACAATTCATCGCTTGGAAATACCTTCTTCTTACTTGCGTGGACCGATTTGACTGCTTTGATTAGTTTTTTACTTTCTAATGATTTCAATGTTTTGTTCAATATTGTTTGAGATAATTTCGTTTTTGTTCGTATGTCACGCATCCAGATGCCTAGAGTTCCACTTTCTTTAACCAATTGATACACTACCCGTTCCATCTGATCAGTCGTTGTACCTCCAACAGATATTGATGAACCCGACGCACTTGTCGTATCGCGTATACGATAAAGGAATGTACCCGATTCAGTTGCTGATTTCAATAAATCAATCTTATTCAGTGATAGCAGACGATTCAATGCGCTCACACGTTGTTGCATAGTTACACTACGAAATGAATTCTCGAGAATCTTATCAGTCACACCATTGGGAAATTGTAGACATAGTTGAAGTATTTCTGATTCCAAATTCACAGGATCGAAATTAGATGCTTCCGCGGACGAATTCGTATCCATTGGTTCACTCTTTGCTTGCGAACTTGCCATTTCAAGTTCTTTCGTATATCAATCTAGAATAGAAATTTACCACCGCAATCACTTTTATTTGTGGTCAAAAGAGATTCTTTCGAAAAAAGTAGAATAACAACAACAAGGGATATATAACACTACAAAACAAGCACAGCAAAGAAAATCTTTTCATTTTGCTTGATTAAAGTTGAGTATTCGACTCCTAAGCATCCGTTTCATCTTCTTCCAGAATTGTGAGATTCTCATTTGGCTGAATGAGGCCATACTTCAAGCAAAGTTGAAGAATATCCGAAACGACTTTTCGATTCTAGATAGACAAGGAAATAGTTTAGAAATTACGGTTTTTCTCAATCTGACACTGACTTTATCGTTGGTCAAATGTTCATCTTTTGTTTCTTTGATGGCAAACAGAACGTCCATTAACTCGCTTGCGACAATACGTGAGGCAAGTTCTTTGTTCGCTTTCACTAAGTTACGAAGGATGTACAAAGCTCGAAATTGTACTTCAAAATTAGTCGAAGCACATAAATGTTTAAAGAGTTCTGTAAATGATTGAACCTAAATCGCATGCAATATTTCAACTGACAAATTCGATCTCAATGAGCAGAACTTACATTGAGAATCTTTTCACATATGATTCGATTATCTTCAATATATTCATTCAGTTTCTTTCGATCTTCTTCCGCCAATTCAACATCTTTAAAATCATCAAGATCAACTTGTAACGAGGAGAGAATCGCCAAAGTTCCTAACGCTGCTTTTACCAATGGTTCATCTTCTTCACCGCATAATAAAACCATTAGTTTTATACGATCATTTTCCGCAGTAAAGAGTTTAACCACCTAAATGAGAACACTGTGGCTCATGAAATAGCGTGTGTGCGGTTTACTTCTTCCTGTGAAACTAAATTACACATGCATTCCGTTGCTGCTCGGCGAAGCATTCGATGATCTTCGTACATATACTGCTCAATATCAGGAAATCCTTGTTCTTTTAGAATACGTTTTCGTACAGATTCTCCGATACCCGCCAGATTAGTTAAGGCCATCAGTGCTTCGAATGTTTCTAACGAAGTATTTTCCAATTTGAGAAGTTTAAGAATAGGCCGAACGAGTTCCAACGTCTAAGTAAGAAACAAATCGAAAACGATTCGACGAACATTTTCGACATACACGTTGACCAGGAAAAGCGTTTTCAGGATTGGTTGTAATGGCTATTTTTGCTAAGGCTTGTGCTGCTTTGGTTTTACCGACTTGTGTACCATCCAGTGCAAGTGGCAGTAGAGCCTACGAACAGTATATGTGTCCCATTATGATTCACCGAGAGAAAAAGAAGAAATATACCTTCGCTCCGCCAGCAGCAACAATCGGCCCTCGATATTTCTCATTTTCACAAAGTCCAAGAAAGACTCTACAGGAAATATTTTATCGGAGAAAGATAGAATTTTGCCTAAGTCTCATACCTTGCCACTTGTTCACGACAATTCTCACTCTTATGCTTGCACAGCTGCACCAGAACAGGAATTATACCAGCATCGACTAATTTTCGACGACGTTCTTCAAAAAACTCCACTGCATCCTTTAAAGCAACTCAAAACTGTCAATATCACGTATCTTGTTTTCTCTCATCGTTTACTTTTTCATGTTCCTTCGGTATATGCTGTTTCGCATATGTTGCTAATTCTTCCATTTGTTTATCTTTCTTTCGAGTATCATACGTATTAGTTAAATTCACAAAGATTGTTGTAATTGAGTATAGGACATGTGCATCATCACATTGACATAGACTGAAGAGAGCTTTGAGTGCAGCAGTGTTATCCACCAAATCTTCTTTGACATCAGCATCTAATGTTAAATAAGCAAGACCATCAGCAGCCCAACGACGAATATCAAAATTTGGACTGGTTGTTAAAAATCTGTACAAATATCGTTTAGATTGAGTGGAAAATACAATCTTAGTTGATGATATTTACTTGCAACAGGCAAGAGCCAGTGTTTGACATGAACCTTCGGTAACGAGATTGGCAGCTGAATCTGTACCCTTACTAGATGCAATTTTTGATAAACCCTAAACGGAAAATTGTTTTTTCCCTGTCTCATTGGATATTAAAGAGATGTACTTACCACAAGTGCAATCACTTTGATCTGTTCATTTGCTGATTGGTATAAATTCTTGAGAATTTCTGAGCCTAACGATAAAATACCAGCAGCTTTATCCTTTTTGGATGCCGATAAAACAATAGCTTCAACTGCAATACGCTACAAGCAAAATGCTCATTTAAATGAATTTTCTTGCTGACAATTAATATCAACAATTACCTCTTGTAATGGATCACCTGAGCCAGCCATTGTTATCATCAGATCGACCAGATTTTGACTGCCTAAGATAGCATTACCCGTATCGAACGGTCCTTGCAAAAGAGTCGATAGCACAGATATTGTTCGTACACGTGACTGCATATCATCTCTTTCACGTAATGCTCTGCAATAGATAAACAAGTAGTAACAGAAGATACGAACTATTAAGCTTACTTGACGAATTCCATACACTCATTATTAAAATCTTCTCGTTCTTTATCCGAGACTAAGTCATGATAAACGATACTCAACGCCATCGATATATGCATTTTGGTGTGTGCTGTTAATGGATAGTGTTTCTTTTCTGTTTCGGGCAATTCAGGTACAGTCGCTGCAACTCGTAATACTTTCGGTAAACCTACATAAAACCAAATTTCAATACGAAAACAAATATCGCGAAATCGGCTATACCTGATATGATGAATTTGCTTGTCCAGTTACATCCATTGGCTCGATCGACAAATTTCACAATAAGATCCAGGCAGCAATCACGTCCAACGCCCGAACATGCTTTATTATCGATTAAATCCAAAAGCATACGAAAGATTTCATTGATAATTTCAATAACAGGCTGGTCTAAATTATATAAAGAAAACGTTTCTTTTTACAGGTGGATCATTTTCGCGAATTGTTCAGTACCGAAATTGTATGGCACATTCATAGGTTTACGAACTTTACGTCGATTTTCTAAATCACATATTGACATGAGCATGTTATGGATTAATATAGCAGCGTTTGTGGGAATTTCTGCATCATCCATAGCTAAACAACGTGCAATTAGTTTCAAACCAACTTTGTTATAGATGTTTTCAGCCTAGAAATCAATTGCGATCATGAAATATGACTCTTCAACGAAAAGACATACCCGTTTGTAGGAATTTTTAGCTAATGCACTCAATATTCTGAGAGTGCCAAGTACACTGATTCGATCATCTCGTTGGATAAGGTTGGTCAAATGTTGTAGATCTGTATCATAAGCAATAACAGCTTCCGCGCCCGCTACCTCACGTGACACCACGAGAAGATTATTCAATGCCTAAGGAAAATATTGATGATTTCGCGAACGCTAAGCTTCTCATCATTTACCTATCCACAGCAATAACTCGTGCTTTGAAACGAAAACAAAACTCATGCAATACATGCAATAAGGTATCTGCTGGAATTAATCGAAATTCAGTCAAACCAATGCTCAATCATACGGTTTCTAGCTGATCTGGTTTTGATAGAATTGTTTCAAACATTTGTTGAACTTGATTGTTTACTTGTGTCTGCTCTGATACCTGTCGACAAACAAAGGTTGAACCAAAAGATAATAATGAAGTACAAGTGAATTGAAATACCTTGCTTTGTGCACTTTCGCGTAATTTTCGTAGAAGCGCATATGTTTGTTCATCAGTACCGGCACCTTTCGCCGTTATAGATATTAATCTTTGAGCATCAGATATAGCTTCTTTCAATCTTCCTGAGCGTTCAAAAGCATTGGCACGACGATATAACGATTTCTGATCAGCAGGTGTATATTCCAAGGCTAGACAAGGATCGATTCGGACGAACTTTCTCAAAATATTCATTCGATATACCTCGTGTCGCATCTTCAATCGCATCGTCGTATTGTTCAAGATTGATATAACATTGTGAACGATTACTATAGCATTTTGTTATGTCGTTCTTAATCTCCTCATTTATTTGAAGTTTGTTAAGAATATCCAACGCATCGGTATAACGATCGATAGCTTGTTGAAACTGTCCCTGTTTGAATGCTTGATTTCCTTGCTCTCGTAATTCATTCGAATTGTTCGACGACGTACTCATATTTAATCTGAAATGAAAAAGACACATTGAATGTATTCGCAAAAATAAATAAGAATTAACACAAATAGGAAAAAAAAGAAAAGCTCTCGATCAACTACGATTATAACGGTTTCCACTTCCACGAGGATTTTCATCTTTATATTCGTCCATCAGACGAACATTTTGTCGATGAGTTGAGTCATCGATTTCGTTCAATTGTTCATCAGATAACGGGGCAGGCTTCGGAGGAGGTGCTGAAATCACAAAGAATATGCATTAAAATTGATCATTTTCGACAATAAACTACCTCACCTGGCTGTTGAGCTTGTCTCTTGGCAAGATCATCATAGAATTCTTGCACCGTCATTGTTGGCACACTGGGATATCCTGCACCACCGATCGCTTCTTTATATAAACGATCTTTTGTTGTTACTATTGTGAATGGTCCATCGACAGGCAGTTTGTTAGTCGACGCTGTTGGAGTAGTCATTTGTAGATGAGGATCTTTTGAAAATTGCAATAGTTTGATCTCATCTAGAAAGATAAAATGTATACGATTGTTGCTACTGACGAAATAAACCTTTCAACGCGGCAATATCTTCTTGTGCTTGTTGAATCCACCATTTGATTTGTTCGGTGTACAGCTGTCGTTTGATTTCATCATCTACACGATCGGCATCTTGTGCCATTTCACGTAGTTTCGCGATCGATTTCTCTAAAGCCTTCTTCTCTTTCAATCTAAATGATAAACTTATAGTAGAGCCGTTGTCACCTCGAATGTTCGTACTTTTGTATTCTTGTTTGACGATCTTCTGTAGCATGTAAACGATATTTATCATTGTCGTCGTGTTGTTCTCTGGGAATGTGTTGTACTAAACCATAATTTTTACATAAATGCAAGTATTTGAGAAAATAGCTTATAGCGGAATGAATATCATCCAATCTCTGTTCACGATCTGGCGAACGATATTCGTAGAGCCAACCAATTAAGGCGTAAATAATGAAATATCTATGTGACAATAAAAAGAAACGGTTGAATCGAACAAAGCCATACACGTTTGGTACCGTAATTCATTGGAGGCAACTTCACTAATATCTTCGTTATCTGAAAAAAGATGTAATTCATCGAGTTTTTCCTCCGCTGATTTCAATCGATCGATCGCTGTTGTAAATGTTTCGCGTTTTTGTTCAATTTTATTCGCTTCTAATTTCTGTTGAAGATCGAAAGCAAAATCAAATAATTCTGCAATGGTTAAATCATCGTTTGTCGTCATCTAAAAGAGCAAAAATGGCATGCATTGCATCATCTCATGTCTTTCCCTATGGTACTATCACGCGAAGCTTCTCATCTCGTCTGCAATGAATATCTCAGTATGGGAAAGTCGCGCAGATGTTTAATTCAAAAAACCTGACCGAAATGAAAACAATCAATTCATTTCCATTGAAAAAACCTTTTGAGACAAGATGATCATGAAATTTTATTGTCTCTTCTTTATTCTCGGTTTGATTGCTTCCATTTCGTGTCGCAGTATTCAGTTCAATATTAACACAACTAATGAACCAATATCAGCAACGACTCTCGCTCCTGAAAAAATCCATGTAACTATCCATGAAAATAGTTATACAGCTGAAGATGAGTACAAATATATCAATGAATGCGTACAGAAATGTATGGAAAATCGTCCTCAAAAGCAGCAATCCAATTCGAACGCATTCGATGCAGGCAGAGACAACTGTATTCAAATACAATGTCGAATCTACCAACGGCGTCGTTAACTGATCCAAAAGATATAGAGAGAGACAAGCGTCGTTTTGCAAAAAAAGTTTTATGTGAACATCTGTCTCAGAAATAAAAATAATGAAAGGTTAAGAAACATTACATCAACCCTTTTCTCATTCTTTTCTTAATCGAATAAATCGAGGAAAACACACTTACTTCTACATTTTATCATCAACACTAATCAAGTAACTGTATCTGATTCGATATTCGGCTGACATCGTTCACTCATATAGGAACAAATAAATAAACAAATAGACGAATAGATCTGACCAATCAAAACGCGAATAAACAACTGCTGACAATTTGAATCATACACATAACCCTTGTTTCATTTCCTTCACATCAATGGCAAGTACGTTTACATTCGTCGATGATCTCATACGAGATTATCTGAATTATCGAGGATTGACAACCACATTGCGAACGTTCGATAATGAAGTATCGAAAATTCCAATTGGACAGTTCCGTGCTGATCGTATTGTAGAACAGCTAACACTATATATCCATCAATTCGATATCAATAGTTTGATCGATTATTGGACACAAATAGAGCAGCGTTTGTTTCCAACATTGATTGTTCGCTCTCAGCAACAAACTAATGCTTTATTGAAGGCTCGTACGAATTTATATCGTTGTTATTTGATTCATGCGATTCAATCGTCGAAAACTGATAAAGTTCATGAATTTTTCGAACGCTTGTCGAAAGTCTTACAACAATCGAATGATTGGACAAAGGAATGGTTCGCATTGCCATTCATTCGCAATCCGGAGGAGAATTCCACGTTTCAATTGTATTTCTCCAAGCAATGGAATGACCTTTTCTGGATTTCTTTACAAAATTTTCTATCAACTGCATTCTATCAGTAATTTCCAACATTCTTCTCCTCAAACAAAGAAAATCTATCTTCCTTTTTTTTTGTTATTAGTATGACACCGCCAAAGATCTGCTCAATAGAAGAGAGTAATTCACAGCAGTTCGGTAATTTAATTAGTCAACAAGCATCGAGTCCAAAAACGTTACTTCCACCATCCGCAGTATGGAATTCAATTTGAATAAAAAAACAACCTATAACTGACGCTTTATTCTTCTGCTACTCTTTTAGCGTATCGATTCGACTATAAATCAATTTGTTGATGTGCTCGATGAAATTCAAATATCACCCAGTGCATCCAGTACCGAACAACAACGTCAAGCCAATTCAACGATCATATCGAAATTTCGAAGTAGCTTTTTACCAAACACCAAGCACATAACATCACGCAGTACGTCATTTTTCTTTCTGTTGTGATCCAATTTTGATTCTTTACACTTTACTTAAGATAAACTACCTTCGTTTTCAACAGCATCGAAAGCAAGTTTCTCTCAACCCTCACAGGAATCAACCACAGGCAATCAAATCTTACTGACAACCGACGAGTCAATCACACCTAAAGTACTACCAGTATCAACGACAACAACTTCGCTTTTAGCTACACGACCGAAATCAGCAACGTTTGTTCAAAATGATGCGCATGTATGATAAGATCTGCTCATGCACCCACGTACGTGGTTCGATTTTCATTTTTATTTGTCTTGCTCGAATTTATTTCTCACATTGATCGATAAAGCTCTGACAAACTCATGATTTAAATAATGATTACTATTGTTTTTACGAATTAGATTGACGCTGATGACGAAAGGCTCATTCATATAGCAGAATTGAAACATCATTCAAATACAATCGTCGATTGTAAATTAAGCACGGATGGTTTATTCTATTCGACGCTTGATGTTCAAAGTCAAGTGAAAAGTATAATCAAAATTGTAACCTCTACTTACATCATTCTCATTTCTTGCTGTACTTATCAGTTTGGTCAACTACGGATGAGTTCGATATTGTTACTTCCTTATCATCTCGTTCAGCTCTTCAATGTCAAGCATTCGATACGCAAGAACCATTACTTTATCTTGGAACATCAGTATCAACGATCAAAGTTCTGCATATTACAGAAAAACGTATCATCAACGAAGCAATCATAGATAAAAGCTATCCAAGAGTAATGCACCTTCTTCCACACACTGCTCAAAGTATGTATGAGGTACCAACTCGATTTTTGATCAATATCAGTTTTTAGATCGATTATTTGTTTCGTTGGCTAGTACAAGTCGATTGAATACTACGGATAACATTCGAATACGTTCTGGTCGTGTTTTGCTTCTTGATGTGAATGCATGGTCAGTGGAACGTGCATTAGCTGAAGATGAAGAAAACTTCGTGACATGTATGAATGTGCATCGAGAAAAACAATTGCTCGTTCTCGGTAGGTTATTCCTCTTGAAACGAAATAGATTGAGAGAACATTATTCGCTGTAGGCTTCAATGACGGAAAAGTAGCTTTGTACGATATTCGTTCCAATACTGTTATTCATCAAAAGCAACAACATACACGATTGGTTCAAGATATACACTTCATAAATGATGATGTATACTCGATTGGCAATGATAATATTCTTCATCAATCGAATTTATCTGCATTTGATCAATTGGTACAATCTTATGAATTGCCTTATTCAGCTGTGGGACCATTTCAAGCTTCTACTAGCACATTATCAAATGACAATCAGACTCCATTATTATCTGCTCAACGAGTATTTTCATTCGATAATAATAATAGCTTCTTTCCAATTGGTAGTGTTTTCGATATTGATCCATATAATTCTGATCGTCTGATAACATGTAGTCCACAATATGCACGTTTTTATCGTTTGTCAACTGGTGATGAAGATGATAAACTGCAGTTTCCAACAGTAATTAATACTTCTACAGTGAATTCGGATTTTACCTTTCCAAGTTCATGTGTACATTGGAATAAAGAAAAGGACATGTGTATGACATCCTATACCAATGGAATCATTCATTTATATAAGCGAATCAATAGACCTGATAATTAATTGTTCCTTTATTTTTAAATATTTTTCTATTCTTGTGATATATATAAATTATAAGCTTTGATTGAGAACAAGACGATTGACTGCACAGCGAGAGGTTTCTTTTTCAAGACGGATTGTTGTTTTGCAAATCATCAGTATACGTGATATTTCAAATCATAATCAAAACCAAGAATGTTTTTTTTATTGATCCCTGTGGGTGAGAAATAAAATAAGAGGAGAGTAAAAAATAACAGAACAAATAACTAAAAGGAAATGCGTTAAAGAATGATCATAACCATTTTGTGCGGAATGAAGGGTATACGAATTTCCTAACAATAAACTGTCTGTTTTAGAGTTCATTGCTTGGTAATGTATCTCGTTTCTTCTCTTCTGACTTGACTGTTTCGGTGGTCAATACCGGTGTTGCCTTGGTTGTATCATGTGCGCGAACTGTGTGAACATGATCTTGATGTGCTATGAGATAATGAAACAGAAAGGACTAACATACTAGAACAAAACAAGACATATATTTACCTGTAGCAGAAGTAGTAAAGTGAGTAGTTGGTTGAGTGGTGGTGGTGGCAGTGGTGGTTGTTGCTTCAGTGGTAGTGGTCGTGGGTTGAGGAGGAGTAGTGGTTGTTGTTGTTGGACGAGGAGTAGTAGTAGTTGTTGTTGGCGGTGGTGGAGGGGCAGTAGTAGTAGTTGTTGTTGGTGGTGGTGGTGGTGGAGGGGTAGTAGTAGTAGTTGTTGTTGTTGGTGGTGGTGGTGGAGGGGTAGTAGTAGTAGTTGTTGTTGTTGGTGGTGGTGGTGGAGGGGTAGTAGTAGTAGTTGTTGTTGTTGGTGGTGGTGGTGGTGGAGGGGTAGTAGTAGTAGTTGTTGTTGTTGTTGGTGGTGGTGGTGGAGGAGTAGTAGTAGTAGTTGGTGGTGGTGGTGGTGCAGGAGTAGTGGTTGTTGTTGTTGGACGAGGGGTAGTAGTTGTTGTTGTTGTTGGACGAGGGGTAGTAGTAGTTGTTGTTGTTGGACGAGGGGTAGTAGTTGTTGTTGTTGCTGTAGTCGTCGTCGGTCGAGGAGTGGTAGTTGTTGGACGAGGGGTAGTGGTTGTAGCTAAAAGTTCAACGATATCACAAACGGACGATTGAACATCTACAAACTTCTTTGTGTTGTACGTTGAGTGGTGGTTGATTTTTGTTTTGTAGTAGCTAAACAAATGTTTTCTTTACAATATCATTTGAAAACTAAACAAACTTATACAAACCAGTTGTTTCTTCCTTTCTGGTTGAGCTGTGAGCCGTTGATTTCGCTATAAATAATAAGTGTATTTTTTGTTGCTTTCGTAAATTTGTTGCATTTACTTGTTGTTGTTGCAGTTCGTTTTGTTGTTGTTGATGACGACGACTTCGTATCCTTTTGTTGAGCCTGTATATCTGCCACACGACGATCAATCTCTGCCTTCGCTTTCCAGAGTCGATCAACCAAATCCCGCCCAACGATCATTGCTGTCTCTGATAAAGTTTTCATATGTTTCGGTAAATCCTTAAATGTTTGTTCAACCATTACACCTAGGAATACAAATGAAAGCATGCGTTGTTCAAATTAAGCTCGCATTCGACTGCGTACCATATTCTTTTCCATAAGGTTGCTTGAAGTGATGGCCAGCTAGATCAGGTAAGATTGTTGCTAAGAACATAATCAAGCGGTAGTTGTTTTAATTTAAACTAATCCAAGCTAACTTACCAACAATGACACCGGAGACAAAAATAAATGTGTAAATGCAAATTGAGCAGCATGATGAACGACCCTTTGGTCTAGATTCACCTTTTGACAATGAATCACTACTTATTTTACTTGTTTTAGAGTTATCGGTCTAATATAAAGAGTTCTTCTTCACTAAAATCAAGTAAACTCGTATTACTTTACCTTAGCCATGACGATAAGTATAATCTAAACAGGTTCGAATAATTGCAATATCTATAAAAGAATGAGATACCGAGTCTTTTTTTTTCTAGCCTTCAAAATGTCTGTGGAATGTTATTCTAAATTTGTATCATTAAAAAATAAATGCTGACGACGACAGAAATATTCTTATATGCTATGACTGGCTCCTATAGCAAGCCAATAGGAGTCGATTGTGACTGATATTTTTTTCTTATTGGTTTCGACATTCTAACGCGAATTGTATCTAGTTATGAAATATCTTTGTTCTTTGCTTTCATTGTAGGTACGAACTAACTCGATGGCTGATGATGATTTTATCGAAGATTTCAATATCACCGAAAGTGATCTTGATTCAGCATTCAATCCAACTCGTCGTCGAGGACGGCAAAGTAAAGAAGAAGCAATCTACGGTAAGAGACGATGCTGATTGTTGAGTAATTTCGAAATATCTGTCAATTTTGTAGGTATTTGGGCCACAGCTTCTGAACGCGCTACCAGTCGTCCGACCACAACAACAACCTCGTACAGTCGGGTAGCTCAACCGATCGCATTTGTTAGTGGCGGTGTCAAATTAGGTTCAAAAATCGACAACAAGAAACCAGCCACAACAAAGCCAACGAAGAAACCCATTATATCCAACGATTATATCAGTGATGAGGATAGTGATGAGCCAGCTGATGACGATGAGAATGACGACGACGATGAAGTTGAAGTCATTGGAAGAAAACGGAAAAAACGCGGGGATATGAGTGACGACGACGATGATGATGATGATGACGACAGTCATAACGAAGATGAAGCAGCTGGATCAGTAAGAAATTTCTGTTTATAACTAAACTGGATCTCTACTTCCCTGTGTACTTCTAGAGCGATGATGAAAGTCATGCACCAGTCACACAACCTCAAACATCAAGCTTTTCAAATCGCCGACCACAGATGAATCAAGCACCAGTTCATGATAAGTATGAACCATCAAACCAAGTGTATTCTGTTTATTTTATCATTGTTGTTTTTAAGGGAATTCGGTGCATTTGAAAAATATACCAAAGGCATCGGTATGAAACTGATGAAAAAAGTAAGTTCAATCAGATGTCGATATCTGTGAATAAACGAATTCGAACGTATTTAGATGGGTTTTGAACATGGTCGTGGTTTGGGGAAAAACCTTCAAGGTCGAGCCATGCCTATTCAAGTTCAAAAACGTCAAGGTAAAGGTGCTGTTGGTCGATACGGAAATGAAGATCCCAACATTCGTCCTACAACGAGTCAAGGTAATTTCGTTAATTTCACACAGTTGTATATTAAACTTGACTTCATCTAGACTCGGAAACCACTTCATCAGAAAAACCATCGAAGAAGAATGCTCCACAATGGCGAAAACAACCGAGAGAGGTTAGTCTAATAATATTCAAGGAAATGATCATAACATCTATCGTTAACTTTACATTTAGAGAGTGCCCAAACAACAATATATTTATAAAACATTCGATGATGTGTTAAAAGAACAAACGACCAAATTTCACAACAAAAAGCCTGGTGAACAAAGTCGAGATAAGATCATTGACATGACAGGTCGTGAACAACGTGTGCTTCAAAATTATGATTCTATCTCAACGAAACAATTCGATCAAGAGCACGTATTTTCACTGGAAGAATTATCACATAATCTTGACCAAGTGATTGAGTCATGTGAAGAAGGAATGATTCGTTCCCATCGACGACGAAATGCTGACCAAGACACAATGGTGGCGTTAGAATATGATTTATCGCATACACAAAAACTCATTTCTGATGAAGCCACGAAAATGAATCGATTGAACATTCTTCTTAACATGGTCGACCAATGTGAACAATGTGTGAGACAGGTCAAAAATATCAATGACCTGCTCTTTCTACAACGAGTCTTCGAAGAATTGAGAAAAAATTACTCGCATGAGTATCAAACCTATCGTCTTTGGGATGTCGCAGTTCCAGTTTTACACAGTCAAATGAAACACCATCTCGCTACCAACTGGGATATTCTTCATGGTACACATGATCACGATGAAGAACTCATTAACATTTTCACCAAATGGAGAGACGTCTTAGAAGATGATACCATTGATTTAACGACAAACAGTGTTACTCCGTCGAAAGAAAACATGGACCCATATCATCGACTTCTCTGGGAAGTATGGATGCCATTTGTTCGTCGAGCAGTTCTGTAAGTAAATATTGCTGTTTCAGAATTGAGATATGATTAGTTCTGTTTCTTTAGCGACTGGAATCCACGTCATCCTGATGAACTGATCGATGCTATTGAACGATGGAAATCCATACTACCAGGATGGATTCGAGAAAATGTTCTTGATCAACTTGTCATGCCTGTTCTTCATCGTGAAGTGGATGCATGGAATCCTCTGACTGATTCAATACCCATTCATTCATGGATACATCCATGGTTGCCGCTGATGAAAGAACGACTCGAACCATTGTATCAACCGATTCGAACGAAGCTTGCACAAGCTCTTCAGAACTGGCAACCATCAGATTCATCAGCCAAAGCTGTTCTACTTCCTTGGCAACGAATCTTTCCACAATCGACATGGGATTCATACATGAACAAAAACATCGTTCCGAAACTAGTCACACTAATGCAACAGTTCATTGTTGATCCTCGACAACAAGTGTTAGGTAAGAGAAGATAAATCTCTACAACGAAATTCCACATGTACATTCTAGATCCATGGAATTGGTTTATTAGTTGGGTTGATATAGTACCATTGCCGAGCATGGTTGCCATTCTAGAGAAGACTTTCTTTCCCAAATGGCTTCAGGTATGAGTGTTCATTCGTAAATAGGTTCATCCACATGACTTGTATGTGCATGTTTAGGTACTGAATACATGGCTGAACACAAATCCAAACTATCAAGAAATTCAAGGATGGTATAGTGGATGGCGATCATTGCTTCCACCATCACTTCTCAATCATACGACCATCAAAGAAAAGTTGACCGAAGGATTAATGATGATTGATCGACGAATATCAGGTCCAGTGAATGCTCAACCGACACCACCTCCACCTCCTCTACCGTCTACCAATGTGAACTACGAGGTAAGCTTTTTGCATGTCATTGACATAGTTCGAGAATAAAGTGTGTCTTTCTTCTCAGGCCATATACAACCGTGGTTTGGCTTCGTCGACATCAACAGTAGTGTCATCGTTCAAAGATTTAGTCGAAAAGAAAGCTGCAGAGCATAATCTTTTGTTTATGCCAATTACGAATCGTATATTTGATGGCAAACAAGTGTATCAGTTTGGTCAAGTGAACATCTATATTGATAAAAACGTGGTGTTCGTTTTCGACAATGGGCAATGGTTTCCTATGAGACTGAACGATCTTATTCGAAGAGCAGTGTGATTGTTACACACGTTGATTGATTACTTTTTTTGTTGCGCTTTTTGTACATGTTCGAGTGTTGAAAGAAAAAGTTTGTTGTAAAATAAAACGAAAGCATATCTTTTCTCTAGAGAGTGATTTCTGTCTTAGACTAGAGATGTGCAGCTCATGCGCATGACGAGCGTGAACCACTACCGCTTTCGCTCATATGAGCGTGAGCGCCTTCGTTTTGAAATATTCTTCAACATAATACTCATTCAGTGTCTTCTCGTCCGTATTTCTCTATCTATGTTCATATGAAAATGAGTGTCAGCTGTAAGTAACACATTAAATGTAGGTCATCAATAGAAAGATCAAGATAGATAGTGTTGATTATTTCTTACGGGTATAATAGCTTCAATAGAGTACAGTCATATACATATATATTAATATTGGCCTTAAAGCATATATTTTCCTTTCATTGATTCATATATACGAGAGCATTCAATTAGACAGAGACTATAAGCTCAAACCGTATCACCAATAGTAGTCGCTCGTTTGATCTATGGGTCAGTCATCTCGCTTCATTAAGATGTGTCTTGCATTCGAGAGAGTTTCAATTGACGTGATGTAGTATATATTTATCGTCCAACCCGGATTGATGTGAACACTACAACTGATTCATCATTGAGAAGGCAATAAGAGATGTGTCACAGCAGTTGTGACGAGATCTATCATCTCTATTCGTTGTTGCAACATAGAACTGTACTACCTCTTTAACTTTTTCTATATTTTAGAACAAAATTGTTTTCGCCAGTTCCATAGTTTACCCACTGTCAAACTGAACTTGCGAGCTAATTCAACTCGGCCATTTTCGTTTTTATTGCAAGTGTCAATTATAGTTATCGTATTCATTTTTTTAAATATTTTTTCAACTTCAAGCCATATTTATCAAACAATGAGTATAATTAATCCTGAAAGTATCCATCGTACCCATTCCATTCTATCGCTCAAGAGAAAATCTTGTTTGTTTGCAATCACGCTTTTCATTATCTGTTTTGGACTTATGCTCATAAAATATTCTCAAACTATGCCATACACTACACAGTTACATATAATACAAACATGGCTTCGACGAAGAAAACAAGGAGCGCTGATTTTGACAAATCAATCCACCCAGTTGATATCGTCTTCAACGAGTTCATGGAAGCAAACAGTAGTCACTACAACAACAAGTGATTCTTATATTTCACTGTGTGATAGCACTTTTGAATCTAACAACGTCAACATGCCACAAAATCCATGTGAACAGATACGTTGTAGCGTTATTCTACGCGCAAGTGGCGGTCGTCTTGGCAATCGGATGTTTATGTATGCTAGTGCATATAGTTTAGCTCGTACTCATAATTGTCGTTTGTACGTTAACGATTCAATTATTCAAGAGCTCTCGGAAAATTTCCAAATGAAAAAAATCGATGAAAGAATGTGGCTATCCGAGGAAGGATATAAGAGTTTAAATGATGTCCAACGAAAGCTATCTTTTTGCGAATTTATACCAGATTTAATGCGTCGAGATGCATTCAAACATATCGAAATTGTTGGCTATTGGCAATCTTATTTATATTTTGACGCTTATCGAGAAGAAATTCGAGAAATATTCTCCGCCAATCCCACCGTATTAGCGAATGTTATCAAATACATAGGAACTCTTACAAAGCTTACCTGTCCATCATGCCCGCCATTGAAAGTAGCTACTCAAAAAGAGCTTCGGCAGCGTTTTCAAACACAGTATAATACCACGTGGATTGGCATTCATATTCGCCGGCGTGATTTTCGTCAACTTGGCTATGCATCGGATGACGCCTATATTCATAACGCAATGACTTACTTTCGACGGCGTTATTACTACCAGAAGATTCGTTTTCTTATCGCCAGTGACGAAAAACCATACTATCAGCATATGTTTTCAAAAGATATCAAACTTAAAAAAGTTTTCCTTCTTCCGCGTAAATTTACGCCTGCAGATGATCTAACTGCTCTGACATTATGTCACCACTCAATCGTGACTGGTGGCACATACAGTTTTTGGAGTGCTTATCTTACTGGTGGAGAAGTTATACATGATATCAAATACCGAATTACTTGTAGGCCGTCAGATTATTATCCACCATGGTTTGTGTTAGTAGGAACACCAATTGGAAAACCTTCGAAGTAGAGTTGTACAGCTCATGTTTATGAGCGAGAACTGTACATCCCGTATGTGAGGCCTTGCCTTCTATCAGCGGTAGCAGATAGTAGATTGCCATCGCTATACATAAGATATTAATCTAAAAAAAGCTTATTTTGTAAACGGATGAAGGTAAGCTAAAAGAGTTACATATCGCCTTGTCATTCTCAAAGTAGTTTGTTGTAATTAAAACAGAAAGATATTAAATCATCTAAGTATGAATTCAATGATATTTGTTGAAATAAAATAAATACATATAGAGTTCATGTTCCTCCAAATGTCATAAGAAAATGAAAATGCATTGTGAATATTAGAAATACAAAGATCGATAGCATTGATAATTTAGTTATGAGAAAGCTTTATGAATTAACAATGCCAGTAGATATTTTCTAGGAGCAACGATTTATTTCGACGAATGGAAGGCATATTCTAAGCTAAAAAACAATCATATCATGACTATACATATGTTTCTTTCGAAGTATTTCGTTGACCTCATAATTGGTGTAAACATGCAAACTATCCAAAATATTTGAACAAAGTAGAGACTGTACAGATCATTACTTTTTACTTATCTAGAAGAATTTGTCTGTCGCCAAGATTTTGACAATAAACTGTTACAAAAATGTAACACTACAAATAACATCTATACATCTCGTCAATCATCTTTTTATGTCATGTGTTTCTTTCTGTAATCAATCCTGGTTCTCTTATGCAATTTGTCTCTCTTTGTATTTTAACTCATTAGATAGCGGTCAAGTGTCATACCATAATGGAAAATATTATTCTTTAGTATATACACATAAAAAGTGAAGAGGTGATCATCAAACTACAGTTGTACTCACAAATGAATTCAGCTCCGCTTGGTAACATGTATATCGAATCAGATAGTTTGTATTCTGTTTATTTTATCATTGTTGTTTTTAAGGGAATTCATTGCGTTTGAAAAATAAACCAAAGGCATCGGTATGAAACTGATAAAAACGGTAAGATCAATCAGATGTCGATATCTCTGAATAAACGAATTCGAACGTATTTAGATGGGTTTTGAACATGGTCGTGGTTTGGGGAAAAGCCTTCAAACTCGAGAAGAAAGCTGCAGAGCATAATCTTTTGTTTATGCCAATTACGAATCGTATATTTGATGGCAAACAAGTGTATCAGTTTGGTCAAGTGAACATCTATATTGATAAAAACGTGGTGTTCGTTTTTGACAATGGGCAATGGTTTCCTATGAGACTGAACGATCTTATTCGAAGAGCAGTGTGATTGTTACACACGTTGATTGATCATTTTTTTTTGTTGCGCTTTTTGTACATGTTCGAGTATTGAAAGAAAAAGTTTGTTGTAAAATAAAACGAAAATACATCTTTTCTTTTTTTGTGAAGAGTCATTTCTATCTGAGACTCGTGACGATCAATAAACAGAAACTAATTATTCTATCGTCTTCATTTGTTGGATGATTGGATACTATTCAAGATGATTATATACAAAGACATCTTATATAACAAGCTTATCAATTCTCTTCTCTATTTTGTAGTTATATGAATACCATTCTCACGTCTTCATGGAGGGAAAGAGTAGATATGATCGATAACTACTGACAACTATTGATAAAAGAACTTACTCTTTTTACAATGTGTGTATAGTATGGACGTATGGACCTTAAACTTACTAATGATTACTAACTTTTTCATTATAATTTATGCAAAATAATGTTTTTCTTTTCGTCTACCCATAGGTGAATAATTTTTTTCACTCGTCTTTCTTCTCTCATCTACATACAGTATTGATCTAAGCGAAGCAGCGTAGAGAATCGACATGACCATAAAAGACTAATCGTATTGTGTCAAATGTCAAGCACATTATTAGTGAGTATAGGTTCGGTTCAGTTCAAGCCAGTGATGTCGTATATTATCTTGCCTAGATACGTATTGGTGTTTATTTCTAGAGGAGAAGAATGAATCAAAGAGTACAATTGCTGGCAAATATAATAGAGAACATATTTCATCTGATTATTGAATGAGTTATATTAACAAAAACTCCGTTTTTCTATAAGTCAATATTGACATTGAATAAAAGAAAACGAAAATTATACGTTGGATTAGAAATCGTGTCTTTTAATAGTGATAATAATAAATATTATTCTTGAGAAGTACGCGACTATTTTAGACAGCTTTGTATTACACAGTTTTCATCAGATCTATTCATATCTTTAACCAACAGATGATGTTCGAGAACTATCTCATCTGCGACATGCTTGTTTTTCGTTTATGGATGAACGTTCTGTGGAGTACAATAGAATTAGAGTAGGAAGATAAAAGCTGGTACATTCTCGCTCTTTCTATATTTGTAACACAGATTCTACTGATAGAACGTTAGTCGCTTCCCCCCTCCACTCTCTCTCTCTCTCTACTTTCATATCTGGCGTTTCTCTCCTTCTCCCTCTCCTTCATTTTTCTCTTGCATCTCTCCGACTATTCTAGTGTGGGTGGATTCTGATTGTCGCTGTTGTTATACACACACATACATACGCATCATTCTGTTTTCTGCTGAAGATAAATATAAATATCGATGTCTTCGTCGCCATTATCATCGAAAAACAATACATTCGTTCAAACTCAAACTCCATTTTTCAATCGATACGACGCTAACTCGACTTCCTCAATGAGTATTACTCGATGTTCACCAGTTCCGACATCGTCTTCCGCAACAACGCGAATAGTAGGACCAAAACCTTTCTATCGGTCACAAGTTACTCCCGATCCATTTGATTATACAAATAATCATCGTCGACAAGTTGATTACCAGCAATACCTTCAAAATCCATCACAACGTCGGTTTTCGATTAACCAAATCAACGGTAAGGAGAACTAAATACAAAGAGCATGTGATTGATTCATCGTTTGCTACTCATTATATGATTTTACCGAGCATGACGCATGTCAAATGTGTGGCTTATTTTCTTATTTTAGCGACCGATAACGATGATGATGATGATGATGACGATAATAATAATAATAATGACGATGAATTGACATCATCTGACGAGTCACTTTCAATTGAATTTCCACCACCACCGCCGGCATTTTGCACACCATCGGTTGCTGATACTAATTGTCAATTTGTACCTGTTAAACATTCGTTCATTCAAACAACAGTTGGCCGATCAGATTCAGGTATGTAGAGAACAACGTGACAACGGTACTTCACATTATTCTCTTGATTTTTAGTTTGTATTTTATAGTTTCAATCATCATCGTAAAACTCGTAGGATTTTGAATGTTTTCTTTCTTGCATGTTTTGTGGTGACTGTACTTGACTCTCTTTTGTTTGATCACAAAAAAGACTAAACTGATAGATGGAAGGTCAAAAGAATCCTGGCATGTTCTCAGTATGATTACGTCTACGTATATAACGATCTTTTGTTGACAACCGAAAGAACGATCCTTGTTAACATTGCCAATCATCGTCAGAAATAGAAACGACTGTATACACATTCATTGAAGATATACCTCGATGAAGCGAGCAAGGTTCTTCCACTCTTCTTTCTTTCCCTAAATGAACACTGACCTATGAGTTATGTTTGTATGATGTTGACCATAAAATGTGCTTCTCGACTAATTGCATATTCACTTTCTTTCTTTTGTGTAGGTTCATCACTTTCAAACCCTTATCTATCTGATCATGAACCACCATCTACATCAATTGCGAAACATTCACAGTATCAATCTTATCGAGCGACGACGCCAACAGCTACTAATTACAATAATCAACGTCGTACGTAGGAATCCTACTAGCACATGCATATACTTTTTGAGTGTTTTAGCTGTCATTAGTGTCAACGCATCTCAATCGCCGTTGATAACAATTACATCGCGAGGTTCACCGAGTCGACCTGAAATTCATTTTTCACCCGCACCAAACTCACCGAAATCGACACTGAGAGAAATTCATATATCACGACCTGATTCACCATTGGTGCCAATCAATCGTCAGGGAAATAATACTCCGTCAATCACTCATGCGAATGGCAATGGTCATAGTTTCCATGCGTCTCATGGTGCATCGACAACTACAAATCAAAGAGACTTACCTGTTACATCGCCACCACCCACAGTTCACATGTTTGGCCGAGCTCCATCAGTAAGCTCCAAAGAAAAAATACAGTCATACAAGCATAAATTCTCTTTGTTCTTCCAGCCATTTCGTCAAATTGATATTCATCGCGACTCTTCTCTTGACAATCGATATGCATCCAATGTGGCTGCAAATTGTTTCAAACCGTTAATAGCCTACGCATATCCAAATAGTAACAGACCGTCTTCTTTTGACGGTTCAGAAAGTCGTTCACCATCTGCTGTTGCGAATCTTCCTCCAGCATCTTCAAATTCAAACTCAACTCCATTTACCATGCGTAGTGGCCACACGATGAAGAGAGATTCTACTGATGTTGACCACCTAGCACGTCTGTTAATGAAGAGTATCAATTCATCGAATGAGCCGAACTTTTTTGGTTAGTTCAGTAACGTTCTCTTCTTCTTGTTTTCATCAGGAATCTTCGTAGGTATGTGTGCACGATGTAATGATGAAATCGTTGGTGAAGAAAACGGACTTGTCGCTATGGATAGAATGTATCATGTTTCATGTTTTACATGTACTATGTGTGGTTGTCGTTTACGTGGACTGCATTTCTATTCAATGGAGAATAAACCCTACTGTGAATCATGCTACATTGTATGTAAATAGTTGTTTGAATACGGCAGACATTTTATTTTTCAATTTTTATGTAGAATTCATTGGAAAAATGTGTTACCTGTTCTCGACCAATTACAGATCGAGTAAGTCGGTTGATAATGATTAATTGATAAAAAAATATCATTTTGATTAGATTCTTCGTGCGACTGGTAAACCGTATCATGCTGCATGTTTCTGCTGTTTTGTATGTCGTAAAAGTCTGGATGGTGTTCCATTTACTATCGATGCAACCATGGAAGTACATTGTATTGAATGTTTTCATCAAAAATTTGCTCCACGTTGTTATGCTTGCCATCGAGCTATATTGCCAGGCAATGGCCAAGAAGAAACCATTCGAATCATTGCTCTCGATCGAAACTATCACGTTGAATGCTACCGATGCGAAGTAAGTGAGATCACGTTGGAAAAGTCTTCTGTTTAGTGTCCTGTTTTGTTAATGCTAGAAGTGTAAAGTACAATTTACAACGGACGAAGGTTGTTATCCCATCGATGATCATGTTTTATGTCTTCAATGTAATCGTCTTTATTCGAGAACGATGCTTGGCCATACATAATATCATTTTCGTATTGTTTTCTTTGCTCTATTGTTTACACAGATAACGATCAATCCAGTGTATATTTTCTATTTATTCGAATTTATTTGTATCGAATGACTTTGTTTTATTTGAGAAGTTTTCTGTCGAAATCTTTCCAGCTCATTATATTTTATCTTCTTCTATGTGTATAATGAATATTGGTATTACAAATTGTGATTTTTTCTTCCCTTCTTATCTGACTATAAAATAATGATGAATCGAAAACGAATGTAGGTCATACAGATTCTCAAAAATGTGCACAATCTCAACCGTTTCCTTGATTATATTGCGAGTCAACAAAGACATTCACCCATTATACACAACTTCATCATCTAATTGTTACGAATGGCAGCACTTTTTTCGCCGGTAGGCACAAAAGGAACAGATGGATACTTTGCTGTCATTGATGTTTGAAGAAGAAAAATCGTTAATAACTTGTTCGACTTGATTCTTTGTTGTATTCGACTAATGCAAGAACGTCGCGTGAACTGATGTGCCGCTGTATTTCTTCAATATATTCATTAGCAATACCGATTCGGTTCCTGTTGACGTTTTCTTTTTCAGTCTATCGGTTGATTGTTATTGTCTTTACTCGTCGGTGTATATCGAGTTCTCTTTACAACTGTATCCTATCCGTGTCTGCTTGATTATAGCTCTCGAATACATCTGCCATCGAGGCCTTGATATTGTTATTGTTAGAAGAATAAGCCGAACACACCCTGGATGTTAATCATTGGAAAAGAGAAGCATAAAAGAATAGATAAGACTGATAGATTTATGTACAATTTATGGGAAATAATTCTTATAGTGTTTATGTTATGACTGAATAATATCTCGTATGAAAACTTCAATCGTTATCTTGAACAAACGAAACACTAGATAATTTCCGTCATAATAGAAAGCAGATCCCTAGTCGAACTAGATAATTTTTTCCAGTTGATAATATACGTCTAAATATGGATAATCGAATCGTCGATGGAAAGAAAAAGAATATGCATATATCGTTTGCCATGAATATGGGATAGTGTATCTAATTACTGATTTATTTATTTAATTAAAAGTGACAGGAGACTTGATTGTACATTTTGATATGACAGCGGGCGTTGAGTGCGCAAGTTAAGGTCTACGGGGAAAATTTGATTTTAGCTTTGACATTTATCGAGCAAACAGTGTCGGCGTTATGGTAAACATCGTTTTATGAGTCAAACATGTCCGAGTGAAACGAATAGAGTATTACAATTTGCTTCTGAACAGAGAAGATCATCGAATTGATTTGATCACATTGATTGCGTTTATTATTGAGATTCGAAAGAAAATATTCAATGTCTATTGAGGTTTTGCAGGCCGATTAAAGCAAAGTTTGAGTAATTGAATTATAGGTAATTCAATGAGAAGGAACGTCAGAAATGACAAGAAATACGAAAATATTGTATAGCAAGTGAAATTGAAAAACTAGAAAGAAACAAAAAAATAAATCAATATTGTATTGATATTCGAATGCGACATACAATATTTGCAATTGTATAGTGTGTTGGTTGTTCTCGACCGAGATAATTAACGAAAATAACTAATGAGTGCCATAAATATGCGCCGTAGGTTAATTTAGATAATTTATAAAAGCATGTTCGACTTAATAAACGATTTGCTATACCTATTTATTAAAATAAATCAATAGTAAACCACTAGGAAGTCTTTATCTACCTCCGTGTCCCGAGAAACATGCACCGATTATCATACAAAGTCCAACTGACCATTGAAGTCTCGATAGAGTCAGAAATGCAATACGGTTTCCGCGGGTTAATGGATGTCCACTATAATCACCATAGGTAGCAAATATACAGAGTGCTAAAATAGTTAAAGCAAATGCCCAGATTAAGATCTGTTTCTTATAATGATGTTGAGAAAAAACTCTTGGTCTTGGGATTAGATTATCCCATGATAATGAATTTGAACGTTGATAAACTTCATAAATTATGTAACCAATTGACAAACCCAGTGCATAAGGAGCAACACGACACCATGGTTTAATGTAGACATTCTGTAAATAGCCATTTGTTGTACTAGATAGATTGGATCTGAACATACGAATAAGTGAAGAGATTTAAGAAAAAATGGTCTATCTTTCATACCTATCAGAGTAGAAATCGCTTAGAAAACCATACTCGTAATCATTGTTTGATACTATAACCGCTGTAGTGACGAGATCAACGATGATCAAAGCAACGGAAACAAGCATTCCAAAAAGCCATTTCCTAAAAGACTTTCTTTCGTATTTGACAATGATCATTTGAACGAATCATACCAAGACACAATTAACAGAAATAATGGTGCAATCCAGTGGAATTGCATATTCACTGCTAAGAACCATGTCACCTAAATTATATAATTTCCTCTATCACTCTCATATCTCATTCAGCATCTTGGTCATCCTACTGGCATACAACTGTGTTGCAATTCAAAAAAATTATTAATATAAAGTAAATTACGCCACCACGTTTGTCGACACGATGCTGATTCAATCCCATCCGTAGGATACATCGGTCCATCTTGACCCAAGTATGGCGAAAGAGTAATATAAATAAGCAAAATGATCCCATACAAAACTGTATATCTGCAACTCGACATGGCATAGTTGTCTAGTGATCATAATGAATAACTTCTTACCTTAAATAGTGATGAACATAGTGATTGAGAATAAATTTAACGAGAGAGAAGCGTTCAGTTTCCACTTTCGAAATGAAATATGTAAAAGATGTTAGTAAACCACTAGAAAAGCAGGCAAAGAATGTTCGCAAGGAGAGAGAGTATCATCAACTTACCTTAATACGAAGAATGAATCAATACTGAAGAATGTTTGAACAATTATTTGAAACCACAATTTGCGAGACCAATTGAAGATTGTCAGTAGATTATCTATCGAACCAAATGAATTGTTTTTTGTCTGTTCTAAGTTTGCTTTTACTTACCGGAATAATAAGCAGCAAAAATGATCGTATGTCCAAGAACAATCCAACAAAGTGAAAGTACACGAATTCCATTAAGACAAGCTAATTTCTGTGGATAGCTGTTGTACTTCAAGATTTGATAATTATTGATCAATGAGCAACAGTTGATCAGATTTTGTGCAACTATTTATAAAAAAACAGAAAGCTTAAATAGTACCCAATCTTCTCGAAAGGAGTTGTACCTGAATCTAGACGTCCGTTGGATGTAGTAACTAATGGTGCGACTTCATCTGGTGATGTTGATTGATTATACTCATCCGTGCGATGATCACTCGAAGATGGATTGTCTGTTGTTATTATAGTTCGACTTAATAATGTTTCAGTAGCGGGTGTTGATGTTAAATCATTTTTCTTCATATTCGGTTTATTTCCATACATCACATGCAGACCTGTTGCAAGAAGAATGAGAAAAACGATGACTGAAATAAGCACACTACATGACAAAAGAAAATAGTCTGAGAAATCTCATTTGTTATGAAGATATTCTTTATACATTGTCGAAAGTGCTGATGTATCAAGATGACGATAGTCGACACAGTGCACACTATCATTTGTCAAATTGATCAAATTCTTGATTGATGGAATTTTAATAATACCTAAACAATCATCTACTGAAATATACTTGTTAAACTTATTTTACATACGTTGATTAATGAAATCAACAATATCATTGACATTGCAGCTTTGTGGTATACAGATACCATAAACTGGTCGAATCGTTGTTGATATACCATTACCGATCGTGCATGTACGTGTTTTAAACGGTTGTGCAATTACAGTATTGTTGAAACCGCGTAAATGATGTTGACATTCATAAACTGAACCGATCCAATAGATATTTCCATGCATTAAGCCACTGGGTAGTTTTCCCCATGCATCCAAAGCTGAAAGAGGCAATTCAACAATGAAATGATACATATATGGACTCTAGTTACTTTTTAATGCCCAGATTTTTCTTGAAAGGAAATCGATGGAAAGTGTTTGCAGATCTCGAGTACAATTTGATCGATTAATACCGAATGTTGAATCGATTTGAATGAAAGAAACGGTTGTATTGAATACAAGATTTGAATCAATCATATTTTCTTTGATATAACGTATATTTGTCATCAGACTTGGAATGAGATTAATAAAGGATAAAGGCGGCCGGTCAGCTTTGACTTTGTATAACAAAAGTAGAAAAATAAACCCGAAAAACTTCATTTTGATTTTATCTACAATAGATTCATTTCTTCATTTACAAATTTTCATGGTCAATATTATGTATCGTTGTCTTTCTAAACAACTTTGTTCAGTGTTCATCAACTTGTGCACAAAAGCCGTATTAGCAAAAACATGAGATTGTAATCAAACGTACCAAATTCGGAGAACAATTTCACTTGGTTAGAAGTGTTATTTTATTTACAAGAATCAGTCATTCTACTGGATGGTACGTTGTCCTGATTCAAATTGTAAAAGGATATGCTGTTACTTGAAACTTCTTGTGCATACATACATCTTTTTTTCTTTTCCTTCCTTCGACAAATACATCTCGATCTGTCACTTTCTTTCGTCGATAAAAATTTTTCGTGACATTGAAAATGCAAAAAAAGATTATTAACCAAGTAGAGAGTATTGCTTCTGTATTACTCATTCGTTTCTATGCAGCTTTCACGGACATATCCAGCAGAACAGCAATGTTTAAGATCAACTACATCGGGTAAGCTCTTTTGTGATGGAAAAGAACAAACAAAAAAGAGTCTCGTACAGTAGAACAAGAAAAAGAACAATGAGAATGTTATTTCTATTCCTAGCGATATTATGATGATAAACGAGAGTTATTCCTTCTAGCACAATATACTGACGTCGGTCGCAACTCATGCTGTTATCGTTTACTTCACCGTCGTCATTATTGCCGACGAATGTTCGCGTTAAACCATTGTTCATTTCGAACTTGTCTTGTGATTATCGTCTTATGTTCGTTCATTGTTTATTATCATTCTTGGAGACAAACGAATTTACTTGATATCAGTCGTCAACCGTCGAAATCCGTTAGAATACTCTATCTTGTTCGAACAAGCGCGCGTTTCTATGAAAAACGTCTGACGTATCTCTTAGAGACATGGATAGCATTAGTCAAATCAGATACGTTCTTCGTTACGGATACCCCTCTACCCAATATAGAGCAAGATCATATGATTCTAACGAAAGAAACATGTGGCTTAGATGCTCATACAATGGGTAATCTATGCTGCAAAACCGCGCATGACTTTCAACTCTATCGGCGACATATTTCGACATACGACTGGTTCTGCCATTTCGATGACGATCAATACGTTAATGTAGATAACTTACAAAACTATTTGTCAACTCTGAATTTCAATACACCCTATTACATTGGACGTAACTCATGGCCTAGTACACTTAAACGGACTAAACATCCCTATCCTACTCCATTCTGGTTCGCTACATTAGGTGCTGGTGTGTGTCTTTCAAAACGCACGATTGAACTTCTTAATCCTCATGTACAAAATGTTTCGCAATATGTTGATGGTTGCATACGAGAGAATTATCACGATGACATCTATCTAGGTTTTCTCTTACATGCTTATCTGAAAATACCCTTAACGAAAAATGAACATTTCCATTCCCACATCGAGAAAACATTTTATAGCAATCAACAGCTATTTCTGCATACGTTTAGAGATGAAATTACATTTGGTTTTCGTGCTGATAAGCGTTATCCTTATTTTCTTCCACAAATCGATAAATCTAATCTCGATCCACTTCGTATACGTGCACTGCATTGTCTACTCTACACACATTTGAAAGAATGTCAAAGAAAACTTCAACAACATCTTTTTAATTCAACTGAATAGAACAAAACAAATACAAAAGTTTATTTTTTACTCGCCGTCGTTGGTTTGACAGCTGCTGCTGCTGGTGGCGGAGGAGCTGGAACAACTTTCGGTGGCGCCGGTGCTGGTGCCGGTTTCGGTTTGTAAGTTGACGCAGGTTTCGGTGCTGCTGGTGGCGCTGATGTTTTAACAGTACCTGTATGAACTGTTTCATTCAAGACATTGATTTTCTCATTGAAAAATGTTCGAAACCAATTGATATGATCGAGTTTTTGCTTAGCTGTCCAGTAAGGATTGCGACCAAGGCCCACACAGACAAGTTCCATAAACTGTCGAATGAGTGGAGAAGGTGGAAAATCATGTAGATGACGTTCTAATAAAACGTGCTCATAAAACGGAACATCAGCTTCGGCACCGACATCTGTAAAAGAAGAGGAAATGATAGATTTGCTTTTCTAAATAAACAAACCTTGCTCATTATCAACTGGAAACTTCCAAAGAATGCCATCTTTTGTCCATTGAATCATTTCTTCAAAAGCGTTTCTTGGCGGGATCGATGATATTCTTGTTAATTCGTCTTGCTCGTATTTATCCCACATAGCAGAAATTTTCGAAGTTGGAACTAGAAAATATTGCACTGTGAGACTTGAATTTTTCTCTATGAATGGTCAATAGATACCGTTTGGAGTAAATATACCTAGTGGTTCACCACTCCATAATTGGTACGGCCTTGCGAAACAAGGAAAAACACAATTAGACGATGAATATGAAGTCAACTTACTTCATAAATTCTTGCCGCCGTCTATTATCTCGCATTGGTCTTCGCGATTCACTGCCATCTCGTTTCTGTTCACGATTATCACTGAATCGTGGCTGGACTTTCGATCCATCAATAGCTATTTTCGAAAGAAAAACAAAATACCAGATAACATGACGTATATGTATAAACAGAATACCATCACGGATGAAATCATTCTCCAATGTTGTTCTTGATGTACTACGAGTTGGATTGAGTTTGATATCGCGTAGTAAAGCTCTATAAAAGAGAAAAGTTCTTCTCAAACAATCATTGTACTCGACTTACGAAAAAGCTTCGGTTGTTTTTTCAGTATTAGTGTTGGATGTTGGACGAGTTCGTTTTCTTGCGGGTGATCTATCTCGTTCTGAATATTCTTTCTCTGACGGATGTTCAATATGTTTATCCATTCGTTGTGCATTCTTGCTGACAACATGATGACCGCGTAGAACGTCGAGAAGTTCTTGTTCAATATTACTACCCCCATCCGGTGTAGTCGGTGGAGTAAGAAAATCGGCCACTTGACGAGTTAAAATCTTCACCTCGTCCGATTCTGTATCGAGAATGACTTGTGGATGAGATTTTCTACAATGAATATCCACGCAAATCGAGTTGTGCATAAAAGGAGTTTTAGCATACTTTTGACTTTGACCGTCCTGCTTTCCTTCATGTTTGTATTTTTTCTCCGTTGTGTTAAATGGCTTAGCAAAGTTCACTTTGTTATTCGATGGTGAACGAGTTCGATCTCCAACGAATTTCTTTCGTTGATTCGAATTTTTCACGTTCAAAGTTCGCAGAACATCGTCCGATCGACTTTCATCTTGAAAGGTAGAAGAAAACATACACAAATACGAATGGCATAGAAGATGTCTTACTCGCACTCGACTGTTTCTTCTCTATCCGATTATCATTTGTGAACGGCTTTTTAGTTTTAGGTGCGTTTTTAGGCTTTTCGATGTTCTTGCGTTCTTCATTCGAAGGCGGTATCGACTGAAAGTCATCTCCATTGCTTGATTTGAATCGATATTGATACGATGAAAGTGGATATAGATATTGATAGACGATCGACACACGTCGTAAGGTTAACATAAGTATTCTAAAAAAAAACGACGGTTCATGGGTTAGACTTTGTTCTGGTTGAGAAAATATAGGTTTGAAGAAAAAAAGCACGTGAGACATAAAATTAAATGTAAACAAAGACACGAAACGAAACAAAATACTGTCCGAACATATGAGAAGTGTAGAGACTTGTCAGTGACTAGTGAGAGAAAGAAAAGAAATAAGGATTATTATTTGAAATTAGTTAAACAAAAACACAAATAGAAGTGACTATTTCTATTCATTAGACTAGATTGAAATAAGGTATAAAAGAGATTATGATGATTCTTTAATACGTCTGCAAATCTCTGCAGTATACTCCGAACATTTTGATTTACCGCCCAAATCGCCAGTGAGTACCTAAAAATCAACGATACCATGCGAATTATGTTCAACAATTAGATATCAATAGAGATTTCTATACCTTTCCTTCTTTGATCGTGTCAAAACAAGCTTTCTCAATTCGATCTGCTTTATCAACCATTTGCAAATGACGTAACATCATAACAGAACTGAGAAGTAATGCAGTTGGATTGGCTTTATCTTGGCCGGCAATATCCGGTGCAGTACCATGAACAGCTTCGAAAATAGCTGCACCCTCTTCGCCAATATTTCCACTAGGAGTCAACCCTAGACCACCAATTAAGCCAGCACAAAGATCACTGAGAATGTCACCATATAAATTCGGCATGACAAGACAATCGAATTGTGTTGGATCTTGAACCATCTGTACGCGAAATATCAATGAGTAGTGTACGTATTTGCAAATTCAAACAAACCTTTAAACAGACGGTATCCAAATACATTTCTTCGAATTTTATTTCCGGGTATTTTTCAGCCACGTCACGTGCATTTTTGAGAAACAGACCATCGGACAAACGCCTGAAATATTGTTTTTATATCGAATTAAGCTATGTTACAATTGCTTACATTATATTTGCTTTATGAACGACAGTAACTTTCTCGCGTTTATTCTGTTTCGCATACAGAAATGCATATTCACAAACACGTAAAGATGCATGTTCAGTAATAAGTTTAATACTTTGAACGACGCCTGGTACAATTGTGTGTTCAATACCTGAGTATTCGCCTTCGGTATTTTCACGAATGGTTACCAGATCGACATTTGTATATGGTGTGTTATAACCTTGATAGTTACAAAATCTTGATCATTTCGCAAGTAGATTTAAGAGAAAATATTACCTTCGAGAGTTTTACATGGTCGAACATTGGCAAACAGATTAAATTGTTTTCGTAAAGCAAGATTAAGTGATTGATGTCCTTTGCCAACAGCTAGATTAAACAGATGAACCTTTTGTTTTCTATTTTCAAAATCTTCTTCGATATTACGTGTTGCCAATGGTCCTTTAAGTCCAATTCGATTTTTTGTTACCGATTCAATAGCTCGCGCAGGAATTCGAAATTTACCATCAGCCTAAACAGAAAATCATCGATGTTTAGAAGGAAAATTTCTCCACAGAAAGTGTTTTATTTACAGATTTAACGGGTGTAACATCAACAGATTCCCAATTTAATGGCACTTCTGCGGCTTCGAAGATCCTTTGAACACTATTTGAAATTTCCGGACCAATACCATCACCTAATTTCATTTCAGTCAGGAAAAGATGATATTGATTCTCAATTACAATTGCTCTGTACCTGGGATTAGGGTGACGGTTCGTTGAGTATCCGATGAAGGAGTCGTAGTATTCGCATCCGTGAAGAGTGGCAAACTCGTGCTGAAGCTTCGTCCATGATAAATAGATGTTGGTGGACGACATTTTATAGCCAGACGGCGTAATACTACAGATGACATTCTACTTTTGATACTCACTGGCAGAATTAACTCTAAAAATGAAAATCGATGAATTAGACGACAAATAACAACATCTCGTAACATGCCGCTACTATTTTTCTCGCGACTGTAAATTACTGCAAATGAGTTATCGAACGAATCATAAATGTGTATAGTAGATGTCGTTAGTAAGTGTCAAGGATAGACAATGATCCTAATACTGGATAAATCATATTATGATCGAGTGAAGTCAAAAATAGACTACTATACTTCTTTGTCTTTAACAAATCTTCTTTCATGTTATGAACTGACGACGAACACGAATACAACGATAAGAGAACGATCCGATCAGATACGATACAGTTGTAATCAAAGGCTACCAGGATATCTCTTCTCGTATTGACCCATAGAGTTTTACAGAATTAAATCTTGAGAAAAAGTTCCCAATGACTTGTTCGTAGTATTCACATGGCGAATGAAATTTCGTACGAGTGGGATAAAATACGTAACATTCTTTTCTTTTATTTGATTCTATTATTTATATTTCATTTCCATAAAAGGACATAGAAAGCGATGTGAATTAGTCAAGAAAGTTTCGAGAAATTTTCTTTGCGTTCAGTGAAACAAATTACTCTATGTCGTCCGAATAACGTCGTCGGTACATTAAGGTTATTCACATTTCAAAATGTGATAGTTCTTCTGCATTGCGCACGTGGATGAATAATTTCTCTTAGGTTTTTCTTTTTCTGTTCTTTCTTTTGCTTCAAAATATGAATGATTCACTGCGATGACGCAATAAAATTCAATGTAGATCTTTCGACATCAGCAGCATTCAGAAGCAATAAAACTTCTCAGTGATCACCTTACTGTCAAAACAACATGTCAACACACGAGACAGAGTTTCATCTCGATGATGTCCTCGCTCGTTTACTTAAAGGTAACATTGCATTATATGAACGCATGAGAGTTGTTTCTTTTTAACTTTATAGCACGCGACTATGAACCGGGAAAACTAGTTGATATTAGTGAAGATGAAATACATCAGTTATGCTCAAAGGCGCGCGAAATCTTCCTTCAACAACCAGTTTTATTACAACTTGGCACACCAGTAAAAATTTGTGGTATGTAAATGACGACAAACTCTTCTCCTGAGTTATATTTCTTATCACAGGTGATATTCATGGTCAATATACTGATCTATTACGAATATTCGAATGTTGTGGTTATCCACCAAGTTCGAATTATTTACTTCTTGGTGATTATGTTGATCGTGGCAAACAATCCATAGAAACGATTTGTCTATTGTTTGCCTATAAGGTAAGATAGGCAATCCCACAGTTTGAATGTGAGAGAGAGAATGTGTTGATTTAGATAAAATATCCTGAAAATTTTTTTCTTCTTCGCGGAAATCACGAATGTGCGGCAATTAATCGAATTTATGGATTCTATGATGAGTGTAAGACATTCTCGGAGAGAAGAACAATCTCAATATAGTTTTATTTAATTCAGGTAAACGTCGATACAGTGTGGAATTGTGGAATTTACTCAATGATTGTTTCAATTGTTTACCTATCGTAGCCATTGTCGATGACAAGATCTTTTGTTGCCATGGAGGTAAATTCATTCAGTGAATGATCAATTTGTCAAATAAATTTCTTCAATAATATTCGAATAGGTTTATCTCCTGATCTTCACAAAATAGAACAAATACAACGAATTATCCGTCCAGTCGAAGTACCTGATACAGGCTTATTGTGCGATTTACTATGGTATGATGTTTTCGTTTGTGTGTTTGTTTTTTCATCTGCTTTTGATGATTACATTTGATAGGTCGAGACCGGGTGTTGATATCGAAGGTTGGGTTGAATGTGAGCGTGGTGTGTCATTCAGATTCGGTGCTGATATTGTGCAACAAGTATAAACATTAATCTTCGCTAAAAAAAATCACTTTCTAGTATTTTAGTTTCTCGCAGATAACCAGTTTGAATTAATATGTCGATCACATGATGTAAAGAATAATTCGTATTGCACTCGTTTCACTTCTTTGTTGATCAATTTAGGTCCTGGATGATGGCTACGAATTCTTTGCTGATCATCAACTAGTAACAATATTCTCAGCAGCGAACTACTGCGGTCAATTCAATAATGCTGGTGGAATCATGTCTGTCGATAAGTCACTAAAGTGTTCCTTCGTGGTAACTTATTTTTTTAAATTTCTATTTCATTCTCTAACCGAAAGTTACTTGTTCAGATTTTAAAACCATCTACAACAAAAGTTCAACATTGACGTTTTGGAATTGAGCATTCAATCTAAACAAGAAAGAAGAAAAGGAGTTTGTTCAAATATTCTTCGTTATTTTCAATGTCCGATAAAATTTCTGTGTGTCTCTCATGCTGTCTGATAGTATGAGAGAGAAGTTTGTCTGTTGAGTAAATTCTGTACAAATTTTGTTCGGATCTGTATGTCACACATATTGAAACAAAATCAATCTGATCTTTTCTTCTGATATATTCTCGAAAATTTTAGCGAAAAGGTAACTCGTTCTATATGCACCTGCGATGTAGATTATACTGTACAATATACATTCTGTTATTTCCGAGTATTTCTATCTGAAAGTATAATTGTTTTTGGTTGTATACTAAACTATACCAAAAATGGCGTTGAAATGAAGCTAATTCTTGATCCGATGGTATCGTTATATAACATGGAGGACTATTTTGACTATTAACGCAATATCAACATGCCTTAGCTTTCAAGCTCAGTGTTTCAATAACAATGAGGTGTAAATGAAGCATGCTGCTCTACGAATTTGTGCACTAATAACTTTTAAAATTTACTTTGTATGTTGGTACGAAAGATGCTATACTCTCTTTAACTTTCTGTTATGATAGATGTCTCTACAATCGTTGACTAGTCCATATTGTAATACTGATGGTCTGCTAGGCGACTTGACCTCTCTAGTTCATGAGTCATGGTGGATGTGAACATAAGACTGTTGAATTCAATTTCTGTAGTTTAACAACCATGAACAGCAATTCTTGGCAACATCCATATGTGAATATATTCAAACATTTTGACATAAATTCAGCCAAGAAATGTATCAAACAAGGAGATGTTTCATCCGTTATGGTAGAATAAATCTCTTTTCTTTGAATAGAAAGAATTTTCTTCGTTTTATTATTAGGATCGCGATATCAAATCGACTGTTTATCGAATACGTGGTTTAGTACCAGCAAATAATTATATTCAATTTCCGTCTCAATCACCAACTCAAAATCTCTCACTAACCGGTCGTCTATTTTATATATTATTTCGACCAATTTTCAATAAATACTTCTGTATACATATTGACATTCTCACACATGAACAGCATCTCATACGTATATCGTTATCGAATCTCTATCGTGAATTCAAAGTTACACAAACATCAATACAATTTCCATACATGACGACCGGCACTGACGTTCACTGGTCAGTGTTATGTTTAGATTTACATGTTATTCTATTGACATATATGGCCAATGAACATTATCATATGATTAAGTCCTTCCAATTATGTGGAAATCTATTTGTGAAAAATTGTTTTACTTCTCAATTTCTGTACGAACCAGGTATCGATAACGATACAGCAAAACGAAGTGGTTTAGTTCGGGCTGGTATACATTCATTGCCGCGGGAATTATCGTATCCGATTGAGAAAGGTGAATCTTGGCATGATAAATACGATTTCATCATGTTTCCGAACACCTCGTCTTTGATGGGGAAAAGTCCAAGTGAACCATTTGATAAGGTTGGCAATGTACGCTTACCAACGCCAAGAAAATTGCATACTACAGAAGACAATGTCGAGGAGATCGAAAACGATGGTATGATACCATTGACTGTGCAAACGACTGTCGTCAATGGACAAATCAAAAGATCATTAACTGATTTTGCACAAATTACACAAAGATCTGCATCGCCAAAAGACAATCAAGTATGTTGTCTTCGATTATCATACTACTAAAGTCTCATCTCATCTTTTTTTATCTAGCTCAATTGGCGGGCATATCATAATTCAACGGAATATTTCTCCACCTTACCTAATCTCAGTGATTGTACTCCGGCATCAGATCAGAATCATCACGATGGCGTTCATCTATTTGTCAATCCACAAAAGATTCCATCGTCAGCATCGATTGTCGATGATTCGAGTTATGATCTAGCTTTAACAGCGAATCATTCACATCAAACTACGCTTTTGCCTGACCCAATCCTTCGATTACGTACTTCCATTGGTCTAAGCTACGGAATCAGCAGTTTACTATGGACACATGATAACAATTACATTCTCTATCCATCGAATGCTGTCATCGTTCAGATGCACGTTGAAACACAGCAGCAGTGGTTTTTCATTGGACATACAAATAAAATAACTGCTATTGCATACAATGATCGTTTATCATTGTTAGCATCGATACAAACAGGAATGAATGGTGAGACTGAATAGCACATTTTCCAGTTTTCTTATCGGTTTCTTTTTGTATAGCTATCATTCGTCTATGGAAATTTGAAGCACGTCGTTGTATTCATGCTACTCGTGTTTTGAATACTCGTGATCTCTTCGCACTTGACTTCGGAAATATGAATTCATCGTCATATTTGATTGTTATTGGTCACGATGATCAATCTCGTACAGTTATTTGTGTTTACAATACTTCCAAAGGTTCAATCGACTTATTATCTCGAGCAACAACTGATGTGTCAATTACACATGTACGATTTCTTCCTAATCATTCCACAAGTTTCATTTCAATCGGTTTTGACAACATCCGCTTTTGGAGTATTACTAACGAAAATGACTTTAAATCGGTCAATATACCAATGAACAATCATGGACATTTCGAATACACTGATTTGCAATTCGATTATTTCACTAACAGTCAGATGAATGAAATCATTGTCTACATCGCAACGAAATCCGGTCATATTCTCGAAATCTTATACGATGAGAAACGCGTTATTCGCATCCATTCTCTCGTTGATCGATTAGCTATGAACAAAGGATCCACATTTTCTATTACGAAATTAACATGTACAAACCAGTTTTGTATAACAGGTTCCACTGATGGCTATATTCGAGTTTGGTCAACAGATTTCTCCCAAGTCTATATTGAAGCCAAATATGATCAGGCGATTGGCGACTTAGCATGTTCAACCGATCAAACGCGTATTGTAATTTTAACACAATCCAGTTCGATGAGTGTGCTGAATCTTGTTACCAAAGCACCTTTGAGCTTGCTTCGAGCACATACGAAATGTATCCTCGATATTGATTATGATCATACGAGAAAGCAACTGATCAGTGTCGGTGAAGATGGAACAATACGAATTTGGTGTTTTCGTACGGGGAAACAGTTATCTGAGTTTACTTCCGAAAAAGAAATACCGACAGTTGTCGCTTACACGCCCGATCGACAGATGTTTGCCTGTGGATTCAATAATGGAACAATCAAGATCTTCGATCTGAATACATCAATGATAACAAACGAAACAAAGTAAGAGTATAGACTCTCTATTCAGAACAATATGGATGATTCTTCATTTTAGACATCATTCCGCTAGTGTTACTGGTCTTCTCTATTCATCTGATGGATTGTACTTAGTAAGTTGTGACGAAGGAGGCGATCTATGTTTGTCTGATGCCAACAATAATTATAAACTACTAAAAGCAATTGATAAAGCTTTGGCCATTTCAAATAAGAGCTCAGTACTACTTTCGACTAACTCCGATGGAAAATATACTGTTTACATTGGTCCAACACAATACATTGTTACAACCATTGAAACTAATACTTTGAATCAATTGTTACGTATCGACATTAGTAGTTGTACATTTCTTACAGCCGATCAACGAACAATCACATCGGCAGAATCAGGTTTATTTGCACGTTTCACACCTAATCGTCAACTTCTAGTGGCAACAACAAATTTCAAACTACTTATATTCGATTGTTATACTGGACAGTTATTAAATATCGTAAGTTCCCTCATTCCACTACGTTTTGTATGCATTCCTACCTTCTAGATCGAAAATGTACATCAACAATCCATTGACTGCTTGGCTGTTTCATCGGATAGTCAATATCTTATCACTGGTGGTGATAACATCTTAAAATTTTGGAATATTAATATGGAATTAGATAAAAATTATCAAGTAAACTTTCTTCTACAAGATAATAAACATCTTCACAAAATTCCTTTTAGAATTTTGTTGGCCATTCAAATCGCTTACGAAAGATTCTCTTTACAGACGATAATATGCAAGTGATCAGTATTGATGATTCGATATTGATTTGGGATGTACTTGCTTGGGGTGCTACACAACCTACGATGCCAAAGTAGAAAAACTTCAAAAGAATGAAATATGTCGAAATATTTCGTTTGTAGTGATGCACAATGTATTGTTCCTCCACAGTCTGTTATGTCAAAAAGTGAATAGAATAAAATTCTCAAAAATTACAAATCAACGTTCTCTTTTAAAGTTCTAGAAAAGACAGCAGTACAGGCAAAACCGATCCGGCGAGGAATACTTCGTAATTCTCAACCAACAAGTGAACAAACGACAGCTCGTGCCATAACACGTTCGTTATCAACGCCGGAGATTGATGAAACAGTTGTCATCACTCATGGAGAAAAGTAATTCGATTATCTCTTTTTAAAAACGTTGTATGATGTCTCGATCATAGGAAAACAAATAAGAAACAGTTGTTAAATAAACAGTTTTACGAGGACGAATCGCTTGTCCCATCTTCTATCCGACGCCATTTCGTATCACGAATGAATCATTCGCAGTTAGCCAAAGTAATTCAATCGATTTCTCGATGCAAACTAGTTGATTTTGTCTTCAATATTATAGAAACGATATGTTGCTGCAACGAATGAGGAGAGTCTGAAACTTCAGTCTATTATTGGTTATAATGGTAACGGAAGGGAGAATCTCGTCTGGTACCCACATACCAGTTTCTTTGCTTATACAGTTGGTTGTAATATTATCGTTGAAGATCTGACAACTAATCAGCAAACTATTCTAACAGGTATCTTATCTTTTGGAATTGCTAATATACCTTCAACCGCTCCGATTTGCACAGGACATACGGAAGAAATATCCACAATGGCTCTTTCAAACGATGGAAGAATCTTAGCAAGTGCTCAATGTGCAATACTAACGAAGAACGAAGATAAAATCAAATCGAAAGTTATCATTTGGGATACGCATAAACTTCATCAAAAGTGTTCTTTTTATCAATCCGTTCACGCAATCCAAGTCATGGCATATTCAAAGTAAACCAAATCGAAAAGATTTCTCTGTGTCACATTATATGAATATTTAGAAATGATCAATACTTGATTACGATTGGAAATTATCGAAAACCAACAGTTACTATTTGGTCAACTCAAAACTATTCTCATCTGCTCGACTGGCAAGATGATTTTTCCGTATCGTATATCAATTGTCTCACGTGGAATCCGATTCGTCTAAATGAATTTTGTATCGGCGGTTCCCAGAGTACTATTCGTGTTTGTTCCATCAATGAACAAACAGATGCGGATGATATCAGCTTACAAGTGGTTAATGGCACTATTCCAATTATTTTAAATGAACAAACACAAAAATCCTGTGAAATAACAGCGTGTACTTACGTAGCATCGACAATAAATCTTGTGTTATGTGCCACAAACCATGGATTTATTACTTGTTGGAACAGTCGATTGTGTCTGTGTGTTCTTCACTGGAAAGCGGACTCCAGTGAAATATCGTACATAGCGTCGATCAAAGATCAACTGTTGACTGGATCATCGACTGGTTGTTTAAAGCTATGGAATATAGAAAATCTCGAAAAGAATTTAGGACACTCAAATACTACGGATTCGTGAGTATTTTCTTCTTCAAATTTCTCATTTTCATGAAATAAAGTATTGTTTTCCTGTAGCAATTATGGATTAACTATTAAAGATGAATTCCAGTTAGATGATGGAATTGTAAGTGGAACATTTGACAATGTATTCGACATGGGTATTGTGGGAACATTATGTGGATCACTATGGTACATATGTTGGAGAACAGATAAATCGAAAACACGTCTAGTCACCTCACATACGGACCAAATAACCGGTCTGATCTCTATCGACAATAATCATATTGCCACCAGTAGCGTCGATGGCACGATACGGATCTTTCAACTAGATGATCGCAACGAAGTTCTTCGGTTCAATATCAATGGATTGGTATATTCTGACTTATTTTGCACACTTTCTATTTCTATCGACCACTTTTTAGAAAGTGACTTGTTTGACGTCATGGAACAATTCTACTGTCATGAAATCGAATGAACTTCGTTTAACAAGTGTGATGAAGAATATCAACTCATCAGTTCGATCCATTGTTGCTGGATATGATGATGGCACATTGAGAATCTTCGATCTTGTACACGAACAGATGACCTTAAAGCTACAAGCACACACATCTTCCATTACTGCACTCCATATTCCTTATCATAGTTCGTATTCCATAACCAAGAAATCGACTTTTCTTCAGAATGTTCTATGTTACATTTCTTTTCAGGTAATATTAGTATCTCTGGTGCATCGGATGGTTCAGTAGCAATATTTAATCTGGTTCAAGGACTTCTATTACGTGTACTCAACGACCATCGTGATTCAGCATCCATCTGTAATATTGATTCCAAGAAATTATTCGAAAATAGTTCTTATCTATGGCTCATTACTAGCCGTGATCGACGTGTTAGTTTATGGAGCTCAAATTCAGAATTTCAGACTTGTACATTAATGGATTGGCTGACATTTTCTGCTCCTAGTTCATTCAATGATCGTCAATTATTGCCTCCTAGCTTGGCACGTTTTATTGATACTAATTCAATCATGTACACTGGTTACGGTCTAGAAAAATGTCTGCAAATCTACAAAATTGATGCTAGACAAATCACTCGAACGATCTCATTAAATCAATGGTGTTCGTCTTTCGACTTATCGGATAGAAAAAACACGAATCGTTTTATTGCACTTGGCACCAGTGGTCGTTTAGTTCAACTGAAAGATTATATTCAGGAAACATTTCAAGATTTTCTTGGTCATAACGATGTCATATCAAATATAACATTTAACAAATCCAATGATTTACTAATCAGTATATCGTCGAATGAAATCTTTGTTTGGAAAGTAGTTTTGAACTAAATTAGGCTATGAGAAGAAATAAACAATGCTTCATTGTTGTTGATGTTTCGGTTTTTTTTATATTAACATAAAATAGAAAAATGAAAATATTTAACTTTCAATTTTATTTCCTGTTTGAGACAAATGTCGGACAATATCCACCCAATCATGGCCACGAGGCTTTTGTCCCTCTTCGCCGACCACTCGATTATTCCATTGACGCCGTTTTTGTGCTTTACTCAATTGCTCTTTTTTCACAGTCGGGACAGGCGGAGTGGCAGTCACCGCCGTTGTCGTTGTTGGTAGTGTTACCGATGCACTCGATATCTTCGAATGAATAAGAAAGGCGTTAACGTTTCAGTTGAGCGGACACCTGACTTACGAGAGTATTCTGAAAAACATCACCATCGAACGAGAAATCTTTGATACTTTCAAATAAAGTATATGTCATTGGCATGCCTAGTTGTTCGTTAGCCTAAAAGCATCTTGGAAAGTTACGAATCGAGACGAGTTTCAAATCATACATCGGCTGTCAATTTTTCTATCAATTTCGTTTTGAATTCATTGGTTCTGAAAGTATAAAACTTAGATGAATCGTTTCGCCACACATTTCACTCACAGCAACCGATTACTGAACAAATCAAGATTGAATGTAGGTATGACATCTGGATAATTATCGGGCCAATGAATTTCCACGATGTAAAAACGGTCATTATCAACGATAATCTTGAATGGGAAAGTGAGAGAAGGATGTGCAATGGAATCTGGTTTGACTTTTATCAAACCTACGTCGGAAAGCTCACTTTGTACTGAAAAGTGGTATCATTCACAACAGTAAAATTCGGATCGGATTCATAGATTGATTTGAGCACTTCGCGTTCTTCCTAAGGACAAAAGAACTAATTAAAACCAGCATTTGAATTAATTGAATAATAAATTACTTCGTTCATTTTCGTTGAAAACAGGCGCTGTCGATCCGCAAACCTTAGTACTCTTTCCTAATCATTACCATCGTCGGTCGGTCGATCGATCGGGAGACGATTTGCAATAGGCGAAAGAAACACCAATGCGAATGAATATATGATGGATGGCGCACGTTGTTGTATGCATGTAGAACGTTATAAACGCGAAATAATACCATTCAACAACTATCTTTATTGTTTATTGGCATGAACTAGAAGGTCTGCCTACGTCTTAGGTTATCGGCATATTGAATTTTCAATTATAAATTCTTCGTAGTTATTGTTCACATAGTCACGTAAATTTAATTTTCTACTTTTTCTCATTTAGCTGTCAGCAAACCACAAGATGTAGACCATGCTGCCTTTTGTAATTAATATGCAACTACGCACAGATCAAATGACATTGACGTGATGAACAAGAAAAGACGACGTTACAAGAGTGTCGTGTGTAGGAGGAAATGTCTTTTTTTCTCTTCTTCTAAAATATCTTTACATTTAATTCTCCGCCCATATTTTATTTTCACTACGCAATCGGAACATCATCGTACGTTCAAGTGTAGAGACGCTAAAGCAACTAAAACTATGCGTGTTATTTATCATCATATCTCTAAACGTTTCTTTTTTTTTCTATTTAAATATGTTATGACTTACCATGATATAAAACGTATTTCGAACATTTTTTTTAGAACTTATCATGTGTTCACAAATCTGTCTTTTTCTTATTGTCCTTCTCGTGCTGACTACTGTTCATGGTTCGAACTATATGAGTCCGTTGACAGAAACTGAATGTAAAACTTGTGAGTATGAATTGATTTCTTGCATTGGAATCGATCGACTTCGTTTGTTTAGATTTAGCATCGAACGATTTGAACAAACAACTTCAGGCTCTTTTTCTCTGTCCAAAAAAGTGGCGAATGAAAGTCTTAATGCGGTCTTCTCGTCAAGTACACAAGTCATTGCCTATTCGTCACGGAAATATCTTCGAATAAATCATTCAGGTTATCACTGGAAATACGCTTTCTCTTGTGAATATTGTTTCTCACATAAATAAAGTCAAATTAAATAACATACACATTTCAGTCTCGAATCTTTTACGTTTGATGGTAACGACATAAATAAAGAAGAAAAGAATGTAATATGTGTTTGTCTGTCAGATATGAAGAATCAAATAATACCGACAAAACTATGTTGAATTTTCAGGCACTGCGTAATATGAGATAAATTACAAGGAACCATACGACATTGTATTTGATGTCCGACAGAAACAGAAACATCAAATCCATTCATCATCCGATGTGAAAATATTAATGATAATTGAGAATTTCTATACAACATAGATAGATTGACAAGTTCATTCGTGCTACAACAAAATAGAATGTATCCTTGTTTGCATCATGATAATCTCAAGAGATAATTCAATCGTTATGAATGGGGATGTTTCTGTGAAAAGTTTTCTAAATCGTTTTTTATTAAAATATCCGGAAAATTTCCAACAAATTGTTCCTTTCATTTTCATACAAATGATTCTAATGGGCAAATAAGTTTTTTTTCTTTTCCAAGTCATTTATCTTATGCGCATTTATCGCTTCTGCTTCCTCGCATATCACATTGAGAGAAAAATGGCATTTCAACAATGCACTTGCATTTAACTTCAGCGTAGAGTATAAATACGGCAGTTATCCTATATATTCAAGTCACTATATCAGATAATTAGGAACACTAGATTGCAATGTCGATTTGTTTGAAATTGTTTATCTTCGTAGTCCTGCTCGTAGTCACTGGTCATAGTTTACCAACATTATCAGAAAAGCAATGCAAAGATTGTAAGTGTAAATCCATTGAAATGCTCTCTTGTACGAGATAATTGTTTTTCATTAGATTTAGCATCGAACGATATAAATCAACAAATACAAGCTTTATTCTTATGTCCAGAAAAGTGGCGACAGAAAGTGAATAGAATAACTGGTCCAGTGATAAAACGATCTGTTCTAGAAGAAGAATATACAGACGAATTACCGGATGATTTCTATGTCTTCTGGTAGACGGAAAGCAAACATATTATATCTGTAGTTTAGATTACATCATGAATTGTATTGAAGCGAAGTTGTTTCTTTGTCGTCGTTTGAAAACATAAATAAACGTATGAATTCGAAAAAAGATTATCTCTCGTCTACAAATATCGATCTGCTTAATTGAATAGCCAATAATATATGTTAATAACATGTTTCAATGTCAGTAAACATGCATTCTTCCATTTCATGCGTATTGTTTGTTTGGCTACAAGCCAAGAAAAGGGTGAATGGGTGTGTTTCTACTACTGTCACGATGATACTCTCAGTGTTCCGTTGATTTGAAAATGTAAATAAAACTTTGACATATTTGTTGAAGAGGAATCTTCACAGCCTACGCTGATGTCTGTTGTTTTCATAGGATAATGAGACATCCAATAATATATATAGAGCACAAAAAAACAGAACAAAATGTTTGCGAAAAGAACATCGAATTTCGTTGAAGCATATCAATGAATCGGCCCATCGAAGGCGCAGCTATGTTGGAAATTAATATGGAAGAAGTCGAGCAAAGGTATGGTAAGGATTTTGAGAATCAAAGTTTGTACTTTGATGCTTGTATTATTTACATTTTCCCCTGAAACTTCTACGTGTTTCCCATGAATATTTGCCATACGTTTTACGTGTACTATATAAACCCAATGTCTAATATTTCTCCAAATTCAAGTAGTTTTGCTAGGAGAAAAGGTTATTTTACTCATATTTATCCAGGGAGATATTTTGATGAGTTCGACCGTAGTAGGATACGTTGGAAGTTACCAACAAAACGCCTTCATGCGTCTCTACATTACTCACATAAAAAGGTCGAGAAAAATTTCAAATCATCATTCTTTTTCATTATAGAATCTTTAGCTATGAAGATATTGATTCTTTCGATCCTTATATGCTATTTATTACTAATGTATAGTAACGATGTCGTTACTCGACCACTCGACTCATCAAAATGTGATAAATGTGAGTTAAGTAATCGAACTGTACTTTAGCTATTTAGTTTGACTTGGTTTTAGATAATAAAAAGGATGTTGTGCTTAAACTCTTTTTGATTTATCGAGATTTGGGTGTGAAACAAGGTCTCATATGTGCAGAGGCCGAATTCACGAAAGCAGGTCGATAAACATACAACAACGATGATTCAATATTAAAGTAATACAGATGACTGTAAAAGCTTGTTTATAAGTTGTGATTATTTGTATTTTATCAACATGAAATAAATTCTGTATTTTTCTGTCGTCTAATAATTGACGTATGTAAAAGTCGTAATATCGGCTCGTGCTATTTTGTTATCACTCATAGTCAAAACGTAGTGATTACTAACAAAATCATTATTCATCTCACGTGCTCTACCAAAATATGAAAGAAAAGATTCAGGTAAATAGCTTGTTGTTTTGTATCGTTGTGTATGATTCGATGAGATTAACTGCATTATACTCTTTAACTATTGCAGTTTTAGATAAGATAAAGATAAAATGAATCTTTTCAATTTCGGTCGTGAACAATTACAAAATGGCATGTTAAACAATATGCTTAGCCAAGCCGGTATCGATGATGTTGGATCGTTTGTACAACAGTTTCGTCAGGAAGCAGCTGTTCAAAGTCATCAAGGTGATGGTGGTGACGATGAAGATGAAGATACATCAATTCGACATGCATCGGGCCAACAAGCCAATTTATTTTCTATGGGAAGTTCGATGTTGAATCAGGTAGAGAAATGAATCATTTGTCTTAGTCAAAATTAAGTTCGAGTTTTTTGTTTTCGTGTAGTTTGCTGGCAATAAAGGTCAAGCAGGTGGTAATAATCCGCTTGATATGATTCAAGGCGCAATGAAAGCTTATCAAACGTTTTCCGGTGATCAAAGTGGCAGTATTAGCGGCGGTGGCAACTTTTTTGATAATATGAGTATGTTCTACACAACTAATTCACAGAAAGTAAAGATAACCATAATCATATTCTATTCATTTCAGACTCAACTTATCAAAATGCTCAAAAAATGTATGCTCTCTACAAACAATTTGATAAAAATGGCGATGGTAAAATAACTGTTGAAGATATTGAAATCTATTTAAAGGAAACAGGCCTTGGCTTTGTTTCGCCATGTGAGTAGTGATACAGGACGCTGTTATTCCTAAGTTAGATTGCTTCTTTTATTAAGACTTGGCACGAGCTCTATTTCAAGCAGTAGATCAAAATCATAATGGTACACTTGATTTCACTGATTTGATGGCATTGGTTACAATCCTAAATAAACTACAAGGTGAATTCGGTGGCGTCCACCAATAAATCTTACCAGTAGAGACTAAACAAAAACAATGCTTTGTTATTCGTTTTGCGAATATTTACCCCGCAAAAAAGGACGTTTATTCTATTATTAGTTTATACTTTGTCTAATAAATAACCTATATTCATCAATCGTCCCCCATCAAGGACTCATCGAGCATGTAGGTGTTTTCTTTTGTTTTGATGACAACGAAAGATACAGACGTGTATAATTTGTTTCATAAGTCAATACATATCTGTTGAATGAAGATGAAAAAACAGGTTGAGAGCATGAAGGTGGATCTAGTGACAATTCTGATGGTACAGTTCAAAAATGAACAGTTATGTGTAAAACTATTGAAGGTACTATTCAATTTAACTTTATGAAGAGTTTATTAAAAATATCAGTGAATGCTCATATTATACTACACATTCATAGTTCGATTAAATCTAGATGAGATACTTTCGGCTATTCACCGTCTATTTCCTGAATATATCCGAAAGATGACAATAAATAATTCTACTAATGTTACTTGACACCTATTGACTGGTCAAATTACTTCGCATCACCGTGTAAAAGATAGATATCATGGTTGTTATTTATTTTTCGATCACTTTTCTAATTCAACTAATTATACATTGTATACCACTCAGTGATTCGAGTGTTGGACACAGTCTGATGAATGTATATCTTTAGGTATTCTTAAATATGTGATATTCGATTGCTCGGACGATGGACACTTTCACCTCTCACAATGGCTTACAGGATTGTAGTTTGGCAAAGACACGGATCTGTGATGTTTCAGAATATATAAAGACTTTTAAGCACGAAACGGATGAACTGATTATAGAGGAATCTCAACATTCGAAAAGCACCTTGCCCATCCTAGTCTCTTACTGTTCTCATAGAAACAACAACAATGTAAATCAATAACTACAATAAATACCTTTCATTGACCTTCATCCTTCTGATCAATATAAATACTTCGGATTTGCATGTGTACATGCACGACATTTCTACGTGAGTAAGTAGTTATAAGTTGGAAAATAGAAAAATCTATTCAAGTGCATAATCATACACATGGGAAAGAATAATTACAATTGTGCAAAGCAGTTTTATTCCATTGTTCTCACACCTGAATGTATGTTCTCGTATTACCTACACAATCGTATAAGTCATACACTTCGTGTACGTCCCTTGAGCATTACCACGTCAAAAACAATCTTCACTTCATCGAAAATGTTCATCAGTAAATGAACAACTGATGCGATGTGTCTCGAAAGTTTCTAATTAATGATGAATTTATCTGGTTTAATGATGACACAGAGTATTCATGATTTTGACTGTTTTATTAGAGTACGAAAAGAAAGCATGATTTTTAGTTTAATCATGTCGTTTTTTTACTGGTTAGGTTGCTACATCGGTCGATCGATATATAGTCAGTTCCGAGTAATGAATCAGAACATACTGACGATGAAATCATGTACACTTATTTTCTACCTCATATGTCAGCAACGTCGATGTCACACATTTTCGTTGGACAGACTGGTTTGTGTTATAAAACGAACATACACTTTGGACTATTTCACATAGACTAAGCAGGATTGCGTCAGAGCTTTTGAATATGACGTTAGAAAGTGATCAGCCTTTCAGACTTTTGTTGGGATTTCCCAAGAAGTGGAGCATGTAGATGTATATAAGGAAAATATATTCGAGCACAAATCATTGTAGATACATTACTCAAATCAAATGACGCCATCGTTTCGATTTGTTATATTGATAATCGCGTTGTCATACGTCTTCGTCAACACTGCAATGTGTGCTGAAGCAAATCCATTAGATTCTTGGTCTATAGAAGACTGTGCCAAAGGTAAATCATATTGACTACAATCTGACTGTGATTTACTATTGCATTCAATCTTATTTTAGCTTTCGCATCCAAAAATATATTAAGATGTATCGTTGCCGGATTCAAATGTCCTAAGAGATTCCACGCTTCATGTACATAGAAGATCGGTATTCGGTGATGTCATCTTAATGCAAAAGTGTGCTTTACGTTGCTCAAAGTTAAATGCGTTCTAATCGAGTTTAAATGTTTTTTCTTTGTATTTAATAAATATATTTTTTACCAAATGAATCGTATAAAATCATATGATTAATGATGAGTCATGATTTTGTTATACATCACTGCACTCTTTTCTTTCAATCCTACGTTTGATTGTGTGTTAAATGCTTGTTGTTGTTGTTAACAGTCAAATTCATGAAGGAAAACATTCATACATCAAGTATAAATGTATGTATATTACTTTTCACATATTGTTCGTTCTCTTTGTTCGACAAACATAGCACGTGTTCGTGCACGCAAATTTCTTATCTTTAACTAACAAAATATTCGCATATATTACTGTATACATTCACTCGACGTGTAAATGGAGAATTTGGCAAAATTAACTCAAGATGATATTAACAATGGCGCACTTAATCGTATGCTCATTAATGCCGGGATTCCTGATGTGCAACAGTATGTAAAAGATTTTCACCATGAAACTGAAGAATTGATTGTAGAAGAATTTCAACACCCGGATTCTAACAAAGTAGATGACAACGAGCCAATAATTTCACCAAGTGATCTACAACACTGGATCAAAGGCTTTCAAGTTCGGTTAGATGATCCTGTTCCACCTACAACATCCGGACCACAACAGCAACCAAAACCAAGCGGTCCATCTGACCTTCGAAGCTGGATGCAACATATGACTCCAAATGGTGTTCATGCTTCGACGCTTCCAGAATCGCAACAGCAACAGCAGTCAAATGTTCCAACCGATCTCCGAAGTTGGATGCAACGTATGGCGCCCGGTGGTATTCATCCTCCGAATGAGACATCTATCAATACTGCAGCTCCTTCAATTGCAGCTACGGGTGATTCTTCTGCTGTTACAGGAAATCTAAACACTTGGCTCAATGATTGGTCAAAACAGCTCACTGAACAGCCGCCACCTACATCTCTTGACAACTGGCTACAACGCCTCGTTCCAAACGATCTACATGAACCTCTTGCCAAGTCCAATACTTCCAAAAACAGACTTAACATGTATCTTGACGCCGCCCAGCAAGTTCTCTCGAAACATGGCTATGACGTTTCTACTGAAGTCAAACCAGTCGTTCAACCCAAAATTGGAAAATTTGGCAATGTCAAACAAATGTATTTTCTCGTAAGTTCATGCTAGTTGGTCATCAAAAATACATCTGCTCTTTGTTTTGGTGATAGTGGAAAGTGTTGGACAAGAACAACGATCGTAGAATAACAGTGGAAGATGTGGAAATAATGCTACAAGAAATGGGACTAGGTTTTGTGAGTAAGTACGTAGCGAAAGCATTGTTTGAAATGGTAGACACGGATCATGATGGTGCTCTGCAATTTCGTGATTTTATTGCGATGATGGGTCTCCTGAAAGAACTAGTTGGTGCTATGGGATCGGCTAAAGCATAAAGCAGTGCAGTATTGTGTTTTTGCTTCTTTCGTGTGATTTTATTAAACTGTTAAGAACAAAGAAAAATATTTAAAAAAAAAAACAAATATTCTAATTGTACTTGTTCACTATTTGTCTAATGGCAATATTAGGCACGCATCTGAAACACCAATCAAATGTTATTTATGAAATATTAAATACCTTAAAGGCAAGGTGTCACGCGCCGTTTTTTTAACATTGACAGTAAGATAGCATATTAATTCATACATTATGACACAATAAACTTCCGCAAAGCAGATGACGTGAGTGCGAATCTAAAAATAATACCATTGACGTCAAATGAGTAAAAAGACAATAGTGACACTCATGCGCACAACAGAACTCCCAGTACACTAAAAAAAGAGGGTAGAAAATCATCCACTACATCCATGATAGTTGACCACTAGAGCATAGTTGAATAATTAGTTGTACCCTGTTTTCAAATTCTGCAGTAGAAAGTTACTAATAGCTTGTCTATCTACGATGAAAACTAATGGAAAAATTTGAATAGCAGAATAATTTATGATGAAACATTAGACCATAGTGCGTTTAATTTCATGAGGCAAAAGAACTGGTATGTTATTTCATTCATCGTATGCATTGTGTCGTTACTGGAACGTTTAATAGGAGATTTGTTCGATACGAAGTTTTCTTCTTTATTGTGTAACAAATGAAAATCGACGGTACAAACAAACAAAAAACATCGTTTTTTTCTTTTTCGAAATGTACCAGTTATAATTATGACTATATTTCGCCTAAACAATATGCAAATCAGTAATTACCTCGTATTAAAAAAAGATCACTCTATACGCACTCACATACATAGAAATAAATAAGAAAAGATTGTTAAATAGCAGTGTAGAATGATGTAGACAAGCACGAGCAAAGAAGAGATCACACAGATATGAATGCAATCAAGTATAATTAGAAGAAGAAAAATAATTTAACTACTATTGGATCGTTTAAGCCAAATGAGTTCATTCGATGGCATGGTAGTTGCTTTCAACATGCTTCTTCTTGCTGTAGCTGATAGTGAAGGAGTTCGGATCGGTGACGATGGATCAAGATCGTCAGTTGATGATATAGCATCTTGTCTTTGAATGATCATGACTGTTTTCTTAGTTGGTGGGGCACTTGGAGTAGGCATTTCTTCGAGAAGAGTATCATTTGGTCGAACACTCGCAGTTAGTGCTCGATGTATAGGAACATGAAGACGCGGTGCTGAGTAGCATGGACGAAGTGAAAGTGAACTTGTTATGGGTGCGAACGAATGCGGTGAAGGTGAGGGTGATCGTGATGGTCGATAGATATGAGGCGAGGGCGAACGTTGTCGACTGGGAATTTGCGAATGTATACTCAATTGTGAATAAGGTGACACCGATGGAGATATATAAAGTGGTCGTGCTGGCGTCGTTGATGTTACTGCACGTGTAACAGACGATTGTCTCGAATATCGAGCAGCATGCAAGTGATGTGCATGAGGTGCTAGACTTGCGCGCGGTGTATATAACTCGATTAATTCTCCTGTTAATAACGAACTTTGTTTAATCAGATGTGATGTTTGATGACTGCGTGAACTTTCGCGCCGTCGTGGTCCGATAATAGAAGTTTCGTTTATACCACCGTATTCACTTTCAAAATAGGTAGAACCAGTAAAAATTTGTGAAAAGTAAGATGAAGCGAAATGTGAAGATGTGGACATACGATGCGAGAGATGACGATGATGTCGTCGTGACCCACTTCCATTACCAACGCCGGCGCCACTGTTCGATGCGCCTCGCACTGCTGTTTCGGTCAGGTTTGTCTTATGAACATTTGAATGTCGTGTAAATGTTAAACGCCACGGAAGGAAAAAACACAACTGACCAGGCGGGCCGATGAAACAAAGAAGCGACTGGAGAAAAAATGTCGAGTAGATCAAACTAATTATTGACGAAATTATATACACCGTAGCTGATTTCGACAGATACGGTAACGAGGAGAAGAGACACGGTGTGGAAATAATCATGATTGAGAGTGTTAAATGAATCAATGTCGTACATAGCTGTTTCAAAGAGTACGTCATCCGATTTTCACGTTGAAAGAAAAACGTTGGTGCTAGTTTGTAACTGAAAAACAAAGAATGAAACATCTTGACAGAGCATCGAAAGGATATTTACCTGATGGAATAAAGTACCGAGTATTGCGAGCATACAATCAAAACAATAACAAAATGAGACATGTTCTCCACGGTTAATTTATAATTCATCAAAGTTAACGTTGCAATACATGTAACAAAATTGAGTAATGTAGTTAGTGTAACAAAAATCCCTAAGATACCCGTAAATAGAGTGAGAAAAACGAGCATAACGATAAATTTAATTGTGATAAATAGATATTTTTCTTGATATAATTGTGTCATAAGTGTGAACGTGGAAAATATTTCACTTGTCGACCAGAGAAAATGTCGTGGAAATGTTTTCAAATAGAACGTTGCTAGAGAAGTTTTCTTCAAATTGTCTATTAAGTATTGCCATTCAAAGAAATCATTCACTGTTCTTTGTGGCAACCATTTATAACTAATTGTTTGAAATAAATATCGAGGATATTGGCCATTTTTAAATCTTAAACCATTTTTTATCAGAAAATGATCATCATTTTGATGCGAAAGATAAAACAACGAATTCAAACATGTCAGACATTCGTATTGCGATTTCGTTAGATTTGAATGACAAATTGATGTACAATTTTGTGTTTGATTACTTCGCATATAGATATAAGTTGAAAATTTCGAATCCGTTTCCATAGAAATATCCACAATTGACCAGGATAAGTCAGCAAAGCAATGGAAATTTGTTTGAAATAGATCTGTACCCTGAGTCGTACTAGTGGATGTGCTAGAACAAACAAGCAATTTCAATTCAATCACGAATAATTACAAGTCCGAGATTCTTGATCTTTACTGACAAATACTTTCATGTTATATAAATCTTCTCAAACCTAATCATATTCGACATGCACTGTCAATATAATAGTTAATTATACATCTGTCATGAAAATCATTAATAAGGCAAGCAGATACTGTGAAAAGTTTACCTTATCATTGAATCGTTATGAATTGTTGGGGATTTATCCTGGTGTTTCGATTCCGATGCACAATAATCGATGAATTGTGTTAGGTTCTTCTTCAGTACATATGAGAATGTATCAATTCCATCTTCTGTGGCTGTTAAACTATCTTCTGGAGTGTAACTAAGAATGGGAATATCCTTGAATGGTATTAAAGATTCAGCCGGTAGATCCCACGGAGAGCCGATGTAATACGTCACATCAATATCGACATGTTTCAACGCATGATCATCAAATTTCGTTGATGAATGCATCGGTAGTGCATCGAATGTTAAATGACACGCATCGAACTGTAGTTTTGGCCGATAAAATACAATGATGAACGCCAGACACGATATGCAAGTTAGCAAAGCTAACCAGAATCCTTTTAAACGTACAATTAACCACGGAATTGTATGATCGATCAGACAGTTAGTTGTACTTGTGAGCAGATTATGAGGCAGATGTTCGATAGTTGGAATCGATGATTTGTAACGAAGAATAAATATAAACGAAGCTAGAAGGTAAACAACAATAACAATGTTGCATTCTCTCTAAACTGATCACCGTCGCATTTTAATCCGCAAATCTCTACTTATTCGATCGTATTACTCCAGAACAAAACGAATTACGAGTTCACCTTTTCTGCTTGAAGTCTTAAGATAAGAATCTTTTCTCATTTTTTTTTCTGCAAACAGCTACTCTTAGGATTAATCAAATCAGTCAAGTTGATTTGAGTCCTCAAGAGATTTCGATTGTGTCGAAGAAAGAAGTGATTCATCTTTACCTGGATAGAGTGTAAATGAAATGAGAAACGATATTAAGATAAGTAGAAACGAGAAGACGATGAAGCATTGCATTGCGATGACCTGATTCGTAAATGTGATAACAAGTGCAATAATAGCCGTTAGATTCTTGGGTATTATGTATAAAAACGTCTGGGTGAGCAAATTGTCGATAATACGTTCGATCGTACAATCATCTCGACGATGATTATTGAGAAACCAGCATGTGGACCAAAGGAACGAGTCGATAATTAACAGAAATAAATATAATGTTATACTTGTATAATTCAAGATTGTAATGGGAAAATGTAACAAATGAAAATAGATCAGATAACAAGAGAGAATGGTTAAGAAAATATGTAGAGTAATTATTAAAATAAAGAATAAATTTTTGACAAAGAAGAATAAACAAAGCAAGTAGAGAATTATGGTTAAGTAGAGTAACATCTCATTGGTTTGAAGATAATAACTGAAGAGAAGGTCTTCATGATTGGAGTCGAAATGGAAGTATTTTAGATAGAGGATATCTCTCAAATGATAATTATGGATATGTTCGTAGAGATGTACAAGATTGCTTAGATTGTTTTCGATTGAAATGTAAACTTTGAATGTAATTGGCGATTTCAAGTAAGTCAGATAGGTTTTTAATTTCGAATTCGAACACCACGATGAACTCGAACAGGTCGACCACTGCTCAGAATAGTCGTGGAATTCATCTTGTGTTAGATTATCACATTGGTCGGATGAAGTGAATTTATCATGAAAAAGAAGAGTGACTAGAAGAAATCGAATAGGTCGAAGTCAAGTTTGCAATTTCGAATGTTCTACCTGGTCCAATCAAATGGCAACATGATTGGTTTCTTGAACAATTTGTGTAACGAGCACGTAGACTCCATTCAAGTTTACAGATCGATTGAAAGTTGTGTAAATTATCGAATAAATTTGAAGTATTCTGTTTGAATTCAAACGTTAATTCAGTATACGGAACTACGAAATGAATAGAAAAAGCATTTTCAGATAGGAACAAAACTATGAAATCCCTTACGAATCGGACATGTAGACAAATAGAATCGTTTCGTACAAGGATTAATCTGTGGATTGAAAGACGGATATGGTGTCGCAGAAAATATCTTCTACAAAAAATGTCTCAATCTCTTGATTTTTCTCGAAACTCAACACCAACTTACTTCACTATTGATCGAATTCGGATATAAATGCGCAATCTGAGTTTCACGTATGAGCGCAATAAATTTTCGATATTCATCCGATGCATTTGTTCCGTGAGCTTGAAAACCCTAGTCGAAGCAATTGTCATATAAGAATGAACTAGATCAAAAGGTGTCTCACTCCTAATAAATGACCATGGTCGATTTGATGACGTTTGTAGATGATCAGTCCAATTGAAATACTTGTCATAATGAATACACAGGCAAATACGAACAAATGATAGTTAATTAAGAACCGAATGTATCTAACAGAGATTGATAGCGCTTTGATCAGAAAGAGTCTAATCGAATGCTTTCCACTTACTTAGCTTTAAAGTGACTACTACACACCATCGCATACTGAATGGAATAGAAAAGGAGAGCTTAGCAAGAAGCTAGCTCGTCGTTGTATGTTATTTTAATGTTGCTTTTTCTAAAAGTAAAATAAGTGCAAAGTGCTTTCGTACAAAGATTTAAACTAGTCTCCAATTAGATAAGGCTCAGGGAGGTGCTGCATCCAGAGAAAAAAGAAGAAGAAAAAAGAAGGAAAGGACGACGAGGGAGAAAAACATGCAAATTCTTTATTAGAGCACGCACGCAAATGGATGCACACATGCGCACTCACGGTCTAGTCCGAGTGCTAAAAAATGCTAATCCCTCTCTCCTTGTAATACTCTACTGATTTTATCATTCGACAAGTCAATTCGGTTCACCATAAAGTTTCGATGCTATGTGCATAGAAAGGAAATAAGGATAGACTTGAGGGTTGATTTTCAATTTCAATTCTATCTAGCAATTAGCTTTTTCCCCCTTTCTTTTATCTCGACAAATTCGATGTTGATTTGCTTGATTCCGTCTCTGAAATTATACCAAAGAAAAGGGAGGTTTTTTCGGTCTATTGTCGAGGAAATATCTCTAATTTTCATCTCTGATTGACATGACAAGGCATACAAACTACAGTAATGATATAGGTAGCGTCATTCGCAAAATTTGCCGTCATATTAATATATATGTATACACATTTATGTCTGTGTGTGTGTGTGTTTGTTTGTTCCTCTCTGTCTTCGGTTCTTCCGATTCATTGACTATAAATAGTTAACAAATAAGCCTAGATATTCTTTAGTTTATCAAATAGATTTAAAACAGGTTCGTTGGTTGATTTTCCCTTCCGTTATTCACATGGTCTATGTCATTGATGACTACTGTATACACTTCAATTGAAACGATGATGAAGATGGCAACAACAACTTTAGGGCTTGATGATGATGATGATGGAAACGAAGGAGTCAGTCGAGAAGAAGAAGAATGCGATTATGATTATTCGATCGAGCTCTCTGTAGTTCTGTTAGTTATGGGCGACTAGTAATAGTGGTAAAAGCGTTATTATTGTGTGCAAATCGTCCTTGGATTCTCTCTCTCTTCTTTGTTTCCTTTCCTGTCACTTTTTATATCTATCTAGTCAATGAAAGTTCAGAGAATCCAGCGAATCAACTACATCAGTTGTCTCACAGATCCGTATCTAACTTTAATACACTTGACAAAATAAGAAACAAAAATGTCATTTACTTAAATATAATTGACATCAGGAAATGCATATGTGTGATATGTATATAAATATAATACCGAAGATAACTCTATTAGATTCAGAAGACTAGTTGTAGTTGAATAAAATGTCAGAAGAAATAGAGGAAAGAATGACAACTAGGTGAAACATGTCACAAGTTTCGAGTAGAGAAAAAACATACAAATTCGCTCGATACAGAACAGATAACAAGAGCTTAACAATTCAGTTCTGATTATCGAACTCGTTCTGGTCCTCTTCATCGAATTTCTCCGATGATGATAATAAGTATTTGCTCGAATGTCGTTTTTATGATGATTATTACTAACGACGGCTCACCATCGTCTACAAACAATTCATTTCCCTCCTCCAAACTCTTCACGTAAGTTCCCAAACTAATTCGAACCGAGGTTAGTATATAAATAACTTTTCGGCTAAATGTATTTGTCAGAAAACGCAGCAAAACAACGAAGTCAAAATTTTCCTCGAACAAATTAAATCTTCTTTTACATTTGATTCTTCACTTCCTAATCGGATAAATATACCGGAAACGAAAAAGAAAAAAAAAAGAAAAATCTATTAATACAATAATCAATATAAAAAAAACAAGCTTTCTTTGACGAGTCTCATCCATTGTTGAGGGCGAGCAGAGGAAAAGCAAAACTTCATGCCATTGTCAATCTTTTGTTTCATTAATTAGAAGAAGTTTTCTGCTTACTAATTAAAAAAAAAGATTATTGCGCGTTGACATGGATATGTATTGAAGTAGATAAAAGCAAACGGAGAAAGGGCAACGGTAGTGATGAAGAAGAAAGTCTAGGTTTTCTTTTTTACATCAACATTATTGTCATCGTCTCGACTCTGTTGCATGTTTTCATGTAAATGATCTGGTGCATTTATCGAATGCACGTAAAAGAAACAAAAGACAAGGCAATTGTCAAACAAAAGGTTTTTCTACTAATGAATAATGTTTGGTAACTTTGTGATTCAATAGGAAAATTTTCGGTAAACATTCTAATGGGAAGAATAGGTGACTTCTCTCCTATGTATGTGTTTTAATCTAAGAAAAAACAAATTAGTGAAGCGATACTAATAGATCCGCGTCGGTTTGATTGGATAATTCCAGTAGAGAAATCTTATTTACCTTACTTTAGGTTTTGAACAGTAATAAAAAGAGGAAATGAAAAAACTAAAGGAATGGAAAGCAACTTTTTTTTTATTCACACTAAAGAAAAAGATAATAGTAACAACAGAATCATATGTCTTGTGTTTTCAGACCGCATGCGTCTTTTTTTTCTTACTGGTATGCGTTCCGATGACATAATTTCCCGAGCGCGCTCGCACACATTAAAAAAATGAAAAAAAAAACCGAGAGAAGAGAGGAGAAGGGAATATGAGAGAGAAAGAAAAAAAAATAATACACGCAGCTCAGAAGAAAGAAAAATAAGAGCAATGTTGATGATGATCATCATCATTTCTAGTACACAGTACTTACAAAAATTGACATTGGTTAGGGAAATACTCTGATGTTAAACGATGGGAAAACGGAGAAGGAAGTGACGATGACGGCGAGCTTTTCTAGGTATGAATCCGTCACTCTCGGAGGGAAAGAGTACATTGAATTCAAGTAGATATGATATGCGCGTATGTTTTGGATATGATAGACATTGATGATTGTTTCGTTTGATTAGTTTTGAACATTGCTGATGCGTAATTTACGTGAATTTAAGTAGTTTTCTGTTTCAATTCGATGTAATTATTCATTTGTTGAGGAGAAAAACACGAGCAACAAACAATTAACGTTTTGTTGATAAGAACATAATTGAAAAAGAATAATTCGGTCGATTAGATCTCAGAAAAGGTAATTATGCTATTATTGAAACGTCTATTGAATAGAGTTATTTTCACAACTTAAATTGAAATATAATAGCAATTAACAAGTGTTAAAATCGTTCAACTATATCGTGTACTCGTTCAACGTGCTCAGAAAAGAGAAATCTCCTTTGAAAAAATAGATTTAGGTATTCAATTGATTAATTGCCTTGTATACAGGACAACTCTGCTCAATTATATCGATTAATGATCTCCTGCTAGTCGACATATACATGATTAATTAATATATTTATAAAATTTACATAAATGTCATTCAACAACAATTATACTTGTCAGCGACACTTGAGAAAATAGGATCTATTAGCTAATTGTCATATCGTATGCAATTCGTCGAAATTAATCTTAACATCTTCTATCAATAACTAGAGTTGTCTTTCTCTCTCGCGCTTTTCTCTTCGGAAGAAAAGATCAAGTCTACTATTAGCATGCGAGCTGTTGATTGTAAAACGAACATGATTGTATCGTATGATCGTAGTGGATTTTGCTCTCCCTCTTGTTAATACTTATCGAATGCACATATATTAAGAACATTGTGTAAAGAATAATAAATCGTGTTGAAATTACATTAAGAAATTTTCTTGTTGGATATTCTTCTGTTCATTAGATAAGGCAACAATAACAAAGAAGTCTTTACATTCAATATTTGCTTTGATGGCAAAAGTAAATTATTTTTATTGATATTGACATTCAACCTGCCAACATTTCTTTCTTTACTGGTTGGCGAAAATTGACATTAAATCATAAGAAAAGTACACACACACGCATCACATTAATAAAACAAATATTGCAGACATTTCTCTCATTTGTTCACATATGTTATAACATATTCCGGATAGTTCTGATCATCCAAAAACGTACAGACAATACCGTACGGCGTCTGATGATCAGTTGTCGAATCAGCTTTTACTTTTTTGCCGTTGTTTGTCGTAATTTCCGGTGGGACATGAATATCGTTAGCACCATATGTATGATAACCAACAAGTACACGGCAAAGGAAAAGGTGAGAGAGATCTTTCTGATCACCGTAAAGATGCGAATAAGCTGCAAAACGACTGAAATAAACACCGCGCCCGTAGTAAACCGTTTCTCGGCAATAAGAACGATTGAAGCCGTGTGAAATTATATGATGATGATTGTCCGACTTGGTCCCATGAAAAAGCCAAGCTTCGTTTACTTGATCGCTACCATTCTTTTGCCGCATATATCGACGATGTGAACAGAACTTTTCCCAGAGATGTGGATTTTGAATGCGTTCAATCTGGGAAAATATTTGTTGAAGTGATCATTATTTTTCTGTTATAATTGCACACTTACCACAATGATGTTTGTCTTTTTATCACAGAGAGTTTGGTGAAATAATCGTTGAACGAATAAGTATTCGGCCGTGCTTTTGTCAACTGGGGAGCTATAGAAAAGAGCATCATTGTGCTCTTTTAAGTGATGATCGCCCTGCCAAAATGTAGGATACGTTTGTGCATAAACCATATCTAGAAACAAGACAACGAGTGTTCATTGCTGTGGAATTGGCCTTTGTTGATTACCATCAGAGTATGGGTAAATAATTGGCAATGAATGTAGAATTGAATGAGTGACAGATGGACGTGTTGGTATACTACGAACTGTTGTCGGTCGAGATGTAGGGTAAATTGTCAATGGGCCAGCTGCTTGAGTTCCGAGAAATCCATCGACAACATACCGTTGATGTTTCATATTCAGTGAGTAGTCAATATAGCGTAGTTCTTCGGGTGAAATCCGGTGTGTCACATATCCATCTGTCGCTAAGATCGAATTAAATGGCATTGACTGTTGGACATAATATTTGACTTTTGGGTATAACTGAAAAAGTATTTCTGAATGATTTTGTTGAGATAAATGAATTGGTGTGTAGATTGAAAGTTGTGATTCAGAAGCTAATGATATCACATTAAGTAACTTTGTTGCACGTGTTTGAATATAAGTATCAAACGATGATAAACATTTGCGCATTTCAGTAGTGAAAGCAGCTGAATATTCTTTCTAAAAGTATTACCCGGAAATTTTCATTTTGTGAATGTTTAATTAGAGGAAATTCGAGCATACTGCTGTCTGAGTTGAATAGAAGAGAGTGCCTTCGAGGAAGATGACGAACATTAAATAATCGACATTCGAAACGATGTCCGCAAACGTCAAGCGAAACAGTTGTTGATGATAGAGACGAAATTGATCGATCTCTTGGTTGTTATTACCATTCATCGTCGATGACTGATCAAAACGTATAAAGTTCATCTGTGTTATAAACATGAAAAAGAATAGATACATACATAATATAAATGAAATTTATCGTCTAACGCTGGCTTTGCAATCATCGTTTTAGGTGTTAGTAACTTTTGAATGTATGATACTAAATAAAATTATAATAAAATATTTCTTTTTCCTTCATTTATGAAAGAAATCGTTTGATCAGGAAATGACAGTCCGTGAATGTAAGTTTTCATTAGTCGGTTACGCAATAATTGAAAGTACTTCTCAAAAAAGATAGTTTGGAACCTGATGAGTACTTTTTTGAGACACAGTCTTTCTATTTTTATCTGACACTTATTATTCTGTAGGTGTCTTCTTATTTATATATTCTTTTATGTCAATTGATAATGTATTTTAGCTGAACTGCTTGCGACATATCATGAAAGACGGAAGTGACTCTAATTGGAATGCGTTGAATTTCTGCACCGAGTCGTTCCATTATAGGACATTCTTTTGCCTTCAAAGTTGAATAACACGCTTGCCTTTTGAAATGAAATCTCGGTTACCGTATATAAACTCACCTAGACTACAACTTTGAATATGCTTGTATAGATCAGCAACATTGTGCACTATTTTGTCGAGTTTATACTGTTCTTTCTGTGTCCACAACCATCGTCTCTCCTAAATAAATTTACAAAATAGAAGATTTTCGAAGAAATTTCTTTCAGCTTACTTCGTGTGATAATTGCGTTAACTGCAAGTCAAACGACGGGAAATCCATGGTGATGTCCATTCGATCAGCCATGTGCTCTTAAAAAAGAATGGCAAACGTCAATGATACAAGGTGTATTTCTTTCGTTTTAATTATGAAGATGAATTCGATCGATCGTAAGGAAAGACTACCTGATATTCCTTGCGCAATCAATCGGTCGTGGGTTTTTTCGTCATCATCAGTTATTTTGCGTTCTGTTGATGAAGATTGGTGTATAATGGCCAATAAGTTTCCTTCTTTATACAAGGTAGAGGGTATGTTAAGGTAACTTGAATAAAAATGAATTCGAAAAGAACGAATTGTCATTTTATTGAAAGTATCAATGAGAATTAATTTTTCACGTTGAACGAATTCAAATGACGACAGCAAAAGTCAAGCCTTTACCAAATGTTATTCTACCTCCAGTAAATTGACACCAATCGATATGATTTCCATACTTCAATATTCTTTTTTGATTTCTCTTAGAAATTAATCAAAACAAATCCTTTTGTAAATGATAAGACGCCTGTTGAATCCAACGTTCTCGCATTTGTTAGCAACGGTCTAGAATTTCATGTTGATGTTGTGCAAAAACTATGTCCAGCAGCCATCTCATTTGCTCATTACAATAGCCGATCCTTGTATGTTCCGTCGGCAGATGTTGTTCATTCGCCACGACCACCACGTCGTCTACAACCGCTTCCAATAGGTTTACCACAAGAACGATGGAAACATGCTCGTCGAGTTCTAAAGCAAAAACCACTAGCGATCGAGCCGGCAAAGTTTCAACCACAACAATCGTTATTTTATATGACGGAGATTAATGAAGAGGACGAACCAATCGAGCATCCCAAACCGTCAAAGAAGTTCAATATTGTTCTATCATCGATCAGGTCTGATCTAAGTGAAGATGTTGATGAAAATTTGTTGAGTGTACGACCGGGCCATGATGCGATTGAAAGACAAGCACGAATGATAGCCGATAGAGACTTTGCACAAATGGAACGAAACTGGGATGAATACATGTTTGAACATATGGATGAAAGTACAGCAACATTTATCATTCTCCGAAATGTACACGATGGTATGTGAATATCGATCATCAAACAAACAATAACTATTTTCTAATTTCATTTGCAGAAGAGCGCCGAGCACGATTGATTGAATATTTAAAAAGAACCTATCATATTATGAAATTGCCGAACCCATTAGAAATTGAGCTAGTATGTATATGGCACTCGAGTTCAGACAGACACTTATCGTCTTCGTTTAGATTCCAACAAATGAAGATGAAGATGCTAAATTCAAACAACGTTATTTGAATAGGTAAGATAAGGTTTTTTTCGTTGCCATCCACAATTTTCAATTATTCGTTTTATCTGATAGATCAAAAACTCCAAAAATCGGAAAAGAAGGCACTAGATCTAAAGGAAATATATCATCACATAAATCACCACGAGATGTTGAAACGACGAAAGATAATAGTATGACAACCTTATACATTCTGTTTGCTATTCTGATCGATTGTTTTAGTGTCCTCGGATATTCGTCCAACTCAACAAATAGTCACGGGAAATTCATTTATCCGCCCCGAACCAACATTTTATGATGTCATGTCAGACAAAATATCCGACACAGTGTATCGAACTGATCATCCGTATGAACAAGCTATGATTCTCGGTAGGCAAAGAGAAAAACTTTCAGATGATTGATGGGAGTCGTTTTCATTTAGGAAATGATCAGCATAGACAAACGGATGAACCCGGTGTCATCGTTCTCTCGGATAAAGTCCAATTTGATAAAGTCCTCCAGAAACAACTTCCCCCTGATCCAGAAGCCATTTCCTCAAGTAACGAGAATCGAATTTGTTCTTCATCGATTTGACTTTACTCATGAAATCTAGCGCTTGATATTCCGTCGTCGGCTACATTCGATCGACCAATACCATCACGAGGTCTACGCCGCTGGAAAACTTTGCCGGCCATCAAAGATACGGTAATATTCTACTTACTTTCATCAAGATATACGCATATCTTTTGTTGTCAAATATGATCATTATTCATTACTCTGCACGAATTGCACTGATTTGTTTTTCACGCTCATTTAGACTCCATACCTTTCAATGTACACCTCAGATGATACAGCCAATAGAACAGATGCTATCCAAGCATTCTTTGATCAGGTTTTACTCGTGTTCGTGTGCTTAGCGTTCTCCTTCTATTATTTATATTAATATTAACTCTTTTCATGTAACGAGCTCCGACGTAGACGTCCGTTTTCTCTCTGTAGCATATTCCTCGACCACCCGATGTCAATGATTTACTTCTTTCATGGCTTCTTCCATCGGCAACGAGTGATTCTCGTGGACATCATAGCTTAAAACTAAATACTACGATCAGTCGAATTATTGAAGGTAAACGTCAAAATGATCTTCTCAACAAGTATTTCGAATTATACTACCTGTTAAGAATGGCGGCGAAAATGGCAAGTAAATCAACGATGGCTTGATGCTGACATCGATGAATTGTACCGTAATTTACATGACAGTCATCCACATGTTTGTTCTTAACATACGTGCAATGGAAATACAAAATCTACGCTGTTTTTAGATTCAATTTACAGCATTGGTTATCTGTAGTCGAGCATCACAATATCTAACAAAGAAAGACATTGGTACAAAGCAAATAAGATGCACAAACGTCTCATTGTTTTTTTACTCGTAGAAAGTGGTGTAAAAGTTCGTGTTCTACCAGACAAACTTCTTCGTTCAATTGAAGCTCTGCTTGATGATCCACAAGAACGTATTCGAACAGCTGCTGCAATCACGTTGACTACTGTTCGACGTTTTTCTCCTAAAGTATTTATGTCAAAGAGTATTCACATAATCAATTATACAAATTTAGGTGGAAAACATTCTTCGTTCGTGCATTTCTCATGGTCATCCGGATGATAAGTTGACTGCAGCACAATGCTTAGCGAGTGTGAATCTAACAACATCAGATATCATACATGAACTATTGACGAACTATTTCGATGCTAAACATGATGCAACACGTGAACCACTAGTTTTCTCTCTAGCAAAACTAAGTCAAGGAACGGTACAGAAATTTGAACTCACTGAAAATCTATTTGTTTTTCCTTTAAAACAATAGAATCTCGTGCACAGTTTAACTGGTGAATATCTAAATTCTGCTGATGCCAATGAGCGAATCATTGCTTGTAAACTATTTCCATTACTCAAATCTCATCCAAACAAAGTAATTTACTTTTCGTAACGTACTCTAAACATTGTTGTTTCTAAAACGCAGGACATTACACAAAAACTAATTTATCTGATGTGGGAAGATCTGAACAGTAATGTTCGTCGGGCAGCTGGTCAAGCTTTGGGTAAATGCGGTTGTGGACAGGCTGTACATGAAGAACTTGTAACACGTTTACAAAGTTCGTATTGGCAAGATCGTGTCGAAGCATTGAAGCTTATAAGTTACCTTGGTTCGTTTTCACAAGTGGTCATCTTTGACATATAAATGAAGATCTTTGTTTAGGTGTTTTGACAGCCAAATTGATGCACCCGTATATGAAATGTTTCAAAGATGATCGAGTCACTGTACGGATTCGTGCGTGTCGTACAACATACAAATTACAAATGAGAGACGAAGCAATTCGAGATTTACTCGTCGAACTTATTGAATACGATCCGATTGACAAAGTTCGATACGCTGCAGTCGAAGGTAATGACGATTATGAATAAAGATTGATTACTTTCAATGTCTACTGTTTAGCACTCGGTTTATATGGATTAACGAATGATAAATGTCGAAATGTTCTTCTGTGGAGTGTTCGATATGATAAAAGTCCTTTGGTGCGATCAGCAGCACCGAGTGCTCTTGTTTTATTAGAAAAAGTTCATGAAGATATTATCGATACATTGCAAAGTCGATATTTAGTAGAAAAACAACAAGTAGTTATTCAGTAAGTAATATGAGAACACTGAAACAGTGAAGAATCTCTTTTGTCTCTTTCTACAGATCGTTGAAAGAGGCCTTAGAAGCATATCATTGTAATTTAAGTCAAGATGTTCCGATTGTACAAGAAATTCGAAATGAAGTTCGCAAATTAAATACAAAAGCAATCATATGGGAGAAGATTATGACTTTAGAAAGAGATTTACGTTATTCATCTGATTTAGAACGAATAATCGCGCCAATGTTAGACAAAGTAAGGGTCTGACTAACATTTCGAATGGCATATATACCAATATAATTTATTTTCTTAATGAAGCAGCTTAGGCCACATCTTGTGGAAACATAATACACCTCCAGGGATGTAAATCATGCTTTGATTCATAGAGATTAGTTTATCATTAAACAGATCGACTGTTCTCCCTTTCTATTAAAAACAAGGAGAGAGATTAATCTATATTCGATTGTATTTCTTCGCTTTTAATAACTAATTATTATTTGATTGTTTACAGCCATCAACTCCAATAGTAACTGAAAACGACATTCAGTCTAGTACAAGTTTAACGAATTATATTCAAAATGTGGCGGATAATAATTCCATACCCGAAGTTTGGACACCAGAATTATGGCATCCGGACAGTAAAACTGGTAAGATTCGACGACATCGACTTGCAAGCGAAAAGAATCTATCGGATGGATCAACGACAACGATTACAACAGCATTGGAACAACCAAGTTATAGTCTTCCATCTAGTAGTTTTATACCTGTCTCTGAAACGGATATCGGCACTGAGGAAAATATTCCTGATACTGATTTTTAAATATTTGTCAATAAAGTATTTTTTTTCTTGAGACAGACAAATAAAATGGAGGCGGAGCTTAGTAACCTCTCAATAAAAGTAATATCAATCGCTACTGATTGAATACTTCGGCATAAAACTGAAATATGACATACGTCTCAGCTGTGATTGCTCTGTTCGTTGTTATTTTTGCCAATTTCTTGTTATCATGTGAAAGTTTGGAATGTTACGAATGCTCAGGTTTAAATGAGCAAGCATGTACGACAACAGCGTCCAATTGTCCTATGTGTATGGTATTTCGCAATGATAACGATCCAAGTAGATAGAATTAAATGATACGAAAACATCGTTGATGTTCACTGTTTCTTCTTTTCTTTCTCTAAGCTAAATTTGATCGACGTTGCTGTTGGCGGGGCTGTGGAGCGTCCAAACAAGTATCTGAACACGCTGGTCGGCTAACTTATTTTTGTGACACTGACAAGTGCAACGACGGCAATAGTGAAGAGATTTTGCGTTATGCTAGTAAGAATATTTCGAAAATCTGGTAATTTATATAAAAAAACGTTCATGGAATTGTATTTATTATCTAGCTACAACCGCAAGTAGTACGTCAACGATGTCTTCAACGATGACTACAACGGCTTCTGAACCGTCGTCATCCGAATGTTTTGATTGTTCAGGACCTAGTTGTGGCACGAACGGTTCATCAATGTCAGCGCACTGTCCCAAATGTATGGTTTACAGAAATCCTGACGACCAAAGTATGGCATAGACTGTAGAGTAAATTAAAGATTTTTATTTGAAATGGCGATCCTAGCAAACATCGAAAGACGTTGTTGCTGGTGGAATTGTGGCCCTTCGAATACTGTCAGCACTTATAACGGTATCGAAACTTACTTTTGCACAGGTCAGAAGTGTAATGGGTATGGCGCAGAATCCGCACTTAGTGCCCCAGGTAAGAACGAAAGTAAATCACTACAAAGAAATATTTTTTATTTCTGATAAATAGTAACAAGAACTACCTCACAAACTACCACGATGACGACAACAATAGCTACCACAACTGAGCAATCGTCATCCCAATGTTTTGACTGCTCAGGATCCGACTGTGGTAAGGAAGGATCACAAATGTCAATGCATTGTCCCAAGTGTATGGTCTATCGAAATCCTGATGATCAAAGTAAGCTTGCATAAGACAACAAAGTTTCTACAACATTCACTGATACCATCATTAGCAAAAATCGAACGACGTTGTTGTTGGTGGAACTGTGGACCCTCGAATACTGTCAGCACTTACAACGGTATCGAAACTTATTTTTGTACGGGTGACAAATGTAATGGGTATGGAGCAGAATCTGCACTTGGTGTCCCTGGTAATACCGAAAGTAGATCTCAATAAGACAATACTTTTGATTTTGATAAACTAGTAACAAGAACCACATTGAGAACTACTATGATGACGACACCAGTGACAACAACGACGATCACTAAAACCGAACAGCCTTCATCCCAATGTTTCGATTGTTCAGGAGTTGATTGTGGCAAAGAAGGATCATCGATGTCGATGAATTGTCCAAAATGTATGGTTTACCGAAATCCGGATGATCAAAGTAAGTTTTGAACCAAGGAAAACAGAAATATAACTGCCATTTGTTGTCACTACCATTAGCAAAAATTGAACGACGCTGTTGTTGGTGGAATTGTGGCCCTTCGAATACTGTCAGCACTTACAATGGTATCGAAACTTACTTTTGCACTGGTCACAAGTGTAACGGAAACGGCGCAGAGTCGAATCTGGGCCCTGCCAGTGAGACCTGATAAAGTGCAATATTGATCTCGATGACCCGCTCTTTATTTCAGAGATAACAACTTCTGTACCAACGACGTCGACAACAACGTTTGCGTCAGTCACAACGACAACAATTACTGCTACAACCACCTCACAAACAGCATTTCAATGTTATGATTGCTCAGGTCCTGATTGCGGAAATGCCAATTCGATGATATCTATGAACTGTCCAAGATGTATGGTTTATCGAAACCCAAGTGATCAAAGTAAGAACTTTCTAAAAAAACCGAAAGACAATGAGCTAATCAATAATAATGTTTCTGTAGCAAAAATTGAACGTCGTTGTTGCAGATGGGCATGTGGACCTTCAAATTCCGTTACTCGTTACAACGGAATCGAAACATTCTTTTGTTCTAGCGATCGATGTAATGGTTATGGCTCGGAATTTGCTCTCAGTGCTGCAGGTAATAAGAATTATAGGAAAAATTGAAGAATATTCCGTACGATCTTAACTAGTAACAACAACAACTGCAAGAATGACACCGATGAGCACGACTACAACATTAATGAGAACTACTACCACTAAAACTGAACAACCATCGTCCCAATGTTTCGACTGCTCGGGACCAGATTGTGGTAAGGAAGGTTCACAAATGTCGATGAACTGTCCAAAATGTATGGTTTACAGAAATCCTGATGATCAAAGTAAGCTGGGAATGAGGAGTAGCAAACATATAAATACTATTTTGTGACTCTACCACCAGCTAAAATTGAAAGACGCTGTTGTTGGTGGGGTTGTGGAGCATCGAATACCATCAATATGTACAATGGAATGGAAACCTATTTCTGTACTGGCAACAAGTGCAATGGTTATGGTTCAGAATCTGGCCTAAGTCCCCCAGGTAATAACATATTTGATAAGATGATCAACCCTATATGAATTTGGCATATGTTTTAGTTACAACCACAACAGCTAGGACAATGGGTAAGAATTCGAGATTGACCTTTTCTCGTCTTACTATCTGACAAAACTGTGCTTTCTCAGCCTCTTCGACAATGACAACCACGACTATACCATCGCCAGGAGTATGTTCACTCAATTGCCGAAACGGTGGTACACCGGAAACAGAAGATGGTTGCTTCTGTTACTGTTTAGAAAACACTTACGGACGTGAATGTGAAAATGGTAGAGTTACTGTGTTACTTTTCTATTCTCTAACACACTGCATTTATTCCATTTAGTCGATTGTGCTCAACCCGATGTCGATCCTGAAACTTGCAGTGCAGAGAATCGATCACTCTGTGAAGAAAGTGAGACATTTGCTTTCGAATGTCTTCATCTATGTGGAAAGTGTTAAAATCATTTTATTAAATCATTTCAGCCCTATAAATACGCATGTTTATCCCTCGTTCATTTTCCTTCCATTTGTTAATGATAAGGAGCAGATGATTGCTGCCGTTGTTGTTGTTGTTGAGACATAAAATCGTTTTGTTCATTTGTTTCCGAAGGATTTGACAATAAATATCTACTCTCTTGATCATAAAACGATGCTGGAATAAATTTTGGATAATAATGTCGCGGATGATGGGTAATCAACGATCGACGATTACCAAATCCACGTTGATAACGTTGAAATTCGTTGGAATTGCTCTCGATACTATACATTTGAACAATCATAATGAGCAATGCATAGATTGCACACAAGAAGAATAAGCGATATCGAGGCACGATCATTCTGGTGAAAAGGAGTAGGATTGAATTGGATTTGAACGACTAGAAGAGCGGTTCTGTTTTCTTACTGCGTTTAAATAGTTAGGAAAAACTCATGAATAAGATTATTTCAACCAATTTCTATCCTCTATAGACTATTGAAATTAAGATCATCTACATCCACGCCCCCATATGATTCAAGTATGTGCAAAATACATAAATATACTTCATTATTCAAATAATTGGATATATGAATGAAAAGATTTTATTACTGATTGCAAAAAGTTCACTGGAGGATAAATGCTATGCATTCTTATTTCATTTGCTTGATTTGATATGTATGTTACTGAGTTTAACACGGCCTTTCTCGCCAGACTTTGTCTCTACATTGACTTGTACTTGATAGCTACCAAGCAATGCCCAAGAAGTCGTATCAATCGATATTGGTAAGGTAATCACGTGATTCCCCTAAATCAATTCTCTCATCTTGTTTTTTTTACATCAAATGCGTATTTAAATACTCACGGCACTCATTGGACAACGACATTGTGGACAAAGACTGCAGAGATCATCATAAGTACATGAACCGATACCGCTGATACAAGGAATGGGAACAGAACTGAATAACACCTTCTTATGTAATGATAAATCGACCTGAATTTATCAAGAACGTCAAAAATGTTGACTATTTGATCATAGAGAAAAGAAACGAACTTTCAAAGGACTTGCGATTGGCTGTTCACTATGAATAGTTAATTCGACAGAGATCGATCCGGGTATAATAATCGGGTAAGGTTTAATAGTTAAATTTAACAATTTGACTGTATACGAGTGATCCTCGTCGTTTTCCCATGCTACTTGTGCGATTACTAAAGTCTAGAAATTCAATTTCGAGCCGAACATCTGTAACATAAATTATAGTTTTATGTACTTACCAATTGAAGAAAAGAGAGAAAACTGACCAGGAATTTCATTTCATGTAACGAATAGTTGAGGAAGTAATATTTCTATCTGAAAAGATGTACTTTTGAAACCTTTCGATAACCATACAGAATTATTCGTTTCAGTCGTAATTTTTTACAAATATACTCGATAGTACCTTGTTCGTTTCTGCTGTATTCATATATTTATGGTTGAGTTGTTTCTTTGCACGAGAGAAAAACAGTTTATGCGCATGTTTGTCGTTTGTTGCTTTGCATGAAATTAAAATCAGACAGTGTGGAGACATCTAACAACGCAAAACAAACATTGCAATAACAACGCAACTGTCTACAGTGTGCAGAAGGAAAGAAAGAAGTGAAAATTCAACAATCGCCTAAAATTTTTTCTCCTTCTTCATCACATATTACAATAAAATATCAATATTTTTCCGCAATGTTTGTTCAAATGCAATATTTCATTATTAAAAGTCCTTTTTAGAGTGCAAGCTGATTTATGTCGTTTTTCGAATCAGTTAAAAGTATTCAGTGCTTCGTATAAAAATAGCCATATGGGAGTTTAATACCTCTGATAAAGATGCTTATGTAATATCATAGATAGAACTGCATCTGGAACGTCCCACTCGACTTTGAAATGAAGAGTCTAACTAATCCCGAACGTATGATATGAATGAATGGAAAAACAAGAAGATTTGCACGAACGAATTTGATATCGAGCGTCCTTGAGTCTATTTTGATGCGATCAAGGTACCATTGACTATATAATAAAAATATGACCTGTTAAAAACTAATTTAATCTGGTCGAATGCATTCGACTCCGGTTTTCACCATAACCTTGTGGTTAGTGGTACTGAATATATGCTGCTATGCGCAACAAACTGCAGACCAGGGAGCAAATGCAAAAACAAAACAAATTCTGGCTTACATCACCGATCTACCAAAACAAGGTACGTTGATGTTTTAAATCGGCTGATTGATCGATTGATTGAATCTTCAGGTAAAATGCTCTCCGGGCAATTTGCTGGTTATAGTCCTGATACATTCAACGCCCAACAAATTGACGAAATTGCTGGACAAACTGACCAAGTACCAGCCATTCTTGGTTGCGATTATGCTTGTGGTTGGAATTTCAAAACTCCACCAGAGAATATTATTGATTATACATGTAACCCAACACTGAAGGAACATTGGAATGAAGGTGGTCTCGTTACCGTTAGCATGCATCTACCCAATCCAGTTTCAAGTAATGGTGGTGGTTATAAAGATAGATGGAATTTGAATTATGCGGATTTGACAAACTCCAATAGTGAAACAAGTCATCGATGGCGTCTATTTCTCGATCGAATAGCCCAAGGTTTAGATGATTTGCAACGAGCTGGTGTTACAGTTTTGTTTCGTCCACTTCACGAAATGAATGGAGATTGGTTCTACTGGTGCAATCAAGTAAACAAAACTATGTCGTTTCATTTTGAATAACTTGACTTTTCTTCTAGAATCCCGACACATTTAAGCATGTTTGGAGAGACATGTTCATTTATTTAACAAATGTAAAAAATATACATAATGCTCTCTGGGTGTATTCGCCTGATCAAAGTCGAAGTGAACCGTCGAAATACTATCCAGGTGATGCCTATGTTGATATAGTTGCACTCGATGTTTACACAGATGATCCAGTAAGTAGATCAATGGAACACATAAATCATTTTTGACAGTGAAAATTTTTCCCTAGCATTCAATGAAGGGATATCAAGAGATGATAGGTTTGAATAAGCCATTTGCATTAGGAGAAGTTGGACCACAAACAACTAACGGTCAATTCGATTATACTCGATGGTAAGATAGATATTTTTCAATTACATGTCCTTTGGGATTAATGTTGTTTCAAGGTTATCAGCGGTTCAATCAGTATTTCCTCGAGTTGCGTATTTCTTAGCTTGGAACGATGGCTGGTCACCAATCCGCAATCGAAATGCTTTTGCTTTTCTCAACAGTCCACAAATCATCAATCGCGGACAAATAACTGTTAACGGTGGAACAAATACCGGTTCTAGCTCTGGTACATCATCGTCATCAAACACAGTTCTTTACAATTTCTCCAATGGTGTTAGTGAATGGAAAGGATTCAATGTCATCGGTGGACCATGGCAATCCAATGAATTCATGGTAAAATCAACCGAGAGCTTGAAAGCTGACATACAATTATCAGCAGGTGGTCGTTATGTTTTGTATACTCAAGAAAAATCAACATTTAATCTCAGTGGACGAAAGAAATTAACTGCTCAAACACGTGTTGCTTCGTGGGGTTTCTCCAACAATGGCAAAATCAGTGCGAAACTCTATATCAAAGCAGGTTCAGCATGGAAATGGTACGATTCCGGTGAAGTTGAGCTGAATAGCAATTCTGCCACAACATTATCGCTGAATCTAAATCAAATCTTCTCTGGAGAACTAAACGATATTCAAGAAATCGGCGTTGAATACTCATCGAATGCATACGGTTCTAATACTGCTATTTATCTATCATACATTTTAGTTGAATAAAAAAAAACGGAATAAAATCAGCTCAACAAATTTCCACACATTCATATTCTTTTCCCATTTGTATCCTTATCACTGATACATGTACTATTATTGAAATAAATAGATATCGCTGTTGTAATAACTGTCATCTGTAACAACATCATAACTACAATTCACATGATTTATTTGAGCTTGTAGTACAATTATTATTTTTATTGTACATATTCGCACATGTGAAAAGACATTGGATTATTCAACAACAAATATGAGTAATTACATGCGTTCACAATGCTGAATTTTGCAAACAATCAGTTTTTCAAAAACCAACGCGATTCATCACGATTATTTTTTATTAATATAATTATGAGCACCGGTTTTGTCATCTATTTTTATTTCACCCGGCGTCTATTATTGTCGACAGCTTTCTTCTTCGTCTAACGGAGAATAAAAGCGATTATACACGTCATTCAAGATTACGGGAATTGCTATTCTACTGTACTTGAAAATTGATTAGATATGAAGAGAAAAAAATCCGGCATTGTGTGTATCATAGACTCTCCGTGCAGATTCAGTAATTTGATTGGAATTTTTCACATCTCATATACTAGTTTTGCATAACGCTTGGCAAAATCAGCGTCAATTGAATAATAATCTCATAAAAAAATCATCATCTCGCGCATTAAAGCCTCGATTAGCACAGTCAAACATGAGAGAAAAATCAAACATGATTGTTCTTTCTTCTTCGTTTTATATTTGGAACTCGAACAATAATCTGTTCGAGAAATTTCCCCCGAGAGTCAAACCAGTTTTTGCCATCAACAGAAACAATCTATCTTGATCAACAGAATATATCGACATATTACTTTTTGACACGCAATATTTCTTCACGTTTGCAATTATAATTTGATCATTATTCGAATATTATTAATCAATATATTTCAACCGTTTTGCTCTCTTGCTACTGAATCATACATACAGACATAAAACATCGAATATATTTGTGATTTACATATCGAACAGAAATAAAAAAAAGCGTGCAAACTAACAGGTATGAGACAAGTACAGCGAAAAGAATCAACCGAGTCGTATGACTAGAACTACGCGCATACGTATTTAGTGGAGAACCGATCAATCTTTTGTAGCATAGATCAACAAAAACAAGAGAGGAAAAGCAAAAATAAACAGACATATCCATCAATTTACAGACCGGAACAAATCGCACATACATATACACAAAACCAATACTGTACGAATATGAAAAGAAAACGGAGCAACGTGACGGTTTTCGAACTATTGCATAAAGGAAAAAAACAAACTAGAGAAGAAGGAAAGAACATTACATTGTTTTATTAAACATCTCTGTCTCTATATAAACTGTTTATCAATAAAATCCAAAAAGCGTCGAGCGTATATCTCCGGTCGAACTGTAGATATGCCATCGGCATCTGAACCAGATAGTTTTGTTTTTGCTACATGTGCACTCTTCTTTTTCATTCCGTAATAGGTTAAGATATCAATTAAACCAAGACTGTACAGTTCACGACGTGTGGATCCTAGATAAAACGGAAATAATCATAAATAAATAACGAAAGATGGCTTACTATCAGAATTTCGCAACATAAATGGTTCGTCAAATGAACAATCTTCACCGATCTGTGTTGGATTATCTAATAGGATACAAAGAAACAATACCGAAAAATAAACTACGAATGAAATCCTATGTACCAGAATCATCTGATGATTCATAAGCCGACAAATCGGATGTATTCATATCCCCGCCAGATACAGTTAGATCCCGTTCTATGACAAAATCAAATAAAGTACAATGTAAAACACGGAAATAAATTTCCAATCAATTAACATACCGACCCCTCCTTGATCAAGGTCATGAATACCAATCAATAATGAGTAATCCATTTTATGTTGGCTAACAAGGAACTAATAGAGCAAATAATATCCATGTTATTTTCCTTCTTAATAGAATTGTTTTTCTCCCTAATTACCTTAACATCACGTTTAAGTCTTTCCATAAAGATTTTCTTTTGTTCTGGACCTAAATCGATCGTTCTTTTGCTTTCGACGAAATCAATATCTTTCAATGTTGGACATGGATTCAGTTTCTCTTTATCCGTCGCACGTCGATCAACGGTTGAACCCTGAAATGAACCCATCAATCCAATGTTGACTTCCCTCGATCGTACATACTTTCACGTCATATTTGTAATGAATTTTATATTTCGTTGAGAGAACATTTCGCATAACTAAGATATAGTTTTCCTTGTCATCAACTGTTAATCGATACAAAGCATAATAATGCGGAAGTAAGGTATCACCTTGAGTTTCGACAATATACTAAAACAAAACTCATCGTAAATATTCGAAACACTTTGATTTAGAACTTACTCGATGATATTCGGGTAGGATATTATGAATTTGTTCGACATCTTCTTTAGTAATACATTTGAGAACAAAACGACGATCACACGATTGATACAACGGTAAACTTGATTTGGTTGTTTCATTCATTGGTATGGGTGGTTCAGTTAGAGAATCCTAAAATTTTCTTGCATAATAACATCGAAATCGGGAAGACAAGACGAAAACTTACTCGAAAACTACCATCATGAACTTTCCAGTATTCGCGAAAAGCACGGAATACTAATGGGCAATACTCTTTGACTTTGAAATGACTTGGCATCACTTCTCTAAATTTTTAACAAAAGACAACCGCATTGAAAACCTCTGCCTTCATTTCTTCCTACTTATTGAAATTTTGATTGTCAATACGAATCTTGACATTAGCTTTGAAGTGTTCTGGTAAGAGCATAACTGGAATATTCACATTATCTAATTCATGAATCTAAACGGCATATTTCTGTTAGTATTTCTGTCCTTTCGTAGGATTGACTTACGGTGAAATTGACACCCCACATGAGAACAGATAACAATGGTTCATTGGCACGAAATAATTTGTGCTTCTGATGGCGAACTTTGAATTTGGATTTCGTCTTTATTTTATGTCCCTCCATCCGTTGGACTCGTTTCTTGTCTAAACGAAAAGCAAACATGAAAAAGTATTGTAATGAAGAAAAAAAATGATGATTAATATATCAGCGAATACGTTAGTGTCATCTATTGCAATCACAGGTAACCCACGTTATGCAAACGTTAATTGTCTCATACAGTTTACTTTCCCTCACCGAATACAAACAGACAAACGAACTAAAAAAAATGATCAATCGGATGAATTCTAATGGATAATTTAGTGGAACCAATCAAAGAAATAAATAATTTATTTCTCCCAAGAGATTTCCATGTTTCAAAAGAAGAATTTGCTGCACACAGTTCTTTACTTTGGTAAATTATTTCTTCGAAATGAAAAGTTTGAACTTAGAAAAAAGGACACTGATTGAATGCAAGAAATTTCTCCGTTTGTTTTTTCCTCTCGATAGATGTCGCCCACGCTCTTGCCGGTGAACGTTTTATGTAACACAATAATAGAAAAAGAAAATTTCGAACTAATTATATCTAATAGAATTTATTCAATAAACTGAAAGAATAATAGACTAATTAAGTTACGTATTGAAAATTAATGTAGCAAAAAATGTCAGAGAACCACCTACACATCGTGCACTTCTCGGCTTTGAAGATAACGACTTGATTCGAAACCGTCAATGTTCCTTTCTATTTGCTACCGAAGTTAAAAATATAATTTTAAGGGAAAGTAATGCTGCATGTGACAACAGCAATGTTATCTGATAAGGGGACGGGTCAATATCATCGACGCAAATAACCTAAGATGTTTTTATCATTCGAACATCGACAACTATAATCTATTCGTATTGTAAAATCTACGGAAGATCAAAGGTATTCACTTACATGTTTATGAATGTCCACAGAAAACTTTGACTGTCGTTTGAGAAAAGACTAGAAGATTGCAGTTTGAAACTACTGATGTAAAAGAAAAAAGTAATGAGAATCTTGTGCTCTTTTCTCGTTTGACATTTCTAATCGCTTCTCTTTCTTCTATTGCGAGTTTTCTCGATAATAGCGTACGAGCCGATTCGAACTTGACATTCAAAAACATAAAAATCGGAAATCTGTCTTAGCATTTCAATACGTTCATGTCGAGCGTCGAAAGGCAACTAAATAAATTTGTAATCAGATGAATTTCTCTGTTTTTAATGGAATTTATTTTTAAGGGAGACAACAGAGAGAAGATACATTCGAAATTTTCACAGGAAAAATCGTGTTAATTAAGAAATTCAATTGATTTTCGGTGTTTGCAATGAAGTCGACTAATCTGATTCCATATCAGTCTTCAACGATGATCTTTCTGATAGAGTATTATTATTCGATGACGAAGACGATGAATTAGAATCGAATTTGAATTGTCGTTTATCGTAGTATCGATATAATAATGGAGAATAGGGATGTATGGTTTTGATATGTTCATAATGATTTGTTGGGTCATGGGATGTATGTCCACAGTCTTCACAAACGTAGAGTTTATTGCGACGGATTTTATAACCGAATTTATGGCTTAATCCGTGAACTTTACGTTGGTGAGATTCCAAACTGCAACGTTGAGTAAACGCTTTATCACATTGATCACATTTGAATGGACGAACACCTAAGAATGAAACGAGATAAACTGTACTATACCTTTCGATTTATAGAAAAACACTAACCTGTGTGTGTTCTAGTATGTCGTTTCAGATCGAATGTATCATTGAATCCTTTGCAGCAAAATGTACATAAGTATCGTTTTAATTGACTATGATTTTTTAAATGACGATTCAAGAGTCGTTGTAGTTTAAATGTTTTTGTACACAAACCGCAGACGAATTCTTCGCCATGATTTATAGCATTAGCTAGAATCAAAGTGTGACAAATTGTCCTATTAATTGTTCTTTCTGGGAACGAATCATTCGACTCACCATATTTAATTTGTAATGCTTCGGTTGCACAATCAAACAGAGGATTTTTTATTCCATGGCCACCATTAACCGTTTCCAAGTTCGAACTCTACGATAACAAATCAAAATGATCACATCAACAGATGATTCTTTAGACTTACCGTCAATGGTGGACTACACACATTTGGAACTACATGTTCACTTAGTCTCGAATTGAAATGAATTCGTTCAGGAGTGACCTTGACAGTATTTTGACTCAAATGATTTTCGACGGGATGCAGTGGCGGTATGTATGGATAGAATGCGTCTTTTTTCACAACTGATGTTGATGGAAGTCGATTGGGAAGATTGGATGTTAAATAATCAATGGTAAACATTTTCTTCGTATTCAGCGGATAATTCGGTCTACTCAAATCGAGTGGCTGATCCATATTACTAAAATGAATGGGAAAAGTGTGACAATGAAACAAAATATGAAATGAGATGAAGTTAATCATCGATGTGTGAGGAACGAATTGGAGAATTCTGAACAGAAAGTTACAGCAGGAGATGTTCTACCTTTGATACTTTGACAATGATTGGAAATTTTCATCGAGATTTAACATTTGAAGAGTTCAATGTGATAATGATGCGACTTGAACATTCAATCTCATTTTCTTCTCTTTCTCCTCTCCTCTCCCTCTTCCTCCTTTTCAATATGTTTTCTTTAACCAATGAATTTTTTGTCTCACAATAGTGTACAGAAAATAGATATGTCTTTTGAAGTTCGTTTTGCGATTCATTTCGGAGATAACATTGACTTATCGAATTGAGTCTAGAAATGACGGATTTTCTCTCTTTTCTCGAGCAATAATTGAATGAAAACATCAAATAAACTTTTGTCCAAAAAGGATGATACATTGAATGTGTCAAGAAGCATGAAGAGACTTATTTTCTTCACGTTTTATATTTCGCACATCACCATAAATGATGTTCATCTTTCCGAATCGATCACCACTATTGACTGATGGAAAAAAAACAAGCCTTACCATTTCATATAAACAAGAAAACGAAGTAATCAATATGTTTGTTTATATAATATAATATAATCTACTTACTTACGATTCAATCTTTCGACTAAACACGGTTCGATGCAAATGTCATATGTATATGTAGGTATATCTTACTAATGATTGAATACAAGGAGAGGTAGCTATAACATACTAACGGCACGATATTTATCAAAAAAAAAACGACGAACGCTTTCCTTTTTCTCCTTCAGGAAAGAATATCTAATCATTTAATCGTGTCACCTGTATGTATATTTGACTGATCGATGTCGCAACGTAAACATATACGTGCCGCTATCATTATACCTGTGCGTCAGAAGAGAAAAATCCTGTTTTGTTTGTCTAAACGTCAAATTAATTTCATCTTTTCGCATTTTTCGTCATTTTCCCTTACTAATTAGACTGTATACGACGACAACATATCGTTAACGAACTGTAACCGTAGAAGCTCCTTCTTTCTTTTTTTCGAAAATTAAATGACAATCGATGATCATGGTACAGACAACTGTGCCTTGAGGGACTGCTATAGTTTGAAGGAGTGTACACACGCGTCTACATGTATGTAATATTCATTTGACTTGACAATTTGATTGCATCAATAATAAGAGAGTTGATCGTTTTTAACACATCGCTACCTGCTGTGTTTGTATGTCGATGTCGTCTTGAAGATGATACTTCGAATGATAACGGATCAGTGTTCATTTTTTCCCAAATGACACCCATGCCTGTTGGAGATGAAGAACACTCACATATGAATGCGAAAAAGAAATGATAGGATCACATAATTGACTGGAAAAGAACATTGAGAAATCTATTGTAGAATGTCGATTGATAATTAGCTAGTTTGTAAATTTGGTGTATACTTCGCACGTACAAAATATGTCGAACTTGGCTTTAATAACTGATATCCTTTTCCAGGTGAATGATGTCCAAGAAATCATCGCATCAAAGTCAAGTTATGTCGTCGTAAAGACATATCTTGCAGTTCAAGGTAAAAAATTTGTATATTTCGGACTCTAATAAAAAAAGTCGGGAGACATTAAGATCAACCGAAGTGATTCAATGCTTATCTCAACGATCTGTGACGTATATATTGATTTATCAGATTACTTAGAGAACGAACGAGTAAAAAAATTTCGTTGAAATTTCTTTATTTTCATAGAAGAGAAAAACAATCAAATTCCATCATGATTAAAATTCTCGATTTTCTTGTCGATTGCATCCAAACGATTCAAGACATCCAATTGATAGTGTTTCGTATTATCCAACAGCAGATTAGCACATGATTGTTGAAGTTTATTCACCGAGTCTGTTGTGGCGTGGAAACTTTCCGACAGGACGCTGATTTTTTCTTCGAGTTCCTTGCTTCGACTAGTATTCAAATTGTTCGCTGTACTCATCGTTTGTTTTTATACTAATGAAGTATCCCTTGTTTTTTTTTCTGTTACCAATCAAGACAAACGATATCTCATTTGTCAGTTATATCAAAGTCACGTGCGATGAATATAAATCACGAATGTGCAATGAGTGAATGAACTTGTTTTGTATTGTTCATCGTGAGAGTGAAGAGATAGGTACGATCTGATAATTGATCAGTACGGGTTGCTCATTTCGAGTATTTTTCGGATGTGAAATCGAACTTTCTACAGATGTCTGCGGAATTGATCGTTTTGTGCTTCGTACACGTTTTGTCTTTATCTTTTTCAACGACGTGACCGATTCGACTTTTTTGATATTCACCGGTTTACGCAAACTCATCGTTCCTAGCAAGCGTCGATACAATTTCTGCAAAGAAAACAAAAACAAAGAAAGCTATTGATAAGATTTCATCGTTCGCTACTCGATTCTCCTTTGCATTTTGTTCATTCGATTGCGTTTTGACATGCGTAGTTGATTTTCCGTCCTTCAAATCGGTGTAATGAAAGATAGAGTTCTTATTGAACTTATTTGTTAAAAACATGTGATAATCAATAGGTTTACGATCTTTCAAAGCTTGAGCATCGTCTCTATTTGCCATCGATAGTAACGTTTTCAGTGTGAACTTCATTTTCCATAGAGATTCGGGTTGCTATAGGAGAAAAACAAATGATTTTTTTTACACGAAAACAAGCAATGCATTACATATTTAATTTCAGAATGCGTTTTAACTTGAGGTGAAGGATCGTATAGTGGAATATCTGGTGTCATTTCAAATTGACTCGTTGATTCGTGATACGATTTCAATGGAAGTGATTCGAAATCTTGAGATAATGTCGATGCTGGATTACTCTGATAGATTTCATCAAGATCATTGATCATTTGTGACACTATATATTCAAATGAAATGCAGCATTCTTCCTAGCTATCCAAGACATACATGAAATTCTCGGACTGTAGAGGGATCTATTGGAAAGTGATGGTTTATCAACGAATCGTGGCACCACAACAGCGACTTGTTTGATGGGGAAGACGTGTGGTGATACTGAAACACTAAGATGGTTCGACTTATGTAAATTGAATTCGTCATGCGGAGATACAATAGTTGTATTAAGCAATGATATTTGTGACGGTGATATTGGTTGATTTAGATTAGCAACATTGATGCTGGATAGAGAAATTTTATCAGCATCGATATGATCGATCGAGCGATTTTGTCGATGGAATGATGGTGTAGGTTGATTGAAGATCATTCTGTACGAGAGAATTTCATCAGTAATCTGTTCGACAGAGAAGATTTTCTTTACAAATTGCGGTTACTTTCGGTCGGAGTCGATCGTTGTAGTTTATTCACAACTGTATTACTGTTTATAATAGATTTTGGTGAAGGAGAAAGTTCACCAGGTAGGAGAATAGTTGGACTAGGAATGTGATAGGCGCTTTTCACTGACGATTTTAAATCATTGGGACTGAATTCAATATTCGTCACGCTCTCTGTTATCGATTGCAATTGTTTCCGTCTAATGATAAAAATGATAATACCAGTTTCAACCTATGTGCAACTTTACTCGATCAAAATCAAATTTGTCGACTGTGCTTGTGCTATTTGGTTTGACGGATCTAAGCCATGCAATTTCTTTGTTGCCACTGAATGAATGGCATTTCTGTTAGTAATAACCTTTGCTGGTAATAAATAAAATGGTAGAACATTCTCGTGTATCTTCTTTCTGGAAAAACTATTTTCAGGAACATTTGCATTTTGCTTTAAATATGGCATACATACTTAAGCGGGTTATTCTTGGAAAAACAGATAACCTCGTTCTGTGAACATGTCGTCAATCTATTGTTGATAATTAGTGGCAATGACAATCAAGGTGTTTTGCACTACTTTTGTATCGAGCTTTTCTTGTGATGAAATTGTTCACTGAATGAAGTAAAAAACGCCGATTCGGAATAATCGTCCGCGTCGAAACGATTAGTTTTCGATATGTAAGCCAGTATACAGATAGCAGAAAACTGAAGAATAGATCAAATGAAATGCGCAATAATTCGTTCGCGTGATTCATGATAAATGATTACAAATACCCTAGTTCGTCCTATGCTCACTGAAGTCGTCAATAAATCGAGAGTGAGTCTGTTGATATATGTGATCTCAAAGAAACAAGATTAGCTCTCAGAAACATACTGTCATTTTGACGAAGATGAGAACATTTTGATATTGATGTATTATTAACAAATACATAATCACCGAGGTACATGTTCAGCATCAAAAAGAACATCAATGCACTCAATTCAAGTGAAAAGCATTTGTATCGCTATATAGTTATATTTAAATGTAAAAAAGTCCAGACTGATCTGTGTAGTTTTATCTAGTCAATATATTAAAAAAAAAACAACGAGAAAAATGACTTGAAAATTGACTGGGAGCACACTTCGATCCATGGCAGTACACCGGAAGGAGAATACAGAAGTCAGCATTGTCCATATTCACATAGTCGAGTCTTTGAATTCATACGGTATTTCCAAAATCATACGAATAGATACCACTGGTCCTTTCCGATGTGATCATATGGCTTGCGATATTTGTATTAGATGTTGTCAGTTCTTCGTTCTGCTCTGTCTCTGCTGTTAGAAGTCGACGTGACGAACTTGGACGTAGATTTGTCATTGATGTGCGATGTTCGAGCACGGTACTTTCTTTACGTACGGTCTCCTGTCGAGACATTTGTTGAGAACGAATGGCAGCGTCCACGCGCATCTCGTACAAACGCCATTGTTCGAACCAATCGCATCGCCAACGCATTTTTTCGATTAAAACTTTTCGAAACGTTCGTCTTGAGATGACATAGAGAAAGAAATATAGACTATAATTGAGTAAATAGAAGACTTCAGCAATCATCCGGCCTGCTTCAACATAGATTGGCGGCGTGTCTCCTCGCACACGCATGATACACGTAACTAGCCAAAGGATAAAATATGGAAAATTCAAAATCCCAAATGTGATTGAAATAACAACGAGCATCCAGGTTACTTTGTCGTTTTCCAATTGATTCTTCATAATCATATTTACATATTCATTATTGGCACTATCGACTTTTTTCGTTTGACTTAATTGTTGTTGCTGTTGTTGTTTCTTTCGTAAACGTCCAGCGCGTAGTAATTGTCGAACTGTTAGAATATTAACGATGCTCACAATGAGAATTGGAAATGTTAAAGTTAAATTTCCGTAGATAATCGTTAGATAAAAATAAATTGCTTTATATTCATTCATAATATCACATTCGGAAAGTTCATTTTTCTCGTCACTATTTACATTGGACATGAGAAATGAATAAAACGGTAAGAGAAATGATATGATAAGTATGAATAGACATATTCGACGAGCACTGCGTGGATTACACAGAACAGATGTTTGAAGCGGAAAATAGACAACAATGAGACGTTCAAGTGTGAATGCAACAACTATCCAATGAGCGGCAAAACGTAACGTATGACGGAGATAAGTTGAGCCTACGAAAAAACACAATTAGTCAAACAGATAATTGCAATGTAGGTGACTTAAAGGAAATTAGCTAAGTATAGTATTTTAAAATTTTTATAAGCAGTAACTTTTTTTTTCATAATTAATCATTGACTAGTCATTCTTACGAAGTCAAGTTTGTATAATTCCGTCTCATCTTATAATAACATCTATTTATTCTTTCTAATTATAGTTCAACGTATCTGTGCACTTATAGAGAAAAGGAGTTTGCGTATAGTTCACAACGAATACAAACCCGCGTAGTGTGAATGAATTGTCGATTGGATTTTTAACAAGTAGAAGCTCTTATTAATATCGACGGAAATCTTTTCACAAGGAAAAACAAATACTCAGTTCATTTAACTCTCTCTACCAAGTTTGTTTTGCGATAAGACAAACATTCCTAACTAATCGAGATTATCTTCTTGTGTTTCTTGAAAATATTCATCCTATCTGATTCAGATAAAGAGACAAAAGTAATTGTATATGATTATATTACAAAATATACAACGTGGTCAACGTACTCTTCATCAGGAGATTTATTAATAGATTAAGGAAGCGATTTATAGCAGATATTTCCTTATCTTACAGTCTCAACAGTAGATCGAATGAACTGCGTATGCTTACTCGAGATTAAAAGTTAACGATCGTATACTGATTATCATTCAAACGAATTTCTCAAGAATGAGATCAGATTACGAAAAATATTTTGCACTCAGATGGACTTAAGAACATCTTTCAGTCCATGACATCGAATCGTTTCTCAAAATCAATATTAATGTCAAAAACTTAGACAGATAATATAATATATTTGCATATCGATAAATTATAATTGATTAACTTTTACTAATGGAAATGTTTGATCTTCATTCATGTGTCTTTGAGCTCTCCCTCTAAACGAACGTCAGACATTCTACAGTACAAACAACGAAGTTAATAGTGTTTTCTTTCAACTTGATGGGCAATTTCCTTACGCTATATGTCATGACCTTCTGATTAAAATGATATAATCAATCGGCAAAAGTGCTTGACTAAACCAAACGTAAATTCCAGTTGTTTTATTTTCCGATCCTAATGATGTGTCTAGGCTGAAACAAGGCTAGCGTTTTATCATTGATATTTTCTTCTCGACTAGTAGCTTCTGACGTCTCACATTCTTTTGACTTACATTTACAGAGTGGTCCCGATAAATCAACAAGATTTATTGGTAATTTAACATCATGAACACGTACAATCGATCGAAGAACTTCATCACAGAAGTAATTAAATAGTAATAATGCAACCACAAAGCTCACTAAATATTCAATGAGAAGTTTGATTATTGAAAAAACGAGTGTAAAGGAAAAAAGGTCACTGTGTCATTACTTGTAATGAGATATTCATTAGATGAATTCCGTCGAATTTTTGTTGATGAGAACACTTTTATCGAGAGCATCGAGCCGATCATACCTGAAAGTACAAGAAATATTCCATTGCTCGACATAGAAGTCGCGTATTTACCAACAATAACAAGTATGATACTTGAATATAAACGAAACAATTGACAGAAATCTAAGATTTTCGAATCCGAACTTTCACTACTCGATCGTTTGACTAGATATCTTCTTATATCGATTGTTTCTTCTGTCATATTCATTATTCATATCTTCGTTGCTTCGAGAGTCATTCGTAGATTTTCATTGAATAAGAATAGAAACAAGCTTTATATGTGTGTTATTTCTCTTCTGAAAAAGAAAGAAATCTACATTAATAAAAAATCAATAACTTACATGTATTATGACAGATCGGTTGGAATTTCCTGAAATCTATCTATTTCTCTTTCTGTATGCTTCTTTCTCTCTCTCTCGCGGTATATATATATATATCTATGCATACATTTGTTTTGTACTTATTTTTCCGAACAGGATCTCGAGAGAAACACGTTTGCGACGACAATTCTTTCGCTTGCTCGTCCACACAAAACATCTTTTACCATCGGTAGTATACGACAAGACAAAAGTAACAACATTTGCCGAGCGACAGATGTAATGGTTCTTATTCTGACATATTCATTCAGAATCCGACCGAAAAAAAAAAGAAAATTTCTAAAAGAACAAAAGCATGTGTTGCATATCAATGACTCTCTCTTAGCACAAAATGAGCTAATCTATTAACTCACAAAAGTCAAGCCAAAGTCATTATTGTTAAATTTGAGAAAAAGAACTTCCGATAAAACAAAATCATTTCAATCCAAACGAAGTGGCGTCTCTGGAGATTCTAACAACAACTAATTTCGATTAGTTGTTTTTCATTTATGTGTTCCACTTTCTCTCAGCCCTCACATTCCCTAGGAGATATGTTAAGTAGAGTCAGCTTTTATATTTAAATAATTTTATTGCGAGGTTTTATTTTTCATGCATTTTTTTTCGCAACACGGCCTATATGTATGCATGAAAGTCTCTGGAGATTTCGTTCTTACTAGTCTCTACTCCTTCATCTGCCCGTGATGCTTTCCAAAAAGGACGAATTCGACGTGCTCGAGTGACTTCCTCAAAAACGGATCTCGATACGTTTGCCGATTATTTCTCACGCTAAATAAATATTCATAGCGTGTTACTTCGCGTCTCGATCATCTTGACTCGTCCGTGGACGATCTGCATCGAAAAATCATTGAAGAAAAGCATGCGAGTTTATCTTTCAATGACAACTCCTTACCCGTCAATAGATACTTATTAAATGGCGTTATGCTACTCGTCTATTCTTCCTCCCTCTCTCTCTTATTATTCTCTGGCATTCCGTCTTGTAGATTAGCGAGATTATTGTCAAACTATCTATGGGATGTTGTACGAACGCGAAGGACTATTAGTCTATCATGGAGGAGAAGAATGAATGGACATCTTTATGCTCGGCATTTGCTGCTTGATCTACATGATTCAATTTAGCAAATGCTCATTGACGATCAGCAAACAGTGCAAAAGAGATCAACCTAATTTTCAGAAAACCAAAGACATGAAAAGAAAAGGAGGAAGAAGGAAACCTTGAACATGAATAGAATAACATGCTTCTTGAGCAACTGTGATACACACCCACATTTTGTACTTTGTAGGAGCTCATAGGTCGTGTAAATTCTGTTTTTTTTTCAAAAAAAAAACAAACGTTACTTCGTCATACTCATTATAACACCTATTCAAAATCCGTTTTCTTCCTCTTTCGCTATACCCGTTTGTTATAATGATAGGAAGCAACATTTCCTGAGAATGATTTCATTGCTCTAATAATGTCGACTAACTACTGATCAACTAAGCAGAACGACTATGGATCCTCTTGTTCTATTCTGTTTTGTTCCTCGCACGATTCTAGATGTTTGATCAACTAGTATAACATCTGAGTATCGTTTAACGTTAATTCATCAACTAAGAAATTCAAATGTGTGTGTTTATTTATAGCAAAGAAAAAAGGTAATTGAATCAATTGGTTTTTCTTTCTATGTAGATAGAACGGATCAGACGGGTTAGTAAACTTTGCTTATATTATTTTTCATGCTTGTCAATTCTCTTTCCTTGAGAAAAAACGGTAATTGATGATTATAGAAACTGTAATAAGCTTCATCTCCCCTATTAGTTGTTGTTATTATCGCCGCTGTTTCTTTTGAAACTATCAAACTTTCCTTGTGAAAGATCTTATTCAACCGTTATAATCTTTGCAAAAAATTCCGTTCGCGTGAAGCAAAAAAAAACGCACACAGAAAATATTCTTTTTTTTGTGTTTAATCGAGCAAAAAAGAAAATTGTGCATCTTAGTATTTCTACGAGATTATAAACATCACTATAATGATAAATAAACATCTCGTGTCATAATCTCATCTTGTTTCCGCTAACGATATATACAAGGAACTCAGTTGATAATCAATAATAAAGAACTACTTACATTTAAATACTATCTACGAGGAAAAATAAATTCCCATTGATCATCTGTCGTTATTCGTGAAGAAAGAAATTAAGTAGAATATGCCCTATGTAAGCATCTCAGCTGGCATGACTGATATAGAACTCTTCTGATGTGTCTCTATCTGTCAGCATTAGGAATCTGTCAACGGGAAGCAGCATCTCCAGTGAAGAATTTCTCTTTCTTTTCTGTAGGTCTTTTTGTCTTGTTCTACGTGGGTTACGCAGACCGACGAATGTTCAGCAGAGTTTCTTAGTTTTAATTCTAACTTACTTGTGCAAATCAAAACGGAGAGTTTCCTTTTGTTTTGTCATCGAATAAAATCTCGATTCTTAGATCTATCATGATGAGAACATAAGCCGAAGAAAATAGCATTGATTGCGAGAAGAAGGAGAAGAGAAGAAGAAGGAGAAATAGATAATGTTATTAGCTGAAATAGTCAATAGATATTTGCATTCGAGAAGGATTTTCGCGTCATCAACATACTGTGTATATAGATGTGCTTTTTTTCTCTCATTTACATGATCGTTACAGGACCAACATGAACGAGTAACAACATTTCGATATTAATGTTCGTCAAGAATGAATAGAGATGGACGTATTCTCTTCACTGTGTAATCTTTTGCGGAAGAAAAGAAGAGAAAAGGAGAAAAAGGAGAGAAAAGAGAAGTCGAAGAAGAAAAACTGCAAGAAAATGATGAAAGAACGCATATTTCTAAATGAAGATTCTTTGCTTGCGTAAAACATACTTGGTATTCTAGATTGTACAATGAATAGCGATTAGGAAAAGGAAAAATAATCGAACAGTCTATAGATTAAGAAAATAAAAGAGGCAGTCTTGCTATACTTATTGAATATTAGTTAGCGGAGAAAGTTTCCTCGTTTCCTATTTATTTATTCAATGACATTTATTTCAGTCTGTGATCCATTTCAAATCTTCTTTATCCGTTCGCGAACAAACCGAGATCGGAAGTATTTTTCAACGTACTTTATTTATTAGTTTACATTGTCTATCGAAAGAAGAAAAAAAACGGGCCAACTAAATTATACATGACAACGTACATTTCTAACAAATCGAAAGCAGCTATTGTTTTGAAATCAAAATCCAGATTTTTTTCATCATCGTCACTATTTTCTCTTTCATAGTGCTGCTCGCATGCAACATGTAAATAGAAACTCACGTATTATCTCACCATAACATCAAACGATACTGCGATGCATTGTATTTCCTGTACAGCAGAAAACGAACTCTACTGCTATGAGAAACACGACAATAGATGAACGGCGCGATTTTTTCTAATGCATGCATGCGAAATTCTATTTGAACGATGGACGCGCAAGTGATTGAATCAACCGGATGATTGATCTGTTTGTCTGCAAATGTTCTCATTTTGACAAAGATACACGAACTACAACGAACTCACTGCTGCTGTAGTTTTGTCTTCGATAATAGCAATAAAATGCCAATTGATCAAATTTCCGTTAAAAGAATGACGACCACGATGTTTTTTTTATTAGAACGATAAAAACACATAAGTGATACTAACAAAACAGAATGAATGTATTTTGTAATTGTTTACTCTACTACTTTTTCGAGAAATTAGTTCTATTAAAACGTGGATTGTTAGGGAGATGAACTGCGCGTAAAACTCTTACGAGTGAGAAGAGAAGAAGGTATCGATTTGTTGTTGTTCTTCTCCTCCGTGATCAATGTTGGTTTCTCTAATGATGGAAGAGATCGAAGAAAAAAGAGTCGGTCTTCATATGATTGTGTTTGTTCACTTCGACTATGTTCGATTAATTAATAAACGCAAACAGTTCGCCTGAGAATTGAAGAGAAGTGAAAATTAATTTGTGTAGTTCTATTCTCATTGGCAATTTCCCTAACGTCAATGCGTGCGTTCTATCAACTAAATTCCGGTACTTCTCCTTCTTCTTCTTTCACTAACTTATCGGTAATAATGACGATTAAAACCGACGCGTGACAAACGAATCAAACCTTACTTGTCAAATTTTATTGACACATACTTTTTTTTCAACAAACAGATCTTCTGACTTGTTCCCACAGTTCTATTCGATACATCTTGTCTTACATGACTTGAATCTTTCTTTCTTCTTCCCTGTTTTTTTTTTCTTTTCTGTTTCGCTTTGCCTTGGCCGACTCTTACTGCTTGCTTGAGTGCTGCTATGGGTCTGCTTGCAAAAGATCGACTAACAAGAACTCCGATCGACGAAAGAAATGAGCTATTTCTTTTTGTGTTCAATTATCTCAGTCTCTTCTTTGTCTAGAGAGGAAAATATTCAGAAGGAATATTTTAGCATGGATGTGTGCTGTTTTCAATCAACCATTTGACGGTCCTCTGTAATCAGCTCGAATAAAAAAAAACAGGACACAAAATAAAAATTCATTGACGTCAAGACAAGAAAGCCTTTTCTCTTCTAGCGTCGATTGAAGTTCTGTCATCAGTGCCATTTATTCTAATTGCGATTAGGTCGATGAGAAGATGCGCAAACATTTACGGAGTGCTATTTCAATTCGGCTTCTCCTTGGATGTGCTTTCTTGCAATAAGAACACAGACAACCAAGAGATTTTGTTTACAGCTATGTATATATATATTTATATATAGAAATGAAGGTGACTGAAGGCATCACACCTGGTTTTTATTCTTATTTTGTTGTATAAAAAGAAGAAGAAGTAAAGGCACAAGAAAAAAAAAGAAGAACGAATGAATGTGACGAAAACGAGTTCACCAAAAAATAAAGTACATATAGATTGATGATTATATCAATTTATTATTGAGATTTTACGCGTAGACCGTGGCTTGTCGGTTGACATCACTTATTGTTGAGTGAGTAGCGTTCGCTGTTGGTGGACGTTGCGAAAGCGGCATTTTATTCACATTTAGGTTCTCGGAGATAAAATTCGGATCGATTACATAGCGATGTACTCGCTTGGGTATCGTATTGTAGAAGAAGGTTTCCGACGCGTTGTAATGTACGTCAGGTGCTGGCTTTGGTATTTGAAGTTTTTCTATTGGAATTGTTTTGTAATATTTCGGACGTGGTGGAAGACTGAAGTGAAGAATGGAGGAATGGATTTTATGCGTATTTTCAAAACTTACGTGTGAGTTGGAGTCGGAGTCGGAGTTTGCGTCCGATTATAGGCGTCGACGTTTTCTACGACATTGTAACATTGATCTTTGATGAGATAGAGACGACCTTCGATCAGATACTTTTTAAGGTTTGATGATGGATCATCTAATGATAACGTAGGATCGTAAAGTAATTTCACGCCATCGATTTCAACCGGTACTTTTGTCGAATAGGATAGGGGTGCTGTGGCAAGCATGGGTTCATTACGTTTCTCTTTCTGATGGCGAGAATGCTGTTGATGATGCTGGTGATGAGGATGATGAACGCGTCGACGATGTTTACTTGGTTTTCTTGTCGTTGTATAATCCTGAACAACTGTTTTTTTGGCGGCATTAGTAGCTGAGACAACACCTGGCCGACGAATATAATATGGATTGAGGACAACAGGAACACTAGTTTCCACTTTAGTACAACAAGCAGGTTGATCATTTCCACACCACGTGGCAGATCTTTGATAGACATAAACAGACGGCGTGGTCGTCGAGGGAACAATTACAGATGATTGTTGTTGTTGCTGTTGATGCGGTGGTGTTGCTTCGGTATAAACTTGCGTGCGAACGATCGGATTGATTTCATTTGCTACTTGTGTTTCTTTGTATTGAGGCGTTCTTTGAGCTGATCGACTTTCTCGGCGTTGTTCTTGACGATTATGATAATTTAATTGTTCCTCATTGAAAGTAACTGATGTATTCAAACGTCCTCGAGCTGATGAAGCTCGAACTCGAGGTTTGTTTGCTGTCGCTGACGGTGGTAGTGGTTGTGTTGGTGCGGGTTGATGTGTAGGAGCAGAAACTAAAGGTGTCATAAATCGTGGTTCCGGAACCGTTAGAACGGATGTTGATGGAAGCGTACGGATCAGCGGAGCACTCTTCAAACGTCGCGGCACTTCTTCGTGTATCGGCACTGAAATGACAAGGTTGTCTTTGTCATAGATACTTTTCAAACGGAAAGAAAACTCATAAAAATGCAATAAAAAGTATCTTGACAATACTTGTTATGCTAATCAATATTCGTCATAGACAAAAGAAACGACGAAATCATTATTATTCTTCGACTTTTCATATGGAATTATATTCAAAGTAAAGAGTTATCAAGTAGACGTTGTCGATCATCAATAACAGACATCGACGAACCACTGTAATTTCATTTCCGATCAAAGGCTATATAATGCATATATGGTTTTTCTCTATTCATAGAAGCAAGTTATATCTATTTCCGGACTGATAAAATAATCGTTGCAAGACTTTTGTTTACATATTATGTAAATTCAAGGTAATTATCATCGCATGTGTCTTCATTAGTTATTACAGATGACCTCATTCTTTTCAATTAGTGTCAATAGAGTATTCCGAACGATTCTATCTAGTCATCGACTTCCTTAGCAACGATTGTTGTTCTCCCTGTAAAAGAAGTTTTCACATACTATCAGTCGAAGTTGAAGGAAGATTTGGAGTTGCTGGCCGTCGTTCTATTTCATAATGTAATGCCCACGGTGTACGTAATGCTTCATCAATAGTGCCTGCCGAATGGTACGCTCGTTCACTTGACGCTATACTCTGCTTGTAACGTTGTAAAACATCATTAACATTGTTATTATTATTACTGTTATTACAACTCGCCGTGACTAAAACGATCAAAAGAAACCATTGATTAGTAAACACGCAAAATTTTCAAATTTCGTTTCTTTTTCAGTCTCTTGTATCGACTCGATACATCTCTGGTTGCTAATCTAAACATTGCACTTACTTGTATCTTGTTGTAGAAGATCCTTGTCGAGTCCTTTATTAATATAGATATCCCTTGGCGCCATTGTTGTTGTGATACCTGTATCTGGTACTACTTCAGGATACCACGCGTAGAGACATTCTCGACTAGGTTGATTACGTTGTTTCAATATTAAAGGTGCTGATTGAACAATCATTGTTCGAGTTAAACTTGATTTTCGACGTGAAAAGAATCCAAACACACAAATACGTATGAAGAGTTATAAATTGTTAAATGCTCTTCTTTTCTGTTGTTGCCAGCAACGATTAACATACACAAACAGNAGATTTCAGCAATGGATTGTCCTTGTTTATTTTAACCTTAAAACGAGAAGAGGAGGAGAAGGAGGAAAAGAAACTTTTCTCATCATCTCTTCGCCTTTTTTTGCCTGTTATTTCATAAAAGTTGAATAAATGCAAAAAAACATACGCGAATGTTAGAAATGTCTTTTGCACATGTAAAGACAATCGATGTAGCGTCGATGTGAAGTATGTACTACGCCAACGACAAGTCAAGAGTTTCGTTTTTTTGTTCTTAACTATCCTGATTACGATCTTGTCAAGCCGATTCTTGGTAAGTCAAACACATTCTTTGATTTTCGACACGACAATTAGCGTTTGATGGATATTCATATACAGGAAAAGCACACATCCTGCGAAGCAATCGTTTGATATATGAATTCTGTCGAGGTTTCTTCGTGTCATATAAATGAGAATAAGTCAATATTTGTAACAATTGCTATCGATGAAATTTGTCAAGAGAAAAAAAACATCATCTTGAGTTTAGGATTACAATAGAAGTGAGGCACGAGCCAAAGTGTGAAATCGATTGGTTGCGATCTTTTACACCTGACAATTAAAATTTACAAGATTATTGGCAAGAAATAAAATCGAATTCGTGTTATATCAGAAAATTTGAATATTGCAATCAGTGTACAGCGAATTGTGTCTCTAGAAAATTGACGTTGTATCAAACGTACAAACGAATCTCTTTATTGCATGTAATTTTCTCGAGATTTTATAGTATTCTCGTGTAAATCTACTTGATCGCTATCGAATGTGATCCGTGTTGACAAATAACGAAAAGACCTTCAGGAAAACAAACTCTCTTTCTGTCACTGTCAGAATACAGGTAAAATTATGCTTCGTCTAAGAAAACATCACATGTTTCTCATTGGTTCTTTTTCTCAATCGAATTTTACACCAATCGGATTTTTTCCTTCTTCTTCTTCTTCCTCTCATTCTGCTTATGTTAGGTTTTCGTGAATGATGAATGGAATAATTCATAAAATGTGAATAAAAAGTCAATTGTATCGTGATTAAACTTCGAAGGAAAAAGAATGTAGGAGAGAGGGAGAGAGAGAAAAAGAAATGTTCCAGTATTTGCATATGATACGAACGATGAAATCAATTTGACAGGCCTCTCTTTCTCTCTTGCTGTCTCTCTCATTCTTGTTCAAGTGCAGATTACACAGAGACGGTGTGTTCGCGATTCATTCTACACATTTATTTTTTCCTCTCTTGCTCTCTTATGCTTTTATTTGACCAAGCAGATAAAGTTCTCCGGAGGCTATCTACCTGAAAGTAGGAAGAAGAAGAAGAAGAAAAAAGAGTAGAAAGAGAGAAAACGAGAAAGAAAAAAAATACTCCGGTGTGCACATACACACACATAGACGCATACACAACAATAACAACTTGTGTGCACAACACACAAACGGTGTGCACTCGAGATTGGCTATCCCTTCATAATATAACGAGTGGCTCTTCGTACGTAACAATCTTCATCTCATTTTTTTTCTTCTTTTTCTCCTCCTTCTGTTTTTTTTTCAAGTGCCCATTCGAGTAGCGATCCTTGAAAACCAGCCTGTGTTGGAGTGGTCCCTCATGTGCGGCATCTTCTAATCTAGAGAGAAGGAGAAAAGATAGACGAGAAAGAACATAAAAAAAAGAAGGAAAAAAGCAGACAAAATACATTTTCAGTTTTTCTTACGTATCAACCATGATGAGCATATACATGATCCGGATTCGTTTGAGTAAGGGTTTATCAATTTGAAATGACATTTTTTCGACGAATCACTCGATTAACAAATTTTCATTGAAATTTTCTGTGTAGTTTACCCAGATGATGAACGGAATCAAGCACGAATTAGTGGGCTCGGCATCGGCAGCAGCTGCTGCAGCCGCAGTCTATCCAACACCTCTTCTCTATACTCCAACGCCATCATGGATGGGTCCGGACAATTTTTCGGGTAAGAACAATCGAAATATCTGTTTAATAGCGAGATTTTGCTTGAGGTTTATTAAAATTTTTCCTTCTTCTTCTCCGGATATGACTTGATCTTACCGGCGGATGTCAATCGTTTAAAATAGAAAACACTAAATTGTCCGATTTAATTTATTCATACACATGTGATTGATTTCAATTGTTTTCTTTCTTTTTCCTCCGTAGAAATGAACAGTTTTGGTCTCTATCATCCGCATTCGTATTCGACCGGCTATGATCGACATCACCATCATCATTCGGTATCATCATATTCATCCTTAGCCGCAGCAGCAGCATCCTATCGTAATTCCATATCTCCATTGAACAACGATTTCAAGAATGAAAAAGTCGAACCGTACATTCCAAACTCCAACTCCATACATCATAGTCCTGTTCATTGTGTTCCATCGACATCCGCTATAATGCCTGGCAAACCTTCATTTAATTCCATTGATGAAGAAAAAAACTCCTCGACATCGTCGTCAACGTCCAAACTAGCTGATACTGACGAACAGCAGCAACAGCAATTACTAGCACGTGCGTCTCCTCCACCAGTATCGAACAATAAAACGAAAAAGCCAAGCAATTCTCATGAGATATCTACGGGAGGGAAGAAACGTAAACGACGCATTCTATTTACTAAACAACAAATCGCAACACTTGAACAGCGTTTCAATGCTCAACATTATCTATCTGCACCGGAAAGAGAACTACTTGCTAAACATATTGGTTTAACTGCAAATCAATGTAAAATCTGGTTTCAAAATCAGTAAGTTTCACTTCAACTATGTCTTGCTCATTTCGATGCATCCACTATGTTTAGTCGATACAAACTAAAACGAGCCAAACAAGAAAACTCATCCAAAGGTGTTTCTTCGTACACCGATCTTTGTTTTGATCCAAATAATTCTTCTCCACCACCGTCTACCCAACAACCGATTCGTCGTGTACCTGTTCCATTACTTGTTCAAGACGGTAAATCGCTCTACGGTCCACCAGCTTCTTCCTCGTCTCCAATATCTTCCTCAACATACGGGACCATTCTTAATGATACAACTCTGTCAGGTACAACCACATCAACTAATCCTTCTTCCTCATTTGATACATCAGCATATAATGTCTACATGCAATCCATCGGTTATCATCCTCATCATCATCAATATCCAACATTGAATAGCCAATTCCATAGTTCATATGAAAATTGTTTTCGACAACAGCAACCTGGTCAAACGGCAGCTTGGTCAACAAGTCCTTGGCCATAGCGTGTAGAGGATTTTGTTTTCTTTCTTCTTATTCGTCTTTTTTTGTACAGGTTTCTTTTCTTGTTTTCTTACAATATTCACAAATATATTAATTAAAAAATCAACTGTCAATCACATGATTGTTTTCTTCTCTATTGTTTCAAATAGTCAAGTGGAGAGGAGACACATTTGCATACGATGTCACCTTCATATATACAGAAATTTATTTATATGACACTCGTCACCGTGAAATTGTGTTAGATATTTTGCGTTCAAAATTCTTCTCCTTCCCTCCTTGTCATGCATCCTTAATTAATCATTTGTATTTCAATATGTTTCAAGTACGAACATGTTAGATAGATAAGACTCGATTTTCATTGGTTCAAATCAATATTTACATTGATAAGAAGTTCGAAATGAAAAAGAGAGAGAGAGAGAGACCGAACGAGATGATAAATACCTTTTCTTTGGTCGGTTAAACAATTGAAAGGTTAAGATGGATCGAAAATGAATTGGATATATTCCATCGTTCGCAAGAAAGACAGATTTGTTTAAATGAAATGATGATTTTCTAGTTCGATGATCGCGCTCCTCCTTTCGCACGGTCGATCATCAATTGATTTGATTAGATGTCTGTTTTCTTTCTTTTAAGCATAAATTACAGACATTATGCTTCAATAGATTTTCATGATCGAGTCGAAAACAAATATCGAACGGTTTTGCTCCCTTCTCGTTTTAATTTAGTCGTTTTGTTTGACAATCAACAAACGATTTCTTTCTGTCTTTCGTTCGTCGTTTTTTTATTATTATATGAATTCATTGTTTTTATCTTCACATACATCAACTGATAGATATAAACAGCGAGGGAGAAGAAAAGAAATAGGTAAATATTGATATTCATAAAAGGCAAGCGAACGATCAGAGCACGTTTATCAGTCGTTATGTTCTCCCAAGATGAACGTTGTTTTTGATTGTTACAAGCGAATATCTCCGTTCGCATCGGAAATCTCGAAGTTTATTAAAAAAAAGAACGAAAGAGAAAGATACGCGAAGCATAATGATGGATTACGATCGTAAATGAACCATAAACGCAACGGGTTTTGATCTATTGCGGCAAAGATTACGTTTTGTTTTATTGCCAGTTCCCAAGCTATCGCGAATGTCACAGCGAATGGATGAAATACTATTTGATACTGTCGAACGGTTATTGTTGATGTGAAAGGCGAAAACTGACTCTTAATGATGAGCTTCGATAAGAGTGTTTTCAAGTTCGTCTTCATTATGTTTGTCGGTTCGGTCTGGTATCGGACGATTCAGTTTTTTTAATAGAACATTTTCTAGGTCATGTTTTAATGACTGATGTGTCGTTCGTAGTTGTTGTAATTCGAGTGGAATGACTGTATTTCTTGTTCGATATCGGTATTCGTTCGTTGATTTCATCCGGGAGTAGAGTTTCAAAACGTTTTCATGATAATCTTCAGCATTCATCAACTGTTTTTTTACTTGTTCGATTTCATACTGTAAATGATCCATTTTATCAGTGAATTTCATTTTTTCTTGTTGATTAAGAAGAAGTGTACGCATAGCATAAGCATTTGCACTCAAATAGTTGTTCAAATACGATTTCATCAATTGACGATAGGTATTTCGAACACGTGATAGTAATATTCCACGCTCGCTGCATTCGATCGTTACTTGCCGGATAAGTTCATCGAAGCACTCATCATAGATCCTACGACGATGGTTGCACAGACCGATTTCTCGAGCTTGGGTTTGTTTCAAACGTTGATTGAGATGTTTTTCTAGATTGTAAACATCGGCTTTAGTAGCTGGATGACGCGATACGCAGATAATCTATATGAGCGGAAAACCACGAAGATGTCGATGCTCACGATTCAATGAAATTGAACCTACGTATTTATGATTGGTTTTGTTGTTCGTTTCGATCGGTGGTAAAAGAAAATCAAGAATATCCGCCGGTCGACAACGATCTGAGTACGGATCGAAAAGATTTAAATTCTTGTCATAGAATGACACAGGCGAAAGACAAGGTGAAAGTGTTGCTCGGCAAATCTTTTTATGATCTGCACTGGATATCTCATGATTTATGATTAATCGTGGAGATTCGTATTGTAGTAACGATGGCTTTGAGTACGGATGTTGTTGGTGATCATCACTCATGTGAATTAAACGCTTCGCGCCATCTTTTCTAATCAAAATACGAAAGCATGATCTACCTAATCTTTTTCGACTTATCTAAGCAATGATATTTACCATGCAAAACTCGAAAATATGCATGTGGTTGAATAATATTTACTGAGAGGACAAGGTGGCACTTACTGAATTGATTAGCATTACAAATAGCACAAGTAACTTGCTCTACATGTGAACTTTTTATATACTGTTCTTACAGAAAATACATCGGTAGATCAAGTGTTCACTGGTAGAATTTCTCGTATGAAAGAATGTTTGCCTATCGATAAGTAACTTGTACAAAAATATGTAATACAGAAAGAGAAAACAATACAGAATGATATTTAGGTTAGGTTGTGTACATCCTCACGTTATTGAATAATCGATAGAACTCTCTGATGTCTCTTATTTACCATCTGATAAACTCGGATGTTATCATACATGATCCTTATGTATTTGGATAATGAGAAACCGATCAAATCAGATGTCTGGTTATGCTCACAGGGGACAGTTCTAAACCGGCGAAAAACAAGTAGATGAAAATAGAAGAAGAAAAAAGAACTGAATAATGTTGTATGTAAATGTCTTTCTTATCTATTTGTTATTATTTTCTTCCAGCTTAGTTAGATCATTGTTGGTGCAAAAATCTTCGTACTCTTCTTTCTTTTTACAATTATGACACGACAATGTTGGTTGTTAACAATTGCTTTTCTCATTTGCATTGGAATCACTTTATCAGCAGCTAAACCTCGGTTACTAATCGTCTCACTTGACGGTATGGAAGAGAATCACAATTGTTTTCTCTGATTCTATTGACTACCGAGAAATGCATCATTTATTTTCCAGGTTTTCGACATGAGTATTTAAGTCAATATTCATTTCCCACATTGAATCGAATACAAGAGCAAGGAGTCAAAACTAGACATGGAATGCAACCAACATTTGTTACCATGACGTATCCGAACCACATATCAATAGCAACAGGTAACTTGAACGGACAAAGAACTCATTTCTCTATTGCAAATCCTTAGGAATGTATGAGGAAGATCACGGTATCGTTCATAACCGATTTTTTGATACTAAACTTCAGAAAGCGATTACATTCGGTAAGTAAACATGAGAATTCCATACATTTTCTATTAGTTGAAATCAGGCACTGGAGATGAAGGACAATGGTCCGATCCTAAAGTTGAACCATTATGGATAACTGCAACAAAACAAGTAGAATCTCACTCTGTTATTTCACAAGTCGATGAATTCGAATTCTTTCAGAACAAAAAAGCTGCTGTTATACACTGGCCAGCTTGTCATAATGAATTTCATGGTATTCGGCCCTTAGCTTATACCAAAGTTTATTCCGATGCTGTTCCATTTCGTGAAAAAATTGATCAAGCTATAGATTATTTCAAGAATTCGTCGTTCGATTTAGCGATGATTTATCATTTGTAAGTTAAGACGTCTAGATTGAAAACTAATTCTTCTTTATTCAATGTTGCTTAGTGAACCTGACAAACAAGGCCATGTTTATGGACCTGACTCGATCGAAACGTATACTGCAGTTCGTATTCATATTCATTGACAATTGTTTTCATCAAGTCTTCTATGTAGATTATGCGTTTGGACAGTGATTTGAATTATTTATTAATCCGAGTGAACAAAGAACTTGACGACGATTTGAATATTATGATTGTATCCGATCATGTATTACATAAAGAGAAGATCAGCCATAGCAAGGAATAATTATTTTGTATTTTAGGGTATGGCGAACACTACACGAATTGTTCAACCATTTCTTGAAGGTTATATTAACCAAACAGCAGTCGAAACAAACATGCTCGATGGTCCTATATTTGTTCTTACTCCTCGTCCAGGCTACGTAAGTTTATACATAACAATACTCTCTGACACGATTGACTAAAAATGAAAACAAATCTAGTTCAATGAAGTTTTCAATGGTTTACGACGTATTCCGAATGTAACTGTGTACAAACGCGAAGATTTTCCCGAAAAGTATCATTATGCAAAAGCCAGTCATCGTCTCGGTGATATCATTGTTATACCTAACGGCTCAGATACTATGTTTTCTCGAGTAAAACCATCAGTATCCTCCATATTTCTATCGCTTTGTATTTATCCTTAGGCTTTAACTACTGTAGTTCCGTCAAAAGGTAATCACGGATATGATAATAGTATACCCTCTATGCAAGCAATATTCATGGCAATGGGTCCAGATTTTCAACAGCATTTAACAATTGACTCTCTGAAAAACGGTGATATCTACCAAATAGCTTGTCATATTTTAAATCTTGTACCGAATCCTTATGCTACAGCTGGATCCCTCAAGAATTTAACACATATCTTTCGTGAACGGAACAATCAATCCTCTCAATTATTGATCAATGTTTCATTGATTATACTTTTAGTACTTTTCACTTTTATTCAATAGATCCAAATAACTAAATTCTTACCCAGTGAACCATTCTATCAAGTCACATTTCAGCTGATGTAGTGTAGTGTTAACCTTCGTCTATTGTTTACTTGTGTCAGACAAGCGGTTTTTAATTTCTAATCGATAAATGTCTAGTGTAAAAGAACACGTACTTGTCCTTTTCCATGAAACAAAATAGTGTGAACAAGGCATCAATTATTCACACGTTGTTTTCTGTAGGTAAAAAACATCACAGAGCACGATCATTAGATTTAGTACATAAAAAAAACATGAACGAAAACGATGACACATCCGAACGAACATTATTTGTCTTCAATTATCAAATGTGCACATCTGATCATGTATTCCGAGGATCAAAGCTGAATTTTTCCTTTATATAAAGCATCATCGATCTCCATTAGAAGTACGCGTGTCAACTCGCTTCAGGCACAAATAGAGCGCAACATTGCTCTGTCGCGTGCTGNTCATTAGATTTAGTACACAAAAAAAACATGAACGAAAACGATGACACATCCGAACGGACATTATTTGTCTTCAATTATCAAATGTGCACATCTGATCATATATTCCGAGGATCAAAGCTGAATTTTTCCTTTATATAAAGCATCATCGATCTCCATTAGAAGTACGCGTGTCAACTCGCTTCAGGCACAAATAGAGCGCAACATTGCTCTGTCGCGTGCTGACTGTGTATATACGGACATGGTTGACTCAACAGTATCGCCGACACACCTTGGATAATAAATGTCTGAGCAATGAATATGGATGTAGATGATTTGTTCTTTTGAAGTGCGTCGTCGGGAAAAACCTATCGATCACGTAACCGATCAACGAACGAGAAAATTGATAGGCGGTTGATATCGAACTTTTATTTTGTCCATCAGTTAGTCCTTCAAGCTAAAAGGCGTATAATAATGATATTCTAATCAAATAAAACAATTCCCAATTGAAGTTTCCCCTTTCTTTCTGTATGTTTTCGAGTATAGATGTGAAATAAAGACATACACCATCTGTCTAACTTTTCGCTGCCTCTTTTTTCCATTCTAAATAAAACATTGATAAAGAAAAGAATGAACAAAACGAAAATCTGATGGCTTTTTCTGATTAAATAACACCTTGCCTGCTCCTATTTCATGCCTGACGATCATCGTATGATGTAACGTGAATAATAAGATGGAAAAATACGAACTTTCTATTGACATTTCTAATCATGAAGATATGAATCACACATTCATCAACACAATGTATGCGTCATATCATATCGCATCGGAAAATTATAGACAATGATCAGAATGTGTTTTGATTGCTTCAAGGGAATAGATGAGACATGTCATTTGTGAGGTATGAAACTCGCGTTGACGGTAATCACAGCATTGTTTTGAAATATCATGCTTTCATTGCATTCGACTTTATCTATCAGTGAAAACAAACATCCTGTTTGATTTCATTGTCTTATCAATCCATTACAAAACTTCCGTGTTAGATCAACAGAATTATCTTTATTGAAAGTTTTTCTTGATTTATTACGACTACTAAATGGTCTTTTTTAAAAATATATATAGACGTGTATAAGTATAGAATCAAACATATTGTACAGATGTAACTACAATAAATTAGTGTCATATATTATAAAAACATTCGATTAAAAATGTGTTGGATAATAAAAATTATGATGAGGGTGATGTTGAGACATGATTGTCGGTGGTGGGTAGAATTGTTGATTATTCAGTAGAAATTGTTGATGTTCATCAGGATAGAATTCATTCGAATATGTGTGTGAAGGTTCGGGAACGATCATATGTCTTGTTGGACTAACTTCTTCGATGCTACTAGTCGTTGCTTCGTTACCGTAGGATGACGTTTGATCAAAACTACTTGAACTGCATAGCATTCCATCATCTTCGCTTTCACTCGTTAAATTATTGAGATTTTTCGTCTTTGGCTCATGGTGGCCGGCTTTTTTCAAATTGATGAATTCCAATGGATTTCGAACTCGTGGATGCACTGATGATAACATGTACGTTTCATCCATGGTAATCATATTTGCTGAAAACGAATGACCTTGTTGCTGCTGTTGTTGTTGTTGTAAAATTCGAGGATTTAAACAGAGTGTTGCTGCAACAAGATTCATTGTGTTCGGCGATAAACCTTTGCATAATAATTGAGCAAAATGTGTATTATCAGGTATACGATCATTTTGAATCATTTCACCTAACGCTTCGATGTAGTTTTTGGCTAAACGTAACGTTTCGATTTTGGATAACTTTTGTGAGAGTGAAAAGCAGGGTATAGTGTCGCGTAAGATTTCGAGTTGTTCGTTGAGACCTTTCATACGTTCACGTTCGCGACCATTGGCCTTGATTCGTCGAACTTTGAACCGTGCAACACGTGCCGGTGTCATTTGTTTCTTTTTCGGGCCACGTTTTTTGGGAATTTTGATATCGTTCGGTGCGGTAATCTTCTTCGTTGTTGTCATTGGTACTGAATGATGATAATGATTGTTTTCTTTCGTACATTCTAAACCTTCATGATATTTGATTTCGAGTTCCAATTGTTTCAATTGGCGTTGTTCTTCTTCACGAGGAATTTTGGTTGGCATGTTTCTTGTCGAGAGAAATTAACTTACTGAATGAACAGTTCTTGTCAATTTAAATGAAACGAAGGAAATGTCTCTCTCTGTTAAACGGGAAAGAGAAAGAGGAAAAGAGAGAGAGAGAAACACTTCACTTACAACCAATAAAGTTCACGCAAAGGAAAAGAAAATCAACTATTGGCTCTATTCACACGTGTGAGATATGAGTTAATTTGAGTCTTTTAAATATGAAAAGAATGCTCACTGTCGCGTGTTGCTTGACTTATCAAAAAAAAAAGAATAAAATAGCATGTGCATACTCTTCGGACCGTAAAAAGACATCAAGAGATGATACTTTTCTTTCTTCATCCGATTGTTTTCAATCCATTTGAATGGAAAAATAGTCGCGCATGCGCCCGCTTTCATCGTTATTGAAGAAAGAGATAAATGCTAATTTTCCAAGGCCAACTGTTCGAGAAAAGTATCTAATTTAATTAGGGTCACCCAGAGACCTTCTCCTTTCCCTTATTCAAGGTCACAAATTAGTTGACCGATCTTATTCGATGAAATAAATACATATCTATTCATTGACGGACCCTTGAAAAACATCTAAGCCGATGAACGTGTCCATCTTGAGTATAAAAAGAACGTCTTATCTTTGTCAAAGAAGGTGTTTTATATATTTCCCGCATCAATGATTGACTGCCAATATTTAGTGTTTTCAAAACTCAACAAGCATAAACAAACGAAGTTAGATCATCTACTCGCACGTACAGGATTCATTTCCTGCTTAATATATCTGATGCAATCAATTTCTGGCTGACGAGATGAATGTTCGAAGCATTTTGACGTGAATAAAATTCGATATTGAAAAAATTTCTTTTCACCCTTTTTCTATTCACTCGGGAATCGAGCGACATTGTCAACTTATCATGAGTAAAACAATTTTCTAACTCGTGCGTCACTTCGATTTCGTCTAATTGTCTTCTAATGCACAAGAGATTTCATTTTATCAGTTTCAATATACATGTGTGTATGTGTGTTCAAGGTGGCAAACAGTCATCTCGATAATCGTGTGTGTCATGTCGTTATCAGTCAAGTTAATCAATGTCATGTGGTAGCTATAGCAGTAAATTCAACATTAGCAGACATATGGCGTAGTATTTGCGATAGGTTTACAACTTTTAACTCGAGAGGAATGACGAGAAAGGTGCAATCGGACAAATGAAAAACGTTGAATCTCTGCGCGCTTTTTTTTTCCTTTTGCGTGTGACCGACTGCTGATTTTCTCTGTGCTTTTTCTTCATTGATATCGGCGCGTGTCATCCCTTATCGACTAGTTTCTTTTAACCCTGTGAGTGGTCATCAATCAGCTGCGTTCCATTTCTTCTTTTCATCAACGAACGGAACTTTTGATTTTCTTTGTCTTTATTGCAACACCAGTGTCATCGCTGTGCTTTCTTTGAACGACACATGTCATGAAAAGCGTGTCCATCTGTAGTAAAATTTTTCTCGGTTTTCATTTGTAAATCAAACATACCATTACTAAATTTCCAAATGAAATTGATCGTGAATTTTTTCTCTCTCCCGGCAAACGGTTTAGCCTGCTGAGCCGATCAAACAGACACTTTTCTCAACTAACTAGTGCTTATCGATGATGTAAGTTTTCTTCTTTTCGTATCGCAAGGACACCATTCTGTTCTGTTATTCTTTCAATCATTCATCTGCCGACATGAAGGATAGAAGAGATTCGCTAATTTGTCACCTTTTTTTTTTCGAAACAAGTAATGATCGCATCAAATCAACAGTTCAATTGATTGCAAATTGAGATGACTGATGTCCGTTAGTTTCTTTTTCTTTGAATCCAACGTGAAGTGGATGCTAAATGTATCTGATGCAAGAATGAAAACTGATTCAATTCAACGTTTGTTTGTACAACGAGACAAGAAAGGCGTGGCACTTAAACTCATGTCTAGTGATTAAACGAACGCTATTCTCATCATGCACAAATTACATATTACTTCCTTTTCTTCTTTACTATTCATAGAACTGTATCAAATGTTGACCATAGGACTCATATGTACACATGCACTTGTTTGTCTGTTCAACCTTATCTTCTTCTTCTTCTCTTATTCCCAGTAGGCATACTGGTGACTGATTGATAAACATAGACTACATTTCGAAGGAATGAACAATTGAATCGCGAATACACACATACATATATTTGAACGACACGACAGGACGCTAATGGCATGGCATCGACAACACAAGGGACACTGGTGATTCAGTAGAGTGAGAAGGAGGAGAAAAATGGGGGGAGGTGTTGTTTTCCTTGTCCTCCTTCGTCTTCTTGTTTTGCATCGGATGAAAACTGTACAATACACTTGTCAAATACTCTAATCAATTTTTCTTTCTATCTGAAATTGTAGTCGAGGAGACAGAGACAGAGAGAGAGAGGAGGAAAGAATAGATCGAACTCGAGGCAAATCAACGGACATACACTAATTGCATTCAATGATAGAGACACTTGCCTTGAGAGCTTATTTCTAATATGAACAGTTGTACATTGAATTTAATGTAATTACCCGAAAAACAATATGAGTGATTTGAGTTTCTATGTTCGCTTATTTTGTTTGACGAAGAAGATTCTTTAAGATCAAACAGATACTTAGTGCAACAACGATGACAACGAACGTCCATTGACAAAATTGAATCATTCTCTCCGATTGTATTAAATTTCGATAAAAACGTAGCGCATTCGAGCGTATATCATATGCATGAGATTTAATCTTTAATCCATCATAAATTATTTCATCGATTTGTTCATCAGTTTCTTTTAAAAGAATTCCTGCGTTAAGAGCTTCATTTCGAATTTCCTTATATTTGTTATCTACGGAAATTGAGGAATGTGCTCTCGTAGATCGTTCGATTTGACTCTTCCAACTCTCCACTATAAAAGTTTTCGAATACTGAGAGAAAAAAAACGAAGAAGAAAAGAAAATAGCCTTGACAACAAAAACGATTGAATAAATATTTAGTTAAATATCTTCTTGCATATGATTTGAAAAATTTACGCGTACACAGTCTCCTGAAATTTGACGGTGATATTTGATATTCATACAACATCGGCAAATAGAAGTATTTATGATTACATTTTCTGTCTATATCATCTGAAATAAGTATTCGAAAGACCATAGGAGAATATTCCGCTTCTTGAAATTCACATTTCGAAAAGAACAAATGACTTTTGACAAACACATGTCATACACACGTTACTATTCTGTAAATGATACAATCTGAGGAGAGAAAAAAAGCGCGTCCGTTGTCATTTGTTTTTACTATGGTATTATTATGAAATATGGATGACAGTCTGTATATTAATCCTTATTTTATCAATGGATTAAATATTCTCTCGATGGAGTTTTGTGAATATCATGAACGAAGAAATATTTAACATAATTCTTATTGATTAATAATATAAAAAAAAGAGACGAAGAAGAACTCTTGACATACGGTGCCTACTTGTAAATTTACAGATGAAAACGTCGATTAGATCTACTCAAATCGTGAGATTTTTATAAGATCAAGGAAAATGAGTGCTATCGGAGGACATTAATAGAAGGTACTTTTGATATTTATCTCATATAAAAGTGAAACGATGGAATGTGAAAAATAAATCTCAGTGTAATAGAAAAGAGGACAAGAAAAGACAAGTTTTCCTTTGTTCCGAAGAACAAGAAAGAGGAAACATTGAGGTCACGAAAGGCACATGAAAACTAGTGTACATGTAAAATAAAATAAAATAAACTTGGAAAAATGAAAAGAGTAAATCAATGTATATGGATGTATTATATTCATCAATGACCGTACATTGCGTTGATGGCATTGTTTTCTTTGGAAAGTTTTGTTTAGGATGATCGTCCGAATTTGAATACAAATGCACTGTACAGTACCAAGGACACAAATGTAAAGAATAACGAGATAATTTCAAGGCCAGTTGACCAATCGACGCGGACTTTATAATACTCACGAGTTCTGTCTCGAAGTGTTGGTATGTCCGTAACTAAAGAAAAAAAAGGTTCTTAACCGTTTTTCTACGTAGATTAGAAGTAGGTAAATCTGATTCGTTTAATTAGTCGAAATTATAATCTTCTGTTTTTATACATATCCCACTTGTCTTTGGTTCCGAAAAGCAAACTTACTTCCCGATGATTCACCCAGTATGCTCATGATATCTCGTGATAGATAACTTCCAACCAGTATAAGTGTAATAAGAATAAATATGAATGCGAATAAAAGTAAAAGTAATGGAAATAGACCCAAAATCAAGCCGATTGAACGTGTTTCCGATGTGTTAATCGAATGGATAAATAAAATAATAATCGCAAGACCGAGAAAGATCGAAGCAATGATGGCACAAGCGGCAATACCTTTCGTTGATGGTAAATAGTCACAGGAACAAGATGGGTTTGCAAATCTTAACAAACAGTTCGAAGCAGTGCAATTAACATCATTTTTAAATAGATTAGGAGCACATGATTCTCCTCTCGTACTATTAAACGTTTGGCATCGAGTAAACAAACCAATTGACACTGGATCAGAAAAACCGCCAACCGGGGCAGTACCATTTCTGAGACTTGCTTTCTTCCAATGATTATGACCCATAGCAGTAACATGAAAGATGAACGCGACAACCACCATAATGAAAACGCCAAAATACAATATTTTGCCCTTCTCCATCGTTTGAATACTTCGTGAAGTAGTCGATTTTTTCAAATACTAAAAAAGATATATAAAACGATGGCAATTACTTGCTTTTCGGTCGAACTCTTGGTGTTAAATTTCTTTCGAAAAGAAGACGGAGAAGAAGACAAAGAGAGGCGGGGAAGAAAAAAAACTTGACTTTATTTTCAACGCGATTTATTTGACACCTATGTCAATGAGAGGAAAACGAGTTCAGTCTTTATCAAACGGGAGTTGTATATTTTGTTTCATCTCTTTCATCGCTGAGATTCAGTTTTTTCTTGCTCCCCTCTCTCTCAATCTCCTTTCTCTTGTCAAGAAAAACGAAGCAAAAATTTCGATGTAATACAAGGCCAAGACTTACATGTTCGTCTAGGCGGCAGTTGATTTCGAATTGAATTTATACATTACGTAGGAGAAATGTTGGTACAATGTAACAAAATGTGAGGGTTTTTTCTTTCGCTCTTTCTCTTTTTTTTCGTTTTCATTGACTCCACACTTTCTCTCCTATACGTTCTCTTTACATACAAGATTATCTTGCAGCTATACCTGTATATTTAAGAGTGTCTCATTCAACAGGGAAGACGCACAGGCATATACTTACATCGAAAACGAGAGCGAAGAAAGAGTACGGATCACGAATTTAAATATTGCCTCTACTTTAATCATATACATGTTTTTTTCTCTGATTATACCTTCATGGAGAACTCTGTACTTTTAGGAGAAAAAGAAGGAGTGAAACGAAATTTTTTGTGCATCTCGCTTAATTTCCTGTGACAATCACCATTTCTTTATTTGAATATGTTGATCCATGAATATACATATAGTGCAAATCAATTTTCTATTTGTAGATACGAGGGAGGACAAGAATGTTATTGTTATTGGAATATATTTCAGACGTGAGAGACGCTCGAAATCATTCTAGTTTCTCTAATCAGCCTTAAGATTTGTTATACAGTAGTTAAACTATAAATTTGATATGTTATTTGCCGAGAACGTATCTGGTAACATTCCTCTCACCTTCAAATAAGCAACGGATTATAAAAAAAAGGATGAAACTCGTGCCGACGAACAAGAAAAATAATAACCTTTACCCGATTTCATTGTTTTCTCTGCTAATGAGTAATTCCATTGTGGAATTTTACTCATCAGAGTTCGAAATCATGATTAATTCGGCACTTACAACTCAATGACCACAACGTTGAGAAGTATTTGCATAATGTTTATATATTGATTTCGATGATTTCAATAAATATGTTATATTTAATATTCTCTTGGTTTCTCGTTCTCAAGTATCGTAAATAGAAAAACATTCACACACATTTGTATTCTTCCTCCCAACAGACCATCTTTCAAACTGAACAATAAATTCATTGACAAGTCTTTCATCTAAGTTATTTTACGCTCAAATGATTTCTACTGAGAGAAAACAGTAGAATTTTAACAAACGCATTCAAGTGTTGCTTTTCCGTATTCTGAAGTTAGTGAATGTGATCATTTCGGGTTCAATTGACAAGAAATCCCATGCTGAAATATGAGTACTGCTTCATCATATCGTAGTTAGAATTCTTTCAGCACATGAGGAAACAGTATTTGAATAAATGTTTCCTCGTCATGCTTTTTAAAAAAACTTTTCTACAAGTAATTGTTTTCTTTCCTTTGTTGAAGAGATATGCAAGAGAAATGATGTTCAAGACAGCAATTTTCGTGATGAAACAGATTAGAAAACGAAATTCGAGTCATTTGGGTGATTAGTTACCAGATTCCCGGTAGCATGTAACAAAGAGATAGCTCACAAAACACAATCATGGTACAGAGAAAGTAATTCACACGCAATAAAAAAAAGAAAACGAGAAAATCGTTGACACCGCCTATCTCAAATGAACATCTCGTAATTATTTTCTCATATGTTCTCTTGTTTTTCTCTTCTTGCAATTGTGGTTGTTGATCATTTTGTTGAAAGAGTGAAGAGCGGAGAAAAAAAAAGTAAGAAAAATATTTCAACGACACGCATTTTCAAGGTTTGTTACACTAATGAGTCCGATGAATGTTTCTATCTTGTTTGGTACACAGTGTTCATTCGTGGAAGATTCTTGTCGGTAATTATCAAAGGATTCCTTTTTCGCTGAACACGACAAAGACGACAACAAATGAGTGAGCGACAGTAGATGAGCATACTGACATATACTCATTTTTTCTTTGCGTTGTAACAAAAAATGAATGAGTTAGAGCGCTAATTGATACGATGAAAATTATAGCATCTTATTGTGCGTTCAATCCTTCGAAGATCGTCATCATTGAGCTGACGAATATGATTAGCATCATCCTGCTAATGGAATATTAAAAATCTTTTTTGTTGACGCCATTTGTTCACTGTTTTCTCGTCTAGATTCTAATAGATATTTGAATTAATCTTCAGATAAAAGAAAATTGTTACTTCAACAAGATAATATTTATAACAAACGATAAAAATTAGACAGGAGAAATAACTTCATGAAAAGGAAGTAGAGGACCAAGTCAGTTCGATATATCATCTGGTTTTTCTGACTTTTTCCTGATAACCAGTGTTGTTTTAACTGCAGAATCTGTCATAGTTATGATTTAATAGCCTTTCGCGCTTTAGACATCTAGTTTCATCAACAAGCCTAAGGAAATGATTTTAACAGTGTATACGCTATAATCTTATTTTTGCCGGGAGATATAATAAATGTTTCCTCGTTTAGAAAATCTACAGACTCGTATGTGCAAATTTATTTTCGAGAAAAACTTCAAATATGAACTATGACTTAAAGTTTGCCACACGTGAATGTATGTGTCATGTTGTTAGGAAAGTCTCGAGTGAGTTACAGTTACATATATTAATATCTCATGGGTATCTCTACAAAGATATATGCTTCTGTGTTCTCTTTAGATGACCAATGAACATTTCTGTATTGATGTAATCATTTCTTGAACGATTGATTGTTACTTATATCATTATTGTTCATCTTATTGAAGTATTCCGAAGAAGAGTTTCCCATTGTTTCTTCTGTTACTTCTTCTTTTCTCTCGCTCTCCCTCTCTTCCTTTTGTTTTTCTCGTTTGTCTTCTTGTGTATATAACTTGCTCTGCTACTGATGCATTTTCATAATCATCATCATAACAGAGAGTCTCAAAACGATGGAACTCAGTCGTTAAAGCAAGATCGTGATGTTGGCCTTTCGTTTTTATACCATGCAGCATCACACAACTTGCGACTAAGCCAATCGTCGTTTCCGACTTATTACTCATTAGCTTATTTACCAATGCCATACCTTCCCAAGAACAATGCACGTTCACTTCGGTCAAATGTACAAATTTTGTTATATAATTTTCTGGAAAGACCAGCGGGTTTGAAATGCTTTTTATATCATTTTTTTGTGTACGTAAAAGACATAAATTTAATCCTGTAAGAATTCTTTGATTGACATCTATATTTAGATTCTTGGTTGTACTCGTTTGTCTGGTTCTCTCAGTCTTATCAACAATTGAAAAATTTTCCGCCAAACTCTCTACACATGTTTACTGGATAGAAATCTTCCTTGTAGTCTTCTTTGGTATTGAATATATCCTGAGACTCTGGTCAGCTGGATGTCGAAGTAAATACATGGGTATACTCGGTCGCTTTCGTTTCGCACGAAAGCCAATTGCTGTTGTTGGTAATTAGATTAGTAAATTTGTTAATGATCAGATCATATGTTTTTGTCATTTCTTTTACATCTGTTTGATAAAGATCTACTGGTGGTTGTTGCATCAACATTAATGTTAACATTAGGATCTGATCGACAGACGTTTGCAGCATCGGCTATCCGTGGCGTTCGATTTCTACAGATTTTACGCGTGTTGCATGTCGATAGACATGGAGGCACATGGCGTCTATTGGGAAGTGTTGTTTATATCCATCGACAAGTACGAAGAAAATTTTACGAATAAATTCGATTAGAATGATTTGATTTTCAAGGAATTGATAACAACGTTATACATTGGATTTTTGGCTTTGATTTCATGTAGCTATCTTGTTTATATTGCGGAAAAAGATGAAAAAGCCAGTGGCATACGAGGTGCCAAGGATGCTGATGGTCATTTTGAATCCTACGCTGATGCATTGTGGTAAGCGATTGTCTGATGAAAACAGAAACATAAATACGATGAGGATTGTTTTCCTAGGTGGGGTGTAATTACAATAACAACAATTGGGTTCGTTTTATTGAAAAAGGTTTTGAATACAATTCCGTATGTTTCTTTTTTCTAAAATAGATATGGTGATATTTACCCAATAACATGGTAACCGATGGCTTCTTTTACTCTTAGGCTACTTCTATTCAATTTTATAATTTTATTTTTATTCAGGGTCGGGAAAATTATTGCTGCATGTTTTGCTATATTTGCAATCTCATTTTTTGCTCTACCAGCTGTAAGTACTTAAATTAATTACACTTTTATTAACGTAATGTCTATTTTAGGGCATACTTGGCTCTGGTTTCGCTCTCAAGGTTCAGCAAAAACAACGGCAGAAGCATTTCTCTCGGCAAATTCCGGCTGCGGCTACTCTAATTCAGGCAGCGTGGCGTTCCTATGCCAGTGCGCCAGGCTCATCATGTGTTGCAACATGGAACATTTATATAAACGTTACCAATTCCAACCCAACGTCGTCGCCGACGAAAACATCGCCCACAACTAATCAGACATTCAGCGGTACAATTTCAAAGATTAAAAGAAACGAAATTCGTCATTTTCCGAATGATTTAGAGCGAACAGCCGAAAAATTTCGATATCTACGTTTGGCCACCTCCGTCAAGAAAAATCGATCGAAGCGTAGTAGTCATGGACCAGTACTTCCACCTTCGCCGAATATCTTGCAATCTCCCATCAATAGTGAACTTCGAGATTCTACATCTTCAGCATCAAATACAACAGGTAGAATCGACATGGCAGTTGATTTGACTCGACGAAAAAAAAACAGAATGTTTTTCATCTAAAGGTTGCTATCTGATGACAAACAATGATCATGATGATGAAGATTTCGAAGAAGTACCTATAAAACTTTCATCGTATGTATCATTTATCAAGTGCGATTATCTTTCCATTCATAAGATTCAATCGAATAAGATCACGTTAGCACAACAGTCTCCAATAGAGACGTCAGATTACATCCGTGTGCAAAGAAAACATGCGAAGACGTTCGTTCAGTCATATTTTGTTTCATAGCAAATAGAAAATCGTCGCCAACGTCTATTGAAAGTAAAAGGTAGTTTGCCCTCATGCGACATACATTGAAGTCAAAGGAGAATACAGTCAATCAGTGCTTCGAATATCAGAACTGTCATTGCATCCCTACAGGGATTTCTGTTACACAGTGAATTACGAGAAGCGATAGAAGATCGAGAGCTGCGAAAAGCCTTATAGTACTTCTGAATATCATTAGCATCTAAATTAAAAAGCAAATTTGAATTGTCAAGAGACTGACATGAGTATTAGAGTAAGAAAACAGTGCGATCATGATTATCCTGCTGTTATTTTTTGCAACGAGCAATGTGACGCTTGCATAAAACAATACATAAATCTAGCCTACGCCATTTTAAATGTCATGTTTTACATTTTCTTTTATAATTTACTTGCGTAGAACAGATCTCATCAATGCATTCACGTGAAGTTTTCCAAAGGGAATGCTCTACAAAATAATTTCAAAATCTTTTGTGGCGAAAGAATGGTGAAAAGCGTCATCACTCTCGTCTGCCGATGAGCGTCGTCATAATTTATGCTAATAAAAAAATATCATTGAAAATAATGTTCGTGCTTCTGTTGACAGCTGTGGAAAGCACGTCCTTGGATACTTATTTTCTAGACTTGCTTCCACATCACAAAAAGATCCATCTTCACTGATAATTGAACATGATTTTTCTTCTTTTATAGTCTCACCGAAGATCACAAACGTATGATACGTTGCATCCGTAAAATGCAATTAATTGTTGCTCGTAAACGTTTTCAAGTAAAGAAAAAATCATTCTATTTCTCTTTTCCAGAAACTGTTCGTCATTTATTTTCTTCTAGCAAGCTCGAAAACCTTACGATGTACGTGATGTACTTGAACAATATTCACATGGGCATATTAATATGATGATGAGAATCAAAGAATTACAGCGAAAGTAAGAAAAAAAAAGAAACTATTTCATACAAATGAAGTAAAATGATGTTTCGCTCTTGTTGATTAGAATTGAACATACGATTGGTAAACAACCATTGTTGCAAAGTGAGGATCGCTCGAAATTAACTGTTTTGGCTCGAATGCAACGTGTTGAAGATACTATTTGCGATATGGGACAAACCATGGAGAATATGTACACGCTATTGAAGAATATCGATGATAAATTGGATCGCGTATCAAATGCCAATCAAAAGCCTACTTCACGCCCTCCCAAGTCGATGTCATCGAATCTAGGCGTGAAATTTTCTTCGGTTCACGAAGAAATCTCTTAAGAATGATACATAATTGTTGTCTGTTGTTTTTGCTAGTTGTATTTTTGTATTCTTCATCATGGATATATAATAGATAAAAGATGATCTCTTGAGCACCGAGGATCTTGACGTGCTTTGTTTTTTTGTCGACGAGGGTAAATCTGCATTGAATAGTGAGAAAAGAGAAAAATCAATCATGCGATTTTTTTCTCGCTGCAAACTTAGGCATCTGAAACGAGAAGATTAGATATTCTCATTCGATCGGACTTGTATAGTTCATAGATCGTCGTTGGTTTTCTTCGGAACGATGACGTTTGCAACAGATGTTTTCGTGATTGCTGATGGTTTGGCCCGTGAGGTTGTTGCAAACTTCGACGCATGGGTAGTGACGCTGTTGGTTGTAACGGACGTAATTGTTTTGCTTGAGTTTGAATCATTAATTCTTCACATGAATGAGTTCGTCGTTTTAATTTCGGTTTCCGTTTCCGTTCATAATATTTCGATATTGAACGAGATAACGCACTTGCTAATTGAACATCATTCGGTTCGATAATGATGGTGGGTGATGAGTCACCATCGTGACTCGCTGTTGTAAACTGTGTTGATAAATGTGGTGTTAGGAGATAATTTGACGGTTGAGAGCAAAGTTTGTATGAGCTACTTCGTTTGGCTTGCGGAAATCTCGATGAGTGTATCGACGAGGAACGAACAGATGTGCCACAATCCGAGAATGAACTCTTTGTCCTGAGAATAAAATCGCCATTATTATCGATAAGATCATCACTATCATTGAAGATAATTTTATTATTAGGACTTTCTTCGAGTCGATTATTGCCGAGTGTAATAGGCTGACTAGAGTAACGTTTCATCGAAAGAAAACTGTAGAACAGATAAGAAATCAGTATAAAAAGAAGAAACAATAGAAATAGAGCAATAAACAAGCCAGTTCGATCGGAATTTGTTTGAACAGCTGAGAGATTTGTGTATGGAGTTGAACCACTAATAGTCAAGTTTCTTTCCATATTTCGTTGATCGGAGGCTAAAACGAGCAAAACAAATGACGTTGTTCTTTTCAAGTAAGCTCTCTTTCTAGTAAGCTAGTTTCTACTTAATGAGAATTTTGATGACTAGGCATAAGATATACTTACATTCTATCGAGTTCCTTCCGGTAAATATCGCCTATTTACTGAAAACTATTTCCAAATAACAAAATAGAAGAAGGAAAAAACGAAGAGCGTCATTTGAACATGTCCTTCGCATAGATAGAAGCAAGTATTTAACCATTCTGACAAAAGAAACGGAATTAGAGAAAAAGGAATGATCTAGCGGAAAATTTTCAGCCTAGTTCATCTATCAATAGAATGTTTTATTTCCCCGTACATTTCTAGATGACATATGTCAATCAAAAACTTGTTTGTTGACTAGCATTAGATTAAGTGCTTCCTTGGCAAAGGAACAAGTACCGAACTAATTACTCACCTCAAACTAGACGATCTATTAAAATAACTCCAGGCAATAGTAATAGAATTGTGCATCAGTTTCTTTTTGTTGGAAAACTTTCAATCTCTTATTCTTGCATTTCTCGTTTTCTCTCTTTTCCTCTTTTTTCTCTCATATTATAATGGCAAGCAAGGCAAGCCCTTCGCCCTATGTCGGTCTCTGTTCTTCATCTGGATTCATTGCCAACGGGTGTTCGTGTTCCCTCGTCTTCTTCTTCTTCTTCTTCTTTTCTCCTTTCCGGTCGGCCCATTTCATCACATCTGCCTTCTTCTCTTTATCATTCCACACACACAAGTTTACTCGTCACCAGTCTTTTCCCTCGTTGCTTCTTATTTCTCGACATTTAAAACACATATTTGATTATTTTACGTTGAACATACAAGCACATTCATTGAAGAAAATTTTGGTTAATTGTGCACAAAGACATATTTCCTATATGTTTCAATGTAATAAAAAACAAGGAAGTAGAAGAAATATGGAATTGAGAATGATAATGCAAAGTTCATGGTGAGTTTTGAACGAGCGGAAAAGATTGCTTTCACATTAAAAGATTCGACGCACCATTGATAATTGCATATTCCATAACTCAATTGTAGCGAAACTATCATAGCCAGGAAAGATTTGCGCGTGCGTTTCAAGAGAAACAAAATTCATCGTAGTCAACTATTGTCGAGAAATTTAACTAAGCTAATCACTGAAAACATATCATACTTGATTGAGTCCATAAACTTACAGCTTCTTCGTTAAACGATCAATGATTCTCTTTATGCATAGGTATGCCGACGATATCAAAAATAGATTTAATTAATATCAGTTCAGTGCACGTCTGGTCGGAGAATTTACACATAGGAAGCTCCTTTTTCTCATTAAAAAACGTGACAAATATCCGAAAAAGGATGCTAATAATTATGTCTCCGATAGAAAAATTTGAATGAACAAGTCTGCTATCCATTTGAAATGGCAGACGTACGAGAATTAATAACATCCGGATAAATCACACAAAATGAACTCTCGAAGGAGACAGATTTAGTAAGAACGGAATTATTTATTAGTTGTATTAATTATGATTAATATAGAGGAATAATTGATTGATCGATGAAAATAGATCAGTGTTCCTTTAAGTATACCCTGGTTGTTATGAACAGAAAAATCAACATTCTCATTTTGATCAGATTGCTAAATAAACAAAACAATTCAAACATTATTAAAGCACTCGAATCGAGTTACTCTGTTTGACACGATGATTCATCATAGTATCGATAAGATTTGTGTTTCTTATTATAGCATTTATTCATTACTTTATAATCTTTAAACGGAACACTTTCACCGATTGTTTGATTCGTATTCTTTGTTAAAATATGAAAGTGTTTAATGAAACGAGTAAAATAGATAAAAACAATAACAAATAAGCAGTGCGCATGCAGACAGATAGGCTCACAGGTATATCGTGATCAAAATGCAGTGTTTTATCAAAAGGATAGATATACTATTTTTTACCACTTACAATACCGTTGATGAATGACCTGAACGATGCAACTCGAGTGTAAAGCGTCGCGACGCTGCAACCATTTCCAGCACTAACAATACCTGTGCATGTCCATGAGTTATTAACACTCGTCATAAATGGACCACCACTATCACCGAAACAAGCATCAGTGCCTGTATAGCCAGCGCAAAATCGAGTACTAACTGATGACGAACCGCATACGGAATCACTTTTAACTTCAACAACGGCTTGATTTAATGTGTTTGAAACGGAATTAGCATTTTGTGATGTATAACCCCAGCCGACAATCACACCATGCTCACTGGAACTTGGTAATGAAGTATCCGATGTAAGACAACATTTACCAACGGTTGTTGTTTTTGTAAATGGCGATGCAAGAGTTAATACAGCGATATCATTTTGATAACTTGATGGTGAATAACTCGGATGGTATTGGAAAGTACTAACTACACGTGCCTGGCCACTGTTTCGTGTAGACAACGTTTGTATACCAGCATAAGCAATTATTGAACCTGTTAAAGAATAGACACAATGTGCGGCCGTCACGACATATTGATAATCGACGAGAAAACCACCACAAAATGTTTTGTTATCGTTTATGTAAAGTGCTACAACCCATGGCCAGGAGTTTGCGACTGCAGCGTAACCATTAACAATTTTCGCTGATTGAAATGATGGTTGAGTTGCAGAGCAACCACACGTATCTGAACCACTATAGGTACAACTTACCGATGGTGCTGACAGAACAGAATTTGAGCTGCTGCTGCTGCTGCTACTACTACTACTTGATGAATCACTGTTTCTTGTTAAACCAACACCAAGACCAACTCCCAATCCAATAGCCACAATACCAATAAGTATAACTGCTGCGACAACAATACCAACAATGATCAGTATTATTTTCTTGTGGGATTTAGGCGGTGGTGGAACGTAAACGTGTGATGGTGAAGGATAATTCATTGTACCGATAGTTTACTCCAGATTGAATCAGCTAAAATACACGGATATTTCGAGATTATTTATACTAGATCCTCGGAAGTTATGCTCCATTGATTTTAGTAAAGTACGAATAAACAAATAGAAAACTTCCTATATAGAAGACGTGATTTTTCTAGCTCGGAAGATGTGTGTGGTTAGGACGATTTAATACGACAATCAAATCCAAGGATGAAAATTTCTAATATGTATTGTATAAAAAATGTGAGTAATGACAAGATCACCAAACGATAGGTGACAGCAAAAATAACCAATCATTCCTATTTCTTTCGTTCTGTCAGTCAGGTTCGATCATGCTATATGACACACTTGTTGGTTTGCGTTGTCTATTTATGCTCATCGAGTGTGATGCGAAAAGCTCGAAATACAAAAGTCTACCAGCTGTACTTTTTTCTTCGCTTCATATGAGCAGGCTGTATAATCATGTTCTTAATTATTTCGTGATCAAATTGTCGCTTTCTATCTGATCTATCGCTTCTTCTTTCTTTTTCTCATTTATCAGCAAAACGAACAAGAAAGTAGTATGCACCGTTAAACACAAAAACAAAATAACATTTATGTTTATCCCATACAATAACCTGTGGCAAGGTGTATTTGACGCAAATTTCACAGCAACCATTTTCGAGATTTATTTGATATAAAAATATTTCATAAAAATATTACTCTGATTCATTCACAGATGCGTTTGGCACCATGAACGAAGAGCATAGGTACATAGCCATGCCGAATGAAGCGATATTTCTGCTTTACTATTGAGCCAGGTGACAAAATGTTGATCATCTTTGATCATGAGATAAAAGCCAAGCAGACGTCGTACAGTGTTGAATCCGCATTCTTCTAATTGTTCAGTATATTTTTTCCCGATGCCAGGCAGTACACTGATGGTTTTCATTGCTATTGGTTGTTGAAGAAATACTTCATGCTTCAAACTAATCACTTCGGACGGAGTAGACAATAATGGTTGATTATCGTCTGTTGATTGCAGCGTAGAAGTCGTAGTTTGAAGTAATATTGATGATGGTGCAATGAATTGATTGTTATTATTTGTGTCATATATAGAAGACGAGTGCTCTTCAGATTCTTCTGCGCATAAATTTTCGGCTACAGATGTTAGAGCCTTGTTTTTCACCTACAAATAAAAGAGTAAGGATTTGTGAACGGAAGATATTGTAGTTTTTGACATGCGTCTGACCTCTTGCTGTTCTTGTAATAGTTGTTCTCGGCCGAGTATATAAGCCCGGGTTAGCTCATTTAAATATTCTTGTTCATCGCTTGTGAGCTGACAGTTTTCTTTTTCGAGAAATGATTTTAGAAAACATGAGCAGATGTCCTCTGCTGATGAACGTAGTTTTGTTTGAGATAATTTTACACTCGGTGATTTAGTTTTGAATGATTCACTTTGCTATTGAAGAAATAGAAACTGATCATTCGAATGTATAAGAATATCTTCGATAAACAAACCATCAATTGGATAGATTTGTCGCTCTCTGAGTGCATCGATAATGTGTCATTAGTAGAGTTGCAGAGTGGTGGTGTATTTCGTTTCTGAGCATCTTCTAAACTTGCTGTTGGTCTCGGTTCAAGTTCTTTGTAGATATCGATAACGGTCTGCTCTGAATTCAGTTCTTTTTGTTGATCATGATCATCGATTTCAATCGAAGTTGTTTTCGAAATCGAATGTTCGTTAAGATGTAACTCAACATCTTTGGCAATCGTTCGCAATTCACCGCAGAGATCTAAAATTTTTTCTAGACGTGATAAAATCACATGTGATTCTTCAGGTTTTTGTTTCTCTATGTCTGAATCAGCTCCTAGTTGATTGTCGAATACTGATGGACTTATCGATTGCTGATGATATTTGTTTATACTAATATGATCTGCTGTTTTCGGTAGCGATTGTTCAAATGGAGATGCTCGGTTGATTTCCATCTCGGAACAATGACAATCAATTTCATGATCGGAATATTTCCGTTTGAAATTCACAGGCTTTTCTCTGACGAAACGAAAACTTCGTTGAAGTTTAAGCATATTCACTTGATCCAATGCATAGAAATGATTTTGACTGTAAGGTGGTTGTATACAGTTCTGCATCGTCCAGAGAAAATCTTCTCGACGAAGACGTTTTTTATGCACCATCTGAAACGATAGAGTTCGGTAACGATGTTTCACATATATTCATTTACAATGAATGGTTGCGAGAACGCTTCAGTTTGAGGATCGAAATCATTCGGTACAGCATTCGTCGACAATGTCATCTGATTCCGTGGTAGCTTCGAAGGTGCATGAGACGATTTCTTCCGACGTGGCGATCTAAATGATCATTAAACGTTCGTCAACATATAAGAAAGTTTAGATTTACTTATGAAAAGATTCATCATCATCGATTGACGGAAATTTTGATAACCATGAATAACACTTTTTCGTCCGTCGAAAATCTTTTTTCTTCTTTTGTACAGAATTTGAACAATAATGATATTCGTCAAGTGCATTGCCGTTCGAATTCTGAGCAACACGATAAACATTTTGATTCAATGTCACGTGCTGCAAAAGCATCGAAGCTGCTTGTTCGATGACATTTTGTCTGAATATTGATGAGAAATTTTTCTGAACTTGGTCTTTGTCAATCAATTGATCATCTATGAACATTTATTGAGCATGAAAGAATGCGTGAGAAAAGAAAAAGAGATCGAATTGAGAAAACGCAAGCTTGATTTGGTGCGAAATAGAACGAATTTCTTTATTTCTCACGTTGCTAAAGACGAAATATATTCATTTTCATCTATAGAATCTACAAAGTTGACTTGCGTTCATAATTTTTCTTTTTAACATTCTATGACATTCCTTTCTGATTGCCGCAAATCGACATATGCATTTGTCAGCACCATCTATTGATGAGCTTTCATTGTTTTATTATAATGTTAATTACACAAGTCTTGTTTATCTACGAAAAATCAGTGAATTACGTAAGAACAGAATTTCATGTAATTAGGCAATATCTGTCAAGATATACATTGGTGTTTTGTAACACGATTGATTGTCGGGCGCCACAATCGACATCCGAAATTTAGTTTGCTTGTCATTTTTCCTTGAGTATAATATAATACTGAATCATTTTAGCAATCATCAGACCGTTTTGCGTGTTGAAATACAAAGAATTACACACTACTCGCAAACTCGTTTGTTCTCTGTTGAATTAAGCAATAATTCTCTCAGTTTTTGTTCTACTGTGTGCATTTTTGTTTAATTTTCTCTCGTCAAATTCCGGTGTAAATTCATTTTAATCTATGGCGGAAGCAGCAGGACAAGAATCGTCGGATAAGAATGTCGAAATGTGGAAAATTAAAAAGCTTATCAAAAGCTTAGAAGCGGCTCGAGGGTATGATGATCATATCTGTAAATAATCTTTCTCAATATCGATTTCTTCTTCAACAGAAATGGTACCAGCATGATTTCTTTAATCACTCCACCACGTGATCAAGTACCACGCATCGCTCGCATGTTAGCAGATGAATACGGTACAGCCTCGAATATCAAATCACGTGTGAATCGACTCTCAGTTCTCTCAGCGATAACTTCTGTTCAAGCCCGATTGAAATTGTACAATAAAAGTATATTGAACATCGCTGTTCTGCTTGATTGAACATTGTGTGTGTGCTTTTTTTCTTAGTACCTAATAACGGTCTTGTAATTTACTGTGGCACGATAGTAACAGATGATGGAAAAGAGAAGAAAGTCAACATCGATTTCGAACCTTTCAAACCAATTAATACTTCACTTTATCTTTGCGACAATAAATTTCACACTGAAGTTAGTTTTGTGACCTCTCATCTTCGATGATGATATCGATTGAATTTGTAGGCACTGCAAGCTTTACTCACTGACGATTCCCGCTTCGGTTTTATTATCATGGATGGTAATGGTGCCTTGTTTGGCACACTACAAGGCAACTCGCGTGAAGTACTAACAAAGTTTTCTGTTGATCTACCGAAAAAGCACGGTCGGGGCGGTCAAAGTGCCCTTCGGTTTGCTCGATTACGTATGGAAAAACGACACAATTATGTACGTAAAGTTGCTGAAACGGCTGTACAGTGTTTTATCACAGATGATAAAGTTAACGTATCAGGAATCATTCTTGCTGGTTTAGCTGATTTCAAAACAGAACTTCATCAATCCGATATGTTTGATCCAGTAGGTGTTGCTGAATCAATATGTTTGTATGTTATATTCATCATTTCAGCGTTTGCAAGCAAAAGTACTGAAACGAGTGGATATTTCTTACGGCGGTGAAAATGGTTTCAATCAAGCTATTGAACTAGCGGCAGAAACATTGGGCGATGTGAAATTCATTCAGGAAAAGAAACTCATCTGTAAATTTGAAACTGAAGAAGATCAATTTTGTTGATAGAACATTTTCTCTTTCATATTTAGCTCAATTTTTCGATGAAGTGTCCCGAGATTCCGGTCAATATTGTTTCGGCGTAGATGAAACATTGAAAGCATTAGAAATGGGCGCTGTGGAAATCCTGATTGTTTGGGAGAATTTCGAAGTGATGCGTTATGTCCTACGTAATCCTCAAACACAAGAAACAAAAGTGTTACACTTACGGGCGGACCAAGAAAAAGAAAAATCACATTTCCAAGACAAGACTTCCGGCGTTGAGTTTGAACATGTCGAAGAAATGCCGTTACTGGAATGGTTCGCTAATAATTATAAAAACTTCGGTAACAAACAAGCGATTCAGCTTTTCTCTTTTATTATTGTTCATTTAGGCGCATCATTGGAAATTGTTACGGATAAAAGTCAAGAAGGTTCACAATTCGTACGAGGATTTGGCGGTGTGGGCGGTATTCTTCGATACAAAGTGGAATTACAAAGCTTAAACGTTAATGAAGATGCCGAACCAATTGATTACAGTACGTCGATACTCACTAAATTCCACATACGTAACTCTCTCTTCTTTCGAATTTTTAGGTGATTACGATTAAATATTCATTCCGACGAGACGAAATCTTCTCATTTCTTTTTCTGACATTTTATCGTTTTTCTTTTAAATTTTTCTATAATTATATACAAACATATGCATTTTATCGTCGAATTCATTCTTTGAAACTGACGAAAAACACATTCCTATACAGATAAAGTGAAAACAAATAAACATTATGTTTATAAGTGTCAATGCAACGAAACAATTATCTTGTAACTTAATCGAAATTGAAATTACGAAACTTTTCTTTCTGCTCTTCTAGGTCATTTCTTTCTTGGTTTGTTGTCTATGATAATTTCGTAAGAATAATAAATCAATATGCAAAGCAAACGAAGCAAGGTCAAAAGGAGAATTATGTAAGATTGCGATGATTCATTTCTCGATGTCCATACTCAAATTTCTTGCACATAGTCCATCGATTATCGTGTGTTTTTCACTTGAAATTGTTTCATTCGCATAGATTAGAGTTGATGAAATTTGTTCGAAATTGAATTGAGAATGTTTTCATGTAAATGAAAGTTAGAACAATTAATTATGAAGTGGAGTTGAATAATCAAAGTGCATGAGTTCACTTCTCTTCTGCTTTGGATTAATCTTTTCGACTAACCTTCAAGTAGAATATATGTAAAATACAATTTCTTTATTCTCATAGGACTTCCTAATCATACTGCTGTTCAAGAACAAGTACTGTACTTCCGCTATTACCTAAAAGAACGAAGGAATATCATCATCATGAATCGATGGCCTTGTCCTTGATGACGACGTCGTCTTTCTTTCTTTCCCTCTTCCCCTTCCTCTCTCTCTCTTCTCTCTTTTCCCGTTTTACATAACCTTAGCCCAGTTACGTAAACTACGTCGCCGCGTCCATTTAGCAGTGGCAAGTGCTTGCCTTGTGCGTATGTTTGACTTTTTTTTTTACATTCATTCTATTTCGTAATATGATTATAATTCCTCTACTAATTACGTCATCGATAACGATGGATCACTTATTTAGTGTACTTTCGAATCTGATGTCTATTGTGAAGAAGATAGTGGAGTAGAAGAAGTGTTACATAAAAAGCGTTCTATTTAGATCAAACTATCAATAGTGAAATGCTAATAATCGTTGGACTAGTCACCATAGTGGAAGATGGAAATGTTGTTACAACATTTTCCTTCGGTTTGATTATGTAAAGAATAAAAAGAAGAGATGACGCATGGGAACAAGATGAATTTGTTTCTTTCAAATCCATTGAAAATGATCGGAGCGTGTGTACATATATATATATATATGTGTGTGTCTATTATATCATCATACTCTGTTGAGTTACTTAACATATTCATGTGTTAGTGTCGTCCTCTTCATTATTTCTTGGAGAAGTGCAATCAGAATTATGATGACATAATGTCATCTATCGATCTCGATCGGTATCATTTCCGAGCAGATAATTGTCAGACAATCGAAAATTCTAATTTGGACAATGTCCGAAACCATGACTCTCGAAAAAACGTAGATTTGTTAGACATGACGTCATGTTTGTTCTTATGATTCATCGGAATGTCGATGATCAGGAAAAGAAAACAAGTATGATGAAATTTGTTTATGATTTACGTCGTTCGATAGGAACAAATAAACATATAAGGTGAAAAAATGCTTTATCATATTTTTTCCGACTGATTCATGCGCATGAGTGTAGGGCATTTTGTAACATTCTCATTTTTTAACTAAATATTGTCTTCTACATCCTACATGAGATTTTTTTATCATGTCGTCACTTTTCTAAGCACACGTGGCCGTCTATCGATATGTTTTTCCCTTTCATATTACTGTTATTCAGCGTTCCTCGTACTTGGTAAATAGGCAACACAACGATGACGTTTCGTGTCGTCATTATTTGTTGCAATCTCTAAAAAAAAGTTCGAAGAAAAGAGGAAAAAGAAACCCAGGCGAAGAATGGTAAAAAAACGAGAGAAAAAAACGATCTATGTTAGCATTTCATGTCAATCTAGTGTTGATCGCAGTGCTTTCTTTTTCTTTCTTCATCGAACGAGCATATAAAAAAAAGAGAACGACGCCATAGACTCGCTATATATATATAAATTCATTCTTTCTCTCTTTCTTGTCTATACACGCGCACATTACAAAAAAAAGAGAGAACACATTACATAGAAAACAATAATCGTCAACAAGAAGAAGAAAAACTAGTTTCGCAAGACTTTGTGACGTCACAGCCAGTTCATTAAACCTGCACTTTTATACTTGAGATATTGGAACAATGGCATGCAATATATCGAAATATTCAAACGGCTCTTCTAACATATCTGCATCATCGGTTAAATCTGGTTTATCGTTTGGATATTTGACACTTGGATTTTCTGGCTCTGGTTTACTTGTAAATATTTTTAGTACTGACAATGGGTAAGATCATTTCGTTGGATTTCTTTGATCGCACCGATAGACAGTCTCTAGGAGCAAAGTGAAGTTTCTCCATTGAGTACCAAACAAACACTAAGAAAGAAAAGAACGTCAGAGAGGGGGAGCTGAACGCGAAACAATGTCTCTTTTGCCTTGGTACACGCTACAGAAGGTCACGAGCACATGATTGGGATATACAAACAGATGACTGACGATAGAAAACAACGAGGATAAATGTAATCGACTAAGCTTCATCGATTTTATTCTTCAGATAAGAAGTCTTATGACAGAACAAACGTATTGTTCATATCGGTTTTTCTTTCCATATCAGGTCTTTATCTTCGCAGTAAGAAGAGAAAGTTCCTGGTAGAATAGTAACGAAGATTTCCAATGACCTTGTAGAAGTATCTGATTGATAATGGAGAAAGAAAGAAAAAAAAACGGTTCTTTTGCTTTACGTTAATCGAACAAAAAAAAAAGAAAAGAATTGCGTAAGCCGCCTTCTCTAATTCTAGCACACGATTGAGCAACCATGTGGCGGGTTTGATGATGACTTGCGCAATGGTAGCTCGATTTCGCAACAATACCTTCCTTTCTTTTTCTTTGCCTTCTTTTTTAATGTGAATTAGATATGTTATGTCTATTTGTAAACTTAGATCGGCAAATTAATTTACCTTTGTCTTCTTTATTTTAGTAATGCTGCTACTGAATCTGCTCCGATATTGAAGTCTGATATTAGTGAACAACTCTAATCAACGTTTATTTATTTGGTTTTCGTTCTCTCTCTCTCTCTCTCGTAACTTTTTTCGTCTCTTTGATTCGTCATATTTCTTTCTTTACTCCATAAAATGTCTTCTTCAACGACAACATCGTCTCAATCACCACATCATTCATCATCTGCTAAACACGCCGATCTTCATCTTTTGACACCACTTTCCTCTTTGTCAAGAATTTCCAGTCCATCGACTCCTCTTCCTCAATCAACTGATCCGTCAGGTCCACTTACTCCCGATTCTGGTCATTTCATCAATCCATTCGCTGCGCTTGCAACAGCCAATCTTCCTACATTACCTTCTGTACGTGTTATCGGTGAATATGAATTCAGTGAAACGAAATTCGATGATTTCAAATGCGCTCGACATATTCCAACAGGCGAAGCCTTACTCTATAAAGAATTTTCTTTGGAAATTGTTCGTCAACGTTTAGAACCGTATCAACGTTTGATTTCTATTCTTCAATTATCCAATACAAATTCACAACTCACAGTCGAACAATTGGCGTATAAGTATCACATTCATTTCTTTCGTGACATTATATCACTTGATCGTACAGCGATTGTCCTCTATCCAAATTACACAAACAATCTTCATCAGTACATCACCGAAAAACATCGTCTACATGAAAATGAGACAAGAAATTTGTTTTCACAAGTCGTTCGTGCAGTGCAACTTTGTCATCGTGTTGGACTAATTGTACGTGATTTAAAATTACGTAAAATTATCTTTCAAGATCAAACACATACACATTCATTACTAACGGGAATTGATGAAGCAATTATGCTTGCAACTCCAACGACAACCGATGACCATGTTTCATCACGTTTTTCTTGTCCAGTATATGCATGTCCGGAAATCGTTCTCAATCGACAAACATATTCCGGCAAAATGGCTGATTCATGGAGTTTAGGTACATATCTATCTTATTTAACCACCGGGAAGAAGGTTATAAATTCATTTTAGGAATTATTCTATATACAATGCTTTTCGGTCGATATCCGTTTTGTGATCGCACTTTAGTGGGTTTGTTTATTAAAATCGGTCGATGTCGACCTGATATACCTCGAACAATATCCTTAAAAGCACGATCACTACTTCGATCATTGATACGTGTGAAGCCGGATGAACGTCTATTAACACAAGACATTCTGGGTCATGTTTGGTTCGGTGGTGAGAGAAGTGCATCAACATTATCAATGAGTACGTCTGTATCTAATTCAAGTATTAATGAAGATATAGTTTTATCAAATAATAATCTTGGTTGTATGAATACCTCACCTACTAATGATATGACAACAAAGGAAGATGCTGTTGTACCTAATTTTGAATGTGAATAGCAGGAAATGTATGAAAAAGTTTTTGACGATTCTTCTTCTTCTTCTTCTTTGTCTTCTCCTTTCGACGTTTTCAACCAAGTTTGTCCTTTTTTTTCTTTCAGTTTGGTCCCGTTCATTCTTTTCATTATCTTTTCTCTCTGTTTTGATTACTTCAGTTCTCGGTTTTTCTTCATGTCTTTTGCGTGCGTTCTATATTTTTTTTGCCAAAGAGAAAAATACAAAGCTTATATTATTCATGGATACTTTTCTTCTCATTTGACCAAATCTCTTTCCAATACCAACGAAGTCTTTTATTATATAGACGCGTATGACCGACGGATATGATACGTATGCAGAGAATACAAAAGTAAAGTAATCAATACCAAACCCAGTCCAACAGAGTAGACCACAATCGACGAGAGTTGCCACTGCTTGACCAATCGATTTTGTTCAGCAGTACATGACGGACATGATGGCTCGGATGAAATGATCGTTGATGATGCATTGTAACACTAAGTGAAACAGTTAGAATACGTTCGATGCAGAATTTTCTGAGATTTACTTTATCTAATAGAGATATGGCAACTTCTTCAACTGCTTCTGACGACAATTGTCGAGCTTCACCAGTTTCATATTTTTCAATCTGTTTTTTCAGTAAATCACGAGCGACAGTATACCAAGAATCCTGAAATGAAGAGTAGGAAAAAGTAAGTACGATTACAACTCAACCTACTGTTTCATCAGCAAGTCCACGAACTTTGAGAATCACTTGACAAAAGTCAATCATCGATGTCGCTAAACCATAACTAAAACCATCTGTTGTTTTCGTCCAACATTCAAGAGAACCTTCGGCTGTGTTGCATTGACGTCTAACGATTGTGGCTCTGTAAATGTAACAAGAATTGACAAAATATCTTACGTGCATTTTGTATTGAATAAGTCTCGACGACCAATAACGGATATCAACATAAAGAGAAGTATTCCACATACTGCACGACGAAAATACATTGAATAAATCTGAAGTATGTGTGAGAGAAAAACAAGCTTTAATTGTATATAATTAATCGTCATGCACAGAATAGTGGAGAATGAATAATAGCAATCAAACAGAATCACTCATATTTTTGACAGCTTTTGATCAATATTCGAGGATGTAAACTTGTAAGCGTCATGGATACTCAAACGATTGTAGCACAATAAAAAAAACGAAGTTTGTGCTGTTTGTTTCATTCCATTCAATGTTCGACGAAAATTTTTATTTTCATTGGGCAACTGATTTTTCTAGGGCTTTCTTCTAATCAATCATTTGTTATTTACCTGTATGAATAATCAAAGAATATATTGTCACAGGAATAAAAAAAAGTCAGCAAGTCGAGTGAGTTTATGCCAAAGTAAGTTCAATCTGTTGATCAAGGCGAGGAAGTATCAATCATTGTTGAAAGTCGATGATTATTTTCAAAAAAAGAAACAAAAAGAGAGATGAGAACATTCGATGGTAGAAGTCCGCATGTAAAAGGCTAAATCCGTGTCTGTATCTTAAAGTAAATGTCAAGGTATCTGTATCATAAAACTGGATGTAGATGTTCGTACAAATAGCATGTAATGCGACGGTAAAACGTGGAAATAAATAAAAGAAAAATTTTGCATGATGATATCATGATACTCCAGATATCTCGTGCTTGATATCGTTGTTATTTTCGTTGTTCGCTCCGAGAAAAGAATCAACATACTTTTTTATATTTGGTTTCATGATGTCTAGCGAAAGAGAACTAATATTTACGGAGGACACGCTCGCCAAATGGACTTCTGTTTCCATTAGTTAATGATCTCGACATTCGAATACCGATTATTAGCGAACGACATATCAATTGTCGTTTATTCATCCTATCCATGGTAAACATGAGCAATGGTTTATTTCAAGCAAATATTTTTTGCACAAGCAGCAATGTTTATTATAAATGAAGATCTGAAGAAGAAGTAAAACAATCATTAAAGAAAACGGTTTTTGCTATATCAACACCCATAAGCACAAATTAAAAAAAAGTTAACGAGAATTTCTTGTTTTTCCGTTCTATTCTATAGAAAATACGCCGCACAGTAGAACATTTGAAGTTGCAGCGTCACAATCAAAGAATCACAACATAAACGCACATTTGAGAAAGTAACAAACAAGAGGTGCACGTCTATGTACTGAAATGCATCTTTTTCTGCAAGAAAGACATGAAAATATTCAATGAAATATGTAGATATATGTCGACGAAATCATTCGATTCCTTACCGTTTTGGCGCTTGCGCGTATCGCTATGATGCAAATATCTACTAATACGATGGAATATATTTTTCATAAAAAACAAAAACCCATCACCTTATCTATTCTATAAACAAAAGTATTCTCATCACAAAATTTGAAATACATAACTATACCATTGTATGTCACATATACACGTTTGATAGTTTGTTCGTTCTTTATCGTTCTATAGAATTCGTAATAAATGTATCATAATAGCTGATTCGAGTATAAATTCCGGCCGATCTGCATTTGGATCTATTGCCAATTGCAATACCAGCACACGTCCATTTATCTTTTGTTTCTTGTAGAAGCAAAGGACTGCCACGATCGGTGTCACATATATCCATAGCTGTATATCTACCACAGAATTGACCTTCGGTTGTTGTCGGCAGTTCGCATGTTGATAGATTTTCGACTTTAACTTCAGCTTTTTGGATCTTTTCAGAAACAGCGATATCGTTATTCCATCCAACAACAACACTATTATCGTTCATTTGTGGAATTGACAGATTTTTCGCAATTGGACAGAGACTAACTGATAGACTCAAAGTTACATTGCTGGCAAGTGTCAAAACAGCAATATCGTCTACTGTTCGGCCTTTTCGATAAGTTCGTGGATAGGCAACGCTAAGAATGCTACGTTTGAGCACATCACTGCCTTTGGACAACGAATCACTACCAAAGTGGATACTTAATGAACTTTCATGGAGATTGTAAACACAAGTAGCGGATGTAATGACGTGTCGATTGGTGAGAAGGAAACCAGTACAAAGCTTTTGATTTCGCAGATAGACAGCAACGATAAATGGCCAAGTGGTGGGTTTTGACGCAGTTGTAATTATAGTTTCAGTTGTTGTTGTCGTTGTCATTGTCGTCGTCGTCTTCGTTGTTGTTGTTGTTGTTGTTGTTGTTGTTGATGATGATGATGGCGATGTTACAATGGTCGAAAGTATAGCTGTAGTGATACTTGTAGTTTTCGTTGCATACGTTGTTGCATAAGTGGACAGTGTAGTTGTGATTTTTGTTGCATTAGGGAGAAGTGTAGTTGTGATTTTTGTTGCATTAGGGAGAAGTGTAGTTGTAACGGGCATTTTAGTCATTGATGGTAAAGTTGTGGGAATACTTGATGAACATTCACGTTGACCTGTCGATCGATCGCATGATAGAAGTGCTGAAAGAATTTTTGGTGCAGCTGTGCTGGGTGGATCTTTAAGGCCAAAGCCTAGACCGAGACCAAGTGCAATGGCCAATGTACCAAGAAACAGAAATGATCCAACAACAACGACAACAATAATAACGATCATCTTTGTTGTGCTATGTTCGTTTGTTTCCGGTATCGGTGGTACAAATTGAGATTGGACAGGATATCTCATCCTGGATAGTTTTATGTTTGATTGCATTTTAGGAGAAACCAACAGTGAGTTGGAAAGATTTTTTTCACTACTTTTTATAGTGTTCCTATGAAGACAATTGGCCTCTGATCGTCAATGACAATGTCTCATGTCCTATTTGGATGTTTTGCTTGTCTTGAGTTTCATTGTCATCCTTCAATGTTCCGGGTTTGTCTATATTCATCGTGTTGAAAATGAGCTGGAACAATATCAATTGCCCTATCTGCATTTGAAGGAAATAATCATTCATGGAAATAGAAAAACTATCTTTCATCATGTAACATATTCATGGTCATCGTCGAGGTAGACGTTCATGAATTGTCCCGAAACAACACAAGCGAAACGAAACAAGGAAATATAAGATCATGACCTTGCTGATCTTCATTTCATTGAACAAGCATACTAGATAGACGAAAAAGTGTTTGTCTATATGAAACAACACTGCATAAGTGACATGTGAAAGTCCAATTTCACAATATCAAACAAATCTCGATTAATTCACAGATTAATCAATACTGTTGTATATAATGAAAAGATTGAATTTATAGAACTATGATCAAAATATAGAAAGATCATGTCTCTCTTTTTCTCTTGTAACATGAATTACGAATGAATTCCACCACTAAAATCGCGTCGTTTGTATATCAGACGCTGCATTATTCGCTAGATACAAATCTGCCGGTTTTGCCCGTCGCGAAAACTTTTTCGACATTTTCATTTGATGTTGAGTTTTGTAGATTTGAACCAGAACTATAGCAGCAACTAATCCTGCACTAACAACACTAACAATAAAAAGCACCATCAGATTCATAACATTTGAAGAACAGGTCGTTTCAGAACATTGCAATACTGGAAGTTCTTCGACTGATTCGATCTCAGTGGACGTTAAATTCGTACACTAAAACGAAAAGTAATATCGACATGGTATTGACTCAATTGTTAGTTTCTTACGAAATCTAACAGAAGAGTTTTCGTTTGTTCGAACAAACTCAATGGTAAACTACTAGCATTTGCTTCGTGCAATAGATGATCTTCAAGGGCTTTTTTAATCAAAGCTATACGTTCGCTACTGTTGTCGTTGCTATTTGCGCTGCTTACCTATGGAAAGAGAAGACTGAAACAACTCAAAACGCGATGCATGTGACGAACTTCTGATTCGTGGTTCCGTTGAAAAGTATCAACATACACAGCAAGACTGCCGAATGAAAATATTTGATGAGATAGCTCCGATGAGTAATAAGTCAAAGTATCTAGCCAACATTGATGCTCTGTTGAACAATTTGTTCTAAAAATAACAACGTGAATTTGGTATAGACGATAAGAGAACGAGTACATTCGATAACACAAACCTACATATCGTTGTTTCACACTGATATCGCGAAACAACGCATACAGCAATGTGAAAAATAAATAGAATATACATTGAAAAGCAACTCGAAAGAAATGCAAAAGTAAATCTTCGAGTATGTAGGCTATAAAAATGCATGTATATATATATATATACCCATGAGACCTCATAAAAGTAAAGGTAACACGTAGAAGCAGTAGAAAAGAAATCTATTATGTTACAATGCCATGTATATTCGATGATTGATGCTTTATTTGTTCCGTTGAGATGAATGTAAAACAAAAGTCTCACAAATCTGTTACAATAATTTTTATTCTTTGAAAATTAAAATAATTACTCTCACCCACTATCATAGATGCACATGTTTCCGAAAACAGTAAGAAAATAAAGCATCATTATTACAGTACAATTGTTCAACAAACAAAAAATATTCTCACCACAATACTCGTATTGTGGGCAAAAACATATATTCAAAATATTCTAATGTTTTGTTTACCACGTTATTGAACTAAAGATGAATTCATTGTGATAACTGATTCGTGTATAGATTCCGACCGATCTACATCTGGATCTATCACCAATGGCAATACCAGCACATATCCATTCGCCATCGATACCTCTCACGACTAAAGGACTACCACGATCAGTCATACATTTGCTACTACTACTATAGCGACCACACAATCGACTCTTGATCAACGTCGATAGGCCACATGTGGCAGGACTTTCGATTCGAACTTCAGCTTCTTGAATCTTGTCCGAAATAGCGATGTCGTCGTTCCAGCCAACAATAACACTGTCATCATTCATTTGAGGAACCGATAAACTTTTTGGAATGGAACAGACGCCGACTGCTGCACTAAAGGTAACATTTCGAGTCAATGTTAAAACAGCAATATCATCTACTGTTCGACCCTTTCGATATGTTGATGGATAAGCGACAGTGGAAACGTCGCGTCTTAACGCCTGATTTCTGCTTGATAACCTGTCGACACCAAAATAAATAGCCATTGAAGTTTCATCGAGATTGTAGACGCAAGTGGCTGATGTGATAACGTGTCGATTGGTAAGAAGGAAACCAGTGCAAATCTTTTGATCGCGAAGATAAAGAGCAACAATGAATGGCCAAGCGATGGGTGTCGGCTCAGCTGTAGTTGTTGTCGTAGTTCTAGGTCTAGTACGAGATGCTCTCGTCGTAAAATCAGTCAGAAAGTCTATGTCACCCGAATCAGTAGTTGTGGTTGTGTATTGTCTTCTGCTAGGTGTAGCAGGAAGTTCGGCAGCATCAATAATATCAGCAATGGGCTCTTCTACTTCGTACCAGGGTCGAGTGGTGGTGGTTCTAGCCGTAGTAGTAGTTGTGGTAGTGCTGGTGGTGGTGGTGGTGGTGGTACTGGTGCTGGTAGTAGTAGAAGTAGTAGAAGTAGTAGTAATAGTAGTAGTAGTAGTCGCAGAAAATATATTACTAATAGACGAGAAACCATTGCTGTTTGAGGAGATACCATTGATATTAGATGGAAAACCATTTGGATTAAATGAAATACCATTAGTATTAAATGCGACACCATTAGGGTTCGATGAGATGCCGTTAGGATTAGATGAAATATCATAAGGGTTAGATAAGACACCGCTAGGGTTAGATGGGACACCGTTGCGGCTAGATGAAACACCATAAGGGTTAGACACGACACCGCTAGGGTTAGACTGGATACTATACGGATTAGCTGAGATACCGTTAAGATTAGATGGGATACCATACGGATTAGATGAGATACCGTAATGGTTAGATGAAACACCAGTAGGGTTAGACTGAATACCGTTAGGACTAGATGCGACGCTATTAGGATTAGATGAGATGCCATAGGGGTTAGATAAGATGCCATAGGAGTTAGATGAGATACCATAAGGGTTAGATGGGGTACCATTTTGGTTCGATGGAATACCATAGGAGTTAGATGAGATAACATAAGGGTTAGATAGGATACCATTTTGGTTCGATGGAATGCCATAGGAGTTAGATGAGATACCATAGGGGTTAGATGGGGTACCATTTTGGTTCGATGGAATACCATATGAGTTAGATGAGATACCATAAGGGTTAGATAGGATACCATTTTGGTTAGATAAGATGCCATAGGAGTTAGATGAGATACCATAAGGGTTAGATGGGGTACCATTTTGGTTCGATGGAATGCCATTGACGCTAGATTCAATGCCATTAGTGTTAAATAAAACACCATTGATATTGGATGGGATACCGTTGGCGTTTGACGAGATACTGTTAGTATTAAATGGAATGCTATTACTACTAGACGAGACACCATTGACACTAGATGAGACACCATTGACACTAGATGAGACACCATTGACACTAGATGAGACACCATTGACACTAGATGGAATACCATTAATATTAGTTGAGACACCATTGATACTGGATGGAATACCGTTAATATTAGTTGAGGCACCATTGATACGTACTGGAATACCATTACTGCTAGTTGAGATACGATTAGTATTAGATCCAATTTTATTGAAATTAGATGAAACTGTAGAAGTATTGCCTGCGATATTATATACTGATGACGTGGTATTGGTAATGGCTGTAGTACTAGCAGAAGTAGGAGTAGATGGTAACGTTGTTGTTGGTGCCGCAGTAGTCAGTATACATCCATTTTCAGTCATTGTTCCACTACATGGTACTTTGGTAGTTTCAGGTGTTGGATTCGAAGATTTTTTGAAACCGAGACCAATTCCAAGACCTATAATGCCAAGAACTAAAAATGCGACGATAGTAACAGCTATGATGATGATAATCAATTTTGTTGTATCAGATTTAGGCGGCTCAGGAACAAAGGGTGGTAGTTCAGGAGTGGTAATTGACAGAATTGTAGGCGGACTTAAACGTATACGCGGACGTGGACGTGGACGCTGAGGATATCTCCACCTCGGAAAGAAGCTAGGCCGAAACATCGACAATGTTGAGAATGAGAACACGTTCTTGTTTTTGAGTTGCTTTTTAAACGAGTCTCGTTTAGAAAAATTCACCTATTATTACGGGCTCGAATCAATCAAACGTTTCAATGCTGTATTGTCTATTTTTTTCTCCTAGCTTTCATTGTCATCCTTGGTGTTTCATTGTTTTAGTTAGTTGGAACTTCGAAAACTAATACAAACAATATTAATTATTATCAATAGTTGTGTCTACATCTGAAGACAATTACGACGATGGTAAAATTACTTTCCATTGTACATATGCTCACGGCCGTGATAAATAAAACTCCTCCAAGAAACAAAAAGGAAACATTCTATCATGACCTTGCTAGCAATTCTCTCTAATTATCCTTCGGTTCGCTCAAGAAGTAAACAATACTCGCAAAGAATTTGTTTTTCAGACATATAAAAGAGCGTCCATTGCGTTTAGGCAATGAAAAACAGAAAGTGTTCAAGCATATTGATTAAATAAGCAAAACAAAGTGAATTTACTCAAATATTAGTTTAAATATTGACTATCGATTGAATTTGTGTAAGTAAACGGTTTTCTTCAGATCGAATTCTCACACTCAACGGTTGAATTCGAAAACTCTATAGACAACAAAGTATTTGAATACGTCAGTTCCGTCGTCTGGTAAGAAAATACTCAGTCATATTTGTTAAAGTTCTCAATTGACAATGTCTCATATTGCTTGTAATCGTAATACTATTGATCCGCGCAGGAAATATTTCAAACAAAATGATTCGAAACAACTATAAAATGTTCTCCTTCCACATTCCACATCATTCTCACTCTGTTCACCATTTATTCCCATTAGAAATAACTTCATGTTAATTCTTCATCAACTTTTATTCATATGGTAATACTGATTAAACATTTGATGAAGAAGAAGAGTGTTATATCGCAACAGTTTCTCCACCAATGACAAGACCACAATTAACTGTTAATCTTCGATTTTTCATAGAGATAAACATGTCAAATAAAATTGAGTGAAACTATATAAAAGGAGAAGAAACACTTCGAACTAAGTATTGATTAATTATTGATAGATTTTTGTTACAAATATTGTCTTTATATTGAAAATCGTCGTGGTAATAAAATAAAGATCAACAAATCGGTATTTCTACGCTTATCAATTTCATATTTCACTGTCTAATCTACATAGAGAGTCCTCTTTTTTATTCTATATACAACCCTTAATTGTACAACGTAAATACGGTAATACATACCCTCAAGCTAAACTTCCTCAATTAACAGGTAAAAAGACATACACGCACGCCTTCATATACATACACATCTAATAGTGTATGTGACCTGTGGATACGCAGTCGAACTTCATCGCTTTTCATCTATCATTATACACAAATATTGTGAATGTCTGAACAATAATAATAATAGGAGAAAGGTTCGACAGACAGATTGTGATTGAGTCCTGTTTAATTGTCATCTCCTATGCATACAATGGTGTGAACGAACATCGTCTTTTCGTTTGTCGACCATGATTTGTGTCAGTTGATATTGTGTTCAAGCTTTACTCTATACGGCGAATAAATGAATGAATGAATGAATGACAAAGAAAAGAAGAGACATCCAGCTGAATCTTTGATTCTCTTTTTCATTGGAAAGAATGTCCGAGACATTCACTTGCGAGCAACCGAAACGAAGGAAAGAAATGAGTAGAGAGATGAAAATGGCAAAAAACAGAACATCGAACAAAGAAAGAACGGCAAAATGAGTGAGCAAAGAAGGAGAAAAAAAGAGAAGAAAAGGAAAAAGTTTTTAGTCAATCTAAAGTGCGTTTGACGACGGCAACAACAGCCATAGCATAACTTTTTCATTCCATATTTTTGCGTGTCTCCCTCCAGAGAAAAAAAACGAGGAACGAGGGAGAGAGAGAGAAATGAGGAGTGCAAATACACGTGTTTGCCTAACGGAATAACGCAAAGAAGAAGAAAAAAAACGCCAGCTCCGGTCATTGTTTGCATTCATCTTTACTAAGCGTACATCTATACATTTGAGTAGGTAAGCCGCAAAATTTATTATTATTATTTTCTGTTATTTTTCATCGATATACATCGGCTGAGTGTTTTACAATACTTCGCGAATCATTGAGAAGTTTATCAAAAACATATTTAGATATCTTTTTTCTTCAGGAGAAGAAGAAAAAACCTTAACGAATGAGAGATGCGAGACAGCAGGTGTCGTCAATGAAAATCATTTCATCTAGTTTATGATTATTTTACTTTCTCGCTGTCTCTTTTCTTATATGTATATACATCCACACATAGGACTAATAAATATCCAATAGTCTTTATTTTCAAGGTAAATCAACAGCATCTCATCATCAATTTGAAAACTTAGATGTGTACAACCTTTAGTTTTTCTAATGACAATGACATACACTTCATCAATTATCAAGGCGATCTTCTCTCCTTATTTTCATTCGTTTTTGTTCATTCATTTTCATTTCTGAGTACTTGCAAGTTTAATTATATCGCACAATGACTGGACATTTCGCGTTTCGTTCGCTCTCAAAGATCATATTTCATTTGGTATGCAGTTCCACCCAACGCCACGTCTTCTCACGTTTCGCTCATGTAACATTGACGTGTATAAGACATTTCGTTTTCTTTCGCTCGCCTTACTTAAGACATACTCACAGTTTGCTTTCTATTAGCACTATCTTATTCGATGACCTCTTGAATCACATAAGACAACGTACGCATCGTTTGCCTATTGCCTGGAGGTAGTCAACGAAAATATTGTCGAAAAAGTCTCATTTATATCAATCTATATATACGCACGTCGGATTTTAATCGGAAGTTTATGATACTGCCTATTCACACTTCTCGATGTGCTTACATCATATTGCTTTTTTAGTTGATCGTCTTCGGGTATTTTTTTTTCTTCTCTTATCGTCGATGATCGACGACTGTTAGTCGCACTTAAAGAACTTCAATGTAGGTTTTAGTTTCGCCAAACGACCGATTACACAAATCAAACTAAGAAGAGATATGTAAACGCGTACATATTTTAAGAGAAAAGCTTAACGCATGATTACAAATATCAATTGCATGAATATATGATGACGACGACGATTGATTGTGCATGCTAAACATGGACAAGTTTAAATAAGAAAGAAGGGAACGAGGACCTTGACACACACACACACACATACACAAATATTAATAAATGACTGTGCTATAACTTGTCGCAATGTTCAATTAATGAAACTGTTGTCAACTTGTGAAATTAACACTGTACTTTTTTCCTATTGTTTTAAAATGAAAAAAGAACTCTTTTTCTTCTCGCGTTTGCTTTTTCTTTCTCTCTCTCTCTGTTCTCTCATCAACCATACAGTAATTTGCATTTGTAAAGGATGACGTTAGAAGTATAAATTTAATAAAAGTCATCGACTACTACTATTTTCATATTGAGTAGATCCACTCGAAAATTCTTTGCATATTTTCTCCAATATCCAGCCGTGTAACAAACCCAAGTTCGTGTTTATCTATCTGAGACAATCTCAGCGAATTTCAAATGAAATATTTTTTTATCTTTTCTTTGCACTCTCTTACTCGCTTTCTTGTTGAAACTATCACCAACTATATTCGATTCATATCAAATGATTTCTTCTAAACGCCTTCACATTATAATGAATAATATTTACATGATTCTTTCTTTTTTTTTGCTTGCAGGTGTAAAAATACTACATTCAACAAATATATCCTTCGTCTTTTTCATACATATGAATCATCGTATAAACTAACTTTATATAACCGCATATCTCCGATACAATAAAGGAAGAAATTCTATTTTTCATTTCTTAACAATGTCGAACAGTCCTTCCGAACGATCTAGTTCGCCCGAATTGGCTTCTGCTATGATGGGTGATGAAATGACCGATGATGCGCAGCAATTTCAACAAATTATTCGTGATCGAAGATGTAAGTATTTATTTTCTTTTAAATGTCGAAATTAATGTAACAGACGAGCTCCTCTATTCCATTACCTACGCTTCTGTCAATTGTGAACATACATTATTAGTTGATTGACGTAATAATTACTCTTGAAATGACCTTGACTTGAGAAAAGACAGTTCTTTTGTCATATTATCATCATGTCCGCAGTTTTACTTTCAATAGTGTTTCTTTATCATTACTGTTCTCTCATTTTTTTTTCATTATGTGGCATGTGAAATCGTGTTGATAACAAGAGGAAAGAAGATGTTCCTTTTCAACGTACAGACATAGTTCAGACGAGCGTAAACGAGAGAATAGAGCGATGATAGCACATAGATAAATGCTCTGGGAATGGACGATGAAACATAAAGGGGCAGAAAATTTCCATTGAAGCGAGTAGGATCTTCTACAGTGCTGGTTATAAACACAGAAAAGCGAGTAGAGGAAGGAAGAAAAAGGAGAACGAGAAGAAGAACAAGAGAAAAAGAAAAGAAAAGAAGAAAAAAAAGAAATCAACATCGTGTTTCGGATATTACTGATAAGTAACAGTCAACCAGAGAGCTATACCACCATCCGATCTTCGTCATTTCTGCTATTATTATTATTATTGTTGTCATCATCATCGTCGTCGTCGTCGTCGCACTCTGTTTCTATATACGAATATGAAGAAGAATAGACGAACAGTCTATGTTCTGTGTATTGAAACTTATTGACGGTCTGACCTTCGTACTAATTCTTCTTATCAGATACCAAAACCTCTCTCTTTATATTAATTTATATATATATGCGTATCTATATAACCAAACATGTCATCGGCAATCATGGGTGAACCATTAGATTCTTTTGACGAGGATCTTCCATGTAAGTTCATCTCCATATGTTTGATAATCAAATATCATCTGGAATAACACGATGATGAGAAAACAAAACAAGCATTTCTTGTATATAGAACTAAAACCTAGTCGAAGATATCATAGTTTACTAACACATAACAACGACGACTTCGTTTTATCTTTATTGACCAATGAATTTGTATCTGATCAGTGAAGTAGTTCAATAGACTTTGCTTGTTAAGTCGAAAAAAACATATGTGCATATGTATGTTTATATATGACTTTGCCGATGGGCAGAGTTAATAATTATACAGCATCTACTTGAGAGAAGTATATGTGACCAAATCAACAAATCTATGATCATCATAAAAGAAAGAAAGAAAGCAAGCTTGTACATACTCATGAACGAATTCAAATAGAACAGTTTTTTTTTCTTTCGTCAGTAGTGAATTCGAACATCGCGATTGAGATGACGAACAAACTTCTTTCTTCTTCTGTTGTTGTCAATATCCGAGAATAGTCGACAAGCAAACAAATAACTTCCTAATTAGTTGTCTCCTTGACTATGTACTTGATTTCAAAATAAATTAACTTCCACATATTTCTACATATTGTTAGCGATACGATTGATCGATTTACATGTATACCCATTGACATTATGTACGAGCTAACAAAGGATAAGACAAGAGGCTGACATTTTCGATCTAATGATCGATTCGTATGCTTGATAACGGAGGATTTTGAAAAAAATGCTCGATCGTTTTTCTCTCTTTCTCCAATGTGATGAATGTAATGCGCATTTTTTTGTCGTTATCATTGATCAATCAGTGGATATACATAAACAATCTTGATGTGTTGTCGAATGATGTGCTCAGTCATTCATATATTTGTATATAGACACCGTTTACGTAAAAAGAAAAATTTCGTTCATTTGAATTGTACTATGCATAGGTAAAATCATGGTCGTGTTGCGTTTTTTTCTCTTTCTCTCGTGCTTTACTTTTTTCATATGTTCGAATGAAACAGGTGTTCAACTGTGTCAAATTGAATTCAACGACCGAGACAGCAAACTTTTCTTTCGATCATTTTGAAATAAGTTCAAACATAATAAAATAATAGTTCAAATTTCGTTTGTTCGTCGTTTTACACTAATGTTTTGGATTACTTGTAGACGAACGTGAAGATATTCAAAAGAAAGCATTCACCAAATGGATCAATAATCGCCTAGCCGAGGTAACCGCTTAGTTTCGAGCTTCGATAATGATTAAATCTTGTTCTGTTGTTTATTTTTTAAAGAAAAGTTCCACACCACCTGTGACAGATTTATTCCAAGATTTACGTGATGGTGTTATTCTCCTTCAATTATTGGAAGTACTTACTGGGAATGAATGTGTATGTGATTGAGAAAGATAAATATACATGAAGACGAATGCATAAATTTGTTTCTAGAAACGAGAAAATGGCAAGATGCGTGTACATCATATTGAAAATGTTAACAAAGTCATTGCTATTCTCAATGAACATGGAGTAAGATTGTACAACGAATATGTCGTCGAATTGCTCATTTTCAATTTTAGATCAAACTTCTCAGTATATCATCTAATGATATTGTCGACGGGAATGCCAAGTTAACGTTAGCATTGATATGGTCAATAATTCAATATTGGCAAGGCAAAGATGTGATGAAATCGGCAGAAACCGATGCCGAACAAACTAACATTGAGAAGTTTCTTCTTGCTTGGTGTCAAGAACAAACGAAAGGGTTCGTTTCAAGAATGATTCTCGAGAATTCGCCTATTTGCGTTCATTTAGATATAAAGGCGTCGAAATCAATGATTTTACACGTAGTTGGCAAGATGGTCTTGCTTTCAATGCATTAATACACAAATTTCGACCGGATTTGTTCGATTACGATGATATTCTCCAGAATGCCTCTGCTCGAAATCTTGAACATGCATTTAGTGTGGCGAAGAATGTCTTCAAAATCGACCGATATCTCGACGTTGAAGGTTTGTTTGATTTACCCTGAATGCTCGTTTCTTTACATCCGAACGGTCTCATTCAATAGATGTGATTTCTGATTATCCTGATAAGAAATCAATTTTAATGTACGTCATGTGTCTATTTCAACAATTGCCAACGAGTAATATAATTATTGAAGATAAAGAGAAAACTGAAACATCGACGACGACGACTTTAACGGACGATACTACTTCAACGGCGACAAAGGTTTGACAATCGTCAATTGATTGATTTCAAAGTATTTTCGCGTATTTTCAGGCTCCCGAAGAAGAAATTGAAACACAACCAAGATCGGACGACGATTCTATGCGATTGAAAACATTTCAAACAAACATCGATAAAGTACTCAAGTGGGTGTTAAATCTAGAAAACGAACTAGATACACAAGATAAAACACTATCTGATGATTTGAAAACTATCAAAGAACAATTTCAAAGTCATGAGGTAAAACTAGTTTGTTGTTTTTGCACGTTTTCCTACAAATATTTTGCATAGGAATTCATGGTTAGTTTGACACAAGATCAAAATCAAATTGGCGAAATACTTCTGGAAGGCAATCAACTGCTAACTTCCGCAAATTTTCAACTGCAACCTGAAGAAATAAGCGAAGTGAAAGAGAAAATGAAGGTCCTCAATGATCACTGGGAATCTTTACGGTCGAAGTCGCTCGAGAGACAAGCAGTGTAAGATTTCTACTTCGACTGTTTTGCTCTGAATGTTTTTGTTAGGAAGATTACAAATATTCCATTTATTTCTCTTTCTTTGATTTATTACTCGGAAAACGGTTGACATATGTTACAATCAGACACGAAATAATTGTCAGAATTTATGTACGAATTGTCATTTGCGAAACATAGTAGTAATTCTCTAATCTTCCGCTTACCAAAAGAAATCTCTCGAGGCAAATGATATTCTTTGTAGTCAAAAAGATTAGAAATAACACAAAGAAGGTTTTACTTTACCGTGAGTTGAAACTAACTCGACAGAAACGTTAAGTAACAATATTTCCCAGGAGAATGAGATCCAGTCAACTTTCTCTTTCTCGTTATTTGCGATCTACCTTTTCTTTTGTGTGTTTAGCCTCCATAAAGCGTTGATGAAGCTTCAAATCGATCAAATCGAATCGTTTGATGCATGGTTAACTCAAACCGAAAGTCGCATATCAACAGATTTAGACATTCTCGAACAAAATCTAACGGGAATCAATCGTCAATACCAGCAATTAGCTGAACTACAAGATGAACTTGTCTCTCAACAACAAATAACTGAATCCTTACAAAATATGATCATTGTCATCGACGATTCCCTATCCGAAAATCTCGATCCTGCTTCGAAATACTCTTCAACCGAAATCGAGAGTAAACTATTGACTTTAAGCGAACGTTGGGCACAAATATGCAATTTCGTTCAAACACGTTGGATTCAATTGCAAGAAGTGAAAATCGAATTCGAACAGATCCATACCAATTTGGATAAAGTCGAGAAATGGTTAGCTACCAAAGAAGATGAGGTGAACAAAATGCAAGAAGAAACCAATCTTACCGATCAAGAGACATTTATACAACAAGTTAATACACTGGAAGTAAGTTAACATTTCGGAATATTTTCTAATCAAAGATGATGCTTTCCATTGACATGTCGTTCTTTCCGCTCACGTTTATGTTACTTAATTTGACCTTTGAAAGTTTATACGATGAATCAATAGGTTATGCAATCGAAGAAACGAATCTGTTTGACTTCTTTTTGTTATTTGATTCTATCTCTTCATTAATTTCTATGACTGCGATACCATTTCGAATTTGAAAGATTTCTATTCGCCAAGACTCATCAAAGTTTATATTTAGAAAACGGAATCAGAAATGGCTGATATGCGTCAAGCGATTCTTCTATTGAATGGTAGTTTACAAGTTCTCAGTCAACATTACGATAGTTCAACAGCGACTGAATACAACAATCTTAGCAATCAAATAGATACGTTCGAAAAGCGCTGGACGAAACTGATTGATAATCTTGAGCATTGTTCGCGACTTGTAAGTTTCTCTTTTTCGTTTTAACTAAAATTCGATCGTTTTCGTCTAGTTGAAATCGGCAAACTTGACGTCGTCCGTCGATCCAAAATCCGACAGTGAACTAACACACAATAAAATCACCACTACCGTCGAAGAAACGACGACGACGACCACCACTTACGATAATACAGATGAATCGGGAGATAAAAAGGAAAAAACTGATAACGAAAATACAGTGAAATTAGAATTTGATGTATCAGCACGAAAATATGTCGATTGGATCGATAGCATCGAACGTATCTTGAGCGAAAAACCATCAAATACAGAAGAACGAAAGAATATTATTCAGGTATGTTCTATTGGCAACAGTCCAATTCGTTTTCATCAGGTGACTTTTAAAGGAGGTGAAAACGAAATATGTGTCCTATGATGATCAATTCAAAAGTCTCGTTCAAACAGGAATTGCGATAACAAAAGAATTAAAAGATGGTAAATACTCGATAGATAACTAAAGAGTTAATGTCATCTGATGTGATTTCACATTTCAGCTAGCGAAGATTCAACTGAACACGAATCAGCTCTACGATCACTAGAGAACCGCTGGCAGGAATTAAGTCAACTGATAGTTAATTATGAAAAAGATGTTGAATTGGCAGACTTCAACGCTGAACTTGAAGCAATAACAAAAGCACGTAACGAATATCAAACATGGATTGATTCAACATCATCAAATGATGAACTTCAGGTATAATTAACTCGAGAAAATATTATTCAGTCGAGAATGCTTGATATTACATCACCCATCCGTAGATATACACACATACATCTCTGCATAGATCAAGTGTATGTAAACAGATAAGGCACTAATAAATTATTCGATAATTGGCAGGTGTTGCCCTTTTTTTCTTCTCTTCTTCTCTCACTGTAGGTACACATTTCGAGACTATTCATATATCATGTTGATGGTCGAGAATAAAAACTGAGTTCGAAGTTCGATTGAGTACTACTTCTGAGAAACAACAGATGTACATGCACATCGATGGATATTGTCTGATGAAAATTAGCATGATGTTCCTGCTGATCGATTGCTTTCATCTTTTATTTTATCTATTTCTTCACAGCGTTCATTGCTTTCTGTATATCAAGTAGTTTTCGATTAAGAGATATAAGACTGTTAAATAAACATCAATATCGATGATCACAAGGAGCTAACTAGCAGATAACTATGCTGTTGTTCATCTCAGTTAACGTAGTATGAATAAACTCGAGCACTTCTATGTTTCCCATTGAATTGATGATGTTTAGACTAGTTTAGGGCAAATCACTTCTATGTAAGTGATATCGAAAGGTATTTTTCTTTCTCAGATTTCTAATTCATCTCTTCTTTGCTAAATCGATAGTGCTCATTCATAGTGAAAAACTGATTATCACCTATTTTTTCAAGTGTCTAACACTTTCTATCTAATGTCAATAAGTTGGACATCAGAATGTAAATAGAGGTCGAAAGAAAACATGCCTATAGCAGATTGTATTTGCAATCTGTTGTTTTAACCGGTATAGATTGCTAATGAAACCGTCCATTGTTAATGAAGTTGACTATTTCTAAATGTACTTTCGTAAAAACAAAACTTGGAATCTAATTTGTGAATAAGTCTTTGATGAAGTGAGAACATTTTTCTTTCAATAATTATTTTTTGAACGACACAGACCGTATAAAATGTGTATATACATATTTATAAACATCGATTACTATAAATACGACGTATAATTGAGCGAGTACACGAATATATATATGTATATATTGGTATCGTATAAATACAAGGCAAACAGATAAGACGAAAAGAAACTTGCATAAAATCTGGCTTAATCTGCCAAAATCGAACAAGAGCAGAGAGTGAACGACTAATTTCATCTAACGAGTTTCTCTCTTCTGTTCGATTTTTTTTCTCTCCTTCAGTCATCCATTTGTTCAATGATTGTTATTATTCTTGATTGCAAAAAAATGACCGAATAGGCATCAGCTGAAAAGTCTTAAGTAACGTCATTGCGGTTTTTTTCTTGTCCGGTGTGTATTTTTATATTCTTTTCTTTTCTCTTTCCTGTCATTTACTTTTTCTTCGTTTCATTCAGTCAGTCAGCCAACCACTACCACAAAACGTTTTTTTTCTACTCATCGCTCTAATCGTACATTTTTCTTCGCTTTTCATGGGACATGCACATGAGTACAAGCGTTGATTATAACTAGTTATTTNAAAGGAGGACAATAAGGTTATCTCTATTGACCAGTGATCTATCGTTCACAAATTACTACATAGTCTCTTTTTATATCTTTCTTTTCTTTTCTCTTCTTTCCTTCTTTTTTTACTCATGTTCTTTTTTTCCTTTCTGCCGCGATTGGATAAAAGAACTGATATTGATGATATTGTTCGATACTGAACGTATGAAACTGATCAAACTAGATGAATCGTATACATTCATATATGTATATACATATATCGTCAATGTCATGGTCGGAATTATCGCCATTGTACATGTTTGTGTAGTTGGAGAGTGCGACGACAATGTAGGAAAAAAGAACAAATATAATAAGACAAGCGAACAGGCGAGTGGGATTGTCGTTAGTAAATTTAGGTTTGTTGTCGCACTGTCTACATATGTATACGTCTTTATGTGCGAACGATGCTACTCGAATTTTACCCTGTCCTAGCAAGCGAACAAGTAAAAGAAAGAAAAAAAGCGAGAAGGGAAGAGAGCGAGCTTTCTTTCACTCGGTCTTCATCTCATCTGTTGCACGATGTGTCACTCTTCAATACGTACATATATATATACATACACACGCTCTCCTGTATATGTCGTCTAGATGACGACGGCTTGCAGCTGCGTCACTAGGTTGACTTAAGAGAAAAACCTCGCAGGCGGAGTTGGAGGAGGTCTAAATCAACGAGCCATTCTTTGTCTTCTCGATGAAACAACTGCACGATACTACTTGATAGCAGATACCAGATTAGATTGTATACTTTTAGTCGCTAGTTATTTTTTCTTCTCGTCACAGACTTCATACTTGTTATTTCTTTCTTTTTATACGCCTTGATGCATAGATATATACATTTCTATAATATATTTTCTTTTGCTAATTATTCGAGTGCGTGCTATCGAGTAGTTCTAAGTATTATCTTTACCCTTGACTTGTTTTCTGTTGCTATCAATTCATCATTGTCTGATGATAGGAGAACGAAGCATTCCTGTTGAACATATGCAACAACAATCGTCTGGAATTACCACATCGAATGTGACATCGTTTCGGCAGACAGGTGTGTCATCATCATCTGTTCCAGCAAGTCCAAATCGTGTCGAAACGACCGAACATTCAGTATCATCAGTAACAAACGCTGGAGCAAATAATTTAGGCTCATCGATCGGTGAAAATGGTAGTGTTTTCACTCTAACAAATATTTATACATTCGGCGGCAGTGACGGAGCTTCGACTCATGGCCCATCCGACGATAAATATCGTGTGAAGTCATTTGTGGAAGTATTCAATCAGCCATCGTCTCAAGATACCGAATATCAAAGACATTATCGCGAAACACAAACGAAATCATACACACGAAAGATACGCACGAGTGCTACAGACACTTACGATTACGATCAGAATGGAAATTATCATCATTATGAAACAACAGGGCCATCGTCATCGAAATACGTTCATGGTAAGTTAAGCCTAATCATTAGTCATTGTCTTTTAGCGGCATTCATTGTCAACCTGTAGAATATTTTGTCAGTTAATGATTTATTTATTTGACATTCGTCTTCTTCTCTAAGGAGGCTTGTTTTCTACATGATTGTTGTTATTCTTTATCTAAATGCGATTACCGAGGACAATTCTTTCTCCTGAAAATAACAAATGGACAACATTTGTCTTTCTCTTATAGAACAAATAACATCGTCAGGTACGGGTAATCTTTCCTTATTACCGACAACATTTATTGAAACTCAAACAAAATTACGTCTCTGGCTCGAACACGTCGAACAATCGTTGTTGAATGATAAAGTTCGCATTCTCGATATTCATGCCACGAACACCAAAAAGAAAGCCTATAAAGATCTACTCGATCAAACATTCGAACAAGAACATAATTTGGAAATCTTGAACGATACAGCGCGAGATTATTATCCGAAATTATCTTTCGACGTTAGTCGACGTTTACAAGGAGAATTAACGAATTATCAAGAACGTTTATACGACATCAAGATGTTTCTCAGTGAGCGTTTAGCAAAATACAATCGATTGGACAAAACATTAAGTGATTTCGAAGTAAGACGAGGACTTTGCCAGGAGATATTCATTGTCATTTGATTTGTAGAGTGGAATCGAAGAAGTTAAAGTGTGGATACGTAATGCTCAACCACGATTAGCAACAAGTGATACAAGTTCGCGTGGATTAGAAAATCAACTGGGTCGTAATCAAGTAAATGAAAAACTTGAATGTATTTGGATAAATATACTGACATTGAACGTTTTACTTTCAGGTACTTCAACATGAAATACGTGAAATGCAAACAATTGTCAATCGGTTAAACAAAGACGTGATTGATTTAACACAAGATGCCGATGAAAATCTAGCTCGACGTTTACGTGATGAAATGAATCATTTAAATGAAAGTTGGAGTCACATTGTCAGCTCAACAAAAGTTTATTCTCAAAACATTCAGGTTAGTCGAGCGAAACTGAAAAGATCTAAATATAAATGTGTGGATTACATATCAGCGAAGGCCATGTTACCGAATGTAATTTCATCTAATCGATTGAAAGAAGATCTATTTTTTCGAAAAATATTCTCGTCTCATTGATTATTTTTCATTCGATTAGGATACTTTGAAACGTAATAAAATTTTACAAGAAGAAATCCGTGAATTGGACGATTGGATTCTCGACCGTGATCGAGCAAGTCTTATTGAAGATGGTGCGATCTTTCACCAAGATCAAATCCGGGATAGATTGGAACAGTATCAAGTGAGTTATGCACGTTCTTTTCGCCGATTGTTTCATTTCTTCCTGTCCGATTTAGAAACTTCAAACAGAACTTAATCTCAAAGAATATACTGTTCGAACATTGGTTGAACAAACTCGACATGATTTAGCACAGTCACCATCACCTGAACTAGCTCAACAATTAGATACATTGATTTCCAATTGGTCAGGTTTACAAAAGAAAGTCGATACAAAAGTGACGTACTATTCCGATGTTTACAAGTTACATGAAGAACTAAAAGGTACATAAATGCATAAAATCATTCTCAAATCGAATTTTAATATATTTAGAATTACTCACCCGAGAAAACATTTGGCTCGATTCGTTACAGAATCGAATCTACTCGACATCGAACTCCGGTGCTGATGCCGAAGATGCTTCTGAAGAGCTCGATGTAAGGAAGTTATTCTTTCTTCTGATCTTTAGTAAAAAGTTTTTGGATTGATTTTAGAATCTCGAACGTTTCATAAAATCTCATTCGAGAATTAATTATGAAAGGATCATCGAAATATCCGATCGTTTGCAAGTAATGAAAATCACTTTACCATCGATCAACAGTCAAATCAACCAGTTCAGCATTCGTTGGGAACAACTGCACGAAGATGTACGAGTGTACCCAAAAAATAAATAAATATTTTCAACTGTTTACTTTGTCTTTAGGCCATCAAACGAATTCATTCATTAAATTCTCAAGTATCCGATCATCAACAACTAGGTCAACAAATCGCTGCTATGTTTGAATGGATAAGACACACTGATCATATACTTAACACTCGGTTGAAAGAAGATGTCTATGCCGATGATGTGCCAGGTGAAGCAGAAGTAAGATGAGTACAAATATGTTCGGTTCTTTACATTCATCGTTCTTTGTGTAGAGACTGATCGTCGAATTCAATCAGTACGAAACATTTTTGCGTAGTATTGAAGATAAAATTCATACATTACGTACGGTTGGAAAAACTGAAGCTGCACGAAGACTCGAACAACAATTTCATACATTAAAAGTAAATATCGATTCTTTTGATAGTGCATTTCTAAAGTTTCATTTACCTTTTCTTCTCTAAACAAAACACGACGTCAGAGTATATTCCTATGATTGGTTTCATTCATCATTAATTGCAATTTGCAAATAGAAAATATTCGAAATCGATAAATCACGATACATTTCGATCGATGATTGACATTTCAATAATGAGTATTGCATATGTGACATTTAGCAATTTTGTTGATATAAATAATGTTTTCTTACTGCGTAAATGAGAAACAGAGGAGACTTCGCATTGAAACAAGGAAATCAAACAAAGATGTTGCATAGTCATGATATGAACTAAAATTCGTGATTTTCTTTCAGAGTCAATTCACGCAATTACAAATCAAATTTCGACAATTTCAAAAACCATCCGATTTCGAACCGAAATACGCACATGTACGAAAAGTCTTACAAGATGTTGAACAAAATCTCCATCTTCTCGATATACGTTCCGACGATGCTGATGTTATTCACAATCAATTAGAGCACTGTTTGGTAAGTGCGACAACATCGAATTCATTTCTGTCTGTTGACATGGCTTTGTCTTTCTTGTAGAGATTCTATAGAATTCTTTCCGATGTGAAATCTGAAGTGGAATATGTTATCCGTATTGGACGTGGTATTGTTGAGAAAGGACAAACTGATGAATCACATGATCTGACACGACAAATTGATCAATTAAAAACGACATACAACAATCTTGGAACAAAAGTAAGATGAACATACAGTTCATGTAAAGACAAGCTATGAATGAATGTTTTTCAGGTATCAACCGCGAAAAATCAATTGGACAGTGTTGAACGTCATCTTCGCAAGTTTCGCAAAGAATACACTCATATTCAAGAATGGTACAGCAAAGCTGATCATGAAATACGTAAAATTGAAAATAAACAAGTGTCAAAGAATACGAAGGAAGAAGTCGAATGGATACGAGTATGACATTTGAGATGAATTGTTTGAGAAAGATTCATTTCTCGTTCGATTTGATTTAGACGACAAGAAATGATATCAGAAAATTGGAAGCAAATTTCGAAAATTTGAAAACTCTCGAACGTACAATTCAAAAAGAAGCGGAAAAACATCTACCTAGTTTACAAGAGAAGATCTCCGAATTACGACGACAAGTGGATCAACTAGATCGACGTCTTCGAGACCGATCTGGTATTGTCGAGGTAAGAAGACGACGAACCCATAAGCAACTCATCTTCATTTGATATCCGATAGTTTAATATTTAACCTTCGATGAAATAATTGCATATCGATGATATAACCTACCGCGTTGTCAGCAATTTAGATAGCACATATTGATGTAATCTGAACAAGTGCTAGCCATGTGTTTTCTATGTAAATAGATTTTGTTTTTTTGATGACATCGTCATTATTCAGTTGACCGAATCATGAAGTATATAAACTCCTCATTAGACAAAACCATAGTGATGGACGGCATTACCATTGTTTTTATCTTATCAATTGATATTTACGATCAAGAACACTTTCTATCAGAAATGAGGTATCTGATCGATAGGACATACAGAATAATTTCTTCGCGAGTGGCAGCAGAGCAATGTGATGCTAACATGCGCTTGTCTATCGACAGAGATCAATGCTTTGTAATAGTACGAGAAGACTCGTCTTGTTCCTCTCTACGCATCTATGTCACTCATAGACGGGCGAAGAGCATAAGGGGAGCAAACGAGTAGTTGTGTTATCTGAAGGAAGTCATCGCATTTTCTTTGTACCATTTCCTTGCCATGGATGTACATGTCTTCGTTGGCATCTTTTCCCTTTGTACAGCAATATATGCATTCGCTATGAATTGGTTTTTTCCTCGTTCGCTTTATTGGATATCTTTCTCTTCTCGACTCATATCCATTAGTGCTAACATAGAAAACAACAAAAAACCACATCAGCTCCTTTTCTTGCTTACCAAAAATATTACTGTCTTGTTTCGTGACTGACATTGCTGTACACATCTTCTTCGTATATATCATCGATACGTTCGCCAACATATTTTATCATTAAAGAAAAAAAAAGCCGATAGATACGTGCATTTTTCCTCGATCTCTCTTGCTCGCTCGCTTACACATAACGATAAATAGTGACTCAACCTTGGATTCTCTCTGCTAATTACATCTGATATTTCCTAAACTCCTACCCACATACTGTGCTTGTCAACAATCGAGCATCGATTTAATCAGAAGACTATAGTCGAATGGACGAAAAAAGCCAAAAATGTTAGGAACAACAGTAACGTTCTTTATCCGATGTTTATACAGAATGTTCGAACTTGTTTGCTTGATCATCATCAATCACCCCCCTGTCTGTCTTGATACTGTATGTGAACACATACTGTAGATAATTTTTCTCCTTGTGATCGGTTGGCAAATCTTTTTCTCTTTCTCTCTTTTTCGCGTACTATCACCACCTAAAGGCAGCGAAGAAAGATGAGGACAATTGATAAATAGGTGTTACTAAACCAAATTACGTATACTACACTATTTTCTTTATACCCAATCCCATCAGGATTTTTCTCTTGTCGTCTTTTCTACCCTTTTCCTCTGCGTATTTATAATTGATATTGTTGTTGTATGTATTGCCGTCTTCAGACTAACTAAACGATAACGAGCAGAATGAGGACTGGCGTCAAACGCTCTACGTCATCACATTCTGAACCATCACGTCGTTATCATAATTTACTCTATATTCCACTCGAATCGGGATACGAATCATCATCAGGTATTTCAGCGTCATCGTCAACAACTCTTGCTCCCATTGAATATGTTATCTATCCGATCGGTCTACGAAAGGTATCATCGATATGCAATTATATACTTTCTTAAAAGCAATTTGTCATTCGAATACTTTGAAATACAATTTCATTTTTTCCTCGGGACTTTTAGGATCAAGTGCGAAGACTGGAAGATGACTATCAACGATTTACTCACATCTATCAAAACATCTTGATACGTTTGGATAAACTCGAATCACTTCTATTGGATGCTGAACGCGTTCTTGATTTGACTAGGATATCGGTACGTTGAATCTGCGTAGAATACACCATGAAAGTCTCATTGCTTGCGATTTTCTTTTCTTTTTAGCAAGTTCAAGAGGAACTACGTAGTGTGAGAACTCAGCTTGATGAAATTCTCAATCTTGGCCAAGAACTTGTGTCCAAAAGTGAAAAATATAGTCGACTCGTCGCTCCTGATATCGAAACAATCACACGAAAATTCGAAGAATTACAACGTCGTATTCAAATTATTCAGGTTGGTGTTTTGCTCTGTAGAACAACTAGGTTCTGTTTTCATATGTTAATGCTCGGTAGTAGTATGGTTATTGGTTTTAATGAATAGTAGTGTAGTAGACTAGAAGATTTAGAAAGATAGATATTTCGCATTTCCCCCGTCTCCACACCGCCACATACTTCTTGCAGGAAACACAGGAAAAACGTACACACGAAGAACAACAACAACAACAACAACATACGTCGACCACGACGACGACCACAACGAATAATATTCCAGTAGATCAATCCGATGGTGTTCGTCAAGAATATTATTCAGAAAAACGATACAATCGTACAGAACGTAAAACACATCACCGTTCACCATCGGAATCCTCAGATATCAGTACAGCGCACGGTGTTATTGATGATGATTTTAAGAAAAAATACTTACGCTGTCTGGCTTACATGAAGTTAATCGAACGTTTATATGAAAATCAAGAAGATAGTGATGAAGATTCTGATACGAAACATCGGAGATTATCTAGACGAGTATGACCTCATGTTTCTTTCTTTCTTTTACTTGTCTTAACTCATTTATTCTTTGCTTCGTCGCATGTGGATATGTTCTGCGCACGAATATTTGCTCAAAAAACTGCTTGGTCATTTTTCATCCTACAATACGTTTCGTTTTTGTTATTTTAGGATCGCACGATTCGTGATCGACCGGAATATGAAGAAATCGAAAGAATCATACGCGAAACAGAAGAACGAGCTTACATCATCGAAAAAACTGATGTTGAACAAGCACGTCGTATACGAGAGAAAATCAATCGACTCCGAGTAAGCGAATGCAATTTGAATCGAAGAAAAACTCTTCATTCGATGTGCTTTAGGACTGTTTGGAAAGTCTCAAATCTCGTTCTGATCATTATCAAAATGGTGATGAAGTTTTTCGATATAACGAACGATATGAAGAACATGTTCGTACCGCTGAGAGAACAGTACCAAAAGAGCGGGTATGTATTTCAAAAAAACGAATGAACGAAACAGATCAGTTCTCTGAAATTGACAATCAGAAAAGAGACTCATCAATCGATCGGTCAATGATGACTAAGATTTGCTCCATTACATTTCATTTGGTTATTCATCTAATGTTTAATACTTATGGAAAAATTAAATCTGGAAATTATCTTGTTAAATTCTTGTTCTCTGGTTATCTTCAATGAAATAAATCGTTCTTTGTGAGCGAATTTATTCGATGGACAAAAAACGATTTTTTTTTTGCTTTGTGAACATATACACCGGAATTTGTTTTCGGATATATGTAGTCTTTGAGACAATGTTATTTACCTTTGTGTCTAGCGTTTCGTACGCTATGTTATGGATAATTTCATTTATAATGTCTATGGTATTATCATTATTATTCTTCCAAATCATATCTGAACTGAGACTATCGATTAGCACATCCATTCTGATTGTCATTTTTCTTGATTTTATCAGTCTCCTCGGAGAATTCTGTCTACTCTTGTGGATATTTCATTTCTTCTATCATAATTTTGTGCGTATTTTCTATTCTAGGAGTTCGATTCCGACTTTATTTTTGATATTGACGATACTCGTTCAGTGATAAGCGAACCAGCACCACATCACAACGCGAAGTATCGTAAAACAGTACACTCACTTGAACGTTACAGAACGGATGACAATGCACGTTATATTCCATCTCATGAAGATTATCAACTGCAACCATTATTACGTGTACGAAGTTTGAAAGCTATTGATCATCGCACATTAAGTGCACCATCATCACCTATTCTACAGCCACGCTATCGTTCATACGAACGTTCTAATGTTCAATACACAAAACAATCATCAAATCAACAAGGCTATCAAGATAACTGTCAAAGTTCAATCTCGAAATCAGCCAGCATGCCCAATGGTGGCTTTCCATTACAACAAAATCTTTTACCATATCCACCTCCACCACCCAATTTCTATCCAAATCAACCGATGACTTATCGTGAACGTATAATTGATAAACACGTTGCTGAACGAAGTACATCGCGCGGTGAATCTCATCGACAACATCATCAAGAATCCAGTGGTCACACTCAACAACAACAAGCGCGCTCGGCTAGTGCCAGTGGACAAACACAGACATTGAATCGAACGATACCTGTTCGATATGAAAGTTCAAATACGAATGCTACACTTGCATCATCGAACAGCTTTCGTCAAATGAATGCCAGCAATCACGAAGAACATCCCTCTTATTTTCATAGCGAACATCAAGGAAGTAGTAGTAACGCAGGCGGTGGTGCATACCGTCAACAATATTTTGAACAACAAACACATTCGCCCCAGACGGTTGGCCGACATCCAACACGTATTGCCAATTAAGATGCAAACAAAACTCCCATGTTGATAAATTTATATACATATATATATAGCAAAATAAAGAGAAAGAGAAAGAGAGTTAATCCTACCTATATTCTATTAGTAGAAAAGTAAAACATTGTTTGCTGTGTGTATACGTGCTCTTTTCTCTGCATCTTCTTCTGTTTTGTTTTCTTTTCTGACTCATTTTCTTTTACAATGTCGGTACCTATGCGCAGTGTTCTAACGAAAAAAAAACAATCTATTCTTCTTTTTTGGCATCATATGTTTCTTGTTCTATTTCGAAAAATGTCTCTTGTTCGAACATTTTGCTAGTACAATTTGTGTCATTTTTTTTTCAATTCTTTTCTCATCTCTTTTTTTTTTCTTTTAATAAATATATAAGTATTTACTATAAGAAAAGTTGACGTTTATAAATTGAGATTATCGGTGTATATCGTATTAATATGTATTAGTATTTCATCGCTAGAAGATATAGACAACAACAACATCGACAAATAATGACGATGATGGCAATGCCGACTGCGATGCATATGTCGTTTTGTTTATTATACAAAAAAATAGTCATTTCTCTCTGTCAATGGTGGCAATGACGATACCATCGGATCGATTGTACATGAATTTGGTCTTTATACACATCTGCATGAAAGAAAGATAGAAAGCGGAAGAAAAGAGAATGAGAAGAAATAAGAAGAGGCACCAAAGATATGCAATGACGTCCTTGCTTTTTTCCCCCCTATATCATCGTTACCTCCGACCGACTAAGACAGATAGAGACATATATGTAGCAAGAGAGAGAGAGAGAGAGAAAGAGTAAGGGAAAGATTGATTAAATCGACATATACACAAGCATTGCTATTACCATCAAAACAATTAACCGTTTCTTTGCACGTTCTTTCCCTTCTCATACACATGCGAATACGGCCCTGATGATTTCGATCGAGTATCTGATTTGGCTCGTCTGTTTATTTCACAGTCATCCTTCATACACTATTGACATAGGCGACAATTAGACGTTACTAGATTTGCCTTTCTTTCGTCTCTTTTTCTATCTCATATCTTTTTCTTGTTATCGCTGTCTTGTATTGTTCCCATCAAGCCAACATACAAATTCATCATCACATTGTCTGTCCCCAGATCTTTCCTCAACGCCAAAATTTCTTCGTCTTCTTCTCAATGTCGTCGCCTACAGAGCAAGACGAGAAAATACCTGCTGACTTCATTCATTGTGTCCAGAAATTATTGTCATCCATATCAACTTTAAGTAAACATCTTTCGGTTTTAACAACTCAGAAAGATCTAACTGATGAAAACGACGATTTAACAAATAAACTTCAAGTAAGATATCTGTAAATTAAATTCGATTAGATGTGTAATCTATCTACAGCCTTGATAAAATCAAATCATACCGAAGTTCAGATTACAATCGAATCTTTCATTGACTATATCTTACATATTGCATAAGCACTCTATTAACTGGAACGTTTGTGTCATCATTTAGAAGATCTTTTCTGTCATATTCTAACTTGATACATCATTATTTGTAGTCGTTGATTCAACAGTTTCTCTTACTTGCAAATAATGTGTTCTATTTTATCATTAGCATGTACTTTACATGGAATATTTAGATGTCTAATTAAAAGGAAAAAGAAAACTAGAAGAAGAAGAAAAATGCTTTTTATTCTTTTCACCTCTACAGATTCTAACATGTATACATTTGAGCTATTAGAGTTACTTAGTCATCTTTGTATGTTCCGTCATAGTTCCAAACTTTCTCTTTCTCGTACACTTGATTACTCGCCAAATATATACACATCTTTATATATATATATGTATGCATGAAGAGTAAAAACAGTAGCCATTGTGTGCTCTATTCATGGATGAAGAAAAGAAGAAGAAGAAGAAGAAGAGCTTCTCACAACTCATTTGCTACTTCTTCTTTCTTTTTCTGTCAACCCTTAGGATAATAGAGACAAGAAAAAGTTACATGGTTAGAACAAGAGAAATCGTTCATCGAATAGTGTGAGTAACGAAGAAAGTAATATGAGAAAAACCTTCGACACTAGTAGAATTGTCATGAAATAACAACAAGCTTGTCAATCAATTTGATATATATGAAGAGATTTAATCAATATTTTCTAGGCTATCAAAGACGCGATTAATAGCCTTGCACCAGCCGTTCATACCGCCAAACAACTTGCCTCGACCTCGTCACTTGTCGAGCGTTTATCAAACGAATATACACGCCTTGGTGACGATTATAAAAAACATTATAGTCTTACCATGAGTGATACGCGATCATTTGCTGAGTATAAACAATACATTGAACGTCTGTCTTTATGGTTATCAACCACAAATGCGAACATTCATGAAGTGTTACAATCAGTTAATAAACAACGTGCGTCATTGATCATCAAAGTATGTTTTGTTACAAGTAACAGTAGATTTAAACCTTAGATTTACAACATAGTCATTTCATTGATGATCATAATTGAATTATGACATGAAAACAGAGAATTACCTTTTCCTTGATACGACTCATTCTTTATTTCTGACGTTTTTCACTAGAATCTCGATGAGCTTGGAAAATACAAAGCTTTGCTAGAACGTGCAACAGTATTAAATCAAACTATGGCTGCTGACCTACCTGATGATCATGCAGCAAGGATGACAAGCGAAATCACCGATGTTAAAGAACAATGGGCGATTCTTATCGAAGGATTGAATATACTCAAAGAAAGGTAATTTTGATTTGACGTCTATTTGCATCTGTCCATCTCCGAAGTTGACACATGTTTGATGATAATTTGTAGCCCAAATGATTTCGTATGTTTTTCCTGTAGACATGCATCGCGATTTGCGTCACCCGAACGAACGAAAGATGAAGAACGCTTATCTCAGCAGAATGAAAATCTGGTTCATTATATCGAAAGTTGGCTTACGTTAGCTAAAGAGTTGATCCATCAACAAGAACAGTTGATGATAGACAGTCCGGACATGATTGATGATGAAAAAACTTTTCACGGATCATTTAATACATCTGATAACGATCTGACCAATCATAATCTTCTGTGTCAACTCAAAGTTTGTTCGATAGAGAAAAACTAACATGATCATATCTTTTTCTTCTTCTCCTTTTCGTTTCATTCAAGGACTGTGAACATGAAATTAATCGATTAAAAGGTTTACTCGATGAGAATTGTCGATTAAAACACAATGATCAAATGACAACAGGCGAAGTAACTCGTTCGTTAGCCGATGACTTGACAGAAGTGCGTGATACTTTATCTTCTCTTTTTCTGTTTCTTATTTTCAGTTTTTTATTATAATATATCCATAGATTGCAAAATGTGTCACAACCGCACGTATTCAGTTAGAAAATCGTATCGAACAACAACGCGGATTTCTTGTCGAATTAGATTCATTAATCAACTGGTTAACTAAATTCATCAATGAATCGAAAGCGATCGACAACCAAGTAAAGTTTTCTTCTCTCGTCAAACAAATCTTTTCTCTAGTTTGGCTCTTTTTCTTTCAAGTCAATTCAACTAGCTCTAAATGAACGCAAGCAACATTTCGATGAATTAATTAAATTCAGTCAATTAAATGATCATGGTGTTAAGGATAAAATTGAAAATTTAATACAGATGTGGAGTCAATTAACAGCTCAAAGTAAGTTTTCTCGTCTTTGTCTAAACATAGTAATATGATGAACATTTCTACGTATATTATCATTAGAAATAGTCATTCTTTTCCTCCTTCTGCGATTGCATGTTAACTTAATCCATTCTATTTCTCATCTCGACAAGAAGTACTAATAATAATCACTAAAACAAAATTTATGAATAACATATCGAAAGGCTAGACATGACACATGAGAGAAATCTGGCCAAAGATATAATTGAATTTTTATCGCATTCTGTCTTTGATTATTATTTTTTCGTATCCGATGTTTAGTTGTCTAATAGAGGACATCAAACGCGAAGTTTTCTTTCTTTTCTTCCTCCCTCGTTCTGTTCGTGTCTTCATCGAACTCGTTACTATTAAAACGATCTCTATAGACAAACACATCCGTTCATGCTTATTTATATACAAAGGAAAGATTGAAATCAATAGAAATATTATTAAATTGCGTCATAAAATCTGATACGTGATCAGACCAACAATACTATTAATACGAATTCATTTCTCACTAGCCTCGTTCTAATCAGTTACAATTCGCGTTATAATCAAACATGGCTGGATATGTATATCATGCACATCATATTCGTTGACGCGTCGCCTGACGCAATTTGTAGTCTCTTGTTCTTCGTTACCGTTATGAAGTACAGACATATACCGCCTGAAGTGAGTTGATGATGATCATCTTGCTTTCTTTCTATTATATGTCTCCTGAGTGAACACATGATTTAAAGTTCTTCTCTGCTTGCTTATTCTTTCTTTTTTCTTCTTTCTCTCCCTCTCTTTATATCTCCCTCTTTAGCATATGCCTCAATAGTAAAGAGCTATAGTTCACCTTTTCATATACTTGCAGCATAATTGTCGAGTAGCTGCACATTCTCACTTTTCCTCTTAGTTGCTGATTCTCCAATTATCGAAGCATCACTGCCAGCAGCGGCAGCAGCAACAACAACAATAACATCTCCATCATCAACGGAGCAAGATTCTCAACAGAAACTTACTAATGAAGCAAGAGAATTGCTAGACATTGTCGTTCAATTAGGCAATCGACAGGAAATCGAACAACTTCAAAATCGAATCAAAGTAAAAAGACATTGACGCGACGAAAATACCCGATATTCATTTTCCTCTCTTTTCAATAGACTTTCTTGACACAAATCGATCAATCGACGACCAGTGAACAACATCAAACAAAATCGAATGTGAAATTCTATCTCTCTGACCAATGTAATACACTCTTCTGTTTTATATTTCACTGTCTATTCTTATTCTTTTAATAGTATATGATGAATTACTCACCCGACGATCGATACTAAAACAAATGTTAATCGATACTGCTCGTATTGATCAGTTGAGTGTTAATTTTGTCTCACATTTCGATACAGAAAATAATGAAATTTCAAATATAATCGACAACTATCCCAAAGCAATGACAACGCAGATGTGTCAATGGCTAACCGAACAACAGAACATTCGGCTCACAGCACCGTTGGCAACAGTTGATACGTCGAAAAGTATCGACGACTTCGAAGAACATATTAAAGAACTCGAAGAAAATCTCAGTTCATACGAACAGAGCGAAAATAACGAAACGAAACTAAAGGTTTTATCTATTTTTTTTTCTGATTAGAGTGAAAACAAATCAATTTCTTGCATTCATTCTAGTCAATTCTTCAACAAATAGAGGAGCGACCCAATTTAACACATGATAACCGACAACGTATTGAAAATCTTCATCAACGCTTTCGACGTGCACAAAAATATTTCGAAGAAAATCGTTTAAAAACTTTCTCGCCAACAAATACTAATCAAGTCTTCGATAATGTCGATGTTCTGATAAAACATCTACGAGAAATTGAAGAGCAAATACGAGCGAACGCTATTCAACCTCTCAATGATTATGAAAGACTTATTCCTGATTGTCAGGTAAAATTACAAATCAGTTCTTATGATTTATCTATTCAAATACAAATATCAAATGAATGCGAACACTTAGAAATACGCTCGTGTTTATTTGATTACATCAGACAAACGGAAATTAGGTTTAGTAAGAAGAAAATGACAAAGACAAATCGTAAGAACGACGAATGATTTGATTGAGTAAATCATCTTTGATAGGATATCTAAACAATGGATGAGGGAAATCGTTTAACCTTTTCAGTAATGATCATACGAGGAACTTGTTTAAAATAACCTTTAAATATCCAGCAATGGAAACCAGTTTTACATAACAAAGAAAGAGAAAATGTTTGAAATTTGACCGTCGATGATGTTCTCTATCCGTTCATAATCAAGTGACACTCAAGGATGCTTGATGCAATGCGAGGAAGTCGCCGTAGTCTTGATTTTCTTTTGTAATTTATATGCACAAATGATTCTTTTCTCTCTTTTCCAGCGTATTGTCGCCGAACTCGACCAGAATCTTCGTCCGCATGTGGAACAAGTCATTTCGACTGGCAAACGTTTGTATTCAACCGATAGTAGCAGAGATAGCAGCGGTGTCGAAAGTGCTGGTAAGTTAAAAGAGAGGTCGTGCGTTTCTTCTGTTTCACATTGATTTACTCGTTCGATATGATTTGTTATGTCAATCGACCAGTAAAAAAGAAAGTAATTCTCTTCTTTTTCTGGTCTGATCTGACTAAACTAAACTAACTCTGGCCTTCGTTTGTGTTCTCGTCTTTGTAATTATTTTTCGAAAACTAACGTTTTGCTTCGCTCTAGACGAAAATGGAGGATTCTTCGATCCATCCTCGTCGCCATCGCCTCCATTGAAGAAATATTCCGATTTAACATTACGCAAGGTTCGTCGACATGTTCTTCAATTAAGTCAACGTTGGAAAAGCGCAAATACGAATGTTCGACATCGTTTAAAAATTTTGCAACGTGCTCAAACGGTAATTATCATTTGTCTTTTCGTAAATCAAATGTAGAAAAACGTCGTTTTTCTTTCTCTCCTTTTCAATTATCTAGGCAGTAGACGAATTACGTCATAAGTGTGATCAATTACATGCACATTTACTTGAAATTGAACTCGCTCATGCTCATCAACCACATATACGAGCGGTAAACGTTGATCACGTTCCAACTGAAATCGAACAAGCAAAAGTAATTGAAAAAGTTCTTTAAATCATTATTCATATGTACAAATTTCTCCGTTCATCCAACGAATTTTCAATGCAATGCTCTATTAATCACACGATCCGATGATTCGTTCTTATTTTGTTTATCGGAGATAGACAACCTTGATTATTTCTTCCGTGACAACTTAGTCATAGTATAGCTCGTAATCGATCGGAACGATTGAAAAAAAATCTATCATTACATTTGTTTACATACTCCCAATCGACTGACGACACTCACTAGTGCGATTCTTTTTCTCTTTTTTTTTTGTTGAACACATTGAGTGAGTTTATTCCGATTCATCGATCAAATAGTCTTTTCTATTTCTTCCCTCACGCTCGCTCTCCTTTCTTTTCGAATCTAAGTATGCGTAAGGGTGTGTACGCATTAAGATACAACAGTTGTTAATATTCATTAATCTGCATGAAAGAACAGGCATTATTCAAACTTTCGATCGTTAGAAAAACAAATACTAATGAAACAGAAGACTTTGGGATAATTACTATCAACATTACGTATAAACAGAAATAAAAGACGACATAGTTTATCCATTATACAGGCCAGATGTGAAGATTTCATTAGATACGTATCGTTAACTGCCCATAGAGAATGCTTGCCCACTGATCACTAGTACAAGAACAATCTTTGCATCACAAGTCTACTTTTGATTTTGTTTTCAGCGTCTTCTCTCAACTCTCATGTCATGTAAAACATCGATCGATGATGTTCAACAACTGGCACATACTATTGAAACTGAATACGACGTTCACGCTGTCAATCAAGCACAAGAACTCAATCGCAGGTAAGACAATCGATGAGAATGTGCATGGTAGAATCGATTCGTGAACATACGACTTTTCTAGATGGGAAAATTTACTTCAATCAACATCACAACGCATGCAAACTTTACAGGATACAGTAAAACATACGGAAAGTGATATCTACTCAACTTCAGTCGAATATCCATGGCAACGATCTGTAGCTTTTAATAAAGTTCCTTATTTTATCAAGTAATTCACATTATCGAATTCAATTCTTTGATTCACTTTCTTGAATATTTAGTCATTCCGATCAGAATACATCTTGGGATCATCCGAAAATGTAAGTACGATGTTTGGGTGTTATTCTTAGTCGAAAGCGATCATTTAGGTTGGAGTTAATGCGTTCATTTTCAAATTTGAATGATATTCGCTTTTCCGCGTATCGTACAGCGATGAAACTTCGAACATTACAAAAACGTCTTTGCCGTATGGTTATTTTCTTTTGATATTGTTTAGTATTTATTTTTCTTTAGTCGATTTAACATCCTTGAGCGATATTATAAGTGTTTTCGAAGAACATCAAACAATAGATTCACCGACGAAAAATCTCGAGAAATATGTTGATGTAACAGAGATTCTTTATTATCTTCAAACAATATTCGAAAAAACAGCTCATGAATATCCTCAATTGATCAATGTTATTCTAACAGTCGACTTAACACTTAATTGGTTATTAAATATTTATGATACGTAAGTAGAGAAGAGTTTGATTTGTTTAATAAATGAAATTATCTCGATTTAGAAATCGAACTGGAACTATTCGTTTATTAGCAATGAAAATGGCATTAGCTTTATTATGTCGAGGAAATATCGAAGAAAAATATCGATGTAAGTGTTAAGACGCACATGTAGACATTAATTACTTGTTCGCCTTTCTCTTCTTCGTAGATATATTTTCTCTAGTGGCTTATCGTTCGACTGGTAATGATTCGCGAGATGTTGTTGATCGACAACGTTTATCAGTCTTATTTCAACAAGCGATTGTTGTATGTATTTTGTTAATTATTTACACCGATAAGATTGGAATAATCTCTAGTGTGTTCGAGAAAATTGATAGGGACAAGAGAGACTAAATATCTGAATACAACTGTCAGAATGTTTATTGATTATGACTGGAAGAGAATTTATTTAGAAAATCTAACCTTGAAATGTCATTAGTACGATCAGACGACGAAAGGAAATAAATGTCTGATGGTCTCTTTACGCCACTATATTTTCGAGTGAGATGTATTGTTATTTTTCTCATTAGATGAATCGTTGTTGATCGACTTGAACGATGGAAACATCGATTTATTCTTAGACAATAACATGTGAATAAGTGCTGCACATTATGTTGACGTCTTGCATACTTAATGTACACTTGAAAAGCTTTTTCAATGTGAAGTATGAATACGAACATCGATGAACGTTCAAAACCGAACAAAACTCCTCTGAAATCTTGCATAGTTATAACTGATTCAGTCACTAAACGATGGTATAGGGAGATTTCTATTGATCTTTGCGTAGATTCCCAAACAACTTGGTGAAGTCGCTGCTTTCGGTGGATCAAGTGTTGAACCAAGTGTGAAAAGTTGTTTTGATTATGTAAGCGAGATGAATTTGGTAAAATGTAGATTGCAATTCTATGTTCAATACAGGCACATAATCCCGAAGTTATCACCGCTAATGATTTTCTTGAATGGGTCAAATTGGAACCACAGTCACTTGTTTGGTTGCCTGTGATGCACCGGTTAGCAGCAAGTGAAGCAGCGAAACATGAAGCACGTTGTAATATATGTAAAATATATCCTATTCTTGGCTTTCGTTATCGTTCATTGAAATACTTCAATTGTGACATATGTCAGAATTGTTTCTTTTCGGGCAAACAAACGAAATTTTTCAAAATGGACGATCCATTACAAGAATATTACACTGAAGTAAGCGTTTTTGTTCAAGATAAATATATTCGAGAGTTATCGTTTTTGTAGACAACGTCATCGGAAGATATTCGTGATTTCTTTCGTATTTTCAAAAATAAACTATGGAATAAACACCGAAAACATCCAAAGCTTGGCTACTTACCATTACCACATGTTTTTGATAACAATATTCCATCGACTTCTCCGCCAGCATCACCTTCAGGAATGTTACTTCCAGTTTTAACAACATCATTCAAGTATGGTCGAATTTCATTCCTTTTCTCATATGCATCTTCATCTCTATACAGATCGGATATGAATTCCACACAACCAATTACTGTTCCGATTGAATCGTAAGCTAACGCACCATGTCCGACTGAGACTACGTCATATTTCGTTTGGATCTTTAGAACTGATGAACATGGAATCATTGCACAGCATTGCCGAAACTTGAATACGTTTGTACATTCATCAGTAAGAAATTTGACTAGATCAAATCACTCCGTTAATATTCATTTATCTTACTTTAGCCTCGTGTTGCTGCTCATGATATCTTAACTCGTTCTCGTTCGTTGGATGCTGACCAACGAAATGAACTCGAAGCGATCATTCACGATCTCGAAGACGAAAATCAATTATTACAAAACGAATACGAACGTTTGTGTCAACAACATATGGAGAAATCAATGATAATCAACGATCAACAACAGCAATTCTATCAAAGTGATAGCCAATTGGGTTCTCTATCCTATTTAAATGAATACAATTCGAGTGATCGAGAAATGTTGCGTGAAGCCAAGCAACTGCGTCATCATAAAACGAAATTAGAACAACGAATGAAAATTCTCGAAGAACACAATAAACAATTAGAGAAACAATTGAGACGATCAAAGCAATTGTTATTCCGAGAAGTAAATCCTCCTTGACAAAAACTTCATCCATTGATTTACTATTGCCAATGTTTAGTCTCCATCTTTACATCATCATACTAGTAGTACTAGTATAACTGATTATCGCACTACTACAGCACCGAGCCCACTACATAGTTCAACGACGGGCTTACGACGTTCAATGGAAAGAAATCTCGAACGGCAACCAAGTAAAGACACTTCTTTTGTTGAAAAGCAAGCTTCTCAAGCATTTCTCTGATTAGATTTAATAACTATTGATAATCTCTTTCATATGGCTGATGACATCAATCGTGCTGTTGGTGATCTCGTCTCTGTCATAACTGAACCACAAACGAATGGTTCATCCTCTTATTATCAACCGTTAAATACAACAATAGCCACGTGAAATTCTAGTTTCAAAGCACTTTTTCTCACGTTTTCAATGTTTGCGTGCAATGCAATCAAACAGTGTGTGTTTATTTAGTTTGAGTTCGATTCTCAGGGATAGTGGTGGTCGAATACACGAAAACACAAATCGGAAGGCCCGCTCACTAATTCTTATGTTTTGTTTGCTTCGTCGAGAATTTTTCTTTTGTTTTGTTTTTTCTCTTTTCAGCGTGTCTAAGTCAACCTTTATACTTGTATCATTTCTTGCTTGTTTTTTTTTTATATAAACATATAAGTTTTATTATGATTTGGAAACAAATAGACAACGATATTTTAGATATGTTGGTTTACTTTCTTCACAAGGAAACGACATGTTCTTCTAAGAATCTGGATTCATAATTGAATGATCAAGAGTTCCTTGAGACGAAATCAATGGCACAGTGAACATTTGTAGTGCACTAAGAATTCGTTTAGAATCGGTATATGGAAAGAAATAAGACAATATTGATAAAAGTTCAAGCAATGATTTTGTGTTTGCGTCGAATTTTTTCTTGTAGATATTTCAATTCGAATGGAATCCCCATTTTCTGACATGGATTGGCTCGATACAGCATCGCACACTCTCGACCTTGCGATACAAAAAGGTCTCTATGCAGACTTCAGTCATTTGAAATCTGATCTTGACCGTGTTCGTTTCATTCATAATCACCGTGTAACTCTGCTGTCGAATACATTCGAACGATATTTATCATCAACAGCATCGTCTCAGACGAAAAATGCAACAACAGCTATTAGTTTTCGGAAAAAAGGAAATGATTATTTCGTGAATAAAAATCTTTCGCGGGCAGCATGGTGTTATCGAGCAAGTATTGCATTGTCAACAGTGAACAGTCAAGATATGGCACTTTCATACGGAAATCTATCAGCTGTACTTTTCGAATTAAGTCATTATCACGAGTCGATACGAGCGATTCAACTAGCGAATGATTTCTATCCCAATGAGTTGAAGTTTAAGTACGTTAACAAGTAGTTTTCTTCGATACGTCCACTGTTCGAATCCTATAGGTTGGTCTTTCGTCGGGCGGCTTGCTATCATAAGTTAAATGATCCTGAACGAAGTGCCTATGAATTGAAGATATGTCGTGACTTAATCAAGAAAACAGCTGGTCTCGATAGAAAGAAAATCGATTCATTTTGTAAGGAAATGGACCAGTTAAGTCAACAAATAGCATTGTTAAACCAACGAAAAGTAGAAGAAAAAGAAGAAGAGGCCACACAACAAAAGCCAACGACATCGTATAAAGATTTAGACGATCTTGTCCAAAATTCACAAACACCGACGGACACTTTAGCATCACGCTTAACTAAACCAACGGAAAAGGCTCCGATTGACACCGAATTTTGTCCACCGTCACCTCCATCGCCACCTCGAAGTGTTTTTCTTATAGATGATATCAAACTCTTACTGAACGGGCCGAATGAACAGGTACCATGTGCAAGTTCAACTTTAAGCATGGTTTACTCAAAAGAAAAAGGTCGACATATCATCGCCAACCAAGATCTCCCATCGGATGCCTTGATTCTTAACGAACGTCCGTATGCTTGTTTACTATTACCGAAATTTGCTTACACTTACTGTGATCACTGGTTCGAATCTTTCCGTAAAACTTCAACTCAACTGATTTTTCTTTTGTAGTTTAACATCCATCGTCATTCCATACGTATGCCCACAATGTTCTCATGTTCTATTCTGTAGTGAACATTGTCAACAACGTGCACTTAATAGTTATCATCAATATGAATGCAAGCATATTCATGTACTTAAGACATTAGGAATTGCTTTTCTCGGTAATTTTTAGTCTAGAATCCTTTCTCGAACGAGTTTTGTCGCTTTTCAGCTTATCGTACATTGACAATTACTGATCATGAAACATTGTGGACAACGATTACACAAACAACACTTCCGAATGAAACTGAGACGAAAACCAATTCTTACCAATCAGATTATTTGTCTATTCAGAAATTAATTACACACACAGAACAAATGTCTGTCGATGATCTATTTCATTACTCGCTGACAGCATATCTCCTTTCGGAAATAATCAAATCGACGAATTTTCTCCAATGTAACCAGGTGAAAAAACGTGATACAGAACAAATTCTACTTGCATCGGTATTACTCAAGCATATTCAACAGATGATTTGTAATGCCCAAACGATATCGATTACTAAAACGAATCAAATCAACGAAATGATTTTCGATCATGACGATGATCAGGACGAATTAACCAAGCGCTTCGCTTCGGCAATATTTCCAACATGTGCACTAATGAATCATTCATGTGTACCGAATATTCGATGCGTTTTCGATCAAGGCTACTTACGTGTATATACTGCAAGATCAATACGGCAAGGTGAAGAAATTTTCAATTGTTACGGACCACAAAAATCGCTGGTGCCATCAACTGAGCAAAGACAAAGCGTTCTATTCGATCAATACTTCGTAAGTCAGAACGAATGAATGAGACCTACATCGTTTATCTCTAATTTTTATCTTAGTTCAAATGTCAATGTGAAGGGTGCGTTGAGATGAGCAAACCGTTACCTGTCGAAAAATTAACTAATGGTGAGAATTAATTTCAATGCAAATCAGAGTCTAATCTTCCATACTCTCACCCTTATAGTCTTTGTGTAGCGCAGAAGTATGATGATATCATTTGCAAGTAATCTTTCATGACACACTCTGTTAACCTAGCTTAGGAGAGACAAACAACATAGTCACTCTTAGTCAACTAACATTCGTACACTAGTTTGATATTTTCTTTGAGATGTGCAAGTCTTGATTTTCTACGATTTGTTAATAAAATATGGAAAACACTAAATTTGATATTCTCGGTCGTAAAGATCTATTTGTGAATGTTTTCTTTTTGTTTTCATGTCGCAAAACGAAAACATCCACCACTCGTCGACTACATAATCCGAAAACGATCTCAGCAAATTCGACTCCTGATCAACTATCATCTCAATCATTGATTGTTCATGATAGTCAACACAATAATGATCTTACACGGTTCTATTTAACAACAGCAGATAAATTACTCGAAGCGAAACGTCTCTTCTCTCAAGGTCTTTCATTATACAATCAAAATCATACATCATGGGAAACAAGCATGAAGCTATTGAGTGATTCGGTTCGAGTTTACGAGCAATTATTACGTGAAATCAATCTAGATACTGTGAATCTATATGAATACGGTAGAACAAAAGAAAGAAATCATTGTAAAACTATTTTTCGCTTTCAGTTGCTTCGATTTACAACGATCGTCATCAATTTGATTATACGTGTATGTATTTGAATAAATGTATTTCCATTCTGAAAATGAATCTATCGACATCGTGCTCGTCATCCACCATACTACTCGTTGACGTTCTTCGTAAATACGCGCAAACTTTGTTCCATTGTCGAAAGTTTGATGATGCACGTCGTACGATTCTTGAAGCTCAATTATTACTTGATCAAATGACTCCAACATCGACGATAAGCGAAGAAGAGAAACGTACAATGGGCGTTTTGCAAACAATGGAAGATTTAAAAGCAAAATGTGATCTTTGTCTTGGCTAAAACAAACATTCTGTTCGTGTTCTTTTTTCATAGTTCGAAAATGCTGCAATTCGATTTCTATTTTTCATGAACATTGATTCTCGGTGGTATATATATACATTACAGTGGTTGTTGTTCATTCTCAGGGATAATGACCATTTCATGTGCAACATTTCTTCTTTTTCTTGTTGTGTTTTACTGCAAATCGTCTCGTTTTCTTTTAAAGAAGAAAGATCGATGAATGAAGATGATCAGCAGATCGATGGTTGAGTTAATCAAAGTAGCAGCAAAGTAGAATTCAGTATCAAATTTGAGTTTTTCTAACCTTCGACAATAATGAAAGATGTATCACATATCCGTGTCAGAAGCAAGGTTTTGTTAGTCTAATGTTTCTTTGTAGTGGAGAAGCTAATTATTTTCCTTTAATCAAACGAGCCTTCTCGAGAAGGTGATTCAACTTTCGAGACAAAACAGCATAGTTCATCAACAGAACGGTCTGATTACTTTTCTGACTATTTATGAAAGAGATGCAGAATGAAAATCAAGAAGAAAACTAATGATGATGTAATTTGTTCGACTATATTGAAAATATATGCAGTTCTCTCCCATCATGTTACTGAATGGCAGATACAATTTCAATTAATTGAAACCGATGAAGATGTTACCTGTATTTTCTTCGAAGAAAATTCTTCAATTTCAAATTGAATACCGATTACATCATTCAATAATGTCATCCTGTCCATCGGCTATGTTATTTCTTACGATACTATGAAGTAAAATGTATCGGAGATATGACGAGCTGTCACTGGAGATGATTAAAAGACGTTACTTCATAATTTGCATTCATTCTACGACAACGGTGTCTTGAAATGAATTAGTTTGTGAAAAAGAATTAAGATATCAATATAGACATGTCGAATCCGTTTAGGTTTGACATATGAATGCAAATTTGCTTTGATTACTGCGGATTCTTACCGCATGATTAGCGACTAATAAGCATAATGAAAACCTGTGTGCTAAAATCTATTTGCTTTCTTAACCGACGAAATTGTCATAGTAACAAGCAAGAGACAAGTGTAATTGACTGATTTGTACAGTAGAAATTAAGATAAAACTTGAAAAAAAAAGAAATTTTTTAAACATCAAATTTTTCTCTCTCGTCGTTTTCTTTGGTTGACATTGAGCTCGAGTGTAACAGCCTCGATCGTTTGTGCTCAAACAAAATCATTGCTTGTGCTCAAATCACAAGTGCGTGTCCGTATTGTACTTTGTGTAGTCTATCAAGGACAAGTGATCTAAACCAACATACATGTGTGTGTATATACATAATGATGATGATGACGATAATGATGATCTTTTAGTTTTTTTTCTTCTCTACCGACTGCGAGTCATTTTGAGTAGCACTCGATTTCAATTGTGTATACATGTTCGTCGTTTTTTACTAAGTGAAGTTCAAGGTAATACGGCTGGTTTAGTAAAAATAATGAATGAATCTTAACATACCAACAAATAACAGAACTTGTCTTTCTTCTTCTTCTTCAGTGTTCTTTTTTCCTTCTTTTGCTATTTTAATAAATAGATAGAAAAATGAAGTAGACTGTTCAAGGTGACCATGCATTGATATTGTTTCTATAAGATAGCTGAGCTGGAAATAGTAGATGCATGCGTCTTCAACAGTACTTTTAGTCAAATGAAAAAGCAAAAGAATTACTAATTGCCTCAGGTATTTTGTTCTTGTCATCTTTCTTCTTTTTTACTTAATCATAAACATGTAACTTGAATATGTTTGATAATTATTAGAGATGTCTACATTTCGTTAGTTTAATAGTACGGATAAGAGAAGAGAATGGGGAGGAGATGGGCTAATCATCCGCACCTCAGCGTTTCCGCATATCTGATCTTCTCTTCCGCTTGTTTCAGTCCATTGTGCTGAGATTTCACGTCTCTAATTAATATCTCGTACATAAGCATCATCAACATAATGTCGATGTTTGTATGCACCGTTCTGATGAGAAAAGAGAAAAGAAGGGAAAAGTAAGTTTCGCTCTTTCCTTTCTTGTTCTCTCCCTTCTTTCCTGTCATCTTGCTGTCGGTTTCATCATTATGCGCTTGGAGGAACATGCCTGTCGTATCTTTTTTTCTCTCTCTCCCCCCTCTCTCTCTCTCTTCTTAAATCTCTTTCATAAGCTCTATGTTCACTGAAGACAACGGTTTGAAAGGATCAAGTAAGTAAGTGTTTGACAGGTAGTCAGACGAGAGTAAGTTCAAAAAAAAAGAGGCGACTAAATTTCATTTCATTCGTTTTATTTTCAAATCAAAGGAAACAACTGTCTGACATTTATCAATGTTGATGAACATGATCATTGCTCAGTTAGTCTAGAAAAAAAAGAAGAGAAAACGAGATTTAATGAACAGGATTTCCGGTGTCAGTCTTTCTGATGACCAATGGTCGATTACTTTCTCGTTGGAGAGTAAATGAATATGATTGCGTGTTAAATTGAAATTGGACCTGAACAGTCGCCTTATTTCTTCTTATTCTCTCTCGCCTTTTTCCTTCTTCTTTTTTTTTGTAATCACCAAAATGGCTCCCATCGAAAGAGATTAGAAATTGTTATTTGTACAAACTTTACTAGCACGCATGCACATCGGCAGATGGCACACATTCATCTGTATGTACAATACTAGCTCTAGTCGAACCGTTCCTTTTTCCTCATTCAATTTCGAAAATATTTCAAGAGTAAGGTGTGGTAATATCTTTCGATTATTAAACAGTAGGTCATTCAACTGAAATGAATTAGAAGCACCTGTGGCGAAAAAATAGATGTCAATCAAAACTGCCATAGTCTATAGAATGATTACGCGATGTATACCTGAAGTATCGTTAACTANGCGTGTGTTTCAGGTAATGGACAGGATTAGATGACAATGGCGACACGAAACATTATTTGTTTATTCATATTGGTACTTATCTTTCCAAGTACTCAACAATTTGATCTAGGTAATAACAACGAAGAAGATAGTAGCTCGCATTGTTCATCTTCTATTATAGAAACATGTCGATCCCCATTAGGAATCGAAACAGGAAAGATTCCTGACTCGGCTTTTTCGTCAAGTACCCATGCTGGAAGCAATTCAACAGCGTCGAGAGCAAGGTTTGAATAGCTAAGTATGTTTTTCTTGCAATTTTGCGCTGATTCACATAGAATACGCAGTGAAAATTACGGGTGGTGCCCATTAAACAAAATTTCGACAACAACATATGAATATATACAAGTCGATTTAGTTAATTTGACTGTTATTACATTAATTGAATTACAAGGCAAATTCAGTCAACATCCAGTATGAAAATTTTACGATAAGAGTTGTTTTGATCTCGTTCTGTGATGTTTGTTTTGTAGAATGAACATTATGCCGATGCCTTTCGCATTGAATATCGTCGAGAATCGAATCAGAAATGGATTAAATACAAAGACTTTGCCGGACAATATGTACGTATCGAGAAATCATTGTTGATCTTGTCGTTCGAGTTAATTTCATTTGGTTAACCTTGATTGATGACGAACAAAAGTGCAAGACTTAATAGATTTTCCAGATGAGCTGATGTTTATACAAATCGAAGGAGATGAACGATTTATTTTTGTTTTATATTTTCTATTGCTATTTCTATCAATCATATAGATTTTAAGTGGAAATACAAATAGTTACATACCGGCAATGCGAGATATTTTACCATCATTAGTAGCAAAACAGATACGCATCATACCACTTGTCACTGGCATTAAACCCAAACATATTTGCATGCGATTGGAACTCTATGGATGTTCCTATCAAGGTAACAAAGAAAAAGCGAGTCCATTCATTTCTCTATACTTTACTGTGATTAGATGGTCCTATTTCCTATTCAATCCCGCAAGGCGACAGACGCGGTTACGATGTCGAATTTCTTGATGAAACATACGATGGTTATAACATAAATGGCACATTGAAAGGTAAAGTAAAGTTAGGAATCTTTTTTTTTCTTCATTAAACTCACTTATAGATGGTCTTGGTCAATTGACTGATGGCATTGTTGCTGGCGATGATTATCGCTTGGCAGAAAATGTTCAAGGTATTGGTCAAATCGGCTATGACTGGATCGGCTGGAAACGGAAATCATCGACAATGTCAAATATAAATATGTTCTTCTCCTTCGAGACTGTTCGAAACATAACTTCGATTCGTTTACATACATCGAATTTATTTACACGTGACGTTTATATCTTTAATTCCATAGTTATAACCAATTGTGACGAGAAAACCAAGACAAAAACATTTTTTCTCATACCTGATGATTATGTGAATACACACGCGAGATTTATCAATATATCGTTAGCTTCTAGTTCGAGATTTGTCACCAAATGTGTAAAACTAACATTGACCTTCAATAATCGAAGTAAATGGATCTTAATCAGCGAAGTTATATTTAATTCTGCAACACCTACTACTACCACGATACCTTTATCAGTGGCTACGGAAACGACAGCTACAACGGATGCGAGCCAGTTACCACCGTTCATTGGTAAGAGAATAGTTTAGTCTTTTTAACATTCGTCTGTATTCGCACGATCAATTTAGATTACGGAGTAACGATGATTCATTATTGGCAATGGTTATTACTTGTTGGAAGTCTCTTTATTCTACTAATCATTCTTTCGATTTTTGTCTATTATCAATGGATTCAAACGTTTCGTCAACGTCGAAAACTCCGCAAGTAATTTCTTGTCAATCATTGATTCTCTAATTCAAACAAAACTTTCATATGTTCATTTTCATTGATTAGAATGTCCACTCATTTAAAATTCGATTCAGGCTATCAACCGATATCGGTTCCGTTTCCTACTCGTGTAGCCATGAACTGTTGTTACACCACTGCTTGTGATAGTACAATTTGCTGTAAGTGTATACCTACCTCGTCCATCTTGTACATTTCTTTCGATTGATTTCAAGCGGATGGCAATTCAACCTGTTCGACTTCACATAATGATATGCGTCGTCATTTGATTATTTCGACAGCAACTTCGCCAAGTGCAGGAAGAGCAACGAGTGGATCAGATTTTGGCACGATTAGCACCGCAAGTCCTGCAACGATGTCAACTGTTTATCAATCAGTTGTTAATCCATATCTAGCAGCTGTAAAAAACGATCTGCCTAACGTGGTTAGTTATGAATTTTGAATTCTACGTAATCGATTCTTATCGATTGATCGACAATTGAAAAAATATTCGTTTTCTGAGAAGATCAGTAGGACGACAGTTTCCCAGGAGATTCGATCATGCACTAACAAGTATTTCATTAGCAATTTCACGCATTATCAATTCTAGACACCAAATCCATATGCTTCCATTGATATGTATGCTTATCCAATTATATCCGATAAAACAATCAATACAGAGAATCTTACAACAAATCTTCAAGGTCCATGCGGTAATTGTACGTATCAATCATTATCTCCATCAGATATGTATGATAGTACGCGATTAATTCCGCGAATTAACGACGAACAATTGATTGTCGAAGAACGTTACTCAACAGTCAATGGTTGTTTCGGCACCGTAAGAAGAAGAAGACGACAGAGAAGTCTTTCAATTAAAGTTTTACTTTTTCAATTAGATCGTTCGTGGTTATATCTATCTTCGTCATCCGTATGATGTCCTGAAACCTATTCTGATCAAAGCTCTGACGACTAATGATCGAATTCAAAAGTAGATTCCTTTTCCTTGAAAAGTATAATCGAAACAAGATGTATTTGTCCTTCTCATAGAGAATTATTCGATAAAGAACATGAAATCATGGTTCGTTTGAGTCATCCCAATTTAGTTCAATTTTTTGGTTACAGTCTCAAACAAAACTATGCTCTGGTCGAACATAGTGATCTAGGTGATCTCTACACATTTTTATCCACAACGCGATGCGTTCAAGAAGATCAAATATCACTTTCGTAAGTCTTTCACGCAAAGAACGCTAATGTAACTACTCTTTCTTTCTAGAATTAATGTTCATCTTTTTATCATTACTCAACTATCCAATGCATTGCGTTACCTCGAATCGGAAAATCTTATTCATCGAGATATTTCCGCAAGAAATTGCCTAGTTTATCCAAATTATGAAATCAAACTAACAAACTCTGCTATTGCTTCATTACAATTTCAAACACACTATTATACAATCAATCATCAACGTCTACCAATCCGATGGATGCCACCAGAAACAATTTCCAATGTAAAGAAAAACTTCCGTTCTCCAAGCCTGTTCATCATTTATTTTTTCTTTAGAATGAATTCACTTCTCAATCAGATATCTGGGCATTTGGTATAACACTTTGGGAAATTATGACGAATTGTTTAACACTTCCGTATGCACTATTAAATGACGAACAAGTGTATCAGCGATTGAAACTGATGGGCACAAACGTCATGCAATCATCAGGTAGTTTACAATTATCCAAGCCTGAATTTTTGAGTAAAGAACTCGTGGATCTAATGCTTGAATGTTGGCGTCCGTATGGCGAAAGACCAACATTCAATGNATGTCATCCTATTTCTGAATTGAGAAGATTTATTTCCACATACATTCAAAAAACAAAACAAACTTTTTCCTGAGATTGAGACATTGTACATCGTTTTGTATGTAAAAAAAAAGAAGAAATGAACAAAAGATACACAAACGTCATGCAATCATCAGGTAGTTTACAATTATCCAAGCCTGAATTTTTGAGTAAAGAACTCGTGGATCTAATGCTTGAATGTTGGCGTCCGTATGGCGAAAGACCAACATTTAATGAAATTTTTAATTTTTTTAACAAACGATTGGATGGTATTAACATAATCTAACGATCTTCTGTTTTTCCTTTTTTTTGAAAAATTAGTCATTGAATATTTGTACTCAATGTGTGTGTGCGCGTGTGTGTATCTTTTGTTCATTTCTTCTTTTTTTTTACATACAAAACGATGTACAATGTCTCAATCTCAGGAAAAAGTTTGTTTTGTTTTTTGAATGTATGTGGAAATAAATCTTCTCAATTCAGAAATAGGATGACATTTGTGAAGACGAACACTCTCGGACATTTCTCTCGTTTTTTTCCATGAGATATGGGCGTGAAAATATGTCATGTTCATTCAGATTATTTTCGTGAAAGTTTGGTGTGTTTTTCTTTTGAAGAATTGAAGAAAAAAAAACAGTAAATGCTTTATAAATGTGTGCGTGGGTTTCGAATGAGAGAATTTCATCTGTACATCAGCGTTTGCTTGAAGTGGCAAAGCACCTTTTAAAATTTCTTTCTTTTCGTTTACTGCTGAGAGAATAAAATACTTGCTCTACTGACATTCAATTACTTGCATAAATACAAACATTTTCGTTTGCTTTACCTGTTTTCATCATAATTTCAAAAGCAAAAAAAGAAGAAGAGCGATGGTGAGTTTAAATGTACAATGGCGGTATGGAATTACTATCTTCTTGCTCGTTGTATTTTGTTTTGGTTAGTAAAGACATCGTCGCGAATAACATACAGAGAAAAGTTGTTTACTTCTAGACAAATCATTCGCTCAATTCACTGCTATCAATTGTTATGAATGCACGAATTGTACAGATCCGTTTTCATCAACTGGAATCACTATTAAAACAAATTGTTACTCATGTTATGTAAGATTGTTTGAGAGTGTCTCGACGGATTTGAATGAATTTGTTTCGTTTAGAAATTAGCAGTAACTGTAGCTTATGCACCTTATACCTACGTTGTTCGTCGATGTCTTGTAGCATGTCTGGAAACGTCTCAGACATTCGGTGGTGCAACTGTAGTGACATCGTGTTGCGCAACAAATAATTGTAATGCTGCTTCAATGATCGAACTTCCAATGATCACACGTGTATTTCTCTTTCTATTCATTCTTTACAATGTATTTAAATCTATTTATTAATATTTTGACTCTTCTTTTATATTGAACTCATGTTTGACATTGTGCATACAAACTCTAAAGTAAAGCATTGAAATTTGGTATTGCCATGCATGAGTTATCTTCATGACTCGGACATTTTATCGAATTCCATTAGTTTTCTCCAAAGTTTATCGAATTGCATTTGCACAATATGAAGAGGCACTACAGATAAGTGTACAGCGATCAGTTCGTAACATCTTATGGATTGATCTGGAAGCCAGCGGTAGAATTCTTCGACCAATGCTCTATGAATACAAAAACTGTGCTTTTACCTGAAGAAAAAAAGTGTATGTGTACCTGTAGAAATCAAAATATAGTACACCAGGTGGTTGCAATTGAACGAAAGATTTATAGAGTCTTGCCGACGCACCCTGAAATTAAATTGTCGATGTAAACTAATATCCCTGATAGATTCAGAACATACGTTATCCTCTTGTAGTCTTAATGCATAATTGAACGTGAAATGTTCATCTGACATTGTGTAGGATGTGAAACCATTCTGAAGTGCTGTTAAACATTCAGTTTCGAATGCTAAAATCTAAATCAAACGATAAGGAATGAAAGGTTGAATACCATTCAGTATTACAAACTTTTTTCTCGAGAAGAAATTCGGAGTCATTTCCATCGGGATGAGTGAAGAGACGATATCGATGATCGTCAACAGTCAACGTCGGCGTCCAGATTAATCCCCGTGATCGATTAATGAAGGCAAAATGAACGAGACCAGAAAAGGGAACATCACAACTAGAATAAATTCTTCTAACAAAGAATCACTTCGTAACAGGCAGTATACGCACAAACTCATCGTGATATTTCGTTGTGATTTGACTTCGATAAATGAAAACCAATCTTCTAATAGTGAATTGATTTTCTTTCGAACCGTTTTCGCCATATGGGATGTATCGTGTTCATTTCGACGGTATCGTGTATCTACCGGATCAATACCTTCCATTTGAACATCGGCTTCTTGATCGTGATCAATATCGATGCTACATCGACGAGCATACTCATCAGAATCAAAAAATAAATGACGAAATACGTCCGTTGATAGCAAACTCATATTCGTCAAATGGCGAAGAATACTGAGACCTCTACAAAAGAATCGATCATACCAATAAACAATGTTGAACAGGTTATTTATTTACTGTCGATGTCTTTCATTAATGTCAGTATTTGTTCTGGAGGCTGATCTATGTAATGCATGCGCTTTGTTTAACGTATCAGAGAGAATATTCGACGAATAGTTCATATTTTCAAACTGAAATGAAAGACAAATCGAATTGATCGGAATACTGATGAAGCGAATAGAGTTCTTTTTACATAGCGTCGAACAGCACCACTACTTTCAACAGATTTCACTTGTGGACTCAATTTATCGTATGGGAAGAGTCCATGTGTTGTATACGAATCTAGATGGCGAATCAGTTCATATATACTTGAACAAACTGCACTATTTTGCCACTAAAACAATGGACGTGTTTCATTCATCGGAAATTGATTGACTTACTTCGACAAGAATAAGTGCGGAAATATTCTCTTTTAATGGGATAGTAAACAGTGTGAATGGTGCGATGACCTTATTCGACGTTCGTAAGAATACCACTTCACTTCGATGAGCAAACTCATATTTGTCATTTGATCCCGTTGAAGATGAAAGAGAGAGATTCGGACATGAGTTTGTCTATTGAAACCATTATCAAATATATTCAGTTATGTTTCGAGAAAAACAACAACTATTTACTCTTTCTGTAGGTGGATATGATATACTATGATTCCTAGGTGTTGTCGTATCTATGACACTTTGACTTGGTTTGTCGAATTTTGTTTGAAACTTATGTGCCATTACATTCGAGAGATTGATTCCATCGAATTCTTTGCGCAATGATCGACTAAGATTGTTTAAAACAAGTAAGAAGAGATCACCATTATTCGGACGACTTTGATCAGGGCTAAAGAATGGGAAGGTGTAGTGATGAAATATTTTATGACATATCCATCCGACATACCTATGATACATATGCACAATCTTGTCATTACAAGTAATAACTACAATTTTCTTTCGAATTTTAAGCGAGTTTTGCACATCGTTACTAATCATTGTACACGCATCATTGCATTTCTCTCGAACGTATGGGTTTATATGAAGATATTCACAAGTCTAGATAGATAATAAGAATGGAGCGTGAAAAAGTTCTAAATCATACTTCAAAAAGTAACGCTTGATTCGTTGTGACATTATTTAGATAATATTGTAATGAAGCAGATATTCTATTGATTAATTGATCTGCAGCATTGTAATGTCTATGGTAGAAAGAACAGCAGTTAAACAATCAATCGATAGTATACTCTCACATAAATGGTAAAGCACCAATGTGAAATTTGATTAGAGCTTTGAGGAGATTGATGGTTTTTAACACAATTACTGTTTCAAATGATTTATCAGCCATACAAATTAGATTGTTTTCTGCGATCTATTTGGACGAAATGAGAAAACTGATAAAGAAATCGGCTTCTTTCTACACAAATCATACCTGATCGAAGAATACTTGTATACCGGAATTGAGTGTTATTCGCCGGAGAGGATCCTGACGTGATGAGGTTTGTTCATGAACTCGAATCAGTATCGCCAGATGTACAGATAGAGCATCGTCTACTGACAAAGGTTGTTCTTCATTGTCATCCATAGACTTCAAAAAATCGCTGTTTTAATGCAAGCAAAAGAGAAAGAATAAAGAAAATGTTCCTACTTGAGTATTGTCATTCGTATCAGTAGAGAGTTTGTAACCTCTATTTTTGAAACATTCGGTCAAATGAGCATACAAGTCATCGGTGAGAAATCGGTAAACTACCGATGAATGTGATCCAAAAACGAATATACCAAACAAACAACGTGCAGCCATATTTTCGTGTTTTGGAGAAGAGAATGGTGTGCTATTTCGTTTGAAAAGATGATAACAGGTATTCACATATCTATGACGTGTTTTGTTTTCAGACAGACGAGAAGAGCATGTAGTATTAGTTTACTGACGTCAGAAAATGTTCGACAACCTATACGAAACAATGAGTAAATAGTCAGGTTAACAATCACAGAAATCTGATGAAGTATTTCATTTAGATCAACACTAGTTTCTTAATTGGTACGAATTTCGTAAAAAATATCTATGATTTAGAAGAATTAAGCGCGTCCCAATGCGTCCAACATTCTATGCATTTAATTGATTTCTTTCACAAATAATTTCTAATTTAATTATTTTTCTAAAAAAGAAGTTAAGATGGATCCTTCAGTGTCATTACCATCTGCTGTTTTCTTTTATGAATACTGTATGCATAACGCATCTAGAGCACAACGAATTCTGGATGAAATATTCGATCCACATGAATCACTTCGCGAAACAATAGCAAAACATTTGACAAGAATAAAATCTTATATCAGTGGTCAGCAGACCTTCGACGATTTCTGTCGCGAAAGTAAATTTTGAACACGACCTCATTGAACAGGAATATCATTGAGTAATTGTTCTAGTGCAAAAATGTAATAACAGTGTATTGTGTGGTCGCGTTTGGATTCATCCAACCATAGGTTACCGTTGTCGAACATGTGCAATCAATCCATCGATGAGGTACACAGTCTCAAGCCGAAACACTTCTCACCTTTATACTACTCTAGCCTATGTCCTTATTGCTTTTATGCGGGTAATCATGTTGAGCATGATGTCAACATGTTTCGAAGCCTTGGTGGCGGCGTGTGTGACTGTGGTGATGGGACTGTAATGAAATCTGATGGTTTTTGCAAACACCACGGTTCAAACCGGATTTCAGATGGCCATGTATTAGGGAAACACATTCGAAGTGCGCAGATTGTTCTGCCAAGATTGATCACTATATTTCTTTTCTTTTAGTTACTGCTGTGATCAGTACGATGAACAATAAACTCGAATGTTGTATTTGTCAAAACAAGGATGACAACGCTGCTCTTGGATTTGTCGTTAGATTGAGTCATANATGGTTTTTGCAAACACCACGGTTCAAACCGGATTTCAGATGGCCATGTATTAGGGAAACACATTCGAAGTGCGCAGATTGTTCTGCCAAGATTGATCACTATATTTCTTTTCTTTTAGTTACTGCTGTGATCAGTACGATGAACAATAAACTCGAATGTTGTATTTGTCAAAACAAGGATGACAACGCTGCTCTTGGATTTGTCGTTAGATTGAGTCATAGTGGAGGTGAATCATTTTCTTTATGCAGAGTGCAAATGACAATTACTTTTTTTCATCTAACAGTGCTCGGTGTTCGAGAAGTGAGCTTTAAAGAGGAAGATCACCTACCGTTAGTCACTGATAATTTCGATTTTGATCAACAATCCTGTTGTCATCCACATGATACACCGACTGACGATGGCCGATCGCAGCCGGATCCTCCGATAAATATTAAATACAACGATAAAGGCGAATGGACATGCGCTCGATTCTACGAAGAAAAAATATCCAAGATGTTGGCGAGTTTTAGTGAAGTACTTAGCATATTTGAATTTGGCTGTATCTAAAAAATATTTGACATAGGATAGTGTGTCGAAATCAATGACAATCAACTGGCGAAATGGTTTGGTGATTAGTTCCTGTAACCATTCGATGCACATATCATGTTATAGACAATACCTAAAATCTCATTATGTGAATTCCTGATATTTCGTCTATTTCGATGTATAATTTCGTTCTCTAGAAAAAAGTCAACGCAGAAATTGATCCAGATGTTGAATTCAAATGTCCCATGTGCCGTCAAAAATCAAACGCTTTGATCTGTTTTCCATCGGCAGATCAGTGGACATATTCATACCAGCATTCAATCGAATCTATCACACATCTAATCGAGAAAACTCATAAACCTTGCGTAATAGAACGTACTGTTTTGTTCATTAATAAGAATTGTATTTCTGCAGATACCTCCACTCATCATTGAGTGTTTAACCAATTTTATCCAAAAAATGTACCTGATGGTAAATTCAAATTATCGAATACTTAAGAAACAAGATACAGAATTAACAGATGATGATCTTGCAGTGTTTCTCGTTTCGATCCTAAGGTTTATATTGGCATAAAGATTTATTTCCCAATACCCAAACTCATTTATAGGTTTAACCTCGAGAATGAATTACTGCTTCGAGAAATCGTCCATAATGACTCAACTATAAACAATCGAAAACCGTGTTTTCGTAATTGACACACGTACAACGAGAATTCATAATATTCCTTCATTCATAGGTGAATTATTTTATGTTTGCAATATGAAGTATCCATATTTATTGAATGAATCGCACATTTTACTTTGGCAACATCTTATTGGTTGTATCATTACCTTATTGAATACAACTGAACATGGCCAAAAACCTCCAGTTCCACTACTATTGACTGATCCTATTGCTTTACTTCTTCGAATAGTATTGAGTCTTCCTTACCTAGCCGATAAAGGTAGTCTCATACGAACGACTCTACATCTTCATCATTAGTTTCTTTCTGCTAGAGTTGTATCAGATTGTTGTACAAGCTGTATACAATTTAGTTTATGTTCAAGCATTGTTCTCCATTGTCAATGAAATACCCAAATACGAACAGCAGACATGGAACTCATTGGCGATCTCCGACAAATCTGAAAATGTGATCATTTATTTTCTAAATCGAACTCTAAATGTACTTAGTCTATTTGAAGGATGTACTACAGTATCTTTGCGCGATATCAGCAAAACTATTACAAACTGATTTGAGTGTCAACATTGAAAATGTATGTAAATATGGAATGATCACGATAAAATCTCATGAATCGATTAATGCATCGATTCGAGACCGATGTATTCATTTTCTCAAAATTGCCGCTCTCATGCAACATCACCTATATCGCCCACAGCTAGAGTGGGCGGTAAGTAGTTAGACTAGTTTGAAACAACAAAATCCGACTAAAAATACCACTTCAAAGGTAAATCATCAAATGGAATCCGACTATCTATGGGGAAGTCTAATCAAAGAACTTGGTCTATACAAATCCGGTGAACCATATTGGTTTTATAACAATTCATCATTACTTATTAATCATTGGCTTGATGAAATACTTTCAATAGAGAATAGTCAACTCATCCGAGTTCGTGAATAACTTTATTTCTACTTCTAGAACAGTTTTCATCATATTCAGCAACTAGTTCTTACAATACCTGTGTTTCACTTCCCACAATTTGTTAAGTTACCGACTTGCTATTCGGAACTGTTTCGATCTTGCTGCAATCTTCGTTGCTCTTATTGCCAAGCAGCCATCAATGAACCAAGTCTTTGTTTGGTGTGCGGTTTCATCTATTCTGATGAGCACTGTCGACAAAAATGTTGCGAATCACAAACACAACTCGTCCAAGAGGTTGAATCGATTTCATGGGAGAGAATTTCATTTAATAGAGAATTGAATCATCTTTAGCACTTGAGAAAATGTTGTGATGGACTGAATATTTCGATAAATGTCAATTCAACAAGGACATTAATTCAACAAGAGCAACGCTATACTTATTGGATTTCACTTTATCTAGATCGACATGGCGAAGAGGATATTAATCTTCGGTATTTGTCAAAAAAGAAGAGATATGTTTTTGAAGTTTCGTTTTAGACGAGGAAGAACATTATATCTCAATGAAAATCGACTGAAATTCTTATATTCAGCATGGATTTCATCGAATCTTGATCAAATCATTCAACGTTGGTCAACGGATCAATTAGAACCCTAGATCGCAAATACAGTTCATTCATTTCATGTTTCTTTTTCTCTAATCAACAACAAATCATAAAACAAGTGAGCGAATACCCTCACTATCAATCGGTTTAATGTCAAATGAAAAGTAACTTTCTTGGCCGATTTGAATATTCCAATCAGTCAATGACTGAATCAAATTGAACTAGAAAAGAAAAACAAGAAAAGGCAATATGAATTTGAACATTTGACCGTACTTACGGCATAACCATGCTTATCATAACGTCCACAACGATCAAGTCGTTGATGATAAGTTACATAATCGAGATCGGAATTCTCGCCGAGTGAACAAGGTAGATTATAATTGATAATAACATTGACATTGTCTAAGTCAATGCCATGTGCTGTCGCAGATGTTTGAGCGGAGAGAATGAATATTCGGTAGATATGTGAGCGAAACTCTTCAATTAATGACATGCGCTGATGATTAGTGAATTTTGTTGTTAACATTCGAACACTAAAACACAAACAAGTATTGAATTGCATTTCATTGCTTCATTCATACTCATGTTTTCGATCGTTGAGAATGTTCTGATAAACCTCTTCGGTCGTATGATCATCCGAACAGAAGATCATAATTTGTGTATTGCTAAATTGATTTAAAATAATGCGTACAAGTTCAATCTTTCGATATTCATCTGGACACATCACGTAAAATTGTTCAATATTATTCAGTTGTTGCTCACTGGATTTCTGCTTGATTATGATCGCATTTGGTACTAATTCACTAGTAAAATTCATGATTTGCTCGGATGAGGTTGATGAATAGGCAAGTATTTGACAGTGTTCATTGGTGGAAACGTTATCAAGCAAATTCAAAAGGTTCTGCCGGTAATCTTCTCGAATAATAATCGTATCAATTTCATCAACGATGAGAATACTCAGTTGATTGAAATCAATCAGCGTACGAAATGAATCAAATACATCGATTGTACCGATAACAATAGGTGTATGAATCAACTCTAATGATACGGATGAGGAAGTCACATAGGTTACTTGAATATTTGACAGATAAGCAGACATTTTTTCAATACCAGCACCGACGGTAAAGGCAAGTTCAGTAGTCGGAACAATGATCAATACTTGTGGAAGAGAAGGAGATGATTGAATACATGCAAGAGCGTGTATAATATAGGAAATCTGCAGGAGACGTGAACTAATTATAATCATGTCCGTCAAATAATCTTTACCGTTTTGCCTGTTCCAGTTTTCGACTGAACAATGATGTTTCTTCGGGATTCTTTAACGAATGAATAAGGTAAGATCAATTCTTGTATATCTGACGGTCCATTCTGAAAACCCATGGCATACAAGCCTAAAAGTAAACCGGATGGTAATTGAAAATCTTCGAATGACAAACGATGACGTTTATCTAAATTCATTCTGATCTGAAAGAAAGATTGGAGAATTTTATTTCAACTTGTAATACAAGAAACTTCGTCAGCAATACGATTTGCATAGATATCTGATAATTTCCATTTAATCAACTGAAAACATTCCTTCTGTTTCCTTAAAGTAAGATCTGATTGTTCATTTTTCAAATGTATTCCATTGGGTAGTGCAAGAATGTGCAAAATTCGTTCGATTAAATTGGATAAATCATCAATGGTTCGATGAAGTTGATTTTGAGTTACAAAAGTTTCATTTGACTTTTGAACGACTCGATTATAAAGATTTATATCGAGATTTGTCTTGTTGTCAAATCGTTTATAAATTTCTTCTAATCGTTCGTTTATTGTCATTGAAGATTTCAGTAGACGTATTTCAGTTCGTTGTTGTTCAACAATAGTTTTTGCAGTGAGTTTCTTTTTCTTTAAAATCAATAATTTCTCGTCTAAATTGGACATCTGAATGGAAAATCAGATTCATCGGTTGCTACATATTCAACGCGCTGGTCAATTTCTTTTCTAATTAGCAAAAAGAAAATCAAAGATACTTGTACATGAAAGGCGAACAGAAAGAAGACTAAGACAATCATGAAAGAAGCGGAAAAATGAAAATCACATTGAAAAGAAGCGTCAACTTTGAACGATTGACAGGAGTTGATCACTATTTATCACAACATGCACGTTTCGGTAAGATTCGCGGCCGAAGTTTGTCGCGATACGTCGCCGGATCAGTTGTGCGATTTACGTTTACAGTTATTTGAGAATCAGTATCGAGAAATTCTTCATCTTTAATACGAACAATTCGTCTGAGTAGAAGTTGTGGTGAATAGGCTAAAAATGAATTGATCTGTTCGACAATTCGAATCGAAATAAGTCATGAGAACATACATAGTTCAGGTTCCAATTCGATCAATTCCGGAGTTGAAGATGTACTGCGTATTGTGCGTGATTTGTTTTCTACCGTCACGTTTCTATAGAAAGAAAACCATTCAGTCGAAACGTTGTTTCAGAGTTAAAGAAATACTTTTGCGACATATCTCGCCGTCTACTTTGTGTGAAGATCGACGTTTTAGATGGAATTGTGTTCTGTCGCTGAAACGATGATGATATCATTTGTTCACTGAAATACGATTTAATTAACTAGTCATTAGACATCTCTTGGATGGCGCGTTTGGTAATGAAACTAACCTCTGTGAACTCGATGACAACGAAGAAAATGAATTTGTTCGGAATTTCACATTCTATGAACAGGAAAAAACATATGCATTAAGAAACATGTTTGATCGAATCGTTCGAAGAAATCTTACTAGCAATTTCCCAGTCACTTGTTTTCTTTTGGTTGCCTGTTGATCATCATGAGATACTGATGTCGAACGAGATCGTATACGTTTTCGGTTCTTTGAATACAATGTCCGATGTCGACACCTCACTGTCAGATTGTTCTTATCTGTTGTCGAAAGCATATCACGAATCTTTTTGGATACTCCGAGCGGAAGTGTTGTTTTTAAAAGATTTTGGTGCATTTGACAGCAATTGACATCCGACAATGCAGGTAAAATTGAACAAACTAAACAACAGGCTGTTGGTAATGATTGGTTACGTCTGTCTCTGTTTGGTACGACTTTCTTTCGTGCATATACTTGGAATGTTCGAATATCGTCATCGTCAGAGGTTGATGATTGATTTGTTTCATATTCAGATGACAGTTCAGTAGTTTCATCGGACATTTTTATGAAACTTCAAAACAAACTAAAATAAAACACATTACTTTTTTGCTTACTTATCCATCCATCCTACCTCCTCTTTCACAGGATGGTCTCTTCTTTCAACCACTACCATAGTTCTAATCATTCCTCCATTCTTTCAACACACAAATGCATTTTGATCATGATGGCGAATCAGAACATCAAGACATGATCGCACTTTGAACTGTACAAGATTGTCTCGCTCTTTCTTTCAAATCTCGATGATTTTCTCTACTGAACTTTTATCTATCTGATAGAGAAATGGAGAGTGTTTCGTTTTTTCTTCTGCTTTAGATTAAAGCGAAAGGTTGGTGTTTGAAGGCAAGTGGGGTGTGCAGGTGAGCGTAGTAGTTGAAGAAAAACAAGTAACATCGAAAGAAAGTGAAAGAATAGAAGATCTTAAATGAGTTCGAGGGGCAGTGTATGTTACAAATGTAACCAAGTAAGGTTTTCCACGTTGATTTTGCAATTATCAATGGAAATCGATTTTCGTTTAGCCGGGTCATTTTGCTCGAGAATGTCCAGACGGTGACGGTAAGCAAATCGGTACTCTTTGTTGAAAAGAACTGTATTTTTGACGAATTGTTTTAAGGTGGCGGTGGTCGTGGTGGTTATGGAGGTGGACGAGGTTTGCCTCAGCAAAAGTTTCTGGTATTCTGAACACTACTTTCCATTGCACAGGTTCGTACGGCGGTGGAGGTTCCTATGGAGGACGAGGTGGTTCATATGGTTAGTTATTTATTTTCAGAGATCGTAACAACACAAATTTGTTTTTTCTAAACTCTTTTACGCGGTTCAGGTCGAGGTGGAGGAGGTTATAGTAGCGGTAGCGGCGGTGGTTCATTGTATGATAGATCAGGTGCCCGTTGGTAAGACAGCTATTTCAGTAATTCTACAATGTATTATTTTTTGCTTCGTTTCTAGTTTCCGTTGCAACCAATCCGGCCATTTTGCTCGTGATTGTCCATCGGATAGCAACCAAGTTATATGCTACAATTGCAATCAACCAGGTTATACTGTTTTAAATCAATTCGCTGTTTTTTCACAATGAATAAATATTATTTTTTTAAAAGGGCATATAAGTCGCGATTGCAATGAATCCCGTTCAAACAATTATGGTGGAGGTTTCCGTGGCAGTCGGGGTAAAGAGCGTGGCATGCTAAAAAAGAAACTATTCTTTTCCGATTGTTTTCTTTTTTGTTCTAGGTGGAGGTAATAGTGGTGGCAGCGGCGGAGGTAGCTGTTATCGATGCTCAAAACCAGGCCATTTTGCTCGCGATTGTCCTGAACCTGACACACGTGGTGGTCCAGGTGGAAGTAATTCGGGAAATCAACAAGGCGGAGATGATAATGGTGACAACTGAACAGAGAATGATTCATGGAAATCTTTGCTTTTATAATTCGTATAAACTTCCCATCCATTTTTAACGCAAAGATTTGCTAAAAAGGAGTATCGCTCTGTTACCGTCTTTTGCGTGTTGTCTATTCATTTTTGTCATACTTTTACTTTAGCCGTATTTCCATATCTTAACTAAACTAAATGGCTTTCCTTTTGATAGATTTAGATCCAAGAAAAAACGAATTCTATCCGATGAACATTCAAATTCATTCAGATAGAAGCTTTTATATATGTTTACTCTCTTCATTGATCATCTTGTTTACATTTTTAACTCGTTGTTTTTTTTCTGATACGACCGCTAATGTTCTTGTATGTACTACTAAAAAAAAACGGTGGAATATACGAGTAGATTTCGAAGTGTGTCGGTGAAATTCCAACGAATTGAAAGTCTTATTGAAAATGAATGGTACTCCAAAAAACGTCAATCAAATCTCATTACGATAAAATCGATGGGAAATTTTGTTTTGTCTCTATTCCACATGACAGGATTGCTTTTAAAACTTCAAAATCACAGCTATCCATCAATCCTCCAGCGATCGGAGTTCTCAGATGCCTTGAGAGTATCTGTAGTAAAAGTCCAAACTTCATTATCTTAATTCATATAGATCTTTTGAATTGCACTATTTCGTACGAAGGATGGACACAATTATTTGTAGAACTGTTGTCATGTGGGAAATTAGGTCGGTGATGGATTAGTTTCTACAGATAAGCCTTAGGTAAAAAGAGATAATCTTGTAATATTCCTTTTTTTTTATTTATTCTTATTGTCTTATACAACGGAAAAGGAGAATTCTGTGTCTTTGAAAATTTTCCATTTTATTGAACTACGGTGTCATCTTCATCCTTATATGGTCGCTTGAAAATACTTTTAAGTGCTTTCAAACGATTAAAGTCTTCTGGAGGTAATTGTTGTTGTTGTTCTTCGTCTTCGAAAACGTTGACGTTATCAGTTGCATCTGGATCATCATGTATTTCACGAGTAAACCAAGCGTATCTATATCCGCTATCAGCTGATCGTTCTTTGTTGTAAACAAACGGGTATCGATGCTCACGAGGAACGACATAGACAGCACAGATGATATTTAATAGTAGCAGGAAACAGGAGAATTGGATAATGTTTCGAACTCCGGATGTGATCATTTCAGTAATCGATGAAGAAATGGTAACCTGTCCAAGTTTATGGCACAATACGTGTGTGGAGAAAAATCGAGAAATGTATCCGGTTTTATTGCTCAGATTTTTTTTATCATAGAAAACACTAATCAAAATCAATAGCACGTACGTAATAGATACTTGATTTCTCTCTCTCTCCCTCTTGTCATATATAGAACTCTATACTAGCACGTCAATCAGTCACTATAAAGTAGAATTGCCGTGATTTTCTAGGTGAACATAACTGATAAAATGACATGAGTAAATATACAGTCATATTTCAATAATGAAGTCAGCTTTTAACTGAACTGCATGACTATGACTGTTGAGAATCTCATGCATGTAGACAACTGAGCTTATCTTTTGCATTTGTAATCACAAGTGACGCTTTACACCAACTGTAAACCAGTGTATTGAAAAAGTACTAAATAAAATTAACGTAACACAATATATACGCCTCCCAGCGCACTTCAGTTCTCACACACAAGATTCTTTAAATCTAATTGACAGTTGAGAATTAATATTGAAATGACATCTTGTAAGCCCTGTCTTCTGCCTGGTAGCATGCCAACGTCGAAGAAAGTCTAATTAGCAAAATGCTTTCTCTTGAATAAACTTCCGCAGGGATTGTTTTAGAAACATCAAACATTAGCTATCTCTCTTTGATCGAAAAACAAAAGGCAAAGATGTCTGACGATGAGTAGGACTGCGCGAGTACTGACTGAATATTTATTCGTTCACGATAGCAAAAAAAGAATACTAGACGAAGAGAAAACTCAAATGACCTTTTATTTTACTTTCACCGATTTTAGAACAATATCTTATAATAAATCGGAATTCAAAAAACGATGTTTCGGATGATTTGACTGGAAATTTTGTCATTGGGATTCATTCATCGCACTTTCGATTGATCGAAGTTTGCGTGCCATACCAAAATTGGCTAATTTCGAACGAGATGAGTGTTGAAATTTGCCAAATGGACCACGCTTGACTTGCTGAGGATAGTTGTCATCATCGGCGAGTGCATTTTGAAGATCACGAGTAAACCAAACGTACTCATTATCGTTTTCTGCTGAACGCTGTTTTAAAAGTTGATACAGACGGCGATCATCATCGTCAGATATTGGAGCTGAGCCGAGGACAATATTTAGTACTAGTAAAGTAATAAACATTCGTACAATATTGTGAAACATTGTTGACGAGAGCATTTTTCGACCACTATTGAAGAGATTAGTTTGTGTTTGAGAGTATTTCACTTGTTGTAATTAACTATAGAAGTGTCATTCGACTAGAAAAGAGGCGATGTTTTTATATAGACAAACGAGAAGAACAAGAAAAAGAAGAAGAACCATGTATCTGACAAGCAAGTTAGAAGTTCTTATTGCGACTGCTCTCGTTGTTGCTGCTGTTGTCATATCACGATGTCAAGCATTGTTTAGAAGGCAAAAAAAAGAGATTTCTCATTTATTAAAGTAAAAACACTTTTTTCCCCAGTAATACATGGAACAAGAATAAGAAATCAAGAAAGAAAGTACAAATTTAAACGATAGCATAATAACCGTATGTACCAATTCCACACATGCTGTTTTTGTTTCGAGCGATCTTGAAATACCCATTAATACCCCAATTCTCTCCCCAAGAATTGCGAACCACTAAAAATAATTCAAAAAAAAAACTTCTTCCAGCGCAAAAAAACAAAGTGTCGATACATACGCCAATAGTCTTTGCCATTTTCTGTGCCATAACCAACAATAACGATAGCATGATCAACTTGTTTCGAGCACAACGGTATATCCAGTATATCTGCTCCACGTCCACCTCTTGAACCTCCGTAGAATTGTAGATCAGTCGTCGTATGAATAGCGCCAGCGAGTGGACCGTAGGTTGCCAGAGCTGATTTCATAGCTTCTTCATCCCCTCGTGGTGTATTTCTGTAATCGGATATACCACCAACCTTTCTTGACTTCAAACTACACGTTTGCCGAGTACTTGCATATGGATAAGACGTATCGGGTTCGAGCCCACCACGTTTTTTGATGTACTCGAATGTTTGTCCCAGATATCCTCCTGAACAGCCGTTACTTGGTGAACAGTCAACTAATTGCTGTTTGGATAATTTGAAACGTTCACCTTTCTTCAGTGCGAACGTGCCTTCAACCGCCGCCGTCACAGCAAATGCATAACATGAACTAAGAAAACAAAGAGCATTTTGCATTTTTAATCAACAAAAGTATAAACTAACCCGCAACGTCCTTGATTTTCAACCGGATTCATATATTGTCGATAATCGACTGCTGCTTTCGACACTTTCGAGCTTACAGGTCGTCTTGCACTAGGTCTCACTCGTGTTCCTGAGGAATAATACGACGATGAAGTATCGGACGAATGTCGTCCAGGAGATACTTTTTCATTAAACTTATCTTTGATTTTCTTCTTGATCTTCTTTTTCACCGAATCAACGAAAAATCGTCGAATGCGTTCATGTGTTTTTTCATCGTCTTGGCCGTCACGAACTTCACTAGGTGGCGTTTCTCCTCGTCCATCAATGTTTAATCCCGTTAATTTTTGACGAAATTCATCAAAACTCATATCACCGAACTGGTTCAATTGCAATTTGAATGATTTCAATCCTTCATCGAAACGGAAATTTTCTTGAATGATTATTTTCAAATTATCAATAAATTTTCCTAAACGTTCCTTTTCTTCCTCCGGCGTGGAATAATTTTTATGGTAAAATCTCTTGTATAACTTCCAGAGTTTCAAAGCGTATTTGTTATCTTTTAAAACTTCGAGTTTATCTTGTAGTTTTTTCGATACTTTCGTCATTGCCTTGTTAATCGTTTCATCGATCACCTAAAATTGTTACGAAAAGCGAAAAAAAAAGAGAAATAATTCTTTCCTATCGTATCTTCTTACTTCTTGTAATGAACGGCCATTCGTAAACATAGCATCGTGAATTTCGATTATACAACCAAACAGAAGTAAACCAACGAAGAGTAGACGTAACGCCATTCGAGCAAGAAAAACAATTTGAATCGAATATTGTTTCAAATCGTCATTTTATATCAGTGTTCGCTTTCTTATTTCTTGTCTTATCTCTTAATACATATCCGCTTTCATTCCATTTCCTTTGTTATCTATTTAAATGGCTCATTTTCATTTGCGAATTTATGTCATGTTAAGAGTCTCCTTTTTTCTTCGTTTTGTTACAGTGTTATCTTCGATGACCTAGCTCGAGGTCAATGAGTAATACTGAACAGTGTGGAGAAGATGAATGATAAGATAGTCCTTGATAGGAAATAGTCAAAACTTGGCACCGATGATTGTACATTATCATGCATTTCGCACGTGTGTAGTCGCTTTCTTTGTGAAAATCTAGATAGTTTTACATTCTCATTTCCTCTTTCAATGAGCAGCATTTATTCAGAACGTTCGAAACATTCCATGAGTAACTGTTTTGAACTTCAAATGAACATTTCCGATCGGGCCAATAACTGTTGTCTATCAAAGTTTATGAATAGATCGTACACACATCTTTATTTCAAATCGTAATAATTAGATATTCGTGCTAGTATTCTATTCTAGTGATGTCTACCACAATACTGTTAATTAAGTAAACATTTATAGCCAATAAAGATTTACATATACGTATATGCATAGAATGTATATGTTATGCTTGTTTCCACGACTCTCCACTATTGGTATAATAATCTAAGTGATATACAATTATCGAAAGATTTATTTTATTGATGCAGTCTATAAACGAAACATGACCACAAAAGTTCAATCAGATTTAATCATCGTCGATTGATCTTCTCAGATCCATACACGGCTAAACTGTCAGATAAAAGTTGATTTCCATTTATGACTGATCAGTTAGCCATGTGACGATCGTTGGAAGTCTTTTCTGATGAAGAACAATTATGGCAATGTAGTGATATAGGCATATGTCTGTGTATATATGCATATATGTTTACACTCACCTGATTGAATGAGCATCGCCAAAAACTGTTTTTTTTTCGTGCAAGGCGACTACCGTCGCCTGTCGGCAATCTAATCGTAATGACAATACAAATAGACGCGCGCGCGACAAAGGCAACGACTCCTTTGCTTTGTGCTCTCTCTTTTCTCTCTTTACTTTTTTTCGTCTATTGAGATATCTTGCGACTCTACTCGCTTTTTGCAAGCATGGAGGCCATGGCCTTCGAGCTTCTTTCTTCTTCCCTTGCTTGCCTTGGTTGTAATTGCTTTCGCATCTTATGCTACTGCTTCTTACTTGCTCGTAAATACTAAAATGGTGACAAACACACGAAAAAAAAGCAACGTAAAGACACTCTGTAGATATTCACTGTTTTCTTTTTTATGCTCGCTCTCTACCTTTTCTTTCTCTCTCTCTCTTCTTTTTATACCTTCTTTTTTTTCGAAAAAAAAAACGTAAAAATATGAAAGTAAAAGAGAGATGAAAAATTCGGTACATGTCTGTCGATGATGACTGATCAAAAAGGTGCACACAAAACAAGAGAGTTGTACAAACTGATCTTTACATAAAAACATTCGACCAGCTGATCTTACGATATCCACTATCACTACTAAAAAACAGTAAACTATATGAAAATATAATGCGAAAAAAGAATGCTCTTAAAAGCAAATATGAGTGCATACACACGGACATCTTATGTTTATACCACCCTCTTACAGCATTTGCGCTCTTTTCGGTTTTTCTCTTCGTATTTTTTTTACATATGCATATTCGTGTGCACGACTTGTGTTAATGCAATCATTTCTCTCTGTTTCGTTTCTTTTTGCGTGCCTTTATGCTCTCCGCTTCTCTCACACTAACACACACGCACACACACACGCGCAAAGTCGATATGTGCATGTCTATGAGTGTCCCAATTTCGTTTTTTGTCGTCTCATTTCTTCGACTCGCTGCACACAACGATGGTGACACTCGAAATGAGGGACGAAATCTTACTAAAAATGAAGGAAGAATGTACATACATGCACGTAGTCATACACAGTCGTAGACAGAGAACCTTCGCGATTCTCTATGTTTTTCTCTTTGTGCAGCTTTTTATTCAAGGCCATCGTACAGATAGGAATCATTCGATCAATCGAATAGTTTGTATTCAAATATATTCCATAAGACAAGCAAGACATATGCAGTAAAAAAACACATGCAACAGACAGAAAAAGAATGGAGCAAGAAAGAAATTGTTGGCTAGAATCGATTTAGAAACTACCTTCTCAGCATTAGCATTGAAAAGTTTTCGAAGGAGTAAAAGATATTTCTAATCAACTGTCAATATTCGAAATAGATCAATTTGATGTTGATAATATTCTGATTGATAATTGCTGCAATCTTACTGCCATATTGTTGCCTATAGAATAAAGATCGTATCGATCAATCATCAAACAAAGAATATGGATACGAAGAAAGCGACAAATGCCGTCTTTTAGCATGAAACATTCATTGTTAATCAGAGAAGTGCCACTGATCATCTAAGTGATGATCGTACATTCAAGGTATATGATGCAATACGAGAGAAAAAGAGAAACAAACGCTAGCATAAAAGACACAAAAATGACATTTACAGTTCCATTAACGAGTGCATAGAACAGCCTTGTTACTTGTTCATCTCAGCATCTAACAACATTCATAGACAGCAGATACGGATAGTTGTGACATGCAGACATTTGATTTGTCGTAACGAGCTTTTTCTTTGACAAATGTCTATTTCCTTGCTGGATTCCTTCTTAATAGAATCGTTTGTCTATGTATCTATAAAGCATTGAGATACATATACACATCCGCACTTCATCTCATCAACGTAAACATCACTGTCAACTGTTAGAGAGAGTTGACGATGGGTATATACATATCAACATTGTGTTTTCTATTGCGCAGTTGTTAAGTAACAACGGCATTGTAAAATGATTGACAAAGTTAGACAAAAAATTACCAAGGAGAAAGCTTGCCTTCGCAGTACCGTGCCGAGTGATAATGTCGACCTATTTTTTACTAAGTACTATAATATGTCGAAAAATTCATAAGTTCTTTTGAATGCTAAAACAAGACGCGTATTTGATGCAATTTAACGGGTGGATGGTAATTGTTTCGTTATGCTATGATTTTACTCTCATAAATCGACGCGGGTATATGTCGATCTATGCACATCGATTCCATGCTGACCTATTCGCTATACGATAATAGAAAATCTTGTTTTTTACACAATACTTTTTGGTACTCAGGCAATGTATCAATACATCTATGCCGAAATAAAACAAAATATATATTCACTTCCCATTGAAATTGCATCTTGTCGAATCAATGAAAATCAATAATGTATCAGATAACCTCCAAATAGTTAAATCCATCAGTCAAATCATTCTAGATCGGTCCATTGAATCATCAAATTATTAAGACATGTTGTCGAATTTCAACGAAAGATGAGAAGATAAAAATCGATAACATGCATACATATACGGGTGTTATGGCGCAAAATTTGATTTGCATTTATTGTTATAGTACTTTTATCAAGTGAAAAATTCTTTAAATGAAAGATACAATATGACAGTGAATGATATTTTTGAACATTTATGCGTTTTACGGACAAATTTTCAATTCTTCAAACAAATGTCGTAGACGTTTGTATTGCCCGAAATACTCAAATCGTACAAGATTTGTTTTTTTTTGTTCATCGTTTTTACGAGAGCACACAAACCTTGGAAATTGAAATGTTCTTTTTTGTCATAAGTAAAATTCAGTTGCTCTTTGCATTCATTAATTTTCAAGTAGATGAACAAACAGAACAATCATACATATAGACAACGCTACTAGAATATTTTCAATCAATTTATTCCGTCAAACGTTGATCAGTTAAGATCATTTTGATATATTTGCACTCTTTCATTGTCTCGAAGCGATGGTCATTCGACTCTGTGCTTTACACCGTCGTTTTCAGTTTTGTTTTTCGAGAAAGATGATACGATAAATTGTTCATAACTGATATTCCTACGAAAGAAAACGGACTTACTCATGTGTTCTCATTCTCTTACGTTTCGTTGTACCTTTTTTGCTTTCCTATTCTTCCATGACAAAACGAACTAACTCTAACCTCTGACCCGTTCAATTCATTCGTCCGTTTCTTCCTTTGCATAGATTCGGTTGACAAAAACACGAGCGTTCATTCACATTCTGCCAATAGGAGAATTTCTCTTTCTACATTGACATACTCATTTCATTTAGGTGTACAAACACTCACACACACAAAGATTAACCATGATTCAAAGATTGTTACTCTTCTACTTAATATTTACCATCAAAATTTGTACAGCACGTCGACGATGTGTTAACAACGGTGTTCTATTCAACGAGAAGATTATACGTTCACCAATTGTTGTTTACGGTGAAGTCGTTGGCAAACGAGTTTATCTTGATTCCGATACTGAACTGCTTTTCAACGTTAGCTTTCGCGTCGATTGCATTCTCAAAGGACCAGATATTCAGAGTCCAATTGAAATAACCGATGCAGGTAAAAGACATTTACTTGTTCTGCATTGAATATCAGTTATACATCTCTGGCCGGTATTTATAGGTATAAAATCTGGTCATACTGCTTGCCAATGGCTTGATCCGGGATATTTGTACGTTGTTTTCCTTGAAAAATGGGGAGTGCATGCGAATGGCTATCGTCCATTAGACTTTCAAGAACGTCTCGTCGATGATGTAACTACAGATGAATTGCAGAAAACATGTGGATTAATGAAAATTCCACCCTTGTACTCCGCCACAGATCGTTGTCCTCAAGTTTCAAACAGCACATATTGCCCACGTATGCTTGATTGATTCTACTTTAAGTATAGCCTAATTTCTATTTTCAATTCTATTTAGTCGATGCATATGATAGAAGCGTCGCACCGGAAGAGCAACCGGCTCAAAATCGAAATCCGCAAGTGAAACAATCCTATTTTGATCACGGCAGTTTATTTCAACTTCAATCGAATATAACTGTGCCGCGAGAAGGCTCATTAATGGCTTTTTCAGGGGGCTTACACAACAATCATGCATGCTCACCCACAATCTCTGGAGTTTTATTCTTTATAATTCCATTAATCATGATAAACATTTTTTAAAAGTTTGAACATACTTTCCAGTTTTTCTCATTAGTTTTTTTTTGTTCCAAATCCTCCATACGAATAAAGATCAATATCCCTCACTTAGTTTGTTGGGTGACTGAAGCGGCCATGATTCACAAGGTTCAATTTCTTACGCGTCGAACTCATTCAACAAATTTTATTGAGTATGTTACTGTATGTATCAACAAATATGTTCTTTTTTTTCTTATGTTATTTGTAAATCGTAAACAATACACACACATTCAATGATGATATAAGAAAAGAAATGTTAGATGGCAATATGATCATGTGTGTTAACATTTGATTGAATCTAATCGAACAAACCGAAGCCCTAAATAGAAGGAAGAGGAGTAGTTATTTTCAGTAATCGAAAATGATGATTAGTCGTACCATATCTTCGCCTTCATCCGAATCGTCTTTCTTTTCTTCCTTTTTCGCGGGTGTCTTGCTTCCAGCAGCTTTCTTATCACCGTCAGCTGCGGTTGTTGCCGCTTGAGCAGGTGCGGCAGCTGCAGCTGGAGCGGCGGCTGAACCTGAACCGACATTCTTAATAAGATCTGTTACTTTAACACCTTCTAATGCACCAGCAAAGAGACCAGGCCAATACGGTTCAATTTCATAGTTGGCAGCTTTGAGAATGGCTGCAATCTTGTCACCTTTGATATCGACATTGTCATCAGCTAAGATAAGTGCTGCGGAGATACAGGCAAATTCATCGTTGCTCAAGGCCATTATTCCTTTAGTTATTGTTGTTGTTGATAACTACAAAGAAGAGTTTGATCTAGAAAAGAAAATATTCGCATTCACACATATTTATACATATATATATATATTATTCAAATCAATCGAAAAATCATTATTAAACAAGAATACGCAAAAAATATTTCGAAGATATTGCATGATTATACATAAAAATACTGTTCTAAATGTTTTCGTTTGTTTTTTTTTGTTAAAATGTTGTTTGAGAATTATTTTGATTATGTGTGCCAGACAGAGTGTAGGATGACGCACGAGATTTTGTTTGAGAAGATTCTCCATCTTGACGAAGTAGATTGGACTCGGCAGTAAGTTTACTTCGAAGATGAAGTAGGGTCGAATAGCGATTACTATTTTTATCCTAAAGAGAAAAACAAGTTTTTTGTCTTATGAACATTTATCGCAATGCACTCACTACTGTAGATTGATAATCAGGCATATGCTGACAATAATAATTTTTCCATAATTTGATTTGATTCAATGTCGAGTTGATTTGTAAGACTTGGCTCGAATTTGCATTATATAATGGATTCAAGTAGTTGTGACGTTCTTGTAGAAGGGGTGTCCATATCGANTTTTTATCCTAAAGAGAAAAACAAGTTTTTTGTCTTATGAACATTTATCGCAATGCACTCACTACTGTAGATTGATAATCAGGCATATGCTGACAATAATAATTTTTCCATAATTTGATTTGATTCAATGTCGAGTTGATTTGTAAGACTTGGCTCGAATTTGCATTATATAATGGATTCAAGTAGTTGTGACGTTCTTGTAGAAGGGGTGTCCATATCGACATGGTATATTCCGAGATTTTCATATCAGTACGTAATTTTTCGGAATTTAGTAGAAATGTACCATACTGGCAGGTATAGAGATGATCGGCAATTACTAATAGAAATTTTTCGTTAAATTCAAACGCAAATTCAAACTAAAGAAAAGAAAAACACAAATATTATTTGTTCATTTGTCATCTATACCTGTTGTAACAGTTGATATGTACAATCAAGGAATTGAAGGAATACCGGCGATTGTTCCGAATAATGCTTATCTGCATGACCAATTCTCTGGTATACATTAAAGAAAGAAATATCTTTACTAGATTTTATTTTGACTAACAACTTACCAGAAGGAATTTATGACCAAAACTAATCCATTCTTTTTCGATTAAGATTATGAAACCTTCGAGTGTTCGATAATATGAGTCAAGAATTAACATTGATAAGGACGTAAGCTAAGGATGGTAACAGTCAGTTGAATTAACTTAACAAATCTTTTTTCCTTTCTTACTTGTGCTGTTCGATCCCATCCATCCGAACAATGGACTAATACGGATCGTTTCTCATTGTCGACTAACGATACAATTTGACTCACAGAAGTTAAAATCGTCTTGAAGAAAACAACGATAAACAAAAGAGTAGTTCGAAAACATGTTATCATACTCGGATATGAAACAACCAATTGGAATTCGCCGAATCATTGAACCAGTTTTTATCATCTTCTGATCCGTATCGAATAGCTGAATGTAATTTATTCAGACTATGAATGAAAACTCCATCGTTTTTCTTTCATTCGAATATTGAATAAGTCCTTCCTACCTTTCTCTCATGACATGAATATTTTGAATGTTATGAAACTCTAATTCACACTCAGGATAATCTTCATATCCACCACCGTTCGCTTTATTTGCAATAGCATTGACTTTTGGACGAGCATCAAGAATGTACAATTTCGAACCTTGATTAACATTCGTATTGGCTATTTCTTGTAAATATTCGACATCGTCTTGACTTTTACGATTCAGCCCAGTTAACGGTTGACTCGCACGAGTAATTGTCACATAGGTATCACCGGAATACCAGCTAAGAACCTACGAACAATCGAGTTTAGAAGAAAATCAATGCGAAAAAGAGGGAACTCACTGGCAAACGATTTCGACTACGAAATGCAGCAACTTGTTGAAATCTTGAAGTATCAAAATTGGCCGGAAGAACAAGAACATCTGGATATGTATCACACAGAGAATAATCTTGATTGATTTCTGTATTTATTGTCCAATGTGCATCACCATATCGTCGAATACCCTAGAAACGAATTTTCTTCGTAGTACAACAACGGTAACAAATGAGATGGTTAATAATACCATTCTTGTATATTCTTGAACTTTATCGTATAAAGTCCAACCTTTATCGATCTTATTTGGACTAACTTTTTGTTTGTAATTCCATGCAAAGAAGGACTAAAGTACAGGATATTTCAAGAATCCTGTCGATATTTAGTTTGTCTTACGCTGAAGAAGTGTGATGGATTTGTAATATCTGGTTTGACAATCGAAAATGGAAATATCAAACGAGTTAATTGATCGTAGAGATTACGTCGATATTTTTGTTCTTTAGCAATACCAAAAAACAACCGTCGAACATCCTAAAATGAACTCAATCATGTTCGTTTTTCTTTCTCCCACTAGCAATCTATTTACTTTACAATCAATTTCAATGCCATATGCAGCACCATCATTTATTTGACTATACTTTTGTCCACCGATCTTTTCTATCTGACTTATCATTCCAATGGGTACATTGACAAGAACCTTGGAATACACAAATTAATATTCCGACGAAATCATTCGATATCTCACTTCAATAGAATCAGACGATTTCGTTACAAATAATAGACGATATTTTGTTACAATCAATTCACCATCGTATATCACTTTTCGCTTTTGACGATGATAAGTTAAATCTAATCAAGTGAGAATCTCTCAGATTTCACTCATCTAAATTCAGCGTTCTTTTACCTTCGCGGCACTTCACTTCGTCTTCACCTGGAAGAAAATCAACCGGCAATGACAAATCTTTCGTTGAACAAATCGTTGGTTGCAGTTCGGGAATCGACATTGTCTTCAGATAATTCGTCTCAGGAATCTGTCCTCGTACGATACCCTAAAAAGAACCGAAAAGTTCATTACTCAACATTTTCTCAGTTTCATTTCTATAATTGAATCATAGTTCAAAATTAGCAGAAGAATAATCAGCGTACAAATATGAGCAAAAGGGTTTTTTTGCTTTTGTGAAAACAAAAGTATACTAATCTAAGCAACACCTACAAAGGTTAGAGGTAATACATCGAGTACCTATAAAGAAGGATGAGTATGAAGATTAGAGATTCGAAATCGTGAGATGTTCTCCGTTCTACTTACAGCTATGGCTGATGAAGCATTCTGATATGGTGAAGCAACGTATTCGCTTGATGAAGACATCGTTGTACCATCATCTTTTGCACCAAGACTCGTTGGACCAGCTCCACGAGATGTAGGTTTGGAATGAACCACTTTCGAGACAGGATTCAACGATATATTATCGTGACTGTTTGATCGGATTAGTTTACTCATTTTCTCTCGAGAGGTATCGCGAGACTAGTCGCGATGCTGTTGTTTTTCTTCTTTTGTATATTGCAGAAAAAGATCGACGATATATTTAAGAATATAAGGTGAAAATAAATAGATGTAAAGTATGGAGAGTAAAATGATTGGAAATCTACGATGATTATTAAGAAGATTTGAGAACGATGATATGAATAATATCAAATGAATCAATCGAATACAAATGGTATGAAATTCAATGAAAGAGAGCAAATTCTTTATCGCACAGTTTCTCGAAAAATTTTATTTGTTTTAGAAAAGATGTCACTAATGGACAACAGTCAAGCGAAAACTTCGAGTTCTTCGATAGCGTGTTTATTTTGTGTTTGCTTGTTACCGAAATCTCATTTGGAACATTGGCCGTGGTTGCTGTCGCATATTGATGGGTGCGAAATGGAATGGTTGACGGCATCTATTGAACATCATGAAATTTCGAGGCATCATCATTCGAAATGTTGCTCGAGGTGAGAGTAAAACAGGTGCTGTTGTGTGATGCTGTTGCTGTTGTACACGTTCACGAGGTGTCCGACGAAAAGGGACTTTTTTCGTTGCCATCCGAGCAACATCATTATTCGATGCTGAACGGAAGATTTCGGTGACTGTTTGAAGATATTTGTAAGTATCATGAGCTGAAGACGATGATGATAGTGATGGCGAAGTTGATTGATGATGAAGATGCGGTAGAATATCATATCCAGCTTTAGTACGAGCATCATCAACTGCTTGAATGAAACTATCTGGTAGTTCATAGTGGAATTTACCATCATCTGGTAATTGCTGATGGGCATCGTTGTTGATTTTCGTAAATTTTAACGTTGAAGTTAATAAACGTTGAATAAGGTTATTTTTGGGCTCGTTACTTTTCTTCATCTTCTACTTCGTCGTTGTGATCAGTTTAGTCTTCTATTAAATAATCAGTGAAGCGCAAAAACGAGCTGATACATCATCGTATCGGATATGAACGATTTATTATATCATATGATAGACAGATGTTTGACGGGTATATCATTTGGTTACTTTAAAGAATCAAATATCACGTTGTTTTTCGAAATTTTCAATATTAAAAAGGATTGAAAAGTGAAATGATGAGATAAATAGTTATTCTATGATTGAGAAAGATTTTTCATTTGAAAAAAAGTAACGCTCCTGGGTGGGCTCGAACCACCAGCCTTCCGGTTAACAGCCGAACGCGCTAACCAATTGCGCCACAAGAGCTTGTTCAAAAGAGATCTCTTTCTATATATTAATTGCGCCGTCACTAACACTTTTCAAGGCAATATCAATCATAGACAAAGTCAATCTAAATTTTTGCGAAAAGTTGATTTCATTGTTACTTTTGTTTTTCGTTTATTAAAATATCTAACCGGATGAGAATATGAATATACGAATACAAAGAGTACACGAGCAAGAGGAAAGAATAAAATGAATAATGCAATGCACACACATAGATTTACGACAATCTATCACAGCTAAAAGAATATTCTTCGATTACGATGGATACACAGAACTAAGGCCAACACTGTTATTTAGAGATTCGCATTCGGTCATTGGAAATCAAAACAAGAGTAGAAGCGAAAAAATTACTGTTCAAAAGCAGAAAAAAAAGGAGGAAAAAAGTTACGCTCCTGGGTGGGCTCGAACCACCAGCCTTCCGGTTAACAGCCGAACGCGCTAACCAATTGCGCCACAAGAGCATGTACGTTTACGTTGTTGAATTAGTATTGTCTCTGGGTGATTGTACGATTTGGTCTTCGAAGGCATCAAGACCATCCATCGGTGGTTCAGTTTCTTCTTGAAGACGAGCAAACTTGCCGAAGCCACCCCGTAGCGTATGTTGAACACGATAGGGTACTTTTCGACGAACGAGTATGAGTAAAATAATAAATATTGAGCCAAAAAGAGCAGCGAATACTAGAACAAATCCAATCCAACGTGTTTTTGGTGTTTCCCGGGGTGTATCAGTTTGAGTTTTAATTGTTCCACTCGTCTAATAGAACATTAAAAAAAAAGAAAGTAAATCAATTATGTTTTAAATCTATTCAGAATAAACAGCTGTGACAGAAGAGAACAACTAACATAATTTCTTTTTCTTTCTCATTGTAAATGTAAAATGATACTTAGCAAAGATTAATGACCTACCTTTTTTGTTATGAACTTCGAATCACGACTTGCCGTTGTACATGTCGTCAGAAAATGAAGATATCGTGGTTCCTTTGGATATGTACAAATACCATCTTTGCACGACTCTCCTGATAGACATTGAGTATCATTAGAACATGACTCTCCTGTACCATTGTATGAACCATCAACAAGCAAATAAACATCAGTAGCATGAATTTTGCTGTCGAGTAAATCTTTCAAAAGTGCAGAAGTATTTGCATAATATTTTCGCTTAAAAGCAATATTATCACTATAGGGAACTCCATCAGATCCTTGTAATTTACCCATCTGTTGAACAATTGACTCCAGTAGTTTCGGATAAAAGCCTACTGGCTGATCTAGATGATAATTTCCATCGTGGGTGCCCCAATCAACCGGTCCAATTCCTCCGATTAACAATGTTTTTTTCTCCAACAGAATCTCTCGAAGAAAACCCGTTGTTTCATTACGGTTCGGTACTGGTAACTGAGAATCTTGTCGACATGTATAAGCACGAATTAGATTGGTTAGATTGTTTTGATTGAGTAATGTTTCATCGGAACCTATTCTTTGAACATCAGTAATAGCAGCATTGAGTGCGACGAACAGATCACTGCTTGATTGATTTTTAAGACCATAGACTGCTGTTCGTTCGTGATAACTCGGTGCAAGAAGCATCGCTTGCGGAGAAACAATCAACGAAGAGAAAACATGATAACGAGGCTCAAGGTCTTCAGCTAAGCGACCTGTTGTTATGCCAGCTAGAAATAGAACAAACGAGGAAGTTTTAGACTACAGTATCGGCATATCTTACCGATTACTACATCTTTGTCGATTGCATCTAATAATTCGGTTTTATTCTGGAAAAAGATTCTTTTGATATTTTGAGGGAAGTATCGTTTGACAACATCGTAATTAGATTGACTCATAAATCCAACTGGATAGTCAATCGATTGATTTTGTTTCACTAAGCTGAGAAATCCTTCAAGGTTTGTAATATCACATTGGATAACTGTCGGAATAGCGAATCCGATCAGCAAAATAAAGTAAAACTTGAGCATTTTGAAATCGATCTGAAATGGAAAAGAACAACAATGAGAGAAATAAATAGAAGATCTTCATAACCAGAACTTTGTCTTTCTTCGAATGAAACGAAAGAACAAGGAAGCGAAACAAAGAATTACATATACGAAACAACAATGTTTGATATTGAATGACAATAAATAAAAGGTTTTCGACGACAAACAAAAATATTATACTTGGCTTTTCTCAGTAAGATTGCGAATGAGATTATCGAAGGAGAGAAACAAGAGAAAACATCGAGATATTCCTATCTCGATATGATTCCGACGAATAGGATGAAGAGTAAAACAGATACAACAGTACCAATCAGTATTAATTTACATTTCAGACCGCGTCGTTTATGTTCAACTGCTTTAGCTAAATGTTTATTTCCTTGCTCGAGTTGCACAACAGTGTTTTCGATATTGTATTCAATTTGATCGAGAATTGTCCCCTAAAAAAAAGCAGAAATATCAAGTCGGATTGAAAGAACATGTAAAAAGAACTATGACAAACTTGATTGGAAATGAGTGCTGCAACATCACGAAAGATTTCATTGACATCTTCAATAGATCTCAGTACTTCACGTATTTCTTTATCACGTTTCTCTAGGAGTTCAACGTTTTGAGAAGTTAATTGTAGTTGATCTTCGGAAGTCAACTAAAATTTAGAAGATCGATATCTGAAAAGAAGACATATCAGATCGATACATACCGATATCTGATCAAAGTTTTTATCCAGATCATTCTGATCACCGAACGGATTGGAATTCATATCGATTTCAAGATCGGGCATAATACGATTGAAATTTTCTTTTCGTGATTTCAACTCTAAATGAATCGAGAATTATCCACAACGAGCGCTCTGATTTGACTGAAAGACCTACTATGAAGGTAAGTGGACTGACATTTACGAAATTTGATCGTTAAATCTTGTAGAGCACTTGCTGTGGCTTGTACAACATTCGAAGATAAACGTTTATCGTACGTATTCGCATGAGATTTGTTTGCGTATACTGATAGTTGCTGGACAGATGTATGACATCCATTTAACATCTAATCAATGGAAAATATATGTAGACTTAGTCTTGAGAGAGTCAAACTTTCAACTTACTGCAGTAATATCTTTGGTAATGGATTCTATTTCCTTTTCTTCACTTGAGTTTTCATCAAAATCAGGTCTGGTCAAATGTTTGTCATGCAACTGTTGAAGTTTTTTCACTAGAAGATCAACAGTATTTTCATTGGTTGGTCTTAAACGTTAATACATACTCCGACTTCGAACTTGATCGAATTGTAATTGTATTCGACGTTGCGAGTCCATCCTAAATCATGACAAAACGATCCGTGAGCAAAATTCAAGGCATGTATGAAAAAGCGAAATCGGTACCATGATGGTGCGCTGCCCGTTTCGAATTGCACAACTTCATCATCCTCATTTTGAATCAATGCCGTTCGATCATCATTCGACTAGATAAATGAGTACCAAACAATCAGACGTTAATCTCCTTTTTTTTTATAGATAACGAAACATACTTTATCGTCGAGATGAAAATTTCTATCACGCACAGCACGATTTCGAAATTCCAGAAAATTCGAAGTTAAATTACGACTTGTCATTACAGATCGGTTCTGAAAAACATCATCTAGAAAAAGAATTCATATCATTAATTGTCATCAATAACATATATTAACGAGAAAGTAAAAGTCACATTCACATTCCGATACATTGCATATGGGTAATACAATTATTGTCCATATTGGTATGTACGCCTTCTAAAAATAAAAATAAAAACAGAGAGGAATGTACAAAAACGATCGAGGAAAGACTTATATAAACAAAAGCTTCTTTTTCTTATTCGAAACCAGGACACTTTCCAGATAATCTCCAGTAAATGCCACATAAGACACACAATTGATCTAACGAATATTTCGTCCATTTTCTATTAGTATGAGTAGGCGTCTAAATAGGCCCTTACGTTTTCATAATAGCAAGAAAAAATACAACGTGTTTGATCGGTCATGTCTATTTCAATAAGAAATGAATGCAAAATTGACAAAGACAGGTAATTGCAGAGAGTAAAAAGAAACGAGTCAATGGAAAACTATTGACTTTTCTCTTATTGCATATCATGATTCATACTAAACACGTCGCAAATTATACTTCGTGCTTGAAAAACAGTACATTTCTTTCTTATCACTGATTGACAATGCAACGTGATGAAATTGCTGAGCTTCGAGGTCGTACGTACTTGGGTTTTTTTCGAAGTAATGCTAAAGAATAGATAACATATCTAGGTACAGGATTCGATCGGTTGATTAGTAAAGCATCGGCATCCGTCTGAGATATGAAAGCAGATCTGTATTTCTAATCTAAAGTACAAACAAAAATCGACTGTATTGTTTGGTTTGGTCAGATCAATTGAATTATTGAGAAAAAATAAACAATAGAAAGAACAGAAAAAGAAATTCCATGTTGAATTGATTATGATGCTATATAAAAGCGTTAGAAGAAGAAGAAGAAGAATTGTTAAAAAAGGCTTTTAGCAAGAATTTATTTTTTGATTAGTGAATTTATGTTAGGATCACTATGGAATTTTTGTGTACCGAGAAGATGTGAAAGCAATGGCGTTTCATTCGTTCTAGTCATTCGTGGCGATTTTACTTTGCCAGATTTGTGACGTGCATTGGCATGGCAAGTTAAAGAATTTGACGTATTAGATGACAATCTTGGAGAGTTAGTTTTGAAGTGTTGTTTGTTAGATGATGAATTCATACAAGTCGTACTTGCTGATTTGGAAATATCGCTATCTGATGAAGAATCCGAGAGATCGATTTTAACAAATTCGTTTAGATCTGAAATAGTGAACTGACATATGTAAAGGGAATGAGTTGAATACGAAAGAAGTTTACCAAGAGTAGGTAATTCGATGAATTCATCTGGCTTTTCAGCACCGACACCTGGTTCACGTGGAGGAAGTTTTATTGGAGTTTGATTTTGACGTTGGATATGAATCTAAATAATATTTAATTCGTTATAAATGTTATCAAACGAATCAATCGATTCTACCTCTTCGGAGATTTGTTCAAGATTATTCAATGCTGTTCGATACGCTTTCTTCGCTTGACTAATTGCTTTTTGTATGTCTTCTATCTGTAGTTTTTGAGTCTACATAAAATTATATCTTGTTCAACAATCTATAATTATCTTTTTCTTTACCTTCAATTCATGCTCTGCTTTGACTTTTGCATCGAAATATGGTCTAGAATGTACAAACAACAATACCATTCCTGTAGATATTCGTTTTTCTGACTTTGATTTAAGAATTGTTTTTGTTAACGATCGAGAAAGCGATATTCTCTGTTGTTCATATTCTTGATAGAGTTTAGATTTCTCTGCATGTATTCGTTCGCAACGAATCTTATCTTGTTCAGCTTGCATCACCTGAAGATAAGAACGAACATCATTCAAGATACATATTGAAAATGGAATAGTTTACTTGTCGAGTGATGTGATTAAGATATTCCTGTCGTGTAATGGAATCCTCTTGAGGTAGTTTACTTTCTGTGAGAATCAAATTTTCATTCATTGTACAATGGAATTCGACGGAATTTTGGTACTCTTGAGCAGCTTTTTGAGTCTCGATCTGAGCCTAGAAAATCATGTACAACATTCAATTGTGTACCGATTAAAACCTTTCAACTAACTTCCTGTGCCTGTTTACAAACATCATAGTATGGTCGTGCACGTTCTACACAACGACCAAGCGCTTTCGCTAGATTAGCTAGACGCTGTTTACAATGAGTAAAGGTAATTTGAAACAGTTTTTGAGCATTCTATAGAGAGAGATTGCAAGTTTTAGATACGTTCGATATCTGTGATCATACTTCAAATTGAGTTTCGAGGTTATTTATCTCACTTGTTGCGGCATTAGCACGTTCTAATTCGATCTAATAAAAAATTTATGGAAATGAAGTGATTATCATTTCGAAAGCTCATACCTGAATTCGAGGATCAAGTGGATCATCATTTTGCTCATGATCGATTATTTTTGACGAATCCGACATACATGAGGGGTTAAGACTGATCTAAATTCTGTACATATGGATATCTAAAAAAAAAAGAAAAGGTGGTACATCATAACGGATTGCTATTTTCGAAAAGAAAACGACAAGAGAGAAAAAGAGAGAGACTATGCTAAAGAAATAGAAAGTTGGTCAGTTTTAAGCAATAGGCCATTTCCATTGATTTGGTGGCGCTTGACCGATCAATGGTCCCCAAACGTTGTTTAAAGCCATTCGACGAACACACATGAGTTCATTTTCAGCCTAGAAAATAGTTCGATTTAATCTTTCATTCAGAGAAAAAGTCCATTACTTGTACAATGACTTCTTCGATTTGACCGCAATTGATTTTGCGTTCAAGACGAGCAATATTTGGTTCCTAAATTTGATATCAATAAATCATCTATACGAATTCTTCAGTTTTGTGTTACATACATTTTCGACATGGGCAAGACGCGAGTTAATTGTATCTTCAGTATATTTTCGGTACACTGATGTTTCGGGAATTTTTTTAAGATCACGTAAGATTTTTCCGTAGAGAAGTTTTAATGCCTATCAAAAAAGAATCTTAACTTAAAATAAATGGCTAAAGAAGATTTTCTATACATAATGGGGATCTTTAGAGACAGCCAGTCCGGTAATGTTGGTCGTCTATAAAATAAAAGAAAATTCCAGTAAATAGAATAGAATTGTCACGAATCTATTTACCGCTTTGAGGATCTTAGACGCCATGGTAGATAAAAACTAATCTGCAAGAACAAAAAAAAAACTGGATAAGACATAAACGAATGATGTGTATAGATTTCGGTACATTAAAGATCGTTTGAATTTGAATCTGCTATTGATAGTCCACAGTCATAAGTCACATACATTTTTTAGAGACAAATAAGACAATATGGCACATAGATGGCGCCGTTTTGTTTACTAAGCAAATATATATAATTTTACTCGAATAGATGTCGTTATTCTCCAATCCAACTTTATCATTATTCACCGATTAATACCTAGACAAGAACGATCCGATTTCTATATTAAAATATACAAGACTCAATAGATTCTTGACTCGTAGATACTTTTTTTCAGCATGTACGACCTACCGGGACGTTTGGCTTGTGTACACAAGTCTTCTACGTTTCTTACGACTTGTTCAATCAAAATATTGATTTCCTTTCGCCGTGTAGAACCTGTCGTAATACACAACGAATATCAAAGGCTATCTGTCATAATGGTAGTGAACTGGTTCTCACGATCGATGTCGTAACATATGACTAAACACAACATAATAGTCAACTTGATTAAAATGGATCTATGTCATGGAACAACTAACTGCCATAGATATTCTCGTTGATAGCATTTTAAAATACTATGAAATACATAAGTAACGAGATATCGTCTTTGAATGAAATACGGGGAATTTGTTCGCAACATGTTCTCTCTCGTTATCAAGTCGTGCACACAGCGCACTCTATGGAAGTTTTATCATTATAGTTGTAATATTTGTACTATTAAATAACTATTCGATTGATTGAAGAATAGTTTGTTTAATTTAGTTCGATATTTAATTCAAACTATGACACAACTGATTATGACGGACGTTCCTAAGCATCAACATGTCCTAATGGCCATTATATGTATGTCGTTTTTTACAATACAAAATAAAGAAACACAAGGCTTGTTTTCAACAAATACTAGATGTCGTCATCCAAAGGTAAAAGCGGTCGTTCATCATCTCAAAATATCGATACAGTGGGTGTACGAAAAATCCATAGTCGTCACACATGGGTAATAAGAATGAAATAATTTACGAAAAAAAAAATTTTCTGTCGGTGTATAATTGATTGTTTAGAAATTAGAAAGTATCAGTCATGGTAAGGGCCAACCTGTATCGCGCAAAGCTATTCAACATGTTCAAGATGAAGTGGCTAAAAGAAAAGATAAATTTCATTGTAAGTAAACGTTTCATTCAGAACCGCAATCGAACATTTTGTCCTTAGTCTCAAAACAAGAAATCGAATCCCTTTGTACAATATTTCGTCACTTGACAAAAGGTGGTGATAAAGGTAAAATACTTTATGATTAAATTGTAAGTTTTACACATAATCTTTTTCTTTTCAGATAAAATTGATCGACCTCGATTCCGAGATGTTCTACACAATACATTTGATATGACGGATGATATTCTTATGGACCGAGGTAAGCCATTCGAATGACTTCGAACATGTACGAAGATTTGTCTTTCAAACTAGTTTTCAAAGCGTTCGATCGCGATAACGATGGCCAAGTCAGTATGCTCGAATGGGTTGTCGGTTTGAATACATATTTACGCGGAACATTGGATGAAAAAATAGCCTGTAAGTAATTGAAAGAAAAATGAAAAGAGTTTTTGATTTTCTTTTCAAATTGTCGATTAGTCGCATTCAATTGTTATTCGCTCAAAGGCGAAAAACATATAACCCGTGAAGAAATTTTTCAACTACTCAAAAGTAGTGTCTTGAAAGTATGTCGACATTGTTTATTTGTTTTTCATACGAGACAAAAATCGTGCACGTGATCTTTGTAGCAAGCTGGTGATGAAGATCTTGATGAAAGTATCAAAGAATTAGTTGAAATAACATTGAAAAAGATGGACAAAGACCATGACAATCGTTTGGGTGATAATGATTTTTCTCAATCGGTTCGAGAAGATCCTCTTCTTCTCTCTTGTTTCGGTCAAGTGTTTGCTAACGCGAGAGTAAGTACTCCTTCTCAAGCAAGTCGTTCCTCGATAGTTAAAAGTCTTCTTTATTCAGATAGTAGAAGCGTTTCTACATCTATTCTCAGAAAACACTCATGTAAAATCATTTTTTTCGTAGAATAGAATGAAATGTTAGAGACAAACTTCACGAATGTAGTTTGCATGATTTCACGAGCCAGCTATTTGATCAAATGCTATATATTTGCTTGATATTGATTTAGAGAAAAGCGGAATTCGAACGAATAGTTGAACATATGTCAGAAGAAGTGGTCTTTGGTCAACAATTCACACAAGAACAATTAGCAGCCGTTTTTAATTACTAAGTGGACTTTGAAATGATTTCTTTTCTTTTTTAAGTACTATTCTATCCACTTCTACTATATTTCCAATAAATTATAATAACTAAATACTCGGTTTTACAGGAAAAAAGAATGTATCGTCTGACGTGTGTGTGTGTGTGTTAACAACCGAAAAAGAACTGATTGCTTACTCAATTTAACCAATAGAAATGACAAACATCCATGCGTGTTGTGTAACATACATATTCTAGGCCACATCTGCTTTGATCTCGAATTGCATGGCGGATTTTTGATGATTTCCATATATTAATATGGATATTTTGATATACAATGCTACAGTCTGATTTTACAGTTTTTCAACGTTATAATAATTTGATTTCATTCGATTTCGTCAACTTCCATCATGTTTAACAATAAATATAGTAATGTTTCTATTGTTTCAAGCAAAAGAAACAAACTTTTCGATTGATTATTTAGATGTTCCACTGTTGCTATGTGTGTTTTTCAAGTAATCATCTTCATTGGTTCTCTTTTTCATGCTCTCCTTTTGTTCACTTAGTATTCTTCAACCGGCCTCATGCCAAGACGATAGAATTGCAGAATTAGAAAAACGTATTACAGATTTAGAATCTCGGTAAACGCTCTATAGTTGAAAGCATCTTGTTTTATGATTTGTCAGTAATATTTAGACAGCAACAATATCCGGAAGTGACGTTTCTCAGTTACAAAGATCGCAGACGTATTCTCGTAAGTATTCAACTCATTTTACTTATATAATCAACAATCTTTATTTTGAATAGGTAACTGGTGGAGCTGGGTATTTATTACAGTTGATTTGACGATATTCATCGACAACCTTCTCTTTGAAAACTAGTTTCGTAGGTTCGCATCTTGTCGATCGGTTAATGCTTGCTGGCCATGAAGTAATTGTCGCTGATAATTTTTTCACCGGTCGAAAACGTAACATTGAACATTGGATCGGTCACGAAAACTTCGAATTAATCAATCATGATATCGTCAATCCACTTTATATCGAAGGTAAGTCGAACATAAGAAGTCTTTCTAGTATGTGAACGTGTTCCTATTCTAGTTGATCAAATCTATCATTTGGCTTCGCCAGCTTCTCCACCACATTACATGTATAATCCTGTGAAAACAATCAAAGTTAATTCAATTGGTACTATTAATATGTTAGGTATATACAACCGACAAAAGCACTCGTTCGCACTTTGTAATGCATCTTGATGTTTTTCTTAGGTTTAGCACGACGTGTTCGTGCTCGGTTATTATTTGCATCCACAAGCGAAGTTTACGGAGATCCGGAAGTTCATCCACAAAAGGAAACTTATTTCGGCAATGTCAATCCATTTGGACCAAGGTCATGTTATGATGAATCCAAACGCGTTGCTGAAGCCATGTGCTATGCCTATGCACAACAGGTTATTTGAAAGCTTCAGACTTTTCTCCTTTTCTCTTTGACCTTGTCACTTTGTTTGATTATCCGTCTAGGAAGGCATTAGCATTCGTATTGCTCGCATCTTCAATACGTATGGTCCACGAATGCACATGAACGACGGACGTGTCGTTAGTAATTTTATTTTGCAAGCACTACAGAATGAACCTATTACGGTATGATATGACTTTTGATGCCATTTGATATGAATTAACCTTGTCTTTTTTTGTCCATATGACATAGATTTACGGTAGTGGTAAACAAACACGTTCATTTCAATACGTTAATGATCTTGTCGATGGTCTAATTGCTTTGATGAATAGTAATTACTCTATGCCGATGAACATTGGAAATCCAGATGAATATACGATTGAACAATTCGCTTTCAAAATAAGGAATCTCGTCGGTAGGTAAAAATTGAATATTGAAGAAGGAGGGAAAACCAAGTCATCTTAGGATCTCAAGCATCAATTGTCTACAAAGATCCAGTTGTTGATGATCCGAAACAACGACGACCTGATATCACCTTAGCACAAACATGGTTGAACTGGTCGCCGAAAGTAGGTTACATAATCCAGCATTGGTAAAAAGAAAATTTGATATGAGAATATTTTCAGATCTCGTTAAATGATGGTCTCAATCGAACGATTGCTTACTTTCGTAATGAACTCCTTGTCAGACATCATAGTGAACGTAATGTGTTCTTTCCGGATGAATGGATATATTCATCAAATGGAAACACAATGCAAACAACTGACAAAAACGAACTCTAACCGAACTTTCACTGTGTACACTGTGATCATTTACTTTTTTTTTCGATGAAGAAAATAAAAATGCACAAATTTAACGTTGAACACTTTCCATAATCAAAAGAACAAACATTTCTGTTCTAGTTTGATAAGATCAATGGCAACACCGGTAAATGTCATTGTTCAATACATTTTACTACGACGGGATTTGAAAAAAATGAAAAACTACAACGATGGTGCCATTATTGCTCAAGCATGTCACGCTTCAAGTGCTATTCTACATAAGACATCCAATGACGAGCTGACAAAAAGTTATCTCAGTGATTTAGATCGAATGCATAAGATTATCTTAAGCATTGAAGGTGGCGAAACTGAAATAAACGAAATAAGTGACATACTTAAACAAAATTCCATTGTACATTACCTCTGGATTGAACAACCGGAAAATATTCCAACAGCCATTGCTGTTAAACCACATTATAAAAAGGACATTGAACATTTCTTTTCGAAATACAAACTTTATCGTTGAATGTTAAATAAAAAGAAACTCGGTTTATGTTTCTAGATGAAAAGTACTTTTGTAATTATGATTGCCACTGATTTATAGCAATTATCGACTAATTGTAACACGTTACTGAAACATTATATGGAAGAGAATTAATATGTATGGAATGATACTTTCTTTATCATTAGAGAGATGACTATTTTGCTCGTAATCGAATCTACTATGAGGAACCGAATGTCGATTCGAGACTGATGATCGTTTATTCCGAGATAACGAGATGAGTTAAATGATTAATCTGATTTCTGTAATTCTTTGTTTATTATTTTTGCAATGAAGAATAATTAATTATGTTGTAGATTTATCTTTCAGCAGCATTTCGTCGATGAGTATCGTATGAGAAGGTTATTGATTGTCTCACGTTTTTTTATTACTATCAAGTGATATATACATAATAAATGTTTCATGGACATGACCTCTCGCGTATTATTTCTTCTATATACTGATAAAGTACTCGTTGGAAATCAATAACTCTATGATGATTTACGACTAATCTTGATAGGGAATGTCGATGTGTATATATGCATATGCATGCGCCCTCCTTATATAAAGTAATTGCAAAGAATAGGCAGAAAGACGATCAATCGTGCCAAAGAAAAACGATGACAAATCGCTCGGCGGGTCAGATGTTGACATTTGCCCTGTATAAATTATAAAGAGTATAGTATGTACTGTTGTATACTAAAGATCATATTTTACCACCTAATTAACTTGATTACGACAGGAATATGTGCAAATAAATTGAGTGACAATGCCGATATATACACAAGAGAATATTGTGTAATCGACAATGTTGAGAAAAGGAATTCTCTCGCCTTTGCTTCTACCTTCTCTATGATTCGATGTTGCGTCGTTGAACAAACATTCAAATTCATTTATTTCTACCCCATATAAACGTGTACTAGACGACTTGTTTCGTTGAATCAATTAACCCATGTAATTCGGTCATAAGGGATTTCTTTCTTGTTACAACTACTGCAGTTGTTGTAGATATTCATTTGTTTCTCTCTTTCTCTCTCTGTCTGTCTCGCGAAGCAATAGAAAGAAAAGTGTTTCATTGTCCAACAAACATAACTGATCGATTTGATCTATGGAAGGATAGAAACTATCGAAATGATATGTACAGATTCTTTCTAGGATATTCTCTCGAATGAAATCTGATAGATATAGGAAATTTAGAACATTTGTGTCAGATTTCTGCGCCTGTTACCTGTTCCGTATGTATTTCTTTCTCGTCGATATGTTCTCATTGTATATATATATATTCTTTTCTCTTTCTCTCTTTTCTTTTCTTTTATTTCAGATATCAATGTTTAATCTTCTTTCTTGTACTCGATGAGGAGTCATTGGCATCTGTTCTCTCATAAATCATCGGAGACCGACGGCAAAGTTACGATGATGATGATGACAAGGCCATAGAGACATATCTGCCAACAACCATCACTTCAAGCTTAAAGTAATATATATACACACACATATACGTATACATATATATTGCATATCAACAGTCAAGGTAATTGAACGAGTACCAGTGGGTATATCAGGAAGCAAATCAATTTTGATCACTCCATCTACACACATATAATCTATCCATTGACAGTTCTTCTTTCTTTCTCTTTTGAATTCTTGTGCATATATTTTGATGTAGAGAATACTGCATTTGTTTCGTTTAGAAAGAAGAAACAAAGACATATGCCACGAAAGCATCGAACGTCGTCAACAAATGGTCATTCGAATACAACAACAAAGAAACTGAAAGATAAACCAACATATAAAATTATCGTCCTAGGAACTGGCGGAGTTGGCAAAGTAAGATTTTCTTTTTTGATATTATCATCCTTCGTCAGCACCAGATCATATTACTCATAGTCAATCTATTGTTTCAATACTTGTATGAACGCAAACGCGTGTGATATAATCAATAATTTGTAAAATCATGCTGTTTTCACCACAGCATCTGACATTTTCTACTTGTCAGGAATGAACTTTTCTAAATATAATGATTAGAAACAACCGTCCATCTGTCAGTTTCTCTCGTCTATTTCAGTCAGCAATTACAATTCAATTTGTGAAATCGTTCTTCTTCTCGGACTACGACCCAACAATCGAAGATTCATATGTGAAACAATGCTTAATTGATAATCAAATCGCTCAATTAGAAATTCTTGACTCGGCTGGCCAGGAAGAATTCAAACCTATGCGTGATCAATATGTTCGTGTTGGTGAAGGTTTCCTTTTAGTTTTCTCTTTAACAGATCGTCGTTCACTTGACGAATGTTACAAATTGCATCGTGATATTCTCCGTATTAAAGATACCGACCATGTTCCCATGTTATTAGTTGGAAATAAATTAGATATACGTCAACATGGTATGGATGGTCATGCACGTTCTGCAGCTGCTTCGATGCGTATTCCATATTTTGAAACTTCAGCTCGTACACGGCACAATATCGATGAAGTCTTTATTGAATTAGTACGATTAATTAGAAAGAATAAATGTCAATATCAAACGAATACAAATTTCTCCTTATCAAAACAAAAGAAGCAACAAAAGAATAGTGCTTGTTGTTCTTGTTGTATTTTGTAATCTTTTCATAGTTATACACATATTTGTACGAGAATGTTTCATTCTGATTAGCATTACTATTACTATTATTATAGCTTTATGATATTTTTTCTGTCTTTTGTTTGTTTGGTCAGATTGAAAGAGAAAACGAGGTGCTCATATGTTTTATTGTTTTCTTGTATTGACAATCTTGTGTTTTGTTTAATTAATAATATAAAGGAGAAATAGATATATCTAGAACTAGCCGAGAATATGACGAATGGATGAACAAAGAAGATTTTGTTTTAGACATACGAAATGGCTGCAAGTCGTCGTGGTGAACGCGTAGCAAAAGTGATCGTTCAAACAGTCAAACAAAAATCTCCGGTTAAAAAGGAAGCCATCGTCATTCAGCCGTGTGACGAAAAACTTTCTAACTTACGTAATGCGGCAAATCTTCTATGTTCTACGGGCATGAAAATCGGCTATCCATGTTTATGTACAAGCCTTTGTACACCTAGTCATATCTTTCGTCTAGCAAATTATACGAACGAAAAATGTCTCGAAGTGACTGGTCAAAACTTAACTTGTCTTCAAAAGATTCTCGAATACAATGTTCAACATGGATTCTACTTCTTTCGCATCTCATCACAAACAGTTCCATTTGCGAGCCATGAAGTGTGCACAGTTGATTGGCGAAAACATTTTTCAGCTGTATTGAAACAAATGGGACAATATATAAAAGACAATGACTGTCGTATCAGTATGCATCCTGATCAATTCTGCTTGATTAATGCAAAAGATGACAATATTATCAATCGAAGTGTTGCAGAATTAGATTATCATTGCCAATTATTGGACGATATGGAATTAGATGCCAGCGCAAAGATACAAATCCATGTTGGAGGTGTCTATGGCGATAAACAGGTCAGTTTCATTCACGAATAGCTTATGTATTGCAAAAAATGCTCCTCTTAGGCAGCAATGGACCGCTTTATTGAACATTACAAGACGAAACTGAGTGATGCAGTTCGTCGTCGTCTCGTTATTGAAAATGATGATCGATTATTTTCTGTCAAAGATTGTCTTTACATTCACGAACATACACGTATCCCGATTTTATTTGATAATCTTCATCATGCTTGTTTGAATAACGGTGAGCCGATGATCGAAGCAATGAAACAATGTTTTGCTACTTGGCCTGATAGTCAACGACCGCTGATCGACTACGCTACTCAACAAGAAGGCAAACGCGTCGGAGCTCATGCTGATCATATTGTCGAAACACATTTTCAATTATTCGCACGTGAAACACGAGATCTTCATTTTGATATTATGTTAGAAATTAAAGATAAAGAACAGAGTGCAATTATAGCGTTGCCTTATGCTGCTCGAGAACGCGTTCGAAGTCAAACAATTGATATCGATCCTGGACACTATCGTTACATTTATGAAAATGCTCAACGTGTACAAAACGAAGCTCATGAACGAAAACAAATTCGAGCTGAAAAAAGAAAATTGAAGAAAAAACTGGACGAAGATGAAGAAGTAAACTACAAACCGAAGTCATCTAAGAAAGTCAAACATAAGAAAGCTGAATAGAGCTTTACTTTCTCATAATATCTTTTGTTTTCTCTATATGTATTTACAAAATTTCGTGAATGAAACTATCATTTTCATGTATATGTTATTCCCGCTCAGATAAATAATGTTATATTTGTAATAAAACTTAATGACGGCATATCAATGACATGATTAAATACTACGTCACGTCCGATAGCCTACAGTAGAAATGTACCGATAAACTAGTTCGACAATGAGGCTACGATAGATATATTATCTGTCGCGTGTTCTTACAAGTTTCATGATACAAAGGAAAATATAATCTTTTGCATGTTTTGCTTTTTCATCGTGCTGGAACTTGATGGACTCAAGGGTGTGTCGACCGACTTGGCGCGATTGCAAGTGAATTGTGAAAGGAGTGCAAAGTCTTTCGAATATGACTCTATGTGAACACAAAGAGATTAACTTAAATTGTTCGTTATTTTCTCTCAAAAACATAGTCAATTTAATCAGATGAAAAACTTGATGAATTATTTATTTCTCGGAAAATAACAAAGCAATGTTTTTGAGATTGTCAGCTGTTTACAACTGTTTGAAAAGATTATTCGCATTATCCCATTTAACATGATTCATTTTTAGTAAATTCACATCACAATGAATAGTTTTCGTTTCTGTCTACAAGATCTTTTGCTTCAGAGCATTATTCAATTGTCAGGATCGAACAGATAAGGATTGATAGATCTCGGCGAACTAGCTTGAAAGTACGACTATGATGAATATATTATTCATTGTATGTCTTTTGAGACTTATTGTAATAGTGATCATTAACTTTTGTATGACATACTCTTTCATCTTGTTGTGCTGTCTAAAAATCCATCGATTTAACCTTTCCCTTTCTCGTTGACTCTTACTGCAATTAATGCATCGGTAGAGTTTTCTTTTTATCCTAGGACAGATATAGTTTACCATTCGATCGATAGAGTCGTCGTGTTTCTTGTTCCTCTCGTCTCATTTCTCATTAATGTTCAAGCAATTTTCCTCAATCGCATCTAATCTACCTTTCGTGTCTTCTTCTTGCATTCGACTTCTCAATGCAATCATCATTGTCATCATCATTTTTATATGAAAGTTAGCCCTTATGGGTGTGTGGGCATATGTTGATAGCGTGTTCGATTCTTCTGGCAGGATGTCACCTGCCGGGCCTGTATATTTAAGAAAATTGACAATATAGTACCGTAGAGAAGAGAGAAAAATGAGACGAGAGTATCTACCTGATTTATTGATGTTGAAACGATCATGGTACTGATGACATTTTTTCCTTTTCTCTTCATTTCGATACATTAACATTGAGCATTCATGAAACTATTGACAAGCGAACCGAATAAGGAAGAAGAAGAAAAGAAGGGAGGAGCAGACGTACACATACACGCATAAAACTGATCATAAATCAGGTGCATACTCTCTCAATAAGTCGCCCCCGAGGAAGGAGAAAGACGATGACGGACTGGAAAAGAATTATTATGATCTCAACGACAGAATTGATTAGATCAGTAAGGTAAGATCGTCGTCGTCGTTTTGCTTTCACCTTGAGCGCACCAACGCACGCATGTATTCTCGTACAAGAAAAAAAAAAGCCCGGGCGATTAACTGCGTATCAATACATTTTTTCTTCTTCTCCGCTTATATTCCGTAGTTTGATCATTCTCCATGATCGATTGCATGCAACAAAACTTTACAAGCAGAAGGAGTTGATATCAGTTAGATTAATTGAAAAATTGGAACAGTACCGAATACGCGCATAGTTACGAATGTTCGCACTATCGACAGTACATTTTCCTTTCTACTCGCAACTATTCTTATGTTCCTTTCTTTGTCGACGTGTGTATGTCGAGCTGGCTGGCAATCGATCATAAACAGCCATTTCCAATAAAGTCGTCACTGCATGTGTATATGTGCGCACATGCTTGCGCGATCACTCGCCAAGCCGTGACTTTGTCGTTGAGTCGATAACAACATGATCGGAACAAACATTCGAAGCACAAAAAAAAAAATGCAGGATAAAAAGAACGTGAGAGTGAAAGAGAAATTTTACTACCATCGTTTATCAGTTTGCCCATTTACTTGCTTGGTCGTACACAGACAAAGACAAGTAAAACAATCAGCAACGATATATATTTTTTGGCAGATGCAGGTGAATGCATACAGCACCTCGGCGCACAGTCAAACGCACGCACTCACACACACACACACACGCTTTAGATTGATGATTACTACCTCGAATAAGTTATTGAACATATCATATTATGAACTTAAATATGATATTTACCTTATTTCTCGTTTTTTCTTCCTCTTATAAGAACTCAAGACCGAAGTGATACGATGATTTTAAAAATTTTCGATCGAAGATATGAACATGAAATTGAAGTTTTAGATGAAAAAATGACTTCGACAAGTAAGTCTATTGAACAATGGACTTCGTTTGATTTGAAATCAATTCAGGTAAAGTGTTCTTTCCCTATCTACGCAGTTGATTTCTTTTCTTTGTTTGTTGACATGACACATCAAACTATTATCTTTACCTTTCTTCTTTCTTCTGTCAAGTGTTTCTCTATCTATCTTGTCGAGTTAGATTTCTTGATCAGTTCGGTGAAGAAGAATAGAAGAAGACGAGTGAATTAAATGATCAAGCGATTGTGTAATAAACAGGTGTACGTACATTTATTTATATTTATTCTTAAAACCGTCCAATGTAGAGATTGTATGCGCGTGAGAATGACCTTTGCAATTCTAACACTTTTATTCATTGAATGATCAGCACGATTACTAAATAATCAATTTGTCCATCTTAGGTTTTCTTCACGTAAAGAAAGAAGGGAAAAAAGATCGATGACCTTCTTTCTTTTATAACAAGTTCGAGAACTAATCATGTAATCATCACTGTTGACACTCGCTCTCTATTGATATGTCGCATAATGATAATAGATCGAGTCTTTTACCCCTGGCGATCGCTCTTGACGAATATTCTTCTTTCTATATCTTCGTCTATCGTCCCTCTCCTTTTGTTTTGTTATTCTTGTATATTACTAACTGTTCGTCTGTGATTAGAATTTTTTCTTGCGCCTCCATCGCAGCTCTCTCTCTCCCTTCTTCTTTGATACTACTTATTATGTGCTTGTTGATGACGATATAGATAGGAATAGCATCTTTTCGGTCTTATAACAACGACAATTTTCAGCTTTATCAGTTCTGTGCTGGTGTTTCAATCGATTCTGTAAGTGTGTATGGATTTATATACATATCAATGTATTACATATATACATAGTAAAGGATTAAAAGTAAAAAATACGCGTGATGGAATTTGATAAATAAGTTTGAGTGATTGATATGTGGTAGAGAAAGATATACGAAACGAACAGAATAAAAAGAGAAGAGAAAGAAAGACGTTGAAATTCCGTTGATGATCGTTTTTATAGAAGAGAAATATTGCCCATCCTTTCCATCTGTACATCCATATATGTGATAAATAGCCTGAATGAATGAATAAATGATCGGAATCAGTGAATGAATACGTGTATGTGTCGGTATGTATTTCAAAACTACAACATACGAGAGAAGAAATCGCAGCTTGTATGTTGATATGTGTATGCTGATTGATCTTCGAGTTATCTAATTCGATGTCGAGTGAAACTTGGTACCATGTTTATTGAGACATCCCACGAGGTAGTTCGTACTTGGATATTGGCACACATAGATACATGCATATCCATATGCATCGGGTAAAAGAAGATAAGAGAGACAACAGTAGAAACGAACACCTCTTCTCAGTTCTCGTTTGTTATACTTATTCGTAAGAGAACTAGAGAGAGAGAGAGACGACATTGAGTTGAGTAGCAGCAGCACCACAAGACGTCGCTGATTTCCTCCTTGAGGAGATGCCGTGTCTAATCTATATCAATCAACTCTCCCTTCTTTTTTTTCTCCCAAGACTCAACGAGTAAACCTAATCTTGAATTGACAACATCCAGCTTTGTTATTCCGCTTTTCTCTTCTTCTCACTGTAATATACATATACACACATCCACATCTATCTATCTATGTATATATAGATGTATGTTTAAAAAAAGATATTGTCAACAACAAACAACTAATGATCCATGATCGTTAATTATGATCATTTCCACTACTGACGACAGACAACTTTGACTATATATATATGTAGGGGGGATAGATATGTAGATAGATACATGTCGATGTGCATCATATGTACAATTGTATCAATAAATGAAGTCCAAAAGAGAAATTGTTAGTGAACATTATGTCAAAAGAAAAACACGAAAGGCAAAAGAGGAGAGAAAGCAATAAAACAAATCACTCTTGGGCCCGAATACAAGAAGCAATCGATTAATTGTAGATGATGACACGACACGACACACATATTGGTGCAAGATGGTACCCACGTGCATTGTCTATTGTATATTTCTATACATGCGATGAATGATGATTTCTTCAATCATTTTTCTCCTCCTTTCATAATTTGTACATCTTATTTATTCTTTTTCTCTTTTCTTTTTTGTTATCAGATATCAATTCTAGATCGATAGATTGAAAATATGTTTCTCGATGTAAATAAATATAAATATTATTTAGAATTTAATATTATTTTCTTTTCTTCTAGCATGATTCAGACGTGACAACAACCGAAATAGACGGTCGTGCTGATGAAAGTGATCAATCGAGAAGAAAATTGGTTAAATTAAGTCGAGATTTGAAGAAAAATACCAACGAGGTAGGTGGATCCTCTTATTTCTTCTTCGTTATCTTTTCTACCTTAATTGATCATTAAATAGACAAAAAAAACGAAAAAGACAGGTGCTCATGATCATCAGTCGTGTATAAGTGTAGATGTGTGTAAACTAACATCATTGCTCTTCAATTGTCTCTTGGTTTCTTTTTCTTTTTACATCAGCATTTTATATCTGCGACAGAAACAAACGTGATCATCTAAAAGGCAAACTGATCGCTTCGACAACTTCTCTCATTGTCGTCTTTTCTCTTCGTTCTCTTCCACTACGACTACTTCGTCATCGTCTTCTCCCTTCTTTTTCTCGTTCAAGTAAGATTGCATTTCCTGGACCACCATCGCTTGCGCAGGTGTATAGTTGAACTAATTTGCGTGTATGGATGTCTCTCTTGTTTGTCGAACTAACTCGCGCACAGTCGTCGTTTCATTTTACGCACGATCTCCTCGCAACAATACACTCGATTACTACATGGTAGTGGCATACACATTCCGACAATAACAATAGCTCATCTGATTTAGAAATTCACATTTCTTTTTCTCTTTCATATACGAAATATATATATACACACATACAGGAAATACAAAGCGAAGGGATCAATTTGTATGTAGAAGCGTTCACATTTGCTTCGATGAATTGTATATCGGCGAAAGGACAAGATCAGATTACAAATAACGTACCGTCGAAGTCACCGTTCATTACAAGTTGACATTGATGTGATCGAATGAGAAACTTTCACATTAGACGAATGATAGCATAGATTACATAAACGAAGTATACGTCTAACTGTCGACGATTATGTTTAAGAAAAAAGACAGATCGATCAATGTCTTTCATTTAGTTGATAAACCATTTGCAAATAGATTCGCTGTCAAGGCACATTTCTATATTACTTTGTCTCCTAGTTAAAATTCTTTCAGCGTCATTCGACTATTGATATTTTTAATCACTCTTCAGCATTCTTCATTCATGAATACACTGTCGATTTTTTAAATTTAACCAGTTAGATCTTTCACATACATTCAGCATCTGCTCACACTCTTTCCTTCTCTTATGCACACCTCGACTACCACTCCATTGATTCATTTGCCAAATCATCACATACACTTTCCATTTACCGCTTTCATGCAGTGTGCCCGCGTCACTTTTGTTCTAATTTGCCAAAGTGAAATAAAAGTCGATCAGCAATAAGTAACAGCAGTCAAACTACCTATGTGTATGTGTCCCGTCACAAAGGTGATAATCAAATTTCATTCCTACATTNGGAAGTGTTTTTGTGGCGCTAGCTTTCTGATCGAGCAGCACTACTATAGTCGTTAATTGGGTGTCGTTTTTCCTCTCCGCCTGATCATCACCCGGTAATGACACAGTAGAATAGTCTTCGCTAAGTCTGTGCGTGATGACAGACTGGGTGTCTGCGTGTGATTGAGCAGAGAGACAAAAGTTTTCTTTTCTATCTCTCTCTTGTTCTATAATCCCTCTACGGGACGACAAACTGACGACCTATCATTTAGCTAATGTAGCTTCTCCGAAGTAGTTCCGATACATTCGATTCTTTTCATGTATATATATATATATGCTTGTATGTGTGTGAACATACACGCCTCCTTTGGCGGACGACGATTTGTATTATTCATTATCATCTCTCTTTTCTCATCGTTCACGTTAAAGGAAATGAGCGAGTGAAAAAAAGAAAGACTTCAGTTCATCTTATCCGCATTCACGATGACAAGAAAAAAAAGGAGAAAAGAGACATGATTTACATATTCAATAGGCGGAGCGACTGCCATCATCTGTCTTTCTTGTACTTTGATCATCATCTTACTACTTCTACCTGGTGTTTTCTTTTCAATAGATGAGAGAAAAGCTTCTTCGAAGCACTCGATGAATAGAAATTGAATGCGCGCTCATACACAGCATACGGTGTGTTGAATTGTGTCAAATCCTGTTTAGGTTGATGACTTTTCAATTCTCTCTCTCTCTTCCCCTCTTTTGTCATCTTCCTGAAATTTTAATCAGACGGCATCTCGTAAATGACGAGAAGAAAAGGAGGAGAAATAGACAAAGATGAAGATGAGGAATAACGAATGGAGGTAGGAAAAGAAGAAGAAGAAGGAGAATGAATACTTAAAGAATGTCTTGGTCGGTGCGTCAACGACTAAGTCGGATCGGCATCAGAACTAATCACAAACAAGGGTCAATTTCCTCTTTCGTAATTGATTTTCTTCTTCTTCTTTTTTCCTTCTTATAGTTTTTTCTAGCCTCGAAGGTGAAAAACTCGATGCGCATTCGTTCTTCCCAGCTAGTCACACATACAAATGGAGATTCTAATTAGACGTGATCATTCGATATCATGATCTCTTCTCTCTCTCTCTCATTCTCTGTCGCGTGTATCGAATCGTCGTTGTCGTTGGTAAAAGAGTAATAGTAGTGAACTCTAGTTGATTACTTTTGGTGCCCATCGGCACGCAACTCTTCCGATGAGAAAATCGAACACCCGCGCGCTCCTCCAATTACATAGAAAAACCAATCAGAAAATAGAGAATCATTCCTTTTTTCCTTCTATGTCCTCTGTTGTTTCTTGTCTTTGACTACTTTCTGTCTGTCTCCACTTCAGGTGATTGAACCACTTTTGAATAAGCACATTCGTCAAGCGAGAAAAAAGAGTTGTTAAAAATTTCCAAAACTTAAAGTGATTTTTTTCTTGTTTGAGTTGATGCCGCACTACCGTCTTGTAAAATCTCTCTCCATGTAGATATATATATATATATATATACATGAATACATATATACACGTGTTGTATATGAGAGTGCCTGGAAGGTATAAGGAAGTAAGCTAACCGATCATAACAACAACGGCATTGGAGCCCGAATGCCTAATATTCTTTCTCGATCTGCATCGCTACCGATGCGTATGCGCCCATCCCACTAATAAAACTTCTTTTCGACGCTTCTTTCCATGCTTATAGGCTTTCTCTCCAGCGGATGATTAAAATACAAAACGTTTCCGATCATATTCGTCTTCTTTTCTTTTTTTCTCCTTTTCTTTCACATCAAAATTTTTTATTGTAGTTATAGTGTGTGTAAATGAATCGTGCGCAAGATAATCGACACGAACGCAATGGAATGCATTTTGCGTTCCTATATGCGTGTGTCTATATGTGTGTTCATTTCATTTTGTTTGAATAAACATTGTGAGACTTCCGTTGCCGGCACCTCAGTCGATGATTGCTAATAGAGAAAAAGACAAGCGACATTCGCTTAGAGAGAATAGACGCAATGATGATTGAAATTTTTCTTCTCTCCTCTCTCTCTTATTCTGTTTACGCTGCAGAATAAAATATTCATAACACAAAACGATGTGTGACAGACTCCCGTTGTCACTCTCTTTCGTCTTCTTCGCTATCGTGCGTTCTGTTCTTACAGCCGGTTAGTACGAGAAGGCGAGAAAATGTCTATATATCTTTAGAGCGAAGAAGGGGAGAGAGAGAGAGAAAAATTCGTGATTGGTCTTCGCCAATGATTGGCCGAGAATCGATCGCATTGTGCAATTTTTGGACAAATAATAGTGAGAGGGAAAAAGGAAGAAAAAGATATAGAGAGACAAGAGTATAGCACGCGATTGTTATTCCTCTTTAGTGAACACCTGCTTGCATTTAGAGAGTACAAAAGAAACAGAGAGAGAAAGAAAGAAAGAAATACGAAGAAAAAGAAATCTATCTATCACCTGTCTGGTCTTCCTCTTTCATAAACGCGAGCGATAGGTAGACGGCGACACGCATAGTCCTCTTGAAAAAAAATAGCATAGACAGAGAAGACAGGGAGAGAGAGCCGACTGACACCTTATCATCATCATTTCTTTATATGATACTCTTTCTAATCATCATCATCATCGCTGCTAGTGTTTGTGAAGCAAGTGGCAAAAAAAGAGAAATTGTTACCTTTCGTTAAACATACACTTCTACTGTAAATCGATAACAACATCATCATATCTTCGGCAGTTCTTTCTCTTTCTTATATCAAAGTGTTGACTTTGTCGCTTGTGTTCTATCTAGAATTTGCGTAAAGCCATTATACCATTATTAAAACCGTTCCAGATCGAAATCGACAATTTAACCGAACCACCCAATCATATCACGGAAGAATCCCTCTTAGAAATTTATCAACACTTTAGTGAATTTCCAGGTAAGAGCAAACACGATAACTTCTTCCTTTTCTTCAGCTTTTTACCATGTGAAAACTTTCCTACAGATCCGGTGCAAGCTCATCAATACGCTCAAACTCTACAGAAATCACTTGAAAAAGTATCTGATCTAGCACTGCCAACTTCACTAGGTAGGCAAAAATCACAATTAGTTGAAAAAATCATCGATCAATCAATATTCTTCTTGTTCTAGACCAACTCGCTGATGCGAAGATTTCAGGTAGACAGAAATGAAAGTCTTCTTAGATGAAACCTACAAATTTTGTCATAGGCTTATCAATCAAGCAGTTACGTGATAAAATCAAAGATTTAGAAGAAAAAACATCGGTAAATTTTATCTCTTTTTCCTTCATTTTTGCGTTTCTTTACTATTACGAGAGACACACAGAGAGAGAGAGAGAGAGAAAGAAGAGCACAAGTGAAGAATAGGAAAAAAAATTCTATTTCGATAATATAAAAGAATAATAAAACCGAAGTAAATTTTTAAAAGACTATAACCGGAAGGAGAAAGTTTTTTTCTGTTGAATAGAATAAAAATACATAACGAAGCAAGTTTATTGAGTTTAAGATAATAATTATTCTTTTATTGAAAAGAATATGAAAATCTCTCTTTTTTTCCGCGGATGATTTCTCTACATGTCTTCTCTTCTTTGCTAGAATCATATCAGAAGCGACGAAGACCATCAACGCATCTTCGGTAAGAATATCGTCTCGTTCTCTTTATGCTGTTTTGTCGTTTGAAAACTGATAAGACAATCATCTAAATAAATAGATTTTATTTTCTTTATTTGTGCTCTTTATATTCGCTTTCGTTTGTCTAGCTGATAAAAACCATCAATTGACTCGCCGACTAAAATATGCACAAATGGAAATACATCAATCAGCATTAGATCATCGACATCAAGACATGTTAGAAAATACGACAAATACCTGTTCATCTGATCTTGACATTCTTAATCAAGATTTACAACAAACACATGAAGTAAATGACAGGCGAAGAGAGCGACCTCATTCATCGATTGAAATACTTTTTAGAGAACATCCAATGCTGAACGATTAGTTGATAAATTATGCGATGAATTGGAGCAAACACATTCAACAAATACTAATTCTGACGAATTGATTTCACAAGAAGAAACAGAACGGAAATTGCGTGAAAAACTCGAGCTTGAATTAGTCTCTAAAGAACATCAAATAGCTACACTTGTTGTGGAAACACAAAAACTACAATCAACATTGATTAAACTAAAAGAAACATCAGTTATTCAGGTAAGGAGAAGAAAGAGAAGAACGAAGAAAACCTAGAAATGATTTCTTTACATGAAATTTGATAATAACGTTTTTAGATTTCTGATCTTGAAAATGTTGTAAGTGGCAAAGAGAAATTAATTGCACAATTAGAAAGCAAATTACAAAGTCAAGCCGATTATGAAGAAATCAAACAAGAATTGACGTAAGTGACAGATTTACTTTGTTCATAAGTCGAAAAGAAAATACCCCTTTCACAACTTGTCAGGATCTTGAAATCGGCCGAGCCATCAACATCCACACGTCCAAATGTTGATCAAATGGAAACTTTACCTAAAAAAGCTTTAGAAATTCTGTTATTAGACAAGAATCGTTCCTTACAAGCCGAACCAGTAGCGATGAAAGCGCCGCAAATTGATTCTGAAAGTAAGTATAATTAATTCGTGTTCTGATTGGTTCATTTTGCACTCTCTTTCTAATCGCCTTTTCACGGTAGCAAAGGATAATGCATAAGGAAAAGAATCACAACGTTTTCCTCTTCTTCGTCTTTAGATGAGACAAATCAACAGCAAGCGCAACATTCATGTCTTCAATGTACATCGTCATGCTTACATCGGGCAACTATGCCATTCATAGCTGCATCCTCTCTTCTTTCATCGTCAACTTCTTCGTCATCGAATTCCTCCTCTTCGCCTTCGTCACCTTCTCAAATTTATTTAAAACCTCATCTACAACCAACAACAACTACGACACTTTGTAATGGCTCTGATGATATGACACGATCATTCAATGATTCGACCACAAAATTTCTTCCACCCGTACCAAACTCGCTTTCCATTATTACAGCCAAAGATAATATTCAATTGTGTAATTCAACAAACTCGAAATATCCATCCATGGCTTCATCATGTTCAACAATGGTGACTCCAACAGCGTCACTTCTATCAGCAGTGACAACGACAACTTCATTAACTCCGTCCAACCTCTTTCCAGGTAATACAATGAACAAAGGAGAGAAATTTGATTAACTTACACCTTCGCCATTTATGTTCAGGTCAACAACTTTCATCCGTCCAATGTACAAAACTTCATTGTCCACCAACATCGTCGTGGAGTCCACCCTTATCTACCTCATCAGGCATTTCAAGCATTGCAACAACATCTACAGATAATCGAACAGTACTCAAACCACCAAAACCATCGTCACCAAAACCATCTGCTGGTTCGACCATACCAACAAACACGACTACTGTCACATCAGCTAATACAAATTCGCATGCGAGCAATCTACTTGAACCACTCGATACATCATATGTGGCAAATGTTGTGCGAAAACTTCTAGCACAACACAATATTGGCCAACGAATCTTTGCTCGATATATTTTAAGTTTGTCCCAAGGTACGGTCAGTGAATTATTATCCAAACCAAAGTGTTGGTCAAAACTAACGGAAAAAGGCAAAGAAAGTTATCGCAAAATGTGGTGTTGGGCCAATTCGGAAGAGAGTATTCTAACATTGAAAAGTATTAGTCCACGCAAAGGTATGAACAATCGTAAGTGGCATAGAATTGATTCAATTCGAAAAAGAACTATGTTTTTATATTGATGTACGTTTAGGCTCAAAAGATAACCCATATCCGGCTGTCAGCACAAAACATACTGATCCAGCGACTCAAAAGAAAATCGAACAAATTCTGGCTGATGCTCAAAAACAACAAATGGCCGCCGCAGTTGTGGCAGCAGCAAATATGGTGACTAGCACTATCTCTTTAGAACATTAATTTCTATCTATACTTTTTCATTTCTAGGAATCCAAAACATTATTATCACCATGTAGTTCTCTGCCTAACGACCCTTCGAATTCAATCGAATCTAAAACGCCGTCATCATCGGGTGCTTCATCTATTGCTAATTCGCCTTTGAATGAGCCAACAGCATCAGAGCAGCAATCGTTTTTACTTCCTATTCCACCACCGTCATCACTTGCCACATCTTCGTCGACATCAACTACCCCGCCAACATCTCTGTCGATGCTCTCGGCATTCGTTCCATCACTTTTAATGCGCACAGCAAATGGTCTCAAAAATGATTCATCTACACTACCGACAGCAGGAAACTTAATCGATTGCTCCATGTCATCGCCATTCAGTCTACTATGTCATCAGCCAGATAATTACCGAAATTGGTTGATGTTACAAGAAATTGTTCGAAATAATGATTTACTTAAACAATTTCAACCGGCATTTCCAGTACCGATTGAAAATGATGCAGGAAGTGATCAAGGTAATGACGACGATGACGATGATGATGATGGAGACGATGAAAACGAGGAAAATGAACATGACGACGAGTTGGACGATGACAATCCAACTAGCTCAGATGAAACTCCACTTGATTTAAGTATGAAATGTGACTCAAATCATCACGAGACAGAACCTGTTTCGATGAGATTGTCCAATAACAAACAGCAACCATCGTCATCATCAACGAAACACGTAAAAACCGCATTGGCGCCATTACGCGAGCAAGATACATCCAAATACCGTTATGTCAACACTGCGGAACTAGTGCAAACAGTCAAAGATATCCTCAGTCGGTACAGTATATCACAACGACATTTTGGAGAAAAAATTCTTGGCTTATCTCAGGGGAGTGTTAGGTAAGTGATAAAGCAACATCTCGTAAAAAGAAATGAAAAAAAAACTACATACTGTTACTTGTAGTGATATTCTTGCTCGACCAAAACAATGGGAACTATTGACACAAAAAGGTCGAGAGCCGTTTCTTCGCATGCGTATTTTTCTTGATGATCCCAATGCCATCAAACAGCTAGTTCAAACTGTTTCAACAACACCAACAACTAACACAAATTCAATACTATTACCAACATTTTGTCCACCTCTGCCACCATCGCTAGCAACTTCATCATCAGGCTTGCCTACATCTTCACTTTTGTCAAATGCAACGCTAAATGGTTTTCATTCGAATAATCTCTTGACAAGAGATAATTCCACTGATTCGCAATCGAATAATGATTCGTTATACATTGCCACAAACGAAAGTACATTACTCGTACCCACATCAACCACATCAACACCATTACCATCAAATGGCATCTCAAATAATTCTAACAAGTCAAAATCTCGCTCCAAAAGTGCAAAACCTAACAATGACAAACCTGCATCCAATCAATCTCGACAGTCATCGGCAAATCCATTGATGGCACCATATGAATTACCAAAAATTGTCTTGCCAAGTATGAATTTCTTCTCTCCTTCGATCTCCTGATTTGTCTCATGTTTCAAATAGGTTCAATCGACACCGAACAACTGAGTTCACAAGTGCGCGAACTTCTGTTTGCATATAGCATAGGTCAACGCGTATTTGGTATGAATTCATTTATGTTACATAGCTGGACGCATTTCAAGTATTTTTCAGGTGAAGCAGTGCTTAATCTTTCTCAAGGAACTGTTAGTGAAATTCTATCAAAGCCTCGTCCATGGCATTCATTAAGTGTCAAAGGACGTGAACCATACATTCGCATGTATACGTGGTACAACGATACTGGCAATGTACAGAAACTGCTTGCGTGGAAACGAGAACGTGATGGTAAGTTGAACTTTGATTATTAGTCTAGTAAAATACCCTCAGGTCTACTTGAAAGTCAGTCATAATGAAGCTAAAGAATATCACCAGGGAAACTTTTTAATAACAATTTCATTGTCATAGCTTTGCGACGTTGTCGGCCTCCCGCTCCACCAAAAGTCACATCTCAAACAGATAATGGTGACTCGGAAAGCGGTAATAATAACCCGTCGTCACCAGCAAATCGTCCAAAACGTCGCTACCTATTTACAGACGAACAACGTCGTGTATTAAAACAAACCTTTGAAAACGAACCCTATCCCAGCCAAGCAACACTAGAACAACTCGTTACTGATTTGTCATTACCAATGAATAAAATTGCTAACTGGTTTCATAATTCTCGTATGAGAGCGAAAACTAATATACGTCCTTCCTCGAGTCCAACAAGTAAATATTCAACATCATCGTTATTAAACGATGATCTACTACCTGCCCAGAGCGATGATGACGAAGACGATATTGACGATAATAATAACAATAACAATAATAATCCAAATGACGACGACGATGATGATGATGAAGATGATTATCCAATCATACCAACGATTGTACCATTAACTAGGTAAAAAGAAAGTTTCTCATTTAAATCTTATTTCTCTTTTGGTTTCGAAAATAGTTCATGGCTCAACGGTACGAATGATTCGAACAGTTCATCAAGTCCACTTGGTTTATCTGCCACATCAACAAATACTGTTTCATTGATTGATAATCAAAAAACTCCTCCGCCTGTTTCATCGTCCACAAATTCCAGTAGTAGTAAAAAGCGTAAATCAGTTCCACAAAAGATTGTGACCAACAATAATAATCACTTGAACAAGAAATTTCAACCGAATTCAACAAGATTAGATATTGACAGTAATGATGAAGCAAACCCAACAACGAATGAATCGACAACTTTTGTTGATATTCTCACCTAAAAAATGAGAAGCAAAATCTTTAAGAGAAAAATATCTTCTTTTGTATTGATTTCTTTTTGCTTTGTGTTCATTTTATCTAGCCAAGGTGATATTTTGAAAAAGAAAACATTTGGTGATCTTGTACCTTTTCTTCTTCTTCGTCGTTTTGTGAAAAGACTTTCGTTTTTAGTTGCTTGCTTTGCTCAACATGGTTTTCCCTCTTTCTCTCTCTCTCTTTCGTTTTTTTTCTTGTTGTTGTTGTTCGTTTTGTTCTATTCGATATACCTCTCTTCAGTGTTTCTATGTACTGTGTGAATCTTGCTCAAGCATTCGAACTAGTCGTAACACACTCAGTTGCTCCAAACATGTGTATTAGAACAAGAAGAAGTCCCACAAAACTAACCATACAATGACTTTTTGTTCAAAGATTTCAGTGATATGTAATCGATTGTTTTTCTTTTGCTTTTCATTTCTATATATGTACGTATGAATGTATCTGTGTGTTTCTCTCTCTCTCTCTCGTTCTCCTTTTTCGTTAGAACAAAACAACAACAATTTTTGTTTGTATGTCATTATTTCGGTGTTGTATGCGCGTGCAATAAACGAGAAAAAAACAGTGTATACATCTGACAAGAAAGCAACACGTTTCTTTCGAGGATGCGAGAGAGAGAGAGAATGATGAAGGAATTGAAATACAAAGATATCTCGACTATCGTTAGGAATAGCATTCCATGTTTGTCCTTGTTTTTTGTTGTTAATGTTCATAGAAACAAAAATTCGAAGAGAAAATTGTGAATTTTCATATCACGTGTGTTTATGTTTAACTTTGTTATTTCAAATAAAATCATTCAGCCGTCTTCATAATCCGTATTGAGCGTATCTCTTGCAATTAACATTCATAACTATTTGTAGACTCTATCTTTCCATGCATAGCTAATGCAATATCAGTTCATCTGTGTTTTCAGATTTATAATCTCGCGTAAATATATAGTTTTTATTTAGGAATTCTATTGCAGAGGATATTACTTCCTCTGAGAAACACATCCGGTTCGTGCTGCGTTCAAAGGCGATTAATAGAGATAACTTAGAAGAATTTTGATGATTTGAAATCGATATCAGCGAAGATGCTTAAGCCAAACAAAGAATCAAAATTCCTTCGTTCCTTTGATTACGCTTTTTCTTACTCAATTGAACATGATAATTGGAAGCATGTGCTTCGTATGTTTGCCATACTCGTCACACATGCTGCGTATCACTCAAAAGTAAACGATGGTAGAACAACACGAAATATTAAATAACACAATAGTGAGAAACGAAGTCTACTGTCTGCTTCTTTTTATTATATGTCTATGCATTGAAAAGTAAACGAGAAATCACGTTTTAGTTATGCAATAAACGACATATTGTGTTTGCTTGAATCTCCTCAAAAACAACACGGGATGAATCATTGTAGTAAATTATTTTCAAAGATCATTTCTTGCGTAACTCCATGCTGAACTTTAAGAGAAAAATCACAATCGGTCTTTATCTACATAGGTATCAATGTCATTGGTACTAAATTTCATTGTTTGATACTTGAGCTGGACGCAGTTATGAGTACACAATGGTCTATCTCGAGATTCATCCATGTTTTTGATCGGTGAATAGCTACTTTTGCTTCTCAACTACTCAATTTGAGATAACAACAGTTAATCAAAAGCAGATATGTCACTGCGGCATCCAGCTTGGTTACGAAATATGAATTCTTGTAAATCAGACAAATTGAATGTCGAAATATATAGTATAATGACAATATAAAGTCAATCTTAGTGTAATGTAACAATATTATTTACTTTTTATTAAGAAAAACATTGAAGTGAGAGTATCAATCATTTCTTAACTTTTGTCGATTGATGATGAATGTTATTGTACAGTTCTCTCGCTCAATATGTTGTCTCAATAATGCACTTTAAAGTCTTTTCTTTATAACAAAAGAACATGATGGTTACTTCTATACTTTCGAGGCATTTTCTATTCACACACGCACACAATCGAACGGACAGAAAAACAATCCATTCGCTTCTTCTTTTTCTTCTTCCCCATGTTCACTCGTATAGATGTGTCTTCAATATGGAGGATATCGAGAAGAAAAAGAAGGTAAGGAAAATGTTTATGTATAATGAATGAAAGAATATGAAGAAGAAAACGACGACAATCACCACCGGTAGGGACGAATGACATGGGTTTGTTTTTCTTTTCTTTTCGTAATGATTCATCCGATCGTCTCGATGTTCAGCCGTTTCATAAGAGAAGAAGAAGAAAAAGAAGAGGAAAAATAAAGACGAAAACGAAACAAAAAAAGTTGACACTTTTCCTCTTCTTGGTCAAGGTAAGTAACGATAATTAAAGTAGTTCAGATTGATGATATATATTCAAAGCAGACGACAGTGACCGACGTGTATGGGAGATTAAGCGAGACAAGACAGACGACATTAGTTCAATTATTGAAAGCTAACATTATTATTTGCGTCGAGCTTAGACCGACTGATGTTGTCCATGTCTATCTAATTTTTTTTTTCACAATCCTTATCTCACGTCTTAATTCATTCATACGAACTGTCAGCAACAATTGTGAAATTTTATCAATATTGTACAATGTATGTACGCAAAACTTTTCCTTTTCGGTCACATTTTTTACATTTGAAAGAACAAGAAGAAGAAGAGAAGTAGAAAAAGAAAGACATGCGCGATCTAATGTTTAACCGTGTCTTAACATATTCTTCAGCACACTAGTGGGAGTATAAGCACGCGTTCATAGCTCATTACGTGAGAAAAGGATATTCAACCTTGATCTTTGATGTAGGCTTGCAAGTAAAGTTTGCCCCATAAAATGAACATTTGATCACACAAGACAATGGTAGCGATCGCCGATAAAACCAATTCTAACAGTCATCATGGCACTAATAAACTCAAGGAAGAACATAATCCTCAAACAGCAAGAATTATACAGTGGTTAGGCGGAGAACGAGCAGGTATGTTGAAATGAGAGAGGAATTTTCATCATGTTCATCGTTTAATCTTCTTTACAGTTGATGTTCCTGCCGAATTCGACGTCTCGTCACCGACTAAAGAGGATTTCGTCGATCATCACATAATTGCCTCCAAGGTGGAATGTATTGAATTACTTCGTCTCAAGCCGCTCGTAAGTCATGCCCTTCTCCGACACATTTTTTCCTCATTGATCAGTAAATCGCCGATTTTTTTTCTCACTATTTAAAAGCTAAAGTTCTCCCATTTACCTCATGTCAATACAATCATTCGTCGTTTTTTGTCTCTCTTCATTCACTCTATGTACTTATCTTATTCCTAGAACAAACAATTAACTGCAACATTCGAGCGAGGCTCGTTGCTCCGTCGAAGTAGTCGCCGTGGTAGTAGCCATTTAAGTCGATCATCTCCTGACGCACAAACATCCGACGAAGCTTATTGTACCTTATCAACACATCGTGGTGGTATTCAAAAAACGAAAAACGCCAACGATCATGATTTAACTCGAACAGAATCTTCCAGTCGCAGTAGTAGTTTATCAACAAGTGCACATCATTGTGCTTCATCACCTGTTCTAACCGTATCTATCGACGATATTTATACAACATTAGATCAAACACAACAGATCTTAAATATGGAAGACGAACAAATCAAGGAAGATATTGGTCGTCTACGTGAAATTGCTCAACAAGGTTCATTACAGCAAAGTCTTCATTTATTACCTCTTGTTACTCAAGCGACTGGCTGTTCAATAGATCTATTCCAGGAAATTCTTCTCGATGGTGATCATGGTGAACGAGATTTTAAAGACTTAATTGATCAATTTCGAGAATTAATTGAAAAGAAGTTAACCGATGCTGAATTTCAAATGTTTGATGGAAAGTACGTGATGTCGGTTTTTCTTCGATGTCCTAACGAGGTTAATTATCATTGTCTATAGAGTAGAATAATATTTGATCGCTAAGCTAATGAGGAGTATCAAAGTAAGGTAAACTTGAATCTAGGTGACTTAATCCAGATGAACGAGTAGAAAAGTTCAAAAGTGAGCGGTTTGTTTTATTTTTAGTACCATTCGCGCTTCATCTCCATCTCTATTTGATATGCTCAACGATCTGAAAACATGCCTCGGATTATTACGTCGAACAGAAATGCAAAGTTTTTTAAATACATTTGATAATATTTTAAAATTACGTCTCTATCCACCGGCTCTACCAGATGCAGATGAACAAGTAACACATAACGATGAAAACATCGAACTTAAATTGAATAATTCTGAAACAACAGAAGAATTATTGAAACTATCTCAATATGCAATAGACGAGTTAAAAATTGTGAAAATCGAAAAGAATCATGAACCATTAGGTTTGACCATATCTCGTTCAGATTCGGGTTCAATACATGTCGCTCGAATTGTTGTTGGTGGTATTGCAGCAAACACTCAACTTTTTCAAATCAATGATCGAATCCTTGAAATCAATGATGAACCCATTACTGGCCGTTCGCTTGATTACGTGTGTTCTTTAATGTCGAATACTACTGGTATGATTAAGTTTCTTCTTGCTCCACCACTATATTCGGGATCAATGCATAACAATCAGATATCTTATCAAACATTTCATGTTCGTGCTTTGTATGCATATGATCCATACAATGATCCATTATTACCGTGTAAAGAGCTCGGTTTATTGTTTCAACGTGGTGATATCTTACGTGTTGTTGCCCGCGAAGAAAACTTCTTGAAAAATCACGAATCATCGGTGGGTTGGTGGCAAGCATATCGTGAAGATTCATCTGAAACAGATACAGACCCATGTTTGGCAGGTCTCATTCCATCCGATGCTTTACAACAGAAACGTACAGCACTAATCAAAGCTGTGAGTGACGACACAGAATCCATGTGCTCGGGCACGTCAACGTCAATATTTTGTCAAAAGAATCGAAAGAAGAAGAAAAACGAATTTTGTCTTACTTGTTTACCAAAGAAAGAGAGGAAAATTCTACATCCTGCCTATAACAATGCCTCATTTTTACATGAAATTGACGATCATGAAACACCGACAATACGAACATCTATTAATCATTTTTCATTAACTGACACTCGACAAATTGGAGAAGAACAACCGTCGACATCCTCTCAAACAACTGGAACATTTGCCAATGACAACAAAGAGATGACTCTCGATTCATCCATATTGAATACATTCCGCTTCTATGAACCTGTCTTTCGTCTCGATCTTTCAACGCAAAAGGTAACACGACCCATTGTTCTATTAGGTACGTATAAAGAAGAAAGAACTCCTCTGTGTTTCGAAATCGTGTCTTCGTCTTTATAGGTGCGCCTAATGTTGGTCGGCATGAACTACGTCGCCTTCTTCTCCAAACCGAACCTAATCTCTTCGATGTTGCCATTCCACATACAACACGTGCTCGTCGTCCTCACGAAATAGCCGATACTGATTATCATTTCGTGTCCGAAGCTGACTTCCTAGCTCAAGTTGCAAATCGTTCATTTGTCGAATTTGGACAATATGACCGAGATCTCTATGGTACATCTATCGAAGACATTCGTCGCGTTGTGTCGACGAAGCAAAAGATTTGTATATTAAACTTGAATCCAGATGCAATACGAACTTTCTATAAAACGGATCTCTATCCATTCATAATCTGTATTGCTGCCCCATCATTTGAACGGTTAAAACGTTTAGATCTTGATCGTCGCAGTCATTTAACTGACAATGATTATCGAGAAATCATACGACAAAGTCGATCAATTGAAAGACATCATTACTTATTATTTGATCATATTTTAATCAATAACGATCTCGAACGAACATACACAGAACTACGTGAATTAATTATACGTATACAACACGATGATCAACAGTGGGTGCGAGCATGCTATCGACGATCCTAACTCTCTTTTCTTTTTGTTTTTGTTATTGTTTGTTTCTCATTTCAACAATGAAATTAATTTTCTTTAATTAAGTTTGTGCAGTTATTTTGTGTATATACAGACTTTTCTTTTTTGGCTTTGATGATGAAAACATAAAATAAAGATGCATACATATTCGCTAACACTCATCTGACCATTCAAACGCACAGATCAATATGTTCCATATCTCTTACTATCACTTATCAAAAGAAAAGATGAATCAAACATCGGCACGTAACAACAACTACTATGATCATTGAGATTGTTTAATAATAGTCATTCGATGATACAAATCTGCTTTCTAATCCAAGTGGAACAATAGTACAATAACATTGTTATCATCGTCATGATTACGCCATATATTGTTCTCTACATAGGTCAACGGATGTTATGTACATGTATATGTTTTACAGACGGTGATATTTTTCGAAGAAATCTGTATGTGTATAGTACAGATTTGTGATGGAATGGAAGAATGTTGTATTTAATAACAATTTCTGCTTGTTTATCACCTTACAATTTGACAAAAGGAAATGAATTTTACACTCTCAACTTTCATCTACTTGAACTAATCGTATTCTTGTCACTGTTATTCATACATTCGCTTTTGTTAATTAAGATTTCTTCTATTCGACGAAGATCAAATAATTTGACACATTCTCATCAGTTTCACTTAAACTATTTATCCACGGATTAGTTTCTTATGGGAAATATATTTGTCATAGTTCGCTAAGTCGATTCACTTACTTGTGAAAAGACATAGCAGCATCAAACGATAGCAGACAACATTGAACAAATTCGATAGGACTGTTTTGACATAAAAACAATATCGAAACATAAACAATCCGTAATGAAAAATACACAGAACAAATCTAATGAATATTTGAATGATTCGCTTTTTTCTATTGCGTCTTTAATGAATCCTTCTAGACATAAACATCTTTAGAGTTCATTGGACAGTACATAATATTCTCTGATATTCGTCGTTCTTTCTTGTATCATTCTCCATTGACCTCGCGCAATCCCATTGTCAATTTTCCAGTCAATCCGATCAATACATCCACATCCGATCGCGTTTCTTCCCTCATCTACACATATTGATGCTGTTACTCATATGGACATCTCATCAAATTCAATGACATTACTACACATGTTCCGATGCACATGAATATGATGAATGAATAATGAATAGAGGTCAACTGCATATGTATATACTTTACCTTACTTTCGCTCTCTTCTCTTCTCTTCCACGTCGTACACTTCATCAATCGAGAGATTTTTCATTCCTACACTGAGTTCATCTAATGATCAATGAGTAGATTACACAATTGTACATTTATCGTCCTTGAAACCATTCTTCTGTATAGATAGATATATGAATGAATGAAAGAAATCCGATCTAAGCACACAAGCTGGGATTAGCTCTTAGCCGATCTGCTGTTTCTCTCTCTCTCTACATAGGTTCGCCTATGAATGTATACAATGGAGGTTTCACATTCAGTATACTCTATTGAAGTAGATGGATATTCAATTGAAACTTGCTCATTCAGTATACGATTTCACCCTTTTTTTTTCTTTATCTTCAAATAAATCTCTACTGACCCGTTTTTCTCCTTCTTTTCTAATCGAGCATAAATATGCATTGAATAGTTCAAATCTACGTACAGATAGACAGCTAGACTAACCGCTATTGAATACAAATGATTATTATTATGTTGTTATTATATAATAGTTCTTTATCAGACCTCCTAGCTTTTGTTATTGCTGACACTCCTATTACAGAGTGCCGTCATTCTTGACATGTGTATGCACTGCATTTTATGATCGAATCAACATCACTCGTTTAGTCGTTCCCTCCCCTTCGCGCCATGTCGCGTTTCGCACGACAATAACGAAAACTTGAACTTCACCTAAGCATGCTGACTGGACTTGACACATCATTACGTGAATGTCGAGAAGTGTACAAGAATTCTCACTTGAACATCCTCTCACACATACATTGTTAATCAATTCTTCGCTCATCGAAGACATACTTGAAAATGAACATTTAACACTGCGGGTGAGAACGATATTTGCATGTAGAAATTATACTCATTAATAGAATTATCTCAGTACATGAAACTTATTCCATGTGAATCACAAGTATTTGTCAGTTGTGTGAAAGAAAGAAGTATTTCTTTTTTCTTCGGCTTTGATATTCTATCTCGGTAGAAGCTGCTGAGTAATTAGTTCTTTTCGGCTTCCTCAAGCGTATAATTCACACCTTGCTCTTTGAAGCAATTCAATGATAATAACGGAAAAAGGAAAGTGCATATGTATATACACCTGAACAATGTCCGTTCTCGTCCACATCGTATGTATGTGTTCAATATTTGATCAAGAGAGTGACATATACTTTCTCTTGTTTTGGTCATATTTTTCTTGGCCTGTGTTCAACATTGTCTCGTTTCTTTTCCTTTCTCTCTCGTTCGCATTTTCTTTTTTCTTCTCTCAATATTCAATACATTCGTGCACATACCTGCACATTATTCGAAGGTAAGAACACAGGCAAGAAGAAAGAAAAAATGAACGTTGAGCATCGACGGTCAACCGATGTTAACCTTTGCCTACGGATGAGTCGTTCTGTTCTCCGATTCAATGCACGAGTGATATACCGTATACTGCATCTATGTTGATTTAGTTGTATAGCAGTCAGAATGAATATTTGATAGAAGCAGAAGAAGAGTAATTACATTTCTTATCATTTTTTAGATTGTTGTCTTTTTTTTTCTTGATGATAATGTTCAGCCAATGAATCTCATTCAAGTGGTATGTCGTATCTTTTGTTTCACATGAAACTTTATTGATATTTTGTTTGCTCATGTAGCGTCGATGTGGCAATGTGCATTGCCTTTCTCATCAACAACAGCAGAGTATTGATAATACGATGATATTTACACGACCAGTTTATCATGTTGATGCAACTATATTATGGTAAGTAGACGCTAAGCTATAAATAAGAATCATGGGAATCTTTTATGATAATAGTCATTTAATACAACAAGTCGAAACAAAACGTTTATCCAAATCGTTTGGGCAACTTTTGTACCTGACATCGATCAGTCGAACTGAAGTTGACCGTCAAGTGTGTCCAATAAATAGTTGTAATCATCAGCAACGAAGTGTATTCTTACTAGCGAATATTCCCGATTTAAGTAAGAATTTTTGTACGAAATAATTTCGAGTTAAAACCTCGAATTTAATGCATAGTTTCGGTTGCAATCGATTGGAATACCTCGCATTTGACTACAAGTGATGTCGAAGATTTAGTTTCAACAATTGATTCTTTCGTGTATCTTCGTGAGGTAAGTTAATGACAAAGTTCATTGCGGTGTTGAAAAACAGGGTTTTTTCGTTAGCTATTTTATGATGTCACAATAAATGAAGCTCGTATTAAACAACTGAATTTAATTGGTCTAATTTGTTTCTATGGTGGAAATGTTGAAGTGTTTTTCTCCTACGATCCAACAACATCGAAGTGGTTGTTTTGTTTTGATGGAAATATTGTCGTTTCCGCCGATTGGAATGCCGTCCAACGAAAATGTATTGACTTTCACTTACAACCTTTTCTTCTCATCTATGCCAATCCTGATCGTGATCCAGTCGACATCAGTCAGTTACTCAAACGAACGGTGATTCAAACGAAAAACAATCATTGTAAGTCAATTTGAAGAGAGAAAGACTTGAAATCGAGGCATTATTCAATGTACGCCGAACATTGCATCATGACTAAGACAGGCTATTCTGTGCACACAATTAGTATTGATTGTAGGCATCGCCTGGTGATTACTTTTGTTCTATGATGAGTATCTGTGTTGTGGCTACCTCCGTTCGAGTGTATAAGATGAGAACAGGAAGAAAATAAATAGGAGTATTGATGAACGACAAATGCATGCGTCTCGTTCTTTTTCTTTCTCCCCTTTCTTTCTTTCTTTTTGTATCATTTATTACTCATGATTATAAAATAACACCGATCGATTACGTCTTCTGTTTGTAGTTATACCTGACGAAAGAAGATTAGAACAAACTATGGTATTAAACAATAAGAAAACTGCGCAAATAACCACCAAACCAGACTATTGTCAACAACAAGCGAATTCAGCCGAAAATCTCCAGAAGATATCGTCATTTGCAACATTGAATTCGTCAATGTTGTTTATGCCAAAACCGACGGTTACTACATCTTATATTAATCAAGAAACAGTCGTTAAAGTCATGCAACAGCAATTATTAAAGAAAGAAACCTTATCAGACACAACGTCCCTCTCGTCTTCGACGGCATCGTCACCGATTGTTCACGTTCGACACCGAATGGGACCGTCAATGCAATCACGTGAAGATGCATCATCAAGTGGAGATTCATCGCGCGATTCGGGTTTAAGTAGTGGCATTAATGATGAGTCAAGTGAAGGAAGCCCAAGAGATAGTTTAAGTGAACACGAACCAACTGTCATCGATGGTTTAATCAAACAAACCGAACAAATGATGAGTAAGGAAAAGTTCCTCATAAATTAAGCGTAATAATCTAGCTGTCCATTTCGAAGTATGAAACATGTTGTTGTAATATTTAATGATAGAGTACAATGCCTTCATTATTGACAAGTAACAAAACTATACGTAATAACATGTTGATGGTATACGCATTAAAAAAGAAACTAAAGACTCGTAATGATTTTTCATTCGAATAGACATCCTGTTCGAAGAAGAACATTGATAGATTGTATTCAGGCGAGAACGCTCGATGGGTGACACCCTTCCTCTCGAGATGATAATTCTGAGATTTTAATCAATATTACTATTGTTCGATGGAGAAGTTGTCGTTGAACTTTTCCGAATAAGAGTCACCTGTTTCATGTTCACCATAATTTTCTATTAGCTGAAATGAACGTTTTTTGTGTTTGATTTAGATGATGATCATCATCTGGACATATCCTTTGCAACAATCGAACATTTCTTCGAAGAATCTGTAAGACACGAAACTGCAACTAATTATTCGTCTGCAGTTGAATCTTGTCAACAAGCATTGATACTGGTTGAACAGATTCTCAATCTTAACCATCATCACCAGCATGGCATATCAATTTATGCTCGTACAAAGAAGAACAGTTTATTGTTACGAATACGTTCATTGCAAAAACGACAGATCGATGAACAAGAACACCTCTCGCGTTCATCGTCATCGTCACTATCCACGTTTAAGCCAGTTGATCGAACTGCAAAGAAAAACGAAAATATCTATGATAATAATGTTTCCAAATCGACGTCGATCCTTTCGTCAACAACGAAAACGACTCGTCCAAAAAAGAATGTGAAATTCTCTGATAACGTCGCATTAATTGTGCCAACATCCGATGATACAGATGAACCACCTTCTGAACATTTGATTCATTCATTTCTAAGAAAAATTCAACAACAACAACAACAACAACATCAGTCCCAGATAACAGCAACAACAGCGTCTGATTCCGATTCCGATACACCTTCCTCGTCAAATGATATTCCGATTGGTTTAAGTGAATGCTCACTCTGTCATAAACGTTGCTCGAAGAATAATCAAATTGGAACATATTGTTCAAACTGTCATTATTATATGCAACGATTTCAGCCTACTACGTCTTAAAAGAAGAAATCTTCTCAATCCTTTTCTCCCTTTTTTGATGTTGAATCTCATTCGTATACATACATATGCATATATATATATATATTTCTGGTGCTGATATTTTTCCTATTTATTCGTTTTTTTGGAATTTGTTGTTAATACACGTGAATTATTTGAACGATAAAAACAGATAAAAGCACCGATTGATTCTTATTTTCCAAAGACACTGCCGATTTGATACACAAGAAAAATAATTTCAGTCGTAAAGAATTCTCATTATTGTTTATTTCAAAAAAAAAATAAATATAGAAGAGTGAAAATTGAATATTAGAAGTTTCTACTGCACACTTTTGAATAGTTTCATAAACGAAACGATTGTTCCACCCTAAATATAGAACTTCCAACATTCTTTTTCAAAAGATATACATTTACTATTAACGTACAAAAAATCGACTTAAACGTGTGGCAAAACCATTCGTTGATTTTGGACAATAACTTGCGAAATCATCATTCTAATACAAAGATATGACAGATATATATACAAACTAAAATGATAGAATTCTCACCGTTTGTGTTCCTTCATCTGTTTGCTTGTATTTATCCGTGAGAATCAAACAAGCAAGAATAGTTTGAGTTTCAATAGCTAAATGGATGAATATTCGACATGTCACAACTGATTTAGACATGGAGACATTCTTTTACATTGCGTTTGTATATGTTTCGAACTTAATCGTCGATTAGGACCAAGTCGTTTCACATCATTGCTAGTTAGAGACCTTGGATGAACACTGAAAATCATGATAAAAAGCGATTGATGAAAGTTTTTCGAAGTCTTACCGGGTTGTTGGTGTTTGAACACGTTTAATAAGTTTATCTTTAGCGAAAGCAGGCATTGTTTTCACGAAAACGATATCGAACAGAAAATTCGTCCGTACAAGTGTATTTCTATCCAAGAATGAAGAGAGACACAGCGGACTATGTCGTATATATACGATATGCATCGCTACAGTGACATCTAACAACTTTTTCGAATGGAAAATAAATGGAACAATGTTTGGAATTGTTCTTCATAGTCATCCTCAGCCTTTGTAGATGTGCACTGGTTAATTTAATATAAGATATAATTTATTCACTCTGTGCAACTTCAAGAAAGAAAAATGTCAGGACTGTTCATTTAGTCATTGTATAATAACTAACTAATAATTTACCGAGGAAAAAGCAAACAGTTGCGTTACGATGTGATTATTATGCCTGCTTGTTTTCTTCGAGTGAATTTGAAATGAACATGAAGAGCATTGCTTTTGGAAGATGTGTATCTAGGAATTGTTAATCGCTGCATTGAACGTCTTTATATTTCTTCATCGATGATTTCGTGAATCGAATGCATTCTTGTCTCTGTCGAATCATTATTTTTCGATTAATCTAAATTTTTCCCGTCGTTTGTCAGTCGAAATAACCATTCAATAGGAGATTATCTTTAGAAACTAATTATTACGCACGTTCAAATTAGATTCATGACATGCAATCATCTTGATAAGAACGTGCGGCATGTACTAAAAACTATCATTTTGTCATATCTGTCTGTGTGAGATCGAGTTCCTTCAACTTATTCGATAGAAAGCGAGCTAAGAGCAATGTAAGAAGGAGATTACTTTCTAAATCGATAGTTGATGAAAAAATTCCACTCTGTTTTATAGCTATAGGAACAAAATTATTCGATCGATTACAACCAGATATATTCTGATAGCAATATGCCCGCGCCGTACAAGATACATAACGTTACATGTTAATGAGGATATAAATCATCGCGTTTCCTTTCTTCCGTCAATGTCGACGCGCACATAGCACGATTTATTATATCGAGCAGCAACTGTTGATTTTGCGACATTACCTTCACATTGATAAATCTAATGAACCATCTGGAGATCTTTTTTTGAGTTACATTTGTCGTTCCTCCTCTCCTTCTTCTCCTATTCGATAATCTCACAAGTGGCATTTGAGGATGTTATTCATTTCACTCATTATACATAGCAATTGCATTCTAGCGAGTAAACCGATATGTTCAGTACGGTCGTTTTTCTTCATCTGACACAAACAACGCTTTATTGTCTGCTGTTCGTTATAAATGACAATATTGTTGTTGTCGAGTGTAATTCAGTTTCAGTGATATTTCTTGACAAAACTCATATCGCTAGACGTACGTCTATTTGCAAGGAGAAAAGTATATGTATCTGCATGTATGTATGTTATAAAGATACAATCATTAGCGTTCTGTATGTATGCGTGTGAATGTGTGTTCCATCTGTTTGAATGGAATGTGCCTAAACGAGAAGAGACAAGCGTATGGGAGATACGGATGTTGATGCAATGAGAAGAGAAAGCCTCAGGAAATCTTTGAAGAGGAAGCGTGATAAAAAAAAGAGTAACCATGTCAACTATTGTTTGATCGGCAAGATCGTCACCCTTTCTTTTGATTACCCGAATTGTAGGAGAAGGATGAGAAATACTCGTACGTTGCAATCATTCTGAAATATATCATATTTGTTATTTTCCACTTTTTTTTCTATCTATTTGCTAGATTTGGTATTTCCAAAGACGACAACAATAATCGTCTTGTCATCATAACTATCTCCATTTGAATTAGAGTGTATCATAAACAATAATTGATAATAGTGTGTGTCACTGTTCGTATACAATTGAGAAAGAAAGACAGCGGGCAGACGGATACAAAATACAATCCGTACCGGTAGTATCTTCCGAAAATACGCTGAAACTCACTCATGCGCGGTGCGAAACAACATCATAGTTGGAAAGCCGATGATGAACGACGGAAACGATTGGCAGCACCATCAAGTCAATCGTCATTTACGACCAACAATAACAACAATAATAACAATTACCACCATAATTCGAGCAATTACGCGCATGGAAAAGCTCATACAGGTATCTCGGATTAGAACTGCAGATGTTTAGTTAGAATTGGAGAAGAACGATGGCAAAAGTTAATCTGCCAAAGTCATTAATGAGTTCGTTGAAGTGTTTAATAAGGCAGACATAAGAAAACAAACTAATTTGCGAACGACAAAGACCTTGTAAATTTGGATAACAAAGTAAAACAGAACGATAGCACTTAGTCGAGATGTAAGTTTTTTGGTAAAATAACATTGGAAGTCTGGTAGAGAGAGGGCGACCGATGACAGCATGGTATTATCGAATCTGTTTTCTCGATCGATTGCTCAAGCGCATTACAATTGAGTCGATGAAGAAAAAAAAAGAAATCCAGATAGTTCCAATACAACTGCTTAAGATACCAAATCGAACTGATAAACAGATCATCTTATTTTCTTATATTTGCCCGTACAAGATAGAACATTGTATTTGATTCATCCGTATGCCACATCAAGGGATATCCTCCACACACTTAGCATTACTTCCAATTCCGATTCGAAGATCAGGTGAGAGAAATGAGTTTTCAAATGATTTATGATAAGTATTCAATTTCATTTTGAATAACAACTCTACAAATTCTCATACATGAAAGTGCTATCGAATTAATAGAAACTAAACAAATACAATACAGAGTGTGTGTGTGCCCGCGCGGGAGAAATGCCTCTTGTCGCTCGTTAGCTCTCGGTCTTTTACTCTTCTTCTATTAATCGTCTAGATTATTGTATGATCAACTGAACGACTAGCAAACTTGCATCTTATAAATTGAGTTCTTCCGTTCCTCTTTCTTCTCCTAGCCGTTTGCCGAATAATAATAACAGTTTAGTTTGATAACGAATGCTGTACGAGCTTCATTCATTTCGTATTATTGTCATTGTCTTGCGTACAATCATGACTATCGATTTGACAATGGTTTTGACTGATTTCTCCAGAGAACTAACTGTAGAAGATTTAACATCCTTTGATTGCATGGGATCTACTGAAGCTGAATCAGATTTGAACTAGCTCGAACGACTGATTATCTTCTAACTATCTTGTGAACAGCGACTACCAAGAGACATTCAATTATGTAATTAGAATGAAGCTTCTGGGGCTATGTGAGTGTAACAATAAAAAAAAAGGGAGGAGCACACAAATAAGAAAGAAAGTTTAGCGAGAAAAGATAGCGAGCAAACAAGCGGGAGATTGTTCCGCTTAGTTAGAGGAAACTGAAAAAAAAAGAAATATAAGAAAGGAAAAACGAGGAGAGAGAGATGACAAGGAAAATGCATTTACGGTGAATCTCTCAGTGAAACAGTGTGCTCGTGAGAGACTTCAATCAATCTATCATTCATCCATATGTATTCAGCGGCAGGAACAACGAAAATCAAGCGAACGCCAAGTAGGCATAGTTATGCTGTTTTTTTTTTCTTCGTAGAAAAAAATATTTAGTTATTATTATTTTGTACAATGATTGAGATATCGTTTTTGTAAACGTTATCTGTCATTTGACAAATACAACTGTCATTACTTGCTGTCAAATAACTGTCCTTGCTCGAAATGCAATAAAGTAGACTATATAGAGAGAAAGAGCGCGAGAAAAAAAATAGGGAGTAGTAACATTATGAATCTTTTGAATAAACAAACACCTTAAGGACTCTAGGGAGAATACGAGAAAAAAGATAGACTAACAAGCAGAATATGATAACATCGGCAACAATAGAGCAATAATAGTAGTAATAAAGAGACAGAAACATCAATTTCCATTGTCGTGCGTGAGAACTAGCAATAAGCAAAGAAAATAGTTCGAACATTACTTGAATAGTAATACGAGAAGACGACGACGACGACGACGACAACGGCAAGCACGATAGAAAAATACATCAGAAGAAAATATGAATCTAGATCGGAATGATCAGCATTCACGCTCAGCTACAGCAATACAGTTTTCTCGAGCATCGATAATTAGAACACATCATGGTGAGTGTAGTTCTCTCCTTGACCAAATCTTACTTTACCATTGATAATATACATGCGATTACTAATTCAAATCTCTACGTTTATCTTTTGTCTTGATTAGATTCTCATGAAGACTATAACCTGGGATTATGCGGATATATATTATTAATCCTTTCTTATGCACTTATTTGTCTGACGTTTCCATTTTCGTTGACAGTTTGCTTAAAAGTGAGTTATTCGTCATTGAATTCAACTAGGCAAGTCACGCAATGAGATCTCTATTTGAATTAGGTGGTTCAAGAATATGAACGAGCGGTTATGTTTCGATTGGGTCGTATTCTCGGTGGTGCCAAAGTATGTTTTATTTAATAAATCTTTATCTCTATATTCTTTCTCTTTCTCTAATTATCTTAGGGCCCAGGTCTTTTTATCATAGTGCCATGTGTTGATGCTTATACAAAAGTTGATCTGAGAACAATTACATTCGATGTGCCACCGCAGGAGGTTGGCATCATTAATCTGAATTATCATTACTTTTTTTCTATACTATATCTATTATTCTGCGCATAGATTTTAACAAAAGATTCAGTCACTGTAGCTGTCGACGCTGTTGTCTATTTTCGAGTATTTGATCCAGTTATATCGATTACCAATGTCGAAGATGCTCCCAAAAGTACACAATTACTCGCTGCTACAAGTTTACGTAATGTGTAAGATAGACTATTCATAAATGTCTCCATGTTATTATTATTATTATTATCATCTATGATTATTTTTATAGTCTAGGCACCAAATCATTACAAGAGATTCTCTCTGATCGAGAGTCTATTGCACAGACTATGCAGGTATGAAAGTTGTTCTCAATTTTGACACATGGCTGATTGGTTTCTACTAGGCGGCTTTGGATGAAGGTACTGAAGGTTGGGGAGTTCGTGTCGAACGGGTTGAAGTGTATGTTTGTACATGTGAGAGAACTTTTCTGAAATTTATTCTTTGCTTTTTTCAGTAAAGATGTGCGATTGCCTGTTCAATTACAAAGGTAGATTTGATTCTATACAGTAGAGTCATTTTAATCCTCGTCGTTTGGTTTTTGTAGAGCAATGGCTGCCGAAGCTGAAGCGGCAAGAGAAGCTCGTGCTAAAGTTATTGCAGCTGAAGGTGAACAAAAGGCATCAAGGTAAGCTCGAATTGATATGTCACGTTTTATCTTTATGTTCGTTATTAAGAGCATTGAAAGACGCTGCCGATGTTATTATGCAATCCCCAACAGCTCTTCAACTTCGATACTTACAAACGTTGACAACAATTGCATCAGAGAAAAATTCAACGATTGTATTTCCAATTCCGGTAATGAAGACAATGACCGGATTTTATAGGACTTCCTATGTAGAAACTCAACTATGAAAATGAATTTCGAGACACAAATTGATATTGTGAAGTAGATATATATATATATATATACGTGTATACAGAAGCATTTTTTGAAAATGTTGGTTAGTTAGTTTTCGACAAAAAACCACATTATCTATTTTGTTCTTTATTGATACGACAAATTGACGTTGTCTTTCGACATATCTGACGTTAGTTCTTTCTCTTTTCTATTTATAGATCGAATTAATGCAAGCAGCTATCACAACGTATCAAACTTAATGTTTTCTGGCTGGTTCTTTTCTCCTTTTGTTTCGTGAACTAACTCACGATTACACTTCTACACGTTTTTTTTTCTGTATTTTTTTTCTTTTTCAATACTTTCGTCTACACAGCACTTATGATCTATCCGATGAACAAAAAAATATTGTATTATTTATATATATATATATATTTATGTTTTTTTTTGTAAATCGAAAATGAAGTGATAAAGAACAATGCGGAACATACAGAAGATACAGAGGCGCGAACAGACAGACTGAATAAGATGGTTACGCATGCTCAAAAAGAACAAGATTAGGTAGAGTGAAAAAGACATAAGAAGAAAAATGCAAGGATAAGTTTGGTCAAGATGAATTGTAAGAAATCATCTGTTTAGAAACATTTTCGGTGAACGATTGATGGACCCGATTCATCATATTCTTGTTTCGAGATCCACATCTGTTGAAATGTCGATAACGATGCCAAAATTGAACCACCAATCCACACCGAGTATTTACGTTCGGGTGGTGCAATGATTTTGATTTTCATTGTTGATGGTGCCAACGACGTGATTTC